CTTCGTTCAGTTACATGTGCTCCAAGCAAACCCAACCCAAACCCAAACCCAAAACCCAAAACCCAAACCCAAACCCAAACCCAAACCCAAACCCAAACCCAAACCCAAACCCAAACCCAAACCCAAACCCAAACCCAAACCCAAACCCAAACCCAAACCCAAACCCAAACCCAAACCCAAACCCAAACCCAAACCCAAACCCAAACCCAAACCCAAACCCAAACCCAAACCCAAACCCAAACCCAAACCCAAACCCAAACCCAAACCCAAACCCAAACCCAAACCCAAACCCAAACCCAAACCCAAACCCAAACCCAAACCCAAACCCAAACCCAAACCCAAACCCAAACCCAAACCCAAACCCAAACCCAAACCCAAACCCAAACCCAAACCCAAACCCAAACCCAAACCCAAACCCAAACCCAAACCCAAACCCAAACCCAAACCCAAACCCAAACCCAAACCCAAACCCAAACCCAAACCCAAACCCAAACCCAAACCCAAACCCAAACCCAAACCCAAACCCAAACCCAAACCCAAACCCAAACCCAAACCCAAACCCAAACCCAAACCCAAACCCAAACCCAAACCCAAACCCAAACCCAAACCCAAACCCAAACCCAAACCCAAACCCAAACCCAAACCCAAACCCAAACCCAAACCCAAACCCAAACCCAAACCCAAACCCAAACCCAAACCCAAACCCAAACCCAAACCCAAACCCAAACCCAAACCCAAACCCAAACCCAAACCCAAACCCAAACCCAAACCCAAACCCAAACCCAAACCCAAACCCAAACCCAAACCCAAACCCAAACCCAAACCCAAACCCAAACCCAAACCCAAACCCAAACCCAAACCCAAACCCAAACCCAAACCCAAACCCAAACCCAAACCCAAACCCAAACCCAAACCCAAACCCAAACCCAAACCCAAACCCAAACCCAAACCCAAACCCAAACCCAAACCCAAACCCAAACCCAAACCCAAACCCAAACCCAAACCCAAACCCAAACCCAAACCCAAACCCAAACCCAAACCCAAACCCAAACCCAAACCCAAACCCAAACCCAAACCCAAACCCAAACCCAAACCCAAACCCAAACCCAAACCCAAACCCAAACCCACCCTCCACATCTTTAGTTCACAATTGATGAAATAAACAACATCTATAAATCCTAGTGGTCATGTAGAAGGTGTATTACAAGATTCATCGCATTACCATGACCATGTCTCTCACAATTGCAACTAATCTGTATAATTGTCTCTGTTGTGATCATGGTCATCACCAAGTGTCACAACTGTCACTATACCCTCTATGTGATGTCTACTACGTGTATTATCATTTACAAGTTCAGTTTCAAAACATGTTACTGACAGTATCTCTCCTCCTGGGGTGACAAATTTTTTCGCTGGAGGTATATAGTTGACCAATTATAGGGATGCTCCACGGTCCGAGGAGTGTCTACCAACCTCTCAAATTTCATTTATATATCATTCATGAGTACTACTATCATTGAGGGATTATGGGGCATGTTTGCATATCTGCATCAATTTTATTAATATATCAACCTGAGGGCTATGAAATTTACCGTCGCACAAGTTCCAGCGAAAACGTGAAATTATTTTCTTTCTTGTGAACTACATATCAGAACAAATAACCGAGCAAGATCCTATCGTTATAGATCCTATGACAACTAAATATGTTGTTTATTTGATAATTACAAATTTTTGGGATCACTGAATGGGCGATATTCCCAAAACCAAACCCTATGATGTTTAAAAGTTTCCATTCACTCTTTGCAGTGGAGTAGATACATTTCCAACAAATTCATCATGGCAAAGCAGTCTGATTCTTTGGGTTGTTGCGGGAGAATCCAAAACAAAGGATGAATGTTGAGGCATTTTCTCTTGTCGGAATTCCTTAATGGCATTCCTAACAGCAAACAGAACAGAAGAGCCCAAAAACAACGGTGGTTCTCCCACAGCTTTTGATCTATAAACTGAACTACATGCTTCCGTATTATCTTTTCTGAGAAGGTGTATGTTGAAAGTTGAAGGTAAATCACCAAAGCTTGGAATTTTGTAATTACCAGGACCTAAGGAAAAGAATGAACCACTAGGTAACCATGGATTGGCAAAGTTTGTAGATGAAACATCTTCTCTCTTTGGGTCATCTCCCCAAACCAATTCTTCCATCATGAATAATCCACATCTTAAAAAAATGGCTTGTCATCAAATCCCACCGGTAATGCAACAAAAACTTACCCTTGAGTCCAACCGCCTTCAATCTGGCCTATATCTATTGCCGGATTGATCGTGTCTCCAATATCCATGCCAATATCTACTCTATGAATCACCCAATCCCCTGTCAAGGTATCAATCTCAACTTCGGCACAACAAGTTCCAACAACAAAATACAAATGTGGGTTTCCAGTCATAGTTCCTTCATCCCAAGATTGTTCTCCAAATACAGACGGAGGTTTTAAAAATCCAAAAGAGCTAAGTGATATTCTATTAAAAAATGCAGCTGTAATCAACTTTGACCACTCTTCTCTGTTCAGTTCTCTATGATTATTGCCAAACATTTGTTTTCTCAACGGCGCCAATCGCTTGTTCAGTTTCTTGCAGGCAACAAGAGTAGCACCTGCAAACAAATCAGTTCCCATCGATCCAGCAGTTGGTAAAGGGTTTGGTATCGAGTGTGTTGAAGGACAAGCAATGGTAATGAGCTCGGTTGAAATTCCCAAACATGTGGCTGCAGTTTGAATAATCTTTGTGTGAAGACCTTGTCCCATCTCTATACCACCAGTATTGATGAGAACAGTTCCATCAGAAGAGTAAACATTTACCTGTGCACAACCTTGATTCATAAATAATTCTTGAAAGCCAACCCCAAATTTAGTTGGAATAACACAAATTCCTTTTTTTCTGTAAGTATTCTTCTTATTAAAGTCTTTGACCAGCTCGAGTCGTTCTTTGTATTGGCAAATGTTTTGAACTTGCTCCCATATTTTTCGTATTTGATCAACATCAGGTATTTCTTGACAGAATGGAGTTAGTTTACATTCTTTTGAATACATGTTCGCTTCTCTAATTTGAAAGGCAAGAGGGTATATCAAGGATTGAGGGTTGTTATTCTTGTGTAATAGTTCTCTCTCTAAACTATCTGCTGCTTGTTCAATCATAGTTTCAATGATGAAGAAAGCTTGTGGCCCTCCAAATCCTCTAAATGCAGTAGCGCTTGGTAGATTGGTTTTGCAAACAAATCCATTCACTTCCAAGTTGGGAATATGATAACAATTGTCAATGGACAATAAGGCCTTCTCAATGACAGGTCCGCTTAAATCTAAACTGTATCCAGCATTGCAGTAAATATCAATCTTTGCACCTTCAAATTTAAGTGTTTCCTTATTGATGACACATTTGAAGTTTGCTTTGAAGGGATGTCTAGTTCCAGACCATTTCATGTCTGACACGCGATCTAAAATCAATCGAACTGGTCTCTGGGTCTTTTGAGCAGCAACAGCACAAGCAGCAGCAAGAAATGCACTTCTTGTCTCTTTGCCACCAAATCCTCCACCTATTTTGGGCGGAGTTTTCACAAGAATTTGATTCATTGGAAGACCGAGGGCTTGAGAAACCAATGTTTGAACCAAGCTTAATCCTTGAGCAGATGAAAAAACTGTTATTGCATTCTTTTCATGAAAGTTAATTGAAGAAGAGGATGGAATGACAATACATCCCTGAGTTTCCATATAGAAATGTTCTTGTCCTGAAATGTTGACAGTTCCTTCTACTACATGCAAGTTAGTTTCTTGTCCGTTTTTTTTGAAAGTTTGAACTTTTTCAATTAAATTTTGTACATCTATGGAAGAAGGTTGGGTTATCATACTTCTTGTCCAATCTTCATAAAACGATTTTCTTTTGATAGCGTCGTCGATTGATAAGATTGGAGCTTCATCATGGTCGGAATACTCAACTTGGACCAGTTTGGCTGCTTCTCTCGCTTGATGAGTAGTTTCAGCGAGTATTAAACCAATGAGTTGACCTGTACTTGTACATATTTCGCTCAAAAACAATTCTTCGTCATCAGGAATAATGGCTCCTACTCTATTTCGTTGAGGTACATCTTTGAAAGAAATGAAATCAACAACACCTTCAATACTGGAAAGAGCTTTCGATGCATCTACTTTCAATATTCGTGCAAATGATTTAGTTGATAACACAGGAGCGGCTTTCAATTCCTTAGGAAGAGTAGGAATATCATCGATATACATGGCTTTTCCTGAAACACAATCATATGCATAGACATCAGAATGGCTTCTTCCTACGCTAGAATTGGACCTTCTGGCATTAGACTCTATGATATTGGGATTCAGTTTAACATGATCAATATATTGAGAGAACTCAAAACAATCTTTTGGAATGTAATGGTGATCCGTGAGGACGCTGACTTCTTCTTCTTTTGTCATGTTTAGTTTCTTCTTTACATGTACCCAGAATTTGAAAAAGAAGCTCTGAGCCAGAGTCATTCTGTACAATGTTTGACCTCCAGGAGCGTCTGGTGAGAGAGTAAGATTTTGATTGATGATTGAAAGTGCCTCATTAAAGAGAGTTTCTTCTTTAAAACATCTTCCAATAAGGAATTGAGAGAGTTTTTCCAAATGAACTGTCTTGAACGACATTCCTCCGAAAGAAAACGAGCAGTTCTCAATCTTAAAATCATATGGAGATAATTTTAAATACATGCATGCATTGACAATGGCAACTCCATCTTCCCGTCTCCTAGATTGTTTGTAAGTTTTACAATACTCATAATCTGAATCGGTCTCGATATTGGGAATTTCAATCTTAATTAAAACCTCAGAGTCAGAAACATCTAATTTTCGATATCCTGTGTATACCTTTTGGATCGAAACTTTTCTTCTTGAGTGTATTTCCACATTATAAAATGTAAGAGATGCATTCAAGGCTTGCCAAACTGGTACTAGATCAGAGATTGGGGATCCTGTCATGATGTTACCTCCTATTGATGCAACATTTCTAACAGGAGTAGAAGCAAACCATTTACATTGTTCAAATATGGCCTTCATCTTGGTACATTTACAAATCTCTCCTGCTTTCTCGTATTCTTGCATTCGAAGCTGCAAGAAGTCCATCAGCGTATTGATAGTTACAGAGGAGCCAACGCTGAGAATGTTTTGCTCAATCTTCACTTGTAACAACTCATCAATATGAGTCATGGCAATAAATTGAGAGTAATTATGATTTCTGTGTCTCATCTCCAATGCAACTTCTGAATTACCAACAATAAATTTTGTGGTTGACATTTTCCCTCTGTTGTGGAGAGATTTCAAAACACATTCCAATTGTTCCATCTTTAAAGGTCGATACCACTCAATATTCTTATCACAATATTCCCAATATTCAGGCTTGTAGTTTCTCAGTTCAAAAGGAAATAATGGGTGTGAAGGAAATTCTTCGGGAGAATAGTTAGTGACTCTATTTTGCTCTTCATTTGAACCTTTTGCCTTACATGCACATGACGAGGAGCTACCTTGGCAACAATCTTCGAGGCTGGTGTTGTTTTTCATACAATCATCGTCGGTTTCAGCGGTTGATCGTGTTTGTTTGCAGCAAGAGTCGAAATTCTCACAAAAAGTCCGAGCCATTTCCATGACACTTCTGTAACCGGTGCATCGACACAAATTACCATCAAGGGCCAATTCAATTTGTTCCATTGTAGGATGAGGATGATTCCTTAACAAAGAGTATAAGCTCATTATAATTCCAGGAGTGCAGAATCCACACTGAAGGGCATTGAATTCAACAACTCGATCTTGTAATAATTTGAGAACATGATCTTTGAGATTGGCAAACGCTTCGATTGTTATAACAGCACAGCCATCCATTAGTACTAACGGAAAAAGACAAGCGTTTATGGCCATATTCTTGACCACACCACTATGCGGATCATGCTCGCTTCTCTGGTTACTGTGTCTGTAATGACCATCATTAGTTGCATCATACAACTGATCGGTACATGAAGATGATCCTGTTGAAGATACAAACTTTGAGATCATAACCACACAACTTCCGCATCCTCCTTCATTACATCCAATTTTCGTTCCAGTAAGTCCACATGATTCTCTCAAATATTCAGCCAAGCTCATATGAATACTTTGTAAGGAACAAAGAGAAGGATTATGGCGCTGTCCATTCACATAGAATAGCAAGGATCTTTGCCGGTTTTCAATGGCATTGATGGTTGAAACGGATGGTGGTTCTTCGATCATTTTTTTTCAAGCTAACGGCGTTTTATCGAGCTTCGAAACCGTGCGTGCTTGTTCTTTGTCAGACCCAAATTTCCCAAAAGATGCACACGATGAAACAGGAGAAGAATATTTTTGCTCTATTGCGACAAGAAAGTTGACATCTTGAAACCGCGAACTCTTTTGTGTTTTTCAGAAGCGTCAATCGCTGTTCGACTGTCACTCGCGCTTTACCGATAATTTTGTTATGAAGTTCTCACCCAGTCTATTGAGCCCATCGAAAATTTTGGAGCCTTTAATGGATTGTTTTTACAAAATTTCACCACCAACAAAATTTAATTTACATCCCATATTTTCCACAATGATAGGAGCGTATTGAACCGCCTCACCATCTACTGTTAAATAACTCTCCTTTGAGGATGTAGGTTTAAAGTAAAATGCCTTAATTTTTCTATACATCCACTTGGAGTGTTTGTGATACTCTCCTGTTTCACAACTCATTAATATAGAAAGAAGTTCGAAAGGTGAAGCTGGTTTCTTGACAAACATTAAATCAATTAGGGAGTCATTATGGAAAGAAATATGAGACGCGACAAAATCGGCCGCTGCATGAGAAACGTTACTGGCGAACATGTAGGCATATTCTTGATCTTTTTCTTCAACTTTCTCATATTCATCAAAATTCACCTCGTGAAAGCCATCAGCATGATAATTTTGAAGTCCCATTTCCACAAGCTCTTTAGATAAAAAATGTCTAGTAAATGGAGCGTCCAGCCTTGTTGTACGTTCCCTTATTGTTTCCACTGATCCACTGAAAGCACTTGCAATTGAATGGTTGTATTTAAATTCAGAAACATCGACAGTGTTTTGTTTTTTCAGATCCATGTACCGTTTTGGAATTATACAGGTCAAGTTTCCAGAATAATATCTTCCAAAGAAGGCATAATATATAGATCCTAAAATATATCTTAAATCTCCTATAAATCGAATAAACTCTGTCCCTAAATCCACATCAGCAATGCCTCCATAACTGAAATTCGCAATACCATATGACCGGCCTTTGTTTGGTTGAAATACTGCCCATACATCCAAAGGGCTAGAAAGACCACGACAAATAAAAAGGCCTGCTCTTTTAACGAGACATGAATCTGTTGTAGTAGCATTGAACCCAATCAAATTCTTTTGAAAATGGGAACTCATTGCATTTCCGCTACCTGAAGGTATCACTGAAAAACGAATTTTTTTCAACAAGTCAATAGATCCTTCTTTTTCAAGCCTTAAAAGAATACCATTAATGGCCTCATTAAGTGTTCCATCTCCTCCACAAGTAATGATCTCATTATAGACGTTCAAGTCCAATTCATGTTCGCAATACTCGCGAATGTGACCAGCATGTTTCGAAATGATACATGTAAAATTGTTTCCAATGTGGCTCTCCAAGAGCATTGGTTTTACAATTTTTTCGAAATTTTGCATCGATTGACCAGATCCACTTTTAGGATTAATAAATATCATTAGTTTTCTGTTATTGTTTTGTGTGAGTTTTTTCTCATCGTCTACTGAGGATTCAGATAAAGTTTCTGTTGGTGTTAATCGAAATACATTCCTTTTCAATGCTTGAGTAAACTCTTTCAGCTTGTTTGAATGTATTGATTGACTTGAATTTCTAATGATGATTTTTTCCTTCTTGTTGGTGATCAAATTCAAACTTGTTAATTCTATTGCACCATCTTCTGAAGTATTGCCCAAAACAACATAAATTTCAAACAACGGTATAAATCGGCAAGCATAGGGAGGTCCTGAGACACTACAGATCAACTGCCTATCAGTCAATTCTACTCGGCACGAATTCCAATTCTCGACACTCTCAAATCTGTTGTCATCACTCGTTTCTTCTTTCCATTGAATATCAACTCCTTCCAACACACCACACGGTACCGTTGCCCCATCCAATCTTTCAAAATAAATGGCATGCTTTTTCATGTCCGCGTGTTTCTTTAAAATCCTTGCCATCCTCTCGCTATGAGGATGAACCTTCTTGTTGTTCCGAAGCCACAGCCAACAGTATGAAGCAATACAAACGAAAAGAACAGTTCCCACTACAAGGAGCAGCGAAGGCATTTTTATGATTAAATCGAGCCCTTAAAAAATACCGCAAGATGAACATCAGAATTGACTCTTGCATGCTCCACAGCCTGGAAAGACGTTTGGAAAGAATTGAACAACAAGCGAATTACATTTCAGCTACCCTCAAACAATTAAACTCCAAACTTAATGAATATATACGAAATGAAAAGAACAGAAATTGCGAAGAAAAGGCACGGAAGCCATTAGATCATTCGCATCACTTGTTACAATCTTTACAACATCATCTATGTGACGCAATCACCTTTAGAGAAAATCCATCAGTTGAGAAAACTAACGGTCCACCAGTTGAGAAAGATGAGAATACATTATCAACATTGAATCAACCAACTCCATCAAAACAAGAAAAAGAATACAAGCCAAAGAACAAACCTCGCAAAACAAGAAGGACCACACAAGCTAAAAAACAATCATCCACCGACAAAGCCAAGCCAAAAAGAAAAACAAAGCAAAAGAACAAACTTCACGATCATACTAATCATGGACAAAAAGGCAAGATACTTTATTTGTATTATGATGATCAGTGCTATCAACAATTCGATAAGAAACGTGTAATGAATGTAAGAACAAGAAAGAAGCATCTCACCTTATATTGGATCCAAGACTGCTCTCCGCCCTTCAACATTATTAATTGTTGTGACTTAGAACTTTGAAGACAATGCTGGTAATCGATACATATCATTATTAACATATCATTATTAACATATCATATCCATCAACACTATATATACCTATTCATGACCTTTTTACAATAATTGACGACTCAACCTTACAAACCAACGAAAACCATATGCATTAACAGACCAAACACTGCTTTATTTTTGCCTTCTGTTTGAATCATGGACTCAACCCATGTTAACAGTTGCTCAACACAAGCATGTAATCTGTTAATATTTGATATATCCTGTTAAAAACATTCGACATTCAGAAGTAGTATCTAAACGAAAATGAAGTCCAATGTTGTTTTATGACAAGTATTGAGGCACCGAAGGGCCAATAAACAATATTTAATTTTTATGATTAAATTTTGAAACAAAAAATTTTATTTCGAAGACCAAAAGCAACCAGGACGTGATGAAAGAACGAAATTATAATTGTTGTTCCGGAAATTATGTAATGAAAATATTTCGAGATGCATCACTGATACGGGCTCGTATTAATTAATTAATTTTGGAAAAGAGATGCATCATTAAACATCAACAAAAACTTAAATAGAACTGAAACATACAGAGAGAAGTTGTGATGTACGGGTATTTCAAACAAGAATTATCTGCCGATTATCTTGCATCCTCGGGTCGTAAACGAACCGACATTATTAAATGTCAACACAACATCAGCAACTACAAACAAAATCATGAAAGTTTATCCATTAGCACCATCCATCAATGGATCATCATCTGTAAGTAATTACCACTAGTTTCTTATCATGAAGATGATGAATGATTCATCTCAAATTCTTCCCCCAACAGAAAGATGAATTCTCTTCTTTTTGCTCCAACACTCCTGGCGGAAATAATGATGAAGATGATCATGGTTTAAAACAAGCCATCAGGGAGAAACCAACCACAAGGTTTTCTGCTTGCTGTTCCATACGAATCTTTATTGTTGTTTTGATCACTTGTCTAGTGCTCTCATGTTCTATAGTCATTTGGTTGGTGTCCTTTGTTGGTGCAAGAACAGCTCTGAATGAACTCTCCACTCAGCTCATGAATACATTTGCAAACTATGTGGTAGAGAATGTCGATTCTGAGATTAGACCAATTACAGCAGCTACTAAGTCCATCGCATATGATTTTAACTTGGGAGTAGTTCCCATGAATCCACAAACTGAATATCTATTCTCGAAATTTGTCACGTTTCATCCATATGGAATTGGCTTTTTATTTGCAGATCAACTTTCAACCATCAATTACGTTGGAATTCCTCCCAATGAAGTTCCAGGATTCTATCACCAAAAAAGTAATGAAACCGATATGTTTGTCTATGAAGTGGATTTAGTGAGTGGTCAAAACTTGAACCGAGTGCTTAAAGTCAATCCAAATTACAATGTCACTGTTCAAGATTACTGGAAGCATTCATTTGATAATTTTCATCGCCCAGAGTTTCAAGACCTGGATGGAGTATTTGGTGATCCTTATTTTCTTCCAGGTGGAGGTTATACCATCTACTACAGCGCAAGATTATACGATCCTATTCAGTATGCTGTGTATGGTAAAAAAACGTCCAATCCTATTGGCCTTGCTAAAACCAATTTATCCCTTCAAATCATTCAACGTTTTCTGGCATCTCTCAAAGTGATGAACAGAGGTTACGTTCTTCTATCACAACAAAACAATGATCTTGTGATTGGTGGAAGTATCAATACGACCTCTTGGGATTTGGTGTCAAGAGTTTCCATGTTTGATTTGCAAGATCGAAATGCTGGAGCACTTATGAAGCAAATTGCTGCTCAGTATGGGTCTCTCACATCAGCCCCTAATTTGTTGAGTATCATGAGTGCAGGCGTAGAATACTATGTGGTTAAGACCGAGTATGTGATTGAAAATTTGCGATGGAATTTGTTTATTGTTGTGGAAAAGGCAGAAGTTGAACAAGCAACCAATATCTCTACAGGTATTTCAATTGCAGTTACATTTGTGATTGCGATTTTAGGAGTGACCTTCTCTATACTCATTGGTCATGTGACCACTGCCCCGTTAAGAAAATTGGAGCAAGAATTTCAAAAAATCAAAACCATGGAGTTCGATCAAGTCGAGTTTATGAACAGTATATTTCGAGAAGTGGATTATATTTTCATTTACTTACGAGAAACAGTTGTATGGCTCAATGAAATCAGATCATTTCTTCCCGAAAGTGTGTTTTTACACCTTAGGATGACGAAACATTCCCTCACATGGAATGAAATGACAAACAAGGAGGGGAATCACGAATTGGAATCCTCTCATTCCTCGAGTAAGGTCAGCAAAAGAGAATCATCCAAAGAAGCTTCCATTCATTCAGCAAATATGGCTTCTAATAATCTCTTTAAAATTGGACTTTTCCCAAAAGTTTGTTCGGTGGTCCGAATTTACTTGTCCAACATGACAAAAGAATTTTCTTCAGATGATATAGCACAATATTTCTCAAAAATTGTAGCAGGTCTAAGCATGCTATCAAAAAACACTCATACTGATTTTCAAGTAATATCTGTGGATGAATTTCAATTAACGTTCACTGATCAAGGACCTTCAGGTGAAAGAAGCATACGAGAAGTGGCGCTAATGTCATGCCTCAAATTCGTCAAGTTGATTGATAATTTAAATGAATCAAGAAAAAATGGCACCACTCTTAAGTGTTGCATTGGTGTATCTAGTGGGAAATGTTTTTCTGGCAATTTAGGAAATAGTTCCTACAGAGGATTTTTCACCATTGGAAATGTGGTTCAAAATTCAAAGAAATTGTCACACTTGGCAAATGAGCTAAATTGCAAACTACTGGCCTGTTCATATACCTTAGATTCAAAAACTACGACTAAATTTGTTACAAGACCCATTGATCGAATAGTATTAGATTCAGATTCGGGATCCCAAGTCGTTTTATCAACCATTTTTGAAATCATTAAGGAAAATATTGTTCATCAAGATGGTAAGTGTATGTTCTACGTATGAAATTTACATGACAAAACATTAAATGACAACACATGAATTACAAAAGAGTGGATGTACGAACTGCAACAAAAAGAAGCTCATGATAACTTCCAAGCTTTCAAAGAAAATTTCATTTTTGGGCAAACTTTGGAATGTACAACAGAGGAGAATATTAAGGAGCTACTGGGCCGTGCACGTGATTTTTACAGCTCTTATATTCAAACATGTCCAAATGATGTAGTGGCAGAACGATTGATGAGAATAATGGATTTCTATTTACAATATTCAACACAAAACGTCAATGCATGGTATCAAGTTCTACAATTCCATTCGATTTTGGATTATAGGTTAACTGAAGTTTTTTCTTCCACTGAATGAGCCTCTTTGCAACATTATACACTCTATGATGTACATTACTATTCAAACTTTTTCAGAGCTGATACCTTTTCGAAATAAGCTCTATATTCCTCTCCAAAAACAGAATCAATATCATCCGTCCCATCAAATTGATCTCTGTTATTTTTCCACACACGAAACTTGAACCTTCTTGTTGGAGACCATTGTGGTCCATCCTTATCCAAAATCAACGTAACATTTTCATAACGATCAGAAAACAACGTTTTCAACTTTTCTCTGAGAAGTGGAATATTTTCAGTTTGTTCCATCGCTTGCTTAATGTGAGTGATAGAACATCCTTTAAGAGTACCATGCAAAACTCCGGCAGCTTCTAATATGTCAGTCGTAATTTGAGCCAAAAGACATAACTGGGCTTCATTGCCATCTACTAATGAGTCAATATTCTCAAAGAAAGAATGTCTAATCCTGGTTGAATGCATTTCAAAATTGGATTCAATTGATTGCACAATATGTGTTGCAAGTGTTTGAGCATTCCATCGGCTCTTGAAGAGGGTTGTTGTACCACTCCATTAAATGCTTTCATATCGTTGTTATGCATTTCTTTAACTTTTTGAACAAAATTTGACACATATCCATCTCAGTATACATGTCTGCCATGCAATTTCTTTTAAATTCTTCAATGAAATTCTTGAAAAAAGCTCCCAATTCATAGTTGGCTTCAAATCATTCTTTAGAGCACACAATACTTTTGTCATAAATATTGTATTATTTGGAATGGAATCAGGAAGTCTTGTTAATGGATTGTAATTTCTAACCATATTTCTTTTCGATTCATGATTCCTTGTAAATATGAACAAGTTTCCAATACAAGCTTATATTGAAGTTGTGAAAACTCTGTTTTAGCTAGATCATTCTCAATCATACATTTGGCAAGAATTTTGAATGGAATGATTTGTAATTGAGTTTCCATATATCTCATTGGTTCAAGTGTTGTCATGTATCCAAAATACTTTTCATCTTTTCTCGTGCAACTTTCTAATAATACTCATTAATATAAATTGGAAAAACACCATTAATGATCTCTCGTGAAGAACCCCTCAACACAGTTCGAGATGTTTCTGTGCAACTATATTTGGTATCACGAAACATTCAAAATGATAATAAAGAAATCATTCTCAGGGTTGTTCAAGAGTCTGGATTTTTACTCAAATTTGAATCGAGTGATCTCAAATGTGATCAAGAATGAAGCATTGTTATTAAGATACTTAATTAGAAAAAACTACTACTCCTTACTTCTTTCCTCAACATCACCACAACAGAGATTGAACTAACGCTGTCAAGATCATCATAGCAACGTCAACGACAAACATGAAATCTATTGACAAAGATGAACCTCCTGAAACGCGAGTGGAGCTTTCTTTCGCACAAGTCACCACTCGCAGATGACAAATCAGTACTTGCTACATTCACACAGAATTCATTGAAACAGCTGCAGATCTTGTCATTGGATTGACTCCCACCTTGGATTGAACAAAACATGAAGTACTTAAACTGGAATTTGAATATTTTTGAGGAAACATGGAAGAAATGAGAGTGAACGAAAATCCATACAATGTTTTAGCTCAAGGATAAGGATAAAGTTGAGTTTCTAATTCTGGATTTCCAATTTGTGAAGTAATGATTGGTTTCCAAACATCCATTGTTCCAGAATTATATTGAGAACATCCATATTTACCTTGTGAGGGATTGTACGAGATAGTTGGTGTGAATGCCTTGAAACAACACAAATAAGCGTCATTCACAACCAAATGGTTGTTGCCAAGTGTGGAGGAATTCTGAACTTGTGCAAAGACCTTTTCACCAGTATTGAAATTCGTTTTTGGTGACCAATCGCTCGCGATGCTAAATACATGTGAGGTTGAAGTGTAATTCTTGTCGGAAGGAGCCACTACAATGGTGTAATCAATTTTGAGGGGAATGTATTGAATGAAATTGTCAAGAATACCATTTCTTTTCAAAGTGGCTTTGAACAAAGTTAATGCTCGATAGTCGTTAACTTTTACATTGGAATGCATTCGAATTTGATAGAATGCAAAGAGACCATTTTGAGACAAGAAGGAAGTTGTACTCACTTGGAAGATGTAATTTGGATTTGTGGTGTTGTAAAAGTCGAAGGAAATGAGTGTGACATTTGACACTCGAAGAATTATTAGAACTTTGAGTTGTCCTGTCGAGGGCTCTGTTGAAAATTCTTGCGGATACAAATTCACTGTGTACGGATCTAATGGAGAGGTTTCGTTGAATGAAGAGATCACTGGATGTGAGTGTTAAATAAATGGCTTGTGATGAGGTAAATTCATAAGCTCGGAAAAATCCTCCATTATTTGAGCCTATTACATCCAAGTAATACAGAGCAATAGGAACGGTTAGTTTGACCAAATCTCCAATGGTTTCCTTCTTCACATTTGGACTTGTCATTAAATAGTCCAAACTGAATACTGGAGAGGTGTAGACATTAAAACAGGAATAGTCACTTGTCACCAAAGTCAAATTCACTCCCTCACCTCCACTCAAAGTGCAACTGTCCGCATGGAATGATGAGTTCTCTCCAATTCTCATACCATGAGTAAAACCACATTTGGATCCACAGAAAAATTCAATAAAAATTGAATTCCATCTCCATTCACCGAAAAAATTTGAGGTTTTGGAGCTCCCATTTCAGATGAATCCCAACAAGATGCATTTACAATGATTGGAGAATTCACAGAATTTTCACATTGATTTCCAAAAAATCCCGAACTGCAACTACAATGATCTGGAGCTGTGCATGTACCATGTCCACTACACACCAATGTGGAATTTTGTAAAGTTCCAAAACACTTGGGAATGGAACAATTAGCACCTCCCCAATTTGTGTTACAAACACACGTATCAACAGCATTGCAACTTCCCTGACCATTACAGACACTGCTCGAGTTCTGCAACCCCCAAGCATTTTGGAATGGAACAATCAGAACCGCCCCAATCAGGGTAACATGCACACGAATCTACTGCTTGACAGGAACCATGAGCATTACAGATACGAGAAGTCTCATTGGAAAGAAGGCCATAACATTTTGCAAGTTCACAGAATTTTCCTCCATATCCACTTTGACAAACACAAGTATCCACATTGTTGCATGAACCTCTTCCATTGCAAACCGTAGTTTCGTTGGCAAGGGTGTTGTTGCATTTTGCAAGTTCACAGAATTTTCCACCGAAACCGTCATTACATTGGCAAGTGTCTTCATCAAGACAAACAACTTGACCTGAGCAAACCGATGAATCGTTTGAAACCACTCCATTACAAAGTGGACGTAATATTCTTATTCTGTTGTTTAAAGAATCAGCAAAAACTACCATTTCGAATCAAATAAATATCGTGAGGGTAAAATAATTGAGCATTTCGAGCGTTGACAGAGTCGCCATTAAATCAATTCGATCCACCAATTCCTGCAACGGTTGTTATGACACCACCTGAAAATTTTCTAATCACATGATTATTAGTGTCAGTAAAAAAGAGATCACAGTTCGAGATGACCAGTAATCTGGTAGGATGATTAAGTTGTGCATTACTTGCCAAATTACCATCTCCGCAATAACCTTGAGTGGTTCCAGCCAGAGAGGACATCAAACCTGACGATGACACTTTTCTTATTCTGTTATTGTAACATTCAGAGATATAGATTTCATTGGAGGAGGAGGAAATATATGCACCAGAGGGTCTGTCCAACAAGGCAGATGTGGCAGGATATCCGTCACCACCGAATCCTCGAGTGCCAGTACCTGCAACAGTTGACACTACTCCGTTTGAAACCTTTTTCAAGACATTGTTATCAGAGTCCACGTAATACATGTCACGATTTGATTCTGAATTGGTCTGATACAATTATTACCTGCATCAGCTATATAAATCCCTGTGGAGTCCACATACACATACGACGGGAGAGAAAGTTGTGCATTAATTGCGAGTCCGTTATCTCCTGAATATCCTTGAGTAACAGTTCCTGCAATGGTTGAAATGATTCCTGATTGCGAAACTTTTCTAATCTTGTTATTGTAAGTATCTGCAATATAAATTTCACCATTATATTCGAACACACTTTTTGGCCAATAAAGTTGGGAAGATAAAGCACTTCCAGAGTCTCCCCCAGAGCCTTGAGCTCCTGTTCCCACAACGGTGGAGATACTGTAGGCACAGGTTACCAAAGGTGCCATGTATACACAAGCAACAACAAGAAAAAAACACAAATATTGTGCGAGGTGGAACAGTTGACACAATTTTTAAGACATTAAGGCTTCTGTTGGACCATCAAAATTTTTGTTGTGGTTACCATCGTGAAAAGTGACATGATGCTCACCTTTGTAATCCAATGAAGTTCAAGGTTGAAGCTTTGGAGACTGCACTTTGATTTTACAGTGAGGGAGGGTGATCCAAAGTGTATTTTGGACTGAAGTGTACTAGTAAATGCAGGTGTTGTTCACATGCCTCCAATTTCATCAATGTGGCTTCAGAGTTGTTTCATGTCCAAAATAAATGTCATTCAAAATGTACTAATTTATATCATAGCAAGTAGAAACTAAAAATTTGTTTGTGATTAGGTGAGAAAAAGAAAAACGAATCTAATACCTTTCACAACAATGTGGATGGTGGCCCCAACGATCAAGATCCAATCTTTCTTTAACGCTTTGTTTTTCATGTTAGTGGTCTTTGCTCTTGGCTGTAAATGTTTTATGAACTTGTTGCATCTGTCGACCCCTTAATCCTCCCTGCCTTGACAAGTGTTTTTAACAATAATGGCCCACTGTACAAAAAGGAAGAACGAAACTAAATGAAATCAACATGATCAAACAAGAGTAAAATGAAACAAAACAGTTATCTTAATTTTTTAAATTTGTTAATTGAGTCAACTTCTGGATTGCTCAATCCTGTTTCCGACTCATCAGTAAGGTTACACTAATTACTGCAACAGCGAGCAATATTATGTTAAACCTAGATACGTATCTATAGATTGATTGGTTCGTTATATTACAGGAGGGTTGTTTCAGGCCTAAACTATTTTGCTCTTGATATTTCTCCTCTTTTTGAAGAACTTCAAGCTGTTTACGAATAATATCATTCTCTTTTAGAGCATGTTCATGTAACGTTTTGTACTTCTCTGAAAGTAGTTGGTGTGATGAATGAACCATTTCCAAGCTCGCGAGCTTTTCTTGAAGCTCTGATAATTGTTGCTCTAGAACAAGATTCTTGTGCTGTAATTCTTGGTTTTGTTTCTTTTCAGTTTCATACATTTCCGTGTAGTCTTGAATTGGATTGTTTGGCTCAGAACCTGTAGATTGATTTGAACCATGAGTTGAATCATTGTCCTCGGTAAATGATGTTTTCTTTTGCTCTTCTTGAATATGAATTTTCAAATCCTCAACCTGTTGCGTAAGCACAATGTTTTGTTCTCTCAGGTTACTAATCTCTGTCTGTGATTGGGCATTGTTTTGTGACATTTGTTGTTCTAAGATTGCGATTTTTTTCAGCAATTCTTGTTCGTGAACTACTTTCAATAACAACTCGGATTTGGCATGATCTAGTTCGTTAACAAGCTTTTCCTTTTCTTCTTGATTGAGAGTGACCAGAGTCTGTTGAGACTTCTCCAACTTTAAATATTTGGAGTTTAGTATTTCTATTTCCTTCTGCAATTGCTCAACTTGATCTCTCAACTGTTCTTTTTCGAGAGCGTGTTGTTCAACTTCTGCCTTTAAAATGTCTACCATGCCACAATTTGGGCAAAGAGTAGGATCATGAGTTACTGAAGAGGTCAGAGATTGTTGGTCTTCCATCTCGTTTGGCGATTGAAGAGTAATTAAGTCGCTGGTAGGAGATGATGTTGTTGGAGAAGAAATACCAGGCTCTACATGCTGAGGCACAATGGGAATCAACTCTTCTCCCTTCTCTCGGAAATATGAAAGATAGGTCACTGTGATATTAATTTTCAATTGTCACACATGCCAAACAAATCACCATTTCAACCGTACTTACACATGGAGAGTTTTTCAGGGCCTTTTTCTAAAATGTTTGAATGAATTAATTCTGGAATATCTAGGTGGTCATTTGCAACATCCACTAGATGTGAATTAATTTCAGCATGGGATTTATCGGTGTAGATAACATCTCGCTCATAGTTGAAAAATGCTTTAAAAGCCTCGATATCTCCGTTAAATTTCTCTCGTAGCAATCGGTCAATGACAGCTCCTAATGCTTTTCCATCCGCCCAACTTGAGGATATGTCATTTACGTTGAACTTGTACTTTTCTGTGTATTCTGAAATGATACTGTTTATATAACCAATCATTTCCTTTTCCAGAGACAATCCTCTACTTTTAGATGGGGACTCCATGACATCGTTTTCATCTCCTGCTTTCTTATTCTTGAACTGATAGAACAGAATTAGCCTCCAAACAAGAGCTAGACAAATTTTAAGGTTTCCCTTATTCTGTTGACAATTCACATTTGACATGTCAATTAAAATAAATATATATGAAATATTTCGGTGAAAAATATACATACAATCTCGTTAGAAGTGATACCTGTTAAATTAATATTCTCATTCTTCAAGCGTTGCAAAGCCCGGTTAATATTTTCCATCATTTGAACTGGAATTTTTGGTTTGGTATTCATTCGTGGAGACAATAGTTGTGGTGTCTGACCGTCATTACTTCTCTGATGTTTCAAAGTCAATTGGTCAATGAGATGAATCAAGTTTGTTCCATCTGTAAATCCTGAAGATAAATCGGTGAGAGTGATTCCAATCTTCTTCAAATGCAAATTCACCCACGAGGTAAAGGTCTGAACAAGAGATTACACACACGAGTACAAACAGGCATAAACATCACTTACCACATGCTGAATGTCAATCCAATTGATTTGGTTATTGGTTTCGTTCATTCGAGGAGATATCATTCTAGAGAAAGAAGAGGTGAGGAGCACTTTTTTTTTGTTTGGGTTTGTCTGCAGAAAAGAGATCGTTCTTGAAGAACCTTTGGGCAAGATTGCAATCTGTTTTTGGAAGAGCCATGAATCAAAATGGAAGAGACATTGGTCAATTCGGTGACATGGTTCAACCGAACCGAGGTTGTCAACGTCACCAGCAGTCAGTTGGCAGACATAACCTTGAGAGATATTAAGGTCTTCAACAAAAGACCACATTTTCTTGAGAAAGTTTTGTGAAGTCATTCTATTGTGATTCACATCACCAATCGTTTTAAAAACCGCTTTCATATGAAAATTGTAAGCCTCATCAATTCTTGAGAGAGTCACAGATGAACGTAGCACGACATGAACTGGGAATATCAGTTTTATTTCGACTCGAGTCAATAAAAAATGTCACTAGAGGAACATTCAACCATTCCACCACCACCACCTTCTTTTGTCCCACCACCTCCATCCATGATGCACATTGGAGGAGCAAGTGCATCAACAATTAAAAGATCAAATCAAAAATCGGAAATCTCCCAAAGCTCACAACCTAGCAAAAGACAACCATTCATTTCGCTTCAGCGAAAATCCTACTGCTGGAGTGTTCTTTGTGGAGACACAACTTGAGGGACATGTTGTTGTAAAAGCAATTGCGACCATCGCTCAAGAATTATTCGGAAGTAAAATTGCATCCTTTCTTGAGTTGAAAACTCCACAAATTCAATTAATTGAATATAAGGCTGATTTTAAGAATCCCATAAAAACCTATTGGTCAAAATGTAAAAAGTATTTGAAAGAGTTTGCCACAAAGCATGAACTATTTGTGAAAGAGAGGAAACTAAACAAGGAATTGTATAGAGCTTTCTTTCTATTGATTGAACTTGTGGAAGGAGCATATTCTTTGGAAGATTTAATGAACCATGAAGAACTGGCACGAGAAATTTTGACAAATCCTGTTGTTTTGAATGATATTGGTCGGATGGTTGTCATGGATATCATCATTAATAACTGTGATCGATTTCCACTTGATTTGATTTGGGAACATGAAGGAAATTCATCGAATGTTCTCTTCTCTATCATCAACACCAACAATAAGGGCTCTTCTCGAGTCGCTTGTATTGATCAGCCATACATGGCCGTCATTGATGATAAGCAAAAGAAGGAATATTTGACCAAGATTGAAAAGTTTGCTGAAGCATGCTGCTCATCATCACCACGGTCCGACATGCATGAAAATCCATACCTCACTCAAATATGGAAATACATTTCAGATGTTACTGGCGTGAATTTAGATGAAAGTAGTACAAGTGGTGGTGATCATGATGATAATAAGAGATGCAATAAAGAAATCCTTCAAGGAATAATGGATGCCGTCCAGTTTTTGAAAGGCTTGAACAGAACAAAACTTGAAGAATTCAAAACACAGGTGGAGAGGATGAAAACAGGCAGTGATTGTGATGGCGTGTATTTCCAATCCGTGCTCACGATTGATGTGGATTTCCTTGAAGAGGCTATTGAGAGGATGACTTTCGAATTGAGATAAATTTTTTTTTCAACATAAAATTTAAATAATTTAATAGTGAAATCCATTCAAAAGAAGATGAAGATCGTTTAATTCTTCTTCTTCTTCTGGGCAACCTTATCCGATCTTCTCTTGAATTTAGCTTCATCCTTTGCAATTTCTTTTGCAAACTCCTTTCCAGTCACAGCAGCATCATAGGCACAATCTTTCAAGGACTTTCCAGTCAAACCTCTCTTTGCACATTGTTCAGTGGCCCATTCTGGAATATCAATCTTGGTCTTTGGCATGACTCTTCTTCTCTTGTGAGTACGGAACAATCCAATGGCCTTACCACTATCCTTTCCATCCAGAATCAAACCACGAGAGAATTCAACATCTTCAGAAGCATCAATTTGAAGATCCAAATAACTTCGACCATCATGTAAGACAAATAATTCACCGAAAAGTTCAGCACCATTATCTGCCTTAATGATAAAGGACTTTCTGGTCTTTCTCAACAAGAAACCGCCATCGAGTTCATACTTCTTTCCAACCTCGAAGGATGCTTCATCCTTATTCAAATAGAATTTTCTACTTTGACTGCTAAATTCAACAACGTCATTTCCAAGCTTGACAGCAATTCCCTTATTGACAGTTGCAGTAGCTTCTTCACCAGCCCACGTGTCAATTCGAACGTGAGCAGTAAATGAACCATCAGTAGTTTCAGCGAAAATGTAATCTCCCAAACCATTGAAAAGAACGTCCTTTCCATCCAATGTGACATAGTGAGGATCACCTCTTCCACGTCCTCTTGGTCTCCAAATTGGTCTCCAAACTGGTCTCCAAACTGGTATACGTGGTCTCCAAGGTGGATGAACAGGAGGTCTCCAAGGTGGTCTTTCTGGTGGTCTTTCTGGTGGTCTAACTGGTGGTTTTGGTGGTCTTGGAGGTCTCACTGGAGGCTTTGGAGGTCTTTCGTCTATTGGAGGTCTTTCTGGTCTTGGAGGTTTGACAGGTGGTTTAATGGGAGGGAAAACAGTTCTTTTACAGCTGCATGTTGGACATCCCTTTTCATCCAATCTGTATCCACCTGGACAGGACAAATGACATCTGAATTTACGGCAAGTGTTTGGATTTGGTTTTGGAATGTTGCATTGACAAGTTGGACAACCTTTCTCATCATTCTTGAATCCAGCAAAGCAATGTCTCTTACATCTTTTTTGAGGACATCTGTTGGTCTCTGGAATGCAGGTACAAGTGGCACATCCGTTTGAATCTCTCTTGTAACCATATTTACAATGTTTCTTGCATTTTCTTAATGCGCATGATATTTGTCGTTTGCATGAGCAAGTTTGACATCCTCTTGAATCGAGTTTGTATCCATTTGGACAATATCTGAGACATTTGTATTGTGGACATTGTGGATTTGGTTTTGGAGTGTTGCATTGACAAGTTGGACAACCTTTTGAGTCGCTCTTAAAGCCCAAGAAACAATGTTTCTTACATCTTCTTTGTGGACATGGACTTAGTTTTCGTTTACAAGAACAAATTTCACATCCATTTCTTCCAGTCTTGAATCCATATTTGCAATACAGTTTACATCTTCTTTGTGGGCATGCCTTTGGTGTTTCATTGCATTCACAGATTGGACAACCTTTTTCATTGATCTTGAAACCGTTCTTACAGAATTTTTTACAAAGAGCCGATGGACATGCTCTTCTCAAGCATTGACATGTTTGACATCCGTCTGCATTTCTCATGTAACCGAATGGACAAGGAGCACACTTGAAGAGAGGACATTTTGGTGGTCTCTCATCGATTGGTCGATCGGTTGGTTTGTCAGATGGTTTGTCACTTGGCTTGTCTGATGGTTTATCAGAAGGCTTGTCACTTGGTTTGTCACTTGGTTTATCTGATGGCTTGTCTGATGGCTTGTCAGAAGGTTTGTCACTTGGCTTGTCTGATGGTTTATCTGAAGGTTTATCTGATGGCTTGTCAGAAGGTTTCTCAGATGGTTTCTCAGGCTTACAACCACATGTCACGCAACCATTCTCATCTCTTTCATAACCATTTGGACATGCTCTGAAGCACATCAAAACAGGACATGGCTTCTTTTGACATTCACATGTTTGACATCCATTCTCATCCTTGGCAAAACCATTCTTACATCGAGTGGTACACTTGACTTGTGGACATTCAGGTTTCTTCTCTGGCTTGCATGTACATGTTTGACATCCAGAACTATCTCTTTCAAAACCATTGAAGCAATGTTTACGGCAAGAGAAAAGAGGACATTTTGGTTTGACAGGTGGCAATGGTGGTAACTCAATTTGATCGTCCTTTGGAAATTCACATTTTGAAAGTTTTCTAATCTTTTCAATTTCATCAACTGTGATGATTCTTCTCTTACATTTACGAGGAATGGCAATGGCAAACTTTCTCGCAATTCGTTTAATTCGGTTTGAGAAATAGAGTCGAGGATTCCACTTGGATCCCAATCGTGCTTTCAGAGAAGCGAGTTGAGAAAGTTCACTACGCAAGGAAGAAGCGTGTGTGGTTGTCATCATGATCATCATCATGACCATCCATGTGGCCACGAGAGCCACAGCAGATAGAACAACCGTTGTGGATTTGTGCATTTTTCTTTCTGATGTCTTCTTGCGTTGACGGGGTGAAGAATTGCCAAAGAAATAGCCATGAGACAGGTGTTTGTGGTTGATGTATACTGGAGAGATGACACGACACGACAAAAAAACGGGTGACTCGACTTCCATTTTTGACGATGAGAGATGTAGACCATGCTCAAGACAGAATGCAATTTGCTGTTTACAGTGTGACAGGTTCATAAAAAGTGCCATTCCCACTTCAACTCATTTCATCATCAAATATGACCAGTGCTAATGTTCATAGGTGATGATTAATGATGAATGAAATCGTTGGTAAACGAATTTCTTTGTGAAAGGTATACAATGAGGAAATTTAATGAACCAGGATCGACGGATTGAATCATCAGTCAATCCAATCTAATCCACGTCGACTCTTTCAAGCGAAAAAAAAATTTGAAAATTGCTACACGATCAACAAAAACATCTAACTGTTCAAAATTTTGAATACTACCTTGCCTTCAGATTCAGGGCGGAATATGTACTAGACTCATTTCCCTACATTTTAGTCAAATTTATTTCAAAAGTTTTATTCAAAAAGTATACAAACGTTCTGGATTCCTTATATTGTTGTCATGTTCATTGAGGAAATTTAAATAGATCGGATTTTAGGCACGTCGTTGTAGGCCAGTAAGTTATTTAACGTAAACAGGAGTGACATCAAGTGTCTACAGGAGTAAAAAAAGGTTGGACGGAAAATTAACCTTTTTGTTTCTAGCAAAGCAAGACATAGGTGGGTTTCCCAAAATCACCAAAGCACGAATCTTTGATCACTCGTCAACTCGGATCAATAAAGAATCAAAATGGAAGTTTGGTTGTCCACACAAGTGGGATAGGTCAACTGTTGTGGTTTCAAACAAAATGAACACATTCACTGCCTCGAGTCAACGACAAGTTCGTTCTTTTCGCCTTGTCACTCCCAAGTTTTTTGTCCTTGCATGTATTCTCTGTTGGTCAGTAGTAGTGACCCTGACATGTTTTCAACGGCAGACACGAATGACATTAATGGTTCAAGCCACCTCGAGTGAATGTCGAAGACCATCCAGCGACGACAAAATTCTTCTTTCCAAGATTGGTCTTTCGAAAGGAGATTGGTATCGAGTGTTGAATTATGACAAAACGAAGGATGAAGAATTCTTGGTGGAGAACGAAAAGACAGACTTTTCTGATAGTGGTTATGAGGATGACGATCAAGACAATGAATCCAAAGACAAAGACAAATTTGAACCAATGAATCGTCGAGAAAAACGTCAAACGAAAAGTGCATTGAAAAAACTCTCTCGCTTTGCCAAACATGTCATTCAATCAAAACCCAAACGATTCAATATAACAGGACCAACCAATGATTCTCTCATTTCAAGACAATATTTTGTGGGTCGTCATCATTCTGAATGTGTTGCATGTAAATTGGATTGCATGGGATATGGACCTGTTTTTAAATTTTGTAAAAAACGATATTATTTTTATGGTTGTCAAATGAAGGCACCTTGTTTTAGTGTTCAAGATGGAAGATCAGCAATTGAGATTGGTTTGGGAATTTGCATGAAAAGGAATGGTTGTGTATTGAGGGACACAGAAATTCCTTCGAAAAGAGGAAAATTGATTTTGAAAACAATCATCGACCAAGTGATTGAATATACTTCAGATTTAAACGAGGATGACTCTTTGAATATCTAAATTATGGTTAACAAGTTGAAATGTACATGCAAGTCAAAATTGTTGAGTGTTCTCCTCACAGAACGTTTGTGTGTTTTATGATTTAAGTAATCCAACGATTAAAATCGATTCAAGCAAATAGGATATTTCATGATACTCTAAACATTTACATGTTGAAATTTCTTGGAATTGTCAAATTGCCATTGTTCTCTGTAAAAGAATTCTTTTCAACAGAAGAAAGTTCTGATATTTCCTCTTTCTTTCGTTCTTCCTCTTCCTCCTCATGTGTTGGCTTAATCTTTGTAAACAATAAATAGAGAGCGACAATGACAACTGACAACACAGTCAATACAATACAAATAGTCATGAAACCAAACTCAGGTCTCTTCTCAGCATTGAATCTGTCAATTCCTTGAGATAATCCAAACACAACAAAGGTTGTGATAATGATGTAACATGAATACAAGAAACTCATCACTGCTGCCAATTCATTCACACCTGTTTGTTCATTCACTTCATCAGATAAAGTCGATTGAATGTAAGCAATTTGAGTGCAGTCACCAGCTGCATAAGAACCAGAGGTCAACACCATCGCTGGAACAATGCAAATCGCAAATATCAAATTATTGTTTGTGGTTTCATCAAAAGTGAGGAATGGGAAAATCCACATCAAATTCAAAAACAAAGCATCCATCAATATCCAAATGGTTGGTTTCTTGACCTTCTTGGCCAACAAGAACAATAATCCAGCTCCCAACAATTCTCCAAAATTTGAACCTCCCAACATGATTCCTGAATAACTTCCCTTTTTCAAAATCATTTTCGCATAAGCAGGAAGGAAGATATTTTCAATCAATCTGTGAAGAGTTTGAGGCAACACAAAACAAGGAATGAGCCAAATGTAATATCGATTGGCGAGAACAATCTTGGCTCCAATGAACATGCTCTTGAAATAATTCTTTACAGCAATTCCAACCCGTCTCAAAATTGCAAAACGTTCTCTTTGTGGAGATAGATCGAAATGATTTTCTGAAACACTATCATCATTCTCGGATTGTTCCTGAGTGTCACATTTTGAACTTATAAAGAATAAAAATACAGCACCTAATGTGAAGAATAATGGAATGTGACACAACGCATAGATGGATCCAAGTTTTTCAATGAAAACACTTGAGAGAAAAGCACCAATGGTTCCTGCAACTTCATAAATGATGTGAATACTCGCATTTAAGCGCTTTAAGGTTGAGGATTCAGAGTTTCCCAGAATAGAAGCTGGAATGACCTTTCGAACAACCTCAATGACTGAATTCATAAAGACGATAGTTTCCCAATTGCCACACAACAAAAAATCGCATTTCCCAAATAGCGATTAGAATATACTTCCTTAATACGACATTACTCACCTCCAATGTTAAACCCAATAAAAACATAAATTGGGAAAATAATCCACGGCGACCAATATCCTGCTTCGGTTAAGGTTCCTCCTGTCGTTGCCTCCAATACAATCATTGTTAAAATTAACAGAGAAAAGAATAAAAGAGCCATGCTGTACAATCGAGTGGCACGAACTTGTTTCAAAAAACCTTCCACTAAGGTTGAAGAAATGGATTGTGAAATTCCAAAAGTAATGGTCAATAAACTCAAAATGGTGGTTGCTCCCAAAGGATGATTTTCCAATCTTGTGAGAATGGTCAAACCAATCGCACCTGACAATGTCTCATATGAAAATTTGAAACACATTGTTCCCAATAAAAATAGTATCAAATTCGTGACTCGTTTGCGAAAGAATACACTTTTCGAAACTTTAGGAACTTGTTCTTCTTCCTTATTGTTGAAGGTTTCATTTCTTGTCATTGCTGGAGCAGTAAGATCCACATGAATGGCAGAAACGGACGCTGTCACTTCACAACAACTATTTTCAGATGAAGAAGAAGAAAAGGACACTTCATGATCGGTACTATCTCCTACTTTTGAATAAGAAGGGGCATCTTCTGCTGCTAAATGATGAGATTTATCCTTAGTAATCATTCCATTTGTTGTTGTTTTCGTTGATGTCGTTGTTGCAGCATGAGAATGTCTCAATGTATGTTCTGTGTGAAGGAGGGTCGGTAACACATTTTCATTGAACACATCCAACACATCATCCAAGTGATCTAAAATCGTATCCTCATGATGATGACGACTTGCTTTCTGTGGTGGTTTCGTGTGTTGAGACGATTGTGTAGAATCCTCATGAGAAAGTGATGGCAGCTGTTCTTGGTTGCTCCTCTCTTCCGACACTTGAATGAGTGGCTCCTCTTGAGGAATATTATTCATCATGATGAATTGGTTGTTCTTCTTCTCGGTGTTTGGTTTCACTTCCGAATGGTCATTACGATCGGAATCATCATCACAGTCATGTTGTTCTTCTCCGTTATTTTCTTCACATTCATCATCGTCGTGAGTTTCCACCATATAATATCGCTTGGAATGTTTCTTTCGGGATTTTCGGTTGGAAGAATGGAGAGAGAGTTGGGTTTGAGAGGTGTTGGTTTCGGATGAGGAAGACGAGGATGTGAGTGCTTGTTCCATGTGTGAGGGTGGTTCTTCTCGGAGATGATGGTGTCGTGGGTTCTCTTCATGATGAGAGTATGATGAGGTGTGATCCATTCTTATTTGTTTGTCTTTCTCATGGTCGAGTGCCGAATCTAAATAACGATTACCCTTCGTCATTTGGAGTTTATATGTAGTCCTCAGTAGAAATGAAGGATTGGGAATCCTTTTCGTTCACTTTTTCAAACTTGAAGTTGTCTTAATCCCCTTGTCTGATGGTGACGGCGTTATTCGAGGTCTAGACCTTGGAGCTGATCGCCCGAGAGAGACATTGTAGATTTATTTGAATCGATCGTGTGGTGGTCACTACTTACTGGTAGTCATACCACACCCAATATAAATCCAACTCTCCTCACATATCAGGAGAATACAAAAGGAATATTAATTATACATGGACTGCAACTGAGGACTCTTCTTTTGGAGCGAGCTGTTCAACTGAGTTAACTCGACTTGAATCATTGATTGGATTTTCAGAAAATTCCTTCGTTTCAGCTTCTTTTTGTTGTTGCTCTTCTTCTTCTTCCTTGGAAGGTTTAACTTTAGCAAAGAGTAAATAAATAGTGGAAATTATCACAGACAACACAGTCAATACAATACAAATAGTCATGAAACCAAACTCAGGTCTCTTCTCAGCATTGAATCTGTCAATTCCTTGAGATAATCCAAACACAACAAAGGTTGTGATAATGATGTAACATGAATACAAGAAACTCATCACTGCTGCCAATTCATTCACACCTGTTTGTTCATTCACTTCATCAGATAAAGTCGATTGAATGTAAGCAATTTGAGTGCAGTCACCAGCTGCATAAGAACCAGAGGTCAACACCATCGCTGGAACAATGCAAATCGCAAATATCAAATTATTGTTTGTGGTTTCATCAAAAGTGAGGAATGGGAAAATCCACATCAAATTCAAAAACAAAGCATCCATCAATATCCAAATGGTTGGTTTCTTGACCTTCTTGGCCAACAAGAACAATAATCCAGCTCCCAACAATTCTCCAAAATTTGAACCTCCCAACATGATTCCTGAATAACTTCCCTTTTTCAAAATCATTTTCGCATAAGCAGGAAGGAAGATATTTTCAATCAATCTGTGAAGAGTTTGAGGCAACACAAAACAAGGAATGAGCCAAATGTAATATCGATTGGCGAGAACAATCTTGGCTCCAATGAACATGCTCTTGAAATAATTCTTTACAATAACTCCAACACGAACCATAAAAGATTTGACTCTTTGAGACCATGTTGGTCGAGGAGAAGTGAGGCCTGACATATCCGTTGCTGAGGCTGAGGGGTTGACTGTTTCTGTTTGATCCTCTGATTGTTGCAGACCCTTAACACTGATGAAGAAGAGGAACACTGCACCAACAGTGAAAAATAGAGGCATGTGACAGAGTGCATAAATAGATCCAAGTTTTTCAATGAACACACTAGAAAGGAAAGCACCCACAGTACCTGCACACTCGTAGATAATGTGAATACTTGCGTTCAATCTTTTAAGGGTCACAGATTTGGAGTTGCCGAGAATGGATGCTGGAATAATCTTTCTTACAACCTCAATGACTAATGAGAATAGCAGAATACGTCAATCATTAAATAAACAGGATATTAAATTGTTACAATACTCACCTCCAATGCTAAATCCAATAAAAACATAAATTGGGAAAATAATCCACGGCGACCAATATCCTGCTTCGGTTAAGGTTCCTCCTGTCGTTGCCTCCAATACAATCATTGTTAAAATTAACAGAGAAAAGAATAAAAGAGCCATGCTGTACAATCGAGTGGCACGAACTTGTTTCAAAAAACCTTCCACTAAGGTTGAAGAAATGGATTGTGAAATTCCAAAAGTAATGGTCAATAAACTCAAAATGGTGGTTGCTCCCAAAGGATGATTTTCCAATCTTGTGAGAATGGTCAAACCAATCGCACCTGACAATGTCTCATATGAAAATTTGAAACACATTGTTCCCAAGAAGAAGAGAATTAAATTAATTATTCTCTTTCTGAGAAGTGCCTTAGCAGCTGCAGATTTAGGTCCTTTCTCAGAAGTAGTGGCAACTTCTCCTTCTGCAGTTACTTTGAGATCATTAAACGACGATTCCAACTTGTTGTCTAACATGGACACTTCTGAAGTAGTTGTCGAAGAGGGTGGAAATGTCGTATTTTGATCAATGACAAGATCCGCATTATCGCAAACTTTTGATTGAGAGGGAGCATCTTCGAGTGCTGGTGTTTGGTGATGGTGTGCTTTTTGTTGGTGATCATGTGAACGTCTTAAATGGTGTTCAGTCATCAGAACACTTGATAAAACGTTTTCGTTGTGACTAATGTCCAATACATCGTCCAATCGGTCGAGAATGGTTTCTCCACGATGGAGATGAGATGGCTCCGGATGGTGTGTTGAGGTACCGTGGTGTCCCGAATGATGATGGTTATGACGAAGATCAGAAGGAGCTTGGTGAGGCTCATCATTGCGTGATGATGAATGAATAGTGGATGCAATACGTTCAGCTCTTTCTTGAGTCTCCAAAGGAGCTGATTCATCCATTTCAATGGATTCAGACGAGAGGGTCCTTGAGGGAGTTGCAGCTAACCCATTGTCTTCTATTTGGTTGTTGTTGATATTCATGTTGCTGTGATTCTCGAGGTTAGACTCTGGCTGATCTGCAGAAGAGAGTCCTACATACTCTTCTCTCGAATGCAGTGGTTGCATCTTATTTTCGTAAGTTTCCTTATCAAAAAAGACAAAGATGGTATTTTGGGACAATCAGTAAACTCTCAATAAAGAGAAAGGATATGGTTGTTGGATGATGAACTCAACGCCACGAGTAGTGCAGAGCAAACCACAGACAGCACGTGTTTTCAATTCTTTTCAGATCTTTATTCTCTCATTGAGTTTCAAATAATTTGAATGTATGCAATTGTAGCAACTCTTAAACCGAGTCTCATCGTAGGTTAGGATATAGTAGTTTCGATCTCAAATTTTTGGTCCCCACTCGGTAAAAGTACAATCCACTCGGACCTTGCCTCGATATGAGAGACTTGAGAGACTGGGTACCTGCCTAGAGAAGAGGAGCTGGAAATTCCTTGTTCATAACAAAGGGTACCTGCCTAGAGGAGAGGATCTAGCTCCTCGACCTAGGTCATACCAAAATCAATGAATGTTCATGAACCCAATTCATAGAATTTCTAAGAGAAAAAAGAATAAGAGCTTTAAATTTCCGAAGTGATTGTCGTAAAATTTACAGTTTCCGAACGAACGAACGGGTTGCATCATTGAATCACGTTAAGGTTCGTGTGGATGTTGAGGCTGAAATTAGTTTCTTCAACAGATGATTCAAATGCCATCTGGCTTTGAAGCGTGCTGCTAGGATCCAATGGCATCATCACGAAATTTATTGAGGAATAGATCTATTCTTCGTTTTATTCGATTGAAATACACCATGCATCGAACTTCCATCATTTTTTTTCTTCTTGAATTCTCTCACCAATTACAATTCATCCTTCTTAGTGGTTTGTCCTGGAGCTGCACTAAATAATGGATGTGCCTTCAATTCTTCTTCAGTGGCATTGTCTTCCTCTTCCTCTTCTTCTTCTTGTCCTTGTTGGTCATCCATCACTTCAGTGTCTTCATTGGTGGTATTCTCTTCTTGTGAGTCAGCATTTTGGTGTTCATCTCCTCCACCATTGGTGGTCACAACTTCTTCATCAATGAAATCTGATTTGATGACCTTTCCTAATTGTTTCAATTCTGCCTCAATGGTTGGATCTTCAAAGAAGAATTCTACTCGATAAATATAGACCTTCTTGAGTGAAGTATTCTTTTTCACAGTGTCAATAATGACACGAATTCCATCACCAGTGAGTCCAACATTTGAGAGATCAATCTTGGAAAGGAATGGATAGGAGCCACCTGGAGTAACAAGTTCAGACAAGACATTCATAATGGTTTTCACACCGCTGTCACCAATTCGATTGTCACTCAAATCAATCTTTCGAATACTCTTATTGTTTTTGATGAGTTTGAGAAGTGGATCCACAAACTCCTTTCCTTTCAATCCCATTTCATTAATGTTCAGCAGCTGAATAGTGCTCTTTTCAACAGCTTCCATAAATACAGAGAATGCATTGGATGTAACCTTGTCATTTTCACTGATATCCAATGAAACGAGTTGAGTGGGATGATCGGTAATGAATTTTGACAAGTGCACTAAACCTTCTTCTCCGAGACCAACTTTCTTCAACATGAGATCTGTAATTGTTGGAATTGCTCGAGCCACCTGTGTCACAATCTTCACACCTTCATCACCAATATTGTTGTGTAAAATGACAATCTTTGAAAGAGGTGGAATGGTCATCTTGTTGGAATCCAAAGCCTGTTGACCACTCAACAAGACTGGACTGAAAATCAATCTCAAACAATTCGATCCTTCAAGATTATTATTATACAAGTACAACTTTTTCACAACACTGCCCTTCTTAAAGATCAACTTGCTCAAAATCAAACAACTATCATCCGTAATATTATTCGAAGTAATTCCAATCACTTCGAGTTGAGATGAATTGCTGTCTTGTTTCAAAAATCCGTTCTCCACCAAAATTGCTAACATTTCCGAATCCAACATGTTGGGATTCTCCTTCTCAGGTCCATTCTTATTAAAAACTACTCTCTTCAAATTTCTAGCCTTTCGACTACTCAACAATTGAGCCAATTCTTGAACTTTCTTTGGATCATCGAATGGGATTTTTCTAATAAATAAATCCGATTGGTGTTCCAATGGAGAAGATCCTCCACTCGATAATCTTTTGACCAGTTCGGAGAGAGGAATATTTTCATTTTCTAGATCTTCTTCAACGCCATATTCTTGTTGTGTGGGTTGGCCACCACCAGCACGGAAAGATTCAGCTCCGAATTGAATGCTCGATTGTTGTTCGACTTGTGGAGCTGAAGCTGGTGATGAGGTGGATGCGAGTTGAGCATGGATCGATGGGATGGAGAGGTAGGCAATAACGGCAAGGAGGAGGAAGAGACTTGCCGAGAGGGATGTGTGGGATTCCCGACGTGTCAAAGATCTTCGGAATTGAAACATTTTTTTTTGATTGGTGACTCTTGATGGTGGCAGAGGTTTCGAAGAGTTGAGAAAAAGGGTTTTTGGAGAGAACAAAATAGTTGGGATGCTTGATAATAAAAAGTGTTTGGGAGAAAACTAATCTGTATTTCATTAAATCATTTACTGATGACAGGGTGGTGACAGGGAGCGATACTGGGAAAGAAGAACTAAAATGGAAAAACACCAATTATATCTTTCATATTACTGAAATTGTTACAAGAGTATGTAATGGCTGATATTTACTATATTTTCAACAAATTGTGTTTTATTAATGTTGATATTTCACACGGCATGGGGAAGAAAGAATGGGAATCTATATCGATTCAATACGTCCCTCAAACATGCAACACAAAATCTTGATGTGTTCGATCGACAGGAAGAGTGATTGAAAAGTCTTGTTTCGTTTCTTGGAGTGTGGCTTTCAAAATTCAAAATGCTTGCCGAATCATCCGTTTGTGTAATCAAGTCTTCGAACTGTTTGTCTTTGGTCACAACATTGAAGACGATGGAAAATTGTGCAGAGAATTGTCCCATCTTTTCGGTTCTTGAAATTGGGATGGTATAAAAATCTGGGTGTAGATAACACAAAATAGTCTCAGATGTTTGGGTGGTTGGAGAGGATGAGTCACAAGAACTGTTTGTTGATGAGGAGGTTCCTTCTTTGCTGTCATTTGTATTGACAAGCAAGTTACCCGTCACGTATGTCGTCTTGTGATCAGTTACATCTATTCGATCCTTGAGCCGTAATGACGCGGTAAATCTAACATGTTGTATTTTCCTTGCGAACCATATGGCAATCACAAAAAGATAAAGTAAGAGTATTGTAAGCCATAAAGAAAATAAGAGATTTTGAATGATGATGATGATCGCGCTGTGACTGCTACTTGTCACAGTAAACGAGTTTAGAAACCAGTTTTCTTGGCAAATCGTCATTCTAGGTTGTAGATTGTTGTGTGGCAGAAGCTGGCAGTGACTAAGCATTGATAATAGAAAATGCATTTTCTTTTCTATGTTTGCGGTACTTTACCAATTTAAAACAAATTTTGCTCGCGTACTGTCCAGATATAGAAGTTCAGGATAACTTTTACATGGAGGAACTGTGAAGTCAGAAGACGAAAACCGGCAAGAAACAACTACAAAAAATGGAGGTGCCCTTTTCAATTGCAATGGTCATGAAGAAAAATGGGAGTGACAGGTCGACTCCTTCTAGTAACTGCTATTCAAACATAGACAAATGATCACCTACTCTCACCTTCCTTATCATTTGTTTGAGGAAATTTGAAACAATTTAAATGATGCTTCAGGTAGATCATTTCATCTCGTTGATGTTTGTATAGTTGCTCAGGATCTAGGTCAGGACTAATTGTGCGTCCAGTGTAGGATGGTATTTTTGAAAGAGTTGGTGATTTGGTGTTGGATTTTCGGAAGGATAGCCGGGAGATCTTCTGTGGTTCATTAAGGATCGCTTTAGGTAGAGAATTTTCAATTTCGAGTAAACTGATTGAGAGTTTCTTAGTGAGAGTTGGTGGATGAACGTCAGTGGTCTCTTGACTTGTTGTTGTGACGAGAGGAGGTTCGTCATCGATAAACAACACTAGACTGCTTTTTCTCTCATTATTTGTCGTTGAATGATGATGGGAAGAGGACTCTTCTGATGATTGTTCGCTTGATGACTGGTTTTTTATGATCAAATGCTCATCTTCTTCTGTTCTTTCTCTTGCCAACATGATGTTTGGCTGGAAATAATCGAAATCTAGAGGTGAAAAGATCCAACCCGATTGCAACTGTTGCAAAATTACATTCAAAGACCAAACCAAGAAGGAAAGAAACGAAAGAAGCATTCCAAATAGTGAATATTGTGTTTGTTTTTCTTCTCGTGTTGGACCTCGTTCGGAGGCTTCTTGGCTGTCTCTTGTCATTATTTTGATGTGCTCTTGTTGTTGTGATTCAGGGCAATGTTGTTGTGATCCTCGAAAGGAACTGGTTTGTCCAGAAACATCAATATCATAGTTTCCTCCTTGTTTCTCTTCGGTCTGTTGTGGTGATGAAAAATCACATGAATCTGATGATGAATTACCATGATTTGTTTCAAAAAGGATTTTGGGTGATAAAGAAGAGAAAATGTTTGTCGAATCAATTGAAGCAAGTATTATATCATCACTTGGTGTTGTTTCGCAAGTGCTTCCATCCGTGATACTCCTCCGAATCAAACTCGTATCGTTTTCATTGTGGTCTCGACTCATCATGTCGAAAGTTGTTGTTGTTGTACAAGTACTCTTTCTGAGTTGGTGTTCTCTAATGCTGAGAGAGGCTAATTGCGTTTTTAATTACTACGACCAACAAGTACAACAAAAGTTGTTGTAATTGTCGTTGTTGTTGGGGCGAAATTGTTTTTATTTGAATAAACAATAATGTACGGAACAAGCACTTGTTGTAAATTTTCAACTTTTCCAATAAATTCCGCAGTTCAGGTTTTTTAAATTTGGATAAAGTTGTATTGGAAAGGTATTTTGAACTTCCAAAAACTGTCAACGCACTTTTCGAATCGTGTCGAAACGAGAGTGTCGAGTGATGTCATGCATCCTTATTCCAACCACTGGTGATTTAATCATTTGAGGAGAAAAGCATGCTGGTCTATTGAGAGTTGACTAATTTCAACAGACAACAACAACCTTCTCTTCCTTTCCATTCATGTAGTTCTTCTCAACACTCAACACTGTATCAACACACGGATACCCTCATTCGTACATTGATTTCAGCTTCAAGTGAAACTCGGGATTCGCACTCTTTACAGATCTTTCATGAAATTTCATAAGAATGAACGTGTTCAAAGAGATAAATTCTATTCAAGGAAAGGTGAATTGAGAGAGAATGCGCTTCAGGTGATCGATATTTTCACGATCATCATCATCTCGGCGAGGGCTTTTGAAGCAATGACGATGACGATTGGTGATTGCAATGTCGTCATTGTTGTTGTGTTGTGCATGCGCTTCTTGATCGATGAGTTTTTGGGTGTACCACGGTGGAGAAAGGTTTGAATTGAAAAAAGTGTCACTACTCAACACATCATGACATTCTTCATCATCGCATGTAGTATTGAAATGATGTTCTTCAACATGGTCTTCATGTTGTTCGCTAATATCATCAAAGGTGGTCAATTGATTCGTTTGTTGAACGGCAACGAATATCCACTTCAACAATTTCCACACACTTAGAGCTATTTGAACGATCATTCGAATGATACATGCTAGTCCATCACTGCAACAATTTGAACGAACAGCAAGATGAGGCATTTTGTTTGTCTTTTAACAATGTGTGGATTTCTTTTGGGAAAGTTGGAGAGTGAACAAAGTTGGAGCAGAGAGTGGAAGGATATTGGCAAATAACAGAAACACGTTGTTTGTTGTCAATAGAACGTTGGAGAGTGGAAAGTTTTATCTATGGCAATAACCGTTTAATTTTAGACAGAACAGTTCGATAGACGTCTGTTTTGAAAAGAGAGAAAGCAACTTTGGAAAGGGAGTGATGCAACGAACGAGAGAGAAAAGGTCGTTTGCTCTTATTTGACGGAACAGCTATGCATCCAATGGACAGGAAGTGCTACTACAACGAACTGGTTGAAATGCACAATGAAAATTCTCACCAACTGTAAGGTCGTTGAGTTGTTGTTTTTTAGAGTGGTTTGCTTTGATTGATGTGACATTTCCGTCCATCGTTTCACAATTTGGACAAAAATTTGATCCTAATATGGACGGTGACTGAGAACATTCGGTGTGAGGAACAGATGCAGAATGGTATGAACTTCAGGTTGGTTGTTGTCTTTAGAAAGCATCCATTGTAACAAACATGATTGTAAGAGTTACTGTTTATGAAAAGGGAATTATTTCGTCATGCTTCCAAACATTGTCCTTCATGCGCATGTTTCATCATGTGCGTCAAGCAATTGTTTGGTTGAGAAGAGTCTCCTTTTTGCACCTATTTTTTTCCATTTATGGCGATGTCATCCAAATTCCAAACTTGACCGAAAACACGTGGTGGTTGTAAAGAAGTGGATCCCTCTCGGCCTGTCTATGCCATTTGCTGGAATCCTCATCACTGGCAAGGATCCACAGCTTCTCGAATCGAAGGAAACGAATAGGACCACAATCGCATCAACTCTTCCTGTGTGGGTTTGTTACGGGAAAGACCTTTACGGATAAGAGGCACTTGAGGAGGATTCACTTCAGAACATTCTGAAACAAATGTATTCTGTTGTTGCTGAGTTGGTTGACTACTCATCTCCTCATTCCTTACTTGTTCTTCATTATGATTATTATTATTCAATATTCTTTGGTCAGAATCAGACAAGAAATCAAAAGCCTTCTCCATCTCTCCAATTAGAGAAGAAGAAGAACACATATTGGGAGAGGAATTGGGAGAGGAACAACTGAGTCTAAGTCCGCTCTTATTCAATGGAAAATCTTCATGTAAGGAAAATTCCGAAGTTACTGCAGGATCATTCATCGATTCGAATACTTGCTGAAGGAAGGAAGTCCAGAAAGAGAACAGACTGGAAATCACTGAGCTCATGTTCATGGAGGTTGTTGTTGAATTCATAGAACGGTCAAAGATTTGAGAGTCGAATCGTTTAGGTAGATTTGAGAGCAGTAGGTTACTGTAATGGTCAACTGACAAAATTTTGAGTGACTGTTGAAAAGTTTAGAATGTAGGGAGGGAGGTGTGTGGTTGTTTTTTTTGTGGTGGTTTTTGTCAGGTGGTGGACTTGACAATTCCAAGATCATAAAAGAAAACCTAGTTTTGGAGAAGGAGTTATCCATTTTGGGTAAGAGGGTGTCCTCAGAGCGGATTCGAAGAGGTACCTTTCATCGCACTTCAAGTTGTTGAATGAATAATAAATGTTCGATCTTGGCATTTTGATTTGGAGAGACCATTATTGAGAGAAGAAAAGGACAAACACGTGTCGGATCGCTTCGAATAAGTTGAAGTCCTCTTTGAGGATTTTATTAAAGTAAAAGATGCATGGAATATTCTTCTTTGTGTTGAATCAAATCCAAGATTGGTTCGCAAGTTTGAAATCTATAACAAGAAAACAATAAAAAGGTTTTTGGTGATGCTACTTGTCAAAAAAGGATGTCATTGCGTATGTTATTATTGTGAATAAATTCATGGTCACACATACAGGTGCGCAGTCGTGAATATTTCTTTCACAGACAATATGTGCTTTAATTGAAAGAAGAAGACCCCCAAATGGTTAATTAATAGATTTTCGTAATGAATTTTCCAACCTAGTTGCATCTTCTGTCGACGTTGTGAGGAAGGTCAATTCTTTTACAGAATGTGAATTCTCATAAATCCAAGAAATGGTCACTTGTTGTGTGTCACACAAATTATTTCCACCACTATTACTCAAACTTGCTCGATTATTGTTGATCGATGACTGAGTCACTTTCACGTCCTTAATAATGTGCTTGGAAGTTTGTTTGTATCCTTTTCTAGTAAAATAAATATCCACTTTTGAATATAAAAAACTGTCATAGTTTTTGTGTAATACGAGAACATCATTGAATATGTATAATTCGCAATTTAAAAATTTTCCATCCACTCTACATTGAATAAATGGAGAATTGCTATTTTCTTGTGACCAGTAGTCAATAATAAATCGAGATGGTCGAATGAAACCTTTGAGTTTAAATTTGTGAACCATGTGAGAAGTGACTTGAATGCTTTCCACCTTAGTTTCTGCTTCATTGACGTAGATGGCAATGGATTTTATGAGTTCGAGAGCCTCAATGAGTTTTGGTCGTGTTGGATCAGTTTCGGGAGTGTGCTTGACGAGATCTTCTACAAGTAATCGATAACGAGCTGTTGTTGATGTTGTGTAATATGAATCACAGATCGTGATGTGAAAGATCTTTCGGTGAGTGAATTTGATTATTCACAAAGTTACTTACGAATTCTCTGGATGGGTGTTACTAAATAACTTTCCATATTTGTAATTCTCTCTCCTTGCTGTTTCAACAATTGCTTGATTGAATCTAATAATTTACAAAGCTTCTTATTCTTTTTCTTTTCTTCAGAAAAAGTGGCAGCAGCCTTCTTATAACCTGCAATATAACTCGAATATAATTTAAAAGAGTGAGCATAAGTGTTGAGTAATTCTCCCAAACTGGATTGAACTTGCTGTTGTTGATGTGAATCCAAGTTTCGAATCATGCTCTTTTCTTTTTCATAAATTTTTCTCAACTCTTCTAAAAAATTTTGATTTACATTATTCACAATTTCGACATCTTGGAAAATTATTTTCAAAATCTTGGGATCCACAATTTTCTTTTGTTCGATTTGCTTTTTGTAAACTCCTGTTAAAATGATTAAACCTTTCACATAATATTCTTCGGTAGTCAAAATTTCGGACAAGATATTCTTTCGTTTCTCATTCATCTTTTTCATTTCATCAAGTTTCAATTCTTCTTCATCTTGTGGTTGACCAATCAAGTCAACCTTATCTTCCAAGGATGGTGACACACAGGTGGCTGGCATGAAATCATCTCTAAAACCCTCTTGTCTGGCACGATCTTGTTCATCATGATTTTCTTCTTCTTCGTCATATTCTTCGTCACTCACCACATCGGTCCAAGTCCAAGCACTTTCTTCTTCTGCCAAATCGAACTCTTCACTGTTGGTAGTGTGACTGGAATCTGTTGGTTCTTCAACAACAATTGTTGGGGTATGCTTCTTTGTTAACACAGATGACACAGTTTTGTAAACTTGACAGAATTCTTCTTGATTGACAGACAACTCAATGGAATCTCTCTTTGAATCGACCTGTTGATTGACTTGTAGATGTGTTTCAACAGGCTGTGATGGAGTAGTATTCATTGTGGTCTTGGAAGGTGACGACTTTGCAACATTGGGATGATCCACAATTTCCCAATCCTCTTCTATTGATATTTCAACACTTGGTTCCACAGAGGGAGTATTTATGTCAACAGAAATCCTGCGATCAGAAATTAATTGTTGATCATGTGTTTGTTGTGACATGGAAGATGAATGATCCGATGATTGAATTTGTTCTCCACGAATTTCGGTCAAGTAATCAAACAATGAAATTTTCTCCTTGTCATCGACAGCAGCGTTGGCAGGATTGTCATCTTGTTGAAGAATGTCTAGTAAATTTCGATCGGATTTGTTTGTTTTCGATGATTCTTCTTCTTTCTTTGGTTTTTTACTTTTGAACAGAGAGGATGATGAAGATAGGATAAATTTGTAGAAAAAGCCTCCACCTAGAAGTAGAAACACCAAAGACGCAAACAGTTTGAGAATTTGATTTAGGATCATTTTTTTGTTTGTATCTCCTAATTTGATGTTTGACAACCAAGCCCCACTGATATTCATGATTTTTTCGTTTATTGTTTAACTGTCTGGAAACTTTGTTTTCTCTTCATAAAATTATTAATGGCAGTATTGAGACATGAAAGAATACGTGCTTTTTCGTTGGGTTTGGTTGTGACATATTCCACACAGAATTTGCGAGAAATGGCTGAAATTTGGAATCGTGTGTCGTTTTGTGAGCCAAAATTCATGGGATGGATGGTGATGTCTCCTAAATCGAGTACAAACCGAGCTTCATATCTGTCCTTCTTGGACTGTTCCATAATGCCCATAACATCCACACTTTCTGTAAAAGTATCACTCGAAATACCTCCAGCTCCTTCAGATGCAATTGTCAAAGAAGTGTTTATGCTTGAAGAAGATAATTCACTTGTGGAAGCACTTTGAGTAGTAGTGGTGGAAGAAGAGGCGGTCGCATTATTTGTATGATGAACAATATGTGGTTGCGATTGAGATTTCACAGAAAGTTTTCTCTTCATGCGAGACATCTTACTTTTATGCTCACCATTGTCATCCTTATTGTGTGAATGTTCACCACCAGATGACTCTTTTTCTCTCACAGCATGAATAAAAATGTCATTAAACAAAAATACGACACATTCTTCGTTTTGAACAGCCTCATAGTTGGCAAAGAGCTTATCAAATTCACAAATGTATCGACGTTGAGGTTGAATGAGGTCTGAAACTCCTGATAAACGATCAGAAATGCTCTTCATACGGTAAAAGTATTGTCTCTCACGAATCTTATTGTTAAGGAATGTCGCGACCTCTTCAGTGATGGAGATGGCACTCACGAGATCCTGAAAATCGGGATGTTTTGGATCACGAGTATGTTTAAGCAACCCTTTCAATAAGAGAATATATCTTGGAATTCGCTGAATTGGTTTGATTAAAAAGCTTTGAAGTTGTTCTCCTTTTGAAAATGGATCCTTTCTACGAATATAGAGGAAGTTACGGAATCGAGGGCTGTCCTTGTATTTTGAGAAGGCCTCAATGGCCATTTCATATTTTGTGGAGAAGCTGGTGTAGAGCTTGAACGTTTGATGAAGCTTGATGAAAATATCGGCAATCTTTTGATCCTTACGCCACTCATTGACACGCTCTTCCAAATCTGTCACTAAAATTTTGTGTAAATTGTAAATGCCCAAAAGGCCATTAAATATGGTGGATCTATCTTCTTCACTTAGAACATTTGGAACATATTTAAGTAATGGATAATAGTAGAGTTCAATAATTTTGGCAATAGATGTGACATAGGCTCTTTCTGTGTCGAGGATTTCCTTTGCAAGATTTTCTCTTTCCAAATTGTCCTTTTCATTTTCGATTTGTTTGTTATCTTCTTTGTTTTCTTCTTCTGCCTTGGGATCTTTTGACTCTGTTGGTTTTTCTTCAGATTTTGTGTCATCAGCTTTGGACTCACTATCCTCAGGTAAATTAGGGCTCTCTACATTCTCAATCTCGTCAAGTATATCCATAGTGGAAGGAGAGGTGACTCCTTTCTTTCCAATCATGAAGCTTGAGAAACCAAAGTTTGACAATTCCTCATCGCTATCAGCAGAATCGGTGTCATCATCATGCTTACTGTCGCCATGTTGAACATGATCGATTGCTGATTTAATCAGTAAACCACATTTACCAGACGACGCTGAACTGGCACCGCTAATTCTCATATTTTCGTTGAGTTTGATCTTGTTTTGTTCCAAATGAATCATGAGCAGTTCGTGCAGCATGTGGCAAATCACTTTCCTTTGCATTACGAAAGGATCTCTTGCAGATCGTTTCTTTAAGTCTTCTTTGTCTTCTTCAGTTAGATTTGTAGTTACATTGGCAGAGACAAGAGTAGAATCAATAATGGTAGAAAGTCCCTTACTTCTAAGTAATATCTGATTAAGCTTTGATTCATTTCCTTCGCTACCAATTTTGATAATAGAAATGTAAGGCTCCGACTCTCCATTCGCTCCAAATGTTGGTTTAATTCCGTTAGATTCAAACCACTCAAGAACATCGTCAAGTTTGGATTTCTCCTTCTTTTTCTTTCTTTGAAGAGAAATACTTTCTAATTTACCCAATGAATGCCAAACAGGTGTACCTGTTGAAGACGATGCTGTTTTACCAAAGTTTGGCTGGAATTTTGATTCGATTTGATTTCCTGTTAGAAGATAAATTTTAGGTTTGAGAGCTTTGTTCACTCGGTCCGAAGAATCTCTCACATTGTGTTTGGCTAAGAGCGAACATAGCAGGTTGAAAACTTCTTCAAATCCTCCATCATTTTCAGGCTTTTTGATCTTGTTTGTGACCAAATCGATCACTGAATAATAATATTGCAATTCTTCATTGTCAATCAAAATTTCTACATTCTTTTTTGTGAAAATTGCAACCGTCATTCGATCAGAAGGTCGAAGTTTGTAAAGAATTTGCAAAAATTTTAGGGCAACCTCGATGGCACAGCCAAGTCTGTTGTCAAAGGCTGTAAAATGAGAATAATCTTCAGATTTTTCGCTTTGCTTTAAGCTTTTAGTAGCGGGCTTGAAAACTGGGAGAGAAGGGCCGAAATCTTGACTTGACATGTGTTTGCTCACATCAATGAAGATATAGTGGTGGAAACCAGAATTTGGTTGAGCTTTAAACAAGTGTCCACTGGGCGAGAAAATGCAACCGTTATCTCTTGCTGGAAAACGTTCTGCTAACAAGGCAATATCTTCCAAATAATCAAGAGAGGTAGAATCTAAAACCTCATGAGAAACGTGTCTTTTACAGTACTCCAATGCTTGATTTGAATCATTAACGCTTTGGACACGACACAAATTGAACTGACGCAACTCGTCTGGTGGCATGCAAGCCTTTTTGCAAGGATCAACAAAACCACATAATTCCCAAAACTTGTCATGTTTAAGTTCATCCATATGTTCGCATTTCATTGACGAGTGTCTGCGTCCTGTAGCCATTAAACTCAATTCACCAGTGAATGGACATCCATTCGCTGCATCTTTTTCAGAGTCACTATAATCTGTGTCTATAATGAAGGAATCTTCTCTTCCATATCTTGGTGACAATTGTAGACCCCTTGGAGAAACCGAAGGTTGTCCACCATTTGAAGAAGTAATTGACAAAAGGTTTGATGAGGTACTTGTGCTCGATTGAGTGGTAGCATTTGGTGACTGAGACTTTGTACTTCCTTTAACACTGTCAGTTGTATTGGTTGCGGTTGAGCTCGTGATACTAATAACAGAATTGCCTCTTGGCACTCCTCCAATTCCGCTGTGAATGATATCGCTTCCTGTGTTCGTGTTCGACGAGGGAGGTCTTTTTGGAACTCCTCCAATTCCGCTGTGAATAATTGAAGAGGAAGATGGCTTGGATTCCTCAACAGTAAGATTTGGAATTTCTGAAATGGATGATTCTGATCCCATATTAGAAAGATAGGAACCAAAGGAACGAGATCTTGGTACGTTGGCCTCTGTTCCTGTCTTGTTGGCTGTAGCAGTATTATTTGGTGTGCTAAATTGTATCTTGTTTGCATCACTGTTTTTGGGAGTGATGAAATCTCCATGACTTGGGGATTTGTTCATGGAGCTAGATCTCTTGCTAGCAATAAAATCTCCATCCACAGACAATTTTGAAAGATCCGATGCTGAGCTATTGACTGATTCAATCGCTGCAATTCGTTTAGCATGTTCATGATGGCAAAGTGTTAGATATGTGTGACCACGTCCAAGAACTCTGCAATAGGATTCACAGGTGAATTTGGAACCGTTCTGACCAGGGAAAAATCGTAGAGTTCTCTCTTGATTTTGATAAATATATGGAATTTCAATGGCATTATTTTTGAGCAGCTTTGAATCTGTCACAAATATTGTGTTAATCATGTTAGTATGTTCAGTATCATGAAGCAATAATTCTTCTTGTTCTTTCAAGGAAAGTGATTCAAAATCAATTTGTCTACATTTTGGATCTACAGATCGTTTTGAAATCCAAAACGAATGTTTATCATGACCATATTCTTTTCTATTCATTTGTGAATTCACAATTTTCAAAAAAACAATTTCATATGTGTGTTTCGAACAATATCGTTAGTTACAGATATTGTAACAAACGCAATTCAAGAGCGGTAAAGGTTTTAAAAGGCATTAGCATTCATTTGTTACATGTCTGCAATTTCATTACTAATAAAACTAGTACTTACGTGCATATGGACAAGCAAGCAGGACATTTCTTTGTGCAAAAGTGCTTGCGTGGCTGGACATTAACATCCTCATCATTATAACACATACATTTTCCGTCATGTACGAATTTGTAAGGTTTTATCATTTTGCCACATAAATGCTTCAAGCCGACATCATTATATTTTGACTCAGCCTTAATTTCACAGTACCCACGATGAGAGCATGTTTTTGGACAAAAGTGAGCATTGCTGCACATGTGAAAATCGACGCCTCCATTTTCATTCTCAATAAACTCCTTGTACTGTTCTGAGGAATGATCGAATGAGCAATAACAAATGCATCCAGGTATTTGACACTTGTTTTGACATTTTCCATTTGGTTTTAAATCATTCAAATTTTTTAAACTTTCCATTCTAGAGATAGGTTTTTCAGGTGGTGTTGAAACATTTCCTGTTATGCTGTTGGAGCTCAAATTGCTGTGCTCCTTCTTGAGAACGACGGATCCTCCTGTGGAGGAACTGGGTAAAGATTTTGTTGTTGTGGATCCATGCTCTTGAATTTTGTGTTGTTGAATGGCTTCAAGCGAAATATTCAACTGAGGATGTTTTTGACTGGCTGCTGCAGATGAGAGTGACCCGGAAGATTTTGTATCTACCTTGTTTTGAGGTAATGATGTGTTGCTGGATGGTCGATTATTATTATTATTATTATTTACAGATTCTTCAGTACTGATGGATGTTGTCGTTCTTGTTGCTTGGCTATTTTGCTTTTGATCGAATTGATTGTTGAGGGTAGTAGTACCCTTGCTGCCAGCAGTCAACAATGAAGGAACGACAATATTTGTGGATGATTGCGGTTGTGAACTCTCTACAATCGTTGGACTATCAAACTGAGTTGCAAAATCATCATCAAAACTCGTCTCAAATTCGGGAACGCTCTTGACTTGAGAGATCAATGTAGAGCCAATAGAAACAAGAGGAGGAGGCATGAGTGAACCTGCCGAATTGCTGATGGTATTGGAAGCAGAGACGTTAGTACTGAAAGATGATGAGGAGCTTGTCGGTGTTGTCGTTACATGATGCATGATGTGATGAGTGTTATTATGATGAAGATGATGATCATGATGAGTGTTATTATGATGAGGCTGATGATGGAATGAATGAGATTCGTTTCCATCTCTCACTCTTCCGTTATTGTTGTTCATCGTTGTTGGTAGGTTGTTATTGGCATTGAGTGTTGATGATGGTTGTGCAGATGAGGTTGGTCTTGCTCTTGGATTAAATCCTCCACTACTGCTGCTGATGTTGCTGCTCGGTAATGAGGAAGTAACCAATAAAGAGGCATTTTGTTGTTGTTGTAGTTGATGATTCCAATTTTGGGAATTAGCAGAATAATTGTTGAGTCCAGTATTGTGAGTGGTTGTGGCCGGAGGAGCTACATCTGAGAGAAAGAAATCCAACAAATCACCATGGCTCATATTTGAAATTTTGTTTCCTAAATTATTGCTGGGAGGAGGTTGATTTCCATGATTCTTTGATGGTTTCATTGTGTTTTAGTGTTTTAACAATAATAATAAATTAATCACAATATAAATAATTATTTTGACCAATAAATATCACTCCGCGGTTGTTTTGGTGATATTTGTTTTTTGTAATGTCTAAACGTTGTAAAACTCTTAAAATTCGTAAGCCAATGTGATGATGATTGTGGTTGAGGAAGGAAAAATCAACGAAGACGACGAAGAAGCAACTCGTGTGTCTGTGAATGTTGTGAGTTGTGTTCTCACTCCCTCACTAAATTGCTTCTTGTTTTTTAGAATGTATTCCTTTCGAGATGGTTTTACCGAAATTTACTACGATTGACAGAAAGGTGACTTTTTGTGAAGGGACGTCAGCAATCAAACAGAGATTCGTTCCAATTCAAAAATTTTTTTAATCCTTCTGTTATCCTTAGAGTCTCGACCTCAGATTCAAAAAGAAGGTGAACAAAGTTGAAACAACAGTTCTCCTTGTCCAGCAAAACTGTGCATTTTCGCTGGTTAACGTTGCATTTCACTCACAATTTCTTTTAGCTGTATAGATATCTCATTAAATTTTTCATACTCTCGTTGTGAGCGCTGATAGTCGTTCAGAATTTTGTTGCAAGAATTGTATGCTCTCATTTGTCCATACACAATATTTCCCAAGCCTACAAATACAGCTGTTAAATTAAAAAACTTTGTTCCTTGTGACATATTCCTCCAATTTAAATAGGAAAAGAATAAAGATCCAAGAGCTCCTATCGTTGCGTCTAAACCAACAAAAAGCACACTTGTTTGTTGCTGTTCACATCGATTGAGGTCCATTTTGATGGACAGCATTTGTGACTCCAAAAGTCGATTCACTCTTCCAATATCAAGAAGGAGTTTGTTAAATATAACATCGTCAAATTCATCGACATGTTGAATAGCTTCATCAATAATGTCACCAATTTCTGCTTCACAATTTTCAAGAATTTTCTTATACACTATGATATTGTCATTGCAATATTCGGAATATTCTTTCAAGGAATGTGTGCTATTATACAAGCTCATGACTCCTCTCAAAATCACTACTCCCATGGCCAATTGAGCAGCCCTATTGTACACCTTACTGGCCTGTGTATCAAAATACTTCAAGACCTCCTCCTTAAGCTCGTCTAATTTTTCATTTTCTTTCAGATCGCTCACAGTATTTGTCAGATTTGTTAAACTCTGTTCATCAATACATCTTGTCATTCGGTCTGGAAACTTTTCTGCCTCTTTGAAACAATCCATCATTTTTCTTCGGTGTTCATCCATTGCAGCGTTACAGGCAGTTGTAATGTTCTGTGGCTCTGTATTTTTTGTTTGAATGAGAAGAGTTAAATTATTTTCCAGCATGGCACGAGCATTTGAATTGCTCGATGCTGAATCGGAGATGAAAGAATTTCTGAAAGTTTCAAACGAAACGCTCACGAGCCTTAGAATATCACTCATATATCTTGTTACATTGTGAACGCTCCAAAACGAACTTTTGCTCTTGTTTGATGATTCCGAAGATGTGCATGAATGGGGTTCTTCGAGCTTCTCCTTTAGCAGTCGCAATTTATCTCCGCAAGACATTTTTTTAAAGATCAATCAATTTGAATTGATTGATTGTACTCTCTATCAATTCTCTATCAATTGGTAATCCATATTGTCATGAATTCATGATGACATGTTCGAGTAGGAACATTGACAATCCTTATCATTCTTCTGCTTACTCTCTCATTCAATCATTAATAATTATGAAGAAAAAGTATTAAATTTTCGAAATCGAAAAAATGGCACCAACCTCATCATCGACTTCATCTTCTACATCCTCACTATCATTGTGGGAAAGCATTTTGAACGCCTTGAAGCAACACAAGGGTCTTGCAGCCGTTCTTGGTACCACCGCTGCTTCCGTTGTTGGATTTCTTCTCTACTCTGTATTCTCAAAGAATAAATCAACGAAAAAGTTGGCCGTTAGTATCAAGAACACTACCGCAGAGAAGAAGCCAACAAAAGAAGCGGCTATCACTGAGCCTGCAGAACCCGAATTTATCTTGTATGATGAGGCTGATGCGGTGCCTTCAACACAATCATGGAAGAATTATTCTCATAAAAAGATTGGAATCTCCTTCAAGATGCCAACGAGATACGAAGTTGAAGTTCATTCACAAGGACCAATCACTACCATTACACTCGTAGACACAAGTAATATGAATATGATGATGATGGGTGGAGATCCAAATGCAACCATGATCACCATCGAAGATGTTCCTCCAGAACTTGATATTAAACAATATTTAAAGAACAACATTTCTGCCCTTGCTCAAACTCAAGTACCATTCAAAGTTGAAGAAGAGAAGGATAACGTAAAGGTTAACGGTATTCCTGCTTGCCAAATGATCTCCGAATTGTCTGGACAACAAAAGGTGAAAATTTTCGCTGTTGCTTTCAAGAATCCACTCGATACAAGCAAAGTTTTCATGGTTCAACATATTTGTACTGATTTGAAGACATTCAGTACCAAGATTGAACAAACCAAGAATCTTATTCGTACAGTTAAACTTCAAAAAGCAGAATTGTACGGAAAAGTTTCATATAGAAATGATAAGCTTGGATATATTCTTCATTTACCAAGTACCAGTTTCTTGGCCACCGGAAATGCTAACGATCGCGCACTCTATCTCACCGGAAAGGATGTTCAAACTTATTTGTTTAACTATTCAAAGGATGAACTAATTGATAGAGAAATTGTTATCATTTCAAACGGATCTGTTGATTTTGAAACATTTCTTCAAGAACAAAAACAATCACATGCATCCAAGGATAAATATCACAATGTTGGACACATGAAGATTGGTACTTGCAATGGAGAAATTATTACATACTCAGCCAAATGTAATTCATATGTCGCAAGTGAGAAAGAAAAGGCAGATGTTCAACACGCCTATGATTTCATTGAAGTTTATTTCCAACGTGGATCAAATGTTTACACTATTTTAGGACGATCTTTGCCACAAGTTAGTGAAAAGTTTAATGTTGAATTTGTTACCATGATCAAGAAGATGAAATTCTTTGATGAGGTTGATCCTGCTGGTACTGAGCATTTAATTTATGAAAATACTGAATTCAATTTCAAGATTTCTCAACCTGTGAGCTTACAGTCCATTGTCAAAGAAAACAGCTCTGATAATCCAGTCGTGACACTTTTGACCCAAGGCGATGAAAGCAGTCTTCCTTTAGAAACAATGGTTACAATTGCCGAGCCAAATCAAATGATGCCTGTTTCAGACTTGGACAGTTTAGTTCAACTTGTTAAGGCAGAATTACAAATGGTTCAATTGTATTCTGGTGGTGCTCCAGTAGAAATTAAGAGGGATGAAATTATCAAGCTCAAAGACGGTAGCGATGCCTTCTCTATGGTTTATGTGATGGCTGATGGAATGACTGGAGAAAATTTAGTGATGCACCAAACTGGATTATTGTTGCCTTCTAAAAAGATTGTCTCTATTAAGAGTTACACTTATCAGCCAATGTATAATGAGAATGTCAAGCATCTATTCGATGAAATTCACTCATCATTCCGCAGCAAGTAAGAACACGGTATTAAAAGTTATTCCTTTGGGTGTTTTGTCGCACAAAGAATTCTCAGTTTTGGTCATGCGTGAATGGCTTGAAACAATCAATCTGTACATGCTTTTAGGAGATTTGGCAAGAGCACAATTTGATGAAATAGAATCCAACGAGACTTTTGTTGCGTAGTGTAAAAAGGAATTGTTGTTGTAAACAAGTCTTCGAGGACTCGGTTCAAAACAAGCAGATTATCCAAAATGGTGATCCTATTGTTGTAGCCGTCCAATCGCAATGCAGTCCTTCCTTGTTAGAACCACTTTTTTGGAGCATTCCCAAATCAAACTTCACATTGTGGTGAATATGAATGAACAAAGAAAATGTTCAAACGAAAGACGAAGAGCGAGGCCGTATCCACCACTTCCAACCTTCACTCACCAAAGACTCACCCATCAACAACAAGCAAAGGACAACCCACTTTTCAAACGGAAGACCTTGAAAAACGCTTCTCCTCTCTCACACACCTCATCTACAACACTCAAACCAAAGTACAGGATCTCGATGAACATGTGGCACCCTTCCTTGATGAACACGTTTCCTACGAAGATCCTTTCCAATTCGTTTCTGGAAAAAACACAGTCTTGACTCAACTCAAAGGTTGTCACTTGTCCATGTTCTTTGAATCCAAAATTGAACAACTTGATATTCAAATGAAAGAAAACCAAGAGGGAGGAAGAGTACTCATCGATGCCTGGATGAATATGAATCAGTTCAAATGGATCATTGGAACATTTCCCATTCGCACCATTCTGGTCTATGATTTTGTCATGATCAACGAAGGTTCTTCCTTTCTCATTACCAACCTTAAAGAAATGTGGAGTTTGGGAGATGTGATTGAACAGATACCATTCATTGGATGGTGTTTCAACCTGTTTCGACATGGAGGTGGATGGTTCTTTACCTTCTTCTTTTTCTTGTGTTCGGTGGTTATGAAATGGTTGCATGTCATGTTTCAGATAAATAATAGAAAGACAGGAAACGTGTGGAAAAAAGTAAAACAGTGGGCAAGTCCATCGCTCTCTGAGAAGTCGACTCCATCCAACAAGCCTGTAACACAATCTGCAGAGAAAGATCAAAGATGAACACGACGTCATCGTCGATGCAGTGAGTTTACAATTCAGTCATGATAAGTGAACAAGTTGGGTTGTGAAGATAAATATGAATGATTGTTAGTATTCTAAATGAATCTGAATAATTCGTCTTGTGTCGTCGCCCACATAATACTCCTTCTTGATGCATCTTGAGTTGCAATTTACAATTTTAATGATTCATTTTTCAACAACTACGAATCTTGTAATGTAATTTAGATGAAAAAATTACGTCAACCATGATGATTCAAGAAAACATAATACAACTGTACTCATTACGCTCTGTTTTCTCTTCTTCGAATGTACTTCAAACACCCTTGTCATCATCCTCTTCCCGCAAAAAGCTGTATTATTGCTCTCCTCCCTTTCGGTTATCCTTTCACCAAACATTTCCGTTTTCAACCACTTTTCGCAACCAATCCCTAAACTTTAGAAGAAATACATTCTCTTCTCTTCTCGCCATTAGTTTCTCCTCCTTACTGTTCTTCTTGTTTCTCTCGCTTTCAAAACACTCCATCTTTCTTCACGCACAATTCACATGTTTTGGTTTATTACCCACCGATCCATATGTGTGCAGTTTTCACTTGCCAATGCGTGTCAGGCTATGGAGCCTCCGATTGCTCTCAACCACTATGTCATAGTATTCCGGCTGATCAAGTTGGAGAGGTTTGCAGTGGGAGAGGAACTTGCATTGCTCCAGATTCTTGTTTGTGTTGGGATTCGAATATGAATGGAGGAACAAATTGTGAACAGGTGAAATGTTTTGGAATTCTTTCGGGAAATTCGACGAGTGTGTGTTCGGCACATGGAAGTTGTGTGGGTGTGGATCATTGTGCCTGTCAGGAGGGATATTTGGGTTTGAAATGTGAAATTCCCACATGCTTTGGAATTGCAGCAAATTTCTCAAAGGTGTGCAGTGGAAAGGGAGTTTGTGTCGATTTGAATGTTTGTCAATGCCAAGACAGAATTTGTGTCAAAAGCTGATGGAACATGTGATTTCGTAGAGTTACATAAATGCAAAGACGGTCTCTGTTTTAGTTCGAGACGAATTAAAGTTAAATATCAAACACCAGAAGTGTTAACAGGTGAAACCAGAAGGGTGAGGAAAAAGATGAGTAGATTGACAAAGTTTTGTGTGCTCTAAGAGCGTATGGTGTGGAAGAATAAACTCAGATTTCTCAAATCGATTTATTTACTCGTGAATTGTAATTTTGGACAAGTCGAACGTTCATTTGGACATGAGGATGATCATTTGGAAAGAATTGTTCAACATCAAAAGGGGAAGGAAATGTTTGGAACCTTTTAAAAAAAATTTGAAAGTCGCGGGATCGATTTATTGGTGGATTTCAATTTCCTCATCACCTCATCATCCATAGAAGGGTATCTTTGATTTTTTTGAATCGGGTGGATTTTTCTTCTTCCCAGTTGATAAAAGGAAATTTGTTCCGGAATTTTTCATCCCTTTAACAACCTATATATTCCACGAGAGATCATCATTCACCATGATACCATCATCTCCATTGGAGGTGAAGAGGTCCAGTATGATGATATCATCAGCCAATGAAAAGAATGAAAGTATTATTCTCGGAGGAATTGGCGACGATGATTACGACCATGATGATACTGAAACAACTTCAAAGAAGCCTTCCACGCAATTACAACAACTGTTTGACATGATACAAAAGGAACAAGGAATGATTATGGAGGACTCAAAGTCAGATGTCATGTCGACAGTGTTGAACACATCCGCTGGCTCTTCAAATATTGAACTGCAGGATGACCAATCGAGCATTGACCAGACAAGTCAGACATCTTTGGGAGCTTTGGGTCAAATGAAAGAGTTGAGTGACGAAGTTTTGGGCGGAGGATTTGTTCTGGAGGTCGTAACAGTTGTGATTTGTGTTCTTTATTATTTATCATCAATTTTGGGTATGTAGTAGCAGTGAAAGGTGGGTGGTGTGACATCGAATGATAATAATTTTGAATGATAATTTTTGACATTCAATGTGTCGGATTGACGATTACCATTTTTGTTCGGGTACTAATTTGCTACTACTGCACACAACATTGTTTTTCACACACTTTCAATATTGCCCTTCTTCTTTACTCGTAACTCTCTAAAATAGCTTTTGCTATCAGGCCATCATTTATCAATATGGGATACCTTTTGATTTTCTTTGTTCATAATCTTGCTCCAAGTTATTATCCATACTTTCAACGAGTACCAATCAATCGTATTTGGATGATGATTCCAAGATATTACACTCTTATTCTTGGATTTTTGCTGACTTTATCTTGTATGATTGGTCATATTGTGCTGAGTGCACTCGCCAATTTGGATACAGATGTTGAAAATATTTTGAGAGATGTCGGATTTGTCAAGTAAGTACACTCATCTTCATCATTTGGGGATGAACAAGAATATTTACCAATCAAAATACAGACTTTCTGGCAAAGGTTTAGATCAAATCTTGATGCATGTTCTTCCCGATTGTTTACTAACGATATTTTCGTTATTGGCACTCATATTTTTAGCAGTGCTTTGGAAAAAGAGAAGATATTTAATTAGGGATGGTATTCCACTCAAAATTAAAAAAGCTCTTCCCACTTCAATTAAGGGTAAAGTAATGATACTTCCAGAAGAATCGAGAAAATCTCCTGCCGTCAAATCACTCTCGATAACATCCTCGGACAATGTAGAGATTGAGATTGGACAACCAGTTGAAACGCCCTATAGAATGCAAACAGATGATGTCGTTACCGATGTTGTGACAACCTCTAACACGACCATGGGCAATGCCGCTCAGCCTAAACCAGAATTTATTCCTAAATTGCCATATGCAACCATGAACATGTGGGAGCTTCCTGGAGTGTTCGCTAAAAAGCCAAAATTGATCACAACAACATTAGAAAATCTCAAGAACAAGGTTGAAAATATTGGAACCATGACGAACAAGAGCTCAAAAGCAGCATCGATACACAAAAAACACATTTCGATTCATGACTTTAAGGTATTGCTGTTTACTCTCTCATGCATGATTACCGCATGTTTTTACCCTGGATTTGTGAGCATATTTTACCTTTTAATGTCATTCCTGGTTATCACTTTTGCTAGCTTTAACATCAAATTGAAGACAGGTGTCACTCTTAGTTTATTTATTTTGAATCAGGCCTATTCCATGCTTCTGCTTATTTTCTATTTCTTGACAAGATTTCAATACAATTCTTTGGCAACTGTCGGCCAGTTTTCAAAGATGATTCTTACAGATCCATACGGAAAAATGGCTGGATTTTTTGACATTGATGGAAACCTAAAGAATTTTGACTATTTTTCAAAATACTATACTGGATACGTGTTTTTGGGGTTCATTCTTTTGACATTTATACTTTCCTGCAATTTTATGAGCCAATATTTTGCCAAGCTATTAGAAGAAAATAACTTGAAAAAACAAATTTCAAAATTTTTGATGGAATACTCAAAAAAGATTATGAGAAGAGATGTCAAAGAAAATTCAGATGAATATTACGAAGAAATTTATTACAAATCTGAGTACAGAAGACTCGTAGAAATTATGGAAACCACTGCACAGACCTCTACAAATTCATTATTTGCTTCCTCACATCGGTTCCGTAATTTCATGTTATACTACCTGCAACGATCAATTTTATACATTTTAATGATTGCACTTATTTGCGTCGTGCTAACGGTGCCCAGTTTGTCAAGTTTGCCATATCTTTTGTTCATGTATTTAGGATTGGTTCTTGCTCCTTCTTCAACATTAAGGCCAAACAAGATCATGCTCTTCTTACTTCCAATTTGCTATTTTTGGAGTATTTTATATTTGAGCGCTCAATATGTTTTCCAATTTCCAGAATTTTCTGCATACTCTCCCAAGACGACTCAAATGTCAGATAATGGTACGTAGTTTTTTCTTCTCGTTTGATTTAGAACATGACCACAATTTTGTATTTGAAATTAACAATCTTTGTATTATCAAATAGTTTACAATCCTTCAGGAAGTGGTGGTCTCATCTTCTACCCTACGCAAGGTATTCTCTACAGAGTCATTGTGAGTACGACAGTTGGAGCTTTTATCACCGACATTAGCGTGAGTGGAAGGTCGATTGTTCTTGTACTCGTTCTTTTTGGTCAGCTTTTATTGTCATTATTTTTGGGTCTTACACTTCGTGTCAGTTTATTCTCCAAACTCATAGATTATGAAAATGATGTTAAAAACAATACCAACAATTACACAATGAAGAATGAAGATGACAAACCAACCACAGGTAGGTTATGAACTTGATTTTTTGGTATATAACAAATAGTAACGTCTATGAATGTTAAACCATCATTTTCATGGGTGAAACAACTTGTGAATCGTGGTTCACATGCGCAAACCAAACATAATCCTTATCGTGGCGTTGTGAATTCTAATGAATCTGATGACACACTCTATTATCAACACTACAATGACAACGACGTGGATTACTACGACACGGACTCTCCCGAAAAACAAAAAACATCCCTACTCGCAAAAGATCACCTCGAGAGGTCTCCTTCAAAACCAAGACCAATTTCAAGTGCTTTTTATTATGAGAGTGAAAGCGATTTGGGCGAAGTTGCAGCATCTCCTTTGACTGACCAGACTTCAAATTCATATCGTGAATCTATTTCAATGGTGGATGAAAAACCTCCTCAAATTGTTGTAGAGTCTGTTGACATGACCGAGTTGGATAAGCTCAAAGACGAAGCAGATAATAACCTTGGTGAGGTTGATGGTGAGGAAAAGAAACAAAAAAACTTGGAGTTTATTTGGGAAAAAACACAGCAACTTGCTCGCTTTATCAAAGTACTTATTCTAGACTACTTTTGGAAAGTTTTATTAATTTTATTTGTTAGAAACAGCTTCTACTTGAGCTTGATTGTTTGTTATTTTGCTGATTTGACGTCAGAAAACGCAGACTTGTTACACGCAATTTATTGTAAGTTTATAATATGAAAAGATATCCTTTAAAACATATCCATCATTACATTAGTAATATTTTGCTCAACATACTTTATATTCCCAAATTTTGCAAGAAAAACATGGATTTTACTTGTTTTATATTGCCAATTTGTGATTATTGCTCTCTATTTCTTCAATGTTTGGTACGCACCTGAGATTGTTGATCTACCCTATGAAATTATTGGTTTCAATCCTGCGTTCCTTACTATTGATAACATGGACAAGACAAACAGTTTTGGAGTGTTCTGGAAGGGTTTAATTTGGCATATTTTCATTCTAGTCCTCACAAGTATTCAATATCATATCACTAATGTTAAAAATGTTGGCAACGTTAATATTGAAACTAGTATTGATCGATGGGAACTTTTCACAAAAGAGAAAAATGCAACCCTTCATGCATTTGTTGAAAAGTGCAAGATGATTTGGGACAAAATATTTTTGGAAACAGAGCTACTGTATTATTTGGGTACATTGTTGAGCTATTTTGCAGTATTTTTGTTGATTTTCCTTCAAAAGGAGGCATCCTGGATTGGATTTTTATTCCTACTCATTGTCATGATTTGTTTTACTTTGAACGTTGTGTCGAGCAGTGCCAACCCTTCCACCAACAAGATGGGATACAGACTTTTCAAACTATTCGTGGCTTCATGGTATATTTTCGTATTTTACAGCACATTTGTGTTTGTGGTAGAATATGCCTATCAGTTCCCATCGCTTTACTCGTACATTCAAAGTATATTGCCTGAGGTAGAACGAGCTCAACAATTTATACAAGAACATGAAAAAGACAAATCCGTATACATCCCTCCTTACTACGGATATATCACTCCAAGAAGCATTGGTCTCTACAAGTATCAGTATAAGAATGTTAGTCTTTTACCATTTACAACCATAGCTGTATTGACTATTATTCAATTGAAGTATTTCCAATATGTCATTTCAAGAAGAAGACATCGCATGAAAGTCATAAAAGAAGAACATGCAACTCATGAGAGCCACAACGAGCAAGATCAAAAGAAGCAAGAGGAGCCCTCTCTCGTAGATGAAATTGTAGACACCATACAAGAAGATCCAAGTAATGTCAAGGTGGAAAAGCAAATTATTTTCTCAAAGAAATTTGATAGTTTCTTGTTAGAGACATTTTTGGTGTTGAAACGGTTTTGTGTGATGCACACTCCCAAGTTATTGATCATTTTCTTGTTCTTGGCTGCTCACTTCAATCCAAACATTATTGGGTTAATATATTTGGTTTTGGTATTGGTGTTAGCTCCTGCTCCAGTTATTGCCAGCAAGATTTGGTTCATCATCTCCTTCTACAGTGGTGCTATCATTTTGGTTAAATATGCATATCAACATCCATTTTTCACACATGGATTGTGCAATAATGCGTTGGGAGCTATTATTCAGCATCAAGTGACAAACTTTGGAAAATCTTCTGGAATTTGCACCTGGTTAGATTATATTGGTTTGGTCGATGCAGCAACAACTCCAAATCAATACGTTGGAAATGTTTTATGGTCCAGCCTTTTGGTATTCATAGCTGCTCTTTTACAACAAGTTACATTCCGTTGGGAAAAATCTCTGAAGAGAAGAGGTCTCTATGAGGAAGGACATCTCTTTTTGGAGGCTGAGGCACGCCTAACTTCGAAAAAGACAGAAGAAGAGAAAAAAGCTTCTGCTTTGGGAAGCAAGAGAATTTTCCGAAAGAGAACCACAATCTATATTAACAGAGAAGATCTTGACAAGCTCTATGCCGAGGAAGAAGAAGAAAACTCTGGAGAGAATGAAGAAAACTTCAAAAACACGTACAAGAGAAAATTGCTGAAATTTGTGACCAAAGTGAATCGAACGATCAAGTATACATTCAACCATTTCTATGACGGTTTTGGATTTGAGATTTCTCTCTTTACATTGTTACTAGGAAGCTTATCTCTCATTCAAACTTTGTGGGGAGCTGTTTACTTGATTGTGTTTGGAGTTTGCTTCTTCACAGGAAAGAAAAATAAGGTCTTAAGCAGAGGATGGATTTTCCTTGTGATGGTGGTCGAAATTAACATGCTTATTCTATTTTTCTTCAGACTTAAAATAGTACAAAGCCTCCAATTTTATGGAACGATGATGAACATACCTGTGTTCAGCCGATACATCATTTTGAATTTAGGAGGTACTTCTGATATCAACAATACGGAGTATATTGTGGCTATTTTATACTTGATGATGTTCTTTATGGCTCTTCAGGCAAGAGTTTTCTTTAAAGGAATGTATGCTCGAATTCAACATATTGAAATTTCACAACCTGAAAAGCTTCCAAAACGTGAGAGAGGAGAATTGGTCTCCAAATTTTTGGAACGCACTCAAAAGGTGGATGGTAATCTTATCGTGCAATTGGATAGCAGTAGTCTTGTCAGAAGAAATATTGATACTAGAAAAATTGAGAAAATTAAGGATTTTACAACACCAGAGAATCAAAAGAAATTGTGGTACAAGATCAAGTTATTTATCTACAGATTCTTTTGCTTTTTGGTGCTGATTGTGATGTTCATTGACGCTGCAATTGACTCCAATGTGATCAAATTGGTTCAGATGGTTCTTTGTTTGTTCTATCTCAATTTATTTAACAGAATTTATTGGAAATCAGTACCTTTTTGGAGAGGTATTGGTATTTTCTATTTCATTTCCTTTGTTATTGACGCCATTTATCAAATACCAATTGTTTTGCTCGGTGATCCTATTAATTGGAGCTCAGATAATGATACGACTGGTTGGGTGAATAATCTATGCCTGTTGTTCGGTCTAAAGAGAAGAGGAATTGAAAACTTTGTATCTGAGATTATTGTCGTGTGCTTGTATTACATTCAGATTCTTTTATTTGAAAGTGAAGATTACATACACTTTGTGAACTTGCTCTACCGTGAAAACCACGAACGCGCTTCCAAGTACAAACTCAATCAAGCCCACCGAGCTGCTCAAATTCTCTCAAGATTTTCTGAAGAGCTCTTCTCTGAGAAGAGACGTGAAGCCAATCGTTCTGCTTTGAAGAGTTTCCATGAAGTGAATAAGGCATCCGATTTCCAAACATTTTACGATCGAAAGCACATGCTCAAAGATGAGTATGAAAAAGTGGTCAAGACATATGCAAAGAATTCCGAAAAGATTGAACGTGAGAGAGCCATTCTTGTTCTTGCAATTAGTGAGCTACTTGATATGGAAAGTCAAGAATCCGCAAAAATTAGAAAGAGAATTGTTTCCAATGTGAATAAGGAAGGAGCATTAATGAAAAAACTGTTGAAACGTGCGGAATATAAATTCCAAAAGAAAATGAGAGAAGTTGTTTCCACTCTTGAGAATTTGCAAAACTTTAAACAAGTTAAGGTTGTTTCCAAGAGAAGTCCCATTAATTTTGAACGAGGTTTAATTGATATTCCACAAGATCCAACACAAGAATTTATGCCAAGCAGCATCACAAAGGAAGAAATTCAGCATGTTATGAAGAGTATTGTTTCCAAGATTGCTCCTCATGATAGAATTGTTGATTTGGGAGATGTATTTGGAGCTCCAACCACAAATTTGGATAATCTTGTGAAAACTCACGTCAAAACTGATTCCATCAACGACGTATTGAGCAAACAAATTCGAAAGCTTGTAGAGGAAGAAAACACAACAGGTCACGAAGGAACATCCAAAGATGGGGTAAAAGAAAAAGAACCAAAAGAACAACAAGTCAAATATCCCTTCTCTTTCAAATTGAAAAAGGTCATGGCCATGATTTTTGCCCATGTTGGACATTACATTTACATGTTCACTGATTTATTCACCAACCGAGTGCAAATATTTATTGGAATTTCTTGGATGGACAATGCCACCATTGAAAAGAAGTATCGTGTGAATTTGGATGCGATCATTAAGGAAGCCATTGATGAATATATTGAAAATAAGGAAAAGGAACAAGAAAAGCCACCACAAGAAGTTGAATTATTGGACGAAATCAAATTAACCACCACCGACGACAACAAGCAACAAGAAACAACGACCAAAGAAGCAACACAAGATCAAATTCCAACGATCAATCTTGATCAAGTCATGCAAACAGAGTTGGATCAATTGAAAGTTCATCCAGATATGAAAAAGAAGCCATTCCATTGGGTTCCAATCGCTCTCAAGATTCGACAACTCTTGATTGTTCTCACCAAGCTCTTCTTTAACAACACCGATGTCATTTGCTTCTTTGCCATGTTAGTGAATGTTCTATATGCTCCAACCTATTTCAACTTGCTATTCACTTTTTGTGCGTTCACCTACGCTGCCATTCAATATCCATATCCACATCGATACTATTATGAAGCCATGTTGATTTGGGCTCAATTTTTGATTGCTGTACAATATATTTTGTATCTCATTCAAGCTGCGTTACCAGATTCCATGAAAACAAGCGATACAGATCCAGCGATCTTTTTACTGGGATGGCAACCAAGTACAGCATTGTTATCGGATATAGTCATGTATTTGTTGATCATATTAGCCATTTTCTTCCATCGTGAAGTGAGTAGGAATCGTGGTGAGTGGAAAACCAATTCTCGAAAGAAGAAGAAATCAAAAGAAGGTGCTTCTACAGATTCAACAGGACATGCCGTGACAACGTCAAGTCAACAACAACAATCTGGAACTGTTGAACCGTCTACCACCATTGTTGGTACAGAGCCTGCTTCTTCTTCAGAACAAAAACTTTCCGTTGTTGAACCTACCACTAGAGCAAGATCTGATACCACCACTTCGATTGAGCTTGTTTCTGAAAGACAGACTGACACAACAGATACAAACAAAGAACCCAAAAAGAAGAATAAGACTGTTAAATTCATAGATGTCGAGGAGGAAGAAGCAAAGAAGGAAGCAGCCAAGAAAGAACCCTTTGTGAAGAGAGCCTTTAGAAAGCTTGTCAACGGTGTCAAAGCAGTTGTGAATGACCAATTCAAACTCGGTATTGATTATTATGTGGTCACAGTTGCTGTAGAAATTATTTCATTCGTTTTATTTTTCTTCAGTTATTCGAGCATGAGTGGTAGAGCTGCCGATGAGACATTGGGTGCTATCAAATCCAATGAGTTATCAGGAGCATTTGTTATCATTTTGTTCGTGTTCTTTATTGAAATTTGCATTGAGAGAGTTTTATATCTTTTCGCAAGCGTGACTGCCAAGTTAATTTTCCACATTCTACTAGTGATCATTTATCACATTGTTTACATTGTGTCCTATATCATCATCCATAGAAACCAGAATTCCACTGGAATTGTATTGCTCAAGATTCTATTCTTTATCAAATGTGTGTATTTATTTTTAGCTTCACTTCAAATTCGAACAGGATATCCAAAACGAAGATATACACAATTCTTTACGAGATCCTATTTCTGGATCGCTCAATATATTTATCTTGGATACCGAGCAATTCCATTTGTATTTGAATTGAAGACACTCTTGGATTGGACATTTATTGACACTACTTTTAACTTTTACGAATACCTTAAATTTGAAGATATTTACAGCGCTCTTTACAAGAGAAAATGTGACTTGGAGTACAAAATTTTGCAAGCCAGAGGTTTTGGAAATCGCATTTTCTTGACTACCAAAGCCACCAGTGGATTTTTACTATTTGTTATCTTTTCCATGATCATCTTCTTCCCATTGCTGTTCTATTCCACAGCAAATCCAGCGCTCAGCTACAATTCAGTGAACACAGTGGAGGTCAGCATTGGTTTGGAAGGTTTCGAGTCTCTCTATGAAAATCGCTTCTATAGGCTTCATCCAGAAGATTCTCTTGAAAGTTTTGTTGATTTCTTTGATGGAAATGGTTTGCGTTTATTTGCTGATTATGATCCAAGCTTCCAAATTCAAAATTTCACACTTGCTTCCTATTCTGAACGCTATTGGTTAATTTCAACACCGAGTAGAATTAGTCTTGTGAATGCTCTCTTGAATGACACTCTTTCTCTCAATTTAACCATGCATTTGAATATTAATAGAGCAGGTCCATCCACACAATTGAGTTTACAAAGTCGTCAAGTCGTTGCTCTGAGCAAGAACAAACGTTTACAACTTGCCAAATTAATCAATTATAATGTTTCTTACACGAATTTCGACACTACTATCACTGAGAGTATTTCAATTCCATTCACTTATAATCCATATGTCATGAACAAGTATTCTGCATTGGCCTATGCAACCGTTACAGAAGAGAGATATCTTCCAAATTGTACCTTAACAGTTAGTAACAAGTACATTACTCGAGAAAATGTCACAGCAAATAATCCACCTGGATTTGTTTCATGGTTCATGTCATGTTCACAACCTACCAAATTCTATCCTCCAGGAAAGTCTGGAAATTTGAATAGTGTGAAAGGAGGTCCATTTTTCTTTATCCAAAGTACAAATATTGTGGCCGCTAATTCCATCATTTCTGCCATTAGTAGTTTTGGTATCATTACCTTTTATACATCCTTTGTACTTGCAGTGGCTCAATTCATTCGTCTCTACAGCAGTGGTTTAATAGGACGAGTCATTTATGAAGATTTAGATAATGTCGATTTGTTACTCAATTACTGTCAAGACATTTACAAGGCAAGAGAAGATAAAGATTTAGCAATGGAAGAGGCCATGTATTTGAATTTGCTCAGAATCTTTAGATCGACTGAATTGTTACAAGTCTGGACAAGAGATGCAAAGAAGAATTGGTTGTAAATGTTGTTGTGTGAGTGAAATTTATTAAGTGAGGATATATATATTTGAATATATTCCATGTCTTTGTGATTATGATGGACTTATGAGTCTACATCGTCTTTGTATAAAAGATTGATCTTTAAAACTCACCTAGAAATTTATTTTTAAATGTCTTGTTGTAAACTCTTGTAAAGTAAAGGCACAAAATCTTGCTCTAAAGGCAGAAAATTTTGTTTGCACGAAGGTGTTTTCTTCGGAAATTCGTTTCAAGAAGATAACCGATTGGATTAGCAAAAACGCTAACAATGATCAACAAGTGAAATCTGACAGCTGTTTCAACGTTTTACAGTCTCAAATTAACAATTTTCTTCAACATCATTCAGACACACTCCAACAACAGATTGATTCCCTAACAGAAACCATAGCCATGATCCATTCAAAAGAACGCGTAGAATTGACTCGTTCCTATTTCAAATTGGAGCTTTTCGATGATGTTCACGTCGTACCAAACTATCATCTTGTCATTTGAAGAACCGATAGAAATATCATATATATAAGAATGATCTCTTTTCATGTTGTGATCTTGGTGCCATGAAGAAGGCAAAACATGCTGCAAAGTCATTGTGATCAAAGCCCAACAAGGATTTTCCAACAAACAATCGATTCCATGTCCACTGTTTCTCATAAACCTAAAATCAAAGAACATTTTTATTTCAGAAAAAACATATGATGTGAAGTATTGTTGGGACACTGAAAAGAAGAATCATCAAGACAAGGACTCAAAAAAGAAGAGAAATAAGAAGACTATGACATCTTGTCATTCAGACCATTCTCCAGAAAAGAAGAAGAAAAAGCAAGACTTTAACACAACACGGGTCTCAACTCAAACTGAAGATCGTGACAATTCAAAACTTCTTGAACGAATATGTCGATATCAATGTTTCGTAACGTATGGTGCACATGAGATATTCCCAATAATGGACACTAGCATAATGCATATCATGTATAGTCAAATGTTAAAAACTGTTGTTGAGCAGTCCTCTCAACAAGGGAAGGAATTAGACTCTTCTATTTTTCAAATTAACGATCTTCATGGAGCAGCTTTAATGGTGTTCTTATTTCAAAGCGAAAAAAGAGAAGTTCAACAAATGCCACCACAGCACCAACTGTGCCAAATGGTGAAATGGTATGAGAAAAGATGCTTAACTGTCGATCAGAATTATTATTATTATTCAACACAACCTGGGGTATCAATGTCAGAAATAAACATTATCACCAACAAAAATCAAGAAGGCAGTTCATCCAATTCTACTCAGGTGAATCTGCAGTCAGAGAACATCAATACTACAACGCCGACCACACCGATCAATCTTGAGAGAGAATCAAACATGTTACAAATGGAATCAGAAGATGCAATTTCTGTGGGATATGAAGAGTTTGAACCTTTACCCTACAAATATTCATTTTCAAAATCTTTCAGTTCCGAACAAAATCATGTCTAATGGAGTAGCTTTATATTTTCACTTTATCTTTGGAGATTTTTATCAAAATATTATTTTTTTCGTAAACTAAGGCAATTCGGAACACTTTGAACAAGTCTGGACAAATGTCACACTATAGGCAGTGTTATATATTGCAATATAATCTTCTTTGAGTTTTGTTTCTGTTCATTACGACAAATTCCAAAGTTGTTGACGAGTGAATTTGTCTTTCAATTTTTTGGTGAAATCATCCATCAATAGAATCACATCGCCATTCATTCATTGTCTCATCCAATTCACTTTTAAAGACCTTCGCTTTTCTCAACATATCGACAAAGAACTTTGCTGTACTCTTTCTTCCGCGAGAGACTGCAAGTACTTTATATGGAATAGTATTGCGAAGGTAAATAAGGCAATGAGGTATTCTGCGAGGACACCATTTTTCTTAATCTAAAAATGAATTTAAAAGGAAAAATCAAGCGGAAACATTAAAAACGTTTCATTTTCGATGATCAACATCTTTCGTTGCAGCGGTCACTGAATATTGCACATGCTTCCTATTACGCTCATTGCTTGAGATACGATGTACGATTTACATGAGCAATTAAGTTTCACATTGAGTTTGTAGGACGCTTCAGAAAGTGCCATAGAAGTTTCCACTTTAAGGTCATCAATACACATGTTCAACAAATGCACCAATCTGTCATGCTCAAAGAAATTTGTGGGAAACTGATGCCCAATTTGCATTAATAAGGAGCCTAATTCATCTAATTTGTTTTTGTTTTGTTGATAAGTTTGCCTTAATTTTTGAGCAATTATTTCAATCTCCTTGTTGCGATCAATGGAAATAAGAATATTAATTAGAGGTGTAGCCTCTGACATCCAACTATTTCGACTATCCACCCAATTCAACCGATTTGTTATAAATTTGTTAAATAAAACTTGTGACAAGGGATTTCCTTCTTCCTTAATACTCTTAGCCAATTCTCCCAATGATCCAAGGTCTGCAGAAATAGAAATCTCATCAATCAAAGGTTTTACCTCCTCCAAGCCAAAGTGCTCACAACAGTTCGTGACAAATAAAACTTTTTCCTTTGATAATTCTTTGTAAAACCAATCAGTTTGATTTAAGCCTTAAAAACCGTTTTAGCAAGGTTAATATGATTTAGAGAGCGAATCATATAAAATAATGCGTCCATATCTGCTTCTTTGATTCCCTTAGTATTCATGGTCAAAGCCGGTTCAATAGTGAAATGTATTTTGGCTTCAACTCTTCTTTCATTGTTTGTGATTGTTCCATTTCCCACTTTTTAATAGGTTTAACATTTGTGAAAATGCATGCTTAGTTTTTAAATCCATTATCATATTGAATGCATTTTTCTCTGGCCATAGAATCAACACAGTCGTATGGTAGCGACGTTCCATCGTTGCACCTTCATTACCTGTTCACGAACAAAGAGTTATTGTCGCATGAATAAATCATTCAACAATTATTGATGGTACTCTTAGAAAACTTATCCACAAGTACTTACCTGTTGCTTCTTCCACGCTTTCATCGTCAGCCTCTAAAGTATCCCATACATCTCTTGGGAATATTTCGTTATCGTGAATTTCAATCGAGGTCAGATCATGTTTTTCCTTGTTGTCCATTCCAACACAATGCGTCAGAGAGAGAGTAACGTCGAACACGTCCTCCATTTCATAATCCCCACCACCATAATAACTGTAGCTAGAACATGATGCAGAACCTGATTCTGTTTTCTGAACAATTCCAAGAGCACAATCGATCAACTTTTCATCTCTATTGGCATTGGTAATCATAGAGACAATTGCTTCATCATTTCCCTTTAACACGTCAAAAGAGAGACCTGCCATTGTGTATTCATGTTCCAATATATACAAAATTTTTGTATCCTGATACTCTCCATTATTCCATCTCGTAAATTCGTCTTGTAATTGTTGTACAGTATTTCCTTGTTGAGAGGCAGCCAAGTGTCGATTCCTTTGCTTACAAAGTATATTATAGATGAGGCACAAACGATAGCCAGAGGTGATCGGCTTTACACTATGTTTGCAGTCTGCATAAAACGAACCATAGAAGGCATTAAATTGTGAGTTCTTCTGAAAATCATAGACATGTTCTCGAGAATTTTGTTGAACAATCAATTCTCCACCCGTATAGAAGCAAGGAAGTTGAATCACGAGAGTGGCAAACATTCCATCTTCCTTCTCTGTATCTTTATGGAAATTGAAATGGCTGTCCTTCTCGTAGAACAATAATTTATAGAGTGAGGCTATGATCGATACTTCGGGAGGTAATCCCAGACCTTTCTTAACATTCTCATCGACCAATTTCTGAACCAATTGCGTCCATTTCGGGTTGGTTAATTTAAATTGTGATGGATCTAATTGCCAAGTATTATCCTTTTTCTCCTCCTCATCATCATCATCATCGGAGATGTTAATGACCTCTTGAGGATTCGATGTTGAAATCATTTTTTAGGAATAATATTTTTTAGGAATCATATTTTTTAGGAATTAAATATTGAGTATTATATGGAAAATGTTTCTTTCAGCTTAACTATCAAATCGTCAGGAAACAGTTCTTAAAAGACCCTATACCTCAAAAGATGGTCAAAGTGACAAAGGATCAAACAACACCGTCTCTCAATTTATTGTCCAATTTGAACATCCATCGTGTTACATGATTGATCGACAATTTCAGACATCATTTTGTCCAAATCAGTCCAAGAGACAGTCATTGCACGAGTTGGATCATAATTCATTCCTTGAATTTGTCGAGCACCCACAGGATTCGACATGGCATTACCGACAGCCATGGCCACAATCTTCCAAGAAACCTTATTATTTCCACTAAATGGATTATCTGGATCTGGTGGAACAATTCCTTGAGCATTTCGTTTCCATGAATTGATCTTCTTTGCAGAAGGAACAGCATCTGCACAAGGTAAGCAATAGGAATTCGAATCCCAAGTACAGAAGCTACAAGTCTTTCCACTGAATGCCCAATTAGTATCATTGTATTGATACTTGCAAATGTTTTGATAAGCAAGATTTTTTTGTGCTGTGGTGAGTGTGGAATTGTCAATAATTGCAGCTTGGACACTTGATGGGAACATGCTTGGTTTTGTGGCCCATTCTGGGTATTTGATTTGAAGAAAAATAAAAAGAATTAAATAGAAAATTAAAAATGATTAAAATAATTAAACCTCAAAAATGAACTTCAAATGTCAAGATATTACTTACCACTCTGTTGTTGGAAAATATTAAGAATATAACCAAATGAATGATTCATAAGAAAGTATTAACATGAGAGAATAATCCAAATCAATAACACCGTAGGATCAACTTACCTGGCATTGAGAACACGTGCAAGGAATGTTTGCCATACCATCTGTCAAGACATAAATAACCTTATCAGCGTCAGAACGTCCTTGTGAAGCCATATTCACAGCAACTCGAAGACCAGGAACTTGTGCAGTACTTCCAGCATCATAGGGCATGTTGGTTAAGGTATTATTAATCAATGTACCATCTGTAGTGAGACCCAAAGTCCAAACTCCAACCGTGTGGAATCTCACAATACCAACTTGAACGGCATCTGTAGCAAGTTTCATTCTTCCAGTGATTCGTTTTGCAAATGTTCTGATATTGTTGAAATTGGTGGTACCAATGGAACCTGAGGAGTCAATTAAGAAGATGAAATCAATCTTGGCTTGACAATAGCAATTCTTGAATTCTACGAAAACGTTAGCAGAAATGTATGTGTTGAATGATGTCACGACAGTGTATCGGAATTTGTCAGCTTGACAGGACTTGGTATCGGAATCGAGTTCAATAGCAGTCTGACCATTCACATTGACCACTCTTGGAGTCTTGTGACAATAGGTTGTATCAGGACACGAAATGTTGACAAATGAAAGTCCACTAACTCCACCAAATTCATCATTATCGTTGGTAAACATTTGTGAAACAAAGATTCTGATGGTTTGTCCTTGATTGATCGAGAATCTGTCATCTCTTGCAGTTGGAGTTTGAGAATTCAAAATTAAAGTGACCGTTGCAGTGGCAGAAAGTGGATTCAAAGCATCACTATCAATTATCTTCAATGACACAGAGCAAGTACCTTGGAGAACAGTGCTCTTTCTGGTGAAAGTAATGAGTCCAGTTGATGAAACAGTTACAGAAGATGCAATGCTTGCGCAAGTATTTGAGTTCATGGAATAAGTCAAGGTATCTGCAGCGTCAGGATCAGAGGTCTGATCATATTGAGCAGTGTGAACAAGATTGTTGGCTTGAGCATTGAAAGTGTTGGTGGCAGAGCCTGCGGTTGGACCTCGATTGGTGACGATGAGAGCCATTCCACAAGTGGATTGAAGTTGACTATCAGAGACCTGATAGCTCACAGCAGTGGAAGTTCCACTGTTGGTGCTTGAGCTGGTAAAGGTAGTTCCACTAATGGATCCCAAAGAGGATGGTAAAACTCCTAAGAAGGTCACGGAGAGAGCATCCTTGTTGGCATCGGCAATGAGAGTCTTCAACGTTGGTAATAAATCAGTGGAAGTTCCCTTATTGACATTGAAGGAAGCAGCTGAGCAAATTGGAGCAGCGTTGGTGAATGTGACTGTAAATGTCAAGGTGTTGACACTTTCATGGAGACCATCAAACAATTTGAAAGTAATGGCTTTAGCACCTTGAACTGTTTGTGAAGTTGTCAATCGAATACCAGTTCCAGTGGTAGTGACTGTCACGTCAGAAGTCGTGACGACCTTAATCACTGAAATGGTATCACCATCCGCATCGGAAAATGTACCCATTTGAGCCCATGTGAAATCATAAGTCGTTGTGGTGTAATCTCTGTCAATAGAAATCGAAGCACCAGTACCAGTTGGTGCATTGTTGATCACAGAGACAGTCACAGTTCCTTGTGAAGTACCCAAACCATCCGTACAAGTGTACTTGTAGCTACCAGTTCCAGTGTAAACATTTCCAGACAATCCATAAGAAGAAGCAACAAGATTGGAGGTGAATGAAACAACATTTCCAGAAACAGAAGTGGAACCACCCACCGCATTTGAAACAGCACCGTTAAACTTGACAAAGGAAGAATCCAAGGAATCATTGTCCGTACAAGCACCCCTTAAATCTTTAGTGATTGGTGCAGACCATTTACCAGAAGCAGTCAAAGAGGCAGCATTCGGATTGTTATTTACGACATTGACATTGACCACTGTCTGAGCGTTGGACACCGATTGAGCACCATCGAAAAGTGTATAAGAGACAACATCCAAACCAAGAGAATCTGGAGCTGAATAAGTAATGGTATTGGTATTAGCGACAGCAGTTCCCTTTGAAGCAGAAGCAGCAGTAATAGTTAATGAATCACCGTCAGAATCCTTTCGAGTTGGAGCATAACTGAGGACAGGATCAAGAGCAACATTCTTGGATCTCCAATGTAAAGAAAGACCATAAGGAGATGGTGATGGTAAAGTATTGGTGACAGTCACTGTGACACTTCCTGGAGTTGAAGTCACAGAGTCAGAGGCAGCATAAGAGAATGAGAAAGAACCCAAATAAACACTTGTTCCAGCAGTGACAACCACATTTGGAGAAGCAGAAAGTGCAACTGAACCAGCAGTGGATGGAGAAACACCACTCGTGAGAGAAGCAGTCAAAGTATTTCCATCTGGATCTGAATCTACCTTTCCACCAATATTCAAGACATTGACGGTGTAGCCAGATTTATGTTGTGACCAAGAAATGGTGACAGTCTTTGCTTGAGTGACTGGTGCTTGATTAGTGACTTGAACTGAAACTGTGAAAGTGGTGGTGGCAATTCCATCGGTGGCAGTTGCTTTGAATTGAGTTAAACCAGTGAAAGTTCCTTGTGGAATAAATGTTGCCGTTCTCTTGTCAGCCATGAGAACCACATTTCCTTTACAACCAGTGGTATCAAGAGATGTGACAGCTCCCAATGATTCAAAACCAGCAGTCATGTCAGGATCAGAATAAGCAACAAGTAGATCAATATCAATTCCAGCGGTTGAGCTCCAAACCACTGAAGCTTGTGGAACAGAAGCACTTGGTGGGTTGTTATAAATGGTGACTGAAACAGTGACATTTTGTGGAGTGTTCAAAGAGTCCTTCACTCCAACAATGAATTTATCAAAACCAACGGCCTTCTTTGGTGTGTAGTAAATCTTCTTATCTCCAGAATTATAAGTGATGGAAGTTGCAGAATATCCTGGATAGATCACGGAGAACGTTGAAGTCGGAATGGCAGAAAAGATGTCAATGGCATTATTTGCAGAATTCCAGTGAACAGTCGCACTCTTGGTATAAGCAGATGGTGAAGTCGATGAAACATCAACAATCAATGCACAAGCTTGTGCAGAAGTAGCAACACCATCCGTAACCTTATAAGTCATGGAACGAGTTCCAACTGTCTTTGCTGGTGTGAAGAGAAGAGTTCTATCAGCAGAAACAATAGTGAGAGAATCACCAGCTTGTATTGATCCTGATTGAGTTGGAGTCAAGAAGGCAACATCAGCAGAATCCAAATCATTGACAAAACTGGTAATGACAATCTTTTGTCCAGTGTTGAAATTGTTTGGATCGAAGGAGACTGAAATATCGGAACAGGTTGGAGCAGTGTTAAAGGTTACGACACTTGCAGTCTTGGTGACACTACCGTGACCATCAGTGACTGTGAATGAACATGGAGTAGTTCCAATGTTTCCACTTGGAGGGGTCACACGAACCTTATTATTAACCACAGAGCAAGTGGATGAAGCAACCACAGATACTGAGAGAGAATCTCCATCGTTGTCAGTGGTCTTACCAGAAAGGACATCAAAATCTTGATAACCACCAGCATTTTGCAAAACTCTCCAATGAACAGAGTAAGAGGCATCCGAAGCAGTTGGTTTGTCATTGTTGATGAGTTGAATAGTGACAGTTCCTTGAGTGGCAGAATTTTCAGCACCATCATTAATGACATACTTGAATTGATCTGTGGCACCATTATAACTCTTATTGGGTGTATAAGTAACAGATCCACTTCCAGCAGTCACCACCACTGAACCCTTCGTTCCTGTCGTGTCCACACTAGCAACTGTCAATGAGTCACCATTGGCATCCATATCATTCTTCAACACATCCAACACAGTGGCAGAAGCAGCCCAATGCAAAATGAAAGTGTCATCTGATGGAACTGGTGGTGTATTGGTCACCAACACATTCACAGTTCCGATCGTTTGTAAATTATTATCTGAGGCAGTATACGAGAATTGTTTGTTACCAAGAGTGATGAATGGAGATGCAGTGCTTGGAATAAATTTAACAGTTTGTGAATCCACGAGTGTGACTGTGCCAACATTGGATGGAGAAGAAACGAACGAGACAATCAAAGCATCTCCATCTGGATCGTTGTCATTGATCAAAGGTGAAACCAAAACACCCACAGGATTTCTCCAGTGAGTTGAAATGAAATCTGGTTGAGTGACAGGAGCAGTATTGGTCACTTGAATGGTGACAGTTGCAACATTGGAATCAGAATCTAGAGAGCTCAAATCGTTTAACTTGTAAGTGAATGAATCAGGACCAACATATCCAGCCATTGGAGTGTATCTCACCTTGTCGCCCACAACATAAGCAGAACCACGAGAAGGTTGTGAAACAATGGAAACAGAGGCTCTTTGTAAATCTCCATTTTCATCAAAGTCATTGGCTTTGACATCACAATCAAGAGCTCTATTCCACTTGGTACTGAAATTATCATCATTTGCAACTGGAGCAGTATTCACAACATTCAAAGTGACTCTTGCCTTAAAAGTGGAATCCATTCCATCTTGATCCGTTACATCATACAAGAAACTATCTGTATATTCTTCATTGACAGCAGTGTAAGAAACAACATCCGTGTTACCATTATATTGGTTCACTAAAATACTTGGAACAATGTTCTTCTTGTCAGAGGCACTCACAGACTTGATCTTGCGGATGGAATTTGCACCATCGTTAGGATCCGAATCATTGGCCAAAACATTCAAAACAGAGGGAATACCCTTTGGAATGGTAATCACATCATCCATTGGAGTTGGAGGATTATTGACAAGAGTCACAGTAATCTTACCAGTGGCATAACTAGATGGATCAGGATTTCCACTCGTGTCCACACTTTGATCAGTGACACGATAATAAGCGACATCATTAGTTCCAACTAGGCCTTTTGGAGCAGTGTACAAGACATGAGTATCATTGTAGTAAGAAACTGAACCTCCCTTTTCAGTGGCAGAAATCCAACCATTTTGGGTCAACTTGAGGAGAGCAGTGTCACCGTTATCAGCATCATAATCATTCTCAATGACATTGATCAAAGTTTGAAGATTCTTTCCACAGGTGGCAATGTCTTCAACAGGAGTAGGAGGAGTGTTGACAACCTGAATGGTGATCTTACCAGTTCCATCCGCTTCACTATCCGTCATGGTCACACTCAAAGTGGTAGAGTAAACAACACCTGGAGTGGGTGTGAAAACAAGAGTATAATTGTTGATCTCAACAGTGAGAAAATCACAACATTCAAAGTATTTGGTCTTGTGAGTCTTTGTGGTTTGAACACTACCTGCAGGATTCAAAGTATTGAGAGCAGGAGAGATGGCCTTCAAAGTCACTAAATCTTTTCCATCGATATCAAAGTAATCAATTGGAATTAAATTTCCAGTGGTGGATTTACCAACAATCACAGTCTTGGAGAAGACTTCAGGAGGAGTGTTAAACACTTGAATGAAAGCAACACATGAGCTTTCCAATTGTCCATCAGTAATGGAGTACTCAAAAGAATCACCATATTTGGTAGTGAGTTCACTACTGGTAAAGTAATACACAATTCTGCTATTATTACGAACACTGACACCACCAAAACCAGCACCTAAAGCTCTAGAAATATAAAAATCATCACTATTGATATCATAATCGTTCTTCAAAACATCCAACATGGCACCTGCATACTTTGGAACTTTAAATGTGTCATCGACACAAGTTGGAGCATTGTTCTGAATGGTAATTGTCACGGTACTTGTGGCTGTATCGTTTCCATCTGAAATGACATAATTGAATTCTTCAATGCCATTGAAATCCTTTTTTGGTGTGTAATAAAAACCTGTCCATGTGACTTTGTCAATCATTCCCAAATCAGTGTTATTACCACCAACAATGTGATTACCATTATAGCTATCCACAAAGAGAGCGTCATTGTCAACATCAGAAATATGTTCTCCATTGTCTCCAACATAAGAAAAGATGTCAATGAGGAAATGATTGGCATTCTTTGGAACCGTTTTGACAATAGGAATGGCTTCAGGAGCACGATTCAAAACTCGAACTGTGACAGTGGCATTGGCAGTCATGAACGAGTTGGAAACTTCATACGAGAAGGTATCATTTCCTGTGAAAGATCCCAACGATTGATACATAATCTTGGATTTGGAAATAATCTTGGCAATTCCATTCATGGGAGAGAGAACAATATTGGTCAAGGTCAAATTACCACCACGTGGATCGACATCATTCAACAAGACATCGATGGTCACAGGAACACGTTTGAAAGTAGTGGCCACATCATTCTTTGGTTCTGGTGGTGAATAACCAACACCCACGGAGACCAAAATGATGGTGGCGACCGTCGAGGCCACAACGAGAGCAGTGATGATACCACCAACTTAACACGTGTATTTTGATTGGTTCATGGAAATATTTGGTGTTTTTGTTGAATTAGGCGGATGAAAGGATTTTTCAAAGTGAGGCAAACAACGTGTTTGTCATGTTCACACACAATGGATCAAAATAAGAGGAACGAATGAGTGGCCACAACAACAACAATTACAACATGAAGAGCATCAACAAGAAGGTGAGACAAATAACTTCAACAACCACCAACTTACCAATGGTTTGAGTGATGGTGCCTCCCTTGAGCAAGCTGAGGTTAAAACCAACCGCTTGTCTTGCAGCTGTTTTGGATTCAAGAACATTCCAAATTGGAAGTTGGAAAGTTGTGAAAGAGAGGTAGTATTCGATCAAGAAGTAATGGGAGATTGGGATGTTTCAAACAACGCGAGAGGAGTATTGAACGTATTGAACAATGTAATTCATCATCATCGTTGCGAACATGGTTGTGGTCATTGTGCATCATGGATGGTTAGAAACAAGTGTAATGCGCAACTAGTACGTACCAGTGGTGCTTCCAAGAGTAATTTGTTCTGGCATATATATACTTGGAGTGTTTTTTGAGTTTTTTTTGGGTGATGGCTGTCAGTAGTGTGTGAATTTGCAGTTTTTGTGTTGGAGCCCTAAAATGTCGGTTGTCATCAAAAACTTCAACTCTGTTAAGTGTCATGACCTGACAGGAATAACAATTCTCTTTTAGTTAGGCATGAAATGACATATGTGAGTCAAATGCGTCGGGTCGTTCTGGTTGCCTTAGACGAAGCATTCTTTTCTAATGACAACAATTCAACCAACAGAGCATCTTGGCGAGAACAGAAACGTGTTTTCATGAACCTCTTCAATCATGCCTTCCTATTGTTGTTGTTGTTGTTGTAATTACATGTATTAACATGGTAGTTCACTATCTTGCGAGGCTTTGTTCGCAAAATGGTCGAATCATGCGATCAATAATCATAGTTAGATCCATTTCAAGAAAAAATCCAACTTTTGATGATAGGCGATGAGAGTAGTGGTGCAGTTGAGTAGTAATTTGTTTACAGTTTACTACTCGACTTTTCCCTTTCATGGAAGCTTGAGAATCGATGATTCCTTCTGATCAACGATCCGACATTCTTTAAGGACAAGGGCTGTTGACACACATACTATGCCTCTTACGTGTGAATAAGAGACTTGTCTTCCACAAGAGAGATTTCTCTCGGAGAAACGAAGAATGAAATTGTGTACTCGTAGTTCGAGAACAAGAGTTCTCTTTTCCATGTGGGTTCAACCTTCTGCTCCACGATCCTTCTTTTGGGAACAACCACCAACATCATTTAAAAAAGAGAGTCTTTCTGACATTAACCACCGCATCAAGAAATGTCTCTTTTATTGGCCACTCCCACCTTCCTCATCGATCACAAGAAGAACCACAACCATTCATCATCATCGTCCTCCAAATGGAAAGAAGAAAAGAAAAAAAATGCAGAGAATGATGAGGAAGAGGAGGAGGTTTATGATACCTTCTCTTTGGCACAACTGAATCAGGAATATTCATTACAACAAGCCTATGCTTGTTCTCGGAAAAAACAATTAGGTTTCAGTAGTAGTCATGGAAACAGTGCACTGAACAGAAAAATCGGACAAAGCACAGATGATCATTTGGCTCTCATTGATTTGCTGGATTCGGCAGGACAAGAAGAGTATAGTTCCCACAGAGATTTCTATTATCGAAGTGCTGATGGTTTTTTGTTGGTATTTTCGCTATGTGGAGCGGACACTCTGGAGGATTGCTCGCAAATCTACGAACAAATATTGAGAGTGAAAGACACCGATCGATATCCGTGTGTATTGATTGGAAACAAGTGTGATTTGAACGAAGAAAGAACAATAACGAGATCTGAATGTGAGCTAATGTCTTCTCGCTTGGGATTACCTTATTTCGAAACAAGCGCCAAGCATAACATTAACATTGAAGATCCATTTTTCGAATTGGTAAGAATGTGTGGAAGGCTGAATGAATATCGATTTGTCATTGTGGGCTCAGGAGGTGTTGGAAAGTCCAGCATTTCAACTCAATTCGTAAGTATCCCAAAGTTTGTAAATAATGGTACAAAGTTTGTACTACAAACTGATAATGATCTTTTTAAAATATCACTCTTAAACCAACATAGATACAAGGAGTTTTTGTTGAGTGCTATGATCCAACCATTGAAGATTCTTATCGAAAACAAATACTTGTTCCAAATGTTCCTTTTCACTCCATCATGGAAAACGTGGTCGATCAGAAACAGCCTGAAGAAAAACCAGGATTTTTCTCTAAATTATTTAAGAAGAAATCAAAGAAGGCCAACAGTAGCGCCAGTTCCTCCACTAACACCAATTGTTCATCATCATTAGAGACATCAAACAAGGACGAAGAAGTGATCAGGTTCAAAAAGTCTGATGCAAATTGTGTAGCCTTGAGTTTTAAAGCATTGTCATCGGTTATCACAAATGCAAATGTCACACCAATTTCACAACCATTGGGATGTAAAACTTGTGGAGCACTCATTGAGGAAAAGCTTTCCATTTGTAAATATTGTGATTGCACGAACGACCGAAAATCTTCCATTTCTTCCGTTCCTTCAGTGCTTGATTTTACTTTACGCTCAGCAAATAATCTTACACTACAGAAAGAGAAAGACTCAGGTCTGTTAATTTTCTGTATTGATATCTCTGGAAGCATGGGTCAAACAGAACTATTACCAAACTTCTCTGTCTTGAATTTGGACATGCGAAAAGCTCAACAGAAGGAGGAAAAAACCAAACGATTATTAAGAGAGCTTGGACTTGACAGTGAAATCGGTGTTCACAACCAATACCTCCCAAATGAAAGCAGATCATCGTCGTATGTGAGTAGAATTGAATGTCTTTCAATGGCAATAGATTTACAGCTGGAAGAAATATCAAAAGAGAATCCAAATAAGCGTGTTCTCATTGTCACCTTCTCAGACAAAGTCACGATTGTTGGTGACGGAAAATTTGGAAAAGCGACAGTGCCTTCAAACATTTTGAACAATTTCGAAGCATTGTTCAAACTCGGACGATCATATAGAACTTCGGGTCTAAGCTCAATTTATGAAACCAAAGACGCTCTTTCCGAAATTGTGTATTCTATTAATGAAGAAGGCCAAACTGCTCTCATTCCTGCAATTACAGTTTCTCTAGGCATTGCCAGTCAGGTCCAAAACTCTAAGGTAATAGTTTGTACAGACGGTGTAGCGAATATTGGTATTGGAGGGGTAGAAGATGGCCCTAACAAGAAGAATAGCATTAATCAACAGAAGCAATATTACGACAAGATTTCTAATTTAGCAACAGAGTATGGTGTAAATATAAGTGTTTTTGGAATTGAAGGTTCAGATTGTAACATGTCCATGCTTGGAAAGATTGCCGATCAAACAAATGGTACGACCAACATTGTCAAGCCAATTGAGCTGAGACGTCAAATGAGACAAATCATCGACAATCCTGTCATTGCCACCAACGTGAAAATTAATTTAATTCTATCTGCTCCTTTAACACTCAGAAACCCTTCCAAAGTTCAAGAGATAGTCACAAAAGGTACAAGTACCATCGTTTCACAATCGATAGGTAGTGTCACAGCAGAGAACGATCTGACTTTTGAGATTCAAGTGAATAGCAACAAAGTGGGTTCGAGATATAATGATGCATGTATACAAACCCAAATATTTTTCACAAGCAATGACAACGATTGTCTAAGAGTACTAACACAAGAAGTGAAGCTCACAAACGACAGAAATGACTCCTTACAAGGAGCAGATATTGCAATCATTGGATTGAATGCTGTTTTGAGAAGTGCTGAACTTGCTGAAGATGGTAACTTTAGAGAAGCAAGACTCAAATTGCAAAGTGCAAATCGATTAATGGAGAATATTTGTAAAACAAACACACAACAGGAGGAAATGCACTCTTTCGCAGCGAATACTCACGAGTTGGATGAAGATTTAAGAAAATGTGAGAAAGCATCCAAGTTCTCCTCTGATCATGTTTCCTCACTTATTTTCAGAATGAAAAAGTCAAATCTAAATAACTTTTTAGCAGGAACACGAAAGAGAGATATTGTCATGAACAGAAAGAACCACACAAATACTGTAGAGAAGAAGGGCAACAACAGCAACAACAACAACAGAAATGTTAATCATTCGAGACATGTGTTGCCTGAAGAGTTGCGTGAAGATCCAACAGTATTCACGAATTATGAGTGGCTAAACGAGGAGGAGCAAACAATGAATCGTCATCATGTTGAAGATTCCTCCACTGCTCATGTAGATAATACCTCTCATCATGATAAGCCTCAAAGGCAAGACCAAGATCAGTGTGTGGTTTGTATGGATGGAGAAATTAATGTCGTTTTGGTTCCTTGTGGCCATATGATCTTGTGTGAAACTTGTGCAAATCAACTCACAAACAAGAAATGCCCAACCTGTCGCCAGAACATTTCACAAATTGTAAAAGTATTCAAATAAAAGTTCTTCAAGCGTTTGCAGGTGACAGGAAAAAATTGCGCCCTCATCACCATCCAATCCGTCATCATGAAAGACACTGCTGAATATTTCGATACACCTGATGCATTCACGTTGGGAAGTGTCTTGATATCATCATTTCTCTCTTTGATAATCTCTGTCGTCATTACGATCGGAATGGGTTTGTTGGGTCGCTTTTGCATTCCCCAGCAGCGGCATGTTTCGGGAGGTTTTAATCAAGTTCCTCCATTTCTTTATTGTGCAATTTTGGGCTGGGTTTTGGCTAACGGCGTCATTTGGTATTGTTTTGGATGGTTTTCTTTATTGGTGGTGCTGGGCATCGTTGCTTTCTTGGCGATATTTGTTATGTTGAGATAGTTTATGAGATTGGAGCACTTTGGGTGACATGGCAACCAATACTGAGATTTATTCTTGTTCAATAAAAAACTCAAGAAGGAATCTTTTTACACCTTAGTTTCGTACTCTGAGGATGCCTCCGTGTCATTACTGTCAGCAATTCCATTCTCCTGTTGTCCGTCTTCTGTTCCATTGATAGTGAACGAGTCATTCTCAACCTTGATTTCCTTTTCTTGGACAAATCTTTCGATATCTTTGTAAGCTTCTACAATTCCATTCACTTCATCCATCAAGTATCGACACAAATGATTGGTGACTTCTCTGAGTGACATTTTGTACTCTGCTGCTCGTTTGGCATACAAACATTGAACTGGTTTTTGTTCAGGATCTTCCTCCTTTGATAATCTGACTTGATTATGTGGGAAAAGTTCATAAACTCTCTTTTCAATACTTTCTTGAGAATTTATCTCGAATCTCCAAATGCCATTCATTCTGCTCAAAAATGCCTTATTCAATTTAATTTCCTCTGTGTTATTGGCCGAGAAAATACGAATAATACCATCTGAAGGTTCAACACCATCAATGGCATTTAACTGTTAGTCATGTATGTCAACAAACACAATCAAAGATATAAATGTTTCAATGGTCAACAAAAAAAGATCGATTTCTTACTTACCACATTGCTCATTTCTTCAGAGTTGCAACTGTTCAAATATCTGTCAAAGTCCTCAATCAATACAACGACATATTCATGTTTGCCAGGATTAATAATTTTGTCATAGTCACATTCATCATAATCGTCGTCGCCGCAGCCTCCATTTGAACACTCTGAGTTGTCACGTTCTGGCTCTTCTTTGAAAATCATTTTTCTTGGAGAAAGAATCGACTTGATAGCATCAGAATCCTTAATATGTTTAGCATCCTTCAAATTGGCAGTGTAAATATCCAAGTTGTACTTGGTTGCAACGCATTTTGCGAAAGAGCTTTTACCAGTTCCTGGAGGTCCATGTAAGAAGTAGTTGAGTGAGCAGCTCTTTCCAACCTTGTGCAACAATTCAATTTTCTTGTGAATAATTGTAAAATCTCGTTCGAACATGTCAAATTTGTCGTCGAGACCAAAGACGTGCTCTTGATCCAATCCAACATATTGATATTTTCTCATCCAATATTCTTCTTTCACATTGTAAGCATAGAGGTTTCGTCCTCTCTCAGGAGATCGGACATTATCGACATACCACTCAAATAGTGCCTCCACTTTCTTGTTGGGATAAATCACAAATACAGATTCCTTGTATCTTGCCACTGTTTTTTCCTTGTCTCCAATACCCAGCAACTCACGACATGAGCCTTCAATTTCACTCGCAGGGAAATATCTCACAATAACTCGATGCGAAACAGCAGGATTTGGTTTGACACCTCTAATAAATGTATTATCGGAATAGGTTTTACATTTCAAAATCAATCCTTCTGAAAAATCCAACACAAATTCCTTCTCTTCATTGCCAATCATGTGGATGTGGTAATCATCGGTGAGAGTCATTGAGAATTCTTTTGGAAAAGCTCTCACTAACCGAGAGGGGAAACACCAACATTGAGAATCATTGGCATAGCCTCGGATGATGTGTGGATGAGGGTATTGAGCAAGCAAGTTTTTGTAGATGGACATTTTGTGTTATCTTGAATATATTCGGAGCTCTGCTGGATCTATTTTTTTTTGTTGAAAGTTCACCCACCGATTTTTAAAGTTTACAAAATGATGGCCACTCGCAATTTGATTGGAAATTGTAATTTCAAAAACATTTTCCTTATGTTCCTATTCATCGTATGATGAGAGTTCTTAGTTCCTATTCATCCTTTCGATGAATCTCAATTCTGAAAAACAAGTTCCACAAAAAAAATGTCGAGCGAAAGTTCTTCAACATGTTTCACGACAGTTCGTTCGGCATGTTGCATCATTCCACCTATGGAGGTATGGCCCTCGATATATACGGATCATTCTCCAGAGAGTGTTTTGGATTATGATCATAATAAAGCCTTGTGGCAAGCTCATATTAATGTGTAGGTTGAGAATGATGGGCGAGTTCTGTAATATATTATTTGGATCTATGGTTTAAATTTCTACTTATGATGAATGATTTGAACTGTATTATATTTTGAATGATATGCCTTTGTTTTATTATGACTTTTTTTGAATTAATTACCTTTATACGATCAAACGAATATAATTGTATTTACATGTTAATATTATTTTGAAAACTGACTGAAAAACCCAGAACATATCCATTCGTTGCCCAAGCAGGATTTTCGGCAGCTAAAACAAAATTGAAACAAATATTGAAGGAAAATTCCATTTCGAGTTTTGAAATACAGCTTTCAGATTTTGACATTTTTGAACATACTCATACTTCGATCATTTTCATGCGACCGAGAGTTCTTGGAGACTCTAGAGGAGATGATCTGTTGAAATTAATTCATGACTTGATTGTTACATCCTTCAATATTAAGGAAAATCATCCTTATGAACCTCATTTATCAGTGGCTTATGTGAAAACAGTAAGTGTCAACGCCAACAACATGTATCTTCCATTTTAATTGAAAAACTTCTTTGTCCATTTCCAGGAAGAAGTGTTGAAACGAAAACGACGATTTGAGGAAAGACTTTTACAGCCCATTCGATTCAAAGTGGACAGATTACACTTTTTGGCAACTTCCAAAGACAATGGTAAAATGTACAGCAAGTGTGAAATTATTTTAGATTAGAGATTTCTGTAAGGAGATTTCTGTATTTATATATATATATATTTATTTAATAACTATTTTCTAGTGAACCACATGTGTCATTTGAGAATTGATGAATATCCATTTAATTTCATCCAATTATTGGAAAATGACCTTTCCAATGAAGATGACACTCAATACCAAAAACACCAATTCAGCCAAATGGAAAATAATAGCACCTGCTGATCTCTTTTCTGGAGCTTGCAAATAGCCAACACAATACACAGCTCTTCCAATGATGTAAACCACTCCAGCCAATGCACTCACTTCTGGCCAATACAATCCACTCAAAATCAATCCGACAAAAAAGAATGGAGATCCTTCCAAGGCATTGTAATGCACTCTCATGGCTCGATTGAATTCGGGAGCACCAGTGACATCGGGATAAGGAACTTTGTGTTTCTTTCTCATATGTCCCACAATGCTACCAAAGACAAATAATTCGAGAGTGTAAGCAAGAGCGACGGCCAAAACGTAGCCAAAGGCAGAGGGAATTGCAAGTGTGAAGACCATGGTTTCCGCCTCCGAGTGTGTGGTTATGGAAATGTGTGTGAGTGTGCAACGCAACGAAAAGAATTGTTTTTTTTGTTGAATTTCCAAACACGTTGGTCGACGATTGTTGTTGTGCATTATGTTCGAACGACGGAATTTGAAGATCGTGCGTATTAATTCTTGTGGAGCGGATATCTATGATTGGTTAGAAATGAAGAAGAAGAAGCTTAGGATCAGTTCAGGAACTGATCAGTATAAAACACACGTGTTTCCTGGTCAAACTGCATGCAATTAATTGCATTCATTCTCCTTGCATTTTAATTTTTGGAATGACTCAACCACTCAACGGCATGTTCACTTCATTTCACAATAATTAATAGGAGGAAAAACCATCGGAATTTGTTCTTTTGAATTCTTTTGTGACAGATCACAACCGAATCGTTTGAGCAATTTTTGCCAAATTCAAACAAGATCAACGGATGTTGAACATAAACATTAAATTATGCCACGAAAAGTCATTGTCAAATTCTGAAATGTCTTCCATCTCTCACTTGTCGTTTCAACTTGATGATCCGATTTGGAAATGTTTCATCTTTGAAGAAATATTTTTTCAAGTAGAAGAAGAAAAAATAATTCATCATCATCCACAACCGACGACGACGACGACGAATCATCCAAACAAAAGAGAGAGCAATTAACAAGAGAAAAGAGTGCTGCATTTGTTTCCATAACTTTAACTTTTCCAAAGATCACGGCCGTGAATTTATATGAAGTTAAAAGTTCTAATAATTCCACTCAACGCTCGGAACATTGTATTCAACGACGACAGTTATAACATCATCATCTAATTTTTAAATCCGGAATTGCGATAACATTCCTTTTCATCAACAGAAATCACAACAATAACCTTCATAATTTATTATTAGATTCATCCATCATTTCATCTTCTCTACCATCAAATATTACAACAAACGATGTTTGATGATGATGGTCTTACTCTCTTTCTCAACCAAGATAGGAGGAGAGGACAACATTCTTTTTCCTATGATATGCCATCCCGATCCCTCATGATGGCTAGTCATGATATTCAAGAGGAACGTCAAGTGATTCTCAATGTGATTGATCGGTTAATACTTCATGGCTCTTCACTTTTTGAAAGACATATTCGACCTTTGGAAGAAAACTCTAACTCCATTGACTACGATAATGGTGATGATAATTTATTGGCATTTGAAAATGCAACCACTCACAATTCTTCTACATCAAAAAAAGAGAAAAAGGAAGACAATTCTGTAAAGAGAAAAATTCAAAATCATGCTAAAATGTTGTATGGAAATTTAAAGCAGTCACTACATCAGAGGAATATTGTGGCTTGCTGTATTGATACAATCATGAAAGTGAATACGCTCATTGATGCAAATCAGCTAAATGTTGAGGAATTGAAAAAAGATTTACTTCAACAAGCTAAAGAACAAGATTTTCTGGAGACATCGTCCTCAGATGAGGCAAATTTGGAATTTATGGATCCGTATGATGTACGACTCTCGATCGACGATCCTGAAAATTGGATCTCACGTTATATATTTTACAGATATGCCAAGACGTTTGATGTGGAAGAAGGTTGTTACACCATGTCACGATCACAATTTGACAAATTTCTCACACATTTACGTGAAGTTTTGGGAGAGAGAGGACTTGGCTCTGACATTCTTGTAATTAAGGATGTCCTTGATGAGGATCAAGAACAACAAGCAGATTTATATGGATTTGAAGATAGCTCGATTGCCACATCGGTTTCGAGTAATAATATTGTGTTAGATGTTGGATCTGTGATGTACGAGCTAAGACAAACGAAACAAGTCACAGAGCAAACCTTTCTAAATTGGTTCCAAGGAGTGTTGGGTAAGTTTGAAATTGAAACAAAGATTTACTTATATATATTCTGTTTAGTATTATATGTCATGTTCAAATATGATCAATGACAACTCAGGTGGGTTGTGCCATGTTGAAATACATTATTCACAATTTTTAGAGCTCAAAGAAGAACTAGGACCAATCGAATTCCAAACACCTTTTACTTCCTCCCTCTTGCGACATTGGTTGGGGAAAAAGTTTTGTAATTGTTATTCCAAGAATACAGTCTTCGCAATAACTTGCATCACTCTCGTAAATTCTTGTATTTATTCACTTTAATCTCACATGCTAATCAATTGCCTTCTGTCATCACAGATTGATCTCCTTCATCCTCCCCATCGATAAATTCATTCATACTTGGCAGTTCAGATATCTTTTCATCTTGAGAAACTCTCAAAGGAGGGTATTGTCTGAGTGCGATTTCTGGACATTTGATTTCGAACACTCTGCTTTCTTCAATCAGGCCTTTCAATTGAAACAGTCCAAGCTCTCTGGCTGTTAAATTTGTTTCAGCATTCACTTTTGGAGCCTTTTTGAAAAGACTTGATAAACTTTGAATGCTTGTCAAGCTATCTCGGCGCTTCATTTCTGGTTTCTCTTTCTGCTTATTTTGGAATGCTGTTAGTTGCTGGAATCCATAATATTCGTCCATATACTTGATGTCATTAAATAGGTCAGCAGTTTCTTGGAGCAACTCATCCGAAATTAAGACTTGACCACCATGTGCAATTGCTTCAATACGAGCCGTTTTGTTCACAACATTTCCAAAATAATCAAAACGTTTCGTGTTCTTATCCCATTTTGCGTCACCTTTTCCAAAATGAAGTCCAATTCTCACTCGTACTCCACTCCAATAAGCACGTTTTGTTCTCTTATCCCATTTCTGTCTACAATCCCATTGGTGATACAATTCAGAAGGCCATTTGGCATTCAGCAAATCGATTTGAACTTGCATGGCCCATAACACAGCATCATGCGGACTCTTAAACGCCACGAAAAAGCTGTCACCATTGGTTTTCACTTCATAACCACGATAAAGCTCCAAATTCTTTCGCATAATTTGATCATGAATTTCAAGTGACGCTCTCATTGTTTTTTCGTCATGTTGCCATAATTTGGTTGAATTTTGAATATCTGTGAAAGCACATGTAATGTATCCACTCTTTGGAGCATGTTTTGTACCAGAGGTTTTTTTCGAACAAATAATTCCAATCATTATGAGACAACAAATACCAATCGCAGTAAATGTACCAGCAACCGCAATACCTGCAATAGCACCGTTAGAAAGCAAGGGCAAAATTGGTTGCAGGCCACATGTCTCAAATGTCACCTTAAAACTCTCTCTATTCGACGATGGAAGCGACAAGAATATAGATTTTGCTCCTTGACTGCAATTACATGATTTTTGAGTTTCACATACAGTTGAAACCTTAATAGAGGATGAATTAGTAGTTGAAGAAGTACAAACATCTCCATATGGACCAAACACATTAGTTCCCAATTCAAAAATTGATCGATCAAAAAGTGTGTTCACAAATGCTTCGTTTGTCAATGCCATATTTGCTTGTTTCATATATTGCATGACATTCACGGCCATATAACCAATTGCGAAACCTTCATAGGCAAGCATGGATGCACTTTTGGTTTGATAATATTGGGAAAAGTATTGCAAAAAGTCACGAGCCATAAAGTTAGTATTACTTGCCGATGAATAATTTTCAAGAAAGTTGGGAGTAAGTATTTGTGAAGCTGCAGATGCTTTGACGTTTTGAGAAAATTGAACACTTGATGCAATTTCTGAAGGAACTCCATAAAGGACGTTCATGTTCTCAGGTAATTGATTCATGTACGACAGTGTATCCTTAACATCTGCCATAATAATCACTAAATTCGAAGACAATGACGAATCTTGATACAGATTTCTTCTTCTAACATTTGCAGTTGAGATTGATTGAATGTTCACAATAGTGATACCTTCTAAACTTGTACTAAAGAAATCAAGTACGTCATTCTTATTTTGTTCCCAATAATTTCCATTTCCATAGACAATGCTAATCGATGGTTTTTCTCCTTCTGTTTTTTGTTTGATATATCTTTCCATTGTGACGATTTCTTCAACCATAGAAGGACGAATATTCACAACATATCTTGAATATGGTTCTCTAAGGGCTTTTTGAGAGGATAAAGGGCCAATTAAGAGAACTCGTTTTTCTTCAAGAAGAGCTTTCAACTTGGCTTCATTATATAAAATTCGAGACCCCAAAAATCCAAACACTTTGTTTTTCTCTATCATGGAGGAAGCTTTTGCAAGCATATCATCTTCATCGCAATAGTATTCAGTCTCAACATGCAAGGTCGTTCTTGATAAGGTACCTTTATCATTAGTACTTTCGAAAATAGATGAGATACCATACTCAAAATCATCTATACTGTCCGCATAAGATGAATTGTCGCTCTTTGGTAATAATCGACCAAATATAATTGGCTGAGAAAATGTTGTTTCGCTTGATACAGAATCAATTCCACACTTGGACTTGTCGAAATTTTGAGTTTGTGCCAAATTAAAGGTGGAAGTATTGTTGTCAAAAGTATAAATATAAGAAGAACGCATAGCCAAGTTACAACCAGAATCATAGGATAGCCTTTTAAGAGTACCAAAAGGAATGGTATACTTGAGAAAATCTCCATTGGCATAAATGGTGTTCAAGAGATTCGCTGTATTGATGGGTAGGGATGGAGATATGTTATCAAGAACTTCGAAAAGAAAACTGACAGCCAAAAAACCCTCAACAGCAGCTTTGGTTTTCACTTGAGTATTTGGTTCATAGGTTTTCATAAAGTTGTTATATGCTGCGACAAGTGGATGATTGGCATTAACTAGGGGAAAACGTTGGACGATGTTAAAGTTGAGGATTGTTTTCGAGTGGAGAGAGCTCAAAAACACGCCAAGATCGTGTTCCCATAAAATAGAATCCCAGTAAATAGAAAAGATTGAAATTTTGTCTCTTTTTTGAATACGAGAAATGGCTTCAATAAGAGTCTTGTATATGTCAAAAGACTCGATGTTTTCTGGGATTGCAATAAGTACCGCTTGAGGATTTGCATCTTTGGACAAAGAAGCTAAAATCGTGTCAGAGTTCAGACTGTCACCAATTGAGAATGAAAATTCACTGTCAATTTCAAGTTTCAAGTCGCTTATCATTGATTTAAATTCTGAATAAACATCTAACCCTGATTCACTTTTGGTGTAAACGATTGAAAATCTTGAATGACCATTTGTGTTCATTTCATAATTAAAGAATGATGCTAATCGTTCTCGAACCATTGTTCCTAAATTAATAACATTGGGTGTATAGGTTTCTCTCAGTTTCATAGAGTCATATGATGAGTAAGGAGCCAACATGAAGGCATTGGGAAGAGTTTGCTTCACTCCAAGTATGAATTGTGTCACTTCAGATAAGGGAATGTAAGTTCCAATAACTCCCAATACATTGTGATCTTTGATCAGATCTTGCACAGTGTTGATGATCGATAATGCAGTTGAATTCGTTTGAGTTACAGATAACAATTTCACTACTTTTCCTCTCACTCCTTTCTGATTGTTTTTGTCCATAACTGCTGCCATAGCTCCAACCAAAAAATCATTATCACGTTGAGATCCAGTGTTAATATGTCCAAAAACAATTGGTTCCTGAACGTTCGATGGATCATAAAGGCAAGAATAATTGGTAGAACCGCTTAAATCCCAGACAGTAGGGTCACTAATTTCCACAAAGGATTTGTCTTCCTTTTGATAGGTCTTATAAACACTTCTCAAACCTTGATTACAAGAACAGAGAGGTGTAAAACCAATGACATCTCTAGGTGTTAGCTGTGTGAAAGTCACTCTAGGAGAAAATCTTGGTTTTATCACAGAATCAGGCACTAATTGTTGTTCAAATGTATTTGCTGTTTCTTGTACATTCACCTTTCTAGCAGTTGAGCCTGCACATTGTGTGTAAGGTCCAACCACTGTATTGTCAATAATATAGGTTCCTGAAGAATATAATAGGCTTATAAAATTTGATCTTGTAAGATCTCCCGAAACTCTCTGTTTGTCATTGTCAATCCGGTGTGAAACAATTTCATTATCTTGTCAACGTACCTGGGTCAAAATGTTGTATGCAAGCTTTCCTGCCATATATCCTTCAAATTCCACATAGGAAGGAGTAAAGTTTGGATCTATTGTTTTTTTAGCTCTCTGATAGGCCAAAACAGACGCATATTTGGTATTGGTTGGCGGTGGAAGAATTTGTGTAATCATAAAGCTGTCACGGTAAGGTAATAGATTCGAGCCAATAAAACTACCTGTCATGAACACAATATTTGGATCAAAATCTGTTCGATTTTTAACTGCATTGACAAATGTGACAGTCGGTAAATAGGTCGACATGCAAATGATGGCTTGCGGATTTCCCTTTTGGATGTCATCAACAGCCTTCGAGACAGCTATTGTGTTTCTTTCATAAGATCCCTATAGTAAGATAAGTGGTCAGTTAGTATCATGAATAGATTGACATTTTTAGAAATATCTCTGTCACGAATACCTTACCATTGATACGAAAGACAGACCCAAAGCTTGTAGGCCCAATGACGCTCCACTCACTCCACTCAACCCAAAAGCATCATTTTGATAAAGGATTGCAATTCTTCTAACTAATTTAACATTAATCAAGTAACCAACCATAGCCAGAGTTTCATCTTGATAGCTTGCTCGAAGATTGATAATATTAGGTTGGAAAGGTGTTCTTAAAAACAAGCCTCCAGTAAAGGCACCAATGAAAGGCAGTTTAGATTTTACAATCCATGGATACGCAATTTGAGAGGTTGCAGTGCCTATTCATTGATGAGTGAAAATCATTGACATGTTTTAGAAAGTTCATGCATCTCTCAACATACCCATATAGCCAATTAATCCAAAAATTGTATTATTATTAATAAGGGCCAAAGTGTTGTTCAACGTCATCGGTGGATCGTAACCGTCATCCAATGTAAAGAGTCTCAGCTTTTTTCCGCCCCATACACCACCTGTTGTCATTGCAAATCAAACGCATGTCAAAGCAAATTAACAACAAGATGACAACATACCAAGACTGTTAATTTCTTCGAAGGCTGCTTGAACGCCCGTCATCATAGGATATCCCAGTCTGTGTGTTGGCTCGAATGTCAAATACATCGATTTACGCACCAAAACTCCATTTGACACTTACTCTTTTGTTTGCCCAGTGAGTGCCGTTGATTGACCAAACCATATTTCAGTTTCGTCATTCCATTTCTTATTGTAATTGTTTTCATCGAATGTGAATTGGCCTTGCACAATGGATATTGTCGTGACAAGCCAGCAACATAACAAAATTGTGACTATCACTGATATTAAACTATTTGTCGTTGATTTGTATTGAACTGCCATTAGTAATGATGAAGACATTTCTCTCTCTCGTAGAAATATTTAGTGCAAGTTTGTAAGGGTTTGCAATCGGGTTGCTTTTTTTTGAATTTTGGCAGCTCTACGTTCTGCATAATGCATCAAAGGTTGATGCACAATATGCAATTTCTGGTAATTTGTTGGACCATCAACCAACATCATCATCACCGAGATCAAGCACTATTTGAATATTAACGTCCAAGATGCACAAAAACCCATTCAATCATTGGACATCTTTGGAAGAGAGAATGAGCAAGGCTAGTGTCATTTGGTTCTGCCCGGTTTATGATGACCTTCCGAATTGATCCATCTCTGCCATCCGACAATTTCGTATCTCTGTGTTGTAAATATTTTTTTTTGAGAATTTGTAACGTCAAGTTCGAGCGCGGTATAAACGTTTTTGTCTATTTTTGGTCATCTTGAGGTTTGAAAGAATCTGGATTGTACTGACGAATTCATCGACATTATTATCATTTGCAAGCTTGGGTTTGTTGAATTTTATTCATCTTTACCATCTTTGAAAGACATCCATTTACCTTTGCTTGCAGTCGTTTTCATGGAAGATGTCCTTCTTTTCGAAGATGTTCTTTTCAGTCATTTGACGAATTATTGTTGCCAAAACACACCCGAAATGTGTCACATTTGAATATCAACGTCATTGGTTTGAAATATATGATTATTTTCAAAATTAGTTGACTCATGGAGGCAATAATAATGTATGTAATGGTTATGTTGGTCATGAACAACAGTATTGAACATTCTTTCATACCTTTTCCAAATAAATCGAAATTCCGAATATGGAACACCTCTTGCGTTCAAATTCAAGAATTAATCCTTTCGATCGTGGAGGTGTCTAGTGTTCATGAAAACAACAATTCCTCACCGATGCTTGTTCTACTCACCACCAATCCACCTTCAAAAAATTGCCTATATTCTTTCACAACTGGCATTGTGACACAACGGCGTCACTACCAATACGGCCATTGACAATTCCACCATGAGCAAAATCTTTGATTTCAACTCTGCATTTTCCTTCATAGTTCGGGTCCGATTGTAAATAAATTCTGAATTTAGAAAAGAAATAGATGAGTTGAATTCTTGGGTTTATGAGAATATTAACGACGGAGTTTATAAATGTGGATTTGCACAGACGCAATTGACCTATGAAGAAGCTTTTCATGCACTTTTTAAGGCGTTGCAACAAGTGGAAGATCGATTGTCACATCAACGATATTTAATTTCTGGTGTGAGACATTTGACAGAAGCAGATATTCGTTTGTTAGTGACCTTGTTGAGATTTGATGCAGTCTATTATACACATTTCAAGTGTAATTTGAAAACGTTGAGATTTGGATTTCCAAATTTGCATAATTACATGAAAGATGTTTTTCAATCCTTTGATGGAATTTTGAAATTGACCTTTGACGTGGAAAAAACCAAAAAACATTATTTTGGATCTCACCGAAAAATTAATCCGACTGGAATTGTTCCTTTGGGACCTGAATTAGATTTGGATTCTCCTCCTCAACACAGAGAGATGCTTTAGAGGATATTTCCACTTTAGTATTGTACATTCATACGATTTTTGACATATATTCATCGATCTCTGTAACGTTCTTTCAAGAACATATGTCCAATTCTGGTGTGGAGTACTTACATTGTTATACATCACCTTGTTCGACGAATGTGCGTTAAACAATTATTATTATTGTTTTCAATACACTGGTTTTGTTGTAATTGCCATAGTCTTCTACTTTGATACTTTGGCATCCATCCTTTTGCTACTTTTCTCACAGATTTTGCAATGTTGCTATTTTTCTCAACTAGCTCATGATCAAAGGAATAGAGAGAGCGTTGTCCTTACTTGAAAATTCCAAAACAATCATCACCAGATCCAAATATATATAATTCTCCAGTCAATTCATTCACACAAAAATCACCAGTAGCATAACATCTCAAGAATCGAAATGGTTGGACAGAATCGTTCTCATCATCCTTGTCACGTATTATTGCCTTTCCATCCTTCGAGAACACTTGACACATAAGTCGACCCACCATAATAATTCTTCCAGTACTTCGTTCCACATACATATAGATAGGACGGCGTAATCGATGAGAAGTTTCTGGAAGATAGGTACGAAGGGTGTTATGTAAACGAAAGGAGCCATCATGTTCTTTTCTCATCATGTAAACCTCTTGACGAATTAATGAAAGATGGATACCTCTTGTGTCTGTAGTGGACCACATGATTTTCACGCGTTCAAGAAGGTTTTCATTAGAAGATTCTTTGACAAGTGCATCGATCAAGCACTGCAAGTCCACTTTTAGCAACATTTGTGGCTGCTTGAATGTTTTCAGAATCAAAGCATCTCTTCCTGTTTTTGTACTCAAACAATAATTACTTTCAACGAGTAGATCATCAAAGATTGGAGAACTTTTTGCAATTAATTTTTTCAGTGTGAGATCAAATATCACGACACATTGATCATGAATCACAAGAAGGCAACGACAACTGTAGGATATATGCGCTGAGCTTGAAGAATAGTACATGGATGGAATTTCTCCAACACGCTCATATTTCAGAGAAAATGGTTTTAGAGGTGGCGTTCGGATTTTGTGCAGCAATTTCTTGAGGAGTGATTCAAAATGATCGACTTCATGAAGAAGACTTTCGCAAAAGTGCTTGTGTTTGGAAGTTCGAAGTGTCGGAAAATTCAATACAAAATGCAAAAGGTGAAACCTGGTCCTCTCCTTCTTTGAGTATTTGTTGAATGGTATTCAAGAATGATTTTTCTTTTCGAATTTCTGTTAGTAGAGTGAGTGAGTGATCACATTTTTCAAAAAAGAAATAACTGAATTACTAAACAACGATAGATCAACCATGAGCATCTCAGGCCTTGGAATCTTAGACCATAATAGAACCTGGCATCCATGTACCATCTCCTTTTGGAGCAATTATTCACTCAAACCCTTCCAACAACGACTATTATTTGCTCACCTACACAAAGCAGAAATCCTTAGAAATTTCGGAAAAGATTACCCTAATTGCCACATTTGCAATACCAAAGCCAACTGGGAACATGTATTCACCTCATGCACCATGTGTGGTCCGGAAATCAAATCATTATACACAAAATGGGACAACAGTTCCCTCAAATTCAATGCCCCTCTTATCAGACTTCCCTCAAACCATTCTCTCTCTTGTATTCCAATGGATTGGAATGGTAGTATCAAAGACGAACCTCTTCAACAATTAGACTTATCTCCCCCAGCTTTGACTGATTGGCTAAATGAAATATATCTCTCATTCGCTGCCTATGTTGGCAGTTGTTACAAAAACGCCACTTGGAACAGTTCAACTGTACTCAAGAAGGCTAGAGGATATATAATTAAACCCAAAACTGCAAAATTTGCAACTGCTTGGGAAACATTTAGCAGTCAGCTTGGCGAACTCAACTCCAACAACATCTACACCTCACACCTACACACCCATTAGACACACTATCGTCGGACAATTGAGTACCTATAATTTGTTTATTTTTCAATAAACCCATTCCTGTATTTTTCAAAAAAGAAATTCATAGGTAGAAGATGATGACAATGAAGATGCATTATTTAATCATGCAGTGTCTTCCCACCTATTGGTGATTGGGCAATATGCTTGTGTGACCTGTGAGAAATGAATATGTACTCTATTGATACAATAAAAACTGTCTCATGATAAAAAGATTGAATTGATCTGTTATGAAACATTTCAGTAATCGTATGTTCCTTCAATTCCCAATCAAAACCAGCCAATAAGTTAGACATGGCTTCCTTGAAATAATAATAGGTGCGTGTAAGTTTCTTCCAAACACCATTTTCTTTCACTTACCGGTAAGAAGTCTCCCAACTCTGTCAAGAGAAAAGGAGAGTATTGGTTCATTTCACACTACAAATTACCTCTAGAAAATGATAATAGAACAGAAGTTTACAAAACATCGCTTGATCAAGCCAATTCCCAAAGTCGTCGATAAGACCGGTAATCTCTAGTGATTCAAAAGTTTCTAAAAAAGGCTACAGCACTGCAGGTTCCCAAGTTGTCTCCAACCTCAGTACTGAAGCAGCTCGACGATGCTTAACTTCTCAAATCGGACGGGATGAGGTGCATTCATCGTGATATGGCCGTAGCCATTCAAATGCAATAAAAAACTGAATCAGAAAACTCTCAATTCTCGAGAGTCATGTTTTTGCCACACATTTCATTGTTCCCAATGGAAGAGAAACATCTAATTTCCATAATTTTCTGTTACTACCTGGATGCAATTCTTGCAAGTGATTGGGATGCTTCTCCTTGTATCGTTCGTAAATATCTTGCATGTCATTGATACAATGTTTCTTTAAATCCACAAATAAAGTTTTTTCAAGAATGTCGTTTGTGTCCAAATGTGTCTTGAATTGTTGAACCATTTTGTCTTTTTTTGGAAGGTTCAACTCGAGAGGTGAATTTTCATTGAGGTAATGATCCAAAATATGAAATGCCAGTTTTCTCCTTGACTCCACGTCATTCGTCGTTTCGTATCGTTCAATGTCATTGTAACAAAGAATATTTTCTGGACAGTAGGACTTTCTTGCAAAATCCAACAAGTGAGAACACATCTTCTTGTTGTGAAGAATGAGCTCGAGAGGAGTCACTTTCTGAGAGTCCTGTTCCGAATGAGAAGAAGGTTCCAAAGAGGATGATGATTTTTTGTAATCCTCACGAATGGCATAACACAATGGAAGGATCACACTCACCAAAACGTCCACAAGCGAATAGGACGAAATTATGGCACCTGACGGGAAAATGAATTCCAGCAACGTCACTAATGTGTGAAAATAATTTCATCAAGAGAGACCGAAATGCAATTAATAACCTTATAAGGAAAATTAAAACCTACCATAAATGTTAATTTGAGTCAAAGAAAAAACAATCAACAATATCACCTGAAAAATCACCAAAACAAATGTTTCCATTTTGAATCGCCAAGTATCCCTATCGGACAAGGCTCCCAATATCAAAACAACAATTTCCGCAATCATATAAACTGCAGCTTGAGAAATCATCAATATCACAGAATTGGTTCTTGAAATACATCCATGAGTGAACAAAAAAAGTCCTCCCTCTGGAACAATGATTCGATTTTCATTGTTTGGCCTTGTTGTTGGAGAATTCCTATAAATTCCTTCCTCAATGGAGCCCAACAACAACCACAATCCAATGGCACTCAAAATACAAGTCGAGTAGACAAGAATGGTAAATTTGTGGCTTGTGAAAAAGTGAAGAATTCGAATGCGTTCACGTTGTCGCTTATTGAGAGTAGAAATTTCTTCATTTGGAACAAATTTCAATTCAGGTGATGACGATGGTGGTGGAAGAGGTGAGATTGTGTTCTCAAGCTCATGAAGGGATGGATCCATTGAGTTTAGTGGTGTTGAAGATTGAGTGGAAGAGGGTGTTGGAGTTGTTGTGGCATCTTCCACTAACGGATTCATCCTTGGAGACACAAAAGATTGGTTTGGTGTGTCTTGGGTGACCTGACAAGTGACACTTGTAATGGTCGTCGTTGTTCTCATCGTTGTGGACAAAGTGGAACTCCTATTCATCATAGTCTTGATTAAATTCAATCGATACATGAAAAACAATCTCAACGATCGCAATAGTGTCGGCAATGAAAACAATGGCTGTGTAAGAAACCACGTCAATGAAAACAAGGCACACGGAAAGATCTTTCTTCCCACAAAAATTCGAATAGTCGAAATAAAGACAAACGCAACACTTGCACACAGTGTGGACAACATCATGGAACTACTTCTTGCTCGAACATGACCACTCTTTCTCTTGATGAAAATTCCAAAAGCGCCAACAACGGTCAACACGAGACTTGTGAACAAGATGACACTTGTCGAAAGTGGAGCGAGAAGAGTATCGGGACAGATGGAATATTCATAGTTAGGATGAGATTCGACACTGAGATTTGGATTGAAAAGAAGGAAGTGACAAGTCGTTCCGTTCACGAGATTGGTCTGATTGTTGACGGTCAAATTGAATTCCGTCAGAAATGAGGAAATTATCAACATGTCTCACAAAATCGTGTCGATGAAAGAAGAGGATGATGTTTCGTCAACGTGGACGAGATGAGAACTTGGGCTTAGTGAATGGGAAGACGACTGTCGTGGATTTTTTTGTCGTGTTTGTGTGTGCGTGAAAGAAAGTAATCACGTCAGACAGTCACATTTCAGATAACTATGACTTTTGTACCAAAAAAGTAAACAACTAACAAACTTGCCTTCGAAAGGTTAAATAAAGGTTTTGGCCTCTAATATATAAATTGAAATGATCGTAACAGGATCTTCCTGCTCTAAGAGCTTACGAGAACTCGGTTGCTTCAAAGAATATATAACCAACAGGTTGGCAATTGCATACATGGAATCAAGTTTATGATTATTATGTGTTAATAAGTTGGAGTGGTCATCTAAAATGAGACGATTGAACGTCCTTGTTGTTTTGAACACTTGGAGATGGAGCTTTATATCTTAAAGACCTTCATCTACTCTTCATCAGTTGTTTTAATAAACTAAAGAAGGAAGCAATATCTTCGAACGATTCTTTGATTCAAACATAAATGTGACTCTCACACTTTCAATCACAAACTAATGCTGTAATAAGCACTTCAGACTTTTAACTGTTGAAATTGTCATTTTCAAAATAGGAAATTCTAAATATTGCGTGTGAAAGCCTAAATTTCGTCCTTCCTAATTGGATTCCTTTTTAGAGCCGGTTAAGATCTATCTCTCTCCAAATTTTGGGCAAACACTTATTTTCTTTCGAGATAATTTCGAAATGAAATTTGTCTCTTGTTTGAGACAATTCACCACCTTGTCTGTTGTCAATGACAATCATTTGGCATTCCAAAACAAAAACCACCATAGCTTCGCACACACAATATCACCAGTTTCTGTTCATCAACCAAGAACATCACAACGTGCACACAAATCGATTTGTCAATCATTGAACCCGAAGAGCTGACGATTTTCCTTTTAAAGAAATCGCCCTCTCCCAACTTTGGAACCTATCACACAAGACTTATCATCTTCATAAAAGCACCAGTCGGACCGAGCAGAAATTCTGCAGAAGTGTGTCAGGTTCGTTTCAAAAAATGTTTTCATCTTCTTCACCACCAACCCCCACCACTACGACGACTACGACGCATCCACCACAACAACCACCACCACCACAAGTATTGGCATCTGTTTCTTCCTTTTCATCCTCATCGCCAATGAATTTTATGCAATTGTGGGTCGTCGCCACCGCCGCGGAGCTTGGAACAGAAGACAGCAACCCTCCCTGTTGTTGTTCCGTCGTCCGGAGCAATAACCCATTAAGCTTTCTCCAGGAGCAAGTGAGCTCGGAAAGGGAGAGTGGTGATTCTATGGGTCATCATCCCAAGAGGATGAATGAGGATGATCCTACTCATTCTTCTTGTTCATCTTCATCCTCGTTTCGGAGGAGAGGCTCTTCATCTTCTCCTTCGACCAACCAAACGTTCATGAAGAACACCAACAACAACACCAACAACACCAACAACACCAAGAACACCAACAACACCACCACTAACGAATTCAATGTTCAACAACCAGCCATTCCATCCAAACCTTCCTCTTCTGAAAACAACTTGGAAGAAGTCTATCCCCAATACTACCCCGACAACGACGACAACAATGTCGACAACACGTACGATCTTGAAACCAATCATCATCATCATCCTTCCTTGTTTGGAGTATCTACACAACCATCAAGCGGAACAAACTTCTCAGCACTCTCCAAGCGCAATCATAGTGGAAAGACTCATATCATTGATATTCATATGAGACCTGATTTTGAGAGAATTTTGGAGAATGATGTCGCTTTGCAATGTTTTCGAAATTTTGCAAATTCTCAACACGTGTTGGAATCGTTGGATTGTTTGGTCGATATCAAACGCTACAAAAAACTACTTTTGAAATTGTATCCTCAAATGAATTCAGAAATGGTGGCTGGAAGAAGATTTTCAACTTTTAGTAATCATTCTCAAGGAAGTAATAGTGGTATCATGACTACAACTCCTACGACTGTGAATTCTCCTGTTTCACCCTCTCATGGCAACAGTGTGAACTCGCCAACTTTTATGAATGCAAAGCACGGATCTTGCCATTCAAAAAGGTCCATCTTTAGCTCCTTTTTCTCAATTAGTTATACGAGTAGTAGTACAGAGAGAGAAATTGAAACCATCTCAACCTTGGATTCTCCAAAGGAGCTTCCATTCAACGATAATAATACTATCATTCCAGAGAATAAGGAAGAGTCCACAGAGACTCCCAAAAAGGGTTTTTCATTTAGGAGACTGTCATTAAGGAAAAAACCACCTCCAATTCTTGATCGAATAGATTCAAACACGGATCTTGTTGTCACAAGTGATGTGAAATCCCCTCAAAATGATCCATGGATTCATCGTGATAGTATCATTTCTGCTTTGGAATCTCATGACGACCCAAAACCAGGAACAGTTTCTCTTTTTGATGATGCCTCTTCTATCACAAGTTATGAAACCAGTAATTCCATTTCTGTTCGTTCACCATTATCCCTACTTCGATTTCCGTCCAATGACGACAAGGAACGGCAACTACAAGAAAAAGTCTATTACTGTGTGCTTCAAATGATTGACAATTATTTGAAGGATGGCGCTCCTTCTGGAATTAATGTGGATGGATCATCGAAACGACAAATTTTGAATAATGACAGTTTGGCGTCACTGAACCGATTCACACACGATCTTGACTTTATGACCAAATATAATCTTTTCAATCGAGTAGAGCTACAATTATTACTCCTTATTAAGGGAGACGTTTTACCTCGATTTGCCCAATCTGAAATGTGGCAGCAATTTGTGTTGCAAAATGGAAAACTGGCGGATTCTTGTTGTTACCCTGAAGATTTGCAAAAAGTGGAAAGACTCAAATATCGAAAAGCAGATTTCCTTAGAGAATATATCACAAACAAGGATCTTGAATTTAGTGAAATGGCAGCAGGAGATATGAGCTGTTTACAACACATGTTAGGATCGTCCGATTTAAGTGTCTTCTTCAGTAAGGGTCGTCAATTTGTTGACACGGAAGAGGTTGGGTTTGGAACATTCAATATGGCCAAGGTGGTTGGGTTTCTTCCTTTCCCTGCCGAAGTGGTTGTGAGTGCACAATGTTCTGCGTATGCCACAAAAAAGTTTCTCCCGACCACCAAATTCGATGAGAATTCGCAAGGAATTGAAACTCCCTTCCTCCCTCATGAATACGAACTGATCGATTTCTCAGATGATTCGAAGAAGCATATTTATCCCAGCTGGTTGACAAAGTTCAATGTAGCCTTTCCAAAACCATTTGGTATGAGAACTTGTTATGCAGCAGGTAAGTCATTTATGTCAGGTCTTTTTGTGTGACTATTCATTGCTTCATTGGTCATTTCTCCCATTGTCAAACCTTAATGTGAATGCAGGTTCTGTCTTCTTTGCCAATGGAAAGTACTTCTCCATTAATAAGGCAATTTTAAACGAAGACAAGTACCCAAGCTGCTACAATTATGTGAAAAAGAATGGAAAGATGGGCTCCAAAAAGACCACGAACAGCCTATTCATAAGCGTACACGTTACGACACCTGTGTCAAAAGATAGATGCCACAACACGCATTTAGCCATCATGAACGCAGGAGGATTTCTCAACATTCTTGCAGCAAAACTGTACAAACAAACTGTTGGAAAGGTGAGCGCTCAAGGTCAAAACAATACCATTCACGAGTTGAACGAATTAAAGAAAGACCGATACAAAAACATCGAAGATGGATACACAAGAGCCAAACAATATCTTTCTCTCACTCTTCAGAGAATGGGAAAGACATTGGGAGCAGACTGCCCCTTTCCGCAATCGTTTGAAAGACTCCAGCGATATGCCGATGTAAAGTGATATAATTACTTGCAACGATAACAAAATAACAATAGAAATCGAATGAAAGATCAAGACCTTCATTGAACTTGTAACGTCATAAGCGCAGTACACTTAAGCATTGGAAACTTGCATAATCTTGAAACCCCACCAGATAGCCCACAACCAACCAATCAAGAGCCAGGACAAGAACATTTGCAAAATACCAACAATTAAAGTGGAGGTCATCTTCTCCTTCTCTGAGGTAAGAATGGCAGCCAAAATGGTGCCGAAACCAGGGAAGAGGAAGTTGATGATCAAAATGATCATACCCATAGACTTTTCAACTTTTGGAGTGCTATCCTCAAGGAGACCCTATCGAATGAAAAAAAACCTTGTTAGCCTTTACGGGAACTATCTCTGTAGAACCTACCATTTTTAATGATTAAACTGAGTTGAGATATTTTTTTTGTGTGGCAAAAAACTTTTCTCCTCCAGCGCCCTTAAGAGCAGTGCACCGTAAAACATTACAACGCTTACCTCCAATGAAAAGTATGGGTGCAGTCAGGTCAAATTTGGGTAGGTGCAGAAACGAATTTCCTTTTCTCCTCTGCGAGCGAGATCTGTAAGTCGATACTATAGCGACAAATTTGTGTATACAAAGGACATAAAAGGGGGAGATTTCAAATGAAAATGAATAAACGATCCAACAGATGATGGGAGCGACAGATCTGTCGAATACATATATAAATTAATGACTGGAAATTGACAATTTAATAAAAAAAAGCAATCTAATTAGAAAACAACTAACAATACACCATACCGAATCTTGAGAGGTATTTTCAATCCTTCATTCTTAGAAATTGACGAGAGTCAGGCCAAGTCTAGTCTCTCGTAAAATTTCGCAACAGGTGTTGTGGAAACTCTTGTTCAAATACAAATTTGAAGTCTCAGTCAAGGAAGCTTGTAGTGCAACCAATTGTAGTAACCAAGTGAAATTCAAAGAAGAGATGACAAACAGGAGCCTTACAAATGACAACATGAGACTCTTTATGTTAAACAAAAGATGGAACGTCCTTATATTCACCTACCGCGATTTTTTTGGGCAATTTCCATTTACATTGAAGCAGATGTGTTACCTTGAAATGTAATGAACGACCTCATTGACCATGGTGCCAAGACGACAACCTTAATTCATTAATGAATGGTCAAAGCAGTACTCAACACCTTTCGTTCTTTCCATTTTGATGTGATCTTGCCTCTTTTCAAGAAACAAAAATTGTCCTGTAGGCTCAACCAGCCATACACTGTGAATCATGACCTCAGAGGATCACCACCACTCAGCAACGAAACACACCAACTCTAGGAAGAGTCTCGAATGTCAGCAGCACTCAACCGAAAAGCACAATCATGCCCTGAATACGTGTACTTCTTCAAAATTGGCCAATAATGCATTATTCAAACAAGCTTTTTGCGACGACGATGATGATGATGATGTACTCCGAAATATTCTAAATGAAACATCATCGGAATCATCCAAAGATTTTCTTTCAAAGATTACTCGGAATTGGATTTTATCCACCACATGTACAGCAATTTTACCCTATGCGGTTACAATTCAATTTTCAATGATGTTCCTTTTTAGTTTGAAATATCTGAGTTGGATATCAAGCCTAATACTTTTCAGCACCTTTGTTCTTGGACTTCCAATACTTTTCAAATATAGATCAATCACTAGCGGAGACAACACAGTGCCAACGGAAGAGATTTACAAACAGGAGAAAACTTTCATCAAGATAGCACTGGTGCTCTTTATCATTAGGTTCATTCTCTTACGGCAACACAAAATTCTCTTGATTCCTTACTTTTTCTTGTTTGTAATGCAAACAACCAAGTTCACAAGACATAGTGTGAAATGGTCGCTTGTCCCAACTTATATTGCATGTGTGCTTTTCGTGTTGGATTTTATTTGTAACATTTGTTGGCAAGGTTGGCATGACAATACGATACGAGTTTTGACGGAGGATGTGTCACTCATCATGGCAACTTTTCTTTTTGGATTTTCAACAATAACAACAGGTATAGATCTGAGAAGCAAAGTCAGGTCACTAGAACAAACAAGCAAACAATTGGAAGAAGCTTTAAATACGAAACAAACATTTTTGAGACACATTAGTCATGAATTTCGAACTCCATGTCTTTCTTCATTGGGAAGTGTTGAATTGTTGAAAGAGACCTCTCTCACGGATTATCAGAGAGATTTAGTGGAGACAATTGCATCAGCAGATGGAATTTTATTGAACCTCATTGAAGACATTTTAACTTTGGCGAAAATTGAACATGAAAAAAAGTTGGAAGAAAAAGAAGAAATTGTGGACACTTCGAAATATGTTCAAGAATTTAGTTTGGGACATTGTGTGAAAATGATTGGAAATATTATTAAGAGTTATTCAACACAATTTAATGTGAATGTTTTGGTCAAGATTGATGATGTGACCAAAGATATTGTAGTTCGAGCCAATCAAACAAGAATTCATCAAATTATTTCAAATTTAATGACCAATGCAGTGAAAGCATCAAAATCAGGAGATGATGTTGAATTGATTTGTGAAACGAATTGCAATGAAAAGAAATTGGTGAATGGAGTGATGGAACAAGATGTCATTTTCAAAGTGAAAGATCGAGGTGTTGGAATTCCAAAAGAGAAACAACAAGTCATCTTTGAACCCTTCTCTCAATTACACAATGTCAATGAATCGATTTATCCAAGCTCAGGACTTGGATTGAACACTGTCTTGCACAATGTCACTTCCATGAGAGGAACCATTCATTTGGAATCTGAGGTTGGAAAAGGTTCAGAATTCACAATCACACTACCACTTGAAATTGTTTCAATGACATCAGATAACTCACACCGTGAGAGGACAGAGTTAGAAGTAGATTGTTCCCTAAAAAACAACTCTCTGCTCAAGCGAATTATTTGAAATTGTTTGCATCTGCTGAACAAACCATTTCTTCCAAAAGTAATGCGAAGATCATTGTTGCAGATGACAATGCCATCAATAGGAAGGTCATCGTGAAACTCATTGAGAGTTTAGGATTTGATGCAGATGCCGTATGTGATGGAAAACAACTCATTGAGCATATTGATGGAAAAAGGCATAAATTGGTCATTACGGATATTGTAAGTACGACATTTAACGTTGTAGACAAATCGAGTTTCATTCAAAAATTTGATTGTTCAAATGAACGACATCTCAGAATATGCCAAATCTTAATGGAATTGAAGCTACACGAATTATAAGAGAGAGATTTAAGGACAAGATCAAAGTGGTGGCATTGACGGGAGATGCTCTTGCCTGCACTCCACAATCCTTACCACCCTCTTTGTTCGACTCAGTCATCGTCAAGCCCTGCCACAAAGCAACTTTAAAACAATGCATCGATTCAATTTCATTTGAGGATTAGTCACACATCACATATCTAACAAATTCATATCTTTAACTAATTTTATTATTATGAAGATGTAATCAAAAAGAAAGCTTTAGAACAATCCACCATAGGCTTCCTCGCAATCATAATCGAAACTGTCACAACATTCTTCTTCGTATGCTTGTTTGGCTTCCTTCTTGGCAACCTTCAAACATACACTTGCATTCTTGGAAACCATCTTTTGGAAGGACATTGAGATACCCTTCTTTTCCAGTTCATCTCGTTGCAATTTGGCTTGAGTGAGTAATTGCTCAATAATTCCATAATCGTCATGCTCCAAGACCTTTGTGTAGATGTCCTCAATAATTTTAGCTTCCTCGAGAGCTTTGTCTCTATTGTGTTCCTCAATGTACTTGTTGAATTGAGCTTGATGGTCGGCACCTTGCAAACAAGTTTTTTGCACAATGAATTCATTTCTCTCTCCTTGTTTTTCATATTGAGCCACAAGAGCAGGCAGTTCAGAAGCAGAGTTTGCAAATTTAGAATGGACATAGGTGAGAGTTTGTTCTTTCAATTGACCATTTTGCATGTCCACATATGAATATGTCACACTCAAGAGTGGAATGCCAACTCCTCTATTGAGGGCTTCAATCAACTCTGGTTGTGTCTTGAATGTCTGTTGAGGATTGTACACGAGTACTCCTTCTACAAATCTCAAATCACGACAATAGACACCTCCCAAGGTAAGACCGCTCACCAATGAAGTAAGATCATTCTTTTGATTGAAAGACTTGACACTGACTCCATTCAATCCAGTCACCTTAATATTGAACTGCTTTCCAATTTGGTATTGATACTTGCGGAGGGTTCTCTCGAAAGCCTCCTTTGCTCTCTCATCACAGTCTAAATAATAGTATTCGCCTTTACCAGATCGAGCAATGGATTGCAACCACTTCTCGTCATATTCAGCTCCCACACCAAATGAAGAAATGTGAATTTGATTTTCCAAATCGAACTCTTTCAATTTCTTCATCAGAGAAGCTCCAAAGACATTGACATCACATTCACCGACATTTGCCATACCATCACTGAAGAATGCCACCAATTTTGTTCCTGGAGCTGTGGATTGCTTCAACAAATCCACAGCATAGTGAATGGCATCTGCAATATTGGTACTTCCTTCGGTGCTAATGTTATCAATGGTTGCCATTTCAACAGTGGATTTCTTCTTTCCAGAAAAGACAGTAGAAGGACTGTCAGAATATTTCAACAAGTGGACAGTATCTTGATCATTCAAAAAGTTCTTGACTAATTCTTTGATCGCTGTTTTACACACACTCAGTTTGGTGCCTGTTTGATTGTTTGAAAGGCCTTCATCCATGGAACCACTCACATCGAGGACAATACAAACATTGACAGGAGTTGGAGCTCTCATGGAGGACTCTTGATCACGGTTTGGAAAATCACCAAAAAGTACTCTCAGAAGAAAGGGAATTTCGCATTGAATGCCAACATCTTCTCTAGGCAAATGACCAGCATCGATCTTGACATTCACGTTGACACTTTGTGGAACAACAGAGTTGAGTAACCCTTGAAACTTTTGCAATGCAGTTTGAGAGATTTTCATTTCGCAACGAGTGTTTTTAAAAGGTGTTGTGTGAGAGACGATTGCTGTTGTTTTTTTTGAGCTTGTGTTTTGGCTGTGGTTATTTAAAGAAATGTGGTTCGCTGGTTCACGCAGAGTTCATCTCTTTCGCTAGATTTACACGGACTCTTGTTCAAATACAAATTTGAAGTCTCTGTCAAGCTTGATTTCATCCTCCACAGGCAACCCAACAGTCGCGTGCACACTCTTTCTGAGCCAACTTTCAATGTTTGTTTCATTGCAAGAACCACAACACAACGACAATGAAAAGATTATTGAGAACCACTCCGTTTGGAGCGAACTGAACTTTTAAATTTTTTCCAAAAAATGCCTATTCACAGCTCTCCAAACCAGCCGGCTCAAGGACTGGAACACCAATCAAAGGAACGAAAGAGTGAGGTAGGACATCATGAAGACAACTCACCAAAACTCGCAGATATGGAAGGAATGGCTTCCCCACGAAGAGAAATTTCTCAACCTTGGCTTTCGGGACTTAAGGGAGAGAGAGGTAGCAATAAGGCTTTAACCGAAAGAAGTGAGGAGAGGAATGTGTTACCAACGCCAAACGGCGACCTACACAGCAAGCTGAACAGTACTGTTCATGAAAAGAGTAGTCTTGAGAGTGTACAAACTGAGTATGATGAATCAAATTCACCTCCCATGTCTTTCTCAAAAAACGGAACATCAAAGGACTTTAAAACTAAGCACCATGTAAGGATCGGAAGAGAAATTACATCATCACCAATGCAAAGCAACGACTCATTGGGGATGATCTCAAGAATTTACAATAACAATTATTCTCCCAATAGTAGCAATGAATTCCATGATGAAGAAAAACCTCAAAAGAGGCTTTTCCTAGGCAGGTCGTATTCATCATCAACTCAATATGATAAGCCTACGGCTCCTCCAAGCTCCTCTCCTTCATTTAACCAACAAAGGCAAACCAAAACATCCTCTTCAACAACAACCAATTCTTCAACCAATCTGTCTGGATCTCCCCTCCGCTTCGATTCCTATTTGTCCTCGAGTGTTAAATTGGTAAAACAAATGATGGAAAAGTATTCCCTTAATGAACTTGCTGCTCAACGAGTGGACGAATCATGTTTTATTGCAAATCTTGTGAAAGGAGGGGCAAGATCGCCATCCATGAATGAAAATAAGGGCGAAGAATACAGCAATCACTCGAGAAGCAATCCACAACCTTCTCCGCGGCAATATTCCTTCCACAATAATAATAGGATGGCTTCTCCAAGAACAGAGAGAGATGTACTATCGTATGTACACAAACAACAGAAAAGCACACCGGTTCAAGCAAGAGCAAATGGTAAGTAAGGAATTGCATTCAAACACTAGGTCTTCCTCACCCGTATTAGAATCACCAAAACGCTCCAATCAAACACCACCAGAAAAGAATAGATCTCAATCTCTCCTTGAGAAGCATAAATTGCAAGTTGAGGAATTGGACTTTCTCAATGAAAGCTCGTCTTCCTCTTCGGATGATGAATACAACAATCATGATGAGGAGAACAGCTCTAAACTTCCAGACCCAACAAAAAATCCAAGAGAATATTATGAATTCATGCTAGCCCAAGCTTTGGCCAAGAAGAATGAAAAGAAGGACCCCACATCCAATGAATACGAGAAAATGGCAGATTTAACATTTGAAGAGTCCTTAAGCACCCTCAAAAAGACATTAGATTCTGCCGAAAAACTAAAGGAAGAAAGCTTGACCTCTCACACTCAAAGAAGAAGAGTGTATGATTCACTGAAGAGAGGATTAGGTGCAAGACCTTTTGGTGGACAAGTAAGCGAAGTTGATGTAACACTCAGCTCGCCTCGTTCGCCTCGTTCACCATTAGCCCAGCAAGAACAACAAACATCACCAAATACCTCAAACACTTCAATCCAAAGCTCTCCCCAACCAGCATTTAAATTCGAAAATGACTCTAACTCAACAGATACGAAGCCAAGAAAAAAAGATTCAGCACTTGAAGTCTTTCAAAGGTTGTACACCATCAAAAAGCCTCCAGAGGAAGAAGTCGATGTTCCAAAATCTCCAAGAAGTTCAACAAGGTCCTCCTCTCCAGCCAATGACAGTTTTATAAACAGAATGAAATTGTGCGAGGAGGAAAGGCAGCAACGATTGGAAGACCTTAGATCCAAATTTAATGACAGCCTAAAAAAGGATATCAGCTTTTCTCCAAAAATTAATGAAAACTCAAAATCTATGCAAAGATCTGTGGAGTCCTTATTGAATTGGCAAAAAGAAAAAATTACTAGGCAAGAACAATTAATCAAAAACAAAAAAGAAAAAGAAATATCTAATGAATGTACATTCAGCCCTGAGCTTAGCCCTCGATCGCAAAAACTCGTTAAAAAGAAGGGTTCCATTCCAATAGCTCTAAGAGAATACTAATTGTTATTATGATACATAATTGACTACATATAAATTCCACCTGAGTCTGATTGTACATTATCATCCACTTTCATTTCTTTTTGTTCCTGCACGATTGTTCTCAAGTCCTCAATATCGTATTTAAATTCCTCCAATATTTCGTTAATTCCTTCGATCAATTCAGCATGATGTTGTTTAAACTTTTTTAAGTCATTTTGAAGCATGAGCAGCTTGGCTCCTCCCAACTCTTCTTCGTCACTATGATGAGTGTGTTGACATGTTTTCTCATCGTGATTACATTCTAATTTCTTCTTTTCTTCTTCACATGATTGTTCTATTTTTTGAATAGCGATGGTCTGAGGTGTTCGAAAATTCATTTGTCACACATAGGTTGCAAGAGTGACATGATTTTCAATTAGAACTACTATTCACAGATTTCAAAATACTCACAGTTTGTAGTTTGTCCCTTTCCAAATTTTGTAAATTATCAATCATGGTTGAAAATTTATCTTGGCCTAAATCTTTCAATTGTTGTTGCACGCCTCTTACATTTGCCGATATTTCTTGGAATTCTTGTGTCGTCGTTTCAATCACTCGTTGATATTTTAGAATTTCAATCTTGTCATTCGGATTTGCTTTGAAGGATTTAAACGAACTAACCCGTCCGTGCAATCAATTTGAATCGATCGTCATTTAATATCATCATCATCCACCACATGTTTTACACACCTTTCAAATTGCTTGTAAGCTAAAATCCGATCATTTTGCAAATCCACCACTTTTGAAACCAAAGTCAATACACACTCTTCTTTTGTTTGCATTTTTTTAAGCCTAAACAAAGAGCCTTCAATTCCTCCTCGACAGCATTGAGTCGATTTTCGGATCCTTTGACTTCCGAACACTTTCTCATCGTTCAATCTCCTTCATAATTATCTGGAACAAACATCTTCACCTCCTGAAATATGTTGAAGATAACGTTAGAATAAAGATGATGACGAGAGAGGGTCAATAGCCAAGCGCTTTAAGGCTGCAAATTCCTCCAACCATCATCACTCTCATCACTCTGGCAGCGGTAGCAATCAAAAAAACATCTCAACGCGAGTCTCTTCTCGAGAGGTGAATTTCACTTATTAACACAACACAAACACCACTCGGACACCAACCATCACGTTTGTGGGTTGCTGTGTTTTTTGTTGAAATTCATAGTGGCACCACTGTACTACCATTATCATCACTCTCCAACAACAACGTCATCACGCTGTGAGGATATCACCACCATCATCAATATTGATTGGTATAAAAACGCTCGTTACTGTTTTAATACTGTGGTATTGAAACCATACCAATATATAATATTATATATATTGTAATATTGGGAAACCAAAGTTACTGTTATCAACCAATTGGTAGCGCTGATAGGGTGAGGAGCTGCTGTGATTTTGATCATCATCATTGTCCAACCACACATTTTAACGGTTTTTTGATCATCATTGGCTCTTTCTCAAATTCAAGCCTTGAATTTCAAAGTAGGATTCAACGGGGGTTGATTCGGCTCAGAACTGTTGAATATACGAATTCTTGGTATTTACATGTATAAGTGTTGATTGCTGATGCTTCATTGCGGTAAATATTTACTCGTATCACAACCCTAGAATCATCACAACCAACGAATCCTCTCATCTCTCATGCTCTATCAACATCGTCAAGCCACCACCACATCAACTACGAACAAAACACCTCCACAATCACGTGGTGGCCACTCTCAACAACAATTGATTCCTCATACCAATCCGAATGCGATGGATACTACATGCTCATCTCCAACCATCTCCAGTGATAGCGGAAACAATGAAAGTCAGGATAGATCATCCTCCTCTCTGGAGAACAGTAGTGCATCTTCCTCTTCCAACCTCTTGATTACAGCCAGTGGTATTGATGGAAGTGAAGAAGATGGCTGCATGTTCCCGATTGAAGTTAATGATGACACCAATAATCAACAACAACAGCATCATCATCATTTTAGGAGATATAACAACAACAATATTTCGAGATCTAACAACAATGGTAACAGACCATCAAACAAGTCATCAAACCGATACTCGCCACGATATGGAAACAAACGGAACAATGGACCTAATGCCTCACTAAACAACAACAACAAACAATACACAAAGAGCCCAAGATCGAGATCTTACATTGATTTCGAGCAGTTCCAACAACAAAATCAGCAGTTATTTGAATCTCACGAACCTCGTCACAGATATGACTATTTGGTTATTATTGACTTTGAGGCCACCTGTGACACTGGCTTAAATCCAACAATCACGAGAGATAATCAAGAGATGATTGAATTTCCTTTCGTGGTCGTTGACTTATCAACAGCTGAAATTATTCACAAGGAACGCTATTATGTCAAGCCAACCATGACCACATCATTAACACCTTTTTGTGTGCAATTGACCGGAATAACAGACGAAATTTTACAAAAAGAAGGTATTTCTCTGGAGGCTGCTCTTCAAAATTTCCATTACTATATCAAAGACACCTTCTTAAACACAGGAAAAAGCTTTTGCATTCTGACTGACAGTGAATGGGACATTAAGGGGCTGTTAATCAGGGAAGCCAAAACAAAAGGCATTTTCTTCGAACCTTACTTTAGAACCTTCTATGATTTAAGAAAAGAGTATGTGAAGTGTTATCCCTACGCAATTGTGCGTGGTCTTAGATCAATGGTTGAACAATCACGAATTGATTTCATTGGTAGACACCATTCTGGCCTCTGTGACTGCTTTACTATTGCAGAAATTGTGAAGAAATTGTTAAACGATGGCCATATTTTCGACGAACCAGTTACTGTTTCAGAATATTATGATCCATTTAGGGATAATACTTTTGGTGAATTTATTCAATCTTACCGACCACTTTTAAACACTCAAGATTACTTGGAAATCGAAGCCTCTCTTTCTCCTAACAGAAGAAATCGAGCTCTCTCACAATCAATGAATTCTAGTCCAATGACTCCATCCAGTTACTCTTCTTCCGTTACTGCTGACAGTGCTCCACCAAATCTCGAGGAACGACGTGGAAGATCTCAAAGCATGGCACCACCTCTATCAAGGACATATGCTCTCTCTGATAAGAGTTCCACCAGCAGTTCTAGCAGCTCGTCTCCAAACGAAGACTTTTTTATCTCACAAAATGTATTATCCACAAGTAGCAATGACTTACTGAATTCCTCAACGATAGAAGAAGAGCAAACAGAGGTATTCTTGAATCCTCTCAGTGAAAATGCATCTAAGGAAAATACTCAACAATTTACCTCTTATTCAGCCAATTATAGAGGAAAGCATTTCCATAGCAGTTCTTCTCCTGATCAGTACAAGAAACGAAGTAATAACAAGAAATACTATTCGAAACGATCTATCTCATCGGCTTCCAATAGCCCTCCCCAACACTATTCATACCACTAACCTTTTCTCTTTTAAATTATTATTTAATTTATTAACATTCCATTTGTAAATATTGAAAATCTAACGTCTAACTAGGCCCTCTAAGTTTTAAATATACCTGTAAAAGCTATTATCCAAATAAGGATAATAAAACAAGAAATTTCCTATAATTTTCACATGACTCACACACTGTACTCGATCCTTTAATCTTCAACAATAATTTTATGATAATCATCGAATATCAAACAAATGTCATCAAAGGTCTCTGATGAAAAGCCCTCTCAATTCTCAGGAAGAGAAGTTGAAAAACAACCACACCAACATCCGCACGAACATGCGACTGCTGGATTGGAACATGTCATGATGAAAGAACCACAATACGACGATCCAGAATATTACAAAGGATCTGACAAGTTAAAGGGAAAGGTTGCATTGATCACTGGAGGTATGTTGTTTTGTTCATGAACCTTTTTATTATTAATTTCCAATTAAGGCGATTCTGGAATTGGCCGATCGATTTGTGTTCTCTTTGCTAGAGAAGGAGCAGACATTGCCATTGTTTATCTCGACAAGGAACAAAAAGACGCCGATATAACAAAGCAATTGGTGGAAAAAGAGGGTCGAAAATGTCTTCTCATTCCTGGTGATGTCACTTCATCTTCATTCTGTAAAGAAGCAGTGGAAAAAACAGTTAAAGAATTGAAACATTTGGACGTTTTGGTAAATCATGCAGGAACTCAACACGTTCAAGAAGATTTTACTCAAATTAGTGATGAACAAATTGAAAAGACTTTTCGAACTAATATATTTGCATACATGTATATGGCACGAGAAGCTTTGCATTACTTACCTGATCACACAGGAGTCATTATTAACACATCGAGTGTGACCGCGTATAAGGGTAAATCGACTTTGATTGATTATTCATCTACTAAGGGAGCAAATACGACATTTACAAAATCGTTGGCGTTGAGTCTTGCTGACAGAGGAATTAGAGGTGAGTATATTTCAATTCGTCGATCATAATGACGGTGATTTAAATCCTTTTTGTCGAAAATAATAATGCATTGTGAAAATCTAGTTAATTGTGTTGCTCCTGGACCAATTTGGACTCCATTGATACCAAGGTTTGTAGTGTCACGTCAAAACACAATCCCCATACCTAAATTTTAAACAATTTTGCTAATTTTTCACAACAGTACCTTTTCAAAGGAAATGGTTGAGCAATTCGGAAAATCTACTCCCATGAAACGTGCTGGACAGGTATGTTTTTTGCAGATTTCGCATGTGATACCATCTTTATCAACTATTTAAAAGCCTTTTGAGGTCGCCACAGCGTACGTCTATTTAGCAAGCAAAGATTCATCCTACGTAACTGGTCAAACGATTCATGTCAATGGTGGAGAAATTGTGGAGTGAAGCAGGACTGAGGGTTTTGTTAAATTGATTTTTTTTATTCAACCAATCGATCCTTAATAAATAAAATGTAGTGATAGCAAATATGACTAGTGACATCATTTAGTTGCAACATGGAAACACTTTTCCTCTATTCAATACTTGATTCTTGTCAATTGCTTTCTTAATTGTCCTCATTACTTCAACTGCTGCTGGGCTGTGTTCAATGGAGAGTCCATCTTGCTTTCCAATTCCAACTCCATGTTCTCCAGAGCATGTTCCTTCAAGCTGGATTGCTCTCTTTACCAATTTGTCATTGAATTGCAAAATTGCTTCCAATTCTTGTTTGTTACTTTCTAGATAGGGAATCATAAAGTGGAAGTTTCCATCAGCAACATGACCTACTATGGCAGGAGGAAGTGTGAAATTGCCTTCTTTTGTTTGCTTTTCATTGAACTCAACAATTTCCTTTTCGCTGACTTCAATTATTTCTGCAAGCTTGCTAATTGGAACACAAACATCGGTGACATATAATTTTACGTCTCCTTTCTTTCCTTCTTTCAATCTAAAAGCGGCATAGTAGACATTTCTTCTTGCGTGCCAGACTTCTTTTTGCTCATTTTCATCAGTAGTTGCAAGATATCCATATCCATTGTGTTTTTGAGCAATTTCTTGAACAATGGTAGATGACACTTTGAGGGAGGCTTCATCAGAGCCATGGAATTCAAAAAATAAAGTTGGCTTGATCTCATAGGTCCTGTTGAACAGCTTATTCACAGCCAAAATACCATATTTGTTAATTAATTCACATCTAGCCATTTGAGAGACACCTCTCGATTTGATTTCAATCACAGTCTTTGCAGCCTCGCTAATGGTATTAAAAATGACACGGCTTGCCAAGACCTTGCTTGGTTTTGCAACAACTTTAAGAGTTGCCTCAACAATAATTCCTAACAATCCCTCACTTCCAATGAAAAGATGTGTCAAATCAAATCCAGTGCTGCTCTTAAGAGCACGTGACTTGGTTGTGATAATTGTGCCTTTCTCATCTGGTAAAACTACCTTCAGTTGAATGACATTTTCACGAATAGTTCCATGAGCAATAGAGAGTGTACCTGATGCTCCAGTTGACAATTGGCCTCCAATGCTACTGTCTGAGCCTGGATCGACTGCAAACATTAATCCTTTTTTTTCCAAATATTCATTCAATTCTGACTTTTTGATGCCTGCTTGGACCTGCACTTGCAAATCCTCTTCATAGAGATGAACCACTGAACGCATTAATCTCATATTAATAGCAACACCTCCTTCATAGGGTACAGCACTACCCTCAAGTCCTGTTAATGTACCTTGTGCAACAATAGGAATTCTTTCATTGACACAAAGCGCCATAATATTCGACACTTCTTCATTACTTGTTGGAAAGACAACAACATCAGCTTGTCCTCTATGGAAATGTGAAGCATCCATGGTATATTTTTCAACAGTTATTGTTTGATTGACATCCTTGGGTCCAAATTTTGTGCTAAATAATCTTGATTGATCACCTCCCAAAATATTCAAAATAATATCATAATGTTTGGATGTAAATGTTGAATAAGGAACGGTGGTTGTGGTACCTGAATATTCCGTTGCAGCGTTTGATGATGCTTTTAAATTTTCATTGATGATGGCTGCTTCATAGGAAGGCTTCTCTAATTGTTGTTTATATTCTTGAATTTGCAAAGTCTGATACACCACCACTGCCAATAAAACTACCACTAAAGCCTTTCCGATCATCTTTTTTCAAAAAGCTTTCTGTCGTGATTGTATTTTTTTCGATTAAATTGAATTGAAGAGTCTATTTTTGGAAATTTCAAAATATTTAATTCAAGGTAATCATTTGCATATATATTAAATTCAAAACTAGTTTGCAAGGAAGATGAGGGACACCCTTATTCCTTTTACAAGTTCTTCAAATTCATCATGTGGTTCACCAATTCACATGCGATAATGAACTCGATTTTCAAAAGGTTCATCAAATTAATTTTCAAAAAAAAATTCTCCAATTCTTTAGAGAGAACATTTTTCAGATTTTCCATATCGGGAGATCAAAATCATTGATTGCCTATCTTGATCTTTGAATATTTTTCAGAGAGATGGTTTTTAAAACACTATTGAAGAATTTTGCTCAAAAAGTTTCGGGCATCGGAGCAAGTAGTTCGGGCAATGGAGGTTATTCCCGTGAAATGGAAATGAAATTTGAAGCGATTGAGTTAAATCAATTTCCAACGAAGGTAGTCAAGTTTAGTTCGCAATACAATGACACTGGAGTACCACTGGATGATGACACTGTTGCCATTCCTGCCTGGGCTGCTAAGAATGTTTGCAAAGGAATTTCCTCATATCCTCATTATGGAGATAGGTATGTTTTAGAAGAATTTAGAAAATTGTGTGTCATTCCAAATTTGTATCGTGCAATCTTTGTTGTTGATGTTTGATCAAAATTCAGCGGTTCTGCATGGTGTCCTGCTAGTATGAATGGAAATGAGTGGATTGTTGTAGAATATGAAACTCCAGTATTGGTCACTGAAGTACATGTCTATGAGGTTTTAGGATGTGGATCAACTTCGAAAATTTCTGCGTTAGTTTATGAAGAAGAAAATGTTTCGTCTTCAGAGGAATGGATTGTGTTATGGGAAGATTCAAATGTTGTCACATCCTCGACAGGAGCTACAACAAGGGACTTTAATCCTGCATTGAGGAATTGTGCTCTTACTAAGAGAATTAGAGTTGATTTACATATCACAAATGCCTGGAGTGAGATTGACACAATTAAACTGGTGGGACTATTCGAACCAGTGAAACCAGTCATGTCGACATTGGGAGAGGAGTACTCGTTGCTATTGACAAAGGCAACCGAAATGAATACATATTCAGATGTAACTCTTTCTCTTAAGAGTGACACTTCAAAACAAATACCAGCTCATAAGGGGCTCTTGGCTTCACGATCTTCCTATTGGAACCTATTACTTACTGAATGTGGAGATTCATTGGAATTAGATTATAAGGTGTCATTTGACTCATTGTATCAAGGTGTTTTATTCTGCTATAGTAATTATTGTACCATTACAGAAGATAATTTGTTTGAAATTTTAGAATTGGCTCAGATCTGGAAATTGGAAGCACTCACACAGTTTTGTAAAGAAAGCTTAGCCATTATGCTTTCTCCAGCCAACGTTTTGGACTTCTACAAGAAAACAAAAGAACGTAATGCATCTCCACTGACAAATCAAATTATATCGGTTATGGCAAAACATTCAGATAGACTGAAATATGTGAATTATGAATCAGTTTTTACTCCTGATGACTTGAATACCTTAAAGAAATTAATCAAACAAAAATAATCAATCAATCGATAATCGAATAAATTATTAAATTAAATTAATTTACAAATTAATTAATGTACAATCATTCATGGCGAGGTATTTGATAATGTGAGACCTCAATCAATATTTGCCATTTGATGTTCAACAGGTTCCTCATTTAGTGTCCCAGAGCTACAACTCCAATCAAATTTAAGGTTCATGTAAACTCCCTTATCTGTACACAGTATTACTGATTCATCATTGGAATCAAATGAGCAAATAGCAACTCCATCAATATTTCGTTGTTTAAAAACTGAAGAGGCTTCTGCCTTGTACAAGTTATTGAACCAGTCAGACCAAGAGTTACTTGTGATTTTTCGACTGTTTTTCCAAGACTCCAAATCGACCTTAATTGCAAAGTGTTAATTCCATTCATCCATGAATATTCAGAACTACCTACCACAAAGACATGCAGAGTTCCATTGGATGAAACGCAGGCAACATAGTTGTTGTCATGACTGAAACAGATCGAGTAAATTCCTGAGGTTGTATTTCCTCTCCTAAATTCTTCCTTCTTTTCACCAGATGATGTGTGAAATAGTCGAATCAAGGTTCCTTTTTCAGAAGCTGTCGCAAGCAATGAACCATCATAACTCAGTTGGAAGCAACGTATTGAAGATTCGTGAGCGTTGATGACCTTTTCATCCAAAATCTTGTGCGAGAGAGAGCAAATTCGAACAAATTTTACAGATCCTACACTTTCATCGGGAAAGACCAAAAGAAATTGTTGTTGATCCTGATTATAGACCACTGAACATAATCCACGAGTGTTGAATCCGGTCTTCCAAGAATGAATTTGTTTTCGAGTTTGAAGATCATAGGTGAAAATCATTTCTTCTGAAACTGCCACAAAGCTAAATTGTGTGAACGAATCGTATGAATTCCATACGAGTTCTTGTCAAAGAAAAATTTTAGAAAACAAAGACTTACAAATCTTGTCTGGAAATCACAGAAATGACATATCTCGCACACAACAACTCATTCACAACCTTTTTTTCCTTAAAATTATAAAAAATGATTTTGTTCTTGTTAAAAGCAGGTCTATAACCACCTCCCACTAAGGCAACCAAATCTCGATTTCCGTCCATAAATCCAACAAAGCCAATTCCTCCATCGATAAATTCTATGCGATCAAATTGATCGTTTAGAAATAACGGTTCATTTACATCCATATGTTCACATCATCCTCACTGATTAATCATACACTTGATCATTCCAAATAATCATAAATACTCACTTATATCAAACTCATTCTTGTAATGTCCATAAAGACATGATATAATTTTAAATCCACGATCAGTTCCATATCCGATCAATGATGAATCTTGATTAAATCCTAAAAACAAAACATTAGGACGAGCATGTTCGGAATTTATTCCTTCCGATGAAGCAGATCCAGTTACAACCGATGATGAAGAAGAAGAAGGCAACACCACATTGGATTGAGGAGGAATCACCACAAACGACATTTTTTTTTGGAAATCACTTTTTTGTTCTAATTTTGTGTTTCAGTTTCGAATATTGATGGCCACGTTAACGAAAAAGAATTTGAAAAGATTTTATTGAACTTTATGAACACGCACGCACGCACACACACACCTGTAATGTACAAGGAAGAGTGAATTTGAATGATCGTAACAGCTGTTAGAAACCTTTTCAAATTCCAAGAATAATTCTCTTTTTTATCACAAATTCATCCTCTGTTAAAATTCCAGCATCTCTCAGAGAGGCCAATTTCTCTAAATCCTCTATCGTTGTGTCTTTGTTTTTAGTTTCTGTTTTTAGAGTTCTTACTTGCCCTTCAATAGCAATTTTGTTATAATTTTTCTCTCCAGTTTCAACGTTATATTCAAATCCAGGTTGTTGACTTGATTTTTTGAAATTTTTCTTATTTTCAGAAATAGATGTTTGAGAGGAAGAATGTTTTGTCAATGCATAGACAGCTCCGAAGTTATCATCAAATCGTTGTTTGAAACGAAGACCTTGTGATCCATCAAGTAAAATATAGGAACCGTCACTTGTCAAATTAAATGTATATTTCTTTTCGAGATTCACTTCTTGAAGAGAGAGCTTAATTTCAATTTTGTGATCTCGGGATGATGGAAATGGAAGATCGAGAACAATTTGTTCATTGGCTTCTCCTGAATTGTCGAAAAATACCTTTTCAAATTCGGTGTCGAGATTGACATTGCGAACATACACAGTCTAGTCGGCGATTGTAAAGTATTGATGATGATTGAATGGTATTCACAATAACGAAATATTGATTTTCAAATATTTCCAAAAATAGGCATTAGAAGGGATATGATTCATTGAGATTGTAATTGGTTTGATTAATGCTTGTACGTACTGCTGGACAATCGGTTGAAGCAGGAAGATGATAAATGTTGAGATACAAAGTGGTTGACATTTTTTTGATTTGTGACAGCATTCCGAAAAGTACTTTTGAGACATGATTTTTAATGAAAATACATTAATAAACTACTCGAAAGAATTAATCGAATTTTGCATTATGTTTTTGCTTATATCTCAGTCCTTGTGTACCGTCAATTAAAATATAACATCCGTCATCGGTCAAATTGAATGCTGGCAGCACTTGTTCAAATCCAACTTCTGGCAAAACGACCTTAATTTCAATTTTGTGTGCTCGAGCAATAGTAGGTTGAGGAAGATCCAAAACAATTTCCTTGTCCACTTCTCCTGTGATGTCGGAAAAAACTTTTTCGAATTCGCTCGAAGTTGTATTTTGAGATTTGATGAAAATTTCCTTTTAAAAAAAATAATAAATATTGAATAAATAATAACAATAATAACAATGTGAACAGTCCAATATGAATAAAGGAGAAGGAAAACTTACTGCAGGATCCTCTTCACTCGATGGCAAATTCTTGACGAACAGATGAAGTTGAGTAGTCATTTTTTTGAAAGTTGTTGTTGATGCTTTGACACGATTACAAATTCCTTTTTCGTTTGACATGTATCCTAATGCAATACGGTGACATGGTCTGAATTAAAATTGTAATTCGGGTTGTCAAAGAGAGATAATTATTAAATCTTGAGAGATATTTATCAAGCTTACAATGCGAAGACCACGTTTTGAGAAAGTTCTATCTAAAGTCATTGTATTGTGAATTGGTTCTCCTTAATCAATAAGGGAGAGCCATTAAAATGCCTTTCGAGAATGAATAAAAGGATTAAAGCAAATAATTGTATACATAATTTAACTCATTTTACAATAATTTACAAATCCAAAGTAGATACAATGACTCCTTGATTGGCTAATTCCTCATTTTCCTGAACTTGGAATCCAGCTCTGGCACAAAGTTTAAGCATTCCAACATTTGATTCGTTGGCATATGCAATCATTTGAGAAATATTGCCTTCGTTTTTAGCAATTTGGATCAATTGATCAAGAATATATTTTCCAATTCCTTTGCCTTGAGCTTGTTCTCCAATCAATAAAGCTACCTCTGCTTTTCGTTTTCTTCCACTAATAATTGATTTTTGTAAAATAGTATAAACTCCCATTCCAATAATGGCCTTGCTTCTCTTGTCGATAGCAAACAAAACCACCTCTCTATCAAAATCACTCGAAACAAATTGAACTAATTCTTGGTAAATACTCTTCGAGTCAGAATCCGTGGTGAGAGTGAGAGCATATGGATCCAATGGTTGAGGAGCATCATTCTTTGCCTTATTATATTGGTTTTTGAGGTTCAGGAACGCAAGAGCATACTGAGATCGAAGTGCTGTTTCTCTCAAACTGGTCTCCAAAGTCTTTGGTGAAAGGTTAGCAAAGAAGGACATGAGTTTCTTAAAATCGCTGAACTTGGAAGGTCTGATAATAATGTCATCATTGAATTTGGTGACATATTTTCTTTCGTAAGAACGTATCACTGGTTGAGTTTTTTTAGAACCAGGTTTGTGAAGAACCATCTTGCAATCTAAGGCCACAAATGTCTTTTCTCTCTCTGTGGCAGCAGCTTGTAAGGGGTTAATTTCAAAGTTCTTGATCAGATCACAATTATCAAGCACCATCTTGCTAAACTTTACAAGTAACGACTTTAAACCCTCAATATCAATTGCTGGCTTATTTCGGAATCTTTCAACAAGGGCATCTGATATCTTTGTTTTTCTGAGCATTTGATAAGCCAAAGGAGCTGTGAGAGGTGGGATTCCAAAACTCTTATCTTTGTAAATTTGGTGAAGTGAACCTCCGGTTCCAAAAGAAATAACAGGTCCAAATTGAGGATCAACTTCCGCACCAATATACAATTCAAAAGCAATGGAGTCCTTCTTGCTTGCAACTAGTTTCTTGCAATCATTTTGTACAGTTACACCAGCAAATTTAACATTACTTTTTTCGGCTGCTTGTTTGATGGAGATGAAACCTTGTCTGACTTGTTTTTCATCACTCAATCCTACAATTACTCCTCCCATATCAAGCTTTGAAATGCTTGAATCTACGCTGTGAATTTTTAACACAACTGGGAATCCAATGAGTTTAGCAGCCTCCACAGCCTCTTCAACAGTAGTAACCACCTTGGTTTGAGGAACATCGATTCCATAAATAGAGAGAAGGTGCTGACTTTCAAATTCATTGAGGAGCTCCTTGTTAGGATTGTGCTTTAGAAGTGATTTGAGGTATTCTCTTGCTTTCGCTTTAGCTTCCGCATCGTTTTGGCTTTCATGATCATTGTCCAACAAACTTGGATCTTCATAGAGATTTTCCAAGTTCTTAGAATATCTGTAATTGTATTGGAAAACTTTGGTTGCAATTTCAGGGAAAGCAAATGCAGGAATACCAGCGTTTAACAAAATACTTCTGCCAGCTTCAACATCTCTGCCACCCATAAAACAGCACATGATTGGTTTTGACAACTTTCCTTCTTTTGTTTTTTCAACAATATAGCGTTGTAGGAATTGTGCTGTTCTTGTTGGTTCTGTTCTTGTTTGAGGTGTCAACATTACCAACACACTGTCAGTCTTTGGATCATTGTAAACAATGTCAAGTGCAGCAACATATTGCTCTGGAGTGGCTGTATTTCTAATGTTGACAGGAATGGCTTTTTTGCCTGAGAGCAATGCCTCCTCGACGTCAATGCCGCTTTCTTGCAACAATTTAGCACTCTTTGGTGATAAAGATCCTAGCTCAGTAATTTCTGATTGATAAATAGCGTCCACAGCAAGCGTAGCTGCTCCTCCAGAGTTTGAAATTACCGTAATAGTATTTCCTTTTGTTATTGCTTGTTTTCCAATTGTTTGGGACATGTAAAACATTTCTTCGATAGAGTTAACTCTTAGAATACCCACTCGTTCAAATAGAGTATTCAAATGGTTGTCTTCACTCCTATTACTAGAATTCATTTTCATTGCAATGATTGGTTTTTTGAGAGCGATATTTCTGGCAGCGCTAGCAAATCTCTTGATATGTTCATTATTTCCCAAGTCTTCGATGTACAATAATATGGCATCTGTATTGTTGTCATTTCCGAAATGCTCGACCATGTCAGCAAAATTGACGTCAACTTGGTCAGCTCCAACACAAGCAAATCCACTTAGACCACCACCTTGTTTTAAACTCCAGTCCAAAATTGTGGTTGCTAAAGCTCCTGACTGAGAAATGATTGCCACTTTCCCACGAGTGAGCTCCGAGCTTCTGTTTGTTGGTGTGATGTTCAAAAAGTTGTTGTAAATTTCTCCGACATGGTATTGACCAGACTTTGTCATGAGTGGAGTGATAAGACCCATTCCAGGTCCAATAACTCTCATTTCCGAGCCTCTAAGAATGTCCTTCATCTTTTCAATGTTTGCTGCTTGATTTTCAGCAAACTTTTCATAGAATTTGCTATAAACGCTACCAATAATCACACAACCTTTTACATCATGTTTGATACATTCTTCCAGAGCGGTAAACATTGTCTCTACTTGGTGACAACAAATGACTGCCAAATCTAAGTTAAGAGGGACATTGGATGTACTTGCTTTGTTGTCATAAAGTTCTCTCAACGAAGAATACATTTGAACTCCTAATAAATGAGGACGACGCTTGTTGTTTGGATCCTGCAATACTCTTTCCACATGCTTTGAAACTGCATAAACTTTGACTTGAGAGACTGACATTAAATTCCACAACACATTCCTTGCAAGTGTACTACTAATACTATCACTCGGAACTGGAACAGGAGATGAATGAATTTCAGGATTAAAGTCATCAATGACACAAATGCTCTTAGGCTTGAAAATACAATCCAACTCATTGGTATTAAATGTTCTCTTGATAGTATCATGAACTTGTTCTAAATTTACGGTATTTGGCTTTTGTTCCTCGACCACACTTCTAGTTTTTGAACGAGAATTATATCTGTCATTGACCCGACTGTGGTAATTTCTTCTCATCAGTGATGATGACGAGAATGAGCAACCATCAATCAATGAAAAAACATCATGATCAACATCGGATCCATTTCTTACAAATGAATGATTCAAAACGGAGGTTGTTCTCGTATTGACACCATCATGGAATCGATGATGACGACCAGCCTTTTTGATGATCTTAAACGAAGCAGAAGAAGTGCACGAAGAAAGGCTTCTTCTCATTTTTTAAGCTAAAAAAAAGACCAAAACGCTCTCCGAAAGAACAACCCGAATTGCAAGAAATTTCTGACACCGCAACTTGAAGATCATCATGACAAATACACATCGCATTGTCCTTGAAGTATTATTCATCATCATCATCATTGAAGAAGAAATCTTTCATCCATAAAATACTTTCAATTAAAAAATAATGCCAAGAACAAAGCGATGTGCCATGAGAGGTCGGGCACGAGAACAATATGAAGAGAAACGAAAGAGAAAACAGATGGACCAAGAGACCAAGAAGGAAGCTGAAGAAGAAGAAATGAACAACCAGCAGTTAGAAGAAAACTCAACAACGGAGAGTTCAAAGAAAAAGAGAAAAACAAACCAGACAGCCACCAATTCGGAATTAAAAACAGAGGATGATAGTGAGGTGTTGCGAGTTGGAGAGAAGGCTCCAGATTTTGAAGCTCCCGATCAAAATAACAATAGAATCAAGTTGTCTGATATTAAAAAGATGGTGGTCTTGTTTTTCTATCCCAGGGACAACACTCCGGACAAGGACATGAATATTGTTAGAATCTATGCCAGTGTAAAGCCAGAACAGCATGCCAAACAAGTTTTGCAAGATTTATCAGAGGAAGAACAATCTAAAGAATAACCTTAGAACATTCCTACCACCTTTTGTTCGAAAACACAAACGAGTTTTGTTGTATTGTGATTTTCGAAAAAGTGCGAATAAAAAATCGACGATTTTTTCGCGATTTTTTTCGAGTTCGAAATGAGCGACATTGATGCGTTGTCGTCTTGACTTGATGTTGATTAAAATCGAAATCCTTCAAAATCGATTTCGATCAAACTCGAAATTTATTAAATTTTTGTCTCATCATGCCAGATTTCCTTGCAATGATGAACAAACGATTTGATTAACTTGGGTGTAACTTGATCAAACACCGTAAAGAATCTTGTCTCGAATCTTGGTCATTTTTACTGAAGGAGTTGGCCACCCGTGGGAAAATCACAATAAAATCAATTGGTTGATATAAAACGGATTATTTATTCTTAGACTCATGCGTCACATACTGGGTGTACCATCTTCATTGGATGTGAATAAATAAGACTTGCATTGTAAGAATAATGATTGTATCGAGACCTTGTTATAACAAGGTCATTGTGAACAAGAAGTTTATGTTAAAAAAATTTAGTAAAAATCTCAATATCTTCCTCACTATTTTCCGATCTGAAAGTTTCTAATTGCGACAGCCATCTTGTTTCTACGTATCTATGTTTAGTATCATCTGATTCAAGTAGGATGGCTTATTGGGAAGCAATCGGAATCCTCAACAGAAATGTTACAGGTTCGTAACGTATTTTTGTTAAGATACCTTGTTGTACTTCGACAAGATGTCTCATTACATTTGTGTGCCTCATGTATTTGACATGGGATGCCTTAATCTCTGATTGAGATGATTAAGTTATTATGCTGAATTACATGATGTTAGGGTGATCGAAACAGCTTATTGTTTTGCTTGGTCAATATTGACGCTGTCAATGCATTTCTTAAGGTCCAGTTTTTGGCAAGGTTTCACAATCACAAAATCAAACAATTCTCGAGATGGTTGAAACATGGCATCTCCTGTAAGAGCAACAATTGTCAACTGTCGTTTAAATTTTGATCGTAAAATTTTTGCCACCTCGACACCGTTCATGCTGGGCATATTCTTCAGTTTTTACCACGTTTAAACACAATTCCATTGTTACCATTGCAAATAACTTACGATATCTGTGATGACGAGTTTATGCCTCACTTCATCAATATTTTCAATGAGTTTTTGGCCACAACTCACCACATCAACTTCATATCCTAAACTTTCAATTTGTTTCATAATGACTTTTCGATTTATAGGGTTGTCATCAGCCATGATGATCTGTGCTTTTCTTTGACTAATCTCGAGACTATTTGATGTGAAAGTGGATTTGGAGTTAATTTCCTTAGGTTCGTGATCTATTGCATTGTCAATCTTCACTATTTCTAATGGAAGAAACACAGAGAATTCAGAACCTTCATTAACTTCTGACCGCAGATGTAATGAGCCTTTCATTGTTTGAACATAATGTAAGACAGTGTTTAAGCCCAAACCGGATCTAAATGAAGAAAAGAGTCAAGATTATTCTTTGATTAATGAGCGAAACATACCCTTTGAATATAGACTCATTCACATTGTGTAACTGAGTGAACGGTTTGAATATCTCTTTCTGCTTTTCTTGTGGTATTCCAACACCGTGATCTATTACCTTAAAAACAACTGTTTGCTCTTCAATTCTACTCGTTAATGTTCGCTGTTCTTCCAGGTCAGTCGAACAAAGCAATTGAACCTTATCTCCTGGTTTTGATGCTTTCACTGCATTGGTCAATAAATTAGCCAGAACTTGATGAATACGAGTAAGATTACCTCTTACTTTGAGGTTTTTGCAAGTATCATCTATATTAACCTCCAATTGAACTTGGAAAGGTTTTGCATAACTCTTAATAATGTTCTCAATGGTTTTCACACAATATCCCAAACTGAATTCCTGCAAATTTTTCTTTTCTTTCTGAAGTTCTTCCTGACGACCGAACCTCTTTTGATGCTCACTTTTAGCAACTCTCAGAATGTCCTCAATTAAATTTAGCAATATTTCATCTGCAGAGGCTATGGTGTCAACCAAATCTCGTTGATATTCTGTTAATTCGGTTTCCCTTAGAAGTTCAACACTTCCCAAAGATGACAAACACGGAGATCTAAATTCATGTGACACAGATCTTAAAAACCTTTGTTTCTCAAAGACGACATTTTTTAGCTCCATGCTTGTTTTTTCTAAAGCCTTCATCTTACTCTTTTTGTCAATTCCTGTCGTCGTAATTGAGTAAGTTATCAAAAATATGACCACTACCAAGGCTACGTTTTCAATGAGTGGAAATAGACAATGCTCCGACCATCCATAAGTAGCAATAAGGAAGAGAGAATCAGCAGTAAATAGTGTGACTATGAAATAAAAAGGTGTTAAGGACCATAACACGCTAAAATTGGTCAACTTTGTGGCTAAAATCACCAACGTCAAATATAAAGGAAGCAAAATTACTTTGTGCTTTCGAAGGATAACAAATCGCACCGTAAAAAGAAAAAAAAACCACTGAACTGCCTTTCTTTCATCCCTAAAGATTTTTTCGGGACTGCGTTTCTCTTTGTTATTGCTTCTAAAGTTCTTCCATTGAGGCAAGGCAGCGACCACGGTCATTACAAATACAATTGTTGAAAAGAGATCAAGAAAATAGATTGCGTAAACTAAGAAAATGAAGTAGTGAAGAAAGGCTGTAATTCGTAAAACTCGATAGACGTCTGTATGCAACATATTGCTATTAATTTTAAATATCGTTGAGTACTCTGGCGGTATTTCTTCCGACAACATTTGTTGAAAATCTTCATCATTGTTTTCTTCCAATTTAAAGGACTTGTTTGAAGAACTTGTTGTTGTTGAAATTGAGGATAGATCATCATCCATCAAGGATGTGTTTGAAAAAAAAGAAGTGATGGAAGAATAAGGGTCTGTTCCCTCATCAGGAACCAAGAAGGTTTGTTCTTCATGAGTTGCGAGGTCATTACTTTCTGAATTCATAAGCCTTTCATCATGGTTGTGGATGGTAGTCGTGGAAATCATCAGTACTGGAATGGAGCGAGGTGAGGTTGCGAGCTGAAGGAGTAGAACCAAACACTCGGAAGGTATTTTTTTTGTGGTGAAGAGCTCCAAAATGGCAATTACAGTTTCCTGTTATAGAATAGAGTTTTGGCAAATCTGAAACGTTCGCGAGGCTAAGAGCTCCTCTCATTGACATTTGACTGGACAAGAGTCTTTTAGAGGACCCTCAAATAAGTTAGCAGACGACGTTGTTTATTCTTCAGCACTCTTGCATGGAACTAAGGAAGGTATGCTTTCAATACACTTTTTGAGAGTTGCCTTTCGACAAGGTTTAGCAATGACAGAGTCAAAGATGGAGGGAGGAGTCTCAAGCAGAACATCTCCAGTTAAGGCAACAATGTGAATTTTGTCTTTGAATTTGTCCTTAATATATTTCGCTGCCTCCAGACCATTTAAATTTGGCATGTTCTTGTTTGTTGAACATTGGAAGGATTAGAAAACAATAACAAACAACATTCACTTACAATATCAGTGAACACTAATTTGTGACGTCTCTCGTCAATGTTTTCAATGAGTTGTTTTCCGTCACATACCGCATCAGTTTCAAAACCAAGACTCTCAATGAGCTTTACAATGACCTTCCTATTGATGGCATTGTCATCTGCAATGATGATTTGCGCATTGTTTTTTGACACCACTGTTCGATCCGAAGTAGCAAACAATTTCAGATAATTCTCTTGAATGGTGAGTTGTTTTTTGAGAGAAGGATCTATATCGACATGTGATTCAAAACATGGACTCGAGAGTCGTTTCATACATTCGTCATTGGAACTACTGGTGGGACTATTGTGGAGGGAGGAAGATGAGGATGGAGGAACGATTTCAAGTGGTAGTGTGATTGTGAATTCTGAACCTTTTCCAACCTCAGATTCCAAATGAATGGTTCCTCTCATGGAAGTGACATTGTGCAAGACAGTGTTCAATCCAAGTCCTGAGCTTGGATAAATCGATTCATTGACATTGTGTAATTGAGAGAAGGGTTCAAAGATGACTTGTTGTTTCTCTTTTGGAATTCCAACACCTCGATCTTTCACTTTGAAAATGACATCTTGTTCCATCACTCCATTCACCAATTTCTTTTCATTGCAATTCGTTTCACAAATCAATTCAACATCATCTCCTGATTTTGATGCTTTCACTGCATTGGTCATTAAATTTGAAATAATTTGATGAATTCTTGTTTGATTGGCTCGAACTACAATATCTTTGGTCACATCATCAATCTTGACCAAAACATTCACATTAAATTGTGTTGAATAACTCTTAATAATATTTCCAATCATTTTCACACAATGTCCCAAACTAAATTCTTGAACATATTTCGAAGTGTCCACAATTTCTTCTTTTTCTTCCAACTTTTTTTCATGTTCAATTTTCGCCAAAGTTAAAATGTCTTCAATGAGGTTCAATAAAATTCCATCTGCTGATGCAATTGTCTCCACTAAATCTCTCTGATAATCCGTGAGAGAGGTCTCTTTCAACAATTCAACACTTCCCAATGAAGAAAGACATGGAGTTCGAAATTCATGACTAATGTGTCTCAAAAATGTTTGTTTAGCACTCAACGCTTGCTCTAATTGTTCACTTGTTTGTTCCAACTTGTTGAGTTTGCTCTTTAAATTCATTCCTGTCGTTATGGTAAAGAAAGTAAACAAGAAAATGACAATCACAAAGGACATGTTCTCTGTGAACACATGAACTGTTCTCTCATTCCATCCTTCCCTTAGAAATTGAGAAGTAATGTCCATCAAGAATTGTGAACACACAAACAACATGGGAGCCACTGACCACCACACGCTGTTCCTTCTCAAAATGGTGGTCGTCATGACTGAAACAAAATACAATGGAATGATCACGATTTTCATGCTCGAAAGATAATAGTAGCGAATGGAGAAGATGATCAAGCAGAACACGAGTCGATTTCTTTCGTCATTCAACGTTGTGGCAACCGTGTGATTTTCTCGTGAAAAGACTTTGATGTATTTTCGACCCAAGAAGACTCCCACGAGACAAGTGACACTCACAAGGAGGAAGGAAAACCAATCTAAAAAGTACCACGAATAGAGAAGGACCAGTAAATACTGTCCCAACACGGAAACAGGTATCACATTCGGAGAGGTGGTCAATTGAAGGGCAGTGAGTCCAATGAGTTGCACCCAATGAGCGAGAGTAAAGGAAACACGAGTGGCAAATGAAGGATTTAAGGGAATTCTCTTGAGAGAGGAAGAGTCCGAATGGACACTTGCGGAGTTTAAACAAGAGGTGGTGGTTGGAGTTGAGGCATTCGAGTTGAAAAGGCATTGATGAGGAGGAGTAGTAGTAGTAGCAATTGTGGAGGCGTTGGCGACTGCTGCTTCTGAAGATTCAAAGGATGAAGAAGTCTCTTCTTGTCGGTCTCCTGCAGAATCTTCATGAATGGTGGTTGAATGGGAGGTGGTTGAGGTAGCAGTAGTCAAAGTAGAATGAACAGATGAAGAGGTCTCAACGAGAAGACAGGGTTCATCATGTTGTTGTTGTTGTTGTTTCATGAAGGACTTGTTCGTTACTTGTTGTTGATGCTTGGTCCGTACATGAGAGAAACTCTTTGAAGAAGAGTGATGAGTCTTATTCTCCTCGAGAGGAGGTTGATAGTCCGAAGAGGAACTTTCCCAAGAGCTATTTGAATGATGATGATGATTACTTTGAATGGAAGAGATCATGTGTTGTTGTTGTTGTTGTTGGTCGTTGTTGGAGTGGCAACAAAGAGTTGAAATTGCTTTTGATTTCATGGGAGAAGTTGTTGGACTATTTTCTTTTGTTTGAATTAGAGTTGCTGATGAAGTTTGTGTGGTGGATTTGAATCGAATGGATCTGATCGTCGGTTCGAATGATTTGATCATCATGAATGACTCTCATGTGCGCAAAACATTCAACCAGAACACCAAGAACACAGCGCATGGCGAAACATGAATAAGGACATTTGGGGTAAAGGCAATTTAATCAGAGGATATCCTACGAGCAACAAATTAAGCTATTCACAACCAGGTAACAACAATCGGACTGATATTTTGAAAAAAGTTTGACAGTTTTGGAAGTCGTTTTGCATTTCATAAAAGGAAATTGCCCTTATAAAGTTATCCTTAAAAGGGTGAAGGGTATCCAGATTCTAACTCCTTTCATGGCGAAACACCCGATATTAAGCAAAGTGCAATGCGCAATTCTACAAGGTGTTAATTTCTCCCTCACAGCCCTTATTCATGTTTAAAGACGTCTCTTCTCGATTCAAAGCACTAAAGCACTACTAGCACCTCACAGTTCAAAACAAAGCCCAAATAAGTCATCGCACAGCACTAATGTCTCTTCTCCCTACTTGAACCTTGATCGGTAAAGTAACGATCACTTGTTTTTGATGAATCTATTATTTATCATGGGAAAAAATGTCTTCGGAGCAAAGCAAGTCTTCGTCGTCATCATCATCATCATCATCAAACAAGCATCAACGAGAATATTATAATGAATTCAGAAAGAAGAAAAGAGAAAGCTTTTTTAAAAGACATTCAAAAACGAAATTGTTGAAATGGGGTGTTTTGGGATTTATCGGATATTATGGATTTTTCTTATGCCAAAAACCTTGGATTTACTCTCCACAAGTACTCAACAATGCCGATGCGTTTCAAGAACATTTGAAGAGAAATGTGCAGAATTTTAATAAGAGATTTTGTCCAACACCATGGTTGATTAATACTCATGCTCAGACTATTTACGGAGGTGCAATTCGGCATGCTATTGATGATCAAGATGAAGCCTCTTTTAAAAAGAAAAAGAAATCAATATGAGTTTGAAGATGGAGCAATGGTTAATTTGGATTGGTTTGAACCATCGGAATCGCTCACAAATACTGCTTCGAATAGCCTTGAAGCAACAAGTAATATGGGTGCTGTGAGCAGTACTAATGTTGGGAATCGCAATAATCAAACTCGTTCTGCTAAGTCGACAGGCAGAAAATCAAACACCACAATTTTCATCATTCCAGGTTTGTCTGGAGGAACAAATGCCGTCGGAGTGAAACATTTAATTTCTAGTTTCGTTAAGGCAGGCTATCGATGTGTGGTAATGGACTACAAATCCGTTTTACCAACAGAACCAACTACAATTCATCATGGACATCACACCACACACCCAGTAACACCAGAAGGAGAGGCTGTGGATTTGGAGCAAGGTAACAATAGTCATTCTCCATCGACTCACGTCATTCCTGGCCTTACTCACACAGTGAAAGACATTCGAAACGTCATTCAATTAGTACGAAAAGAGATTGGTCCGGACGAAACATTAGTTGGAGTTGGAATGTCACTCGGAGCAAATATTTTGCTTACATATTTATCAGAACATGTCGGAAAGGATGCACCAAAGCACCAAGGAGCTAAAAAATTGAAAAATCATGCAAAAATTCTTCCAAACGACGACGGAGATGAATCCAAGAACGAATTCGCGTATGCAATTTCGCTAGGAAATCCATTTGACCTTAATGCTGCCACCCTCAAGTTGCAGTCGAGCATTTTTCATAGGTTAATCTATGACAAAGCATATGCTGCAGAGCGCCTTTTGTGTTACGAGAGAAATAAGGACTTACTGCCCGAAGAATATGTAAAAATTTTGTCTACCGTTCGTTCAACCAGGGATTTGGATGATAAGATTAACAGACATTTGTCGAACCCTACATTCCATACAGTCGAAGAGTTTTACAGTTTTCATAGTTGCAAGGATAAGCTGAAGAACATAACAATTCCTACCATTTGTATCAATGCACTTGATGATCCAATTTCCACCTACGAGGCCATTCCCTTCGAAGAATTCCTGTACAACAAGAAACTAATGCTTGTGACAACGTTGAGAGGAGGACATATTGCCTCTCTTGATGGTTTTATTGCTCCAAACAAGGAAAGCTGGCTGGAGAGAACCTCGGTTCAAATCGTGGACAGCATGAATGAATGGCAAGAATCTCTAAAGAAGTATCACAAAATTGAATAATAATAATTATTATTATTTGTCATTTGCTTTCGGAAATCGAATGGTTGAATAAGAATATTATAATATTAATATTATTAATAATTAATAAACTTTAAATATTTGGTTAATGTGAACAAAAAGTCGTTCTCAAAAGATATTTTGTGGTACGAGGTGATGATGAGAGATGATTCGGCAATGAAGATGAACCAATTCACAAATATACAGGAAAAGACATTTCTCTCGATCGAGTCGTGTCAAACAATATAACAATAACAACAACAATCATTAATAATAGATACAAAAATTACAACACTTTCGTCATCATTTCAAGAAGAGAAGTGTATACTTGTCCATTTATTTAGAAATGAGGTTGCACTTATCAATGACAGTCTTGGCATCAACTTCACTCTTATCAGTAGCTTGAATTTCCAATGAAATACCAACCAACTTATCCTTCACACTTCCTTTAGTGGCAGCATAGACCATCTTCTTCTTGATTGGAGCCTTGACAGGAGCCCAGTTGATGAAAATCATCTTCTCACGGTGACCATCCTCGTTATCATAGTGGAAATCAACAACAGCATACAAACAATCATCTTCAGGGAGAGAAGCAACAATTTCTTCATAAGAAGTTCCCTTTGGGACCTTTTCCAAAACTTCAACTGACTTCAAATCGTTTGACATTTTGAATTTAATTGCTTGTGATGGAGCATCTTCCTTCTTGAGCTTCATGTTGTTGAAGGATTGGACAACATCATCGCTGATTGCTACGCCTGCCATTGTTTATGTGTGTGTTGTGAAGGTGTTTTTTTGTGGGTGATTTTTTGAAAGACGTCATTGAGAAATTTGAAGTTGACTGGCCACTGACGTCTCCAACGGAATATTCTGTGTGAAAAACATCACCAACTGAATGATGGGCGGTAAAGATGACAAGTTTATGTTGTTACAATTTGTCAGACCTGACGCGAAACAAGTTTGATGGATAGGTGAAAAAAAGTTTTTTGATTGACAAGGGACATCAGCCATCAAGATAACCATCAGGTTGTTCTTTTTGTTCGCATCTCATCATCATTGGGTGGTCTTTTGATTCAACAACACTCTCGGCTTGTGGTTCAATGAATAATGATTTCTACACAAACTCAATCTCTTCTCCACCATGATGACATCTCCACCTGATCGTCACTCCCAAGTGATTCATAATTCCGTCTCGTCAACCTAAACCACTCCACACGTTAGGAACCGCGCCAAAAAATATTTGCATCATCTTCGAAAAGCACTCCTCACCTCTCTCAAGAGAGAAAAAAGCCTCGAATTTCATCATCATCATCGGATCAGACGTTATCCAATACAACACAATTACAAATGATCAATGAAAAGATGAAAGAATGGGAATGGATCTTGCGAGGAGCTTACATACTCAGTTTGATCGTTCGATTTTTATGTATATTTCCGATGGGATACATATTTCCGGATGAGTTTTTTCAATCTCCTTCGTTTACTTCTTCAATAGTATTTAGAGAGTTGTATCAACAACAAGTAAATTTGGGTTGGAATAATAATCTTACAATTTATAACTCAATGAATGGAACGGTATTGGACGAAAGCTTTTTAAGATGGGAGTTTACATTTGAATTCCCTCAAAGAAATACGTTAATTCCTTTGATATTTACTGGAATTCCATTGTACACAGTGAAATTAGTCATGTCATTTTGTAGGAATATGTTAGGTAGAGATGAGTATTTGCAATTATTACATCAATATTCGCCTCTTATTATTTTATATGCTCCAAAAATTTTCCTATTCTTCCTTTCCTTTTTGAATGACATGTTTGTGTGGAAAATATTATGCTCAAGAGATTGCAAAACGTCACATCAGTTCAAAGGATCATCTATGTCAACACTATCATCAAAGACCTTGTATTTATTCACTGTCTATTCGTTCTTTCTGACAACACTGGTCTTCTCTACGAGAACTTTTGCGAACACAATATCAGGAGGATTATTTGCTCTATTTTTGCTGATGGAGCTACGAAGAAGAGAAACAGGAAAAAATATTTATTTATTCTGGAATGCTATCATCTTTTCATTTGGATTATTCAGCAACTTTATTTTTGCATTTTATGCTACCCCTGTTGCATTGATTTCATTACTCTCACCATTGTTTGAACAATGGCATTCTTCATTCAAAACAAAAATTTCACTCCTCGCAAGAAATATTGTAACATTTGGATTAACAGCATTGATGGCCTGCTCTTTATTGATCCTTCTTGACAGCATATTTTTCTTTAAATATTTTGCTCGGCCAAATTATTTGAGCTCTTTCAGATATTTATTGTTCAAATTGAACTTGATTAGTGATTGGAACGACCCTACTCTGGGTCCGTTTTTTAATTCGAGAATTGTGATTGCACCATTGAACAACATCATCTACAACTCTTATGTTGAAAATTTGGCCATTCACACACTCCACCCCAGATATATCCATTCATTAATTAATTCTCCTCTTTTATTTGGATTTTCCTATTTAGCGTTTTGCTACAGATTTTTAAGATGGATGGCAAAATACATTTCTAGATTGTTCCTCACGTCTCATTGGAATTCCTCTGCTGTTGGTATTACTGAAATACCTTATATCATTTGGATTGCATTCTTGTCTGCCTTGTCGGGATTAATTATTCTAAGTTATGTACCACATCAGGAACCTCGTTTTATTTTGCCTTCATTTTGCTGTTTGGTAATCTTGTCTGGGTACGACTTTGAAAGAATTGATTATTCAGAAAAAAAGAATGATCGCCACACACCAAGCTCCTCAACACACGATTCAAAAATTTGGCCATCACAAACCAAGAAGTTTCTCCTTCTTTGCATTCTACATGGAATCTTACTTTCCATGTTCTATGCACTGATTCATCAAGTTGGCGTTGTATCAAGCATTACATCCCTACCATCTGTCATTTTGAAATCTCAAGCTCCAAATTCAAAAGAAATAGAAGGCAGAGTTGGAATTATTTATCACAACACATATTCAGCACCTCATTACCTTCTGTCTTATTTCACTCCAACCAAGATATCTGTCACAGATTTAGCCGGAGTTGAAAATCCAGAAACTCTCCTCCACACGATCAACGAACAATTTTCACATAACAATAGAATCTTGGTGGTTGGACCCAAACATTTAAATACCAAACTCTTGAACTCGACGACGTCGCCCTACACTCGTAAACCTCTAGCCTCGTACTTCCACTTCAACACTGAATACATTCAACCAATCACACGTGACGATTTGACCAATGAAAAGTACTCTTCTCTGCTTGAATTCTTCAAACACTACAAGACTGAGTACTTGTCCATCGAGGTTCTTGAGATTGACAATCCAAATAAATACTAACACACTCCATTGTTAGTGACGATGAAAGGCAATGTTTGTGCGTAGTGTTGGCGCGAGACAAGCGCTGAACGCCCAAACCCGCCAAAATTGTACACCAAATCTTTGCAGAAATTTCACTGGTGCAAACTTTGCAATAAACACACATACAAAAAAATTACCATACTTGTCATCATCAAGCCCTTCTCCGACTAGAATCAAAATGCTCGCTAACGAAAAGAAGTGTACACCACAGGATGTTTTAAAGTTCACTAAACCAACGGAAGGTAAGTGTGTGAACGGCATACAACATCCGAGTGGTAGTAACGCAATTTGGACGAATTGTATTTTACTTTCTAATTTATTGGAATGATGATGATATAAAATAGGATTTTTATGTCCCCTTAACGCCAATACCGTTGGAATTCAATTCCTTGAGTTTAAAATCCGAAACTGTGATACTGGAGAAGTGTTGTTCCATACATCGGCTGAGGAAACAGCAAAAGAATTGATGAAGCAAGGATCAAATTTAGATGAGGACTCACTCCGTTCAATTAATTACAAGTTTGATAAATCAATGTTGAGATCAAAAGGAATTGGTACAACGTAAGTGTTGGCAACATGGTGTAAAACAACAACTCAATGTGTTACTTCATTGTATACTGGTTGTATAATAATTTGGTCCTTTCGGGCGCAACAGTTTGGTGTTCAAAGTTGGACCAAAACCAGTGAAAAATTTTAGAATGATCGAAAGACACTACTTCAAGGACAGACTTCTCAAAGGATTTGATTTTAACTTCAAGTTTTGTATTCCTAACAGTCAGAACACATGGGAATGCATCTACTCCATGCCTGAGCTGACCGAAGAAGAGAGTAAGTAATTGAACTCGAAAATGTTGTTGACGACGATAATTCCATCACAGTTAAGGAAATTGAGAACAGTCCTTATCAAGTCAAGTCAGATTCATTCTATTTTGTGAATGATGATGAGATGATCATGCATAATAAGGCTGCTTACGCTTATGTTGATACAAAGAAAAATTAGAGCCTTATTGTTTGAAAGCGCTTATTGTATTCATACATACATTTATATATGTTTTGTGAACGAAGCTCACCACAAGACCTCATTCCTAAACCGATGACGAGTAAATCGAGCTGAAAATTGTAAAAACTCATAAAAAACAAATTGTTTTCCACGAACAAATTTCTTTGCCTTCCTGAACCCGCCCAAAGTTTGTACAACTTTAAAAAACACAAAAAAATGGATGAATTCAAACTCGAGAGAGGTGGTGCCTCCCTCAATCCTCCTCAAACAAGTTCGAGCGACTACAACGAAGAAGTAGTTAGCGTCAGTGTCCGCAGAGCCACCCCTAAAGATTTTTCGATCATACAAAAATTTCTCAATGACAACAGCTTCCTTCTCGCCAAACGCTTTGGCAACTACAATCTGAAATCAGTTTTGGAGACAAGTTATTTGTCAATCATTGCAGAGACAGACAACAACCAAATTATTGGATTTGTATCTTTGGAATTTGATTGTATTTCCGATCCTGTTGAATTCGAAAAGTATTTCTCTAATCTACCTCTATCAGTTCGGAACTCAATATGGATCAGATTGTTGCACTTCGAGCCGTTCTATGGGGAGCATGTACTTTTGGAAATGTTGTCCTCAATATTTATTACTTTTCCTGAAGTCGATTATATTTGCTATCATCCAGGCAAAAACATGGCCGGGGTTGATTTCTTCTCTGAATTTTCGATTTTCTCCAAAGAGGAAGCAAAAGATGTCAAATCCGAGAATGAAAAATTTGTTTTTTTGTGTCACAGAGACTCATTGGGGAAAGGAGTAAAAAAGTTATCAATTAGACAAGCAGTAGTTGAAGACAACGATGATATTGTTCCAATTTTATCATGTTGCGAGAACATTACGTCAATGAAACCTAGTGGCGAGTACTTTTTTGCAAACCTTCTGTACGAACAGAATGAACACCGCAAAGTTCTCATCGCAACCAATGACGAAGGTGAGATAATAGGTGTCATGTATTTATCTGCTGAGGTTGATGTCAGGCAAATCATTACAGATTACAAGCTCCAGAGTGAGGACGTTCCAATTTATGATGAATTCATTAATGAGACTCAGTACGAAGATCAGGTCATATACAATGCCAATGCTTTTGAAATCAAATTATTTTACATACAAGAGGAATACAAGTTCAGAAGTATTGATTTTTTAAGGGAAGCATTCAAATATTTCTCAAATATTAAGTATTGCATTGTTGGCATTAATTTTGAAGATCACACCAAATCAGAGCATCCTCTCTTAAAACAATTTATTTTTGTTGAGCCCAATCAAGAATGTTCGAGCTACTCTCTTCACTTACTCCCAAAGGTGTCGTTGATGGCTGACTTTTTGGTTGTGAAGGCGACTGAAACTTCACTGGACAAGAATTCATCACCAGAGGAGACCATTTTAAACTTACTTAGGCTAGCCGAATTCGATGATGAGTTTATTTCAGCAGTTGCAAAAAGCTTTAAGGGTACTAGATATGTCACAATGTTGCTTTTTGATAAAAACTCAGCGATTGGAGGACAAAATGAGATCATTGGAATTGCTGTTGTTGATACACAGGTCAATGAATTTTTACTTCGAAGGCATTTTGATTTTACAGAATACGTGGACTACTCTGCTTATTCTTCAAGAGGAAAATGTCAAGGAATGATCACTCATTACTACATTGAGCAAAAATTTTTCAGATACTCAAAACTATTTTTGAAAGAAGTCATGAAAAAACTGGACAAACATATTCTTTATTATGGATGTTACAGAGGAGAGGTACCTAATGAAAGTTTGAATAAGGAATTGATTTATTTGAAATCGACAAGACAAATTGAATTTCCAGAATTCCATTCTGAAACCAATGGAAGGCACTCTGCAGCAGATAATGAAACAGTAGTCACTGCGGCGACAACTACTACTGTATCGAGTGGAGGCTCAAGAATTCAAACTAATGTACAATACGACTCTCTCTACTTTATTAACCGTAGATTTTTGAGTGAGGAGAAGACTGAAATATTTTCAAGAATTGTGGTTATTGGTGGCTCTAAAACTGGACTTGGATTTATTAAGGAACTTTCAGTCAATTCCTCACTTTATTTTAACAATATCATTGTCGTTTCTCCTGCAACTGTTGATGGAAACTGTTCTCATTTTTATACTGATGACACTGACGAGGAGTTTAGCAATAGAGAGCTCCAAAATATGATCTCTCTTCCTAATATTTTCTTTGTTAGAGACAAATTAGAAGATATTGACAGACACAATAAGCGTGTAATATTGAATGATAACTCATCAAGCTTCATTACCTATGATATTCTCATTTTGTGCACAAGTCGACAATACAAAATGAAACAGAAATATCTCGAATTGCAAGGATATCCCAAACGAGGAGTTTTGAACTTGAACAGTGCTGTGCTTAATGAACAAGGTGAGGAGATGGCTCTTACCGATTATTTATCTACCTTCTTTGTGAAGAATGATGATCGTTACAGAGAAGAAAACTCTTATATTGTGGTCTATGGTTCTTCCTTAGACGCATTATGTACAGCCAGAGCGTTGTTAGACAATTATGAAATTGATCCTGAAAAAATCCTTTTAGTCTTTCCTGATGGTAAAAAGGGAGTGTTTAACGAAAATGATACTCTGGAAGAAAAGATTGACTCTGTATTGGAAGTAGTTGGATTGAAAAGTTTAATGTTCTATCATTTGGAAGATATGGCATCTGATGATGACGGAAATCTTATCAAGATCTATCTTGCTCAAGGTGTTGAAGCTGAGAAAGAGGATGCCAGACTTAAGAATTCGAAACTTCTCGAGTTGGATTGCTCTCTATTTATTAATTGTCACTCCAAAGATGTCGATGATGGAATTCTTTCCACAGTCAATAGACAATCTCTTGTTTTTGATGGAAGATTAATTGTTGACACACAATTCAGAACCACGGATCCAAGTATTTATTCAGCAGGCCCAATGGCAAAGTTTTCAAGACGATTTGGAGAATCGAGAATGATGGAGGCTTTTAACTCCTCAGAAGTCGGTGCTAAACTTGCGAGATCAGTGCTGCACTCTCTTGGAGTTGGTGATGACGAATTCCAACCTGATGTAATGCCCACCTTTACAAAGAACACTTCTGTTCGATGCATTCTTCCGGGTGGTGTCCGATTCTTTAGATGTATGACCTCGACTTTTGACGTTGAAAAATGTTTAAAGTTCGAAACCAGCTGCAACACAGGATCAGCTCCTTTACAACAATGTATGGACTCATTCAGATATTGCTGCATTTATGTTGACAAGTCTACAAACTGTATTGAATGTATTTGTTATCTTGGGCAAGAACTCGTTGAAGAAGGAAATTTGGCAAGTTTGGTTGGACTTCCTGTGTCATACTTTAATGATCTTGTCAACAGATATCAAGAGGATCTCATTACTGACTTTATTGATTTTCTTAGAGAGAATTGGGTGATGGCAATTTTGTGTCACAAATTTATGTCTTTCAAAAACGATGTCAAGAAGAAGCTGTTGAACGAGGAAACATTGATTGGAAATATTTATGATGTATGCAGTGAGATGGCAGAAAAACTGTTGAAAGGGGAAGTTGAGAATTTAACCATCGATCCATCTCTATTCATCAATTTGGAGAAGAAAGTTTCAAGGGACGCAAAGATATTAGTGCAATCTGAGCTAATCGATTTCTTGAGCGTTCACCAAGATATTCTGCATTCTATTCCTTCTGTGTATTATGTACCAAAGAATTAATATATTCATCAAACTCGAACAATAAATCGATATCAACCATACATAGAATCAACAGTTCTATTTTCGAGTGGGCAATGCTGGTTGTATTCCATCTTGAGAGATGCAGGAATGCTCAGGTTTTGGAAGAACAGATTGATGCTCAAATTTTGCAGCTTGCAACACTTCATGATGGAATCTTCGATCTTGCGATTCTTCATGTTGCCCTAACTGGCAATAACTCCAGTTCTTTACATCCTCATTAAACTTTAATCCATCCTTGTAAATGTATGTTTTTTCCACGAGACGCCCATCCACCCAATATCCTTCAAGTTTTGCTCCCGAGCTGTAATACAAGGTTCCTTTCCCGTTGAACTGGCCATCTTTCATTTCTCCTTCATAACGCATTCCTTCCATCACGTAAGAAAATCGACAATTTTCTCCTTCCATCCGACCATTCTTTTCATCTCCCGAATATTTTGCATTGATAAATTCCATTCCCTAAATGATTGATCTTTATATAATAAAATTGTTCCAATTCAATAATAGAACTACGAGGTCTGTGTGTGTTGCTTTTTTTTTTACTTGAACAAAAAACCGTAAAATTTAGCGCCAAAACCTGCTGTCAAGTGTCAGAGCAATCTCGAATAAAAGAAGTCAAAATTATTATTGTTCTTGTTGTTTGACTCCACCAAGTAAATTCGCTGGTAATGCTACATCCAAAAATCTTGGTTTTGGCAACTTTAAGTTATCCATAATTTCACAAAATCCTTCTCGTGATTGCGTGGCGAAAATTCTTGGATTAAATTTCTTCTCTTCTCCAATTGTAGTTTTTGTCATTCCTTTATAATCATGTCCTGGATACACTTCACAGGAATCTGGAAGAGTGTTGTAAAGTTTCATAATACTATCATAAAGAGTTGAGGAAGATCCTTGTTGAAAATCACATCTTTGTTTCAGTAAAATAAATATATATAGAAATACCCAATTAAGGAAATCAATGATTGGTCGCAAATCAATAGAACCATTCACACATACACTCACACCTACCTTCCACAACCTCTGATAAATAAAGCATCTCCAGTAAACACTTTGGATTTGTCCTCCAAATAATACGAAACACAACCATTCGTATGTCCCGGAGTTTCCAACACATGAATTTTTATAGAAGAACCAATTGTAAGGACATCATGTTCTTTCACAAGAGTTAATGAATCGGAAAAAGTAACTCCTGAGTGAATACTGAAACAATGAATGGCTTGTGGAAATCTCTTTCTCAATTCGACACCAGCAGTCACATGATCTGTGTATAAAGATGGTGATGATGTTTTGTTTTCAAAAAACAAAATAATTATCCATAGGAATATGAATAGGAAGATTTGCACAAATATATATATTAGGTTGTGTGAATCATCATCATTATTTCAACCATATGTCATCCATTCATTCATCATGATCATCATCATCATTGTGTTTCACAATCAGTTGAATGTATATTATCCAAGAATATCCATTCCACCATTTAACAAAGAAACAATAATAACAACAATGTTTAAAACATTTTGACACAAATTTGAAAACACTCACCAGCATCCTTTCAACAACCATACAGACGCACTCGAGTTTACAATACGTGTGTGTGAGAGAGAGAGAATGAACAATTACACTCTACATAAACAATTACATTCTACTCTTTTGAATCAATAGGCATGAGAGGAGGAGAATCAACGATTGGAAGAGAGAGCGAAAAAGAGGTACACTTTCCTGAGAGAGAGACCATTCAAAACTCTTCGCGAACCCACCACAACGTTGTGATACGAGAGCTTTTTGTGGTTGTTGTTGTTGGATACCTCTTTAAAAATTCGCACCAAATCTCGGAGTGAACATTTGAAATTTGTTTTGATCGTTGTCATTGAAGAATCCGAACACAAACAAACAGGGAGAGAAGATTGAATCAATATAGAGTGGATCATGTAGGTTTGCTTCTTGTTGTTCATGATGATGATGATTGATATTGATATATGGAATTGTTGTGTCATCTTTGATTCAATCCCTTTGATGATGATGATTTAATTTGATGATACTAATAATTTAAATTTCTTCTCCGACGCTCCTACCGCAACCAACATCGTTATTTACTAACACAGTTTCATATAATCACAAGAATTTGATATCATCATCATGGACACCTTCAAAGAGAAATTCAATGAACTCCTTCAATTCCTCCAACAAAAGCCTTCCAAGCAAGCCCTTGCAAAATGGCTCCTCGTTAGTGGAGGTATTCTCCTTCTCATCTATGCCTACAAGGCAAGTGGTCTGAAACGATTCTTCAAACGAGCACCAAGAAGTATCAAAGATCCAACCATATCCGAGAGCTACAAAACAAAAGTTCATACAAATTTGAAAGAGAATGAATACGATGTAGCCATCGTGGGTGCAGGCCCAGCTGGTGCAACTTGCGCCTATTATTTGGCCAAGTATGGCTATAAAGTTTTGTTGTTGGAACAAAAGTATTTCCCTCGTGAAAAGACTTGCGGTGATGGCTGCACGGCCAAGACATTAAAACATTTGAAAGAAATGGGAGTTTTGGAAGAGTTGAAAAAAGAAAACAAGGTGGCTCCAATGGGCTCTGGAGGAATTGTTGGACCCAATGGAACTAGTTTTATTGGAAATAGTGCTGAACAAATCGAAAAACTGAGTGGTGACACCGAATGGACTCCTTGTGCCATTAAGAGAATTCATTTGGATGAAAAGGTTGCTCGTGCAGCTCAAAGAAAAGGTGCCGATTTAAAGGAAGGAATGGATGTTATTAAGGTCAATCGTAACTTTGTTGGTTTGAAGGGCTATGCTGTTGTTGCAAATCACACACCTAAAGATGAGGATGCTGAACCAAAACAATACAAATTCCTCGCCTCCGTTTTGGTTTGTGCCGATGGAGCTCCTTCAAAGATTGCCACTTCATTGAAAATGGTTCAAGAAGAACCACAAGGAATTTCCTCTAGAGTCTATGTTTCTAACCACAACTTCCAAACTAATTGTGTCATTTTCTATCCAAAGCCTGTCTTGCCAGGTTATTGTTCTATGTTTTTGCACTCAGATGGGGATGTGTCATTATGTACTTATATTGTTCCAGGAGGAAAGCCAAAGAAAGATGATTTACCAAGGCTTCACGAGTATTGTACCACTGAAGATCCAGCAATTAAGAAGGCATTAGGCCCAAATGCTAAATTTGAACAAATGAAAGCTGCATATTTGAGATTAGGTGGCATTTCCAGGTCATACGGTGACAACATTTTAGTGATTGGTGATGCTTGTGGATTAATTAATCCAATTACAGGTGAAGGTATTCACTATGCTATGGATAGGTAAGATTTTCTTTGAATATGATGAGTTATGAACAAACTTGCTAATATTATTATTAACATGTTAAAACAGTGCTAAAATGGCTGCTGATGTATTAGGAGAAGCATTGAAGCAAGGTGATCTCTCTAAAGAAAAGCTTAAGCTTTATCAAGACATGTGGCAATACCATTATGAAAACGACTTTTACTTTTCAAATAAGATGTGCGTGTTGGTTGCTAAATATCCAGTTCTTTTGGACGCTGTTGCTTCCTGTGTGAAAAAGAAGGGAGGAAAATTCTTGGCAGATTTTGCCATGGTCACCAGTGGAGTCAAGAGCTGGTCTTGGTTCTTCAGACCTGATGTTGTCGTTCCTCTTTTATTCGAAATTATTGTTCTCTCCCTCTTTGGAACAAACAATAAGAAGCCTCAACAAAAATAAAATTCATTGGTTACGCGATAAGAGATTAATAACAAAAAAATGCGAAAAGGTCTTTGCCATTCATCTTCTTTGAGGTCATTCAAGTTACTGAAAAAGATTCCAAATGATTGGAATTTGATGGAAGCACGTCATCATGATGGATTCAATTATTTTAAAATCGTTCATGCAGCACCCACTTCTTCGTGGGTTCCTTCATTTCGGAATTTTTCGCAGTCTGCATCCGTTAACAATAGGTCTGCAAATTTATCCTATCGTTCGGAAACGAAAGAAAATACCATTACTCAAAATGATTTACCAGTTTTTAAATTTTCGAAGCAACACCTCATCATTTCAAAAATTAAAAGATTTATGAATGCCTCTAATTTGTCAAAGAAATGCATATTCTTTGTAGGACCTGATGGATGTGGAAAGTCACACACAATCACAGACGCTATGAAGAGAGTAGAGGAAACAAATCCAAGCGCAGTCTCAATTTATTTAGATTTTGAAACTTATTTTCTCAAAACCAAACAAGAAATTCAAACTACTCAGCTTCCAATTGATTTCGAACATTTTACAGATTATTTCGATAATACATGTCTAGAACAATTAATCAAATGTGTGGACAAGGCCGGAGATCATGTAAAAATTTCAGATATTGAAAGGATTTTAACAGAGAGATTGACAGTTATTTATTCATTCTTTAAAATGTTAGAATCAAGAGATGATTTAATAGACATAATCACACACAATGAAGATATGAATCGACTCTATCTACAACTTAAGAGTTCAACAACCAGTGAAGGATCTGACAAGAAATTTTCCCAACTATTTCACACGCTTTCTCATCATTTACCTTATTACGACCATCCAATCAAAAACTGTCTCCGATTAGCCATTGATACTCTGGCATTCATGTAAGTCCTAAATTGTTTTTATTCGTATCGTTCTGATTCAATCATGAACACCTGAACCTTTGTGTGAACAAATATTCTTCTCCCCATACTATAAAGAGAGCTTCATTCTCAATCAAAGAGGAGAACTGGAATGGAAGTATTATCTTTTTTCTTCTCAACATTAGAATACTTGGCCATCTCTCTGACAAATTCCATTCATCCAAAACTTTTCATTAATGGATTGCAATATTTGGATGTATTCTCAAAATCCGTGTCTCTCCTCTCACGAAATGACATTCGACAATTTCAAACACACATTCCAGAAGAAATTTATTCCAACGACGATCGAGGATCCAATCTTCACGATGCCATTCTTTTGCGAATGGTAGCTCTCTATGTAGATCCCTTTATTCCAACATTGATTGAAGTGAGTGGAAATTATTATAATTATCAAATGAGAGATGAACTCAAAATGGATATGGATCAGGTTATATTTATCGAACTTATTGAGGAGAGCATTTCTGAGGCAAAACTTTCTTATTCCTATCTTTTTGATGAGAAATTTAATGGAAAAGATTGTTTTGAACAAATTTATGACATTGTCGGAGGGAATCCCACCATGTTAAAAACATTTTATGAAAAGTACTATGTTCCCTTATTTGAAGAATTCAAACATTCTGAAACAAGACATGTTACCAATTCTGAGAAATCAATATCGACGACAAGTTCCTTCTCACCTACTGCAATTTCACAACATGCATCCTCATCAGCCATTTATCAACAAGCTCTTTTAAATTACCTCAATGGAGAAAAAGAGAAATTTGAGCGAAAATTACACATGGCCTTTCTTCTCACTGCCAGATATTTAGCCCTTAAAGACCACCAAGAGAGATCAATGAATCGTTCATCATCATGGCTCTCATTCTTTAAAAGAAGAGATTCGATCCATCAACAAGAAATTCAAGAACTTTCCATTTTGAGCCATCGCGTGCAATTCACTTTACATGATGCCATTGAGAAATTCATGGGTCTCAAAGGTGTTGTTTATCATTTCAATATTGAAGAATTTGATACATTTATTCCCACAGTTGGAGCGAGTGCCTTACTCAATTCTGAACTCTTGTATTATCAACATCATGAATCCATGTTAAGACCGTATGATCAATCGTATTATTCCTATTTTGCCAAAACTCTTGAAGATATGGAAGCGAATTGGACTTGGTGGGAACGAGTGTACTATCGAACCATTTGGCAACCCTTATTTGGAATGAAAAATGTGAATGAATATCTTGGAAAGCATGGAGATCGAAATCAAAGACTTGCATTCAGTCGATTTGTGCAAATGAATCAAGTTTAAGAGAACAACAAGTCATGAATGTTCAACAGTAAAAGTCGATCAACACACAGATGGTTCTCACTAAAATTAATGATACAGGTATTTCAATATCCTGTAAAAGGTGGTCTTGGAGTTTTATTAAAAAGACGACCAGTTCCGAAATTTATGGAACGATTGGTGCGGGAGAATGCTTTTTTTGGGGTCCCAACTGCCGACAGAATGGTGTTTCGAGATAAGCAAGGGAATATTGTTGAAAACTTGTCGAGCCTTTTCAGTGGATTTGTTCTCTGCAAAGTTGTACAAGATGTGTCTCTATGAAAAAGGTGGATTCTTTAAGGCACATGTTGATACTGTTCATGGTGCTTCTCATTGTGCCACTGGTTTGGTGTGCCTTCCGAGTGAACACACTGGAGGAGAACTTATTGTGCGAAAGGGAAACCATCAAGTTCAACATTCATTTGCCAAGAAATCGCAACTGAGTAACAGAAAGGAATTTCAAACTGCAACCTTCTTCACAGATTGTGAACATGAAGTGCTTCCTGTTACCTCTGGTACAAGAATTGTTTTAAACTATGATATTTTGAAAACAAGCCTTGAAACAGAAGATGACATCAACTCGAAAAGTGAAATTGAGGAAGAAGAAAAGACCGAAAGTGATACTGAAGAAGAGGAAGATAGCTCAAAGAGTGAAGGCATTCTCTTCTTGTGCACACTTGATGATTCATATTTAGAACCTAATCGTATCACGAATCCACATCAAGGATTCTAAAAACAAGAGACTAAGGGGTGAATCAAAAATTAAGCTCATCGAAGATACAGATCAATACTGTTCCCGACAATTGCTTCACTATCAAACAGGTGCAGAAACTGTCGGAAACGAAAGTTTACCGATGGAGGCCACATATTTTGGAGCTGTAATTACTCAAAGACGTCCGAAAGCATCAAAACTTTCAAGTTCACAAAAATCAAATCCGAAATTTAGCTCAATTCTAAAAATAACGTTTTGAAATTTCCTTCAAATTCAAGAGTGAAAAACACTTCCACCATTCAACAACAAAAAAACAGTTCGATCAGTAGACACACTAGGTTTTACTATCCGCTCTTGTATCCATATTGAACATGTCTCCTCAGGCAACCACTACTACTACTATCTCTCCTTCTACTTCTCCTGAAAAACTTGACAAGAACTTACAGCTTGCTCGAGAAGAGGAAGAATGGTTAAAAAAGAAACCTAAATTTCTCACCTGCAAAGAAGCATTGGATCGAATCATGTGGGATCAAGATTTAACAGATGCCTACACTCATCTCTCAATGGTCTACAAGGATCGATTCGAAGGTGATACCTTAATTTCCTATGAAGAATTCATGAACTCGGATTTGGCTGAAGAATTACCACAACATCGAATTCAACAGCTCATTTACAGAGATCAATTTGTGTTCTGGGATAAACGAAACAGAATTGACATGTTATCGAATGGTAAATTGAGAGAATTTATTATGGAATGTTTGAGACAAGAACAAGTTATTGAAGAAGAACAAGCTCAAGAATTTACCACCATCTTACAACAACCACCATCATCATCAGCAACGAGCTCCAAACCAAAAAAACAAAATAAGAAGAATAAGAAGATTATGAAAGAATTTGTACGAGCTCAAGATGCCAACGAAAAGGGTTTGAAATCGGAAGAAGAAGATGAATTGGAACGATATATGGAAGAATATGATGAAGAATATTCTCGATATCTATACCAATAAATGGTTTCAGTAAGAATAATCCACGGTCAATCGAAGTTATCAAATCATGTTTTTAAGATTCAAATGCTCTTTTTGCATCCTAACTTGGACTGATGAACTTGGAACTTGATACCAAAGTTCAATTCAAAAAAAATGCTTGTCAATGATTTCGCGAGTACTCCTCTCACAACGACGCAAATTGTCATTCAACGAGAAGGAAATGGAAGAATACCAAAGAAGGGAGATTATATAACGATCCATTATCGGTCTGTAAGTGTTCATCATTCCGATATTGGAATATTTGAAGAGAACTAGAAATGAACATCATTGTTCATTCGGAATGATCGGAACCATGATGATCACATGTTTCATTCAATTGAAATCTCGGAACTCTATGATTTATTCAATGAAATCATGATTTTATCTTTTCATTTGAAACATGCTTTTATCAAAATCGATATATAGAGAGTGGATGGTCAATTACATGACTTTGATGATACATGGCTCATCAAGAAGCCCTATACATTCAAAGTTGGTGAGAGAAAAGTCATTGATGGATGGGATATTGCATTTCTTTCAGGCCATCTTCGGGAAGGAACGAAAGCAGAACTTTATATACCATTTTCAGAAGCTTGTAAGTAATGAATGGACTTTTCTCTCACCAACTTTGAACGATCATGAACCTTAAAACAACAATTTGGTCGAATTTTCGAATAGATTATGAAAAAGGAGCTCCACCTTACGTACCAGCCAGAACTAATCTTAAATATCAAATTGAAGTATTACAAGTAAGCGACCATCGATGTGTCATTCTTTAGGAGTTTTTAAAAGTGGATCCAATATGTCAACCATTCCTTTATTTGTATTACTTGTAACTTATTGACTTGTAATTTATTTGAGTCACAAATGTGAACCAGATTCACAACCTTGTGGTTATAATCTGTTCATTCAATGAACCTCTGATCAAGCAATTCAATTCGTTGTTTTCTCCGAAAAGAACCATTATTATTACAAATTCAACACTTTCCTCATCAAAGATCTTTCAAAAAATGTTCAACCATCATCATGCTCGTTCTCACACTCCTCCCACCACAAGTCATTTACTTTCCTCATCTCCACCATTGCCCTCTTCCTCGTCTTCTTGTTCTCTTCAACCATTGATTCATCACCATGTCACTCCTTCTTCTACTACTCCTTTGAATTCATCCTCTCCACCCATTCCTTTTCCTTCGTCGTCATTTTCTCCATTCGATCGGAATTGTGATTCTGCTTTGAATCAACAACACTTGATGCATCATCATCAACAAATCCTCCTTGTTGATGTGGGTGGACAAGTCTTTAAAACCACTCGTGAAACCTTGTGTAAATATGAAGGTTATTTCACTGCTTATTTTCGATTTTTAGATCATCAAAATGTGGAACATGGAATAATGAATCACGAAAAGCAAAGCCTCGAAAATTCAACGAATCATGGTAATCATGCACATTCGAATCATCATTATATCTTTCTGGATCGAAATCCAGAAATGTTTAAAATAATCCTATCTTGTTTGAGAGTCGATCGAACTCAAATCGAAGATTGTCTTCCGATGGGTAAGTGATTAGTGACAGGAGTTTTATGTGAAATCGAGTTGACAAGAATTTCTGTAATTTATTTAAAATTGAACATGATTTTCAAAAACAAGATGAATTTACGCTCAAACAACTCTATAATGAATCTCTGTACTTTTCTATTAATGAGCTGTCAGAAATCATTGAAAGAAAATTATTCAGAAAAAAGAAATTTGGTTCTGTTGGAGTTGGTTTTGATAAATCCAAATATATCAGTTTTGTAATCTGTGAGGGATTAAATTCTAAAACTTCGAATCAATTAAGCGCTCCGAATACCATCTCGGAAGTGTACAAAGTACTTCATGATAATGGATGCACGGTGGAACATACCATTTATAGAAAAGCTGTGGAATCAAATATTGATTCGAGAATTTTTCCAACAGATTCATTTCATAAGAAGGCACAAATTGTGACCATTATTGTTTCATATATTGATTGAAAAGTTGTGCATGTGAAGTTGTGATTGATTTTTTGATGAATTTGAGGGAATTCAACTAGTGACCCTTTAAAGTTCCAAGTTCTCCTTTACAGAACTGACAAATTTAAAATAGAACGATTTCTCTGTCAAAAAAACAACCAACACACTCATACCCATTAGATTAACATTATTAATGCCACCAACTGTTCACGAAATTGAACCAGGAAATATTTGGCTCCTTGATTCTGTTTTTTCACCCCAAGAATGTGAACAACTCATCAAGGAGAGTGAACAATTCGGTTATGAAGAAGCCACTTTCAATGCATCGATGGCTAAACATCTCAGAAACAATTCTCGAGTCATTACGGATTGTAAACACTATTCAGACATGTTATGGGATCGATTGAAACATGTCATTCCACAAAATGCCAGTGATCTCAACAAAAAGGTCGCACCTGCTCAAATGACACATGGATATCAATCCGTTGGATTTAATGAAAGAATTCGATTTTACAAATATTCGGCTGGTCAATACTTTGTACCTCACACCGATGGATGCTTTAGCAGACAACCGTACATGGTGTCCATGAAGGATCAAAAAACTCAACAAGTGGTGAATTATGAATGCCAAGAAATGTCCTTCTTAACTGTTTTGTTGTATTTGAATGACGTGAAATCAGGTGGAGAGACGAACTTTTTCAACAATTTAGATGCAAACCGAATGACTCATAGCGTCACTCCAAAGGCAGGGCAAGTGCTGATTTTTGTTCATTGGAATTGCCACGAGGGAGCAACATTATCAGATCCAAATGAATTCAAGTATGTCATGAGAACAGATGCCATGTATAGAAAAATGATTAGAAAATGAATTTAATGAAATGCTCATGGTTGCTTATAATGAGCATTTACTTGACCTAAATATCTCCATTCCATCATGCCAGTGCCATTCACACTTCGGTATGGAATGGTGGAAAAGGCAGTGAATCTTGAAATCTTGCAGTATTATCTTGTGTGAACCTCGAATATGAATCCTGAACTCCAAGATGACTGTTATTTCTCTTCAGCTCCTTCTTTCTTCAATAAAATATCCATAAACAAAGGATTTTCGTAAGTACTCCTCAGTATTTCGAGCAGAGATTGTTGTTGGTCTGTGACACAAAATTGTAACTCTTGAGATAACAGCTGCTCAATTCCGTCAATATTGTCATCCATACAATTCTCCTAAATGATAAGAGTCATACTTTTGTGAGTTTCAAAACTTCTAAAACACTTACAATTAAGGCAGCAAATAGTGGTAAAACATTTTCATAGAAAAATGGAAATTCACTCGCGATCCAACTATTTTCTTCTCCACTATTTAAATTTTCAAACACTTCTGAAGCTTCTTCCTTTCTTTTTTGTAATAGAAGTACAATCAGCAATGTTATTTGGGCATCCATCCATTGCCTAATGAATATCTTATAAATAGGTCGCCATTCAATAAGCTTAACATTGTGCTCGGTGGTTTCAGAATTTGAAAAGTAATCAATTCGTTCCTCCAAAATATTGACATAAATTTTTAGTCGTAGAACAGCCATTTCAAAATCCTTAATTTCCAATAAACAGTCAATAGCATTCTGAAGAGCATTCAACTCCATTGAGTGTGAGGTGTCTCTATTGAGCGATAAATTATTAGAATTATCTACAAAAGATGAATCAAGGTCAACTTCTCCCAATTTACCTTGCTTCACAGAATAAAAGAAACATTTTGTGTAATAGTGAGAACTTTCACTAAATTTTCCCAAAATTTTCAACGTTTGAGCCAATTCATAGCACAATGAAGCACACATTGAATATATTTGCTTTGCGTCATAAATCTGAAAAGTTATTGAGTTCATATGAAGGGCTCATTCGAGAAATAATATAAACATACCTCTATAGCCTCTCGGAATGCATCAATAGCTTCAGAAATAAATTCTTCACCAGTATAATATTGTATTAGCTTTTCAGAGCAAGCCTGATCTGAGAAAATTCTACCCGAGTAGACATAAAAGAAGGCTGCGTTCAGAGGTGTTTTGTTCATCTTCTCAGCGCTATGAAATTAAATTCAATTTCAATACTCATGATGAATATATACCTACTTGGCTGCACATAACATTGAGATGGCTGTATAATGCTTTTGTCCATTTCTTTGCAAATGAAGAGATAGATTGGCATAATGTTCCGAAATTTGGTCGTATGGAACTTTCCGAAACATTCGTCTGTTTTCATCATTCATCATTGTATTATTTATCAGTGAATGATGATGTTTTTGAACAACAGTAAATAAATATATTTGAATCAAATGATCATCATCATATTTAAATATTGTGGTCGGAAAATGTATTTAATGGACATAATGTTTAAATTAATAAATGGTAGGGAGTTCATATTCAGTGTTGAATTGTTATTATCCAAAGTTCTAATTTTCAAGGTCATTAAACTTACTTCTTCAACCGATCGGCTATCTTTTTGAATTCCTCCACCAAATCCTCTCGCTGAAGTTGTGTGGTCATTTTCTTTAAAAGTTTTTCATTCATCATCATTAAAGACTTCATCCCTTTGTCCATTTACTCCTTTAAAGCTTTAAGTGTTGTCCAAGTAACATATGTATCTTCTACTATTGAGTGATCGCGATAAAGGTACTCACCACCGATCGAAACACGTGTTTGTCCAACAGATGTTGATTCCGAAAAGAAGAAAAAAAAAATGACTTTATCCTCTTTGATGTTATCTTCACCTCACATGTCGATATCTTCATCATCACGAAGGTTTCTCGGAATCGTATTGGCAGCCTCACTTTTTATCGTCTTGCTGATATTAGCAGGTTCTTGCTTGGCCTCCGATTTGTATGAAATTTTACACGTTCCTCGGAATGCTGGTCAGGATCAAATTAAACGAGCCTTTAAAAAACTCACGATGAAGTATCATCCTGATAGATACAAAGGAGCTGATAAAGATGAAGCACAGAAAAAGTATGCTCAAATTTCTCATGCCTACGAGGTATTGTCGGACGAGAAAAAGAGACAAATCTATGACAGATATGGAGAAGAGGGTCTCAAGCAACAAGAACGAGGAGGTCACCCTGGTGGCGGAATGGATATCTTCTCCGAATTCTTTGGAGGTGGCTTCCATTTCAATTTTGGAGGTGGTGATGATAGTCAAGAGGAAGAAGATGAGTTCAAAGGTCAAGATTTGAGAATTCCACTTGAAGTTACCTTGGAAAATCTTTACAATGGAAAGCTCATGACATTCAAGAGAGTAAGAACCGCACATGAGAGTGGAGCTCAACCTAAAAAATGTGAATGTAGAAATAAGGTCATTCGAATGATGATTATTAATGGACAAATGAAGAGAATGACTGAAAACAATTGTGAAGAGTGTAAAAATCGTTTCGACGTTATTCAAAAAGCAACTGCCTTGACAATTCAGATTGATAGAGGTATGAAAGAAGGTGAAGAGATTGTATTCTATGGTGAAGGAGATGCCACCAAGTCTCATCGCAGTGGAGATTTAATTTTCGTTATCAAATCTAAGCCACACCCTGTTTTTACCAGAGTTGGAGATGATTTGAAGATGAAAATGGACATTACACTTAAAGAAAGTTTGACAGGACTTGTAAAAACTATCAAACATTTGGATGACAGAAATTTACAAATCAAGATTGATGATATCATCATTCCAAACAGTGTCAGAGTAATGAAGGGAGAAGGAATGCCGAGAAAGGAGAACCCAGCTCAAAAGGGAGACCTCTATATTGAATTTAACGTTATTTTCCCAACTTCACTCTCTAACAAACAGAAAGACGAGCTCAAGAACATTTTGTAAATCATTTACCTTTTCCATTTGTGCAGAGAAACAAACTGCACATTTCCATATCATCCATCATTTCTCTTTCCCAATAAATCTATGAACCCTGTGTGAGTGAAATTCAGACCCGATTTATGTCCACTCGTTGCATGCATTCTCTGGTGGTCTCCAGTGATGATCCTTTTGAACCTTCTGCATTTGGTCCAAAACAATTTTCGCGAATTTTTGGAGATTTTCGCTTTTGTTTTCGCTCAATTCATGCTTGCGCTGTTATTCACACCACAAAAAATGTTCAAGCGTTGCATCCTCAACACAACTCACAAGCTTTCCAATATCACTCCAAAGACCAACACCCAAAGATTCTTCTCTACAAGTCAAGCCACAACAATGGCTGGCAAGTTGGAAGGAAAGGTCTGTCTTGTTACTGGTATGTTATGATGAATATCCTATTATGAAGTTTGAATTGACATTTGTAACATTCATCACGGAAATGATGATCATCATGTGGCTCACAATTTTATATTCAATCAATCAATCCACCAATGAATCTCATCATCAATCTCACTGCAAATAATAATGATTCATCCAAACACACCATCTAGGTGCTGGAAGTGGTATCGGTAAAGGTGTTGCCCAACTCTTCGCAAAGGAAGGAGGAAAAGTCGTTGTGGGTGATTTAAATCTTCAAGCTGCTCAAGACACGATCAAATCTCTCCAAAACTCCTCTCAACATTTAGCTTTGGCCATGGATGTTACCAAAGAACAGGTAGTGGTGGATTCCTTCTCTCAAATTAAATCTCACTATGGCAAATCGGTAGATGTTGTGATTTGCAATGCCGGAGTCCAACATATTGATCCAATTGATAAGTTGTCCTTTGATAATTGGAGAAGGATTGTTTCCGTTCATTTGGATGCTGCCTTTTTGTGCACCCGTGAAGCCTTAAAGCAAATGTACGAACAACAACATGGTAAAATCATTTACATTGGAAGTGTACATTCCAAGTTGGCTTCACCATTGAAGGCTCCTTACGTTTCGGCCAAACATGGTGTTTTGGGATTATGTCGAGCTGTTGCTAAGGAAGGAGCAAAGAAGGGTGTCGCAGCGAATGTGGTTTGTCCTGGATTTGTTTTGACTCCTTTGGTTGAGAAGCAAATTCCTGAACAAGCAAAGGAATTTGGAATTACAGAACAAGAAGTGGTGAAGAATATCATGTTGAAGGATACTGTGGATGGAGAGTTTACTACGATTGAAGATGTTGCACAAGCTTGTTTGTTCTTTGCTGCTCATCCTACTAATGCAATGACTGGACAATCCTTGATTGTTTCTCATGGTTGGTATATGCAATAATAAATACCATGTTGGCAATCATGAAAAGTCGTGTGTGGAATATTCTGCTTTTGGAAAAGAGGTTGTTTTCCAAAATTAACACAAGCATAATTCTTATTATAATAATTCAATAATATATTTTAAAGTTATTTAAATCAATTATCCTCCGTGTAGAGTTGAGATGAATACAATGTTGTCCTTGTCTTGAATTTTATATTGTAATTCATCGACAAGCTCCCAATCAGTGTCATTGATGATGACTAAGATACCAGGTCGGCTATTTCATCATTTCCACATTAAAATAAATTGAAAATAATTTTAAACAACCGTATAACATGATCGGAATTGATGAATACTACCTTCATCTCTTCGTCAGTTTCACTTACATTGATGTGTTTTCATTATTCATAAACAATTCAGGTTTTTCCTTCAAGTACTTGTCTCTCAACAATAAAATTAATTGTTGCATTGTTGTTCCTTCCTCCAAATTGACAATCGTCAATGAAGTTTTATTCTCAAATAGCAATTCACATCCACCACTGTTTTGATGGGTGTCAATACATGTTGGCTATTCGTTGATAAATCCATCACACATACCTGAACTCGATCTTGACTTGCATTTTTTTCTTTTCGAAATTGCATGTCATCCACCCGAACCAAATGAGGGTGAAAAAGAGAAGAAACTCTGAGGGCAGAAACAACCCTTTAAATAGACTTGACAAAAGTGAATAGCTCTGAAATACTTTGTTCTTGATTCACATCAAGAGCCATAAATTTCTCATAGAGCTCCTTGAAGAGTTTTCCTTTCGAATTCTCACGAATGGGTTTGATTTGTTTTCCTTTGGAGATGTTATCTGCGACAATCTTTGCTCTGTGAATAATATGGTCTGGAAGTCCAGCCAAAGATGCTACCGTAATGCCATAACTTGGAATAATTTTTCCTGGTTTCAATTTGTAAAGAAATACCAAGTCTTCTGCATTGGGAACTTCAAATTCATCCAACATTTGATCTTCATTATTATTGGACTTGTCAATATGAACATCCATGGTCATGAATTGAATATTTTTGTTTTTGTAATCAATAAGGTTATACTGCAACATTTCAACATAATGAGTGGTGGCAATCACTCGAGGTGGCTGTTTTCTAGATTGAAAGCTTTTTAAAATGGATGATAAAAGGGCAATTCCATCCAGAGCAAGAGTACCTTTCCCAAATTCATCTAGTTATGATGGTAGATATATTTTGATGAATTTCTTTTGATTTCACTTACCAATCAGCAAGAGTGAGCGAGGTGTGGAATAGTCGATCATTCCTTTCATTTGAAGTAAATCAATGGCAAAAGTTGACTGATTCACACTAATACTATCTTGGGATTGAATTCTTGTCATTATTCTATCTGTAATGCCAATGACAGAGTCTTGAGAGGCTGGTGTGAATGATCCAATGTGTGCCATGAATACAATTAAACCGACTTGTTTGAGGTAACAGCTTTTACCAGAATTGTTTGGCCCTGCATGTGCGAAAAGTCAAAGTAATGAAAATTATGCAAGTTTGATTAACAACCATTGTCAAAACTAACCTGTAACTATCTGAATGCATTCACTTAAATTCGTATCGTTGGGAATGATGGTGTCGACTGTCAGCTCTTGAAGAATATTTCTTCCTTCAATAATTTTCAATATGGGCTCTTGTACCATTCTTGGCCTTGACAAATTGAAATCAGTGCTGCATACTGTCAGAGACAAGATACAGTCCAGTTTTGCGCAAACGTCATTAAGCTTGTTAATTTGATCTTGAAATTGAAGAACATATTTTTCTAGTTTAACAGCAATAGATGTTTCTTGTTCAATGATGAGATGGTGAATATCCCCTACTTCGCTGTCCAACTCGTCCATCGTTGCATTCTTAAAGTACAGAGATCGATCTGAAGCAAAATGAAATCTCAAGCCATGATCTTCAAAATTCTCAAAATTGTTTGCTTCTGGTGTCTTATCGACCACTAGTAGAAATCCAAGTTGAGGGTAGTAAACAGCCTTAAAAGAGAAGGGAAAATCTTGAGGTAAGGAGCCTGATTCTTGTTGCGCAACAAGGTCAAGAAATGTATCGAGCGACTCGTAGGTTTGTCTTCGGTTGTCAAGTTCTGAATTTACTCCTGACATAATGACCAAACGGTTTTGAGTTCTAGATTCTTTAAAATCAACAATCTTAGAGATGGCTTGCAACACTTTGACAACAGGTTGATTACATGAGCTCAAAAACTCCTCTATAACATCTACTTTTGAATTTTCTGCCATTTCAAAGAGTATTTCTGAAATGTTTTTACAGCAATATAAGGTCTTGTACAAATTGCTCCAATCATTGACAGTGGCCTTTGCCTCTCTCATCCGTGCAAGAATTCTTTTGGTATTTTTCACATATTTCAAGTTTTCCCTAATTTCATCAAGAACGTCCATTGTGAATTTGTTAAAGAAATCTATAGCGTCATGTCTCTTTTGAATAATGTTTACATCCATCACCGGTTTTAAAAACCATTGCCTTAGTAGATCTTTACCAACGGATGATTTGGTCTTGTTCATGATACCAAACAATGAAAGACCTTCTTTAGGTCGGCCTGAAAGAATAGCTGTCGAAGGATGTACTTCCACTGTTGAACAGAACAAGATGCAAATATTTGACTATTTGGACTTCAATGATATTAAAAACCTCAACTTACAGCTGAAGATAGACAATGCTTTCAAAGTGTTCATGTCTAACTGAACAAATCCATCACTGACCAGCTGCTTGTTAAAATCAAACACAAAACAAAATATCCAAAACATACAATTTGAAATTTGTGATGGTTTTGATATTCTTCAACACCTCTACGTCATCAATCTCACCATAGGACAATCTGTTGCTTTGGAGAAATGACAATAGACCTCCGAGAGCTCTCACAGTTTGATGATTCTCTTCCAAGTGCAAAGACGAAAAATCAAATATGGAGTTCTTTCTTTGTGGTTCCTCTCCGATGGCAGTTTCGGCCCGATCTGGCAAATCATTCATCATTACTTGTTCCAATAATTGAAGCTTTTTGGTTGAATTATCGTGTGCAAAGTCGGACGCTTTGAGAAGCCTAACCTCGACTTGCTCTTTCGCTCCTTCAATCGGCTTCTTTACATTTTTTATGAATGAATTCTCTGTTCTTGAAGGTACAAGGATGAGATTAGGCTTTACTTCATACTTGACTATCAAGCAAAAACAGTGTTATTGTATTTAAATGCACCAATTCAAAGGTCAAAGGAACACAACATACCGTACTCTGTCGCTTCAAACAATGAATTTTCGTTGGTTTCACCACACCACAACTCTCCAGTATTCGAATCAAAAGATGCAACTCCAAGTCTTCCCTTTTGATAGCATAGAGAGAGAACCACACTAGTTTCTAATACGTTGTTATCTTCCTGTTCTGGATCTTGGACATTACTTTGCGTAAGATGAGAAGATGGTTCCTGTTCAGGCTTTTCTGAGGGCTGGCTCAGCAATGAGGAGTTATGGTTATTGCTGGTGTTTATTAGGTCTTCATCCTCATCGGAAGAGTACAAATCAGAGGAAAACAAGCTTAACGTTTTGGAAGACATTTTTTTGAGGTTGACTCTAAGGGTAAACTTGGAGCAACACAAGGCTCGATACCTCAAACAAGAACTTGCGGCTAACTGCTATCACATTAATGTGCTACTTTATCATTGAAAAGTACTTCTCTAGTGGTTTGAATGTTTCATTTACCTGCTCCGATGAGAGAGTCATCTCTTTAATGATCTTGTCTTTTTCCGTTTGAAAAAGAGTTTTCAAGTTTCGTAGCATGGCTACATCCCTTTCATAGGCTTTGATCATTAATTCCTTTAATTCAGTGATTTGCTTGTCGCATAGCTAGAATTTCGTGATCAAACAATAAGCCTTCTTGAACGCGTGATGATCCACTTACCTCCATACGTTTACACATCTTTGCATCTGACTCTTGCAATACTTTGAGGTATTGATCATCTTTCCGAGTAATTTCCATATCTTGTTCAGTAATGGCCTTGTTATACAGTTGCCATAACTCATCGGTGGCAGCCTTGACCTTGTTCACCATTTTTTTAAATGAAAAAAAGACAGCCTTTATTTGAATCAACTTCATTGATTGCCGATCTTCTGAATGGGTGAGCAATCTTTTAATTAAGAAAATAATTGGCTACTTTTCCAGACTCAATTCCAGCAATGCTCTCAATTGGGTAGAAATTTGATTAATGTTAGATTCAAGAATTGTTTTACAGCAATTCGAGTTGCACACATAGTCAAGCGGAGACTTAATTTTCTCATGGGCTAATCTTAATGGGATTTCCTCAAATAATTGAGATGGCATACTTATCATGAGTACAGAAATCATAATAGCTTTTGTTCTATCCGGCTCAAACTTGGAAATTTCTTTGAATATTTGCGTTTCTCTCAAGTCTGTGAATATATTATTCATATTTTGGTTCCATAGCTTTTTCAACTCATCAGAGATGTTATTGTCAAGTGTGAGCAGTGGCTCCAAAACTTCATAAATTGATCCGCTCAGTATTTGAACTATGCTATGACAGAATTGGCTAATATCAATAGGTGTTGTGTCGAGTAAAGATTCACTCTGAACTTTTTTCTTATATGCTTCAGTAATGGCTCTGGTAAATGTTAACAGCTTAGAAAGCGTTTCTGACCATTTTTCTCGCAAAACCACTCTGTAGCAAATTGTCTGATCCTCTTTTTGGACATTGTCTCTTTTGATAATGATAAATCCTCGAGAAAGGCCAGTAGCACTGTCAATTGGGTAAAGAGCTTCCCACATCTTTTCTAATGAAATCCAGTGAGGAGGGTACTTGAACCTTGCAACATCAAGAATTAACACCATGTCTCTATTGTTGTCACACAGAAATGATAATGATCTTGACCAATAATACAAAGGTCGCTTACCTCTTTGCATTATAGGCAGCAATGGGAGAAAAATGTCCACTGTACAAAATTTTTTAGATATAAAACAATTCCTGCAAAACATACCTCCCAGTTTGTCCTAACGTTGCTCTATCATAGCTGACAACAATGAATGATGGGTCCAATGTCTTGCTTTCAAAATCGTTAGATTTAATAGATTGAATAATAGCATTTCGAAAATCATCTAAGCAAGTCTCTTGAGGTCTGAAAACTAGTATAAATTCGTGTAACATTTTTCATGCATTCCTTAAAATATCAAACTTACTTTGGCAGGCAGCTCCATTGCATTTAGCTAAACAGCTGAACTGTCGTAAAGTAATCCCTTCTTTTTTCACAATTTCAAGAGGAACACAACAATCAAAAATGTCTTCTGAGAACCATCTCCAAGGATATTTCCATACTCTAAGAATTTTTCATTGAATAAATTTGTTCGAAATCCTCATCATCAACAAACCTTTTAGGATCAATTTTAAGTGCATTCATGACATTGACCAAAGTTCCTAATCCGCAGTCTAACATGATCATTTAGTATCTCAATAATTTTTTTAGATATTATCTATTAAAATAACGTACATGCTGGCTCGGATTGCGTATGATATTGTTCAATCAAAGGATAAAAAGAATGTAAATTTCCTTCATTCATACTTTCTTCAAATATTTTCCTTCCCTCCGAAGAAGCAAATGCAATACAACTCACAGGCAACTCTCTCTGGTAGAAGCCTTGTCTTTCATTGTTGAGAGTTGTGGTACCGTTTAGAACGGCGGTGGAGGACTTGTTGATGGTTGCAGATTCTTGCTTTGTTGAAGATGATCCATGTTGTTCCGGACAAGACGAGGAGGATGTTAACCGTTTAGCAGCACAAGCACAAGAAGAATGAGATGAACCCATGGTTCCGGAAGCAATCATTTTTTGTGAGTTCTTGACAAGACTATTAATAACCTTCTGCATGGTTTTCCATTCAGAAGATTTGGCTCAAAAGACGAATGTTGAGAACCTTGTTGTTGTTCCGAATGCCTTGAACAACAACTCTCACAAGTGCGCACTTGAGGGGGATATTGAGGGATTGAGGGAATTTTTTTGTTTGGGTTCTTTTGTTGATCTGAGGATTGCGCAACACTGGTGATCCAACTGATGTTGGGCGACTCTCTTCAAGAGGATAATAATAATTATTTATTGTCGCTCAATAGTCTGAAAACTTGGTCTCTTTGAATTGTAGATTCTGGAGATTTTCGCCCATTCGTAACAGTTCTGACATCGTGGAAAGCTTGAACCCAGTGCAACGAGTCATAGGCAGGCAGGTTGTACAAATTTCCCAACAACAGTGAAGCGATGGTTCCCGTTCGTCCATGACCACTGAATTGAAAATAGATGGATGCATAGCAAGATATCACGTTAGATTCATCACACGCAAACCAGAAGGACACTGACACACTTACCCTACACAATGAATGTATAATTTTTCTCCTCTCATGACTAAACTTCTCAATAGCTGTACAAGTTCTTTCACTTTGTCATCCTCTGCAATGTTCTTGTCACGAATTGGGAAGGTTACATAATTTAATTTTGGTAAAGTACTCTTTCGAGATGCATGATCATAGTAAAAAGGTCCGCATCTCAACTCTTCATCGTCTTCCACCAGGTTAACAAACGTTGAAATACCACTTGAAACAATAGAATCTACTTCTTTAGATCGTGGATAACCTCCAACACAAACATGATTAGGAATTAGCCAATTACTATAATCGCTCGGACCTCGATATTGAACTGGGTCAATGTTCTTCCGATCGGAAGGCAACGGAGGCAAGGTGACAACTGGTGTTAAATCCGGGATCACGTCAATGACGTTTCGTTTTGGATTGTATTCATAATTTCCAGATGATGATTTTTTGAGACTAGCTGCTGTTTTTCCTCCTTTCTTTGTCATTCTGATGCTCGTTAGGGATATGATGGTCTTTCAAGTGTGCTGGTTGTTTCTTTTTGAGAGCTGCTGGCGAAGGTTATTTTTATTTTGAATTTGAAATTCATCGAAGGTTCATTCCTGAAGTTGATTTCTTAATTGTTTCAGTTCCGCCACAAGGGTTGAGAGTGTCTTGCCGATGTGGGAGAGGGTAGACTCTAGATGAGTGGACCCCTTCTTGGAAACATCTTCCTTCTCAACTCGAGTAGAGGTGTGCGTCTTTTTTGTTGAGATTTTGAAAGGGTTGACCTCATTCTTCCTTCGAGAATTGGTTTCGTCCTTCTTCAGTTGACCTGATTCTTTTTTCATCATTCGGATATAACTCTTGGATTGTTCTGCAAGTTGCCCGCTTGTAATTCTTTCCTGTAGCTCCTCTACGAAGGACGACATGCGTTTTTTACTTTCACGAACCTTAAATAACAATTCTTTGGAGAGAGATCTAGATTCTTCATCGCTAGAGGAGACATCTTCGCATTGGGAGTCCACTTCGCACTCAGAAGTATCCGACGTAGTACCATAAACAGGCTCTTCTTGCATCTCATCTTCAGAGCTACAATAGACATCCTCGTGTCCTTGGTTATCAACACTGTTGAACATTTGGTTTCTTTCCTCGCAAGGTTCTCGTTTTCTCTTTAATAAAAAGTAAGGTTTCTTCAAAGATGAAACTCCCTTTTGATTCTGTACGGATGCGAGGCTTTTCATGATGGAGGAATATTCAAGTAGACGATCGTACTTCAAATAAGAGACGAGTTGCGTTTTGAGGTGTTTTTTTCTTGACTGGTCATTTGCAAAGCCTCTGTTCCTTCTCCACTCTCCTTCTTCAAGGAAAAAAATGGCTCATCTCATCGAAGCTGCTCATCGGCCACCCAAACATTTATTCTTTTACGGCAGCAAACGAGAATATGATTACTTGCTCAAACACTACGTAAATGAAGGCGGAAACGAAGAGGATTTTGAGAAGGCTCTTTCTCAGTCCTCCACAATTTATGTTGAAAATTTAAGTTTTTATACAAAGGAAGAACAAATATATGAATTGTTCGAAAAGTGTGGAGAAGTTAAAAGGGTGATCATGGGACTCAACAGAAATACTCATACGCCGTGTGGATTTTGTTTTGTTGAATTCTATCACAGATCCGATGCCGAGGATTGCGTCAAGTATTGTCGTGGGTGTAAACTAAATAATCGTGCATTGAAGATTGCGATCGATACAGGCTTTTTCGAAGGTCGACAGTACGGAAGAGGAAAGGATGGTGGAATGAAACGAGACGATTACCAAAAGATGCTCAAGAAACGAGGAGGTGCTAGAGGAAGAGGTTCGCGTGGTGGAGGATCATATCATGACTCTTCTTATCCTTCATCCGATAATTATTCTCACAGCAGAGGATCATCATCTTATTACAGCGATCGTGGTGATCGTGGCAACTATGGATATTCTCGAGATGGAGTACCACCTTCAACAGATTACCACGCAAGACACCCTCCATCCAATGTTGACGGGTATGATGCTTCTTCTCCAGTAACAGCAACCTCTTCATATTCAGATTCTCCTTCAAGCCATCCACCATCTTCAGCTGGCAGATATGGACCACCTCCTAGGTCAACCTCTCCCACTTATGGACCAAGAACCAGCACACCTCCTCAACGTGGCAGTAGTGGAAGATCTTATTCATATTCCAACAATAATAGATATCAGCCATACCCATCTCCAGTACGTCACGACTCTCCTCCACCTCAGCCACATTCAATTCCACCACCTTACTATGGAAGAATTCCTCCTCCTTATTATGGACATCCACCTACTTATGGTGGTCCTCCACCTAGTGTTCCAATCGAAATTCCACCTCCTAGAGCACAATCAACTTACGGAAGAAGTGGACCATATATCAATAACCGACCTCAATATGGAAATTATGGAAGAACAACAGATAAGCCTTCTGATAAATCAACCTCACGTGATCATTTTGAAAATCGTCCTAGAGAAAGTCGAGATTATGGCCCTCAATACGGAAGAAACACCCGCTAGAAATTAAATATTTACTATTCCATTGGTTTTATCAATTGATTTTTTGCAATACCATGTTAGCAAAGTTTTTCGCAATTTTCACTCCAAAAGTCATATCAGGTTCATGTACATTGTCATCATACTTGATAGGTATTGTTGTGACATTCTTAAATATTTCATTTGAAGTATGTGCATCCATCTCTGGATGAAATTGAAGTCCAAAACACATCTTGTTCTTTACTTTATAACCTTGATTTTCCCAATGTCGAGATTTGATGATCCTTTCAACTTGAGTGTTGTCGTCTGTTAAAAGAAATGCATCTGAATGGGAAGATGATGAATAAAAACCAACTCCTTCTTGCACTTGTTCAATACCATCAAATAACCCACATTCTTTTCCTTCTTTTGTTAGCTCTAATGCAATATATCCAAATTCTGGTTCCTTTCCAAGATCCTTTAAATGAGCAACGCTATTGTTTCCAAACAATGCTCGAATAATCACTTGAGCACCGAAACAAATTCCTAAAATTGGGAAATTAATATCCACTAAATTTCTAATTAAATTACATAATTTTTTGATATAGCATAAGGAATCATCCATGCAACAATCTTCACTTCCTGTAATTAAAATGGCATCAAAATGTTTCAATAAATATTCTGTGATCGTACGATTGGAATTTTCATTAGCATCATCATCGGAATCTCCTGGCCACTTGTTTTGTGCCACATGAAACGATGTACACTGAGAGAAAGATTCTTGGAACATGTATTTCTTGAATAATTCATCTTCAAAGAGGGTCTTGTGATCGGAAATATCTAAAATACAGAGACGAAGAAGCATTTTTTCAGTTCTTCAAAAAGGAAAAATTGAAAAAAATGAAAACGTTTCTTTCAAAGCCTTCTTCTCAACATTTCAAAAGACTCGTCTCAAAGAGTTCCAAGCCACCTGTGTTATTCTCGTCGGAGGCTTTTCCAAGATTTTTCCACCAATCCATTTCAACAACTTTGTTTCCATCCTCACCAACGGATTTCATCCGAGATATCAAAACAAGAGGAGTACTTAATGATGCCACATCTGGTTTTGAACAATTAGTGAATGAAATGGCAAATGGCCAGCCAGGTAATCAAAAGAAACCCATTGGAATTTATGCTGGGTTTGATCCGACAGCATCCGGACTACATGTAGGAAATTTGTTGGTTTTACAAACTTTAAAGAGATTTCAAAAAGCTTTTGAGCCAAACAAGGTACATATTTATTGTCTCGTTGGTGGTGCAACAGGAAGAATTGGAGATCCAAGTGGCAGGAAAACAGAAAGGCCACTTCTAGATGAGGACATAATTTCTGGCAATATTGAAGGATTGAAAAGAGAAATGAACGCCTTTTTTTCGTCAGAAAATACCAGCAATGTTACGGTCGTTAATAACGCAGATTGGTTAGGAGAAATGAAGATGATTGACCTGTTAAGAAATGTTGGTAAATATTTCCAAATCACAAACATGCTCAGATTAGAGAGTGTGAAGTCTAGATTGGAAAATGCTGATGCTGAAAATGCAGGAATGACATTTACTGAATTTTCTTACAGTTTATTTCAAAGCTATGATTTCTATTATCTATTTAATTCAAATAATGTGAGACTTCAGATTGGAGGCTCTGACCAATGGGGAAACATCACAAGTGGACTGGAGTTTATCAAGAAAAAGCAGACAATGAATCCTGAGATGTCCCAAATATCATGCAGTGGAATGACGATACCGTTGCTCACAACTGCAGACGGAGTAAAATTTGGCAAATCAATGGGAAATGCTGTTTGGTTAAATCCTGAAATGACATCACCATTTGATTTTTACCAGTACTTTATGAGAGTTCAGGATGCAGATGTTGAAAAACTTTTGAAAGTGTTGACATTTGTTTCTGTAGATGGAATTGAGCAAATAATGAATGAGCACAAAAAACAACCGGAGAAGAGAATTGCCCAACAAATACTAGCCGACCAACTGACTCAACAAATTCATGGCACGGATCAGTTGGAGTGTGTTAAGAAATGTTCTCAGTTGCTTTATGGATCCGGAAGTGAAGAAGAGGCGTTAAATATACTCAGGAGTCTGTCTAAGAAAGAAATATCAACGTTAATGAAGGATTCCCCTAGCTCCCAACTGCCTCGTTCAGAACTTCTTTCTAAATCCATAGTTGACATTGCGGTGTCACTTAAGCTTGGTCCATCCAAGGCTGAACTGAGCAAGCTGATCAAAAATGGAGGATTTTACATTAATTACAAAAGACAACAAGATCCCAAGTACATTTTAACAAGCGATGATTTTGTAGCTGGAGGAGGCACGATTGCTGTTTTACGGCTTGGAAAAAAGAATTTTCAAATCATTGAAGCCGTTTAATATAAATAAAGAAATTCCTCAATTTTGATTAGACTTAACATGGTAATTTGCAAAATTCCTCAATTGGTATTGCCAATTTTATATTGTTTTTGGAGTTTTATTCTATTGTGACTGACACGGTATCTTTCATCAGATCATAACAACGATCAGCCACTAAGCATGAATGTCCATTTACAATTAAACTGTCTGAAGAATTGTCTTTTTTCCATCAAGTTGGTCTCTAAAAGATTTGAAATCAATTGTGACTGACGGGTTAAGCTTTAGAGCTTCGTATTTAAGTTGTTCGCCAAATTTTTTCACGATCGTTTCATCTAGCGTGTTAACCCACAAATTTATACGGATCTAAAAACATGTTTCAAGTGCGTTCATTCGAATATGATTGGTTTAACATGCAATTTGTTTGTTTGCAAACATTCCCAAAATACATACCTGATTCTTTCTATTTGCAACACAGCACCCCAGTAGATTTTCTGAATATGTAAAACTTTCTCCGACGCAAAACATGACCAGATCAAGCCAATACTGATCAGCATTGTTGAATTTCCTCGGAAAACTGTAAACCCAATCTCCTCCATTGATACATTTTGGATCCTCCCATTCAGGCTTTATACCTTCCTTTAATAAGAAGTAAGTGGTACCAGTGGTGATATCACTTGGTCCTCGGATATGATTAAACACACTACTCGTAAAACCCATGCCGAATATAACAATAACAAATCCGTAACTTAACACAAACCTCCAAAATGTTTCAACATCTGAGAATGTATAAACTTCATTGAAAAATTGAGAGTAATTTTGTTCGTTCAATTTAGCTTGAGGATTGTGATACCAAAGCGTCCAAGTATGTTCAAGAAAATGCTTTTCCGCTGATTCCTCCTCTTCATTGTAATTTTCACCTTCGCTTTGATGATCGGTGAGAGGTTCTTCATCCTTATATTTCTTATCTGTAGTCATCATGATGATTTTAAATTTGTAAGCTAATAAACGGAATGTTGATATTAATAATTCAAAGAAGATGGAAAGTAAAAATTATTATGGGAAAGTAAGAGAAGGAAAGGTATATATATGAAGGCAATGTATTCAAATGCAAATACAATGTATCGGATATATAAAATAGTTGTCGTTATTGAGAATGAATTGATGGTTAGAGCGTGCAGTTCAACGATGCGCTCTCAGAATTTTTTTCTTGAAATTTTAATTTTGTTGCATAGTCAAGCCTTGATCGCTGAACAATCGAAGTATTCAGAAGGAAATCACTTCTCACTCATTGCTCTGATGGGTGTATTAATAGAGCCTCTATGTTTGCAGTAGAGGTACAAATTTGGATTGTACTATATCGAGTGGGTGCATACAATTTTTTCCAATAATAAATTTAATTTTACGCCATTAAGAAAATTAACTTTCTTTACTCGGAAGAATGGAATTTCCACAAAACGAAAGTGGTGTACAAAGGAGCATATGGTAACGAGTTCAGGAAGCCAAGAAAGAAAATGGACAAGAGGGTGATAGACAGAAACGAATTATATAAAACTTCTTTCAAAAACAGAAATTAAAAAATACAACCACAAGAGTTCTCGGATTTCAAAGCCCGCACTACAACCCCATCATCCACCCGAAAATTAACTCCATCATACTCTGCAAATTAACGATAATTAAATCCATCATACTATAATATACTCAAACATCATGAACAACCAAAAAGAATTTCATACCACACATTCACCATGGACTCTGTGGTATCATAGCCCAAGAAGTAAAATTAATGAACAAAACTACAAAGCCTTTTTCACAAAAGTTAAAACGTTCAGCACCGTGGAGGATTTTTGGCGATTGTTTAACAATATACGATCTCCATCATGCTTGCCAATAGGTACAACATATTATTTAATGAGAGACGGAATCAAACCCGAATGGGAGGATCCGCAATGTATTAATGGAGGTGAAATGGTTTTTAGTTTTGCTAAAAAGTCTAGACAAGAAGCTGACCAATGGTGGCTGTTCTCATGTATCATGTGCATTGGAGAAAACTTTATCGGATTAGACAATAATATATGTGGATGCATTGTGGCGAACAGAAAGAGCATGATCAGGATCAGTTTTTGGCTTGCTACTGATGAAGAGGAATATGTAAAACGTTTGGAAGAGCAATGCAAGAGTGTATTTGAGATTTTAAGTGCTGGTTCTACGTTGTTCAAATTCGATTTTCGATCATTTAAAGCTAATTTGTCAAAAATCCAAGACCATAAAGAATAATTTGAATTTATGGCAACAAGTTGTTTCAATCAATTTATTTTACATGAACATGTCCCAAAAACTAGTGTTTGAAGTTGCAGACGCAGGATTCGACGATGGTGAATTCAGTTCTCCAAAAACACTCGAAAGAGGACTTGGGAACTCGTCACAAACAGATTCTTCATCAAGAGACTTGGGACTTAATTCAAAATCAAAGGTGGTGTCACTCAACAAGTCTGTTGGAGTAAGTTGACTGCGTTTACGTTTCAGACCACAATCATCTTCTGGGAATGCTGAAAACTCAAACAAGTGATCGGTTTCTTGAGGAAGATCGGTGCAGGAGGTGAGGTTGGAAAAGTTATCAAAGAAAAATGGATTTACAGGTATCAGGTGGCAGCATGGATTGATTGGAACAAAATTGGAGGGACAATTAGGGAAGTAAGAAGTTACATTTGAGGTTGGGAAGAATGGATAGACCATGTTGTTGAAGTTGATGCCTGAACTACTATTGATGACATTGTTGAATGAGGTGCTGGAGGTATTCGAAGAGTCTTGGCTGGGAAGAGTTGAAAGTTTTGGTTTAAGATCGATAGCATCTGATGACGCAAGATATGCTTTGGTATGGGACTGGTCAGAAATGTTTGGTCTTGGAGGCTGACCTTGTTCTTCCTCCTCGTTGCTGCTGTTAGTTCCATTCATTTCAAAGAAATCCTTAATAAATTGTTCTGACATGAGAGGTTCTTGGATGAATGCATTATGATGAGCTTCGTTTTCCTTGTCTAATAGCTCTGTTTTTGTCTTTCTTTTCTTGTTCTTTTTGGAAGACAAAACAGATCTTCTCTTCTTTGTTTCCATTTCTTCTCTTGATTTTGACCTTATCCACAAGTTCTCGCTACGAGCCAAAACTTTCCTAGATTCATAATGAACCAATTGCACAAAACCAATCTTCTTGGTCACAGTATTAACGGTAGACTTTTCCTTCTTCTTTCCTCGTTTTTGAGAAGGTCTTGGGATATGAAACGAGCCAAACTTTTCATTCTCATTGGTTTTGTCACCCAGTTTTCCCATCATGATATTCAATTCTTCAGCTGTGTTTTTCTCACTCGAGTTTTGTGTTGAACCTTCAACGAATGACATTAATTGAACTTGACATTTGTCAAGTAACTTTGAACAATAACTTTCAGCAATGGGAGAGACTGATTGTTCTGATGCAATAGAATCCAAAAATTTGTGATCAAAAACCACAGAAACGCGAATGACATCATTCACATAGCATGAATACTTTGTTTGAGCAGGGGAACAAAATTGGTTGTGCTGAAATCCATGTGGTGAACATTCAATTTTGATCTTCACAAACTTGGATATTTCATGTGTGATTTTTTCTCTCACTTCACTTCCTTTGAGTAAAGACATAAAAGAAGAACTTTCATAATCTGGGCAGCTTGAACGACCATGGCCATCCATTTGTTTAACAATTTCGTCGACCACAAAGTTCATTACGATCTGCTCCTGTCCTTTTTCTGTAGAGTCTGTATTGTTATTATTATCGTTGTTATCTGTTGAGATCATGTTTTTGGGAGTCTGATAATTAATTCAATCTTCTTAAAAGGCTTGCTATCGATTTCTTAGTTTCTTTTGAAATTAATTCAATCTAGATTTTGATCAAATGCTCAAGGTTCAAATTCAAAAATCTGTTTTGCAATAATGTTCAAGATTTGTTCAAATAACAAGTGCGCACAAGAGCCGCTATCGCGTGTTGAACGTTGTTAGACCACTTCTTGCTAAGAGCGAAAAGACTAATTCCGAGAGAGTGATGAGCTATTTTTTTGTCGAATTTTCTGGAACATGGATTCATTGCGCATTGTAAAATATTTTAACAGGCATCTATTTTTGAGCCAAAGTTCTCGCTTTCAATTTCTTCGAGGTTGAACTCGACGATTATCTCGTAGTGAAAATTGAGGATTTCATTTTCTTCTCTCCATGAAAACTGTACTGGCAGTTCCAAGTTCATTGATGCTGTAGCTTTTGAGTGGTAAAATAATTATTGGACGTCGCAACGTCAAATGCCATATTCCAACCTATCCATGCTGAAAAGGTGAGGTAATTTCCTACCTTTGAAAGACGGATAAGGTCACCTTAGGAATGAGTTCTGTGTTCGAGAGTCCTCCACTAAACACCATTAGAGAGCGCTCACTGATGCAATTCTCAATTTTCTCACAAAATATATAAAAAAGAAACAAAGTGTCTTTTTCAACAACCACAAGTTCCCTTCAAACTCGACCTTTTCCATTGATTGAAAATCCAAAATGTCAAACCCAAACCGAACTTCAAAGAATGCCATGACCCACATTAAATGTGTGGTGGTTGGAGATGGTGCAGTCGGAAAGACTTGCCTTCTCTACGTCTATGCCAAAGGAAAATTCTCTGAGGAGTAAGTATATAAGCACAATGTTCATTGACAGATTTAAAGAAATCATCATCACATAATAATCCACCAACCACCACAACCACCACAACCACCACAACCACCACAACCACCACCACTATGAATGACTCTTTCCTGTATTGTGTCTTTTATCACACATGCATCCTTCGAATTCTATTTATATATACAAATATAACCTATATAATCATTCATTTACAATCCTCCTCATGATAGACACATTCCTACAGTATTCGATAATTATTCAGTAAATTTGAATGTGGATGGACAAAGGGTAAGTGCTTTACAGTTTCACAGACACACTCCAACTCTTTCAATTCTATCATTGTTGCATTTCCAATGTTCATATATCATTAGACAAGCTTAGGTCTATGGGATACTGCTGGTCAAGAAGAGTAAGTTGTTGTGTTTTGTTTACTCTAATCTCAATTGCATCTCACATAATTAAATCTATTCCATCTCAAATTATATTAATAATAATATCGATAATCTCAAATCTATTCAACTCTATTCCATCTCAAACAATAATTAAATCTACCCCAATCTCTTCAAATTATAATAACAATATCGATGAATGTCATCATTATTTAGTTTTGATCGAATTCGTCCACTCTCCTATCCAGGCACATCGGTCTTCATTGTTTGTTTTTCTCTTGTATCTCCAGCAAGCTATGAAAATGTTCGACTGAAATGGTTTCCAGAAGTTTCTAAACATTGTAAAGCTGCTCCAATCATCCTCGTGGGCACACAAAGTGATTTAAGAGAAGATGAAGCAACAGTTGAAAAACTGAGAAATAAGGGTAAACAACCCATCACTACGGAAATGGGTGAAAAGTTACAAGCAGAAATTAAGGCTCTAAAATATGTAGAATGTTCAGCCAAAACTCAGGACAATGTGAAAAAAGTGTTTGATGAAGCCATTCGAGCCTATTTAACCAAAGCAAAGGAATCATCGTCTCCCTCATCACAGAGAAGTACATACAAGACATGTAACTTGTTGTAATAAAGAAGTAATAAAGTAGTGGAATCTAGATCCATCACATGATCAATGTTCAGAGATTGTTTTTGAATGAATCCAAGAATGTTGAATGTCCTCAAGATTTAGAACTCTCGAGTTCATCCAAGTGATTGAAATGTGTCACAACACTTCGGATCGTTTGCAATTTAGACCTTCTCTTGCAAAGCTGTCCTTCATAAATTGTTCCATGGGATAATCAAACTGTTCCAACTTGTCCTTTCTTAATAATTGCTGAATTTGGAATACTTTCTGAAATCGACATGAAATGTTTTTTACATAGAGTGGGCTTTGAATGAGCCTCTTCAATCTCATCTTTTTCCAATTTACATACTGCTCATTCCCATGATGATTCAAAGGATCCAAATGGTCATCATCATCATTGCTACTTTTTGAGAGAGTGATAATTTCTTGCATTTGGTCGTTCAATAAAATCACTTCGTTCACATGAGTATCAATGTGTGGAATGAAAAACGTCTCATTTCTCACTGCAAGAATAGAGAGTTTTAAATACTCATATTTCATGGACCTAAAAACTTTTTCATACTGTGTCCATTTCTTTTGATCAATTTCCTTTTTAGTAAATTCTAATCGATCAATACTTGGATGATGAATGGCATTCAATAAGTAATTCACTCCAAAATAGTTGTTCAAAGAGAATAATTCCACACACAACTCTAATAATTTTGAAAGTGTCTTTTTTCTATTCTTCAAATAGACTTGACTTAATATTGAGGAAACAAACATGGATGTTGTCAAATCTGAAATTCGTTTCATTTCCAACACTTTGTGGCATTCTCTAGAATTGGCATGCAACGTCTTTTTTTTCTCCCACCATTCAAATTCTTCAATCGAAATTACCTTAAAATAGTCATAATCTCGAAGAGTCAACTGACGAGCTAATTCAACAGTGTCCACCGCTTGCCAAGTAAATCCACTTAAAAACATGGTTCCAGAAATGATTGGACGTGGAGCAATAATTTTTTGAGACAGTCTGACTCTTGGAACAGGAACTGAGAGTCTTTTCTTTTCAGGAGTGTTCAATTTCTCAAACATGACGTCGTCGGGTGTTTCTTTACTTCCATATTCTTCTTTGAGTTTGTTCAATTGTTCCAATCGAAAGTTTTCACAAGCTTCAAAGATTAATGCATCGACTTGAAATGGAATTTCACTACGATTCAATTGAAAACTTTGTGCCTGTGAACAGATCGAGAAGATAGAATCAGCCATGGAGAGATATCCTCTTTTTTCATAGGCTTCTTTCGAGAGGTATTGTAAAAATTCAAACATGTTACTGGTCCATTCTGAAATTCGATTCTTTAACCACTGTGTGTTGGATGATATGCAATGATCATGATAGGTTGTGAGAAGAAAATCATAATGACAAATTTGCCAATTAAAATGATGGCAATCACACACACGTGTTGATCATTCATCGAATTCACGCTCCATGAATCATCAAGACAATAATCATTACAACGAAAACCTACCTTCACCAAAAACTCAATCAATGAGAATAGTCGGTATTCACCAAGTGATCGGCAATACCTCCAATAGGGAAATGTTTCATTCTCCAATTGATAGTCATTTTCAAACCATAATACTGTATTTGTTGTTGATGATGCTGATGATGTGAAATTAAATTCCTCCTCCTCCTCCTTCTTCTGTGTATCATAAGGATCACTACAATTCTTCCATAAAGACTCCTCAAAGAATTGTTCAGGAAGATCATGAACCAACTCGAAACACTTTTTCAACATGGATTGAGGTGTCGTATACCACGAGTAGGTCATTAAGGTGACATCTATAAAACATTCCTTTGTTTTCTTTGTAGGATCATGATGTGGAAATAATGGTAAACAATGAATAGAGGGAGAGGTGAGAATGAGTAACCACTGGTTGAAAGTAAATGAATGTATCCATTTCGATCGATCCATCTTCTCAAAAAAAAGCATCGTCGATGGATTCTTCAATTTCTTCAAAATGTTGTGTGAAATGTGCAGCATTGAAATGGCTACAGACACATCGCTTGCTCATGGATTCCATATCAATTCCATATTTGGCTAAATTACTTTCAGCTCCATCATAGTCAGCATAAATGGTTGGTTCCATCAACAGATGACTCACACCAGCTCCATATAATAATTTTTGTAAAGGTGTTAAAGCGATTTTAGATATTGCCAAGGCTACTCGTCGAGACCGTTGGTGAGGAGATTGAGTCAACTGTTTCTTGTTCACAACATCATCACTGGAGAAGATGGAATCGTATTCTTGTTGTTGTTGTTTTTGATGATGATGTGAAATTATTGAAAATTCTGAAAAATTCCATGAATGACCTTTCGTGAGTTCTTCGAGAATGGTCACAAGCAATTCTGAAGAAGGTCTCTTTTTGGGATCAATGTCAAGCATTTTGGTAATGAGTCGTGCCATGTCAGGTGAAACGACATGTGAAAATTGCATATTCAATTGATTAAGTAAATCTTCACTAAAATTCTTATTTCTGAATACTTCAACGTTGAGAGTTCTGTTGTTTAGTAATAATGTGCACATTTCGAAATAAATACATCCCAATGAGAAAATGTCAGCACTGTAGGTATAAGGTTGTTGATTCAAAATTTCTGGAGCCTTTTGTTTGAACAAATGAGAATATGATGAGATGGTGATGATTAGGATGGAGTGTCATGAGAAAATTATGATGAATATAGATTGAAAACTTACTAAATATTTCAAAGTACCAGTCACAGTGTAAGTAAATGAATTTTGCATTTCTTTCATTAATCCAAAATCTAGCATGAGTATCAAAAGCAATTCCAATGAAATAAATAATTCCAACACATAAGAATTCGAATAGAATAAGCTTAAATTGCATACCTCCAATTTTGAGTTCTTGTTCTTTCGAAACAAATATATTTTGTGGCTTCAAATCTCTATGCATTAAATTTTTGGAATGCAAGTAATGAAGACCACTTGCCATTTGTTTCATAAATGACAGAGCCTCTTCTTGTGTGAGAAATTGTTTGCCATCTTTGGTACATCTCCGTTTTAAAAACATGCTAAAATCTCCTTCTTTGAAATATTTCATTACTAAATTTACATTAAAGCATTCAACACCATTTAACAGAATTTTCTCAACAAAAACATCATCAATAGAACATAAATTTTCATGACTCAAATTTCGCAAAGGCCAAGCTTCCTGTAGATGCATGTGTCAGTTGTCAAGTAGTCCATTCATAAAAGACACCGAATTCATGGGTGTATTCCATCATGACAAGAAGTAGTAATAATAAACAATAATTTGGTGAACACAATTTCCGTAATTTCGCCTAAAATGCACACACCTTCATGGCAACATTTAAATCACGTTCATTCCGACACATAATTTGTTTAATGGCCACTTCCTTTTGATTCATCACTGCAAGAACCACATTTCCACTTGCTCCCTTGCCTAACGGTTTAATTATGGAATATTGGAACGGAGAGGATGGTTGACTTCTTGGGCTTGTCATTCTGGAGGAGCCAATAGAATTCACGGATGAATTGTTCAGCTCGGTGTGAGGTTGTCCTTCAGAAAGAATGGACTCGTGAATACGTAGTTTTTCATCGCCTGATGATGGATGGTCGTCCTCACATGCATTGTCATGTGTGGCAGTGTTCGGAATCATTTGAATTTTTTCATGGAATGGATGATGATTGCGACAGGCTAGCCTTTTACTGTCCGACATTCCTGAAAGAGATGGGAAACCATGACCGGGCAAACGATACGATAGGATTGAACGAGACAACCTGTGGTTCCAATTCCAATTCATGTTTCATTGGAATGAATTCGAACCACAAAAAAAAGCATTACGCACAATTTCTTTGTTCTCGCAGGCGCACAGGCGAGATACTTGCAAGTATGTGATCGTAAAAACATGATGAGCATCAATAACCGATGACCTTCGGAATGATGATAATAATTTAGCAAAATAATGCCTTCATATATTGATATTGATACAGGAGAGGAATCGGGATGGAGATCAAGATTGAGAGCCATCAAACCTCGAAGGCTCACCTTGACTCGGACCGTTTATGCATCATTCCTAGTGATTGCCTTTCTCGTGGGTTGGTTTTAAATATTTCAACATTTCTTATATTGATCCATTTTGCTATTGAACTTTTAACGATGCAATGATGATCATCATTACTAGCTCTCTTTTTAAGGGAAGGATTATTTGGATTTTTTGACAATGTACCGTTTGGACAAGATGTAAAAAATTGGTTTTTATCGAGTGTACTTTCACGAGTGCAAGGAAAATATGCTGTTTATCGAGTTTGTTTTGGATGCTTTTGCTATTATTTATTGTTTGCTTTTTTGGCTTCAAGACTTTTCTGTGTAGGAGACAGAGTTCGACTTTATATTCAAAACAAATGGTTTATAGTGAAGTTACCATTATTTACATTGTTCATGATAATTCCATTCTTTATTCCTGATGTTTTTTTATATGGATTTGCTTGGTTTTCTCTAGTCATGGCTTGTATATTTATCATTGTGCAATTAATTATTTTAATTGATTTTTCTTTTAGTTCAGCAGAGTGGTTCAGAGCTAAGGGAGACGACTCTTCTTATGGATTTTGGGATTACTTGATGCTTGCAATTGCATTTCTGTTTTACGTTCTCGCTGTTGCGTTTGTTATAGTTGAATTTGTGTTCTTTGGAGCAGGGGCAGACTGTCACTTGAATCGTTTCTTTATTTCATTTACAGTGGTGGCAGCGGTGATCTCGACCATCATTGCCATGGTGTTAAAGAGAGGCATTTATCCTACAGGACTAATCTTTTTATATACTGCATTTCTGTGCTGGTCGGCACTCACTTCTGATCCATCAAAGGCATGCAATTCTTTGGGAGATTTCTCACAACAAGGCGGAACCAATAGCACAGCAAGTTCAATTATTACCATAGTTATCAGTGTGCTTATTACAGTTTTTGCAATTGTGTAAGTTACCGTTGAGAACAGTTGTCAAGAGATGACGCTTTATGCTATATTCACACATCCTCATATCATTTATATCCAAAATAATTTTCACATTTTGGCGTAACAAATGATAGTCGAAGTGCCATATCAACAGGATTAAGCTTTTCAAGTTTTTTCACGATGAGTAGACATCCAGATGACAACAAGTCCACCAACAATGATGACGACGAAGAGGTGGATGAGAATGATCAAGACGATGATGCAAAACGAGCCGAATGTTCAGAACTATTCTATGCTCATGTAGTTTTCATGTTTTCCAGTTGTTACATGTCCTGTGTGTTAGCCAATTGGGATATTCTAAGCATGCAAGATGAGCAATGGTATGTGGACCATTCGCTCGCAGCCATGTGGGTAAAAATTGCAACTCAGTGGGTCTGTATGGGCATATTTGGATGGGCTCTCATTGCACCAAAGGTATTGAAAAGATATCGTGATTTTGACTATTAGACCATTGAAATAATTAACGTTTTGATGGATCCGGAAGGTTTTTTGTTCAACAAAAAAAATGCACAAACTTGGTTCCTTCCTCAAGCCTGAAAGGGTTAAATTACTGCCATCACAATTTGCTTGCAAATACAGAGCACACCCTGTTTGGATATCGACTTTGACATCCACTTGTAATTTGAATAATAATAATTTACACAATAATAACGTTTTCAAATCGGATCAACAACATCGATGTTTTTCTGTAAATTTATTATCCACAAATGCAAAAGTCAACTCCGAATCTTCAGATGATCATTCTGATGTAAAAGTGAAAAAAGTAACATCCAAAAGCAGACGAGCATTTATTGAACAAGCCATCGGGGCTGTCGAACACAAAAAAAGACTTTTACATAGCCATGAATTTAAATTGAAACACGTCAAGCTTTCCGATGCCACTGAAATCATTGCAGGAAATGCTCACTGCACAGGCTGTGGGGCCACTCTTCAAACCGCAGATCCTGAAAGACCTGGATTCATTCATCCAAACGCGGTTGATAAACGAATTGAAGAACAAGAGAAATTTTCAAAGCTTGAAAAGGAATTCAAAGAACTCGAGCAAAAGAAACAAGAATTGGAACACTTAAAAATTTCTGAAGTTGCAACAGAAAACAAAGTAGGCGAAGATAAGGCGAAACAGATGTTAGGATCCCAATCATTAAGTTCTTTAAATTCGGCAGGTGGATTTCTAGTGATGGATGAAAACGAATTTAAACTCTACAAAAAGTTTATCAAACACAAAGGAAAGTCAGCAAAAGATTTAATTGATGATAGTTTGAGCGAATTGGTTTGCCAGAGATGCCATCAATTAAGAAATTACGGTGTATATAGTACAGTATCCGTGGATCAAGAAGCAGTGAAACACGTATTTGAAAGAATTGCGAGCCTCAACAAGAAAGCTCTCATTGTTTTAATTATTGATCTGTTTGATACGTATGGCTCGATCATTCCGAATTTAAAAAGCATCATTGGAAAACATAACGTTCTCGTGGTTGCCAATAAGGCTGATTTACTATTGAAAGGCCGATCTCTCGATGAAAAGCCTACCACTGAAAAAGAAAAAACAAAGGCTCTCATTTATAAACGTTTGCAAGAATGGGTGAGAAGAATTTTAAAGAAAGATTTTGGATTGTTCCAAACGCCAGAAGAAAGATCTCAACTTGTTGGCATTGAAATTGTGAGTAGCACTACAGGAACGAATATGGCCCAACTCCATGAAAAGATGAACAGTTATAGAAAAGGAGGTGATATTTATGTCGTTGGATGTACGAATGTTGGAAAATCAACTTTTATTAATCAGCTATTCAAACAACAGATTGAAACACGAAAGAGTAACATTGCAATCACAACATCCGCGCTTCCTGGCACAACCCTTAAAACTATTTCATTTCCCATTGTCACTGCAACTGGTGATCGAGCAAATTTATTTGATACGCCTGGAGTTCTCAATCCACATCAAAAACTGTTTACTGATTATTTAAAATATGAAGATTGGAAATATATTTTACCGCCTAGAGATGTCATTAATCCAAGATTTGTAAGATTGAGGCCAGGTAGATGTTTCTTCTTATCTGGTTTATTTAGACTAGACTATATCGAGGATAATGTGAAAAATGAAGATTGGAATCGATGTATTTTCTCAGTGTACACATCTCCCAAGCTATCCATTCACTGCACATCGATTGAGAAAGCAGATGAGTTCTATGCTAATCATGTCGGTAAAGACTCACCAAATATGGAATATCAAATGGTTCCTCCGATTGACGGAAAGCAAAGCCCAATTTATGGATTGAACAAACCTCTCAAATTTAAAGTGACAGGAACCACCCGACGAGAAAGTATCTTGGATATTTGTATTGGTGGCATTGGCTGGATTTCCGTAACAGGTGTTGGAGAAATGACATTTGAAGTCCATACGAATGAGAAGGTAAATGTTTATTTGCGTCAACCTTGTATCATGCCCTACACAACAAAGGAAAGAAAAATTCGCAAAGATCAATTCATTGAGCATAGAGATTTTTGTAGCCATTAAAAAAGAATATTTAAAGTTTTCTGATGTAAGTTATTATTGACTCATGTTCTTTAGAATATCAAATTTGTTTGTATCCCTTTATATATTCAGGTTGGGAATAGTTTCGTTCTTGCAAAATCTCAAAGCCATTTTTCTCTAGACAGTCATTCCCGCCATTCCAATGTACAAACATTTAAATAATCAACATTCAAACAAAAAAATATAGTGGGTCTTGTTGCTATACTACATACAATTGTATACTCTCATCATAGACCACCCTATCATCATTGAACACTTCGGAAAATGCCTCCAGGAGCTGCTGCACTGAAAGAAAAGCTGGAAAGCGTGAAAGTATGCGTGAGATGCAGACCCTTCAATCAGACTGAGATTGAAAAGAAATCAAAGAAATGCGTTGAAATTGATAAGAATCTCAATCAAGTTATTCTCACCAAGAACGAAAATGAGCCTCCGAAGCCACCTTTTACATTTGATGCTGTATTTGATATGGAGTAAGTATTGGAACATACACTCAAAATTGTTCACCGTCGAGCTCAACAAACAATAAGTGCAACTCAACTTGAGGTGTTCCAATCGACAGCCAAACCGATCGTTGAAAGTGTTATGGACGGATACAATGGTACTGTATTTTGCTATGGACAAACTGGTTCAGGAAAGACACACACGTAGGTAATCATGAAAATCATTTATAATTGCAACATCAATTTTGGCAATTATTCGGCACAAACATTGAACAGAATGGAAGGAAAGCCAGAACCGCCAGAACTTAGAGGATTAATTTACAACTCTTTTTGCAGAATTTTTGAATTGATTGATGAAGCACCGAAGGACAAGAATTATGTTATTAGCGTGTCAATGATTGAAATTTATAACGAGGAAATTAGAGATTTACTTGTGCCAAAATCCGAGGCAGGAAAGAAACTTGAACTGAAAGAAACGAAAGAAGGTGTTGACGTTAAAGCAAATAATATTATTGTAAAAGAACTCAAAGCAATAGACAAAATTTTAGCAATAGGTTCAAAAAACAGAGCAAAAGGAGAAACGAATATGAACAAGGACTCTAGTAGATCTCACTCAATTCTTACAATTAAGATTGAAAGTACGGTTGATGGCCTTGTTGACAAGAAGGTACATATTAGAGCCGGAAAGCTTAACATGGTAGATTTGGCAGGAAGTGAAAGAGCAGATAAGACTGGTGCAACAGGAGACAGATTGAAGGAAGGATGTAAAATTAACTTATCATTGAGCGCTCTCGGTAACGTTATTTCTGCACTTGTTGAAGGAAAAGGAAAACACGTACCATACAGAGACTCGAAGCTCACCAGATTATTACAAGACTCTCTTGGAGGTAACACCAAAACAGTCATGGTTTGTATTTTAATTATTCAAAATGTTGATAACCCTTTGTTAAGGTTGCCAACTTTTCACCTGCTGATTTTAACTATGAAGAAACTCTTTCGACGTTGAGATATGCGGACAGAGCCAAACATATTCAAAACAAGCCCAAGATTAACGAAGATCCAAAAGATGCCATGTTGAGACAATTAAAAGAAGAAATTGAAAATTTGAGAGCTCAATTACAACAAACTCAGGCCCAATCACAGGCTCCAGTTGTTGTTGGAAGTTCTACAACGACTGTTATTGTGAGTGACAATTCTCAGCCAATGGTTTTGTCGGCATCAGTTAACGAAGAGGAATTAGAAAGAATGAAACTTGAAAAAGAAAAGGAAAAACAAAAGATCATTGAAGAGATGAAACAAAAGTCGGCAGAAGAGAAGAAGATATTGTTAGAGCAACAAAAGAGAATTGAGGAAGAGCGTATAAAGATTGAAAATGAGTTAAGAGCACGTCATGAAGCTTTAGAACGAGAACGAAAACACAAACTTGAAATTCAAAACAAGTTAATGGAACTCCAATCGAGATTGGTACAAGGAGGTCAGCTGGAGCAAATCAACGAAGAGCAAAGAGAGCAGCTCATAAAACAAAAACAGGCATTAGAAGAGAAGGAACGATTGGAACTTCAATTAAGAAGAGAGATGGAAGAACAACAAGAAAAGAACCTAGTAATGGAAGAGAAATACACAAGCATCCAAGATGAGGTTCAAGTTAAAACCAAAAAGCTTAAAAAGCTTTGGTCAAAATTCGAAGCAGCAAAGGCAGAAATTTCTGATTTGCAAAAGGAATTCCAACAAGAAAGAGAGGATTACTTGTACACTATTCGACAATTGGAAAGAGAGCTAAAATTACGAACAAAAATTATGGAGCATTTCATTCCTGCTGAGGAAGTTAAGAAAATTGAGGAACGAGCAGTTTGGGATGACGAGGAAGATGAATGGAAAATTCAATCTGTGTTCTTAGCAGGAAATCACCAAAGAAAAAATCGACCCATTTCAGCTTCAGGTTTAAAACGACCTGTAGCATATTCTGTCCTTGGAAATCCCAATCCACGTTACAAAGCTGATAATATTATTGATTTACCGATGGAAATGCCTGAGCGAACAACTGAAGATTATCGTTATATGGAAGAGCATGAACCAGTCTCTGTGTATGCTTCCACAAACTTTGAGCCTGAGGTCACTTCATCGGTTCAGAGAAAGTCTCGTCCTTCATCTTCCAATCCAACCAAAGTGTCAAGACCTAAAACAGACAAGAGGACTGCCCCCACCTCTGAAGAGTACCCTTCCTCAAGAGGGTTAGTAAGAAAGAATTAAATTTTGATTACCTATTTATTTGCAATTAATGGGAGCATTAGTATGATGAGATTTCTCCTGTGGCATGTAATTATTTGTTTGTTTTGAAACAAATTTGTAAACAATTCAAGCGCCAAAAAAATGACAACCACCCAACCATTAAAAACATCCATGTTTCTCTCGGACCCAATCCAAGAATCGGAGAATGGAGGAGACATGGGTGGTCGAACAAAAGGACGATCGGGATTGAATTGGTTGCAATTAGAACAAAAATTTAATGATTTGATCGCTCAATTAAACTCCCCTCAGCAAGGAAATTTCAGCGGAACCACAGCACAACAGAAACAAGAATACATCAAACAACTTGAATTAAGTTTGGAGGCAATTATTGAAGTGGCACTAAGTGAGAGCTCAATAATTTTGCAGGAGGGAGATTATAAAAAAGCCATTGTTGGAGGGTTGAAAGCACTTGAATACATTCAAAAACTATATGGAAAAGACGCGCTGCAACAAGTGGAAGCTTATTTTCTCCTCTCAAAGGCAAGTCAACAAATGGGTCAATTCAAACAAGCAGAGGAATATCTTTCAATTGCCAATTGGACATGCATGAAGAATAAGGAAAAATGTTCTCCAAATCTTAGAGCTGAGCTACATCAACATTTTGGATTATTATATGTACAGCAAGGAAAAGTTAATGAGGCGGTAGAAAATATGTCAGCCAGTGTATATTATTTATCTCTTGATCATGGCACTCATGATCTTGTGACTAGTTTTGCGTATTTCAATTTAGGCAACGTGTTTGTTTCTATGCAAGGAAAGTCAGAAAAAGGAATATCTTTCATGAAAAAAGTTGTTGATATTTGGTATGACCAATTGTCGGCTGTCCTGTTTAAGGGTCTTAACAAATCAGTTGACGGTGTTTCTGACGTCGAGAACAAGAAAAAGAGTTTCAAAACTTCCCTTCAAGATTTAGATGAAGACAAAGTCTCTGATGCTGAGAAAATGTTTGAACATATCCTTAACACAATGCTTGAACAAATAGGAGAAAATCATGTTGAAACTGGAAAAACCTATGAAGTGAGTGGATTATATTTTGTTTTCATTGGGGATTGTGAAAAGGGAACACAATACTTGGAAAAGGCTCAAAGCATTTTCTCATACGTACTTGGCGACAATCATCAATTAACAAAAGAAGTGAAAGACATTCTGGATACTCTAAGTAAAAGGCAAGAATAATTTAATTGTCGATAAAATCTGAGGCCTTTGTTTTCTTTTTTTGCTGAGCCATAAGCCCATTGGCTTGTCTTTGTGAAATATTTTGAATCAAGCTGTCATCCGACTCGATAACACTATCAACTTTTCTCTTCTTTGGATTTCTTCCTCTTTTGGTGGTTGATAGAGCTTTTCGTTCTCTTTCTTCTTTTCAATTTTCTTTTCATGTTGTTTTTCAATTCTTTCAACCTCTTTCTTTCGTTGCTTCTCTTGTTCAGACAAGAAATATTCACCTGTCTCAATTGCAATATCTTTCTTACTCTTTTCAGGAGCAGGTGGGAATGGTGTGTATTCCTTCTTTGGCTTCAATTTCTTATTCTTCTTCTTCACAATACTCTTGTTGACACTCTTCTTGAATTTAGGTAAATACTTGTCCCAAGGTACATTTGCATATTCAGGGTTATTTTTCAATTCTCGCTTTACCATCAATTGTTTAATATGATAAATGGGATGAATATTATTCATGCAGTCAGTAATGACCTCAGAGACAGTTTTAATGCCATTCACTTCTCCAATCACACTCACTGTTTTTCCTTGTATGAAAATGAAACATCCTGTAAGAATTTCAAGAGCCTTCAAAGTAGATCCATCAGGTCCGAATAATCGTTGTCTTCTTTTCGTAAAAACTTCTTTGTTTCTACACAAATTTCCAATCTTTATCACTTCCGAGAATACATTATCTTCCAAAACTTTCTTAGCTTGTTGGAAAGGAACACCTCTTGCTACTAACTGTAAAAAATCTCTTCCCTTAAATATTATAAAAGGATCAAAAGTCTTCTCCGTTGTTTCCACTACCATTTTACCTTCTTTGCAATTTAATGATACTTTTAAATAGTAGGGTGAAGCAGCCAATGTGGATTCAATTTGAGAAATATTCTCCTTCAAATATTGTTCTCTATATTGTGGAAATAGAATAATAAAATCGGAACGATCAGCAAGACCATGTGGATTGTCCTCTTCGGTGTAGGCACCTCCTTTCAACCATGATGGGGCATTGGTATCATTTTCCAATGCCGTTTTAACGTCATCAATTTTTGCTTGATTTACGTTGAATTTTGTCTTTCCCGATGATGATTTTTCTTCATGACCTGGGATAGAAGACTTGTCGATGTAACGCTCATATTTTTGTTTCTTTGAGTTCGACATTTTTTTTGAATTTGAAAAAAGTTCCGAATTGGGTGCGTCAACTCTCGGAAGATGATTCACAATTCAATTTTATTTTGTCTTTTGGGTTCCACGTTTTCGTTTTCCAGCACTTTGATTGCTACTGTTGCTTGAAGGAGTCGAAACAGTTGCGCTTGCCAAACCAATAGCAGCTTCTAACAGTGGAGTCAAGTTCGACAAGACTGCAGAATCTTGAGGTGCCAGAATTGGTTGTGATTTGGAATTGGCTGAAGAGGATGAATCTTGATGATCACTTTTTTCATCTTCTGGCTTTTCATAAGGTATCCCTGTAATTCCTTTCGTTTCTAATTGTTCTCTCAATAATTTATACTTTCCTCTTTGTGGAGATCTCACAACAGTTCTAAATCGAGGACTAAGGAATGTCAGTAAACACGTCGTCTCATTGTAAATGTCCAATTTAAGTCTGAATTTATCGGATGCATTGTCACTGCTTGTTTCACGAAAACGAAATTCTAATTTAGCTTTTAAATATCCATGCTGATGTTCATGAACATAAACGGTTGGTATATGCAAGGATGGTTTGTTTCGTTCGTGATGTACATTGTTTTGTTCAATGAATGTTCATTCATTGCATCATGGATTCGTGTACATACATCAATGCATTTACAAATCATTTTGTGTGACAATAATAAATCCAAAGGATTATAAAATTCATAAACATTCACTCATCCACAAACCTTTGAAATGTCAAATTCTTGATAACATCTTCCCTTAAGCCCTCTCTTTCCACGTCGTTCTTTTTTTACACATTTAATTGGAGTATTTGAATTACCACATACTAATTCAATCTTGACCCACATATCTGGCAATCCACAATTTACTGTACAAACTCTAAGAGTGTACTTTAAAGAACTCAACAAGTGATTTTCTCCATGATACTTTTCAAAGATGAGATTTTTGGTAGAAATGACTACCTCATCGGGAGTGAGGAGTGGTTGTTGATCGTAGGGATCATAATTGTTACCACCAACAATACAATCTGCTTCGGAGAAGAAGCTTGGAATGTACTTTTTGGAGGAACCTCCTGTGTTGTATTTCTTGGTGGGTCGTGTGGTTGTTGTTGTTGATGCAGAAGGTGAGTTTGTTGTTGGGTTTGTTGATGTTGCTACTATTGGTTGGATGATGGTCGTGGTCGTAGTAGGATGAACTGCCAATTCCGTGCTTGTGGTTGTTACTGAGGATGTAGAAGAAGAAGAAGGCTGTTGTGGTGGTAGTGGTGGTGGTGGTTGTTGTTGTTGTTGTTGAACAAGGCTTGCCAAGTCCGCTATGGTACCGATCATCATTTTTGTTATATATGGAGGAGAGTTAGAGTGCTCTGGGAATGCAAATTCAAAGACAAGAGGATGATGAAAGGGTTCTTGTTGGAGTGAGTGTGTGTGTGCGGTTCTTTTGGTGTTACCCGAGAGAGGGAGTTTGATTTGTACTTGTGCGATGACTATTAATACGCGTATTGAGGTGAAGGATGTGTATCTCTTGTCAAATTCAATTTGATGCAAAAACTTTGATAAGTGGAGTTGATTCTCTTTGGTGGTGGTGGTTGTTATTGTTGACGGAGTGTCGGGAGTAACTTGAATCGGAACTCTGAGAGTTGTGATATTTTTTTGTGATAGATGGAATGACAGGGACATGTCTTTGACTGGTTCTCAAAATAAGACCACAAATTCAAAACGTGTTCACGTTGGAACATCCATGAGATCCACACATTGTAACAACAGGGTTGTTCTAAAGAAATTTGTTCAATTTATTCTTGTTGTTGTGTTTTGGATTGATGAAGAATTTGGAATTCCATCTTGTTACACCCTATTGACAGCACCACCACCATCACTACCACCACTCTTTGAGCACATTTCATTAGTGGTCATCATTGGTGGTTGATGGCTATGATCTGAATTGGATGAACTCGTCGTACTTGCTGGTGAACAGGAAGAGGATCTCTCTTGTTGCTCCTTCATCAGAGGCATGCTTACTGAGGTCGTCGTTGGGGTGGAAGAGGAATCAGTTATTGGACTCTGTAATTCCACTGAACAAATATAATTATTATTATTATTATTATTATTGGTATTAGGAATAGAATCCAATTTCACGGAAGTGAATTTCTTCTTGTTAGAAGAGGTGGAGGAAGAGGACGAGGAATGAGGTAATTGAGAAGAAGAAGAAGAACCTCCTCCTCCTCCTCTTTTTGAAGAATGATGACCTCCAACAGCACCACCACCACCACCACTCGTACCACCACTAGTGGAACTACTATTCACATGATTTGCTGGAATGAGTTTGTTGGACACAACATTCTTAATTGTTGCACCAGTCTTATTCAAATCCAAATCATCCAATGGACCATAAATGAAAGTGAGTGCAATGGCAAAACAGAAAATACTAATTCTTTGAAGAGTGATACCAGCAATATAGAATTCATATTGCACGAGGGTCAAAATAGCCATAATGACTAACGATCCAGTCACTCCTCCAAAAATTAATTGCAATACATTGAGAAGAATTAATTGTCGACAAGCCTTTCGACGATGAAGAGGAATTTTCTTGTCAGGTCCAACAAACTTTTTGGTCAAAGAAACTCCAATGATAATATTGAGAATGCCAAAGAAGAAAATTAAACCCCAATAACTAAGAGCAAATGCAGAGTCTAACAATTTAATAATTCCATTCAATCAAAGAATGTATTAGACAGATTGAATGGAAATTATTAAATTGTTTGTTCAACAATGCAAACCCATTCCATGAAATTGAATTGAAATTTGGAATGTCGTATGCATGATAAATCACAAATAATTATTGGTACGTATGGTTGGTCAATAACCATCACACATCACATATCATCATCATGATTGTAACAATCAATTGATAGGTATATGTATTCTTTTTCAACAACATCCACAACTCACACTTACCAACATAATAACGTGTAAAACCAATCGATTTCGCTTTTTCTTGACTCACTCCAGGCATCAATGAAGTTAATGAAGTAATGGCAATAGTAATGAGATGCAAAGGAGCAACAATACCCAACACAATGGCACATGTGAATGCTGAATATTTGACAAATGAACCAAATCGTTGATTTCTCTTTGCAGTCTCAACACTCACCCAATTCGTGGTGGTGGTGGTGGTTGTGAGAGTTGTTGTTGTTGTTGTTGGGGTGGTGGTGGTGGTGGTTTGGAGAGTTTTCTCCTGTCCACCTTCTTTTTCATCGTTGCCACTACCACCACTGCCACCACCACCACCACCGCTGCCATGATTAACCAATGGGTTGTTATTGTTGTTGGTTGCAATTAACAATTGTGCACCCTGATTCGGAGCACCACCACCATCAATGTGTTGTTGTTGTTGTTGTTGAACACTCGGAGAAATAATTTCTTCTTCTCTTCTTCTTCCTCTCATCCACCATTGAGATTTATCAAAATAGACCTTATAGAGGATTCTTGTAATGACCATGAAACAATAGGCACACAAGATGATGGTTGCATTACCACACACGTATTGAATCATTGCAAAAGGATCCATACAATACTTGTCATTGGTAGCCAATAGACATACCGAATACATGATACCTCCAATAATGGAAACTAATTGCAAGAGAGAAATTAAAACAACGAGAGCAAAGAGAGCTCTCTTGATAGGGACCATCTTCTTCCAACGAACCATTAAAAGAGCACTCACGACAATACCAAATACAAGGAAGGGTGGAAATGAAACTGAATAGACAACAAGTGCTCCAGTGAATCGATTAATGATGACAGAGTCATTGGAATAGGTCAATGCTTGATGGATGGTAATTTCACCCAAAGGAGGGACGTTGAGATGGTTTAGCATGGAATGGAATATATTCTCTTGCTTTGAAGATGATAACAATGAATGGTTGTTGTGGTTGGAGTGATCAATTTGATGAGAATGGTGTGGTCGACGAGAGTGGTGTGTTCTCCAATGAATGGCAGGAGAGAAGGTTGTGGGCACGTGGTTTGCGTTTCTAAGAAATAATGACAACGTTCGATGGATTCACCTTTGTGTGTAGATGATAAGTGGTTGACTTTGTTTTTATGGTTGTTGTGGTTAATGTGGTTTGTAATGGAGACATCCACATGAAGACATTCTATAAAAAAGTAGTTGTGCTTTATTTTTGATCAGTTAGGAAAGTCATCTCGGTTGTAATGAGCAATTATGGAGACGCCGTAAATTTCAGCGTTGTTGAAAATCACGACAGATGAAGGAATGACAAGAGAAACTGATCTCTCGAGTCAGCCCTACGTGTGGTTACATGAGGTATAGAATCCTTTATAATCATTGTGGCTTTCAGAGAGGTTTCACTTGGAGAGGTAAGACCCCCAAGCACATCCTCACGGTATCTTTAAAAATGCCTCAACAATACCGTGTCATTTTTGCCCTTAGTATTTTATTGTTGGTCGTTGCCTTTGGAGGATGTGCAAAGGCTGTCCTAACAGAAGAAGAATTTCAGCAATATATAACAAACTCGTGCCCTTCGAAACCTTTGGATTGGGTACAATGGCTGGAGGAAGAGGACGTACTGACCAATATTATTGCAAGTGGGAAGGCTGACCAATTACCGTTGAGGTATCCGATCACCCAGCCGAACAACGTTTTTGTTGAGGATGATGTATGGCCACGAGAGGCTCAACAAAAGGTTGAAATATCAAAGCCCCTTAATTCCTCAACAACACCTCCCTCACCTATTTATAATATTCCTAATTTCGAAGTTCTTCTTTCATCCAACAACACTCCATCAAGTAATGCTACCCTCAACAACATACTAAATACAACAACGGTTCAAAATTCTTCCACTCTCCTCAACTCTAATGGTACACTATCAATAGCGATCAACACAACACTAAATAACCCTCCACAAATTCATCAGACACTCTCAGTTACGAACAATACCTTAACTCTCAATGACACATTAGTTGTGTCTTCTCTTTTCAACTCGACTAATACCACAGCTGCAGATTACAACAACAAACAAACAAACTCTCAGAAGCAAGTAAATGAAACAATTTTACTTCCTTCTCAAACATCCCCATCACAAAACAACTCGCTGGGGGTGCAACAACAATCGAACGTGTTAGATCCGAAAAAGAGATCTGCCCAAAATGTTGAGGTCGTCAACTCTTCACTTCAGCAACAGTCAACAAACAAAATAACGCTTGACAGCAGGTCTCAGCCTACCACATCTCAGCCTCAAGGCAATGGGGCCCAGAAAACACAGATACCAAATAGTTCTTCCTCTAAAACGCAGATAAATAATTCAAACTCTCAACAGAATTCGCAAACAACATTCAACAAACAAGCTGACCTACAAATGAAGACTAGCATCTCTTCCATTCAAAGTCAATCAACAACAACTAAACAATCAAGCATTGTAACAACAATATCAAACGGTTTTGATCAGAAACTGCAATCCCTTCAGGCAGCTCTTTCATCAACAAAAACTGTCTCTCAACCTGTCATTACTCAAAAGATAGTAAACATCAACAAGCAAAAAGATTCAAGAATCCAACTTGCAAATAATATTGACCAAGCTTTGAAACAGCTAGAACAAGATATCAAAGAGCAAATTCCAAGTAACCCAAAACCTGACTTCAAACAAAGTCTTAAAATACTGCTTGGTGATATTAAGGGAGAGGACCCAAAATCTCTTCAACAATCAGACTCCGTCAGATGTAGATCTGTATGTCCCAAACGATATGAAAAACGAGTATGTAAGACCAAGAATAATACAAGAGAAGATATATTGGCAGTGGAAGGAAATATTTTCAACCTAGGGACAGCTAATCCTTCAACTGTCAATCTTGGACTTGTTGTTGGTCTTTCAGTCTCTGTTGTCATATTATTTATATTGTGTTGTTGTGGAAGTTCCATAGCATGTATTGTCTGTTATGCAAAACGAAAGAGAACAAATTTCTTCTCTATTTACCAAGCTAAGAATGTACAAAATTTGCTTGACGGTCACTTACCTGAACGGAATGACGTGGTTATTGACAACGAAGACGACAATGATGAACCTTTAGAGTATCAGAAATCATCTTCAGATGAATCCTCCAATGAAGAAGATTATGTCGGTGCCTTGGACGAGACAGAATTTGTTTATTAAGGTCCTTGAATCGAATTGGAAGGTGACAGAGGAACGTGTTTCATTCCAACACACTTTTTAAAAATAAAAATATTCATCATGTACGCCAACAACAACAACAACTCATTCTATGGAGGGTACAGCCATCCACCTCAGCAACAACCACCCAATAACATGATGATCGGTGGATATAATAACATTCCGCCAACAACAACACCACCACCCAATAACATGATGAATTCCTCCTTCTCTAATTTAAAGGCTTCTCCTTTCTATACTTCAAATCCAAGTCCAGTGATGATGAACGGAGTGATGGCTTCATCAAACACTGCAAGTCTTGAACAACAACAAGCACAACGAACAAGACAACTCCAAGCTGATTCTGTTATTAAACGATTTCATAACGCCAAAATTGTTTCTACGAATGACAACAATGTGGTTGATGTTCCAATCACTCTCAAGAATGGACAACAATTAACATTCCGTATTCTCATGCAACATGCTTTCCCACAACAACCACCACTCATCACCACTCTCGCAACAATTAAACATCAAAATATAGATAACAATGGTTATGTCGTTCATCAACAACTCAGACAATGGACACCACAATCAAGTCTAGGAGATGTCTTGTCATTAGTTTTCAGAGATTTTATTACCAATCCTCCAATAATTGTCAGTTTGGATGAATGGCCAAAGAATCATATTACCAAAGTGACAAGCAACAATGGTACTCCTTCGATCACACCACCACCTCCTTCCTCCTCGTCGCCATCCGTTGGTGTTTATCATCAACCACAGACATTTGGAACAAACACGATACCCACAACCAATGCAATACCTCCATCGTTGTCAAATCCTCCAATTTCTTCTGTACAAACACCTATTCAAGATTCATCATGTTCAATTCGTTTACCCCCAGTTCCGACCTCATTCCCTGAAATTAGTTTATTGGAAGGAACTGAGGCAATTCAAAAACTTTTGGACAATCAAGAGGCATTCGAGCAGTTTGTTGAGAATTTGGCTTTCACACGAGAATCAAAGAATATCTATCAAGATTTGAGAAATGCTAACATGGAAATTGCAAAAAGAAATGTTTCAAAGGATGAACAATTAAACATCACAAAAGAATCTATTGATCAAAAGAAGGTGGAGGTTGACAAGATTTTGGAGCAGGTACAAATGCTGCAAGCAAAACAACAACAGCTCTCACAAAGATATGCTCCACCTCAATTGCTTGTTTTACTAAATGAAAAGATTGAACAAAGCGATGCAGAGAGCGAGGAATTGGGAGAAGCCTTTTTGAATTCAAGGGAAGTTGCAGATTCTCAACAAATCAAACAATTCATTGACAAGTATATCGAAAAGAGATCTCTTTATTACTTGAGAAAGCAAAAAAGAGATCGATTTAGAGACACCTATTGCAAACAATAAAACTGTTGCTTCTTTTTATATAATAATCCAATTCCTTCAAGATCAATCCTACCTCAAAGATGATTGGATGCAATAATTTATTGTGATTTCAAAAAGATTCGAAAAGTGTCAATAGAATGTACGTGTACAAGAGGGTATTCCTTAAAGAGTCAATCCAAGATTCTTTTGGATATCACTGGAGTTCCAGAACAAAACCTTTCCGTCCAAACCAGCAGTGACAAACTTGGTCACCTTACCTCCCTCAACTTTGAATGGACAAATGGAGTTAATCACATTGTGATGACGAGTTGTTGGACTGTCATTCTTTTCTGCGTTTTGAGCACCAACAGTTGCTTGAGCTTGGAACTTTAAGAAAGCGCTTCTCGCACCAGCTCCTCCAGCACCAGCACTAGCCCCTGTAGAAGACTTCTTTTCATCACAAGATCCCTTCAATACCCACTTATTTCCCTCCAAAGCAAAAGCATAAGGAGCAAAATCATATCCAACAGCAACAAAAGCCTTGTCAGAAAGGAACAAACCACGATAGAATGGCAACTTATCATGACGAACGACTTGAGTTTCAATTGGTTGAGAGTCAGCTTGTGATTGATCCTGTGAAGCATAATCCACAAATTGAACAGTCGAGTCGTGTCCAATGAAAGCCAACCATTTACCATTAGGAGAGAATTGAACATCATGAACCCATCCCTTTGAAGCATACTCTACAATAGAATCTCCAAACTTGACCTTTCCTTCGGGTCTCTTTCCATCAACATCTTTGATATAGGTATTAAAAGTACGAGCCTTCATATCACTGCTTCCAGTAGCAAGCAATGTATTGTCGGATGGATGCCAACACAATGATTTGATGGTACTCTTGTGCTTTTTAATCATCTTGGAAATGTACCACTTGTTGACTTCTTCATAAAAGCACACGGAAACCATCTTGGCTGCACTTCCAACAGCGAATTTATCTTCATTGGGAGACCACTTACAACAAGTAGCAGCCTTGGTAATACGTAAGAGTACCAATGTTGGTTTCCATTCATTTCCTTTCAATTCCCAGACGTAGGCATTACGATCTTGAGAGCAAGAGAGAATCTTGTTACTCTTTGGTGCCCAATCAATACCGGTTACGTAGTGATCGTGTTCGGTCAGTTTATGTTCAATCTCCCATTTTTCAAAATCTTCACTTCCATTGGTTTTGTAGATCCAGATTTCAGAGTTTGCTGGTGAAATGGCACAACGAGTCTTATCACCGTTCCAAGCCATACACGAGATGGCAGGGACAAGAACCTTGTGGGTGGTGAGAAGGGACATTTTTTGTTAAAATTTGTGTTTTTTTAAAAAATGATGATGATGATGGAGGAAAGGCTTCTTCACTCATCATCAGTTGGTGCGCTTGGGTGGACAACAGAAAAAATCATGGCTCGTGATGATGATGCGTGATGGGTGAAAGACAAGACACTCGTGTATTTAAAAAAAGTTGCAGAAAAAAAAATTTTCATTGAATTCATTGGCCTTTCAAAGAAGAAGCCTCTCAGCTATTGCGCAAGAAGAAGAAGAGAATTCTTAATGGTAAAATCCCAATTAAGAATTGGGGATGGTCCTCTTCAACACATCACGATCATGATTTCGATGCCATGATTTCGAACATTATGAGAGTTCGTTCTTTATTCTCACAACTCTAACTCTCCTCTGCGAAATCATCAAAAGGTTCTCGGGTATCGAGTGTGTGAATTGCCCAATCCATCCAACGCACCACACGATAACCAATGGGAAGAAGTTTGAACGCATGTTTTTGAGTGACATGATACTCTGAGTTCCATCATATGATATTATTGAGAGATGGAAAGAATAGATTCCATCATTGAAATTGTTTGAAATATTTTTCATTGATAAAAATGGAAATGTGAAATGATTTTCATTTGCATTCAAAAGAGGACAACAACACCATGATGATATTCACAATGATGATATTCAATCATGATGAGTCAAGTCCACAGTACTAATAATACTTACTTAGAAATGTTTCTGGATGATATCCTCCTACCATTCCAGCCACGGTATTAATATGATACAATAAGGTTGAATATGTTTCCATAACTTGGAAACACAGATCCAAATCCAATTTGATCATTAAATCCTCCCCAATTGTATAATTCTGAAGTGTAGAATTTGTTGAATTCCACCCTGAAATGCAGTAAATTGACATTTTGCTCAAATAAAATGTCAGTTCTTAACCGAAAGACCATGTCATAATAATTCGTAGTCATGTTATTTTCTTTCATCATCTTGTCATTGAAACTTTTCATTTGAACAAAACCATCTCTAAATAAAGATAAAGAAGAAACCCAATTATGGCATCCTTCATAGGTTAAAAATTGAGAACATTTTTCACGAGGAAATGGAAAATCTGGATACAAATCTTTAACACTCTCAGTTAAACGAGTCATATTAAACAATTCAATAGATTCATATTTCACATTCTTTAAAAACTGTCTGATTCGACTATAACTTGCTAGAAAGGATCGAATCGCTTCACTCAAAATCACTGCAATTCGATTCTTTTTTTTTGGAGGTAATGTTGTTGTTGAGGAAGAGAAGGATTGACAATCATAATTGGTTGTCTTGTGTGAGTTTGTGGCGCTCATGTTGTTGTCTTGTTGTTCTGAAAGAATCACATTCTCATCGAAATGAGGACGAGAACAACAAATTAGATATCGGCAACATTTCAACCAAACCAATATCTGCTTTAATGTGATCACATTTGTTGCAGTTTGGACATACTGTTGGTCTTTCATCAAACATTGACTTGAGTGCTTTTTGCAAGAATTTCCCCACTGTTCCAAGCGAGTTTTGGTTGATGCCAAGCGTGTTGATTTCTGTCAGAAGATAGGCAAATTGTGTAATGTCATTACATTATAATTGATGATTAATGTACTCTACATTATTCAAACAATGATGATGGTTGGACAACTCTAAAAAAATGATCTTTGGCCAATTTCAAATTTCTCAGTGCCTGAATTGTCATGACTTCTTCTCTCCGACGAATATTTACAGCTTGTGTGTTTTGAAAGGAGATGATCAACAACAACATTCTCATCCATCAACTTTATCAACACAAACTTGTAGCACTCCATCATCACCAAATTCTAGAAATTATCATCATTCATCGGATCATTTAATTTTCGTTTCTACAAGTAACAATATCTATGTTATTACTTCTAATAAGATTAATCCGAGTCATCATCAATTATCAAATTATAATAACAACAATCTTTTAAAGAATTCAGTTCTTGAACAAACCATCCACAAAGATTTTCCTATTCAAGAAATTCCAATTTATAACATTTCAAGAATACCAACTGATTCTCAAATTATTAGTATTAGTGCGTTTAGAAGTCATTATGACAAATCCAAAATAGTTTTGGGAGTTACTTTCACTCAACCCATTTCCTATAATGAAAACTCAAATTCTTCAAAAAGAAAATATGATGACGAAGATGATGGCAATGAAAATAATAATAACGATGATGATCATCAAAGAAACTCTACGCATTCAAATAATAATAATAATAATAATAATAGTTTATACAATGAAGAATATTTTTCATCTTCCTATGATAGTGCTGGTGGTGGAGATAGCACAGACGAAGATTCATTATTAGTCGAATCTCATCATTCGAAACAATCCTCAACTAAAAAGAAGAAAAAGAAATCTACTAGTTCAATAATTGGAAAATCATTTGTTTCACACTCAAAAATGTTAAAATCAAATTCTGATTTTGGAACTATTACAAATGCAACAAACAGTGGAGGAAACTCTTCAAGTGTGAGTGGAAATACCACTCCTAATAGTGGTCTCTCATCATCTGAACAAGACACAGATACCTATATTGAACAACAGCAACAACAACAACAATTTAATAATTATTTGTATATTTACTTGTTGGATGAAGAAGAAATATTTTCGCCTAAAATTGGAACTTTTTCCTCAAATGCTTCAAATCCAAATACTCCAAGCGCTAATTCTACTCCATCTTCTACAATGACCAAACATAAATGTATTCAAACATTTGTTTTAGGATACATTCCACTTGGACTTTCCACACAAATGGTCACATTGTATCCATCCATGCAACAATTTCCAATGTTTGTTCTTTGTGGAAGTGATAAGAGTATTCATTGTTTTTCAGATATTATTGTACAACAGAGTGTTGTTACGAGTGGAGGTATTACGATTAGTAGTGGTATTAGTAGTAGTGGTCAGAGTGTTAGTAGTACCAATATTGGTTATTCTTTGAAATTATTTGACATTCCAATTGTATCGAATTTATTTATTACGAACAATGGAAGAATTATTTATTTGAACACTAGCACTAGTAGTAGTAGTAATACTACCACCACAGGTTCCAATGCATCAATGGTGGACATGAATACATCCTCCATCATGATGAATATTCCATCAAGTGCGAGTAGAAGTAGAAATTTTCTTCTCAATGATAATCTCTTTGTTGAATATGATTTTGCCAATTGCATGTTGAATATTCCAGGAAGTATTATTGATTTAGATTACAAACACAATATTCTAATTATGGGATGTCAGAATGGAATTGTGAAAGGAATTCAATATTCATCAATCTCCTTATCACCCTCCTCTTCCTCCTTTTCTTCAACAACTAACATGAATTCACCACTCCCTTATTTAGAATTTCAATTCATGCTGAACAGTCCAATTAGTTCCATTTCAATTCTCAATTACTCTTACGATCCTCCCTCTCATTGTTTAACATTTATTGTTGGAGAGTCCATTGGTCGAGTGGTCATTTATTCGATTCATGTGAATTCGACAACAACTGCTTTGAACCTATTTCCAAGCAATAGTAGTAGTGGCGGTAGTTGCAGTTGTAGTAACAACACTACTTTCACCACATCCTCCACAAACAACACGACAGCCAACAACAACAACAACTCTTCAAGTGGCATTGCCAATACTACCACCACTAATACTAATAGTACTACTACTAATACTACTAATACTACCACTCATTCATTCTCATCAGGATCCTATCAAGTAGTGGAGGAACCAATGGTCATTTATAATGATGAATTTGGAGATTCCATTACTTGCATTCATTTACTACACTATGGAGAGAGTCATGAAGCTTTTACAGAAATATATATTGGTACCTATAACAAAAAATTAATTGTCTATCAATATGATGGAGAGAGTAAGACTTGTAGTTACAAGACTACCTACCATTTTGAATATCCAATTTATTGCATAGATTCAGTAGATATCAATAATGATGGTGTTAAGGAAATTATAGTTTGTACCATGTATGAGATTCAAATATTACAACCAGATTTGCAAGCTATTGGAGAATATTTGAAAAGAAAGCTATTGAATCGACTCAAGAAGAGAACGACACAAGTTGAGTCAGTTTGGATGATCAACACCTCTCAACCTCAATCCACCAGCACCACCAGCACCACCAAATCCGAAGAGAATTAAAACATCATCAACGATTTAAATAAAAAAAAATTGAAAAAAAATTGGAAAAATATTATTACACGATATCCGCAGAAACATAGTCCGCCGCAATTTTCTAATTCTTCAAAACCCAACACTCATGCCAAGCCGTCACTATGATGTCAATGAAAACGATCTATCGGGTTTTGCCTTTATAGATCATCCCAGTGATGACGATGATATAGATCCAATCTTTGATGGTATTGAAAAAAGTGAATCCTTTAAACAGCAAGAAGAAGAAAATCAATTAAAAAAGAAACGAAAAATTAAGGAAACACTCAATTATTACCAATCACTGAAAAAACAAGTAATAGAAAAACCAACCATAAAGAATGTAATTCATTTAGAATTAGATGAATCACTACTTTTAGCCAATGAACCTTCCACGCCATCCATGGTCACTCACGATCGTGGAGATGAAGAATTTAATCTCATTCAATCGGATCAAGAAGAAGATGAAACGAATATTCCCACTACTACGACCACCTCCAAAAGTGTTCCTATATCCAAATTAGATCAAGCTCTTGCGAAAATCAACGAAAAAAAGAAAACAACCATTTCTCAAAGCAAAGAAGATTGGAAACAATTCAAAAAGCAAGAAGGAATTGAACATGAATTGCAACAATATCGAAAAGATGGTTATTTGGAAAAACAAGCATTCTTAGAACGAACTGAAATGAGAGAATTTGAAATTGAAAAGGATTTAAGAAATTTGGAAAGAAAAAGAAAGGAACAGCAACTGAAATGAAAAGGTTATTTCATTTTTCAAATTGAAGAATTCTTCTTGTTCCTTCTTCTATAGATATTCGAATGAATGGTGGTTCAAGATAATTCACATTGATTCAAGAGATGCTTGATTTACAATGAATATATTCATGAAGAATAAATAATTTTGTTCAACAAGACATAAAATGTGCAAAACTCTGCTAACAGTCAAGTGATCAATACTGAACGTTTGAAAAAATTAATTTTGTTTTTTCAATGATGGATTCTCTTGGTGTCGTTGTTCAATTTCTCGAGTTAAGTAGAGCTCACTTCCTCGAGTTCTACAATATTTAATCATTTCTGTGACGTAAAATATCACATGAAGAATCACATGTGGTAAAGGTAGTATTCGAATAAATATTGAATTCTTGTACGCAGTGTTGTTCAATAAATAGCATCCATAAATATTCACTGCCAATACAAGAGTGCTCATGAGTAACATTCGGATCCATGTCAAAATATTAAAATAATTCCTTGATGGAATAGAAACATGTTGTTGTTCTCCTTGATTCTGAGCACTATTATTATTTAAAATTCTTTCATCATTGAAATTTTCAGACTTATTGAAATGATAATAAATATAATAATCATAGATCACTGTAATGATTGTGCTTGTGAAATAAATAAATAATTCATAGTGTCCTTGTCGAACCATGATCTGATCCAACATTCGATTCATGAAGGAAATATTCATCGGAATTGGTTTGGTCAACACAAAGGCTAAATCATAACACAAGGATGATACGGAATAGAGAGTCAACGTTAGAAATGGATACGAAGAGAAATCTCGTGTCTTGAAAATGGAAATAATGATCAGAGTTAAGAGTTGAATGAACCAAGTGCCAATGAAAAGGAAATACAAGGCGACTTGAGGAATCATTTTTTTAAAACCTTTACCACTCTTTGGTGATACTGTTGTGACAGCAACAACAAATCAGAGTGTATAAATAGCACAAAATTAATTGAAAATGCTTCTGGATTTGGTCAATACAGTACAATAACTGTGCAATTACAAGTTGGCCATTGAGGTCGTTCTTAATACAAGAGACATGAATGTTCGCTCACTAAAACCACTGAGCTCTCTCCTCGTGGTGGCAACAACTTGTGAATAAACCAATGAATTGAGGAATTCGGAGCGAGTGAATGAAAATGTCACAAACTCAGAGTTTAAAGAAGGGACTTGGACCACTTAAAGCAAGTTCTTGATGTGTCATGAGGATGGGGATGCAGAGAGGCATGATCATGCTAGTGAGTCTCCTGTTGTGCAGAACGTTCGAACTTTTAAAAATCATCGCGCATCACCAACATCATAGCTATGATTTCGAAAGAATGCCACTTGTGATCGGAACCATCTCTTCGAGTCTCTTTCCAACCGTAAACACCTCATTCATCATTCAAAAAAAGTTGCCGCCCACTCTATCCGTAAAATTGGGGTGCAATTTTCTTGCTGATCCGGATTATCAACCTCAATCAGCACTACAACAACTATATATATCGGAACAAGATTCATCCTTACACAATTACGATAGATATATTATTGAATTAAAGAATAACAATGAAGAGAGCGACCTCAAGACTCTCAATTCCCTTTCTTCCGACGCTAGGCTCTCATAATCATATTGTAAATAGTTTAACGACAAGGGAGAAAATTGTCAAGTTGGATAAGGAAGAAGAAGAGGAACCAAAAATCAAAGTGGATGATTCAGATTTTGAATTAATTTCAACTCAACCTGCTAAATTTGTTAAAGCCATTGATGATGAAGTCACACAGGCATTAAGTTCACTTGCTCCCTCACCCGTACTAGGTCATTCTGCATCCACCACTCCTTCACCAGTTGAAGAACATGAAGAAGATCCTTCGTCGGATGAATCTTCTGAAGAAAAAGCGGAATATGGAAAAAAGAAATCTCAAAAAAAACGAAATTTTAAAAAATCTGCGACAGACCAAAGTATGATTAGCAAATTCTCTCATGTTCATGATAAAGTGAAAGCAATAGCATCCATTCAATTAGCAGGCAAAATGAGGAGAAAAGAATTAAATCAAAAAGTCAAACTTTTAAGTGAGGCTATAAAGAGTTCAGCACAAAATGCAGGAATGACCACAAGAGATTTGGAATATGAAAAATATTTAAGAGAAAAAGTTGAAGTTACTCCCATAGAAGATGAAATTGATCAAAAAATCAAATTAGAAGATATTCGATTATTATTTGAAAATAGTACAGAAGATGGATTAACTGAAACTCAATTTATTGATGGAATGAGTCGTTTATTGGGAGAAGGACGAGCTAAAGATGAATTAAAAGCTCTCTTTGCAAGAATTGATGCCAATGCTAATGGAAAAATTGATTGGAATGAATTTTCAACCTATGTCCTTCTTGGATATGAAGGAGCTAAAAAGATGAAACAAAATTTAGATGACAAATTATTTGTTCATCAAACATTTCCAGATGTAAATACCAAGAATATGTATCATAAGGGAAGAATTGTAAAGATTTTGCATGATGAAAAAAGAAATCGATATTATACAGCAGGAACGGATGGTTTAGTGAAATCATGGTTTTGTGATAATTTTTTATACGATAGAAATATTTATTATACTCCTGATTCAGTTATTTCAGATATTGAATATTTATCAGTACATGATGAATTGTGTATATGTACCATAGATCGAGTTGTGAATTTTTATGATTTGGATACATTAACAGTGAAAAGGGCATTTAAGGGAAAATATCAACATTCGAGAGGGATTGAAAAAAGATATGGACAACCATATGAGAGTAGTCGTCGTTCTGCGAGTAGTAGTATTCATACTAGTGGTGGGGGTATTGGTGGTATTCAGAGTGGTATTCATAGTGGTAGTACTAGTAGTAGTATTCATGAGAAATCTCTCACTTCTTGGATGGATGGTACACCTCCATTTTCAAATGCGAGTAGTAATAATTTGGTACAAATGTACAATGAGAGTTTCAATGGACCAAATCAGAGATTAACTTCTTCTCTGCCCAATCTGGTTAAAAAAGGAAGAGAAGTGATTGAAATTGTCATGCCAGACCATCTCAAAGATCCAAATCCAGTGATTGAAACCTTATATCCTCTTCCACCTCATATCAAAATTCACAAACAAATTGAAGAATTGAAAAATGAACTCTTCACAAAACCATTTGGTCTCAAAGATACCATTCCAGTAACCATCTTGGAGGATTTCATTGATGCTCCTACATGTATGACTGATTTCTCCAAGTATTGTCTTGAAAGACAATCCAAGCAAGAAAGTGATTCTAAATTGCCCTTACTTGTTCTTCCTCAAGACAATTATGTTGGAAAACCAAAACAAGGAATGGAAGTTTTCAATCCATGTCATGTCATGTTCGGAATGGACTCTGGTTATGTTCAACTCTATGATTGTTCGGCACCAATTGGACGTTCTCCAGATTGTATTCGACCTGAAAGAAAATGGAAACTTCACGATTCATGGGTCTCTAAAATTATCTATGCTCCAAGTATTGATTGTATCATGACAAGTTCTTTTGATGCGACCATTTGTGTGACCAATTTTGGAGATACAAAAAGAGGACGATTACTTCATGGACACACGAAAGAAATTTACTCAATGGATTGGTGTGAAAAGTACAAACTATTGGCCAGTTGTAGTCGTGATAAGGAAGTTCGTTTGTGGAATCCATTCATTTCAAATCCACTAGTCACTCTCATTGGACATGAAAAACCCATTGTTGATGTTAAATTTAATTTGGAGGATCGACAAATTATAACCTTAGATACTGGAAAGACGATCAAAGTTTGGGACATGAGAAATTACAAATTATTACAAACAGTTCATGATGCAAGTAATTCAAAGAATCCATGTTCCACCATGTTGTATAATCCTAAAAAGAGTAGTATTATTACTGCGAGTAACAAATTGAAAATGTTTCCAATGAAAAGAACCTTAACCGATTTTGCAAAAGATTTTAAAGGTCATAGAACTCCAATCATTGCTTGTCTCTATAATGAGACTCTGAAACAACTCATTACATGCGATGAATCACTTGTTTGTGTGTGGGATGTAACAACTGGAAAGCTCATTTTCAAATTTTTAATTCCAAACAAGATTTCTACAGCCATTCTCGATGTCATGAAAAGAAGACTCATTGTCTCTTCTCACAATGGAGAAGTGTCTCTCTGGAATTACATTAATGGACAAAAATTAATGGTGTGTTTTTCACCTCCACTCGCCGATCAACTTGTGGACTATACAGAGAGTTTACCAAACAACACATCAACAACAACGAATGCAGCAGCAGCAGCAGCTCTCTATAATTCAAATGTCGCAACACCTCTCACTCGATACTCTTCCAATTCAAGTCCAGCAACATTTTCTGAACATTTTCGTACGAAAAACAAACTTCATACCATATCATCATTGGATTATAAAGGACTTGGGTTTGTGTATAAGGAGAATAGAGGTATTAAAACCATTGTGGCAGGAGGAAATAATAAGAAATTAGTATTTTGGAATGATTCAGATGATAAGGATGCAATTTTAGAAGAACATGCCATGTGTTCTCAACCTTTTGCAAGAGATATTAATGTGGTACGATGTTATGGAGATTATATTGCCATTGGCTTGGATAATGGAGTGATTTTCACATTGGATGATCAAAATGGAGAAATTAAAGGATCGACCAATTACATTTCCATACCAGAATTGAGATATGACAATTTTTATAAGGAACCACCAAAGAATTACACTGGAAAACAAGTGGAATCTCAGAGAAATTACTTACCTCAACCCACACAACATTCAAGTATTGAAGATGTAAGTAGTGCGTCTATATATATATGGAGAGAGAGAGATACGAAGATTACATTGGTTGTTCTTATCAATGATGATGACGCTGATGATGGTTTTTATATATATATTTCAATCCAATACTTCTACTCCACCTGGAATATATTTGCAACCGTACCATACCTGCTTGTTCCATCCATTGGGTATTCGAATCATTGAACTCCCATTGAATCTATATTTAGCTCTTATTTCTTCCCAAGAAGGATGGTCTTCTTTTATCCTCTCGTGCCAATGGAATTATTTCATTTTGGGAAATCTCAAAGAATTCCATTCGGCACTTGTATTCCTTCAAAACAACTCCTCAAAATGAATTTATTACCTGTCTCTCATCAAGTGCAAGTAATGAAACTCTTGTGATGGGAGATTCAAGAGGTTTTATTTTTGTCTATGATTTGTCATGCATTCCAAAACTAAGTGGCCAATCCCATGAAAGAGTGAGCAGTAGTATGAGTCATTCAAGTAGAGACAGTGACACTCGATCCAACATTTCCAAAGGATCTTCCAAGATAGGTGAGATTGAGAAGAGACATGTTCGTCTTGTGAAAACATTTAAAGCTCACACGGAATCCGTCTCAAGTATTGCCTATATTTCTCCTAATAATTTAATTGCATCGTGTGGAGCGGATTGCACAGCAGTACTCTTTGATCTCTATGGAATTCCTATTGGATTTTTTGGACAACGATTGGAATGGAAACTTGGTTTGACCTTCACTTATGGAAGACAAGATTTTGCACAGTTTCAACATGTGATCAATCTCGATTTGGATTTGTATAAGGTGAATGAAGAAGATGAAGAAGGAAATATTTTGAGTACGAGAGGTGGTGGTCGAGGAGGAGGAGGTGGTGGTGGTGAACGATCGTGTGAATCCAGTTGTAGTATGAGTAGTAGTAGTAGTAGTAGTACTAACAATAATAATGGTGGTACGACTGCTACTGCTATTAACAGTGGTAATCCTACTGCAATTGGGGTTGCATCTTCTCCTTCTTCTTCACACTCACCACCACCACTACCCTCACGTCTTTCATTGCATCACCAGAATACACTCTCTCACCACCTCGGAACCACCACCACCACTAGTAGTAGTAGTAGTAATAATAATTCCCAACCTCCAACCGTCAACAATCACATGAATGGAATTGCAACAACAAATACCACAACGACCACCACCACAACAACGAATACTTCTTCTACAAATACTACAACTACCACTACTACTCAAACACGATCTACGAACCCAAACTCAACAACAACATCTTTGAAATCAACTTCTCCACCACCGATCGTATCGAAATCACCAACAGCAGTATCAACATCCATTGGTATGATGACTCAACCTGTGATTGTTGTGGTCGAGTCTTCTTCACAATCCTCCTTACCTAAAATCAAATCTTCGAATCCAGCTGGATCACCCTCTCCACAGCTTGAAAAGCACCATGTTCGATTTTCTGAATCTCCATCACCAATACCATCGTCATCATCCAATCCTTCACATCCAGCATCATCACCACTCACATCGAATGTTGTTCCATCCAATAATACAAACTCACCTAATCCAAAGAAGAGTGTAACTTCATCCTTGTTAAAACCAAATTCATTGAATTCAAATACCAATACATCCACACCAACAAATATATCTGGAAACAGTGGTGGCGATTGTGTTGGTGGTGTAAGTGCTTCTCCAAACACGACATCCTCCTTACCTCAACAACATGAAACTTGTCATCAAGAAAATATCACCAATATCACCACGAACAATAACTCCAACAACAATAACTCCAACATGACTTTATCCAATCATCAGACTCTTTCTCAACATCGTCATGTCTCTGTTGCCACAAGATATCAAAAATTGAGAGATTTAGAAAGTAAGGTTGCAGAAATGATTGACAAGACATTTAAAGAACAAGGAATTTCAGAAGGAACGACACCAAGAGATCAAAATGAAGCAGCTGAGATGGCAAATCGTGAAAACAACAAAGTTTTGGAAGAGAGAAAAGCAATTGAAAAGTTTCAAAAAACTCTCTTGTGGTCACAAGCACACGAAAATAATTGGGTGGATCGAGTGAGATCACTCATTGATGTGGATGATGATGACTTTGAAAGTAAGTGTTTGTTTCAATGAATTTAAAGTGTGTTGATCCAATATTATATATATATATTCAAATGATCATCAATGAATTTAATGACCAACATCCAATATTATATATATATTTTCAAATGACCAACCTATTTAATGAACGACAGAACATATGGATGAGTTTATGATCTCTTACAAGAAACAGAGTCGAGAACAGCAAATATCAGTCAATTATTTGTTACAGCCTGTCACGAACAATTCCAACAATAACAACCACTCAAATAACATTGTTTCAAGTAGTACGATTGTGGTTGAACCTACACACTCGATTCAAGCACCACATCCACAGACTAAACCTCCTCCACTCCCTCTTGACAAATTACCTCTCATTCACCACAGCAGTCAACTCTCAAAAGCTCATTCTTCCCTCACGACTAGTAGTCACATCAACAATAACACAAATGATCACCACACGGAAATGACACGTGCAAAGAGTGAACAAAGTGATCGATTTGACAAGGACTTTGAAAAGAAGATGAGTAGTTTATTCTCATCACTAGAATTAACACTCAAAGAAGTTGACAAATTGCTCATTTAATTTTGAAGGTTGTGAATTCTCGGTCTCTGGATTTCCACAAAGGCTGTTTTGCATATCTAGTATTGGAAAACTCTCGTTGATCAATCTTTTGTTTGATAAGTCCAGGTGGTTGAGGTGTTGGAGAGTGTGGACGATCTCTGAGTGACTGATTGAGTTGATCCATCTCTTTTTTCACGAGAGAGAATGAAGATTGTTTTGTTAGGAACTTTTGTTGCAATTTTTCTTCTTTTTGAATCATGTTTTTGCGAATTCGTTCCTCTTGTTGATATTTTTCAATCATTCTTTTACTTGAGGCTGGAGAGAGAGGACCATTGGATGATGATGATGGAGTCGGTGGAGAAGTATTGGTTGAACATGAGGATGTTCTTGTTGTGGTTTTACTTTCTTCATGTAACAATGCATAGACATGATCGCTGTTATTGAAGGATGCTCTTCTTCGAATCGATGAGGAAGCAGAAACAGGCCTTGATGATGAACGCTGATTCAATGACTGATAGGAAGTTGTGGTGTAATAATTAGAGGGAGTAATTGGAAATTCCTTAATGAAACTTGTACTACATGAATTACTATTACAAATTAAATGTTTTCCAGTCTTTAATTTCTCCGATGGCATCTTACCCAATTCAAAATGTGTTTGGAGCATTCTACTTGTTGCATCAGTTACATGACCTTTACCTTTGTACCCTGAAGGATGAACCATATGGAGGTCGTTGGAAGAAGGATCATGGGCATAGCTAGTCGGAACATGGAGAGAAGTGGTTTTCTTTTGGTTAGATGTGTTAATGTTACCTCCATTCTCATGAACGGATGATGGTTGTTGTTGTTGGTAGTGGTGGTGGTGGTAGTGTGGATGATGGCGAGAGGTGGTTGTGAGTGGTTGTCGACTCTTCACTGTGAGTTCATGATGACGCGAGAGAGTACAATTGTGTGGTTTCATTTTGTTTGGGTCGAATGTTCATTTTTAATCCGTTTTTGTGATTGTCAAAAACTGTAGAGAAGGGCGGTCCTCAAAGCCTAATTATCTCGCTTCCGAAAAATTTGAATTTCAAGAGAACGAACACTCTCTGTGCGGTTAACATTTTGAAGATTATGATTCAAAAAAAACTATATGAATGCACCAAATCCATATCAATCAGAATTCTCAAGGTAGTGAGTGTACACAACACAATCATTGTGTGAACGTTGTTACTGACCTCTCAATTCCAACCGACTCTCAAAAAAATGTATTCATCACCAACAACAAGAGGGTTGGAGGAGACTTTTGAGGAGAATGTTGTTGATCATCAATCCAAGGTGCTTTTGAGATCACCTTTGAATTCCGATTGGTCGTCACATACGGAACACAAACCCTACGTGCGACAAGAAACAACAACCCATCAATCTTCAATCTCACAAAATCATTATGAGATGTCAACAACCTTGTCACCTGACAACACCACAACAGCAGAGGGTAGCAAGACTGGTTGTTGTTGTTTGGATGATCATCACCTCCTGGACCACACAAACTCTACAAATGATGACACTTCAGCAGCGAGTATTACCATGAACATGACGACGAGTGGTAGTAGTAGCTACTATAGTAGTAGTAGTACTTCCATGTCCAGTAGTAGAAGTAGTAGCTATAGTGGTAGTAGTACTTCCATGACCACTGACTGTTCTTCTTCCTCGAATTATTCGGAGGAGCTTTCTTCACACAGCAACACCATTACTCTCAAAAAGAAAGTGAAAAAAGTGATCGCCATCAAGAGTCGACTTGACTTGTCATCTCAGTTGAGTTGTTCCACTCCCTCACAAGTCCATCCTCATCCTCATCATCATCATCCTCATCATCATCATCCTCATCATCACTCAGAGGGTCACTCAGAGGGTCACTCAGAGGGTCACTCTCACAACAACCATTTCAAACTACTACTCATCGACAACACTACAATAGAATCATCATCTCTTTCATCACTTCTTCCTTTCCACAATTGTCCTTCTTCTTCTTTCACTCTCCATTCTTCACAAGTGAACTCGACCACCATTTCTTCTTCTTCTTTGAATCATCATCATTCGGAAAACAATCCAAAGATGGATTCATTCACTTTGTCTCCAATCAATAACAACATGAATGGTGTTGTGAATGAACAATCCACAATGTCTCAATTGGAGACAAAGATGACGACAACTATTATGAATGGTGATGATGATGACGACATGAATTCTTCTTCTCAAGAATATTCTTCTTCTCAAATGAAACCTTCATGTGCCACCAATAGAAACACTCCTACTACCACTTGCCAACAAGAATTATTGAACAATGATAGTACGAGTGGTGGTGTTGATGGTGGTGTTGATGGTGGTCAAAGTGGTGGTGTTTTCATCATTGATGGCAATGATGGTGGTGGTACTACAATAAGAGAGTCCATCAGTTCATCATCATCAAAGAAAAGATCCAATGCCATTCTGAGAAAACCCATTCACAACAACAACAACAACAAGACTCATTCTACCAACAACAACAACAACAATACCACGAATAATACCAACAACAACAATATATTTCCTACTCAAAAACAACAACCACAAGATTCAATCATTCATGAAACACTTCTTTCTTTTTCTTCTTCACGTTCACATTGGATTCAGAATGATCATCAATCCTCATTTTCATCATCCTCACCCACATTATTGACAAGTGTTCCTTCTTCTTCTTCGAATGCCAACATTCAGTCCTCATCCTTCTCCATGTTGCCGCCAACATTTATTCATCAAAACAGGAACATCAAGGATAGTAATAATACTCACAACACTGCCACCACTGCCACCACTGCCACCACTGCCACCACTGCCACATCATCCATTTCACTCTCCAATTCAAGTATCATTTTAGAAGGTACTTTATATAAAAAAAGAAAAAAGGCTTTCAATCTCGATACCTTTCAAAAACAACATGTGCAATTGTGTAAAAGTTGTATATTATATACGACTGAAAATGAATCAAAAGTTCACAAGATTGATATACATTCCATTAAGAAAATATCCAAACATTCGAGTAATAATGAATTGTACAAGTATCGATTGGATTTGGTGATGGCTGTTCCCTATTATTCCAAAAATGGGAAAAATACGACGACAACCAAATATACGGAGCATTCATCGACAACGACGACAACGAATGGTGGTGCAATGATGACTTTGAACTCTCTTCATTCCTCCTCCTTGTCACCGTCATCGTCCTTATCCTCACAACTGTCATCTTCATCATCAACTCCCACACACTACTCAACCTCTACCATTGAATGGTATTGTTCCTCTGAGAATACTCTCAATGAATGGTTGGAGAATATTCTCCATGTTTATTCTCAATACGATTTGGAGAATCAATTCAATGAATTATGGAATTCCATCTATTATGGAAAATGTCATGGCAATGAACACTTGTTTCTCAAATTTATTATTCAGAAATTAATTCAAGACAAACAGAAGAGAATGATCAACTCAAGGAGGAACCACTCTATGAATTCGAATACTTTTACCAACTCCAACATCACTCCAATCTATTCCTCTTCTTTGGATCATTTCAGAAATGTTGAATATTTGAAAAATGAATTAAAATTTCAAATGAATACATTATTGAATGAAATGATGATGACCATGAACACCACCACAACAACTAGTAGTAGTGGCAATCATTATGGAATGCAACATGACAAGACGAAAAATATTATTCCAAACGTGGCAGCTGAAGATAATGACAACAGTAGTTGTGATGAAGAAGAGGAAGACGATATTGGAGTATAATAATTTAAATTCTTTTGATTGCCTCATCATGCAAATAATCATCCAATGAAAGTTACTAGTAATATAGTTGTCATCATTGTAGAGTAATATCATACCGATATTAGATCAAAGAATATTTCCGAACAGGATTCTACAATTTTAATTGAAATATTATTATGATACGAAAAAATCTGAACTAGGAGAGAATTTGCTGCTTACAACAACAGCTCACTACGCGTTGTTAAGGCTTTTCAATGAGCTTCCAATAAAAAAAAAGAAACCGTCTCAGAGATCTTTTCGCTCAAAAAAAAATCACAAATCATTTCCATCACGCGTGATTGCCCACACCCACATTTCGAGAATGAAATCCTTCTTGTCCGTAGCTACACTGTTGGTGTTTGCTGTCTTGTTGATCGTCGGTACTGCTCCAACATTTAGCAAGCTTACCACATTTACGTTTGAAAAACAAGCCTTGAATCACAAGTGGTTATATTTAGATGCCTTTGTTTTTGATAATTTGGGAGCAAATGCTTCATCAGGACATATTTCATGGCAATTGTAAGTTAATGGAGAATTTCATCATTTATTCGTGTGCTCTTCGATGACGCTCTGATGAATCCACACACACACACCATGAAAATATCTTTCCGTGATAAATCATCTAAACATATTCGGGTTGAATCCATCGTCATGATGATTCGGTTTTTACAACATTTTCCATGAACTGGACACCACACATTCGTTTCATTCAATATTAATATTAATGGAAAACTCAATGTGGGTCATTACATTTGGTAATCACGGTGATACATGTTCGCGCAACAACTCTCTGATGATTCCACTTCCTGGATATGAATGGACCTCGTTTGATCGTGTGATGATTTACTGAAACCAATTTCACTCATTCACCACCTCACTCACTCTTATTCACCACATTCACCCATACTCATTATACTCATTCACCACATTCACTCACCTCATTCATTCACAGCAAGAACATTCAAAAGCAAGATCCAACGGCTCTCAAAAATTTAGCCTTTTCTCTCTTTGATGATGAAGATAATTCATGGCCAGCCGTATGGAAATTTATTAATCAATTCAATGGTGTTCTCTCTGTTGAGAATTGTACAACCTTGAGAAAATTCTCCAAATTAACTGTTTCCTTATCGGATTATCCTGAATTTGATATTTCCATTGATGAAGGAAATACTAGATTTTGGTATATGGCATTGGATGCTTGTGAGCGTGATATCACTGACAGTACTGTTGAATTCATTGAATTAGATTTTTCATGGCTCAATCCAGGTGGATATTTCCAAAGACAATTCTCTAAGGACAGACAAGGAATTCCTGAAGTTCATTTGACCTTTGTTCCATTTTTGACAATTATGGTATTAGCCTATATCGTCTCAGTGGTTCAATTAGTGAGATCTCAATCCTTCCATTTATTAGTGAGAGTATTTTATGCAAGTTTAGTGGTGTATTGGTTGGGTCGATTGGTTGAATTGATTCATTTACTTGTCTATGGATCGGATGGTGTTGGTATTCCATTCTTTGATAGTTTGAGTGTCGGATTGAAATTATTGGCTGACTTTTTGATGATTGTTTTGTTGTTTTTAATTGCCAGTGGTTGGACCATTACCACCTCCTATATTCGTTATTTCAAACCTATTATTGGTGTTTGGGTATTTTTAGGTGTATTTTATGTAGCCTTATTCATTTGGGCTGAACTTGAAATGTTTTTCGTAGTGAGCACTGAAGACTATGTCTACGATACTGTTCCTGGTATTATTATTACCATTCTGAGAGTACCATTGTTGATATTCTTTGAATTTGTACTTTTCAAGACACATCAAGAAGAGACCAATTCAGTGAAAAAGTTATTCTATAAGGTCGTTGGTGTCTTGTATGGATTGTGGTTCATTGCATTGCCAATCATTGTGAGCATTTCCTTTGCCATTCCAATTGTTCATAGAGCCAAATGGACAGAAGGTATTTCTCTGACGGTGGATTTGATCAGTTATGGTGTCATGTTTATTGTATTGTGGTATCAATTGGCAAGAAAATACTTTCAACTCTCAACTCATACTTCTACGACTGGAAGTGCCTATGAGACTTTGTAAGGAGACACCACCATCACCATCACCACCACTCGTTCAATTAACAACAACAACAACAACACCATTCGACCACATGTTGCATTCCAAGACGAGGACGACATGATCATGGTGTTCATTCGCATTCATTCGTATTCACATTCATTCACAGTAAATAAATCATTTGCTTTTTGAGCTTGTGGACATGTCATTGACCAAAACAACACAAAAAATGTCACCACAAGAGAAGCATGGCAGAGGAGATTCAACAATCGCATCATCTCCCTCCTCTTCTTCTTCTTCGGTTGTAAAAACAAAACATACATCGACAACAACAACAACCTCCTCCTCCTCTTCAAACAAACCATTTCAATTGGTCAATCAAATCGATCAATTACTCGTCAAAGAAGAAGACCCAATATCATCACCACTCATTATTAATATCATGGATCAAGTATCGGATATGATGAAATTAAATAGTAGTAATGATAAAGTAGTACTACTACTCGAAGACGATGATCATCGTTCCGAAGAAGTAGTACTGAATAATAACAATTCCATCACCATCACCACCGAAAGTAAAACCTATGAAATAACCACCACCACCGAATCATCACCCATCAGCAGCAGCAACACTGTCCCTCCTAAAACTACGACCTCCAACAATACCATCAATTCCACCACAACTCCCACCACTTCAACGACCACTTCCTCCTCTCCAACTCCCACCATTACCATTATCAATTCCAATTCTGTGACCATTCAATCCTCCTCTCCCAGTAGTTCGACCTATGAAAACATTGAACGAATGACTTCTCAACGCAATCAACGAAAATCTGAAATGAAACGAAAGAGTAAGAATGCAAATACCATGTCCATACGAATGGAACCTATTCAAAGTGAACTTTTAGAAAATGATTGGCTTCTTGCTGGATATGCAGAAAAACAAGGACGAAGATCCACCATGGAAGATGCATTGGTTTGTGAATTGACTTTTCGACAACATGAACATGTTCAATTTGAAAACAAGTATGAATCCTTTGTTGGAATTTACGACGGACATGGAGGATCCAGTACATCCAAATTAGTTTCAGAAACACTTCATTTGGTATTTAAAGAGAAATTGAATCAATATGAACAATTTTTAGAAATGAAGAGAATATTACAAGAAGAAGAGGAAGAAGAGAACGAGGAAACATTAAGGATGTCGTCCACTACTACTACTGCTACTACTACTACTACTACTACTACAAATGGTACGACTCTTACTCAAACAAGTAATGGTACACCACACAACTACATTCGTAGTGGCAGTAAATATTTCGGACTATTGAATGAAAAGGAAAGATTGCAAGTTCAGGAAGGACATTCCATTCTCACTCGAGAAGAATTAATTGAGGCTGCCACTGAAAAGGCTTTATCACTCGTCAAGTATTTGAATGAACATTTACAATTTAAGGAGAAGGAACAAAAAACAGAGGAACAATCCATCGATGTTTTGGATGTTCATACTCTCTCGACCATGAGTCGACGTGAAATTATTCCATTATTGATTCGAGAGACATTTTTAGAAGTTAATGAAAATATTTGTAAAGGTCAAGATACTCGAGATGGAAGTACAGCCAGTGTGGTCTACATACCATATGTGGAAGAAAGAACTCTCTTTGTGGGTAATGTTGGAGATTCAAGAGTAGTGCTGTGCAGAAGTGGTGAACCTATTCGATTGACAGTGGATCATCGTCCAAGTGAAATTGACGAAAGAAGACGTGTCAAAGATGCAGGTGGTACCATTTATGGTAATCGAGTGAATGCATGTTTAGCAGTGACAAGAGCCATTGGTGATAAATCTTTACATCCCTATGTCATTAGTGATGCTAGTACGATGGTTGTTGATTTAATGTTTGATCGAGATGAATTTCTTGTCATTGCATGTGATGGATTGTGGGATTATGTGAGTGAAGAGGATGTTGTCAAGACAGTGCGATTTGAAAATGATCCTGTGCAGGCGAGTATTATTTTGAGAGATTTAGCCTATGACAAGGGAAGTACGGATAACATTTCAGTCATTGTGGTGAGATTTAAACCAAATGTTTTACAAGAGTATTTGGATCAATAAATAACGTTATTTGAAAAGTCTGTCCTTTTCCATATTATTATGGTCTATTTGAAAAGTTGTTCCATATTAAGGTGACTGACGAATTCATTTAAAAAGAAGAATGAATGGCCTTACTGAGAGACATCATAAAGAGTCTTTAAGGTCTTTCTTTGAGCATTTCATTAGCATTGAGAATGATTGCACCATACACATTGACAGATTCTAAATAATTTTGAGTACTAATTCTCTCATTGTGTCCATGAATACGAGCAAGATCTTGATTGGCCTTCATGAGTCTCATTGGTAAATAACCATAAGCATAGTCACTTAATTTTCGATAATGCTTGGAATCACTACCAGCAATAAATAAATAAGGTACTACAAATGCATCAGGTTGCATTTGATGGATTGATTTCTTGATAATATTAAATTCTAAACAATCGTGGCATGAGACACGACTTGCTTCATCACAAGTTGTTTTTTGTACCGTGATTGTAATGTTATTTGTAGTATGAGTAGTCGTCGTCGTCGTCGTCGTCGATGATGGTGCATCTCCAACATTGCCAACACCACCCAAAATCTTCTCTAAATGTTTCAAAACATCCTCAATACGATCATAGGGTGATAATCGAGTATTCACTAACAGAGTACCTGTAGAAGGTAACACATTGGCAGCAACACCAGCTGAAATAATGGTCGGTGCAAAGGTAGTACGAGTCACTGCATTTGGTGCTCCTCCTAAATAATTCAAAGCAAAATCTAAAAAAGGTGAAAATAGATCCATATTCGCTGCAATCATCTTGAATACAAGAGAGGATGAAAGTGGAGCTAATTGACTCATCATATTTCTAAGAATTGAGAGATGAGCTTTCATTGGATTGTTTTCAATTTGTATCATGGCCTTACTTAATTTAGAAATACAGGTATGATGAATGGATGGCATTGAAGAATGTCCTGGTTCACATTGTACTTTGATTTCAAAATTACAAAAACCTTTCTCTGCATTGGCTACAAATGCTACTGGTGAATGAATGGTTGGGAATTGTTGATCGGCAATCATTCCACCTTCATCGAGAATGAATGCAAATGTGATATTTTTCTTTAAAAAGTAAGAAGTGACCTATTTCCAAATATGTTGTTGTACAAATAGGGACAGTCAAGGGTTGTTACATCATGCAAACATACACATGTGTAAGTTTCAATCCTGATCTCAGTATCTCCAATCAAACACACAAATACACCACACACATACCTTCTTTGCTCCATGTTCTCCGCCAATTTCTTCATCCATTCCAATCACTACATAAATATCTCGATCTGGTTGTTGTAATAAATTCTCTCTTCTCAATTGATTCAATGCTTCAAGAATTTCATAAACACCATTTTTATCATCCAATGTACCACGTCCATACAAGTATTGTTGTTGTTGTTGTTGTTGAGATGAATCATTGACAATCATTCCACTAAATGGTGGATAGATCCATTTCGATTCATCATTAATTGGAACTACATCGACATGACCTGTGAACATGATGGGTCGTTTGTTTTGATGGTTGTTATTTGACTTCCAAACAAAGACACGTGCAGCAAGATGATTGGATGAAAAAGAAGTACCATTCTCATCCTCATCATCATCATCACTACTATTACTACCACTAGTACGACCATTCCCATCATTGATATTCTCAATACTACTACCACCACCACCACCATTTAAACTATTCAAAATATCAAGAGTCACTTCTTTGAGAATTGGACCACCACCACCGTGATGATGATGATGATGGTTGGAAAAGAGTAATGGAAAGTCTTTAAACATTTGATCAAATAATTTGTTAAATATTTCATAATCCTTGACATGGTGAATGGTTGGAAATTGAATGGCTCGTTGTAATCTGTGAATGGCAGCATTTCTTTCTTTTTCATCCCATTGGAATCCATGTGGAAGAAAGGAGGAATATGAACCATGATGTTGAACATGTGATTTTCCTTCCTTGATACGATTCGGATCAAAATCTTGTTGAATATTCCGATTGATTTCTTGAATGAAGAGATAGGTTCTCACACTCAACAAACCAATCAGACCCATCAAAGCAAAGAAGAGAAATTGAAGAATGGATTTGACAATTGGTTTCATCATTTTTTATTTTGCTTGAATAGAACAACAACAACAACAAGAGGGAGCGAAAGAGAGAGAGACTGAGCATTTGCCAGGTGTGAAAATGATATTCCAAAGGCATGATGCATCGAATCGGATGGTACTACTTTATCTCGAAGGAAGGTTGTTAATGTAACTTTCATCTTAAATCATTGGGAATTTAGAACAGTTTCCAAATTTCCTCTTTCCACATCTCTTCTTCAACGAAGGAATAGGAATTTCAATAATCAAGGAGAGAGCTTCCAATCTCGAGATTCTATGCCTGGATAGGAGGAGTGGACCTCTCTCACAAAGAGAAGATACCTTAGGATGATTATTCTCTCCTTCCATTTCATTTCTAGAGCACGTTCGAGTGGAAAGGCAAAAGGAAATCAGATTTAAAAAAAAATCGAGTCTCATCCGTATCGAGAACCATCGCTGCTGCTGCTGCTTCTTCTTCGTCTCCTTCTGATTAATTCCAAATTGAACGATTGAAAGACTCGAGAGTGGACAACATTTTGCGAGTTGAATAATATAAATTCTGATAACTATCAAAATTCTAATAGTATTACCATCACCATCCTCACTCATGTCCAATTCAAATTCAACTACTCCTTCCTATTTCAAACCATTGGAAATTAAAACTCTTCTCACTAAAAAGACTGATCATTTAGATTTGGTCAAACCTCTCTCAAAATTCATTTCCATTCAATACGGAGAGAATATTCTAAGAGATTATGAAACACCCATTGCTGCCATTCAACAACGAAGAAATGAAATGAGAAATCTTCAAGAGAGAAGTGAAGGATCAAGAGATTTATGTATTAGGTAGGTATATTGAATTTATCATCATTACTTGGAATCTCACAAAACTCTCTCCTATTGATCATCAACTCTCATCATCACCATGAATCATCTAATCATCATACATTCCACTCATCACCATACATCATGACACACACTCTCATTCCACAACAACAACAACACAGATATGCCATCGATGTCATGCAATTGGCCAATCACTTTCCCATTGATACTGGTGTTCAACGTATTCAACTCTCCTTCTCATGGTACGATAGTTTCTCTCGTGCTCGTACCTCTCAAGGTAATTCCAATTTTGAAATTGCCAATGTCTTGTTTAATAGTGCTGTCTTGTCCCATCAATTGGGATGTGCTCAAAATAGAAACTCCGAAGAAGGATGTCTAGAAGCAGCCAAACATTTCCAAATCGCAGCAGGACTCTTTTCATACATCCAAAAAAAGGTGTGTCCGAACATTGTTGAAAAACTCAATTTGGATCTTACGACCGAAGTCTTGGAGTGTTTAATTTTATTATCACTTGCCAATGCTCAACAATGTATTTGTGAGAAGGCTCATAAAAAGAATATGAAAATATCCATTCTCTCTAAACTCTATATGGGTGCCTCTCATTCCTTTAAATTAGCAGCTGAAGTGATCGATTCAAGTCAAACCACAAAGAATTTATTTGACAAGACATGGAAATCCTATTTGAGATTTTGTCAATTCTATTATGAAGCCTTTGCATCTTATTTGATTGCCATTGAATTACATGAACAAATGTCCATTGGAAAGGAAATTACTCGAATTATTCATGCTCAGAATTGTCTTGTGGATTGTTCTGAACAGACTCGATCCATTTCTGCCATGCTAAAAATGGCAATGGATGAACTGAATACCATTTTAGATCGACTCTATCAAACTGCTCAACTTGAAAATTCAAAGATTTATCATGATCGAGTACCAGAACTCAAAGATTTGGAACTTGTTGAGGCAAAGAGTATGGCCAAGATTCAAGAAGTGAATGATCTCTCTGAATTATTGAAAGAAAAGACGATTGCAGATCCATTCTTTAATTTATTCCCAATTCCAGTAATGGAAGCAAAGCAAAAATTTGATGAAAATCTTAAAAAGAGAATGAATGAAGTGTTTAGACAAGCACGTGAACATCGTGAATATATTCGGAATGAATTATCTAAAATGGGTTTACCAGGTTCCATTATGATGGTTGACCAAAAAAGTGGTTTCCCCGAGGATGTTCATACCAAAATTGCTAAAATCAAATTGGAAGGTGGTATCAATCGTTTGTATGAATTGAAACAAACATTGGATGAAATGTCTCAAGAGACTAAAACACAACTTGAATCTATTACAAAGAAATTAGATGAAGAACAAAAAGAAGATGAAGAATGTAGACTTCAATATGGTGCTAATCGATGGCCAAGATTGGAATCTTCTAAATTAACATTTAATTTAAGAAAACAAATCTCTGATTATCAACAGAAATTGAAAATTGCCATCAATTCAGATTCTCTCATTGAAAAGAAGATTAATGAAAATTCAGAAGTATTCAAATTGTTGGCACTTGATCCAAATTCACTCAATGATAAGATGCCACAATCTCTCTCTCAATTGAATGAATCATCTTCTCAATTTGGAAAGTCTTTTTCAGATCTAAAACTATATTTAGCACAATTGGATGACTTGTTGGATCAGGAATTACAAATTGAAACATCCATTGCCAATTCAATCAAATTACAAGATAAGGAAATTGAATTGAAATTACTCTCTTCTCAATCCAATTTGGAATCTACTGTTCAACAATTACTCTCTGAACAAGAATCTAAATTTAGAGAATTATTGATCGATTTTCCTCAAAAAGAAAATACTTATTTACAATCCATTCAAGAATCGAATCGACTATTTGAACAACATCGATCACAAAATTCTCTTCAAGCACAACGAGAACAGTTGTTACAATTTGTGTATAATGGAATTAACAAACATTATGAAATTGCTTCAAATTTACAAGAAGGTATTACTTTCTACACGACCATGCAAGACATTACAAGGAAATTGATGAATCGAGTCGATGATTTCATCTTTGCAAGAAAGACTGAAAAACAAGACATTATGTTGAATATTCAACAACAATTGAGTGGTGTGACCATTGATCCACAGTATAATTATATGGCCATGAGTCAGAGTGGTGGTGGTATTCAGAGTAGAACCCAAATGAGTAGTAGCCTGAGTAGCCTGAGTAGTAGTAATCCCACTACCACCACCAATACCACCACCATTCAACCTCAATCCTATACAATGCCCAATGTGGCCTATACCACTCAACCTACCCCTCCTACTCCTCAGCAGTATCAACAACAACCTCAATACATGCAGCAAGGAGGAGGTGCATTTGGTCAATATGGTCAAGTGCCACCACAATTTGTTCCTCAACAACAACCTTATTACAATCCAAATGTGTATCAACAACCTCAATATCAGCAACAACAACAACCACCATACAGAAGACAATAAAATTTGCAGGTTCCCAATGTATTTTTGCCACACTTTCGGCTTCATATTTCAATTATATGACTTGGTAAATCAATTCGATTATCATAATTGGCCTTCAATTAATTTCCTTTCTTGTCATGAAGTTTCGTTTTGCGATGTTTATTTGTCACACGATCATTTGTATACATTCCTTGTGATTTCTCAATAAACCAATCAAAAAGAGAAATTAGTTTTCTGTTAGTGCTTATTATTTTACCATAAATATATTAACATATTTGAATTTAAACAACAAAAGGAGCATATTAACTGATATACTTGAAGATTTCAAATATTACCAGATAGATAATAAACCGTTAATTAGTAAATGAATATTTAAATGGTTATTATATAATAACTTACATCGTAACTCTAAAATATTTCTCTGTTAACATATATGTTTAGATATAAAGTTAAATCCCGAACAATTCTAAACGTTGCCACATTATAGATATGGCAAAATCCCAAGGATAGATATAAACTCGGGTTAAAGTTTTATGATAGTAATTTTAAACAATGGAATAGTTATTTACATATTAACATTGCAAAACAAAAATTAATCAAGAGGACAAACGACGATGAATATAATGTTTCCAAAATTATGAGTCAAATTGAAACAAACAGATCATCAGTCCAAAAATTTACCGAGATTCAAGAATTGTTAAATGTTTAAAACAAAATACCAAATGTTGCATTAATAGGTTTTGCAAGTTTTGAGAAATTAACACAATGAAAAGGAATGTGGCTCTGATTGGTTCCATCTTTGCGAAAATCGCTCATTGTTACCTTTGAACGGCGAAGCGAACAAGCAGGGAAGCCAATATTCTTGATCGATCCAACGTTGGATGAAAATAGTTATTCCACATCATTAAGAACAATCAATATGAGGGCAATCCAAAAGTGACAATGCCAATATTCCAAATAACACCACCCTTACTGGTAGGTAGAAAAGGGAGGTATACGTTGACCACCACAGTGCTAGGGCCAAGCGGTAAGCTCATCGATTATTCCTTTGCGATACATACAAGCAAGACAAATTGAAGGGAGTGGAAAAGGCCAACTCCTCACGTCGACAGTTAACACTTCTTCATGTAGTATTACAGGACAGGACACAAAAAATTCAGGGATGGGTTTATTCGATGATAAACGTTGTTCGATGGTTTTATGTACATTATTTACAAGCCGAACGTAAGATACGTAGTGACTTCCTAGCAGGCACCCCGGAAGTAAAGGTGTTTAAACTGCTCACGATAACAGCAGCAACCCCTGGGATTCGAACGCTGGACCAGTTGGCTGCCACAGTTCCAGAAAAACCACTCGGCCATATGCGGGCAGCAAGGACAGGACACAAAAAATGAAACAACAGTTCTTGTTGTTGTTGTTTGGCATTCTGAGTTGTATCGTTGTTTTTCTTGTACTTTCTCCGAATATCGAAAGTGCGTCCATACCTACATTTGATCCAAACTATGATCTCTCATGGATAAAAAGAATATTTGCTTTGAGTCGTTCTCAAAAGGACATTTCCTTAGTCAATGAATACAAATCATTGATGAGCCATGCGATCCAAATATGGCAAAAACCTAACGGTTTCCCTCAAGGCTTACATCATTACAGTAAATCATCCCTTCGAAAAATCTTTAAGGATCCGAACAATAGAAGAATATTAGAGGACATTCATGAATTTCTCTACTTCCTTAATGATCAAAGTGTATGCATTCCTTATCTGATGGATTACATTCAAAATTACGAATTTTTTGGATTGTTTGAACAATGCATCTCGGAATGGGTTAAACATCATTGGATGCATTTGTTTGTGATGGAAAACTCAGCACGTGATAAGGCTTCTCATTCATTGGAATCTTTCTCTGATCCCTCTGGAACATCCAATACCTTCTCATCATCTCCTTCATCTCTCCCTTTGGAGATGGAACCTATGGATGACCTACTCACGGAAGGAGAAAGTTTATTACAAGAGCTGGAACAGACTTCGAATGTTGATGATTTCATCGATGATACCTTGTTATTCGAAAGTTCAAATGATGATCTTAATGAAGAACTAGAGTTGATTGGTGATGAAATTATAAAGGAGAAAGAATCCGACGAGTTGAAGAATCCCATGACCTCAAACAGTGGATTAGAATTGAAAGATCTTTCCCAAGAGAAAGAAGAAAACTCTCTATTGAATGAACTCATGGAAGAAATGATTGAAGAATCTCAACTCATGCAACCACAAGCATCTTCTTCAACTGAACTTGAAACGAATGAGTTGTCAATGAATCCAAATGAACCTTTGAATGACAAGATAGTTTCATCTGAGAAAAGTGATTCTTTGATTCATCTCTTAACAGAGAATAATCATCCCTCAACAGAGAAGAATGAATTGTCAAATAATAATCATCCAACAATTACAACAACAGAGAGTGATGAACCTTTGAAACTCAATAATCTCAAGGAAACTTTGAACCCTATTGAGAATAAGAATCCAACAACAAGCAATGAGTCCAATAAGTTGGATTTGTATCAAAGTGAGAATAATCATCCAACACACATTCTCCCCTCAACAACAATCAATCCTTCAAATGAGTTAAAAGATATTTTGAAATCAATTCACTCAAATGATTCAAATGATAGCATTGAATCTAATAAGACAAAATCAACTGAGAGTAGCAATGAATCTAATAAGATACAATCCAATGATAGCATTGAATCTAATAAGATACAATCCAATGATAGCATTGAATCCAAAAAGATACAATCAACTGAAAGTAGCGAACAAAATCAGATGAATCTAACAGATGATAATGGGTCTTTGAAACACACAAATCTCTCTCAAGAAAACCTCCAGGTGAATTCATCAGAGGATCCATCCACACAATTGCAAGACATGACAAAAGTGTCTGAAAAAATCAACACAAGTGATCAAAAACACTCTTCCTACTTGAATAATTCCACAAACAATGATTTTTCGAATCTCAATGATACAGTACTGTCCACCTTAGAGTCTTTGAATCCATCATTGAAAAGTGAGGAAAACAACACCATGAACACCCCGTTGAAATTACAAGAATTGGATGTCAATCTCACAAACGATCAAGTACATGTCTCGCAACAACCTTCTCTTCAAACAAATCACAACATTTCAAATGCCATTGACTATGTGATTAAGAGATCAAAGTTATATCGAATATTTTACAATTTGCATGAAAGAATCATGATGAATTACAACAAGACACTCTCTCAATTAGAAAGCACAGAACATTGGTTGATTCCTTCCTTAACAAAATTGAAACAATTATCGATGGAACTTGATGAATCTCTTAACATCACCAAGACCTATACCGATTCCATTCATAACACATTGAGTGCAATGAGTACCATGATCACCACATCCATTCCATCCAATGTATTAATTGGAAGAGGATATCAACTACCTGCACAAACATGTAATGATATTCAACCATTAAGAAATTTCAATTTTAGTTTAACAACTGTTTGGATTGAACCATCAAAGAATAGAGATCCAAACAAATCCTTTAGAGTCTATTGTGTTTCTGATCATGAATTTACAAGGAATAATGATGGAAAAAGGAGCCCAAGTAGTAGTAATGGTAGTGAAAAACCTCGCATGTGGATGTTAGTGGCTAAAAAGTCATACTCTTATTCATTCTTTTCAAATGACAACAACAATAGCACTGCATGTCTTCCATTTTCATGTAGTTTGAATAGAAATGCACTTGCAGTATTTGGTCCAAAAGCAGAAACACCTTTGGCTTTCCTTTCTTTAAGTGAATTTGATCAAGTATTTGTCAATTCTACAATGACTGCACGTGTGGTGTTTACCAATGAACAATTCAAGAATATCTTGTCTGATGTCACTACATCCATTGGAACACCAAGAGAATTCATGAGAGCTATTGCTGAAAAAATTCCACCTCTTTCTGAAGCATTAATCTATTTGAATATTGAAAAGAAAAAAGAGAACTAGTAGGTTCCGTACCAAACAATTATTATTATTGTACATTAAATGCAACACAAAAACAATGTTTTTTCGTAATTAGAGAGCTTATAATTTTACAATAATTTTTGAATTCAAAAAAAAATGAAAATGAGTGAATGTTTGGTCGGAGAGAAGGTTGTTCTTGTGCCATACTTGAAAGAACATGTCCCCAAGTATCATGAATGGATGCAAAATTCATACATTCAAGAAATGACTGAATCCGAACCACTGACATTGGAAGAAGGTGTGTGTTTACATTGTTTTTTGTCGACCATGATTAAAAAATTATCAAATCACTACTCAAATGATCATCAAGAATATGAAATGCAAAAGGAATGGACAAGAGATGCGCGCAAGTGTACCTTTATTGTTATTGAGAAGAGTTTAAATCCATATTTTAATCACCACCACCACCACCACCACCACCACATTGACCACCACCACCACCACCACCACCACTTGCAAGTTACACATCAATGTAACACCATCAATACTGAAAGTAGTAGTAATAATAATAATACACACACTTCTCATCATCAACACGTCGACGATGACTTTACTCCATTCCTCACGAATGGCATGTGTGGAGATGTCAATTTATTTTTACATGAATATTTTGAACCTGAGGAACATCGTGCTGAAATTGAAGTCATGATTGCTGAAGAATCTGCACGAAGAAAAGGAATTGCCACTGAAGCTGTTCAACTCATGATGGAGTTTGGTCATTCTCAATTACAATTACAAATATTTGAAGCTAAAATATTAGAGACTAATCTTGCATCGATTCATTTATTTGAAAATCGATTGAAATTTAAAAAAGTGAAATATCAACAAGTATTTCAAGAATTTGTCTTTGAATATCATTATCAAAGAAGAGAAGAAAAGAGTACTACTATGAATAATACGAATAATAATCATAATACTAGTCATGATGATGAAGAGAATGGACATGAAAATACTACTAGTAGTACAACAACAAGATCTTTTATTCAACAACGCATTCCATTATGAAAAACATCTGTTTGAACAAATAATTCAAAATTGTATTTCATATTGACTGATGGTGCTGAATGATTATCTGATGGGAGAGGGTAGTAACAAGTCATGTGACTCTTTCACTCACACTCTTTCACTCATTAGAGATCTTGAATTTCTTTTCTAAGTCTTTCAATATAAGGATCAAAACGTAAGAGAGGTTGAGAAAGATTGATGGATAGGACATTACCATCATTACTTGTTGTGGTTATGGCCATAGAAGGACTTGTCTCATTCACAATATTACTACTATTATTAGAATTACTACTATTAGAATTACTATTACTATTAGAATTACTATTAGAACTACTACTCTTTCCACTCATAAGAAAATAATTCAAATGTTGTGCCACACATGTCATGAAATCTTCATAAAAACATTGACACATTCCTTTGTAATGTCTAATTTCTGAATATTCAAAATATGGTAATTGTTTCTTTTTGATTTCAATGAATATCTTACAAATAGGTTCAATTAATAAATTTGGAATATCGTATTGAGAAATGATGAAGAGTAAATCGATGGGACATGAGAATTTCAATTCATTCAATGCATTCAATACATCATTCAATAGTTCAGCTAATGGAGAATATTCTAATATTCTTGTTTGAGAGTAGGAAGTAGTATTATTGGTAGTATTGATCGTAGTAGTAGTATTGGTGAGTGAATTCAATTTGTGTTCTCTCCATTTGTAATTTCCCATCACTCCCACACATTCTCTGAATTGATGGACAGCCATTCTTAAATAAGATTTAAAATTAGAATGAATCTTTTTGGTAAATAAATGTGTGACATGTGGTCTAAAATCAATTCCAATTTTACATAGAGTATTACCACAGAACATGCATTCATCAATTAATTTTCTATATTCTTCACCAGTGATGATGGTGTTGGGTGTGGTGATATGATTCATGATGGTATTAATAGTAGAAGTATTAATAGTAGTAGTAGTAGTAGTAGTATTGAGACAAGTTGTATTCTCATGATCAATACCACCATCAACACCACCATCACTCTCATCCTCCTCTTCTTCTTCTTCTTGACTTTGTAAAAATCTACTCAATGTATTTAAATAGGGTTGAATTAAAAAAAGCATACATGAGGAGAGAATTGGATCCATTCCATTACTACTAGTGATTGAACTTGTTGTTTGCTGACTTGAAAAGATTGACTTGTATTGTGTGATTAAATCAAAACATCCACTTCGAAATAGACTTGTTAATTTCATCATGTATTCAAAAGTGATTGGATGATTATTATTAGGAGTATAATTAAAAGTATTATTTGGAGTATAATTAATAGTATTCATAATATTCAAATGATTCAATATTTCAAATTGTTGATTCAATGCATGAATTCTACATTGTAAAAATAATATTTTCAATTCATCTTCATTTTGAGTGACTTGCATTCTCTTCAATAAAGATAAAATTTGAATTGAATTTCTAATACTACATGAATCTTGTTTCAATTTGTTAATTAATTGTTGAATCATTGATTTCATTAAATTCTCACATTCTTTCATAATTCTATCATTTAATAATGATATATTTGGATATTGATGACATAGAGTATGAACAGAATCAAATAAATCCAATGATTCAGTATATAATTGATTTTGAATACATATTCTTAATAAAGAAGGTAATTCTAAAATGGATTGAATCTTATCATAGTAATCAAAAGAGGATTGAATTTTATGTTTTTCATGTTTGTATTCTTGTTGATTGAAGAGTTGTAATTGTTCCAATTCTTGTTTGAATTGTTCCAAAAGAAGAGTAGAATGGAGTGTTGAGGTGGAAGTGATGGTAGTGTTGTTGTTGTTGTTGTTCTTGTCATTATGTGTGTTGGTATTAGTAGTGTTGAGAGTGGTAGTGGTCAGAGTGTTGGTATTAGTAGTGTTGTTGTTGTTCTTGTTGAGAGTGATACGACTCACATGATGATAGTGATTGGTAGTGGTATTAGTAGTGGTGATCTGGTTGGTGGTAGTGATGAATAATAATTCATTGGCAATGGATTTCAAATCACTAAAGGATGGTGATGAATGATTTTTAGAGAATTCTTCAACTCTTTGATGATATTCTTGTAAGAAGAGTTGTTCAAGTGATGGTCTTGAAGATGATCCTCCCTCTTCTTCCTTTGGATTGATCTCATTCAAAGTAGAAGTAGTAGAAGTATTAGTAGCAGCAGTAATAGTACTACTACTACTACTAGTTAATAATTTCAAGACATGATTCTGTAATTGTTCCGATTCGTATTTAATGTGTTTAAAAATCATTTCATTGTTGAGAAATATTTGATAGTTACGAGAAGAGTATTCAATCATTCTCTTCTTGATGGAATTTAAATGTTGAGGAATGTCATGTTGTTGTTCTCGAATTAATTGTTCAATACTTGTTGTTGTTGGGGTGGTGATAGTCATTTGATGATGATGATGATGAGGTTGTTGTTGTTGTGAATAATGTTGTTGTTGTTGGAGAGTTATGATGATATCAGAGAGGGGATGGATTGTTTTGTGTGGATCGAAAATTTTTTAATAAAAAAAATTGCCATTTGGTTGTTGATAATCGTATTTTTACCCAGACTCTTCCAGATTGTGTTTCATCGAGTCATCGTCATTCTTTTCCGAAACATTGAATCACAACAACAACAAGATGGAAGACGAAGTATTACCTCCCTCTCCAACCATTCCTTTTGATGAAGAGATTGTATCATTCTCTTCAACAAATGTACAACCACCACCATCATCCAACAACATGCTTTTCGCTGGTAATGTTGGTAGTGCTGGTAATATTGCTGGCTTTGGCCATCATCAACCACCTCTCTATGCACCAACTTTACCCTCTTTTTTTGCAAACACTTACCAAATTTCAGATCCGATGATGGTATTCAGTCAGCAACAACAAGAACAACACTATCCATCTACTACGAGTGCTGCTGCTGCTACTAATAATATGCAACCACAATCACAACAACCTTTGGTTCATCATCGTGGTAATGATGGTGTTGCAACATCTCAAGAAGCACTCAAAGAGATGGTCAAGCCAACCGATACGACCAAAAGTCAAAGGACAGAAGTGCCCACTAGTACCACGAGTATCCACAATAACAACCACAACATGAATACAACAACAACAAGTATGACTCAGAGTAGTACCACCACCACTCTGACCACCACTCTGACCAACAACAACATTGATACTACTACTACTACAACAACAACACACACTCCTCTTCCTCCACCACCACCTTCTTCCTCCTCCTCACAACAACAACAAGATGGAGGATCAAAAAAAAAGAAAAAGAAAAAAGAAAAGAAGAATGAACCTCGTTTTCCATTCAAAGTCTTGCATCAAAAATTGGTATTAGATGTTGATTTATATCAACAAGCATTAGTAGGATATACTGATATAAGATTTACACCTCTTCATAACAACATTACACAAATCTCCTTACATTGTTTACAATTAAATGTCACTGGTGTTCATACCATTTATGTCAACAAGCATAAACCATCATCCATGATGAATGGAACAACAACATCTGGTGTTAGTACTAGTGGTGGTGTTGGCAGTGGTGGAACTCTTAATTCTCAAGAATTATTCACCCATCAACATCAACATTTCATTGATCAAGTTTCTTTGACACAAATTGAAACTCATCCTACTAAAAATTTAGATCAAATCTCTAGAGAATTTGCATTACAATATGAACTTGAAAATGAAGGTACTCTTACTATTACATTTAAAGTACCATTATTGAAAAAGACAAGTACTACCATTAGAATCTATTTTGATTTAAAAAATCCAACCAGTGGAGTCTATTTTGTAAATTGTCAAAAGACAAGTATAGTAGAGAATGGAAATGGTGATTCCATGCGCATTAATGATTCCATCATGATGGATGAAACCAATGATACAAGAGAAGATATTTCAGAATTTGATGAAAATGGAAAGAGAAATTCCAAATCTTCACAATCCTATCCTCACATGTACACTCAAAGTCAACTCTTAGGTGCTCGTTGTTGGTTTCCATGTGTAGATTTATTATCATCTTATCATCATTTTGATTTTGAAATTACTTCTCATGCAGATTGTATGATCATTTGTTCAGGTGAATTAATTCGACAAGTGGAGAACTATTCTGGAACATTGAAAACTTCTTATTTCAAAACACATTCGATCCTATCACCAGCGAGTGTTTGTCTAGCAGTTGGACCATTTAATATTTCGTATTCGACCTTGACACTTGGTTCTCATCTTCAACAATATCAACCAGCCACCACTTCCAATGTAGGAACATCATCATTCACCACTCATCCCTATGAATTAACATTGAATGCCTTCTATTTACCAAATTATTCATTAGAATCCATACGTCATACATTGGGATTTATCAAACGAGCATTTCTATTTTTAGAAGAATATTTAGAATTCAAATATAGAGATTTATTCAATTCTACAACATTTAATGTTGTATTTATCGAGAATGGTTATACAGAACATTCATCCTTTGCCTGTATGTGTTTGGTAGATTCCAATCGAATGATTTTAGAACCAAACATTATTGATCAAGTTCAAGAAAATAGAACCAAATTCACAAAATTATTGGCTGAACAATATTTTGGTAATTTTATTCATCCAAAAACATTTTCAGATTATTGGCTTATTGATGGCATTGCAGGATATTTAGCATGGCAATTCTATGAGAGTGAATTTGGTCAAAATACTAAAAGATTTAAAATGATGCAATCAGGAAAGGAATTACTAGAAATGGAAAAACATACATTGTCTCTATACAATGAGAGTGTAGGAGCCATTCCTCAAAATTCTCAACATGTACATGATTACATTTCTAAGAAGGCTCCTCTTGTCTTGTACATGATTGATCGACAAGTATCTACTTCTCACATGAGAGAATTATTGAACAAAATGTTGTTCAATGCTCATTCGGATCAACATTCCAAACGTTTTAGTGATCGTTTACTTTCTACAAGTTCATTTCTAAAGACATGTGAAAAGAAGTATGCAGTAGATTTGAAATCCTTTGCATCCTATTGGATTTATGGTACTGGTGTCCCACAATTTGCAATTTCATTCAAATATGATGATATGAGAAGTTGTGTGGATTTGAAAGTGAAACAAATATTACCATATCCGGAATGTCCACCTTTTAAAGGAAAAGTAACATTTAGAATTTTAGAAAGTGAAGGTGCACCGAATGATTTTCTTGTTGATTTAGATCGTGAAGAAAATCAATTTGAATTTCATATCAATTCAAAACCTATCAAGAAACATCATCGTAAAATTACAGGTGGTACTACTTCAGAGGCAGTTCGTATTAAAATTCCACTCAAATGGATTCGATTTGATCCTGAACAAGATTGGATCAAAGTATTATCATTTTCACAGACACAAGAAATGTGGATTCATCAATTGAATGATGTTAAAGATGTTGTGGCTCAATATGAAGCTATTAAGGCTCTCACATTCTTTGCTGATACAGAACCGATCATTGATGTACTGAAGAATATAATTAGAGATTCATCGTATTTTTATCAGATTCGAGTCTGTGCTGCACATGCTCTCTCGAAAATACCTCAACCCATTGAAAAGAAGATGGCACTCGATGTGTTGATTGAATATTTTAAGAATCAATTTTATGCAATGACGAGTGGTTCGAGTGCGAGTGCGAGTGCGAGTGCGAGTGGTATTCAGAGTGGTTCAAATACCGGTGGTGGTGTTGGAGGTATTCAGAGTGGTATTCAGAGTGGTGATGCAAGTGGTATTCAGAGTGGTACTGTTGGAGGTGTTGGAGGTGCTGCTGCTGATTCGACTCTTTCAACAAGTGGTGATAAATCGATTCCAACTCCAACGACTACTACCAACACCACCACTCCAATGGCGATTACTCCAATCCCTACTACCAACACCACCAACACTCTGACCACCAACACCACCAACACTCTGACCAATAACAGTATCACCACCAATATGACCACTCTTGGATCTTCCAAATTGCTGCCAAACAACACATCATCCCTAACCACCACCACCTCAACCACCACCACCACACATTCACCATCCATCCTTCCATCGAATACTCCATCCTTTTTAAAACCAAATAATTTTAGAAACTTTGCAGAATATTTCATGAAAAAAGAAATTCCATTAGCACTCACTAATTTTAGAGATGAAAAGGTGAATAATGAAACATTCCCTGAAGTCATTCTATTATTACTAGATTTAATCAAGTACAATGATGATTCTGAAAATCCATTCTCTGGATCCTTTTATATTGCTAGTTTAATTAAGGCATTGAGTTTAGTGAATACAAGCAATCAGAAATTTAAAGAAAAGATTGAAAAGATCTTTTACAAGTATTTAGTGATTGATTCTGATTTAATTCCAAGTTATCATCATGTCAAAACAGTATCATCCTTACAAGCACTCTCTCTTTTACAATCAAGTGGTAAATCGAGTGTCAAATTGGATTTATTTTACAGATATCTCAATTTTAGACAATCGGATTATGTGAGATTTGCAGCATGGGAATGTATTTTGAATATTTTAGATTCTCTTGTGGTGGTAAATCCATCTAGAATCAATAATAATAATGAATTCATAATGATGATGATGATGGATCCAATTTTGAAAACGAATCATGCTACTCATAGTGCTACCCATAGTGACAATGCGACTACTTCTACTATTACTGCAACTTCTACTACTCCTACAACTAGCAAAAATATTATTGGTAGTAATGGTTCTAGTAGTAATAATAATAATATTATTGGTAGTAATGGTATGACAATGAACGAAGAAGAAGATTATACTCTCTTCCAATTAGCCAAAGAGACTATGAGTGAATACTTGATGAGACATTTTCAACACTCTCAATTACAATTATTGAATCATGTAAGACATCTCATTCTAAACAAGTATCTATCTTTAATGAGTGATGAACATGAATGTCCTCATGTGAAATATGAAATTTCTAAAATACTCTCCAATGCACTCTATAAGAGTTCAGCTCAAATGTTAATGCAATTCAATGAACATTCCCAACAAGGAAGAGTACATTTGAATTTTGTGAAAAAGGTATCACCTCTTGCATTGTTCTTGTTGGATGTTCGATCTCCTCATCCCAACAATGTAAAGATTGTAGAGAGTGTTTGGGAATTTTTACAAAATTCAAACTCGACTACTCAATACGATCGAAGATTGAGATCAGCCATTGTTGAAGTGTATCGTGCTCTATGGGATCAAGTAACACCCTTGTGTTGTTGTGAAAATGATGAAGTGAGTCATTCCATCAAGAATTTATTGACAAGTTTGAATGAATATTTCAACAACACTCATAACACTCATGTGACGACACCTAGTACAAGTATTACTAGTAGTAGTAGTAGTAGTAACAAGAGTACAAGTAGTAACAAGAGTAACAAAAGTAAGAGTAGTAGTAGTAGTACCAATAGTAGTTATAGTACTCTCTTTTCATCAAAGAATGAACAGTTATTAGCTTCCTACATGATTGCACCCTCTCTACAAGGTATTTCAGATTTACAAATTGTTCAACCACAACAATTGAAGAGTCATCAATATTTGAAGAGTGAATATCCACCTGTAGTATTTGATACAAGTCATCTCTCAAAGATGATTATCACACCACCCATTCCAGAAGAGTCAATAATAAGGGCAAGTTCAAGGAAAAAACAATCAACAACGAGTGGTGTTAGTAGTAGTAGTAGTAATAGTGGTGGTAGTGGTAGTGGTGGTGGTATTAGTGCTGATCTAACGACTACCACCACTTTGGATCAGAGTTCGAATTCAACAAGCAACATTCCATCTGCAACAACCATTACCTTACCTGTGGTAACTCTTGAATCCAAAAAGAAAGAATCGAAAAAGAAAGAATCAAAGAAAAAGAAGGAATCCTCTGAATCAAAGAAAGAATCCAAGAAAGAGTCATCATCGAGTAAAAAGAAGAAATCTACAAGTAGTAGTACTAGTGGTGGAGATTCTGAAAAGAAGAGAAAAAGAGAGAGTGAAAAATCAACAACCACCACTACAGTTTCCTCCTCCTCCTCTTCAGAAACGACAAAAAAGAAAAAGAAACAACCTGAACCCCTCGATGCTACCAAGATTAAGATTAAATTGGGAGATAGTATCACAACCACCACTCCATTGAGTAGTAGTGGAGTACTCAATTCTCAAGATAAGATTCCAAAAGTGAACAAGGCAAGTTCTTCCAATGCTATCCATGCACCTATTGCTACTGCATCTGCAACTACTACTACCAGCAGCTCTGCATCAATGGATGTTTCTAATACCACCTCTACAACCACCTCTGCTGCAACCAATCCTATTCTACACTTTAAACCTCAACCTGTGGAAAAACAACTCATGCAAACCAAATACAAACAACGAGAAGAGAAAATTAAGAAAAATTCAACACCTTCTCGTATCATGCTTATTAACATGAATGAAACAGATACAAGAATTTATGTGGAATTGGATGATCATTCCTTCACTGCTAGTGCTATTTATAGATCTCTTCCAATGAAATCCTTTGAAGTGTCCAGTGGTGGTAAAGGAATTATTTATTTTGCCATTCCACAAGTAGAACAAATCACAGATTTAGAAGAAGAATCAAGATCAGAAGTTAAAAATGGTGAATTAGCTTATTGGATTGATGGTCTTTCCATTGTCATTGGTTATTCAAAAACAATGTATTCTGTTCAGAATGAAATTAGACTCTATCAATGTTGTAATATTTTTGGTGAAATGATTTATCCACTTTCAACAAGAAATATTACTAAGAATGTTACAAAACAAACCATTTCATTGGTGAGATTACCACGTGTATCATTAGATATTCCAGAATTATCACAATCTATTGATATTGATTTGTATGATTTAGAATTTCCAAATTTAACCAAATTTATGGCACACATTATGCCTGTGAGAGGTGTTTTTATGCCTCCATTTGGAAAATTATTATATTTCAATTTACCACAACTCTATACACCTTCTGATGAAGATCGAGAACATGAAAGATTCTATCGAGATTATTTATTACCAGGAGAAGTAGCTTATTGGGCTGAAGGAGGTGCATTATTATTAGGAACAGGTCCAAGTGCTCTTGTGCCACCATCGAGCACAAGTGGTGGCAGTGGTGGTCAGAGTATAAGTAGTGGAGGCAGTTCTTCTTCTTCTACCACTCATACCAATCAAGAACGTTATTATTTATTAACCAAATGTTTTGTCATTGGAAAAATGATATCTCCACACTATCGACAATTACCAATGGTTATTGAAAAGAGAATGAGTGGTGGTGGCAGTTCTTCTTCAGATGGTGGTGGTGGTGGTCAATGTGGTGCTAGGAGTGGTAGTATCATTGGCTCCTCCTCCTCTGAAATTCCTCCTCCAGATTTATCTCTCATTCTTCACAAACGAGACATTGTCATTCAAATCACATTCAAAGATTCATCTCTACCAACCATTGAAATGTTATTTGGATTGAGAAATACGGTCACAGCGGATGTTATTTATGAACATTGTTGTGCCTTGAATAAGGTATTGAAATTTGATCAATTTGAAGTGTCATCCTCCTCATCACCTGTGTGTGGAATGATTTCATTCTCTTTGGATTCAAGTCAAGAAGAAATTGCAAATTTACAACATGAAGTGAATGTTGCAGTGAAAACCATTTCAACTCCAGGTGATTTGGCATTCATGTGGGATTCTTATAGTATTATCATGCCATTCCATAGAAATAATGGTCATCCAGGTGGTGGTGGTGAAATTGAATTACCAGATATGGCCAATGTATGGGCAAGATTTAGAAGTGTTGTGGTGAGTGGTTCGAGTGGTGGTTCTGGTGTCAGCTCTTCAATGAGCTATGCAGCTGCAATGCAATACATTGCATCGAAACCCATTCAATCCATTGCCATGAGAAGATATCACGTGCCTTGAATATGTTGTTTGAATTGTTGAATTAATCAAGTAGTAGTAAAACCCAAGCAGCTTGTACATTGAAACTCAATCATTGACATCTTTTGAGTTTAATAAAAGGTATATATAAACATGCACCACCATCACCACTACGTATTTCTTATGAGACTCTTATAATGAAACCCCTCCTCTCTCGTAATTCAAGTAGTCAAATTATTAATATTCAAAGACTTATATCTCTGCTGCATCTCTCTCGGAACCTCTAAATACTGATCGCCCAACAACAAGCAGTTATTCATGTAACGGTTGAGATTTCAAAAAAAAAGAAATTATAGAGAGAGCGAGTACACTCCCTCCCACTCACTACAATTTTTGATCCTTTCATAAAAGCCTTTTCTTATATTGGTTGTAACAAGAGAACACATACACACGAATATAAGACCACCATTATGAGTGCGACGAACACATCATCTAATGATGCTGCTGTACTTCAACAACTAGAAGAAACAGCGAAATACATTTCCAACAAGTATCAACTCGGTAAGTCTCCCTAATGTTGGAGTTGTTTCAATAGGATCCGAATGCGCACTATCAAAGATTGTTTTCATCTCTCTCGAAAACAACAACAACAAGAAGAAGAACAACAACTCCTTCGACCCAACTCTCCTTCTCTCCGTTCAGTCCTTTCGCAAGGGCGCCGATCTTCCATCGCTTCCTTTCATCCAAATAACAACAACAACAACCTTCATGAGGAGGATGTCGACGATGGAGCCTCTGTATCAAGTGCTTATACGATGACTTCCGGACGACATTCATCCATGTCTTCAACGTTGAGTTCCATCTCACGATCGACCTGTGGGAGCTCTTCTTCGACACCAATGATTAAGCAAGTATTATTACTCACCAACCACTCTTCGAAACCAAGTGTGGTCATTCCTCCTTCTTCTCAGTCATTCAATTTACAACATGACGATGATGGTTACAACGTAAATTACGAAGAAGAAGAGAAAAATGATGAAAATGGAGAGATGAGCGTCCTACCTGTCAGAGTGATGCCATCTCATGAAGTGTTTCTTCAGTCACCACCACCTCGTGGAGGTTTCACCAACAGCGCTGGTGAGTTATACAGACTGAATCAATCTGAAATGATTCAACAACAACAACCATTCCATACACCACCACCACCACCATCTCCTCGAGCAGGATTTATTGGATCTTGGTCCAACAAGAGCAGTCAAAGAAATTCTCTTGCAAACTCAATTCCACCGAATGGAAGTAGTAGTAGTAGTGGTGGTGTGAGTAATGATGTTTTAGAAACCTCTTCCCAACTGATTCAACGAAATTCTCATGAATCATCCTCTCTAGATATGCTACAAGAATTACATGACCCAAAAAGTAGATCTAATAGTGCTCTCTCCAATTACACCAACAACAATACACCACAACAACAACATCAATACAAAACTTCGTCCACCCAAGTACCAAATAATGACACCACCAACTTTCAAGAGTTGGAAAGTATTGAATGCAAAAGAGATGAAGAGAATGATAATAGTTGTTGTGTTGAACATTTCCAAGACACAGATGAACAATATGCAGACCCATGTGAAGAATTAGATGATTCCTATGAAATTCAAAGATTTTCTCATTACACCAATTCTGAAACAATCATTCATGATGTTTTTGATGTCAATACAAAGGAAACTCTTGAACAAGTGATTACTCAATTAAATCATGCAGAAGAAGAGCTCGATCGAGAGGAAGAACAACATGTCCTCGCACATCAACAACATAACAACAGAAATTTAACAATGGAAGTGATGGATGACACTTCATGTGCCTCCTCCATATGCATTCCTGAACCACCTAGCCAAGCAAACATTCAAACCAAACTTGTTCATTATTTAAAGTATCTCTCTCATTCTTCTGAAAATGTGAGAATTCAATCAGTGAAAGGAATGAAACAATTGATATTCACTTGTGAATGCTCATCATCATCGACAATAGGTTTGAAATCACAACTCCTCGATGATCTCTATTATAGTATTGTAGAGACTTTAAATATGACCATTCAACTATTCAAAACTCAATCGAAATATCTCAACAGAGAAATTATCTCTCTATTCAATTTGTTATCAAATTATTGTACACATGACACTATTCACTCAATGATTGATGTACTGAGAGATAAGAAATTATTTGAACTCTACGATAGTGTCATTTCACTCTTCTTTAAAATTGGAGATGGTGCAATTAAGATCTTATTGGATCATTTAGAAAATGATACAGAATGGAATAATATCATTATTACACATATTGTGAATCATCCACTCATCATTGAGAATGTTGTAATTCCAATTCTATGCAAAGAGTGTTTGTCCTTTGATATTGATAAGAGAACATGTGCAGTGAGAGCAATCAAACATTTAGGAATTATTGCAAATAGTGCTGTAAGTATAGTTGATTGTTGTTAATTACATTCATTTTGTCAACCATATTTGGTGGACTTTTACTATTATCAGCTTCCAACTCTTGTCAACATGTTAATGGAAGGTAATGCTGATCGAGTTCTCATTGGTGAAGCAATTCGTGCAATGGGCAATGAAGGTGAAAAAACTCTACTCTCTATCATGAATCAATGTCATGTCTTTAAAGTGAGAGAAGCCATTTTAACTGTCTTTGGTCAATTACCCTATTGTGTGAATTCTAATTTAACTATTTTAGCAAATTCTGATATTCATTGTTACATTCCATCTCCAACTCCAAGAATATTCTATTATTATACTGGAGATGCAAGCAAAGAATTGCCACCATTCTTATTATTTGATTCAAAGGAATTAATTGCTTTAACAAGACAATTTTTAAATGATCATCCAAATATTATTTTGAATAGTAGTAGCAGAGTTGGTAGAAATGGTATACGAACAGCACCACCAAACAGTGATTCTCCTTTTTTGTCCAATTTGACCTATACATGTAGGCCTGAAATTACTCTTCTCTATGCCATGGCGTGTTCCATGAAATCAATCATTTACAATAATCATCAATCGAGTCGACCGAATACGAGTCGAACGAATACCAATCACAGCACTTCAATCATTCTAAATATTTCAAGTATATTATTAGGAAATGGTCAAAATACGTCGACGAGTACAACATTTATGAATTCAGAACAATTGAATAATTCCTTCTCTATTTTGAAATCCTATTATTTGAAAGAACGAAAGAAAAGAAGGAATGGTCCACATGGTGATCACCATCCAATAATGAATCCATCTCACAGTGGTGGTGTTGATGGTGGTCCTATGAATAATAGGAGTAATAATAGCCATGAGAATGATCATTCTCCTCAACTACTCCTCAATTGTATCATTGAAAAGACTGAAATTACCACCATTTCACCTGAATGTGTTCATTGTTTGATTCATAATGTAAAATATCCTGAAGAATCTGTTCGATATGCAAGTGTCAAGTCCATTGAATCCATCCTTTCAGTTCAAATGTCACATTTTCAACAAGTACTTGATGTTTTGAAAAAGGAAGCACTCTTAGATTCATCTCATCGAGTGAGAGCAAGTGCATTACAAGCATTGGCAAAGATTGGAACAGAAATGACGATTCATATGATAGATTGCAAGAATTCTGAAAGGTGTCGTTATTCATGTCCTCTCAATACGTCGTCGACCACTTGGAACAATACAACCACTCCTACTACTACCTCATATGACTCTCATACCACTTCTGCCAACACCACTCTCAACAACAATAACAATACTCTCAACAACAATACTACTGCCAACACCATCAATACCACTTTTGCCAACAACAATCATCATATTCTTTCCAAACATGAAAAGAGAAGTCTCCTCTCTTCAATATTACCACTCTTAAAAGACACTCATTGGAATGTAAGAATGGCTGCATGTCATGCCATGTCTTGTCATTATTTACACATTCTTCAAATGTCTAATTTTGATAAGGAATTTTACAAGTTAATCTTTCATTATTTGATTGGAGTATTGAAAGATGGTTCAATTTCAAGAAATCAAGTTGCTAAATGTCTAAGTCTATTAGAATATGATGGAATTTCTCAATTAATCTATCTATTAAGACAAGATGTACAATCCATGAATATTCAAGTGAGAATTTCATGTGCTTATGGTTTGAGTTTGATTCATCTCGAATCACCATATATTGATCGAATTGTTGAAAGTTTGTTCATGACTTGTAGTTGTACCATCAAAACACCACCTCTTGTGAGAAGAGCAGCCATTAAGGCATTGGGAGAACTTTCAAAGAAATCTCACAACAAACTCACTTATTTAGGACCAAGAACATTACTTCCATTTTTGTATGGATTTTTGAGAGATCGAGAATTTGTGGTTCGTCAAATGGCCTCTCAAGTATTGGCACAGAGTGGTCCTTATGGTGAATTATTATTAATGGAAGGATTGTTAAAAGATTCCAATGTTCTCATTCGATCGAGTGCAGCCATGGGAATGATGTATTTGGGTCCAAAAACAATGATTACATTATTATTGGCACTTTTCAAGGAGTATCATCCACATATTTGTCAACATCTCTTGGAATGTATTGAATCATTTAAATTGGATGATATGATTGATGTGATTATGAAGAGTAGTAGTGTTGGAGTTGGTGGTGATGATCAATGTGGTATTGGTGGTGATACTGGTGATGATACTGGTGATGGAAATGTGGATTCGAATGACACAACTTTTCAAAACAAGAATATCGAATCCATTGCAAATACCATTCGTGATATCTTGTCAAGATTTGTTTCATCCACAGACACTTTAAAACACCACTTGTCAAAGAATAGTCTTGTTCAAAATCATCCTCACCACCATTATAATGGAAGAAGGCATGTGTTGGTGGCTTCTCCGCAAGCTCTTCACATACTTGAGGAATTATTGCACACTATTGAACGAAGAAGGAAACGAAATGGTCAATAATAAATTATTTTCTAATTTGGTGATGATCAGGTATAGAGGCTAACATGGGATCATGTGTTGAAAGTGTTGATACAAAATGTGTAGAAGGAGAAAATTCATAGTTCGGAAACGATTGTTTCGTATTCGTTGGAGAAGGCTGACTTTTTTGTTGCAATAACTGTCCATAATTATTATTATCATTCAATGATGATGATGATTTAACAATTGAAACATTGGGTGATGATTGTAAAGCTCTTGCTGATGATGATGGTGGTGGTAAAGCTTTTCTTAGAGAAGAGTGATTTTCGTCTTGAATTGCAAACACTCTATTTCCATTCAATGATGGTGCTTGTAATTGAAGCATTCTCTGTTCAACAACATTTGAAATCTTTTGGTATTCCTTTGAGAAGACATCAATTGTGTCAAATGCCGTGTGTACAATAGCTTCCGTTAGTGAAACGGGAGTTTGTCGAGATTGTTGTAACTTTCGGCGTGTTTGAATCACTTTAAACGTGGAAAATAAGCTGGCAAGAGCACCAAAAACGAGATACAACACATTGCCACTTTGATTTGACATTTTTTGTTGTGATCTTTAAAAAATCGAAAAGAAATCGAGTTTTTATAATGGCTACCTTAGTACTTGTTGTGAAATTTACATTTGGTCAAGTATCTCAAATTGGCTTGAGCAGTGTCATAAATGATATATTCATTGTAGAGTAAACTACTTGATCTGTTTGTTTTGACTGGCTTTCCGAGAGGAACTTGGACTTTTTGTCCCCCACAGACAGAATCAATTTCTAAAAATTCAGAGCTACTAGGTTCAGTTGCACCTTGACCCCATGTAGAATGCAATCCACCTGGAAGCTTGGTGACGAATTCTGATTGAGTTTTGTTATATGTCGATCCCAGAGCAACTTCTGTGAGTAATAACAGACCACAATTATCAGAGAGGTGCGAGTGACAATAATTGGCTGATTTGCTGCACATATCAGCAAAGTAAACACCTTTACCAAACATGTATCCTGTGGCTGGTGCTTCAGGTGGAGCAATTCTATTATTTCATCATCGGATGCGTCATTGAATATCACCACTAATGCATTGAAAAACAAAATACACTTACCTTAAACCTTGACTCAAGATACCAATAAAATTTGTACTTCTTGAACCATGGAACAATAATTGCTTATTAGCAATGTCTTTGCTCTTTTCAATATACTTTTCAGCCTCTCCTTCTCTCTTTACGACAAATGCATCCTGTAATTCAAGAGTGTATGATGAGTGAGTTGGGGCATGTGTGTTTTGGATGAATTTATCAATCCATTTCCATTCTTCAGAATTCTTGTCCACAGGTGTCAATTCGGTATGCAAGTCATTATAAATAGTATCAATTGGATTTTCTGTCTTCTTTTCGTGGGAAATAATTTTAGATGCAACTTCTAATTCAGCCAAACTCTCAACCAATTCAATCTTCTTTTTAAGCAAAGTTTTGTTAATAACAGGTGGAGTATTTCTGCCAAAGTTATGAGGAATTAAAGTAAAGAATCTACTTGAAAGGCTTTCTAAATCATCACTCGTATTCTTTCCATCAAGTACATCTTGAATCTTCTTGAGAATTTCATAACCTTTTTGAACTTGGTTTTTTGAAAGTTTTCCTAGTGGTAGCTTGTTTGTATCAATTTCATATTCTTTCAATAAATCATTAATAAAGGTCTTGTTACTAATGAATTTGATCAACTCTTGCACTCTTTTTGGAAGCTTTGAATCTGGAATTGGTTTATCTTTGTCATCAGACATCTTTTCATCATCGTCCTCTTTAGCCTCATCTTCATCATCATCATAGTCTAGCTCAATGAAATCATATTTTCCTTTGACAAATTTGAAATTGTCTCTATTTTCCCAAGTATTGGAAGTCTTTTCCTTGAATTTCTTCTTAAAATCAGCTTTAGCCTTATCAAGAGAACCGAAGGCGGTGAGTTTGGATTGACCTTTTGCACCTACACGTCCCCAACGATTGAACACACTGTGATCACCGAGTTGTACAATTTTTGTCACCAAAATCATTGTTGGAATTGGTCATTATAATACTTACTAGTATTTGCTTCCACTTTCAATCAATTGAATCACATAGAACTTGTTATTGTTGGCCGAGGCATTGGTTTGATTGAGTGTTGCACTCCAAATGTCCTTTCCTTCAACAAGTACTTTACCAGAGGTTTGCATTCCACTCTCTTCATCCACAGGAACTTTACCAGTAGAGACAATTTTCTTCTTTTTAGATTCAGGTTCTACTTTTTTCTCTTCAGATTCTTCATCGTCTTCATTGTCCTCATCATTGTCCTCATCCTTCTTCTTTCTCTTCTTCTTGTTGCTATCATCGGAGGATGAAGAAGAAGCAGCATTAGAGGTTTTTCCGATATTACCGTCCTTATCAAAGGTATAACTATCAGCTGAAAGCCTTTTCGTCATGGAGGATAATGAACCAATTTCATTGTGATGAAAAATTTAATGACAAAACAATAATTATTTCAATGTCATCATTGCAATCATTATTATGACTCACACTCCGAATCAATGGCACTTACAATTTAGATTGGTCCACACAATCGATGATGAAACTATTCTTCACTACAACAACACCCTTTTCAAAGGCTGATGCTACGGTAGCTCCGCCTTCTTTGACTGCTTTTTCAGTAGCAATCAAAAAGGAGGTATCGTTCTTGATGCTCTTATGGATTTCTCCCTCTTCTTCTTCGATCATTTCAACCAACTTGGCCTTCTCACCTCCAGCGAGGCCAATAAACATGAAACTTTTTCCTTTGAACATTGTGGATGATTGAGTGTGGTTGAACAGAACTTTTTTTGCTTGAATATTCTGGAAAAAGGCTTTCGTGTCTGCTTTTCAAGAGGAGATTTTTCCCTTTGTTGATTGATTTTGTAAAGTTGCCTCTTGAGAGGAGGAAAAAAGGCCTTCTTCTCTCGTCTTTCAAAGAAGAAAAGGGGTTGATATGTTGTTTTGCTTCAACACCTACAGAATTCTTTAATTGTCCAACTCTTTCATGGAGAGCATGAGCCTGTATGAAATCGCCCACAAACCATCTCTGCTCTCTCTCCACGCACAAAAAATGAGAAGAATTGTAGCGAATTGCGTGCTCTCCAACAAAACAGCAGCAAAGAAAGCCCTTTCATCATCATCTCTTGCACTCCATTTCATCAAGCAAAATGCCATTAAAAGCACTACCATGGCCATCTCATCATCGGGTTATTCCTTACAAATCAGAAATAAAGCAATTGATAATTCTTGGGATCAACAACAAAAAGCCAAATTGGAGCACACCTATTTAACCATTGAACAATCCAAAGAGGCTGTTAAAACATTGCGAAATGAATTGGAGGTTAATTTAAAGAATGAGATTGATGCAATTTCCAAGATGTGTAAGTATTCAACTGTTGTGAGTGGTCTTTTGCTAATAGAGACTAATTATCAATTATTCGGTCGTCTGATGATTGGAATGAACAACCATAAAACACACGAAATTCGTAAAATGGTTCCATCCTATTTGGCACTCTCTGTATTAGCTAATGCCAACGAATTGAATGAAAAGTACATCAAGTTTTTGGAGATGATGAACAAGGCCAGAAGTGCTGTCTGTGCCAAGTTCAATATTAACTCGGGAAATGATGACACCAATGGTAGGTTTAAATCATATCTGAAGCGGAAGGATTTAATGTTTTGATTGAAATATATATAGATCGTAGACTCCGTATCTCTTTGGGAAGAAATAGTGCTAAGGATGAAGAATTACTCAATGAGATGGATGATTTACAATTATTCTTGGCCAAGTCATGTTTTGGAATTGAGAAGATAGAGAGTATACTTGAGAAAATGCAAGTGTTAGCCATTTATCAATTATCTAGACACAAATTACAGGAAGAATATGAAAGCAAAGCAAGTACCATGAGCATCTCAGATTTCTATCCACAATCTCGTATTTCACTTTTTAATATTGAAAGAGATTTACTTAAACAATTTGCTGTGGACATTGCAAAAATCGAAAAAAGAAAGAGACAATTTGAAAACAATGAACTGAGTGATGCAGAAAAGATGAAACCTTATGAAATTTGGAAAGATGAGATCACTGTTGATGAATCAGAAATTACAAACAAACTAGACAAACCAGAGGATTGGATTATATTTAGATTCCTTTTAAATGATTTACTCTATAGATTTGGATAATTACATTTATGTCAGAGAATGGACATTAAATTAGTTTACAATTAATGGCAGTTAATAATTATTATTGAGCTTCCACAGCAAGGGCATATTTTCCTTGAATATTTTCTTTTGACGCTGGATTTTCAATCAGACACAAACATGATGCATTAGTGATTGGGTTTGTTTTTGTTGCAAACTTGACTGTTTTGCGTTCTGTCTCATCGCTTGGTGGAGCTGTTGTAATGTTTCGCAGCAAATCTCGAATATCGTTTCTTGCTCTCTGTTGACGCTCTTGTCTCAATCGTTCCACTTGGTCATCGATTTGTTGATATTCTGAGAAATCTCTGATTCGTATCAGTAGAGAAACCAAGCAACAAACGGTGAATTGCAGTGCCTCTGAAGCAACAACTTGAATCCAAAAATCGTTTTGCATTTCTCCAGCAAACATGAACACCACCATCAATGCAAAGATGGCAACATAAGATCCTAAAAACAGAAACAGTAGGAATCGGAGCTTTTTGAATAAGTTCATTTTCATGAAAGTTGGAGATTTCATAATGTTCACTTGTAATATCAAAGGAACTTCTACTTCCATATATCGGTGATCCAATAATTTGATATTCATTCCAATTGATGAGAGTGCGTGACCAAATATTATCACATATATGACAAATAGAGGAAACTGTTTCCATGTCGTCAACAACAATTTGCTTAACAAAATTAAATCAAACATACAATGAAGAATACATTAAAAACTTTGGCAACCTCACATAACGCTAAACAAATTAAATTCCATATCATTGAACGTTTTTCCGAGGCTTCTATAGATGTCCGTGTTATTGAAACACCCTTTGCTAAATACAATAAAGCACCGAATAAGCAAACATTGAAAACAACATTTGCAATATTGGCTAAAATCGTAGGAGTAACAGTACATTGATTTTTCTCATTATGTGCACAATCATAAAATAAATAAATTGAAGTTGATGTATGAAAAAGTTTAGCAAGAGGAACTAATATGATGATCCGATGAAGAGAAAGACTGATCTTTTTAACATAATAATAGTATGCAACATGCGCAATCCAGGCTAACCCTGCTGCTAACCACAACCCCGTAAACACGCCATAGGCAACAGGAAGATTTTGGTAGTTAATCGGTTGTTGTTGGGTGGTTGAAGACATTTTTTTCTTCTCTTTTATTTGTGTTGAATGTTGAGGTTGGTCAATCACAACGAACTGACAGTAGGTATAGGGTTGACGAACATGACACCGGTGTCATTTGAAAATCCATTCAATAGCTGTCTGCGCGGTCATTCTTGCGAGTAAATATGTGATTGATCCATCCTCAATCAGTAACATTTAGAATCTTCTCTCTAAACTCTTCAAAGTTTTCAAAATTGAGCTTGGTTAAATTTCTCTTAGTGAGTGGTTGTTTCGTGAATGGACATGTATTTCTGGGTTCTGTGTTCAAAACTTTGAGCCATGTCTTGTATCCCAATACATGGCCATAGGGTGAAATGGCAGGTTCTTCAATCTCCTCTGATGTAATGGGATCGATGAATCCTTTGAAATAATTGATAAAGGCTGCTTCCTCATCTTCGCTCTCTTCTTCATCTTGTTCGTCATCATGATTGCTCTCGAGAGTAGTGTTGGTGTTGGTGCTCTCGGTATGTGATGAAATCGATTCGCTATCATTGACCGTTGTAGAATCATCTTGCAAGTGATGTTCCTCTTCTTCTTCTTCCTCTTCTTGCATCTTCTTCTTTTTTGAAGATCTTGAAGATGAAGATGACTTTTTACGTTTCTTGCTGTTGGAGTTATTGTTCGCACAACTTCTTTTAAAATTCTCAACCCAGTCTTCCTTAATCTCACCTGATTTCAATAGAGTTCGATAAAAGTTGCTACATTGATATCCCACTCGCCCTGGAATACGTTTGGAGAATATACCCCATTGAAAGTTGTCCGTCTCGGCAAGATATTCCTTCAACTTTTTAATAAACTTGGCCTTCTCTTGCTCACTCCATTTGCCATTCCTTTGAGATTCACCAGGTTCATTAAATCGGTAATAGTAAACATTGGGATTTGTTTTGATTTTTGCATAGGCTTCAATTCTTGCTTTGGACCAACCTTCCTTTGTTTGTACAGCTGTAAGTGCATCATCGAGAAGAAGCCTTGTTGTGGTAGTCGTTGATGAGGAAGAGCCAGTGGTAGACTTGGATTTTCTTTTGGTGCTTGTTCTTCGTCGACTGCTACTATTACTGCGAGTGGTGGTTGAGGAGGCTTTTCTTTTAGTTTTTCTTGATGATGGTTGTTGCTCTTCAGAGAGTGCTTCTTCTTCATAATCATCCTCATGGGAGTGATGAGGATGGTCCATCTCTTCCTCATGGTTGAATTCGTCGTCATCTTCGTCGTCTTCATTGATGAACTCTTCGGATGAAATTTCAAAGGCTTCGTCATGATGATCTTCTTCTTCTTCACTCGAGTCGTTGCATTGCATTCGATGAGATTCATTGACCTCTTCATGATGATCCTCTGAATGGCTGTTTCTATGTCTGTCTATTGGGCGTTTTTTCTGTCTTGTTGAAGTGTTGCTTTTCTTCTTCGTGGCCACTGTTTGTGGCTCTGTACTCGACTTTTTAGATCTTTTGTTTTGAGATTTTAAAAAGGAACTTTGAGTTGTTTTGGAACAGGACAAGGAGGACTTTTTCTTGCGTCTCGATGAAGAATTCGACATTACAAAATCATCATCATTTTCATCATCCTTAAATTCTTCTTCTTCCTCATCAGAAAAACTAGTAGTAGTGGCAGAGGATGCACACCTCCTCGATGAGGCTGATGATGAAGAATGATCTTCACTTTCATACTTGTCTTTCTTTTTTGATTTCTTTTTTGAATTACGAGTAGAGTTAGCAGTATCCTTTGAATGGTTTTCAGCAACACTTTCCAAAACTTCTTCATCATTATTGATAATATCCATCTCATCCTCATGAGGATCAGTTGATTCATAATTCCATTTATCAGCAATTGGAACCAAATGTTCAACTGTCAAATCTGGATTAGGATTATAATCTAATGCAATTTCTTTTCTAATTTGTTGAAGAAATGAGAAATCAGAGCTTAATTTAAGGATGGTTTCTTCTTCACTATTATTACATAATTTGAGAGCGTAGAGAGCTTCTTCGTTTGTGATGTATCGAATAACATTTCTGATATCAAAAATTCTATTTTTACGATCTCTAATTTCATATTTTTTGAATTGTTCATTTTGTTTTGTTAATATTTCATTATTATTGTTTGAATGATGCATTTCTTTCTGTTTTTCTTGTTCAATTTCTTTTTTTGTGAAAATACCTTCCTTTTCAATCATGTCTCGCAACATTAATTCGGGATCTGTATTTTGTTGTTTAGTGAATTGTTCAATTCGATTTTTGATAATTAAATTAGAAACTAGTGGTTTAGGTGAGAGTGAGGAATCGGAGTGATATTGTGGTGGATTCTTTTTTAACATTTCATCACATACGGATTGTGAGTCAATAAATAATTGAATATTGTGACAAGTGACATTATCTTGAAAATCATAACACGTTGAGAGTGCATCAATAGTATTGGTATTACCGATGATATGATAAATTGCTTACCTTCGTCATCAAAAAACAGATTCTTCCCGATTTTGATGCAATCCTTTTCTAAAATTTCATCTTGACAATGCTTTTTGTTAGGGCCTTTCTTTTTGGATCTGTTTCGGATGGTTGATATTGAATTGGAAGATGATGATGATTTGATGCTTCGGATGCTGCTTCCATTTGGCGATTCGAATGCCGAGGATGAATGTGAAGACATTTTTTGGCGCCATAAAAAAATGTGGATTTATTCCTTGCCTTTATTTAAAACAACATTTTTAACAATTTCAACAAATCGAACAAATCTGTTTGTGCTGATCTTGAAATTCATGCCTCATGGACTGAATTGGTCACCTTCATCAAGAACATTTTCTGTGGTTTTGTTTCTTCTTGCTGCGGCCCTTCTTCTTCTGTCAAATGCGTCGCTTTGGGTTTCATTGTTGCTTGCTGCGGTTGATTGGTTTTTCAAACTTCTAATTTCTTCATCCTCGTCAAGCATCACAATACTTCTTGACTTGAATGCACCAATTTCAATGACGCTTGAATTGAAGCCAGTGTTATTAAGAACAGACTGGCTATCAAATCTTTTATCGTAGAGGCCGATCACATCTAAAACCACACTGCTTAATTTCCAAATCAAAATATCATTTTGATATCCTGGATATTGTCTCTCGCCGTTCTTTGTTGACTGAATCGAATCTTTCACGACATGATTCTTTTTCTTGATTGTATTTCTAATTCCATGTTTTGCAATTAGAGGAATATTTTCTTTCAACAGACATAAATTGTAAATAACCTGCATGGCCATTCTGGGAAGATTGTGTTGCTCGTCCATTCTGTGATGTGTTTCTAATATTCCATTAATTTCTTCCAACAATCCTGATTCTCTTGCAAGTACAAATCTGTTTTTGGGATTGGCTGAAAGATATACCAACGCTTGAATCACGTGCTGCTTCACCTTCAAGTTTTTTTGGGACGTTTTTAAGCATTGAACAATACTGTACAGTAGCCCATCAGTGGTGCACACTAAGGACTGGTTTTGAAATGTTACCGAGATATAATCAAGGACTCTTGAAGCCAGCTCAAGCGTTTCCTTATCATCAGAACATAACATCTTTGAAAGCCCGGGAAGACAATTCTCCTCATTGGCAATGAAGGTATCCAGTAGGGGATCTTCAAGAAGCAAATTTCCTAGTATTGCGAGCGCGTGTTGCTGGCAACGTTTTTGCCCATCACTCTCTTGTTCAGTCATCACTACAGCACAAATAGACTCAACAAAATTGTTGGTCATTGCAAGAGGCTTCCTTAGCACCTTCTCATCGCTCATCTTTCGCAAATTACAGGAGGCATGAATTTTGTCCTTTGTTTTTCCGTATAACAAGTTTTGGATCAATTCTGGTACCTTTTCCAACACAAGTTCGGATTCTGATTTGTGGGCCACATCTGGATTGGGATTAATGATTTGGTTTTTATCAAATTTAAAGGTTAATTCGGATAAGGTTTTGGAGCGAGAAGGGCTGTCGAAAGTTTTAAAGGGAGAAGAAGCCATTTTTTTTAACCCTTACTATAACGCCTTTATTGAACTCAACGGCTTTGATTATGCTCTTCAGACCATGAAATGATAATAGTTCTCGAAGTGTGCACGCCTCTACTCCATATTGTGTGTTTATTGTGGGGTTCAATACAAAAAGTATCACACGCCTGTCAGCCTATCATCCGAATAAATTCAAAAAATAATAATACAACAGCGATGATCATAACGGACTACCACCTCCGACTGTTTCAACTACTAGTTGCAATTTTGTTTGTTTGTGTTGGATGTATACAGCTAATTGAGGACGTCATGTTTACCATAGACGCAAGAGATTTATTTCCTCAATTTCAAGCCTTTCATTGGACATCTGTCATTTTAGATTATTCTTTCTCGGCCTGCACGATTCTTTCCGGTTTGATTGGCACCTCGAGTTTGTTATTCATTTCAGATGTTCGACATCCAAAATTGAAAATTACAACTTTTATCATATGGGTATTGTCATTGTTTTTGTCACTCGGATTGGCACTGGCCAATGCAGGAATTGTGATCTATTTATTGGTGACCAACTTTGGACGATTAGGATTTCATTTCTCTTTTGTTTTTTCATTGGTCTATCAAGGACTTTTTTCAATTGTTTGTGTGATTGTGTTGATTGTGGTGGTATTCTTGGAGATACCACTTGTGTATGGAACTTATAAACGAAATGTAGCCGCAAACAAAAAGAACAATCAAGATGGAGAAAAATTGATGGATTCCGATGATGATGAAGAGGAAGAATTGAATGGAAATGAATCCTATATGGCTGTGAGTGATGATGGACGAGTGAAAACTTCATCGTCTCTGTCACCCTCTCTTGCAACAAAACAACAACAGTAGTCACACCACTGATTGCGGCCAATATAATCATACCGTCTCGATCAACAACACTCAAATTATTGTTGATCAGCAAATAGATGAACATCAAAATCATCATCATGCATTTTCATAAATTTTCATAATCAACAACTTGTTGATAAAATACCAAATTGTCTAGTTAGCTTGTTGTAAATCTTACAATTTAATGAATCCATTACAATTTGGAATTTCGATCACTTTTAACTAGTTATAAAAGTCTTGATTCAGCAAACTTCCAATTAACAACATTCCAGAAGTGTTCCATATAATTTGCCTTGTTGTTTCTATAATCAATGTAGAATGCATGTTCCCAAACATCACAAGTCAAGACAGGAACCAAACCATCGGTCAATGGGCATCCACCATCATGAGTGGACACAACCTTCAAATTGTTAGAGTCCTTCTCTCTGACAAGCCACACCCAACCACTACCGAAATGATTCACACCTTGAGAGTTGAATTCAGCCTTGAATTTATCGAAACTTCCAAAGCTGGAGTTGATGGCTTCACCAATCTTACCAGTTGGAACACCACCAGCGTTTGGTCCGATGGATTGCCAATAAAAGTTATGATTGTAGACTTGAGCAGACAAATTGAAAGCCTTTCCCTTGTAATTCATCAAAATTTGTTCAATGGTCTTTCCTTGTAATTCAGTTTCGGTTTGAGCAAGTTCGTTCAACTTGACAGCATAACCCTTGTGGTGCTTTTCATAGTGGAACTCGACGGTTTCTTGAGAGACGTGAGGAGCAAGAGCATCCTTGGCGTATGGCAATGGAATGACTTGATCAAGGAAAGACATTGTGTGATCGTAGTATAAAACTGCTGTATGAAAGGTGTTTGTATTTTTTTTTGATTGTAAAAGCTTAATTGTTGGTCGCGATGCGAAACGGAATTTATCTGGAAAGCCAATCATTTGTGCGCACTGCCGAACGAAGAAAACAAGAAAGGATCCTCTCGATCGATTAACTTTGATCAAAGTCACGACCCTAAAGAATCAACGCTCATGTGCTCATCATGAAGTATTGAACCACCGAGAATGTTGGCATTTTGTTATTTTACATCTTTATTGAGAAGTGCTATTGAATGAACTTAGTCCATGTAATTCTCGAGTATGAGGTGAGTAATGGAGAGTCTCTTTTCTCCTCGAGTTAAATTGTCCATATAATTGTAATTGATCATGTACTTGTTAAATTGCTCTCGTATGATTTGAAATTCTTCTTCGTCTGACACTGATCCGTCGTCTGCACATTCAGAAGTATTGGCAGCATGCAGATGATTTTCTGTTAAGCTCTGCCTACTTCTGTACAACTTGAAAAGGTATTTATGATTTTCCGTAATTTCTTCTGCTGTTTTGTTGGAGGTCAGAGTTCTCAAATCTGGATTCGCTCCGAACAGAATGAGCAAATTACTTTTTCCTTGAATTCCTTTCGTTTCTCTCTCGCAACAAAAATGTAAGGGTGTATAGCCTTCGGGATTGTTTGCTCGCTTATTGATACATTGTTTTCCTTGCTCCAATAATAGTCTCACAACATGTTCGTCTCCAAGAGCGTGGTGAATTGGGAAGAAGCCTTGCTTATCACAAATATTAGGGTTTGCGTGGTGTTTTAAAAGCCACGAAACCAGTTCCTTATTCCCTTTTCTACAAGCCAGTATTAGAGGAGTACATCCTGTTGCTCCTCCCAAACTGTCTATTGACTCTCCATATCTCAATAGTAACTTGATTATTTTCTTGTTTTGAGTTGCATGAATGGGCTTCCATAAAAGAACATCGGGAATGGTTGGGCTAGCTCCATTCTCAAGAAGAAGTTGAATCATTTCCAAGGGAGAAGCAGCCAATTGCTTTTCTCCGCTTTCTGCAATTCTTACAAGCATGGATATACATGTTTCTTTCTTTCCTTTGGGTGTTTTTGTATTCGGATCAAAACCGAAACGCAACATGGTGTCCACAAATTGAACAGACCCATGTAGGACACCTAGATGAAGAAGAGGAAGAGAGTCCGAAGAACCTAATGAAATAACCGAAGTTTTCAACATTTCCAGTTGAGAGCTGTCTAACAGCAAACGCTTAAGAGACTCAAGGTCGTTGGATTGTAGAGAGCGAACGAATCCTTGCTCAAGGGTGGTTGCGTTTGTAATCATTGTTTGAATTTTTTTTGTAACATTATTTTTGGATTCTCATGTTTTAAGCTCTATTTGTAAAAGGCAATGTTAGCAAAAAGGAATGGCAAGCAAAAGAGTAACATGTTCAGAGAGAAGGTCAAAGATCTGTCATTTGTAAATATAAATATAAATAATATAAATTTACTACATGTCACATTTTAGGAATAACAAAAGAAAAAGACATCAAAAGACGAATTAAAGGCCATGTCTTTTCATGATTTGTTCAACTTCTTCCACATCTGCTGTACTTCCTAAATAAATTGGTTCACGTTGATGGATCTTTGTTGGTACAATGTCCAACATACTTCCCTTTAATCCAGCAATGCTCTTTCCACCAGCCTTTTCAATAATATATGACATTGGGTTGCATTCATAGAGCAAACGCAATTTACCGCTTGGAGAAGCCTTGTCAGCTGGATACATGAAAATACCGCCCTTAATGATAGTCCTAGAAAAAATTACAATGCGTAAAATAAAAGAAGCAAAAATCAAGTGTTGAAACAAAGAGATCATGTAATATCATTGCATCATGATGAGCATCAGTTGAAAGTAACTTTTCATCTACTCACCTATGAACATCAGCAACCATAGAACCAACATATCGGAGTGAATAAGGCTTCTTCTCATCACTTCCTTTCTTCAACAAAGCATATTCCTTAGTACTATGTAGTATCATTGTACATCCGATAATCCAGAATAATTCATCCATAATTCACCAATATAATTTTACCAGCCATTCAATAATAAATGTTTAACGAGAACGATATAGAGACTTACCTTTCATTCCATGTCCTATGATTACCTTCATTCACAGAATAAATAGAGCCTTTCTTTGGTACTTTCATTTCAGGGTGTGTGAGCACAAAGTCTCCAGAGACAGGATCCAAAGTATATCCATTGACGCCTCGCTTCGTGGCATTCACAATCATTGTGCAAGAGCCATACATGGCATAACCAGCAGCAATAATATTTGATCCGCTCTGTAAGCAATCCTCCAACGATCCATAACAACCCTTCTTCTCTGGTTGGAGGCGTTTGTAAATACACCAAATGGAACCAACAGGAACAGCAACATCAATATTACTACTACCATCCAAAGGATCAAAACAAACAACATATGGACCTTGAATTTCGCTTGGATCACAACTTGGCAAAATCACATCTCCATTCTCTTCGGAAACCATTGCACAAACTCTCTTGCACTTGGAGAGTGAATTGATGAAATAATCGTTGGCAATGAGATCGAGTTTTTTGACTTCTTCTCCCATTGAGTTGGTGGTTCCAGAGACACCTGTCAAGTCTTCAATGGCTGTTGTTGTTTGAAATATTATGATGATTTAAAATTGTGAGTTCAATCAATTATGTGTATTGTGGATCAAATACAAAGGAATGGAACAAAAATGGTTGAAAGAATTTCAACATTCCGTGTTGTAAATGTTTTTATATGAATAATGCAAAGACAAGGCAGGCAATACTTACGTGCTTTACGAATGCAAGCTGCAATGTTCTTGCAAGCAATTTGAATAGCATCATACACAATGGTAAGATCATGTTGTGCATCCAAGTCGTCCTTGAAAGATTCGAGAATGGATTGATTGAGTGTTGGGAAAATCTTGGTGGTTACAGTGTAGGTGGACATGATTTCAAGTATTGTTGTTGTTGTTGTCGAGTGATGACGATCGCAAGAGAAGAGATGAAACAATTTTTTTGTTGTGGCTTAAAAGTGAGCGATGGATGAGCCTCTACCGTCACTTTTTTTGGACAAAATAGCGTGTGTGATGAAAGTCTGGGTTTTTATTCAAGAGATTATGTGTGGTTAATTGAAATTTGAAATCATCACTCAAGATCCCTTCCAAATGATCTTTGTAGTTATTATTAACAGAGAGTAAAGGAGGTTTTCAAATCACTACAAATTACCTCTGGAATATGACTTTTGACTCTCCAATCGAAAGAATTCCCAGACGGACTGGATGAGATCTCCAGTGTCAAGTGTTGTTTCTATTCACTTTTTTAAAGACCATGCAGTCTTGTCACCAGAATGTGATGACAGAAACGAATAATATTGGTTCAATCATTGTTTTGGAATTCTCTTGATGGATCTTTGCGTTTGATTTCGAAACATAAGCTGTCGGTTGTCAGGAATGGAAAAGGTTCATGCTCGGTATTTCCTTCTGGAAGTTTCTTTTTTATTGAGAGTAGAAGTTGGACCAAAACGTTTTTGTACCTCTGACACATGTTTCATTTACAAGATAAGTCGTTTGTTCATAACAAGAAAGAAAAGTTGTATGGTCATGCCAAATGGCAAAGCCTTCGACGCGCCTCAGGTGAAGTCTTTGAAATCGTTTCTTAATACTGATGAACAATGTCCTGGAACAAAATGTTAAAACTCTTGTTATTGTTCATTGCTTCCTTTCTGGTATTTCTTCATGGTGTCCTTCCAGCAAACGCTTCACTTTTATTGGGTAATGAAATTAGAGCAGCATGTGTCTCTCAGGATGGGACCCCTCATCCTATGCGTTCCAAGATAACTTCTTTGAAATTTGTCAACGAGAATGGTCAAGTGGTGTATGCAAAAGTCACCATTGAAGGAGTTTGTGTGGACGTCCACACAACAGAGGTCAAGTGGTTTTCACTGAGTTCCACCCACTCAAGTCTCTGGTTTAATACAACGCATTGTCCCAAGTGGAACATTTATAAAGATCTTTATGCAAAGAGGATTAGAGATCGAAAAGCAATATCCAGATTTTACATTGCTGGCCCAAGTCTTTCATTTGACCCTCCGATTGGAAGATGAGAATGGAAACCATGTGGAGAATTTGATGCTTCGAGTGGAATGCATGTTTAACACAATGATTGCTCAAGGAGGAGGTGAAACATCACTCATTAATGGACTAGTTGAACAATTGAACCCTCTCGTGGACCAGATCACATCGTTGAACGGTTCATAGTGGTGGTGATGGAAATTTCAGTAATTAAAATAATAATTAAAATGATTAAATAAATTAAAATAAAAAATGGGTTGTGACCAATCGAAACAACAAGACGTCTCTTCTTCAAAGAGAGAAAAAACCAATACTGCTGCCAACAACAACCAAACTTCGGGACATGCACCAACAAATCAAACCACTCCATCAGCCAATCAAAACAATCAAAATACACTACATTCAAACCCACTAACGGCAAAAACAGGAAACCAACTCAATGATGATCCGACGGTTGCAAAATCTGTGGCTGAAAGTTGGACTGATTTTCGGATGAAAGAACGAGAAATGTTTGATAAAATTTTGAACAAGACCACTAAAAAGTTTATTTATGTGAGTCATAGTCCTAATCTAATGGGAGGTGGAGATTATGATAATATGTATAATGGCGAAGAGGAAGAACCAGAAAATGAAGAACGAATGAAACAAGTGGATAAATTACTGAAAGATTCAAATATTTTCTCGGTCCCAATGTCTGATTCAATAGATAACCAAGGAGTGATTGAATATATCATAAAAACATCATCAAATACAAACACTTCGGATCAAACATCGACGAACCATGATGACAGTGATATTGCACTAATGAAAAGAATTGAAGAGTTGACAGTCAATGCTTTGAAGAATGTGAATATTAACGAACAACTAATTGGAGGAGAATTAGTAGTTCAACTTCCAACTCTTGGTGCCGAATCCGAATAAATGTTGAGCAATTTTGTTTCATTAGGCCGAGTTTTTTATTCTTCAACCATTCTAAATGATGTGAAATCCTGTCATTGAGTTGGAAGAGAAATCAATTGCTTGCAACAATTTCAATTTCAGTAAATCCTTATCATCATAGTCTGGCATGTCTAAGGTAAATGAACACACATGAGATACAGGAAGAGAATCTCTTGATGATGAAACTCTTTGGATGGTGATATATCGTTGTTGAGTAGATCCTTGTTGAGACCAAGCATAAGAAAAGCCACACAACCCAGTGACAAACTCAATAAATTGTCTCAACTCAACTGTGGAAAAATGTGATATTACTTCAATAAGGTAATTTGGTGTTGAGCTATTCGATGAAAATCCTTTAAATTTCAACAAGGAAATGATCGATTGAGCGTCAATATAGTCAGATCCACAACATAACAACATGAGCTCTTTCCATGAAAATATAATGAGTTGTGACTGTTGTAATTCTTCAATCGATTCAAAACCTTTTTTAAGAGCTTTCAATTGTTCCAATCTTTGTGTCAGCATGACATGTCTAATTTTAAGTAATGCATAATCCTTCTTGTTTTCATCGGTGACCAACTTTTCTTCACATCCTGGAATTTCAGAAAAGTCCAGACACCATTCATCAACTCCACTATGAGCCAGTAACAAACGTAGCGAATTGGCCATTGTCTCATCGAACAATTCTAAATCTCTAAATGTTATCACAAGTTTAGTGAAGTTGAGATCATCATTCATTGTATTAGGTTTGTACGATAGAAATTTAAATAAAAAAGGGGAGAATACTTCAGGAATGACTCTTTGATCATAAATTGCCTTAATTAATATTTTACCAATGGCTTCAAATATTTTCGGATCAGCACTTGATTTTGGCAAGAAGGTTTTTGTTTTGCTATTTCCACATTCAAATAAATCATATTCTGGAGAAATGCATTGCTTGAAAAATTCAGTGTACATGTTTGAGGTTAAACCTCCCAAATCATGTCCAATTTCACCATAAAATTGAATTTGTAAACGTTGCAATAAATCTTCAGAATTCAAAGATGAAAATGCTTCAATGGTGTGGTTGACAAGTTTCTCTCTCTTCATTTTGATTTGAATAATTTCAGACTTTTCTCTTTGCATTCTTCTTTTGTAGTGATACAAGAATCGACTAAATGATTGCATCTTGTCTTCTGTTGTGACAATCTGACCGTGCAATGAAAGTTCATGAAAGATTGAAGAATGAAAGTAAATGTGTGAAGCAAGGTCTTGTGCAGAAATGCGTTGTTTAGGATCTTTTTGAAGACATTGTGAAAGTAAATCTTTGAGATAGACATTCTCATAATGATCTGGAATGGTAGCACTACTCTCATTGGGCATGATGATGATTTCATGATCTGGAAAATATGCTTTGAACATCATGGCTCCAAAGGCCCAAACATCAATGGCTGGAGAAATGAGTGAACGTGTGAATTCCTCATTCCTACCAAACGTTGCATGAACCAATTCAGGAGCCATAAATCCAAGTGTACTTCGAATGGTGATGGAACTTTTTGTGAGAGAATGAGTATCTTTGGAAATGTCAAAATCAATGAGAATGGGTCGATACATGTGTGCAATGTCATTGTCCTCCTGATGTTGTTGTGGTGGTTGTTCCATCATGATGATTGGTTCGCATGATCGAGTCAAGGTTGAGAAGAGAGGAGAGAGTACAATGTTATCAGGTTTGACTGTGTGTTGAGTATCAACATGATGATTGAGTATATCAATGATTCATAATGATGATGATAATATCAACATGATTCATGACATTGAAAAGAATCATGACATTGAACAGAAATTCATTGAATTACTACTACTTACTATCACAATGAATGATTCCATTGTCATGAATATATTTCATGGTTTGTGCAATGGAATGGAAAATGTGTCTTTTTTCAAATTCAGAACGAGATTTAGTGGAGGAGAGCCATTCTTTCAATGTTTGATCTCCTCTATATTCCATTTGAACATGGACAAAATCTTTCTCAATGAAAAAAGCTTCTAACTTGACCACACAAGGATGATTGAGTTTGTATAAAATGTGAACTTCCTTAATGAATTGTCTTCGACTCGATTCATCCGAGAATGAATATTGTTTCAAAATGGATATCTTATTTGCAAATTTCACTTTCAAAACTCTCGGATTAATATATTTTAGAATTTCATAATCTTTTAACGATCTTTTCACTTCAAGTTTGGAGTCTTTCAATAGATTAGGTATTTGAATCTCTTGTTTTGAAATAGTATTCAAGTAGAGAGTCACTTCTGGATGAGTTTGGCTCAGAGTTTCAATATCCTTTTCCAATGTTTGAATTTTTTGTTCACATTCATTGACAACAGCACTTGCTTGTTGAACTTGTGTTTCCAAAGACGATAAAACTTCCTTACTTGCTCCATCGATTTCATGTGATTCTTTCATGAATTTTAGTTTTAAATGATTTCTTTTAGCTTCTCTTAATTCTGATTTCAATCCACAAAGAGTTGAATATATTTGTTCCATCGATTTTAAGTCTGGTTTGGTTTTTGTATCCACCGATATTCTCAATTCATCAATTTTTTTCGAATAAAAAGATTGCAGTTCCTTGATATGAGTGACATTTTCGTTCAGATTTAACGTGTCTGAATTTTTGCAGCATTGCACAAATGCAGGAGTTAACTGCACAATTGTTCTAGCACATTCATCGGTTGACATTTCCGTTTCATTCTTAAACTCTTCAATGAGTCTTTTTTCATCTTGAAGAGCATTCAAAAGTTCAAAATAGGCCTTATTTGTTTTTTGGTATGCCAGTGATAACTTTTGGTTCGCCTTTTTGATGTATTCTGTGTATTTCTCTGCGTTAGATAATAATTCAACAAAATTACTGTCTTGTGAAATATTGATGTTGGTGGATTGGTATTTGGGTTGTACAAGATTGAAAAGTCGTTCCATTTCGGAAATGTTAGAAACTAGTTTTTCGTTTTGTTCGTAAATTGTGAGCTTGTCGTAAAGTTCTTTTGATAAATTTCGTAAATTGCACAATACTTCATGTCTCATTTTCTCTCTTGTCTCCACTCCATTCAAAATTTCTGGTGTTATATTTGCATTACTATTTTGAGCGATGAAATGGTGAAGATTTTGTTCATAAACTTCTAACTCTGCTAATTGTCTATTTACAAGGTCTACTTGCAGAGCAGTAGATCGAGGTAATGATTCCACGTTTTGAGTGTTAGAAACTCCTTTAATTTCTTCTTTCAACAATCCGCTCAATTCAAACAATGATTCATCCAGAGAATTTCTAAATTGAGTAATTTGCAGAAAAGTATCAGTCAATGATAGAGCTGACGAGTCAATTTGAGATGCTAATTTAAAAATGTGTGAAGAAACATTTCCCTTTCTTTTTGCTTTAACGTTTTTTGAATTTGACGATTCCGAGTATACGATTCGAGTCGGATTTGATTCAAAATGAATTTGTTGATCATGTACAGATAAATTAATCATCATTGGAGATGTAGTGGTGGTGGTGGTGGTTGGTGTTTGATCGTTCTTCAATTCAAACTTGTCCGCTAATTCGTTATTATTATTTACAAATTTGCTTGGAGAGAATTCTGAAAGAAGAGGAGGAGTAGTAGTGGTTGTGGTTATTGGTGTGGTTGATACAGATGATAATGATGCAAATGGATTTTGATGATTCGGATCCGAGAGAGCACTGATACTTCCACCAACACTACTCGTTCCGAGAGAAGAAGAAGAAGAAGAAGAGGATGATGATGACTGACTCATCGTTCTCATCCATTGATCCAAATATTCTCTCACTTTTTGTTCCGAATAATGATACTTTTTCAATAACACGATGATTCTCTCTCTACTGATGGATGGATATCCCAAACAAATAGCATCTACCACTGGTAACATGGATGTGGGAATGTCCAACGAGGAGGATTTCCTTGATCGGAGGTTTCTCGAATGGTTGTGCATTTTTATTTAAAATTTCAAATAACAAATCTAAAAAAAGAAAAGGACAATCATTGTCTTTGATCTTGAACGTTGAAGAAAGTGTGTGATTCAACAAGAAATATTACTATTATTGAATATCAATATTGGCCAGACTGTATACTAGTCGACTTGGCAAGGAATTTATACCTCCTCCAAAGTTTGGCGCCAAAATTTTGTACAAAAATCCTTAAATAAAAAAATGGAATCTTCAAGTGTTGTTGGCTCTCCTTCCATGAATCATCATCATTCATCCATGATGAGCATCTCCACCACCTCAACGACCACCTCTTTTCAAGAAAAACCACAACAACTTCCTTTGATTTCTCATGTCGATGGGAAATTTCAAGTTGATAAAAAATCCGTTGAAATCATTTCAAAAATTAAAGAACCCATTGCAGTGCTTTCCATCGCTGGGGTATATCGATCGGGAAAGAGCTTTTTATTGAACCAGATTTTGGATCGAAATGATGGGTATGTAGAATCTTTCATGATGTACTCATATGGTGATCCAATACAAACATATTGAAAAGCTTTTCTATTAGTCCGACGGTAATGCCGTGTACTAAAGGATTATGGGTTTGGAGTGTACCTCTAAAAGTGTCCAATAAGAATCATTCCGATTTTAGATTATTAATCATCGACTCTGAAGGTATTGGCTCTTTTTGTGCAAATGAAACCTATGACACTCAGGTATGTATTTTGTTAAAGAAACAAGAATTTAATATCTCGGTTCAGATATTTGCTCTCTCTCTCCTATTGAGCTCTTTCTTTATCTATAATAGCGTTGGAAGCATTGATGACAATGCAATAACTAGACTAGGGTAAGTTTTCTTTTGTGAATCAACAATTCTGACATATTGGAATAGTCTCGTGACAGAATTATCCAAGTATATAAGATCAAAGCTTAGAAGTGATGTGAACTCATTGTTCCCTTCGTTTCTATGGGTAGTTAGAGATTTTACTTTGGATTTAAATGTCGAAGGACGAAGAATTTCCTCCAAAGAATATTTAGAGAATGCCTTAGCCGTCGAAGATCGTATAGTATCTGAGACTGAAAGAGCAAAACAACAAATCAAAACCTCCCTCAAACATTATTTCACAGATAGAGATTGTTTTACTTTATTGCGACCGATTCATGACGAAAGAAAATTACAAAACGCATCCAAAGTGGATGTTAATGATATTCGATTCGAATTTAGACAACAAATTGAAATTTTGAAAGAAAAAATATTTTCAAACATTAAGCCAAAAGAATTTTCTGGGAAAATGCTAAATGGAAGAATGTTCATAAGTCTTTGCGAAAATTATTGCAATGCAATGAATGAAGGATCTATTGTGATTGATTCCTGTTGGAACAATGTCGTTAAACACGAATGTGACACTTTACAAGCAGAAGCTCTTCGAATTTACAAAAGCAAAATGCAAAAACTTGTCAAACAATGCGTTGATCAGAACGAACTAGAAAATGCTCATTTTGAATACGAACAAGAAGCAATGAATCATTTTGTGGAGAACTCTAAAACAGTGATGGGAGATGTTCATGTTCATTTAACCGCTTTGCAAGAGTCCATTGCTTCGATATTTAAACTTGTGAGAGAAGAATCCAAAAGTTTGAATTTTGAAATGAATTCACAAGTGGTGGTCTCCACATTTTCTGAAATAATATCAAATATTGACACATTTAGGTCTATTGATGATGTCAATTATTCTTTGAGAAATGCCATTGAGAATGTAAGTATTATTTCATTTGGAATTCAACAAGAATCAACATTTAACTCACAATACACAGTTCAGTGAACGATCTAAAGGTGATAAAAATCATGTACTTGTAGAATTCTTCATGCGATGGATGTTTGAAACACTTCCTTACTATCACAACAAAACTCTTAACACTCTCATAGAAGAAAAAAATTCTGAAGTGTCTCAATTAAGAGTAGAATGTGATGAGAGACTCGAATCTATTCAACAACAACTCAACAATGAAATTTCAAATCTAATGGATGCAAAAAACAAACTTCGAGAACAACTTCTCAACTTGAACAATGTCGCCAAGCGCCTGAAAAAAGAAATATCCATTAAAGATGGAACCATTCAAGAACAAGGAGAAGAGATTAAAAACTCAAGATTGGAGCAAGGTCGACTTTCTCAAGAAATACAACAACTTGAACGACAAGTCGAGATTTTGAGGTCAGAGTCAAAGGAAATGAAAGGTATGTAGGATGGAATTCAATTAATTTGAATCCTAATGTTAATGATATTATTTGAACTTTTTTATGAATGACTATATTTTCAATTATGTGATGATAAAGTGAAATATGAAGATCAAATTCATGCTGAGAGAATGGAAAATGATGCTTTAAAAGAGGAAAATATTAATCTTCAAAATACTCTCAAATTGTTACAAGAAAATAAGCAAGATTTACAACATAGTATTTATGAGTTACAAGAAGTAATATCTAAACTCAAAGATAGTTATCAAAAGGCTCGTCAACAAAACTTAAATGCTGAAGAAACTTTGAAACAAACTTCCGAACTGCTTTCGAGTACTTTGGATCATAAAAAGTTTTTAGAAGAAGCCAATCGAAAATATCAAGATGATATTACTCGGCTGAATAATGAATTAGAATCACAGAGAGAGATTATACGAAGGCAGGAAAGAGAAATTAGTAACAAGAATGCCAAACTCAAGTCCAGTGAAAGATTAATGGCTTTTGAAAAGGAAAAAGCAGCTGAAAGTGAAGATCGATTGAGACAAACATTGAAAAACAGTGCTCAACTCAGCTCCATTGGACGAGTGAAAGAATTGGAAGAACAAGTGGAACAGCTCAATATCACAAATAGAAGAATTTTAGATATTAACAAAGCGGTCATGGAAGAAAACAAACAAATTAAGGAAAAATTGAGAGAAAAAAAGCTACAAGAATCTAACCTTGTTATTGGTGAAGATGCAACAAATAGTGGCACGCCAGAAAGAACGAGCCTCGAGAAGAAACAAAGCATGTCAACAGCTAAAACTCCCGATATACAATCGTTGAATGCCTTTGACACTCCAAAGTCCATTACAGATGTTAGTCCTATTACCCCTGGCTTCTCAAGTTCCACGGCAGAGAGTGAAGACAGTGTAAATATGAGCTCCAATAGCAATAACAGTGAGGAACAGCAAGTTGAGGAAAGAGAAGAGACACCTCACCCACAGCATCAACAATCCAGTTCATCTTCTAAAAAAACACTGAGGAGAAGGAATAGTCCTGTCAAGCAAACAAGGACACCAACCCCTTCTTCTGGCGATTTAATTTCTTCAGTTCGACCAAGTATGAAGACAAACCCTTCTCCACTGCCATTAACATCCTCACGCCGACGATCGTTGAGTGACAGTTTGCAAAAAGAACACGCGACGCTTAACAGCTTAAATTAAAATGATTTAGACGAAGGTTTTTATTCCTGAAAGAATGTAACCGCTTGAGCTTGATGTTGTCATCATTGGATGAGTTCTTTTTGGTAATACCTGGTATTCTCTCATCCATGTCTCTGTTAATTGAACCAAAACTGCTGATTTATCTTCCTTGAGTTTGTTGTGACATTGTTCAAGACACTCTCTGTAGGAAGAATAAATAGCAAAAGTTCCTGACTCTCTTAAAAAAGGATACAAGTTGGAAAGAACAGACAATGGATCGAATTGATTAGTGGCAATCAATAAACAGTCGACCAAATATTCCTCGCTCACAACAGCTTCATCTTGCATTGCATTTGTCTCTGAATTTCTGACATAAGCTAATTTTCCAAAGGAGACGTCCTTAATCACTGCATTGGCAACTCCCTTATGGATATTGAGGTATGTTACTGCATGAACATGTTTACCTATCATGTCATCAGGACATACTCGAATAATTTCACCATATTGTCCAATTCTTTCAAAAACAGCCGCTGTCACTAAACCCATACATGTTTCCATGACCATGACCTTTCTATTGGGAAAAACAGAACCTAGTGTCAAAAGTTGTGCCAAACCATCAACCCTCATATGACTAATTTTTTCTGGATTCTTGATAAAGTAGAAATCACAAATATCATATGCGGATGGATCAATGACTTTAAAATAGGTAAGATATTTCTTCTTCTTTCTTTTGAGATATTTTTGCTGAGAGAATTGTGACCTAACTTGGAATGATTTACTTCCCTCAATTAATTTGTTGATAATTTCCTTTCCTTCAACACCTTGTTTTTTCAACTCTAAAATTTCATCTTGTGTCAAAGTTTGAGATCTGTTATCGTCAATTAATCTATTTAGTTTTTCTTCATCATCCATTTGTTGTTCTTCGGCACTTTGTTCCTCATCACCTGGTTCAAAAGTCATGGCTTCTTCTTTATCAGGATCGTACAACATGCGTTTAATGAGAACAGAGGAAGATGATTTGTTGTTCTTCTTCTTGTCTTTTTCCGATTGACCATCTCCGTCGCTCGAGTCTGATGATGGGCCTATTACCTCATAATATGCATAATAGGGCTGGCCAATTAAATGTTTCAATGCGATGGTTTGTTTCTTTCCAATTTTGACTTGTGTTTCGGGTTTTACATGTTGTTGTAAAATCATTGAACCGCTGTTTAATTTAATGAGAATTGTATCTCCTTCTTTTATGAGAGGAAGAGAGGAAGTACTTGAGATAGAATTGGTTGAGGAGGATGACAAAACGATGTTCATTGCATCATCATCCACCATTGAAGCAGATGATGCTTCGGATGATGACAAATCTGTGTTTGGTGTTTGTGGAATCATTTTTTTGTTGTACTTTTTGCACACCATTCACAAGTGTGTTGTTGTGATCTTGACTGGTTTTCAATCCCATCTTTATTCTTCCTCTTCGCCCTCATCGTCTTCCTCTTCTTCTTCCTGACCCTCAAGAGCTGCGGCTACATGCATATTTTGTTGCACCATTTGCATTTGAGCGTAATGCATGGTTTGTTGCACCTGTTGGATATGTTGAATTTGCTGTATTTGTTGTTGGAGTGCCGCTGTTAATGGAATCTTTGCTTCATCTAAAAGACTCATGAATTGTGAAGGAGAGATAACATTCAAGCTTGTCAATCTCAAGAACTGGTGTGCCAATATTTCTTTCATTTCATCTGCATCTAATTTGGATTTTTCTGAAATGTAGAGTGCACGACATGCCTCAAATGAATCCACATCCGACATTAATAGTTTGTAGTTGTCGAGAAGGAAATTATTCCAAATATCCATAAATTGTTTTTGAACTGGAGTTAATTGAGAAGCATCCATGGTGGAAGGATCAAGCAGCATTAACCGTTTTCTATCCATGTATTGAACTTGATTATACCAATTCTTATATTGGTTCATACTTATAACATAAGTACCAGTTTCTCCTTCTCTTCCTTCAAACTGAATTTCAAATCTGTCTCCATGCTTTTCAGAGAGGTGTTTCTTTAGTTGAGCAAAAGAGTCTTCATCTGTATTTGCCATAATCATCATATTTCCAGAATCAAAGTCATCTTCTAGAGGACAGTTCATGTCCCAACGTAGCCAAAGTCTCTCAACTCCTCTTGTATGTGAGTTGATATAATTGGCCTTGTAAATCATAAACTGAACAATATCTTCTTGATGGTCAATATTGGTATCGATACCTTGAGAGTTTGTGGACATATTGAGATGGTTAGAAAGCTCTCTATAGTGAACCTTGGATAGTTCTAGTGGATAGTCACTCAATTTGTCAGGCTTATCTAAAAATTTCACATTGATGGTTAAAGGTGATTGAAGCATAATACCAGTCGATGTTTTTAAATGCAAAGGATATTGGCCTGATAAAAACCCTGCAATTGTATGGTAAGAAAACACTGTTGCTCCATAGTTGTGTTTGTCCCAATATAAAGGTATTGTATGAACATTAGGATCATCATCTATAGCATGAACCAATGCTGCCTGTCTTAGGGCTACACATAAGAATAGTGAGCTCTTTGTATTTCTTCTCAATTTGCATTTGGAGAAGAATGAAACTAGATTGGTAGGAAAAGATACATCCAACTGTACGATATGCTCTGGCTCAGCAACCATGGTCCTATAGGATGATAGGCAAACGTTTTTTTCGTTAGTTCCAAAATAAAGGCCTAGAAGACAGTCCACTTTAAGGGGATGATCGGGAATTGGTTGGAAATTGCGGAAAATGTCAGATGATCTGATGCTTACAGAAATATACTTTTCTTGTGGCATCACATCGTAGGTATGATTCAAAATAGCGTCCAAATTATTGAATTTTGGAGCATGTTTCTTTCGAATCTTTCGTTGCAAGAAGACTTTTGATCTTGGGTTTCCTTCAACTACGACATGATTGGATGTTGTCATCACAGTGTTTTTTTCTTGATCTTCTTGTTTGACCTCAATCTCTTGAGTTGACAAAGGAGAGAATATAATGCTCACTTCTCCTCTTCGTGGATTTGGATTCTTACGTCGTCCACATCTTTTTTCAGAAGAAGAGTCCTCCGCCTTGTTAATCTTTGAATCTTCTTCATCACTGTCATGAGAGGCTTTTTTCTTCTTCTTTTTCTTTGAAGACTTCTTTTTGCTTTTCTTTTTCTTACCCTCAGTCTCTCCCTCAATTTCAAGAGCATCATCTTCAGCTTCATCGTCTTTTCTTTTCTTGGATGGTTTTGAAGATGTACTGGCGCTTGCAGATGCTGCAGCAGCAGCTTCAGATATAAGACCAAGTCTTACAGCTCTTTGTCTGATCCAAACATCTGCACGAACTCCATTCATCTTTTTAGCGATTTGTGCCCATTGATCACCCATTTCATGATATAATTCTGTTAATCTCTTATCTTCAGCAATCGTCCACTCCCTATGATTCAATTTTGGATTAATCACTCTCATATATCTCTGATAAACGCTTTGTGGAGTGAGTTTGCTTCCGAATACCTCTTGAGAAATCTTGGTCCAACGAATCTTTTGTCCATTCTCGCTGTATTGTTGAGAGCTGATTGCTTTCATCAAGGCATCGTCTTGAGCTTTGGTCCAGTTGTGCCTCACAGCTCGTTGTCTTGTCTTTTCTCCCTTTTTACTTTCACCATTACCCGAGTCAATAAGGTTGCTTCCAGTGGCCGAAGAGCTGTTCTTTTTTCCTCTCTTCTTCTTGGAACCGTTTTCTGCTGTTGTTGGAGATGAAGGGGGTGATGTTGGAGTCGCACTACCACCACCACCAGTAGGGTCGCTACTACCATTGGCATATTGGTGGCTACTACCATTACCACTACTACTACTACTACTCGTAGGAACAGAGGAGGAGCTACCAGCACCGTACTTTTGTTGAGCAGATAAAGCGGCAGCATATTTCATGAATTGTGGATTTCGGGATGCTTGCATTTGAGCCAAATATTGTTGTTGTTGAACTGGAGGAAGAGTTGCAATAAAACGTTGCATTTGCATGCTTTGTTGAAGGTAATATTGCTGTTGCATGGCATAGTCTGCTGATGTCGGAATACCAGCATAGAAGGCTTCCATGCCCTGGGCGTAGGCAGGATGAACAAAAGCAGAGCCAGCAGAAACCATAGAAGGATCTGTGGCAGCACTCATATCGGTACCATGATGATGAATATAGCCTGCTGCTCCTTGCAGTTGCATTTGGTAGAGATGATGAGCGTGTTGCTGAGCAGCAGCATCATCATCCATTCCGGTATGACCGTCGTTGTCCTCCTCCTCTTCTTCATCATCATCATTTTCAATATTTACCATTTCCTCATCTTCTCGTTGTTGGACATGATTGGTTTGCTCTCCTTCTTGTTGTTGCTTGTTTCCGGCTTCCATTCCTGGTGCTGAATTGATAGGCCGTTACAAAAACGAATTACCACACGTGCGGGTGTTACAATATGGCTGTTGTTACAAAAAAGAATATTTTTTTGTAATGATGATGAAAATTTTCCACCAATTAAATTGCAATCTTTTTTATTGGTGCCAATCTTTTACGGAACATTAGACACTCAAGCTCATGATTGCGAGAACAGATATGCAACAACAGAAAGATCGCTTCACACATTCATTCAATTAAGAAATGTTCACTGAGAAAGTTTCCACTCATCAATTATTGTTCGTTCTCATCGTCATCACTACTGCTCTCCTCGTCACTCTCTTCCCCATTCTCAAAGTACTTTCGATTTCGTTCTTTCATCTTCTTCATCACAATATATTCATTATAATGTTCCTTTCTTTTTCTTTTGAATTCTGGACTTTCATGTTCATGGTCTCCTTCAGGTCTTTCATTTGTATTGAACTGTGAATAATCTTTCTCAAGTGAAAATCCAATGTGTTTACTTGGTGAATGTTGAAATTCATCGACGAACATTTCATCGTCAGATATGTGAACATGCTTAGATATTGGTATCGAATGCGACAAAGATGATGTTGTGTGTGGTTGTTCGAAATTGTTTTCTTTCCTGTCATTGAGGGCTTCTTCGTCCACCATTTGGTCATCGGAAGCTGTGGTTGTTGATGATGAAGGATGAGCAAGTTTTCGTTCCAAAGCACTTGTAATCCGATCCATGTGTTCCATCGGCGACATTAATCGAGGAATATGTGGGTCATATTCTCCTTCTGAATCAGAGTCTTGAGCATATCTAAAAGGTGTTTTTGCTTCATTGATCGTTGTGCAATTTTCTTTAATTATTTTCTTAATTTCTTCATTTTCTAACAAATTTCGTTCATCGAAATGAATTGAAATTTGACTTGAACAATATGTAACAAAATTCAATCATCGGTCATCTTGTATATTTACCTCTTCTTATTTTCTTTATATTTCTTCAAAATACCCTTTGTTGATTTTTTCTTTTCCGATCCCGATGATGATGATGACATGATTCGGCAATTTTTTTGTTTGGAAGGAATAAACAACAGCAAGAGCCAAAAGTGGCTCTGAGAATAAATGACCATGTCAACAAGAACACTTTAGAATATTAAAAAATTGACAAGCACCACTCCTGAGAGTATTTTCAGTACAACAATAATTACCGCCAAAAAAAGACTTGGTTGTGCAAGTCATATAGAATCATTTTACTCCCAGAATTCAATACGCAAGAGATGGTGAAAAAAGCCCAAATAAAGATTGGTAGCAAAACGGCAAGAGCAATCATTACCGATTCAAAGAAAGACTTCTACGCAAACCAAGAGAATTTACTTGGTGTCATGTTTACATTGTTAACGAGGCATATACATCCAAGACATGCACTCATTGCGGTCATATTCATCGTCATTTAGGGTGTTCTAAGGTATTCAAATGTCCCTCTTGTGATTTTGAAATTGACAGAGATTTCAATGGCGCTCGAAATTTTCTCCTCCGCTTTCTAACAACACACAATATTATTTAAGAGCCACATGTATAAGTGGCGTTGGGTCCTTTCCCTTGGCTTCCACACTCAGAGTGTTTAACGAAGCTTGCAAGATCAGTGCTTTGTTCCGTTTGTTGGCTTTGTTCCGTTTGCTGTTTTTGTTCAAATTGATTTAAATAAAGGCGCCAAAAAAATGTCAGCAACGAACGCAACCAAAGACAACAAGAAGAAACCTACTGGAGGCAATCGAAAGGAATTAAGTGATGAAGAGAGATCGGGAAAGTGTCTCTTTTATTTTAGTGATGACATTACCTACGATGGAGAATGGATTTTAAACGAAGAAACCATGCAAAAGCAAAAACATGGGTTCGGGATTTATAAAGACGGAAACAACATTTATGAAGGTACTTTTGAAAACGACATGATTCATGGAAAAGGTAAAATGATATGGGCTGATGGAGCTCAATATGAGGGAGATTTTGTTAAGGGCCAAATGGAAGGCACTGGAGTGTTTATATGGCCCAACAAAACTCAACGATATGAGGGTACCTTTGTCAACAACAAAATGCATGGAAAGGGAAGGTACATTAGCGAAGATGGAAAGGTATGGAAAGGCTACTTTTATGATGGAAAGGGAGAAAATCTTGAGAGAGAGTTGTTGTAAAGGAATGATACAAAACTCTCTGTAAAGGCTTCTTTTCTTCCAAGGTTATGATACAACATCATCATCATGATGATTTCACCCAAAAAGAATATGAATGCATTCCATCTCTCAAAGAAGTGCTCATTCAAGTATCATCTCTCTCATATAGCCGTTACGTTCAAACTTTTAAATCTGTAGACGCAATTTTCTAAAATAAATTCAAAAAAAAATCAAATACGAATGAGCAAAGGGAAAACTGAAAACTCAACCTTTGGGATGAGATGGAAGGATGGAGATCCATCAATGATCGTAAATAATGATCGGATATGGAGAAATGCGATAAAGACAGAGAATGCCATTCGGAACTCATGGACAGAAAATTTTGACTTTCTTGTGGATGAGAAACGTTTGAGGCTCGAGAGAATGGCCAATGAATTGACAAATGAAAAATTGCAAAAACAAAATTACAACTACAGCGATACGGATCAGTTGACTACAGCAACTGTGAGAAGAGCTCTCAATTTGGATGAAATTTTGCCAAAACCACCGCATTTGGAAAACAAAAAGCCAGGATCTCCAAAGAAGTCCAAGATGGAGAGCTACTACCAATACACTCTTCCTCCTCAAAAGCAAAATCCGTTTCAATTAGAGCAAGACCCAAAGAAAAATATTTCCAAGCTTGAAGAGACAGAGAAACGTTGTTACTCACTTACACCAAACACTACAATACATTCGTCGGATTTGTACAACAAGAAGGAAATGAAGACGAAAGAAAAGAAAGACGCTAAGCAGCCCAAAGAGCACCACACAAATGTTGAGGATGATTTCGATAAATCCTTCAAGACCATGTTGTCTCGAAAGAACGAAGGAAGGGTGAAGGAAGATTTGTCACGACTTTCAAATAGTGATTATGGTTCTCTTCCCACTCTTGAAACTTTTAGCAATCACTACACCAAGTATGGGCGAAAAAGGTTTGTCCTTAATTAAAATTTCAAAATGTGGTTGATGATCAGTGAATACGATATTGTAGTTGTTTCACATCAAATTTGATCAACGGCATACTTTCCATTCACACTTGGCAAAAAAAGTTTGTCCTTATTTAAAATTTTAGAAGAACTTGTTTACTTGTTAATAAGCATCACGCAACATTACCACCACATTAACGTTACGTTATTGCTTCTTGTTGTTGTTCTGAGTAACGACTGTATTAAGAGAAAAAGCAACCTTCATGTGCTTTCCTGAAACGGTCTCATTGTGAAGAGATGCAAGTGCTTCAGCAGCTGCAGTAACTGTTTTAAATTTGATCAAAGCCATTGGCTTGTCATTATGTCTGAAAACTCTTAGCCCTTCAATTTCTCCAAACTTGGAGAAAATGTTAGTTAAGATTTCTCTTCCTTTATCATCCTTTTCAAAAGGAACATTGGAAATGTGAAGAGTTTGAGTTGGTTGACACATATAGAGTTTGTGTTGTTTGCCAGTAGTTGGTGAGTTGGAAGAAGGAGAAGTTGATAGATTGCGTGGGAATCTGTTTAGATTTGTTTTGGTAAAATCTTTCATGTTACTATCGCTCTTACTGCTGTTAATAAAAGTATGCTTGGAAAAGTTCACAGAAAGAGTTTTTCCAAAGATTTGAAGTCCCTTCAAACTGTTGATAGCATTCAATGCCTGTTTGTGAGAAGCCATTTGAACAAGAGCATGATCAGGTTTTGTTTTAAAAATCTTAATTCTATAAATGTATCCATAGCATGAAAACAAGTTGAACAATAAATCGCAATTCACAATCTTGTCATTGAAGTTGGACACCAAAAGAACAGATGATTTCTCTGAATTTGGATCCTTTGATTCCAAATCATTTTCATCAATAACTTCTTCTTCCTCTTCTTGTTCTGTGGTATCTTCTTTCTCTTCTGTTGGGCTATGAGTATTGGTTTGGGTGTTTGGAGTAGAGAGTAATCTACTGCTTGGAATGTTAGAACCAATTGTTCCTAATGTAGCAGATGAAGATGGAGTGTTGGATGGATTGCTGGATGAGGAAGGAGGAATGTTAACATTTAATCGAAGGGTACCAGCATTGTTGTCGGTTGGAAGTAAACTAGATGATGGAGCAGAAATAATACCGTTAATAGCATTGTTAGGATTCTTTGGATTGGGATTTGAGGGAGTTGATGGATTGCTTCTCGTCATTTGACTAAATCCATTGTTTAGCAAACGATACTGTGTAGCACTGTTGGGAGCACTATTTGATGTTTGCGATCCGTTTTGGGGAAGAACCATCACTCCATTGCTGGGCATTATAAGATTGTCAGCAGTGAATGGCTGATGGTGGCCCAAAGGATGGGTAGTTTGTTGGTGACTGGCAAGAAAAGAAGGGTTCAAAAATTGGTTTTGAACAGAGTTAGTCTGATGATGATTGTGTGTATGATGATGAGAAGAACTGCTACTTGGGTTATGACCACTGGATGGATGAGAAAGATGATGGTGATGTGAATGTTGGCTTGAAGGAATATTAGAAGAGAAGGCAAAGCTATCTCTATGAGAGAACGGACCATATGAGAAGATGCTTGAGGATATAAGATTTGCATTGTTGTTGTCAGATAAATGAGCGATTGGCACACGGTTCGGAGTATTGGTGGTTGGAACATTAGGTGGTGCATTAATGGCAGTGGAGGGGATATTGTTCATAAATGAGGAAATAGTTGGACTGGTTTGAGGAATTCCGTGTTGAGGTTGGATAACTTGGTGATGTTCAAAGACACCAGAAGACGCAGAGTTGCTACGACTACGAGGATCTTGCTGCAAAGGCTGAACAATTGGTTGTTGTGATGGTGGAGAACCGACTGTCGCAGAAGTGCTTGATGTAGTAGTGGTAGGAGTTGTGCTTGGTTTGTTGGTGTTGATAGCAGTAGAATTATTATTATTACTACTAGTACCTGTTGCAACAACAACTCTTTTCATAATGGATGGAGTACTTGTTGTTGTTGCTGTAACTACGTTTGTTGTTGGAGAAGAGGCGGATGGAGTAGCAACGCTGGGAGGAGTAGAAGTACTAGATGACTGTTTGGTGTAGTCTCTTGCCTTATCACTGTTTTGATGAACAGTCAAATCTTTGAGATTTGAGAATTGAATAAGAAGTTGATCCTGTGGAGAGAAAGGTGTTGCTCCTTGTAATCGTTTTCTAGCTTCAACGGCATCATCCACATTTGAGTATTGAATTAATGCTTGTAATCCTGCAGTTTTGTTGAACATGACAATCTTTTGGATAGGACATGTTCCATCAATAGAGAATAACTCATTGAGAGCATCAATTGTAACATCACTAGCTTTTGATTTGCTGATGGTAACCAAAAGAATGTGATTTGGTTCTTGTTGTTTTCCATTGTTTGTTGTTTGATTAGAGTTTGAGTCAGATTTCGAAATTGATCCTTTTGAAAGTTCGTTATGGCTACTGTAACTTGGAATCACTCTTGTGTCCCTAATAACAAATGAAGGAGGATCTTGGTTGTATGCTTCAATGAAATCAATAGCTTCATCCAAGTATGCGAATTGAACCAATGCCTGGCCATTCTTTAAAAGTAATATGTTGGTAACAGCACCGAACGGTTGGCACAGAGCTTTGAGGTCTGATTGAGTGGTATCAGCCGGAATTCTTCTAAAGAAGATGACTTTGGAAGGAGTGGGTGGAGATGATGATGGTGATACTTGCTGAGCAGAGAAGGTCATGGTGGATGAGGTGGAATTGGTGGTAGTGGTAGTGGTGGTAGGTGTTGTGCCGTTATTAGCAGAAGCCCCTTGTGAATAAGTACTGCCGTTGAGTGATGATGGTGATGATGTGGTTGGCTTCTTTTTCAATGTATTTCTGTTGTGTCTGGTTGTCTTTTTCTTTTCTGTTATTGAAGTGGTACTTGCTTTTCCGTTATTGCTAGATTTAACATCTACGCTTGATGATGGAGTGTTGTTGTTCTGATTGTTCATTCCTGGATTGTTGTTTTTTGAGTTGATGATGCGTTGTTTAAAATCTTCGAGATGATGATTTCAGGCAGAAGGAAACAACAAGAGGCAATGATGATGATACGAGAAGAATATATTTGGAGAGATGTTTATGAGGATGGCAAGAGTTGGGTTGGTGGTAGAAGGGAAGAGAGAAAATGGTGGTGGTGTTTGTTCACTGTGGTGGTAGTGATGATGAACAACACACAAAAATAACGTGCAGCAGTAGATTTTTAATTTTTTTCGGAATGGCGCTTTGCTCTTCAACTTGCTCAACCAATCGTTGTATACTCACACTCTCAATTTTATCGTTGTAGGTTTGGATGATGATGGTGTTCCACTCTACTCAATTTGAGAAAACGATATCCACCTGCGATGATTCAATCGTAGAAACATTCACGAGTCGGAAGAACCAATGGATGTACATACAAATGTGAGAGTGTGGTTAGTCATCGTCGTTTCAGAGCGACAGGACGACGACTAACTATTCGTGTACGATGACTAACCACACTCTCACATTTGCACCACCAGAATCACCTGCTCGCATCAAATAAAGCACAATATCCGTTTTCGTTCGAGCGATAGTTACCATTGGTTCGCTCTTTATTGCAAATCAAGAATCAAAAAAATGTCATTCTCCCAAAAGTTTGCATCCTTTCGTCATTACTTATGGCATGGAGAGGCAGGCATTCGGACTGGTATGTAATTACTTTATGATGATAAATTTGAAAATCACATTTTCACAATTTTATCGTCATCCACACATTTCAATTTTTCAGTTCACTTTTGGGCACCAGTAAGTTTTGTGTTCCGATTTGAAACAAAAATTGTGTTATCATGGATCAAAACAAGGTATTCAAATGGGGATTAGTTATTGCTGGTCTTTCTGATTTAAAAAAGCCACCAGAATTGGTTTCTACCAACCAAAATATTGCTTTGGCTGTGACCGGTTTTATTTGGAGCAGATATAGTACACAAATCATTCCTAAAAATTGGGGATTGTTTGCAGTTAACTTTTTCGTAGGTTGCACTGGTCTCTATCAACTTATAAGAAAATACAATGCTGGAATTTTGTTTGATGATAAGAAGGTACCAGTTAAGGAATAATATGACCATTAATAAATGTATTCTATACCTTATTCGAATCTAACATTTATTTGCTTGAACCTTACGATTAAGCAGATAAGGACCTCAATCGTTCTAAGAAACTTTCAATGTTAACTCCAAATATTAATGAGCATTTCAATGACTGGATGATGGGTGACACTTCAAAGCACCATTCTTTCCTGTTATTTTCTATGAAAATTATTATAATAATTGGATGAGGGTAGTGAGTTTTGAACCATGTTGTTGTGGTCGTTAAGGTACGGAGAGAGGTTCACTGTTTTCATATTAGATGGTTTTTTCAATGCAGTAAAAAATTGGCTCAGAGAGCCAGAGACAGAGTTGTTGGTATGCTGTTGGGTGGGTATCCCAATACCTTTGTTTGACGAAACAAACGTTGGCCCTATTTGTTGATGAGGTTGATGAAGTTGTTTCTTGGGCATTACCATTGGCTTTTGCTTATTGTTGCCATATATTGTAGGAAGAACAACCATATTCGATTGATTATTTTCGTGGTGGTTTGCTTGGTTTGAGTTTTGGTGGGGTTGGATTAAGGCTGGAGCTTGCTGTAGAGTACCAGAAGCAGCGGTAGATGAGAAAATATTACCTAGGTGAGGAGAAGGGCTAGCCGCAGCTCCAAAGCTTTGATCTAAGGCGTACAGCTCTTTGAAATACGGATGCCTCAATGCTTTGCTTGCAGTTATTCTTTCTTCAGGGTTGTAAATCAACAATTTTTGAAGCAGATCCAAGCAATCTTTCGAAACATTAGGTATCATGGACTTTAGTCCTTTTCCTCCTCTTTTTGGAAATTTACCATTTGTCAAATATCTGCTTGCATGTTTCCTGAACTTATTCAAAATTTCCTCGCTTGGCGTTCCAACAATTTTGTGAATGAGATGAATTTGATCGAGCTCATTTTCTCCTGGAAATAGAGGCTCAAATGTTATCATTTCATAAAATACACATCCAACACTCCACATATCCATCTTTTGATCATAAAAACCATCCGTAAGTAAGCATTCAGGAGCTCTATACCACCTTGTGGATATGTATTCTGTATAGGGTTTTTTGCCCTTTGTTCCTTGACAACTTCCAAAATCTGCCAATTTTAAAACAGGATAGCTGAAAGAGTCAGATGTTGGTGTTTCAGATCTACTCGAAGAAGGTGACGCGGAGCTGTTCATAGCAGAAGATGAACCATTTAGGTAGTAGTAATAAAGAAAATTAGTGGAAAGAACGGAGTTAGGTCCGCTGCTTGATGTGGGAACAGGTGGAGGGTTATGTAGCTTCATAACTAAAATGTTTTCAGGCTGAAACGGTGTTCATGAACACAATTCATTAAAATTAAAGTCTTACCTTAACATCTCTATGAAAAATGTTATGTCGATGCATATGGTCAATCGACTTTAAAATTTGATACATGTATGATTTGAGTTGATGCTCTGGAAAGTATTTCTTCCGGCGCTTGATCAATTCGTATATATTCATATCCATCAATTCAAAAACTAGCGCCAGATTTCCATTCTTTGGGTCATATACAACCTCTAGTAAGGAAATAACGTTATCATTGGGCGATAGAATCTTTAGAGCTTGAATTTCTCTCAGTCTATTGACCCTATCTCGATCCTTAAATTTACTCTTCATGCACTTGATTGCTACTCTTTGGTTTGTTTTCAAATTTTTTGCTTCCAGTACTTTTGAAAAGGTGCCTTCTCCTCTTTCTCGTACAACCTTATAGTGCCGCTGACTGAGCATCTTTTCAAATTGAGACTGGTCGAAGTGTTGTTGTCCGTGCTCTCCATATTCGTCATCACTGTGACCGTCATCGACCATATCTATTGTTGGGTCTCCAGCTGCATTCATCATTATCATATCCGTGCTGTTGTTGCTTAACTCTTCTTCACAATCGCTTTGCCGAGATTCATCCGTTCCAATCAGAGACGGATCAAGATTTATAGCGCTATTTGTGGTTCCACCTGATGAAAGATTCATATCATCATTCATTGTCTTCAAGGATTGTTTATGACTCAAAGTACTCGATAAACTACTAGGCACACTGTCTTGACTTTTCAAAGATTTTGGTGCTTTTTTAATAGTAATCATGTACAGAGATTAGAAAATGTCCAACAAATCGGTCCGATGTTGCCCTCAATTCGTTTAGAATTATCAGAATATTCTTGATGATGATTTTCAAAGCCACTCGTTGAAGAACTATTCCAACAATGGTTCAAGTGAAGGATTCAAAAGACAGCGGCGTTGAGGCTTTTTAAATAAAATTGGCACTGTAAATTTTAAAATAAAAAATCGTTTGAGCGTTACAAACCCAAGAAAAAATTAAAGTTTGTCTCTTCTTTTTTAATCAAAGAGAGAACTTTAAAACGTACTACATACAAAACATCAACATGTAATATCAGCCACTTTAGAATAACATGGTACTATGAGTTTCATAGTGCTTTGTTGCATGAGCTCGTCAATTGTCCAAAAAAGGCGAAATAAAGATCTTTAAATGGTCGGGATCGCCTATACGACGAACAAGGTGAAACAAAAAATGAGAGCAATCGACATGTTCTGTGGATTTATTGTTTGTCATATTGGTGGAATGTGTATTTATCTGTATGAAGCGTTATACTGTTGTTGTTGTTGTGGTTGTTGCAAAGAGGAAGAAGAATTGGAGAGCAGCTGCGAAGAGAATGCTGGAGAGTAATTGAGCCATTACATTACATTTTTTCGTGTGTGACAGAAGAAACACAGTTAACTCGTTGTGACAACACTACTTTGGGACTCCCTGCATGTTTGAGAGGTCATCATGGCAAATAGGAGAGAGAGCTCATTCTTACTTAAAAAATTACTCAATTCTCTCACATAATCAGAGAACTTTCAAGTGTTTTGATGATCATTTCAACCTTAATTCTTTATCAGCTTTTACTGGCAGGAACTTTATATTTCAACAAAGTACTTCTCTCTAAAATTGCCAAGAATTTAAATGCACAAGAACGATGGAAATTGTTGTTGGATATTTTCAGTCACCTGCAGGTCCGAAAAGTGAAACGAATATTTGGAGAGACATCCTCGTCAACTGCGAATTACTTGGAACATTTGAACGATCCGAACAGTAACAATCCTATCATGATGATTCACGAAGAACCCATCTTATGGGAGGAAGGGTTTTCTTCCAGAACGATCCATCGGAGGAAGAACCACAACATCAACAACGCAACATCATTAGATCGGAGGCTAACCGCGATGTCTTCTGCTGCTCTCTCCCGTCGTGATGATGATGGTGAGAAGAATCTTTTATTAAATTATAAATAAACTAGGACATTCACTTCTCTTCAAGTAGTTTCTCTATATTTAAATTGACTACGTACTTACGCGTGTCAGGTGATGACAATATGAATTGGTATCGGCACAACAACAATTCGAAATTACTGAGAAATTGAAGCTCAAGAACAAGCGAAAAGAAACCCTGAAACAACAACAACAAAAAAATGAGAGAAGAAAAAAATGGCTGAAGACCTCCACTCGGATTTGGTAACCGAATTTACGCGATTTACTTGTTATTTTGATAATCAAGAAGGAACGCTTGATGTGGCCGGACATGTTGTAGAGTTTAAAAGCAAATATAGTGATAGGAATTTTGACATTCCAACCGATAGGATCCGTGTTTTTAAAAGTAAAAAAGAACCAAAACTTAAACTTGACAAACAACCAAAAGAAGAAGAAGGTAGAGCAACAGAAAAGAATACTGAAAGCTTTTTACTCACTTTTGCCAATCCTGATGATTGCGAAAAATGTAAAGAATTGATCGCTAAATATATGACTCTTGCCGAAAAGAGAAAAAAACAAACACATGAAGGAAACAAACAACTCAAGTTGCTTGCAAGTGATCCGTTCTTAAAGAAGGTTTATGACGAAATGGTAGGAGGAGGCATTATCAAAAAAGAAGAGTTTTGGGCCCAAAGAAAGTACCTAATATCTTCTTCTGCATTGACGGCTGACTCTTCCAAAGGAGGTTCGGTCATTAAAGAGCAGCGCGAAGGACTGAAAAATTATTTATTTTGCTCTGATGATCAAATCAAATCAAGCGCAGTGAATGACAGAGAGACAACAATCATCCTCTCTAAACGAACCATTCAACAAATATTTACAGAACATCCCGGTGTATATGAATATTACAAAAAAGTAGTGCCGAGCTCGATGAATGAAAAAGAGTTTTGGGCCAAGTTTATGAAATCTTACTTTTTCAGAACATTGGATCCAGTTCACACTGCCATGGGAAATACCACATCTGCCTACTCACGAACAGATGTTGACGACGCCTTGGACCACTATGAAAGAAAAACGAATAAGGAGTTTGATGAGACTGCAAAAAAAGCAGTAGTCAACCCTCTTGTAAATCTGGCCGCAGAAGATCAAAGAGAAGGATATGGATTAAGGCCAGATGAACTAGTATATCCATCCAAATTAGCTGGCTTTCCCGAATCTCTTAAAAATTTGAACCGTAAATCAGCAAGAATTACTCAATATGCTTTTTCAACAAAAGCAGGAGACTCCTTAGAACTATCATCACAAACCAAACCAAACGATATTGCTGAGGAAGAAAAAATTTTAAGGCGGGAGAGAGAGAGAATGAAAGAATTACTTGACTTTGAAGATTTAAAGACAGAAGCTAGTGTCGAATATATTCCCTTAAAAATTCAAGATAAGAATCGGTATTTTGAGGGACTTTTAAACGAAGCAGCGACCCCTCTTTCAGGAACTATTTCAAAGAAAATTACTGTATATCCTTTGAAGGACATGAGGCTGGCTTTTAACGAAGAAATTTCTCATTTAAAAGAAAAACTTAATCTTCAAAGTGTCATTATTGATCCTAACTTGGCTGTGACAATTTACAAAGAAATAAGTAACCAAATTATTCAATCAGGAGATCGTGAAGATAAGACTCTTGGAGGTATTTTAAACAAAACTGATGTAGAGTATCAATTCAGAGAGCTTTTTGAAATAATTCATGAACTGCTTCGACACTTATGGTCAATGTTGTCTCTCACCAAGAGCGATTGGAAACCATTTCACACAGAAAGATCTCAAAAAATTGTACAGAAATTAACAGAAAAACGTGACCAAATGAAAAAGCTGGCTAACGTCCAAACCAATCAATGGATAAAGTCTCTTACCGACTCAATTAACATCGCCTTGGAGCATTTCGAAAACAGAATGAATCCAGGAAGAAATCAACCACCTCAGCCAGGAACGCCACTTTCCTCTTCACAAAATATCACCATTGCTGCAACTACCCCACAACAACAACAACCTCAACAACCAACTCAGCAAGGAACACCATTGTCTGTCAATCCTTTTTCACCAAGTTCAACTCAAACTCCAGCCAAGCCTGTTCTCTCAGTTAACTTGAGCAAAACGCCTTCTGCTGCTACAACCACACAGACACCCACACCATCCTCTACTCCTGTTAGTGCCCCTGCGAAGAAGATTGGTTTTAGCTTGCCTTCATCAAAGGGAGCTTCAACAACAACACCCCCTTCATCCTCCAGAATCACTGGATTCAAAGGGTTTGAATTGAAAAAAACTTCTTCAAGTAGCGGTACTCAATCGTCTCCACCAACCACAAATACCAGTGATGTGGAACCAGCACAAAAGAAAATAAAGACAGATTAAGCATTTATGACCTTTATCTGCGAAAACCCGACTCGAGTTTTGGATGAGCTCTTTTGTAATTAGTTTGCAATGTAATGTTCAGGAAGAGGGCGGATGGTCTTGATTGCAGCCTTTGCTTGTTGCAATTTTTCCAGATTTCCTTGTTTTACGTAATATCTCGCCATGAATAACCAATGCGGAACGCCAGGTGTGTGTAACGAATCGAAAAAGGACTCCAGTTGAGAGTAGAACCCTGCTTGTTCCAAAATTTTCATCATAAATAAGGACGCTTCGCCGTTATGGAGTGATCTTGACGTTTTCTTGGCTTGTTGTTGTGAAAGCATTTCTTCATAGATTGAAATAGCTTCCATTGCACTCTCTTTTCCTTTGTTTTCTAAATATAATGCTCTTAGCATTTGAGAATATAAATTGAAGGAGGTCTCTGATCTAGGTGCTTTGCGGAATAGCTCTCGTGCTTTCTCGAATTCATTTTGGTCTGCACATACTCGAATTAAATATCCAAAATGATAATCGTTTCTCAAATGTGATGGTATTTGCTTGACAAATTCCAATAGTGTTTCGTAAGGTTTACCATTCAAGTATAATTGTTTTAGAACTGCCAGGTAAAATTTGCTATCCAAGTTGCGTAACTTGCTCATGCAGCGCTGTACTTGTTCTTCATTTCCTATAACTGTATAATAACCAATCAATGCTGTAATTAATTTGTCTTTTGTCTTTGAAAAATAAGGGAAATCTGGATCATCTATTTTGCTCAAAAATTTCTTAATTAAAGACTCGACCATTGGTAGGTTCTTTTGATTTGTAGCAATCCTGAGAATTTTTGCTAGGAGAACACCGTTATGAGTTTTTTCAACCAATTCAATAATATTGTTTTGTTCAATAAACTCAATAGCCTCATTAAATGAACCACTTTGATCTAATCCATTCAGTACATAAAGGCAAGCCTGAACATAACGTCTAGTCTCATGGCTAAACCTATTCCTGTAACGTTCAAGTAACATTTTAGCTTCAATTGTTTTTGAGGGATCGTCAATCAAGCCATGTAGCGCTGTTGTAACATGCATGGCTGTTGGAAGGAAGGGATGAATCTTCTCCATTCTCTGCAAAGTTACCATGATTTTTCTTTTTTGATGACTTTTGGCAAGGGCGTTAAGATATTCGTTAAAGATGACATAGTGAATTCTTGGAAGTTCACCCATATCCTTCATCCTGTTTTCCCTTTCATATTTCATCTTTTCCAATATTTTTCGCTTGTTCTCGTTAAAAATTGGAAGAAATTGAGTGTGAAACACCTTGTCAATTGCAAAGTAGTCGTTCCTTTCTTTGAGTAGCATAATTTTCCTCAAAATTTCCACAAATTTCACATCATATTCTTCATCGTCCTTACTTTTTTTCAAGAAATCTGAAAGCCATGTCGATGTTTCCACGTACTGTTCGAGTGGTAATTCCTCTTTGAGCTTTGTTTGGTATGATGAAAGCATGCTCTCAAATTTCGTATAGGTTTCTGGCATAAATGTTCCAAGTTTTACATCTTCTGACAATTTAGGGGCTGCAACGGAACCATAATTTCTGTGATGATTGCATATTATTCCGAGAGAATGTACAATGTGTATACCATGTAATTCATGAGAACAACCTATTTCCGAGCCTCTCTTAAGATCAGCTTGGATCCACTTGCTGAGAAGGCTTGAGAGTGATGATGATTTACAAGCAAGGCTCACAGCAGAGCGCGAACGATGCATTTTTTAAAACATGAAAATTCATCTTTTTTGGGTCGATCCAGTTTTGGTAATTTATTGAGAGTTTTTTTGGGAGAGAATTGTTCTTGCATTGTTGTTGTATTTGAATTGGGAAAGTAAAGATGTATTGGAGGTGTCGAATTGGTTCAAGTCCTGTAACTCATTAGGATGATGGAGTAAAATCATTCCTTCTCTCAATTATTGGTTGAGTTAGATTCTCACAACCGCCACCAAATATACATCGTGATGATTCTGACCAGTTAGTTAAGATAGCACGTGAGAAATCATCTCATTCACAACTTGTGAATACCAGAAGAAGCGCTTTAGGGGACTGAACGGGTTCTGAAATTTTCGATTATTCTTCGACATAAAAAATCTTCTTCATCACCACCACCACCAACAACAACAACAATTCCTCTCACAACTCTACCAACAAACACACAACCTCATCAACCTCATCCTCAACACGATCTAGGATTGGACAACAAGATGGGCAACTCGACACTCACTTCACCTCTTTCTACTTCATCGGAAATGAAACGATACATTGAACGAGATGATCATTTACTGAAAGCACAAGCAATAGAAGAAGGCTTTCATAAGGAGGGAAACTTGTATATCACTCGGAATGGAATAGATGCATTATGGAACAAGTACGATCAGGACGGAGATGGATATTTACAGAATGAAGAAATTTCCCACTTCTTGCTTGATTTCATTCATGCCATTCACAACAGAAGTATTGAAGAATTAGAGAATCAAAGACGGATTAGAAAATTAAAAGCCGGAGCAATTGATCCATCTCTGAGTAAACGATATCAGGAACGGTTTGAACAAATTTCCATGCAAACAGAATTATTTAAAAGCAAAATTGTAGATTTGAAACGAGATTTAGATAAGGATGGTGATGGTTTGGTGAGCGAGGAACAATTTATTGAATATTTGGAGAATTTTAATTTGCTGTCATGGGTAAGTAAAACTCCTCGAATTGCACTCATTGAAAGGAACGTATTTTCGCCGCAATAATTTTTCAATTTTTGAATTATGATTATCGACGATATGAACGAATACCACAATTTCACAATGAATCACTAACCATCTTATTCCGATCTTACATTCCTTTAATCCTATCTATGCATAGAAGGAGCAATTTATAGGAGGTGAAAATGTCAAGTTTGATTTTCAAGAGGTCCCTTCATTTTCTACCTCACCACCAGTGCAATCCACACCTAAAAAAGCTACTCCTTCCTCTCCACGATTTGGCTCTTCTCCTTCCTCTCCATCATCATCAAAAACTAAATTGTCATCTTCTGCAGCTTCCTCATCATCAGGAAAGACTATGAACTCGAGTGTTTCTACTCAGGAATCTTCAAGAAGAGAAAAGGAAATAGACAAGGATGGATATGCTGTTTACAGATTTGAATTTTATGAAATTCGTTTGCCACCTTCATGGAAGAATGGTAAGTGTATTTTGACTTTTTTGAAATCGAGTATCGGCAATACATGGTAAAATGATGAATGAAGGTTTGGCATATCCAAGTGGTGTACCTATTTTCAGTAGCCCTCTTGAATGTGATACGGTTAAAGAAGATATCTTATGTACACAAATATTTACGAAAAATTCAACATTAGAAGATCAATTTAAGCGACTGCAAAAAGGAAGTAGTAAGGTGACAAATTTTAAAGTGATACAACCCATGACAATGATTACTGATAGAAAAATACAGCCTTACAAGAAAGCAGCATTTTGTATTTTACAATTCAACCAAACCCTACCTGTAAATAATGTAATGTTAAACGTGGCTCTCTATCAGAAGATTGTAATAATTCAAGATAACATGGGACTTATGCATCAGCTGAAATATACAACTAATTTATTGACCAATCATGCAGAGGGAGAGGCTGTATTCGATCGAGTAATTAGAGAAGGTATCACTACAAAGTCACTTTTGGAAGTGGATACAAAGGAAGTGAAACTATCAAAAGAACTAATCATGAGCTATCCTTCAGTTATGCACATGGAAGTTCAAGATGGATACGTTTTTATGTTTCATCCAGTCCAAATTTTATCAAACAACACTGAAAAAGAAAACTTTAATGCAAAGATTCTACTTCCACTCAATTTTGAAGAACAAGTGCAAGGTGTAATTTCTGAAATTCTACAATCACCAAATGGAGTGCTCATATCATCTGAAGAAATTCGTGTTGGTGAATTTGCATATCCAGCAAAACGTTTAGAATTTTCCTATCAACTAGATACATTCAAAATTGGACAAATATGTGTATTCGTGAAAAGTCCCTCGTGTCATTATTACTTTAGTTACACTTCTTCTCTTGGAATGATGAGTAGGGATTTATTTGACCAATTTATTAAGAGATTATCCTTCAGCATTGTTGCACCTCAACTTGTTCAACAGCAAGCCAATTGCATGCCCAAAACAGTGAGTCAAAAACCTCCAACGACACCCATTCTCTCTCCAGTTCGAGTGGAGAATATAAGTTCGACTTTCTCCAATCGTTCTCAAAAACCTCAATCCTCATCGACAATGTAATATAAAGAGATTTCTCTCTCAAATAAAGTTAGTCCTCTCACTTCAATAGCTTGCAAGCTCGTATGTGTCTCTCCTTATTGTATCCTTTATGAAAAAGTGGCCTTTCTTTCATGAAGAGGAATGACAGATGAGATTCAACAAACAAGAAATTTCAAAGATTTTTCGAAAAAGAAAAAATGCATCCACGCGTTGAGGCTATTTTCCAAGGCATTCGAGGGTGTTTCACTCTGGGTGGATTGTACACCTTGTTCTTGGCATTGGCCATGTTGACTACGGGTACTATTAACACGATTAGTATGTATTTTCAAATGTTGATGATGATGGGTTGATGAATTGTTATTGTTGTTATTGTTTTATATTGATGATGATGAAATGATGATACCGAAATTTTTATGATGATGATATTTTTCGCACGGAATGAATTCATGATGGATCATTCATGAATCATGGTATGCGATTTATGAAAACTCAAATGAACGGAAATGATGATGATTCAAAATCTCTTTGAAAATATTTTCTGTTGCGGAAATGTCTTTGAACAGCAACTAAATTACAGGATGTCAGTAACGCAAAGGGTATTGGTGATGGCCCACCAACAGCATTCCAACATGCATTGTATGTACTTTGATTTCATCATCATCATGTCTCTTTTGGACCAACACTCATGATTTCACATATTTTCACAATCATTGTGTATTCACACAGTTTCCAAACAGCTGCCATGTTTTTGGGAGAGTTACTTTGTCTCATTCCGCATAATATTCAATTACTTTATTACAAAATTAAAGGAAAAAAGACCGCTGAAGAATCTAGTGAGGACTCATTGATTGAGAAGAAGCCAAAACCATTCACCAACCCACTCATCTTTTGGATTCCTGCTTGTTGCGATTTGGGCGGTTCTACTTTGCTCAGTAAGTTTCACAGTGCTGTGGATCATGACAAATTTTAAATTGTGACAATTGTAGATTTTGGATTATTTTACACGGATGCATCGGTCTATCAAATGTTGAGAGGTATTTTGGTCGTTTTCACTGGACTTCTCTCTGTTATTTTCTTGAAAGCTAGATTATATTATCACCACTGGGCTGGTTTGTTTTGCATTGTGATTGGTTGCGTCATTGTTGGTTTGAGTTCAGTTTTGTACAAGAGTGAGTCAGGAACTGCTAGATCTCCATTGTTGGGAGATGTTTTGGTTATTTTGGCTCAAATTTTGGCTGCTATTCAATTTGTGGTTGAAGAGAAATTCTTCAGCAGATATGAAGTTGCTCCATTGCAAGCTGTTGGTTGGGAAGGTTATTGGGGTCTTTCTATGACTACAATTGTTTTGTTTGTTTTATATTGGATCCCAGGAAGTGACTATGGAAGTGTTGAAAATGCTGTTTATGCTTTTGCTCAATGTATTAATAATTGGAAGATTGCTGCCTCAACATTGGGATCGGTATTTTCTATTGCCTTCTTCAACTTCTTTGGTGTTTCTATTACTAAGAGAATTTCTTCAACCACTAGATCAACTATTGACAGTTGTCGTACCATTTTCATTTGGGCTATTTCACTTATCATTGGTTGGGAAGAATTCCACTGGCTTCAAGTTGGTGGTTTTGCAGTGTTGTTGTTAGGTACTTCACTTTACAACGAAATTATCAAAATTCCAAAATATCATCAATGGTACCTCAAGAGAAAGGAACTCTATTTGGAAGAAAGAAAAAGAAAGGAAGAAGAAAAGAGACAAAGAGAGGAAGAAAAGAAACAAAGAAGAAGAAATATCCAATAAAATTTTGCATTAGCTTAGAATGACCTTAATTTATAAGGACATATCTTCATCTTCACTGTCATTGTCATCACTTTCAGAGTCACTGGTGTTAAAGTTTGTGTAATCCGTCACGTCTTCATTTAGCCGGTCCATCAGCAACTTTCTTGTCTCAATAGCTGGATTGTAGTACATGTATTTATCTCTCTTTTCGCTTAGGTTCGTTGCTTTGATGACATGGACTTGGGTTAACTCGGTTTGCTCGTCGCTCATTCTATTAACCACATACACAACATATTCCGGATTGTCTGAAAATATGTACTTGTTGTTGTCTTGGAGATGCAGTCGTACTATCTTGTGAACAAAGAGAGACCGCTGAGATGTTTGTTTCACCTCAGAGTTAATCACCAGAAATTCGGCCTCAATAGGCCTCTCAAATTTCACATGAACGAAAGAGCAATCTCTCTTATTCTTAGTTGTCGTATCTAACAAAGATTTTTCTCTCTCTTGAAGAGTTTTTCTATCCAAACTTTCAAGCAGTTCTTGAGAATATATAATATTTGTGCCATCAGATTCTTTAAAGAGCTGTCCCAACACGTAATGAATGTTGGCCAATACTTTCTCATATCTGTGACTGAGAGGTCCGTTATGCCTGGAATAAAACGTATTTAAGCCATCCTTGATGCATAGCGTCATATTGTACAATGTCACATGTCCTGTGATTGACCAATCAAGCATTGATTCGCTGTTGGGCATTATATAGGGCCAAAGGAACTCTAATTCTACATCAGATATTACCAAGGGTATTAACTCTTTGTGTGAAAAAGTAGAAGATTCGTCTTTTGTCGAAATAAATGGATTAAGCTTTCGATAAATTGTTTTGAGGGCAGATTTTCGAGGAGATTTTTTTGTTAATTCTCCACTACTACTTCTTGAGTGCTTATCTTTAACTAGCTTGGGTGACAGGACCTTCAACGGCGATTCAGACCCATCCAAGTTCAACCCAACCTTTGCAAAAGTCCTAACGTTATTATACATGCTATTTCCATACATGTCAACTCCTGGAGATGTAGGCGTAATAGGGGAAACAGGCATTGAGGAGCTACAAAATCTTCGATACAGATTACTGTAAATAAATACTTGAGAAATTATCTTTTTTTTCGATGTTGGCACAGTCTTGAGGAAATTCAGGTTGAATTGATTGAATTGTTCTCTCACCCAGCTTTCACTCTTCCCTTTTTTGATTCCAGATAAAACTTGCTTAATAAATGTTGTAAATTCTGACTTGGCGACCAACGACATTTTCTGTTTCTTGTATAGCACTTTGCCTGCTGCAATACTTGCATAATAATCCCAACTAGTTTTTGAATTTTCCAATATAGGATTTGTCATTCCACATACATAAACTATTTCGCTGAGTTTTGGGTCGCCTATTGTCACATAGGGAGAAATTCTAAAACAAAAAATTCGTATCAAGTGAGGTGACAAAAACCTACCTATTTGTAATTCCTTTCATAGGTTGAATGAGCAGAGGGCATGATAGACAGCACATGGTTACAGTTTTTGCAGGAGATCCAACAAATAAAATTCTTCGTGAAAGCAATAATGCTTCCCATATGTAACAAATATGTTTTTCGAATATTGTGATAAAATCGATCAATGAAGCACCGTTATAAGTATCTTCTTTGGATCTATTAAATTTTGTTATCAAATATTATTTAAGAAATGGTTTTACAACTTACTTTGGCACCTTTAACGCGTATTGTTTGTCGTTAAATGTTATAGTTAATTTCTTCGTAAAAGTGGAAGAAGCCACGTCAATTGAAACCTTTAAACTTTCGTATAATTCTTTCAAAATTACATATGTCTTTTCGACTTTCTTTTCGAGTTCAGTTGGATCTGAAGTCTGTATATATTCTTCCTCCGCATTAATTATTCTATTATATTTTAGCAAAAGTGAATTTCAAACAAGACACTCACCTTTCAATTGCATCCCGCATCAGAGGTGTGAATAATGTGAATAAAGGTTTTGTGGTCACAACTAAAATACTCTTTTGGATAGCTCCTCTTTTCACTCGATCATCAAGCTTGTTTCTAAAAAGCACGCTGCCATATAAATATTGTCCCGCTGGTTGTTGAATAACTGGAATATTATCATTTCCAACAGTTAAACTTGGTGTCTTGGGAGATAATGGTGTTGTTGATGTTTTGAATGACGGTACATATTTCTGAAGTGCTTGTATCAATTCTGATTTATCTTCAGAAATTGGGAGTATTATACCAGTTTGATCTTCGGAATAGATGTGTCCACCGTCTGGAATGCATTTGTCTGCAATATTTAGTGTAGGATAATATTTCTCTAAATGAACATCTCTCGGATAGGTATGTGTCAAACTATTTCCACAGAGCTTGTCAAACTCAGCAATTGAAACACTCAACACACAAAACGAATTCATTGTATTCAACGCGACTCAGTTATAATAATTCTCTCTAAATTCCACAACAATTGATAACTGAGTATACAACCGATTCTTGAGATGCTGATCCGATGCAAGAAGACCAAGTAACGTTAATAATCAAAACAAAAGGAAGATGATGAGAGAGATGGTGCTGTTGTTATTGATTTCGTGTAAAATCAGAGATTTGCCAATGATGATGATGTTTCTCAACCGCGAGTAGAATGTGTTGCGATAAAGACCACCTCGCTGTGGTTGTTGTTGTTGTTGTTGTGCGTAATTTAAATTCCGCTCTTCTCCTATTTTTTATTCTTATGAAAATTGAAATTTACGATGTGATGGACGAAAAGAGAATGGACTCCTCCTAAAGGTTTACAAAATAGGAAATCAGTCCAACACCTGAAATTCAACAACATTCCAAAGCTCTCTTTTCGCTTAGTCTCTTCATCTTTAGCTTAGAGAGTGGTGGTGAGCTCATCATGAGTATTCGTGAAAGAATTTCTTGTTGCAAAGGCAATTTACAAATCTTTGGGTGATCCGTGAATTGAGAATCGATTGAAAACAATGAAAAAATGTTCATTTCAGAGACAGCACACAACACTGATAACATTCCATTGAGCCAATTTTCTGCGGACATGCAACAACAGCAACAGAAGACTCATCATCCACCTTCATTCAACAATGCTTTGGGGTTCAAGTTGTTGAATAGTGCTGGTTATGCTTGGAATTCTCATGAATATAGCTCCTCGTCGGAGTTGTACAACAAGTGCCAAGTCATTGATCATCATATACAAGTAGATGCCCAGAAACGGAGGATATTGAAAGCACCCGTTGTTAGAGACAAGCGGTGTGTTTATAATTCCATGATGAATATTGAAAAAATTGCAAAAGCCAACAATTTCGATACCGAGCAAGAATTCATTAATGTATATAAAAACAATGAGAATGTTGTAGATTATATGGAAGATGATTCTAATGAAGTAAATTCATTAACAAATAATGCGATGATGGATGATGATCGACAGAGTGAAACATCTTTGTCACACAATGGAGATGAATTACTTTCTCAAGCTAGAGGTTATCAACGGGAATTAGTAGAACATTGCAAAAAAGAAAATACAATTATTGTAGCTCCTACAGGGGCAGGTACGTTCATCAAAATAGTTTACGAGAAATTTTAACAAGAAATTCATATTTGAAATTTATCTGAAAAGGCAAAACATTCATTGCTGCTCTTTTGATAAGAGACACACTCGATGAAAATCCAGAAAAGAAGATCCTTTTTCTTGTAAATCAAATTTCCCTCGTGGATCAACAAGCTTCTGCATTCAAAGAATTTAATATTCCACGAGTGGGTGCCTTTCATAGCGATAAAAAAGGACTTAAAAATTGGACAGAAGATTCAGAATATCATGATGTCATTGTTTGTACAGTTCAAATACTTCTTAATTCCATGAAGAAAAACGCAGAAAAAATATTGGATGATGTTCAATTAATAATATTTGACGAATGTCACCATGCGCATTCCAACCATCCATTTAAGGTACTAATGAGAGATTTTTATAAACCTCGAAAGATGTGTGGATTACCAGCTCCAAGAATTGTGGGACTAAGCGCTTCTCCTGCTGCAAAAAACACAGTGGGTGAAACAATTTTAAAAATTTTACAACTTTGTCATGATTTGGATTGTACAGTGAGACGGGTAGAAAAAAACGAAGAAGAATTGAACAAGTATGTGTATATACCTCCCATTCAAATGAAGAGTGTCGATATGGATCCTCATTCAGAGAGACTTAAATCGTATATTTATAATGCCATTAGACGAGTGAAAATGCTTCTTCTTGAAAAATGTGGCAAGAATTTACATGGAGATATTGACATCAACGATGAAAAGTTTGGCACTGATGAAGCCGATGCTTGGATTAACAAACGCTCACATACACCAACTAACGAATGGTTGAACGATACTGAATGTGATAATCGACATTTAACAGACTTTTTACAAACCAGAGATAGAACTAAGCCTCTGATTGTTCTATTATGCCAAACTTTGTCTATCCTTAATGAATGTCTGATGATTAATGATCATCGATCTCCATATGACGCGTAAGTAGTTCAAAAATTAGTGTCACACAAGACGAACCTATGCATAGGTGGGAACAATTGAAAAAGTTCTTGAACTCTTTAGAAAATAAGGAAATTCTCTACTTATTGTCTAAAAGTGGAGTATCATTCTCCATGTATGAGCATGAGAATTCAATTGGGAAGATTCCTAAAAACTGTAATAAGAGATTCGAACTGGCAAGATTATTATCAGAATACAAATCCAAAGCACAAGATATGAGAGCATTAATTTTTGTAAAAACCAGATTAAGTTGCAAAGAAACGAAAGAATTTTTAGAGTCTCGTCCAGAACTTCGTGATTTCCTGAAACTCGACATTCTTCTGGGCCACGGCAAAGGCGCTTCTACAGGAGGAATGACTTCAAGTCAGCAACAAACCGTATTGACAAACTTTAGAAATGGAGTTATCAATACTCTCATTTCCACAAGTGTAGCTGAGGAAGGTATTGATATTCCCGCATGCAGTTTAGTTGTAAGATTAGATGGAGTTGACAGCGCCTTAAACCTCATTCAGTCGAGAGGAAGAGCTAGATCTCGAAACAGCGAGTTTTACTGTATACTTCACACGAACTCTGGGCGTATGTATTTTCATGCTGTAAATGTACATTTGAATTTCTAATGATTTTTCCTTTATCATCATGATTATCCAATAACAAAAACAGAGAAATCAGTTGAGCGATACCAAATGCAAGAAAGAAAAATGATTGCTGCTGTTGATTTATTGATGAAAGCAGAGAGCATACATCCTGATATTTATATGAGGAGTATCAATCTTAAGGAGTCGACTGGCTTAAGGCACATGGTACTTGGTCATATTTTCGAGTATTTGTGGTTTAATTCTGAGAAAATTGCCAAAGACGAAACTGTGCAATGCCTCTATCACTATACGGAGAAAACTATAACACAGTCGACAGTAGTATCCACCACGTGTGAAAAATTGTTTGGAGAAAAACCAATCATGCAGGTCATAAAAACTGGTTCAAGTTTTATTGCGAGAATAATTATCAAAATTAGTAATAATGACAGATCATGTTATAGGAATGGGTATCAGGCTGCCAGGTATTTTGTCCTTACTTGTTCTAAGGATTTTAAAACCAAAAGGGATGCAAAGAATGCTGCTTCTCTTGAAGCACTGCAAAAGTTTATGGACAAAGATCTCGTTGTCTTTCCCCCTAGCACTTGGACAGAAATTTACAAAGAGAATACCAAAGACCCGATCGAAATCGATCATGGAGTGAATTCTGAGCTGAAAGAAATCATCATGCCAATTCAAGAGATTGATCTCAAACGAAAGCAAACGACCACCAAAGTGACAGATCCAAAAATCTTCAAAGAAAAGATTACACTCGAAACAGCCATTACCTGTCTCTTTCATCACTGCAAGATTAATTTTGGTCAAAATCCAGAGTTTAAAGATTTTATTTTGTCGAAGAGAGTTAATAATTCAAACCAATTCTATTACACGTGCAGTGTAGTCAGTGACAAAGTATCAGCAGTGAGAGGAGATGCATTTCCTAAAAAAAAGGATGCCAAAAAGGATGCTGCTTTTAAGATGTGTCATGCAATTTTTAATGCCTATCATTACTTTGACATGGCCAAACACGCGTACACAAAAAATTATAGAAACCAAAAGTCCGAATGATCAATAGGGATCTTTATTTGTGAAATTCAATGGCATTTACAAAATTGAGATAGCATGCTTAATTACTACCAGGTGTCAGTCACAGTGGAAGAGGTATCATTTTCTTCATCCGCACTACCCTCAATGCCTATTCTCCTCAAATCTAGAACCCTTATCATATGACCATAAATAGGGTTGGTATTTGAGTTTTCATGCTGATTCCTATGAGCATTTGGTACCGTTCGTCTTAAATTATCTCTTGTAAAGTTGGTGATAGAATCCCAAAGATTTGGAGGAGCTGTCACGATGATGTTTTCATTTTCCGTCATTGATGTGGTTTCATTTTCTGTGAATATATTGATTTGAATGTCATCGATTTGTTGAGTTGTGTCTCTCAAATGATTCGTTTCAGATGGAATTTCCAAATTATGAGATGTTGAACATGGTGGTTGAACTACTTCAGATAAGGAATGGTTTTCCATGATTACTAATGGCTCGAAAATGATTGGTTCTTGAGAAAAATCCTGTTGTTCATTCTCTCTTGTTTCAGACTTGCTCATCCCTACTTGTTGCTCGATATTCACTATTTCACATGGAAGAGTAGGCATTCGTTCTTGTTCCACAGCAGCATGACGCTCCCAATGAGTAGTACAGGCAATATTTGGCAAATTGAGATTGGATGGCAAATCAAGTGGAGGTAATGAATGCATGATAGGAACAAAGGGTGTGATGATATCGTTTTGATTCTTTCTTTCCTGAATGCATTCGTAAATGGAATTGAAAGATAGCGAATATGGTCCAGGTGGTATTTTTAAAGGATTGTCACATGGTGGTGGTCTGCAACGATCACCACGTGAGGTGAAAGTGTTGGAACTGAGAGGATCTACTCCATGATAATTATGGAAAACACGCATATTTGTATTGAAACAAACAAGCTCACTCACAGATGATATTGGATATGCATGATATTTTCCAATACCATCCATCATTGAAATGGGTGAATTGGAAGTCGTTTTGAAATGATTGACACTGGTATTGTGATGATGCAATTTTGGCTTGAAATATTTGGTGGTGGTCAGAAAGTTAATCAGACGAATGTACTAATACCTACTCGATGATTCGGAAAATAAGGAATTGAGTGCCTATGAGTGATCATGTCTTGCACGGTGATTCGATCGCGAGTCATAGAAAAGCAGGGCTTGTCGTTTATCTTTGACATGGAAGGAAAAACTGGAGAGCTTTTCACAAGGAGCGTCTCGTTTTTTCTCTCCAATTGAATACTATTCAATGAATGCTTAATCACAGACACTCGTTGATGTACCTCGCTTAGAAATTGACGTTGTTCATCGATTTTTTCATTAATCCGTTGAAATGTGGCCAAGCTCACATTTTCCAAGTGCTCGATCACATCCAACACGTTCTGGATATTGGTGTTGGGATATAACGCTGGACATTCGAAAGACATTTTTTTTTGTGTTGGAACTGGAGTTTGTCACTCCGCGAGTTCCACATGTTCCGGTTTTAAGCAAATCAAACCTTGATAACTACAGCAATAAAGGAATGTATTGAAAAATGTTAATATTGTGTACAATTTTAAAATTAATAATAATTAATCTCTTTCTGCCAGAGCGTTCAAAACAGTGTCTACTTCTTCAGCAGTCAAGACTTTGAATCTGCGATCATCGCCAGAAACAACACAAACTTCAATGTCACTGGACTTGAGTTCTTGACTAAGTACTGATTGTAAACTTCCGACTGCAAGTTGAACGGTTTCTTGTGTTGATAACACGCATTCAGTGCTATCTTCATTTGGCTTAATATCCTTTAACTTCTTTTCCAAAAAGTTTTGTGCTTCTGTTTCTTTTTGTCCAGAACTTGTTGCAAAATATCCAGCATAGTAGCCAGCAGGGTCAACCTTGTACAATTGTGGTTCCTTTGTTTCTTCATCAATACCAATCAACATCATAACTACTCCTTGTGGTCTAATACCAGCATATTGAGTAAAAAGTTGAGCATGATCGGCCATTCTCTTTGCCAAATATGAAACTGGAATTTCATATCCAAATTTAAATTCAAAGGATGCTGCTTCATATCTTGCTCTTTGGACATTCACCCTGGCATCAGCAATTCTTCCGGTCATTACACATCCGATACGATCAGTAATTTTGAACACATGAGTAACAGACTCAGCTTTCAAAAGTCTATCGGGTACTTTCTTTTGTGTTACAATACAACAAGAGTCCTTTCCACGAATACCAATCGTTGTAATTCCAGGTGTTTTAACGGCCTTAAAGGCGTACTCCACTTGATACAATCTTCCTTCAGGTGAAAAGACTGTGATGAATCGATCATAGCCTGATGATGCTCCACGAGACATTTTTTGTGTTTGAAAATTTAATCTATTTTTAAAAAAACAATTCCAACAGAATGAAAATTCTTCGTGAGGATGATTCGAGCTAAAAGCAACACACGATCTTCTAAGCGCATGAACGTCAGAAATGGATGAATATGAAATGTTATGTTTGCGTACAAGGGATGCCATACATCGGAAATCACATTCTTCTTCTTACTGATAGTAACAACTGCAATCAAATAATAGAATAAAACAAAAGGAACGATCAAGGCTTGATATTTGAAAAAATGTTGACCAGTCCTTTGTATCATCATCACGCAAGTCATTGTGCTACGTCCGTACTATCTAGAACACTTAAAAGATCCATTCTTGCATCATCAAGTTGGACATTTACAAACGATGGTGGTACAACGGATCGTCGCTTTTACTCAACATGCAGTTCCTCTCTCAAACAAGTCGATAACAATGTTGTGGATGTTTCTGATGATCAACAACAAAACATGACATCCTTCCCAAAGAACTCTTCATCAACAATAATAACAGATGCACCTCCAAAATGGTCAGAATTGGAGAGTTCTCAAACAGAAAGCTTTTGGAGTCATGGAATTAAAACTCCGTTCTTTTTGGTGGATCTTCAGGTGCTGAATCGAAATTGTAGAGCTATGATTCAAAAAGCAAATGAATGTGGAATTTCATTGCGAGCTCACGTAAAAACTCACAAAACATTGGAAGGAGCCAAATATCAAACCATTGGATTGAAAGATCCAAAACTAGTGGTGTCCACATTGGCAGAAGCTGAATATTATTCTGCTCATTACAAAGATATTCACTATGCTGTACCTGCGTTGTCAAAATCCAAATTGAAACAAATTGAAACTTTAACAAGACGAATTCCAAAATTTCACATCGATGTTGAGAGTGAAGCATCTTTGAAAATCATTGAAGAATATGCCAAGAATCACAATATTCAATTTTCCGTATTTGTGCAAGTCGATTGTGGACAACATCGAGTTGGTGTTGATCCAAACGATGAAGCATCACTACGTCTTGTTCAAAAGATTCATGAATCTCCACATGTCAAGCTTGCTGGACTCTACACACATGCTGGACAGTCGTATGCTTGTCGAGGAAAAGAAGAAATTCGAAAAGTGACCATCGAGGAAGCCAAAATTGTTTCAGACTTTGCACAAAAACTGAAAACCTTGGGAATTCATGTTCCCACGGTTTCTGTTGGATCGACACCTACCTGTTCTGTTGGAACGGCTGAGGAATGGTCAAACACATTAGTGAATGAAATTCATCCTGGAAATTATGTCTTTTATGATTACATGCAAACGAAGATTGGTAGTTGTGAAATTAAGGACTGTTCAGCATTTGTGGTTGCTACAATTATTGGGCATAGACCAAACATGAATCAATTAACTATTGATGCTGGAGCACTTGCCTTAAGTAAGGATATTGGATGTTCGAATGTGAGCTGTGCTTCCTATGGATATATTAAAGAAGACGAAACTCTTCAGATTACCAATCTAACCCAAGAAATTGGAATTGTGACAAGTGAGAAACCTATCAATTATGAGAAATTTAGACTTGGTGCAAAGTTGACCATCATTCCCAATCATAGTTGTTTATCAGCTGCTATGTTCGACAAGTATTATGTTATTAATAACTCGATAGAAGCCAAGTTGGTAGATGTCTGGTCCAACATTAGAGGTTGGTAGTAGAAACATATTCTCAAAGTAATCGAGTAAACAATTTTTGGTGTTGAGTGAAAGACTTTTCTTGCCAAAAACTTTTCTCGTTGTAAATCCCAAAAAAATATTACTCGTTCCCATGAAGAGACTCGTCCCCCAATTCTCCAAATCTTCACGTATGTCTTGTAGTATCAATCAATCATTTTCCTGACTCTAGTAATATATTTTGTTGTTGTTGGCTATTGTTGATTTATTCCAAATTTTATCTTGATGATTCGATATGAATATATTTATATTTGCTTGATGATGTGGTGATGACTGTATTATTGCTTGATATATTATTGTTACTCTGTTACTGTAATACCAACTACTGGAATAATTACTATCCTATCTGTACTCATTCAATTGTTTTCAAAATGTTTAGGTAATGGTGTCCGCCATTATAGCACCTTGAAACAAAGAGGTGAAAAGATGGATGCCGAATTGTCTGCAACAAGAACACCACTTGAAAGAATGTTGCTTGGAAAGCAAACCAAGAACGATTTTGCCAATTTGAACATTAAAGATCCAAAGACAGTCGCTCAATGGTTGAACAAGAGTGCTAGAGAGGGACCAAAATACTTGACAAAGGATGTCGATCAATTGGCTCCTCCAGTTACAATCACTGTCTCTGGAGCATGTGGACAAATTGCCAATAGCCTGTTGTTCAGAATTGCTAACGGTGAAATGTTGGGCGAAAATCAACCAGTGAAGTTGAGATTGTTGGAAAGACCAGAAGCAATGAAGGCTCTTGAAGGAGTGAAAATGGAATTGGACGATGGCGCTTTCCCACTCTTGGAAGAAATTTATCTTACCGATAGTGAAAATGATGCTTTCAGAGGTGCTGACTATGCTATTTTGCTCGGAGGAAAGCCAAGAGGTCCTGGAATGGAAAGAGCTGATGTCATGAAAGACAATGCTGCTATTTTTAAGGCTCAAGGTGAGGCTTTGAACAAGCAAGCTAACGGAGATGTTTTGGTTTTGATTGTTGCCAATCCAGCCAACACTAACGCTATGATTACATCTGCCAATGCTCCAGATATTCCACCAGAAAATATCACTGCAATGACAAGACTTGATCACGATAGAGGATTGGCTCAAGTTGCAGCAAAGGTTGGATGTAATATTACCGACATTTCACGATTTGCTATTTGGGGTAACCACTCTGCCACTCAATATCCAGATCTTTCATTCACAACCATCAAAGGACAATGGGGTCTTAACGTGATTAATGACGAACAATGGATTACAAATGAATTTATTCCAAACGTGCAACAACGTGGTGCTGCTATCATCAAGGCCAGAGGAAAGTCAAGTGCTGCTTCTGCTGCCGACGCTGCTATTAAACATATGCACGATTGGGTTTTGGGAAATAGCGAATGGGTTTCTATGGCTATTCCATCAAGAGGTCAATATGGTATCCCAAGAGGTATTTGGTGTTCAATGCCAGTGCAATGCTTTGGAGCTGGTAAATACGGAGTCATTGAAGGTTTACCAATCAACTCCTTCAGCGCTGATAGAATTAATGCTAGCGTAAAGGAACTTATTGAGGAAAAGAAGATTGTTGAAAATTTATTACCAAATCCAGTTTACAGATTAGTCGAAGTTGACAAGGTTAACATTATTAGCAAGTCATACATCTCAGAAAACAAGCAATAATTTATGCAAGGATCAAATTATCCTTACTTTTTCAAACTGAGGGATTGCAGCCGTTCTCAGGGCATTCAAGAAGTAAAACAACCTTTAACATGTATAAAATTTAGATTTCCAAATGAATAATTTTGAATTCAGAAATGTTGAAATAAATCATAGAAGATATCTCCTCCATCGGAGTAGCTGAACGCCAAATTGTCAGGTTGAACGATGGGAGATTTTTTGGGTCTTTTCATCACCACTCTTTTAACTCCAAGATTTAATGCCCAATTTACCAAGGAAGCTTCGAAAGGAGATTTAGTTTCCCGATAATTGGTGTTCGTTTCAAATGATTCATCGAAATGAAGAAATGACATTACAGTTCTCAATACTTGCAATTCATATTTTGGGAGTGCTGACCCCACATGAGTGAACATGGGATCAAGGTAAATGACATCTGGTAATTCCAGATTTAAATTAGTGAAAGAGTGTACAGTAAGAGTTCGAGAGTCAGTCTCTTCAAACAAATATTTCATGTTCACAAATTTTCCATTTTCTCGAGCTCTTTGAAGAGCAGCTTTCAACATGATTGAAATCAGAGGATGGCGCTCACAACAAATGACATTAAATCCTAATAGTGACAGTATGCAGCTATCTTTCCCCAGGCCAGTGGTTGCATCTAACACGAGAGTTTGTTCAGGTTTCTTGTTTTTAATGCTACATGCACGAAAAAGAGCACTAGATTTAGAAATTCCTCGATGAGCAAGACTGACAGATGTTGTGTCTGAAAAACCTATTGTGAGAGGCCTCGATTTTGCTATTTCAGTGTATTTTGTTTCTAATATTCCTTGTTGTGCCTTCTGTACATCAAATAAAGGTAAAAGTGAGAGTTTCTGCAGTGGTGAGCTCAAATCCACATCCAGTAAGAATAAGGGTCCTCCAAAATAAGGATCATTTGTATTTTCATTAGAAGTCATCATTTTAATTCTCTCCTCAATAAATTCAAACGTTTTAAAATTCCTTTCCTCAATTGTTTCATTTTGTGCATAAAGTTGAAAAATTCCACTTTGTAAATGATATTTTTCAATTAATTTCGGAATTAATTCATCCTTTACAAATGAAAAAGATTCCAAAAATTTGAAAACATTTTCATCATTTAAAGAGAAATTATTAAACTTTCTAACTGGAGAATTCTCTCCAACACAAAACCGTACAATCAAGGCTTTCTTAGGTTTCATCGGAAGCATTGAAGAAGGAATTACACGTCCAAGTTTTTTCATTTTTTTTCTAAATTCAAAATTTACTGTTGTCGAACCAATAGAAAAGTATCGGATCGTTGAATGAATAACCATTTTGTGGAAATATCATGTTTCGAACCTTACATGATAAGCTTTGGATATTTTGGTATGAGAGAAAGAGCCATGATGACCATCCTCAGTGTTTTGTCTGGTCTTGGCCTGTCAACTGTCTGTCAAATCATCAAAAAAATTGCCATCACCCGTTATCAATTCTTTTTGCAGCGTCATCAATTCCACACCAATCATCAAAATAGTACTCCTTCCATCATCTTCATCATCACCAGAGAGAGAGGATAGTCTGGAACCCACTTTTCACCACCACCACTTTTCAACAAATACAACCACTTTCTAAAAGATGCCATCTGTACAAGAACTCGAACGTCAACGATTGGCAGCCATGTATGGAGGAGGAAATGAAGAAGATGATCATGAATCCTCTTCAGAAGAAGAAGAAGATGCCAACCACAAGAACACTTCTTCTCAACAACAACAACAACCACAAGGAACACCACCAACCACCACCACCTCTTCCACAACAAACAACACTTCCACCAACAACGCCAATAATCGATCTGCTCAACGTAAACAATTGTTTGGAGGTGCCATGAAGAATGCCATGAAAAAGTTGACCATTTCTTCTTCAGACAAGACAAAACATTCAACAGATTCAAATTCGACAAGTGCTCTGAATTCTTCTGCTCCACCAAAATTCTCGACAGCCATTCGTGTCTTACGTTCAGTCAAGGAGATGCACTCTCGTGTCTCCATTTTGGTAGAAGATCAATCTCAGACTGCCAAAATGGATTTGGAAAAGGCACTTGAAACTCCTGATATTATTATGAATCAGGATGATTTGTTTGAAGGAGCAGGAGAGAAGGCTGGTCTTCAAATTTGGCATCTCGTCAAGATGATTCCAATTGCTGTTCCTGAAGAAGAATTTGGTACATTCAATTCTTCAGATTGTTATGTTTTGTGTTACACTTTTGAAGCTCAAGACGATGACACACGTTTGAGAAAGATTCATTATTGGGTTGGAAAGAATGCAAATGTGATGAAACAAGCAGTTTGTGCATTTCTATCCAATGAATTGGCCAATCGTATTTCAGCTTCTCTCTATCGTGAAGAAGAACGTGAAGAGAGTGAAGACTTTTTGGAATATTTCGATCATCACATTGAATATAGAGATGCTTGTGCCACTCAGGATTCTCTTCTCAAAATTCCACACCGTGAATTTGTTCCACGTTTGATGAAGGTCGATGCCGATCACAAACGACGTCTCTTAGTGAAACGTGTGCATTTATCCAAAGCACAAATCGAGTCACCTCAATCGGTGAAGGATGTTTTTATTTTAGAAAATGAAGAACATGTCTATGTTTGGATTGGAAGTGAAGCAAGTAAAACAGAACAATTGAAGGGAGTCGATGTGGCACGTAATATCATTCATGACGATCGTCGAGGTAAAGGACAAGTGGAAATTATTTATCAGCAACAACAACAACAGAATGATTCAATGGTGGAGACTCTTCCAGCTGATTTTCTTGCCACTTTTGAACAGTATGGAAACTCTCATGCTAAATCAGATGCTTCTCAAGATGCTGCCACTCTTTTTAGAGTCTCAGTCTTGTCAGTGGAAGATAAGAAATTTGATATCCAAAAGATTGCTGCTGGAGAGTTGAAACGTGACATGTTGGATGAAGAATCTGTCTACTTGCTAGAAACAAAGAATGAAATTTACTTGTGGTTTGGTAAAAAGTCAAAATTTGTAGATCGAAAGTGTGCAGAAACTTTGGCAACCACCATTCAAAATTCTTCTCCTGACATTTTAGAAATTCACAGTTGTTTCTCTGGAAATGAACCTGTCTTGTTCAGAGAGAGATTTTTACATGGTTTTTATTGGTATGATACTCCCGAGGTCTTTGAAAAGAAGAGAAGAGAATTGGCTGACATTTGTGACGATGAATTTGATTCCAATCAAAATCTTGACATTCGATTGGAAGATTTTAATTATAAGGAAAAACTTGATTATGTGGATGCCGATGATGAAGGTACAGGAACTGTTCAAATTTGGAGAGTTGTGGATGCCAATTATGCAGAACCAGTTCCTGAGGAAGAATTGGGTAATTTCTACTCTGAAGATTGTTATTTGATTTTATACGAATGGAATCGTTCCGATCTCTTCAATGATCAAGAAGAAGAAGAAGAAGAAACAGCCCATGCCCATTCACAAGAGGAGGAAGAAGAAGAAGAATTGCCACCAGAATCTTATCCTGAACCCAAATATAAGGGTTATGAAAGTGATGACTCTGATTCATTGGAAGCAAGAATGAAATTAATTGATGGCATGGGTGTCAAAGTCACAGAAGTCACTGAAGCACCTGAAGAAAAGCCAAAGAAAAAGTATGAAATTAAGAAACCTCAAGAAAAGGAACAAGAAGAAGAGCAAGAAGAACCACAACTTATTGTGAAACCACTCAACATCAAAAAGAAGAAGATTTTCTACTTACCAAGAAGAATTCTCTACTGTTGGGAAGGTGCTGACTCTCAACAAACCGTCAGTGCTCGTATTCTCAAGAGAAATTTCCAAAATTTTGCATCCGATCCAATCAATCCAGCAAAAATTGTCACACAAAAGGAAGGAAAGGAGAATGATCACTTTATGAAGATTTTTGAACACATTATGGTCATTCATAAAGGTAGCATGACCAATAAGCGTGCTGCTACTTCACTTTATAGAATTTATTGTAAGACTGTGAGAAATTCTAAAGCAGTTCAAGTCGAAAAGAAGAGAAGTAATTTGAACTCGAATGATGTGTTCATCTTGTTGGGTCCAAAAACTGCCTATTTGTGGATTGGTGTCTATTCGAGTGGTAAAAAGAAGGAAATTGCTTTCAAACTTGCTCAATCTCTCATTGGAAACAGAGAAGTCTCTGCCGTTGATGAAGGATTCGAACCAGAAGAATTCTGGGATCTCTTCACTCAAACCGATAATCAAGTCTCTCCCTATGTGACTGAAAAATTGAATTATGCTCAAGGTGTCGTATTCGAATGTACCATCATTAATGACAACACATTCCGAGTGATGAATGTGGGTGAAATTGGACAACAATTCCTTCAACAAGATTTGAACAATTCACATCAAATTCTCATTGTCGATTACACAGAGGTGATATTTGTTTGGTATCCTTCCACTCCTTCAAGTGCTCAAAGAGAATTGGCACTCAAAGCAGTTGCTTACATTCTCAAAGAGGATTTATCTGAAGAAATTGAAGAGGATGAAAAGATGAAACAGAATCATGATGAATCACAAGAGGATGAAGAGGAACATGATTTCACAATTAATAACAAGACCAAACAATTTTTAAACAAATTCGAAGGAGAAGATACAAATCCAGAAATTCCACGTTTTCCAAGATCCATCTCGATTTATGAAGTCGAACGAGGAATGGAACCAGATGAATTCAAAAGTGGTTTCCCAGTGTGGAGAGAAGAGAAACACTATGTCGATCAATTTGAAGATTCTCTTAAAAAAGAAAGAGAAAGTGAAAGCAAATTAATTGCAAAATCTTTACCATTCCTTCAATTGATTAGAGAAAAGTATCCTTTCCTCATTACCAATGATGAATTTGTTAATGTACACAACATGGTTCATATTATCAAATTGGCTCGATTGTGTAAAAACAATTACAACATGTTAATTGGAAATCTTGAACAATTAGAAGAAGAGTATAAGGATGTGATTTACTTTGGTGAACATTTTGAGGCATTTGCAAGTGATTTATTCAAGTTTATGGTGACCAATAAGATTCAATAATGGTTGTCAGTCGAACCTTGAAGAAGTATTATTGAAATTTGATTTCGTCATTTTGATAAATCTTTTTTTGAATCCGTTCTAAGGGTGCACAACCATGCTCTCTTCTACAGTCATCAGACTAAGTTTTCAAAAGCGTGTCGATAGGTTCCCACGACGTCTGCAGCTCACGTTTTTACACATTTTCCATATCGAGAATTCTTCAATGCTTGACGTCTGGCAGCAGCAGAAGCTTCTGTTCGATCTCTTTTCTTCTCATCAAACAAGAAAAATGATCCGACGATCCTCCTCAAGTCATCTTCCTCATGACTCCCCTTTGAGTGTCGTCAGGTTGTTCCGCACAGGTTTGAAAAACCTACTCAATGTTCATCACGATCATCACCACCAATATTACTACCTGTATTCATCATCCCTAAATCTAAAGCAAAATTCCAAAATGATGATCGTAACCGATTTTTCAAACCAAAATCATCATCAAAGAAATGTTTCTTTTATTAGTCCCGGAATGTTAGATGAATATGGAGAGGAAGAAAAAGATCGTGCTCCATTGGATGCTCGTGAAATTATATCGAGAATTAAAACTTGTCGTCAATTAGAAGAACACCATGATGGCATCACCTTGTTCAAAGATCCCTTGAATCATCTCATCTATGGAACCACGAATGGTCCTCATAGAAAAAAGTTCCAACATCGATGGAATTCAACATCGATGACACGAATGAAAAGAAGAACTGCTCAACCTTCTGCTTCTTATTAGGGGTTTCATGTTTTGAATTCAACTTTGCTGTTTGCACATGGTATTGAATTTCAGTGCTGATCTTTGTTTTTCAAAAAAGAAATCGTCATTTGAATGACAAACATGTTTGTCGCTGAGCTCGTTCATCATGAAAGGAGGATTGGAATGTATGGCTTGAGTCAATCACACCTGAACATTCGATTCTTTTTGTAAAATTGTTTCACTCACTTTAATAATATTAAAATCCCAGTGGGCAGTCAAAGGCCCTCTCTTATCTGCCAATTTTCACATTTCAAAAGTGGAAAGTATGGACAAGTCAAGAAGAGGATTAATGTTAAAGGAAGAGATTGTTTTTGAAATAACATGTGATGACTCAGATGTTGTGTTCGTGTTTTTGATGCTAAGAACACGATCGAATGAAAGAAGAAAACAATTTTCAGCATGCTTTAGAAACTCGGTGACTTTATAACTTGCTTGTTGGCGAGTGATTATAGTCGCATTTAATAACACATTTTTGTAGAGAGTTGAAAGGTTAAACTCTAGGCGAAAGAAGGCACTGAATTGTCAAGATCACCCACTGCTTTTTCAGGAAAGTGATTTGACAGGAAAGCAGGCACCACGAACAGTTCGAATTCGTTTGGCTTTTAAAAAATTATTTTTATCATTGAATTCAATCTCATCATTATTTTTTAAAACAACTGCAATTCATCATTATCATCAATTCCGAATATCAATTCCTAAATTTTCATAAAGACTTCTAGTATGAACTCTCATAACAATGAAGAAGAAAATTAGACAATTCTTCCGAGCATTGGGTGATGAAGATTACGAAGATTATGATGAGATAGAGGAAGAGAAAATTGAATTAGCAACAAAAGCCTCTCCGATGGTTACCAACAACTCATCCGAAAGTAACAACTCCAGTACTCCCGTACATTTATCTGCATTCAAATTCTTTATACGAGATTTGCCAAGACTTGTTTCTAGGAAAAACAATCACTATCGAGTGAGGAGAAAGAATCAACATATTATTAAGAGTAGTTTATTGGATTTTACTTCAATTTATCATGTTCTCATCAGTTGGTAGGTGTTTCATTGTAGAACTAATAGTTTTAATAATTATTATTATTATTAAAACTATTATTATTATTTTCAGGTCTTGGTGGAAATTATTAATTTTAATCATTGTTGGACATTTGATTTTGCATTTGATATTCGCATTACTGTATTTTGTAGCAGGAAAGGATACGATTGGTGGATTGAATCCTGATTTTGATGAAGGTGACTACACAGCCTATGGATTTTTGCAATGCTTTTTCTTTTCAGGTTTGTTTTCTATTTGAAATTTCAAAACTAGTTCATTATTGTGTGTATAGTTCAAACCATGTTCACAATTGGCTACGGTGGTTTGTATCCAAAGTCAATTTATGCAAACTCGCTAGTGGTAGCTCAATCATTCTTGGGTCTCTTTACCTCGACCATTGTTGTCACCTTGAGTGTTGCTAAATTTTCTAGACCTACCAAACTAAGAAAGAAAATATTTTTCAGCAAGAATGCAGTCATTAATCATGTTGGATACTTTTCAACTCAAGAAATTTATAATGACATTAGCCAGAGAGGACAAGTGACAGTGCCTCTTCAGCCATTTAAGGATACTTTACCAATGTATTTAATATTTAGATTTGTGAACACACGAAAAACACAATTTATTTCTACAAAATTTAGATTATTACTAGTTGAATGGAAAAATGAAGATGAGCGAGTGGAATATGAAAAATCACGAACTCAACATGCAAACGAAGTTTTACAAAAACAAGAAATTCGAATTCGTAGAAACAGAAAAGCAGGACTTGTTCAACAATATATTGAAAACAGCACAGGCAGTCGACCATTGCAAAGCGATGACTACAGTGTGTTGAACATTGCTGAAGACGCACTTTTGTATCAAGGCAGTGACAATGTCAGCGAAACGTCTGCTCTTACTAGTTTTTGGAGAAAGAAATCTCAACGTGTTGGAGTTTATCCTGTGGTTCATGAGCTTTATTTCCAGATTAATAATCAAACAGGAAAATGTATGGACATTGACTTGTCGGCACCATTACTTTGCCTTCCTTTCACTGTTGTTCATCCTATCACTAGCGACTCACCCTTGTATCCATTACTGACAAGTTCCGAGTTCAACAAAACCAGTCGAAACACTGAAATCGTTGCTTGCTTTGAAGCCGTTGATGAGGCAACATCTGCCAACGTTCAAGCACGATATTCCTATACTATGAATGATATTCTTTTGGATCATGAATTTACTTCATGCGTTTTTAGAAACGACAAAGATGAACTAGAGATTGATTATGATGCACTCTCTTCTGTTAGGCCAATAAAACTGTAACAATTCGTTTCAACGAGATTTTTATTTCTTTGTGAATGTCAAACGTCTTCCTTTAGCATTTCTCTTCATTTTCAAACCCTTCTCTATTTCCTCAATTCCCCGTTCTGTGATTTTTGTTTGAGACAAATCAAGCATCTTCAAGGCAAGCAAGTATGGGCTATTGGCAATGAATGAAGCGCCTACATCATCAATATAGTTACAACTCAAATCTAAACTGGTTAAGCGATTCATAAATTTGCTATTAGACAAACATTTCACACCATTGTTGGTGATTGAATTGCTGTTTAGATCGAGATTTTGTAAATTTTTCATGTTCTCGCTTTCCACAATCAGCTTGACTCCTTCATCTTCAAAGAAATTGCCATACAAGTGTAAATCTGTTAAATTGCTCATCACTTGACTATCCGCTAAATATTGTGCACTTTCCACAGTCAAATAATTATCACTCAGGTAAAGCGTCCTCAAATGGTTTAAATGTGAACATGAGCACAACAATCGAACACCCTCATCCGATACACGAGACTCGCTCAAACATAATTTTCTCAAATTTTTCAAATTCCGACATGTCGCAATCACCTCCACACCTTCATCACAAAAATACATACAGGAGCCTGCTTTGAGCCATTCCGTGTTAATAACCAATGATTCCAAACTTGTGAGAAGGGGACTTGATAATATTTTCCGTAATCTTTCATTTCCAACAGTTGTAGAAAAACACAAATGCAACCCCACTGTGTTGGAAACTTCAAACCATCGCTTTGAAACTATCATGCATGAACAAAAGATAAATTTGGAGTCGTCAATAAATTGCAAGATGTAATGGAGTACTTCATCTGGAAGGTTTTCAAGTGGCGGCATTTTTTGTAAAGTATTGATTCAAATAATAATTGATCAGGTGCTTGATGTAGGTTGTCTGTGATCATCAACAAAACGCATCCAATCATTCACAGAGTGACAGCAACATTCAAGAGTTCATGTCATTGTCTTAATGAAAATATCAGAAAGTACAATGATGCCCTGATTTCCTTCCGCAGTAGCGTGAAAACATAATGTCCAAAAGCAAGGGAATGATTTTTGAATAAGAGGGGATGCATGGTATAATGGTACGTTATAAATGTATGATCTGTATCTAGATGCAGAAATTCGGACATGTGAACAACCTTGGTTGGAAAACTCAAGCGTGCTCAAGTCATGCACTGTTTTAAAATCGTCACAATACAAACATTTTCCAAATTGTGTGTACATGATGACAGTGGAATTTGCACAAAACTCAATGGAAATTAATTCGTCTTCTGTCCCTAAAAGTGTTGCAAAATCAATCCATCTGTTATTTCGATACGAAAAAAATCGCCCATTCCTTAACTTGAAAATAACATTAGAGTAATATCCAGGTATAACATATTCTACATTTGAAACATCATTATTAAATTGAGACTCCATATCTGAAATCGTGTAAACTTGTCCATTTTCACAGAGCATTGAAGTAAAAGTACTCAGGAAAAAACTAAAAAGTTTTACAGGTGAGAATACACAATCTTGTATAATCACTCGATACCAACTATGCAAATCATCAACGGGCATAGCAGAGCTCTTATAAACTTCTCCATTCGCCGTTAACACTACAGAAGATGAGCCACATGCTGCCACAGAAATAATTTGTTTCTTGCCTCCAAAACAGTTCTCCTGATCTACTTCCATTGGCACACAAGCATCATCCAAGGAATTGTTGTTGCTCGTAATGTATTTCATTTGAAATTTTCCGTTCACAAATATTCTACTATCTTCGCTTAAGAAAATAGAATGATTAACTCCACAAGCTCCATCAATAATTTTCGTTTTTGAAATGGGTCCTACTGCTTGGATCATTCCTCTATGTATGATGCGATTTCCAGAACCATCTTCTCCCTGTTTTTGTCTGCACAAATCGATAGGTTCTTCTTTGAATAATAAAGGCCCACAAAATCCACAACAAAGCTCCCCAAAATAATTGCATCCAAATGATAACACAAGCCCATCCATGGTTAGTATATTAGAATGAGATTTTCCAGAAATTATTTTTCTAATATTGATAAAAGGCTTGATTTCCACTTTCCGAATCGTGGAATCATCAATCTCTTCTGGCATTAGTGGTACAACACTATCTGAATGATCGGGTTGAAATTCTCCTTCTCTAAAAATTCGAGATCCCAGAGGTAAATGTTCATATGAGAGTTGTTGTTTTTTTGGGATCCGAACCACAAAAACCACCCCAGATTCCTCTTTTGGCATTTTTTTTATTGAAATAATAAACACTCATCGATGAATATGTTGAAAGTATCATTGAACAAGTAAAATTTCCTCTATATAGGAAGGGCCATTATTTTTCATATGAACTTGCTTTACAATGCTTATTTGAAAAGATCAATAAGCAAAAAAAATGAAATTCATCGCTTTCATGGGAGCTCGTCAGGTCGGAAAGACTCGTTTGATTATTATTAATAACAAAAAGAATTGATAAAACACAACTTTAGAAAGACTATTTGTTGTTGAATTTTATTAGAAAAGCACCGTTGTTGATTGATTTTCAAAGATGAACGATATGCCTTGCTTGCTGATGTATTTATTTTATGGTTAGTTTCATGAAAATTGTTTCTGTTTGTAAAATATTGACATTGAGAATATCTTTGCGTTGGATAATATTCAATCATTGAACTGGAAAATATTTGGATTCCTGCAATTATAAAAGTGAGAGAAGAGATAGATATTGTATGTTTACTTGACAAATGATATTCTTTTAAATACTATAATCATTGCCATGATGACCCCTAGAAAATTGTTCTTGTTGGTACTAAGGCAGACTTGTTGCTCCACAATTCAATACCTAAAAGCAATATTATTCAAAAAAAAGTAATTATGAATTTTGTGGAAAAATACAAGACCTACATTCAAGGTACTTATTTAACAAGTTCAAAAACAGAATCCAATGTTAAAGATGCCATTGAACATACATTTTGTTTGAGAGGTTATACATTTCAAAATTACTCGAAATGGTTCAAATCGATTTGTTTCAAGGACTCTTAGAGAGTTCTGAAGATGCAACCAATAGTAGTATAGTGGAAATGCAACAAATTCAACGAAGAAAGAAAGTATGTGAATCGTTTTTAACCTATCTCTATATGGGTCATGCAAAATTGAGTAGTGATATTGCATCGGACATGATGGCTCTTTCTCATCAATATGGATTTCAATGTCTCTTCTCGCAATGTGAAGTGTTTATTTGTGAAATGATCGATGCATTATTTGAGGAGAAAGGCCATCAGAATGAATTAACACCATCAACATTGCATGACAACAGCAGCATTGCCTCAATCTCTAAACCACAACTTGTGGATGAATAGAACTTGTTGACTTTGCTTCGAGTGGCCAAACTATACAAGGCCAAACAACTGAAACAATGTTGTTTGTATTATATTGCATTCAATTGTGAAGTGTATTCGAAATTACTGTATTCCATAAGAAGTGAGAGTTTCGACAAGGACGAAAAAGAAGCACCAAGAAAAACGATTCAAAAATATCGATGTCCTTCTGCGAACGATTTGCGAAAAAGGCAGAATATGATCTCAACATGAAGGAATACGAGAGAGGACAAAATCATCGTGTGAAATTCAATAAAGAGCTCAAGAATGACAGGTGATGGGTTTTCACACAATATCATACCCCAACAACCAGCGGACATGAATCATCTCCATCGAATAGAGTCATCATCATATGTCTTTCATATATTTAACCCGAGGGTTCACCTACATTCTTCACTCCCCCTCTCTTCTGGAGAAGACCAAATGTACACGATATAGTTCGCAAACAGTACTACTACTATTGTGATATGAAACTATAATAATTCACAGGATACTTCTGTATTATATATTGTTGTATACAACACACACTTAATGTTTGGATGGCATCAAAAAGTTAACAAACAATGAATAGTTAAGATTACCAGAGTCATCAGTCTCTGCATACTTGAAAATTTCATCAGCTTGTTCACTTGTCAAGTTATCACTTCCGGTACCCAAATTCACCAAAGCATAACGAATTTCAGTCAATGGAGCAAATCCAGTTCCATCTCGATCGAAAATTTTGAAACATTCCTTCACTCTTTGTTCATTATCAGCAACAAATGTTTTAGATTCCAAGATTGAAGTCAATTGAGAGAATGTGAAATATCCCAACTTGGATGGATCAATTTCTTGGGCACATTTTTCAACATCCTTGTTGGATGGGTTCTTTCCACAAACTCTAATCAATTTACCAAGTTCCTCGATTGGGATCTTTCCGTCACTATCCTTGTCGAACAATCTGAAAGCATCTTCAGCATCAGAAAGTTGCTCTTGTGTGAGTTTTGGCATTTTGTGGTGGTGATGAGGTGGTGAAGGTGGATGTTGATTATTTTTTTATAAAAATTTTCTTGATGAGTGATAGATGACAGGAAAAGAAGGTCGTCCAAAGCTGACTAACACTCGTCAGCTTCAAGTCGTCAACCTGAGACCTTCTTCTGCTCAATTCGGTAACTAGAAAATGGATAACAATGTGTTCTTTGAAACATCATAGTCATCATTCAGGGTGTGTGTGGAGCCTCAAACCTCAACTCCACGTCAAAACTTGTGGTTAATTTGACAACATCTCCAGTCTTGTGTGTCTCTGTGACTGTCTTTTTAAGAACGCCTTTCCAATGAATAATAGATGAATCATCCTTAGAGAAAAGATCCACTTGTTCATTATCTGCTGAGGATGCATTTTCAAATTGGTATTGAGACTCAATCACACATGATGACACTGTTGAGGCATTTTCTTCTTTTCCTTCTTTGATGAGACCCTCAATGGTTTGCTTCATTTCTTCATTAGTAATGGACTGCATGACTTCTTCAAGAACAACGTTGGGTGAATGACCAAAACTGGCGGCATCCATTCCCTCAATGTGAGCATATCCATAAAGGTAGGCTTTGTCTTCTCCAATGATTCCTGAGAGAACAATCTGTTGAAACCACAAAATTACATTTCCCCTATTATTATAACATGTTATGGATGTTAATACATCAAAAAGTTTAAAGTTAGACCTTACCATTGATGTAGCTCTAACAACTGATTATTGTCTAATGTAATGACTTCTGTGTCGTTGACCAGAGTATCTTCTTTGTTGTCATTTACCCAGCATATCATTGAGGTCATTTTCATATGGCCGGAGATAGGTGTCAATTTCTTCATAGGATCACTTAGGATTGGTTCATTGGGGACTGGATACGCTTTCAAAATATTATAGATTGCTGAATAATCAATTTGCTGATCAGTGTTGGCTTGTGAGTTTAATAGCTCCAGTACTTCTGGAGCTTTGTAGACGTTCACAATTAAGTCACCAAGTAAGGACATTTCAGCATATTTTCCCACATGAGGAGCGCAACTGAATCCTATTACGATGTCATCAAGAGGTACTTGTAAGGGTTTTTTGAATTGTCTATACTGAACCAATTGCTGTTTGATATAGTTAAAATGTACATCAAAAGATTCTTCCATTTTGTCAATATCATGCAATAAAGTTGCTAATTGCACTAGCATGGCATTCTTTTGTGGAACTTCTACTTCTGTAAAGGTTCCAGCATTTAAAAAATCCCAAGCTTTTAAAAGTAAGAAATCTCTGTCTTTTTCCATATTTAACAAGTCAATACATTCAATGATAAAAGAGGCAACAAAATAGGTGGATTTGTGATATCGAATATCTGTGGGACAATCCATTAATTCCAACAACACATTTTCATAATGTTGACATAAAGACGGACTCTCTAAAATCTGATTTTTTTGAGTAAAAAACTTATGCATGTCGTTTTCATAATCAAACACATTCTTCTTGTTCACAATAGTCATAGAAAATGTCCGTAAATATTTTCCATAAATCATGTCCAAATTGCAATTAAAATTTTTTATCATGATCAATGATTGAGCAGAATATTCATTAATTCTGCAACGTGTTTCTTTAACTTCTGCCGAACCTAACAGGTTTTTAAAGTAATTTCTTTGGATCGGAGAAGGATACAGCCTCGACCGCAAACCAAGTGATTTCATCACTTTTTTCATTTTTTTTCAATTTTTTATTAACAATTCCGTAATTGTTAAAGAACGATATGATCCCGACGATATCATTTCGTAATAAATTGTTTGAACCAGATGGATGAATGAATCAGAGCCAACGTTCCAAAAACAATTCTTGAATAATTCAAGGCATTTGATTTGATAGTAGAAATGATTCCGTCTTCTGTGGATGAAATTATTTCTCTTTCAAAAGTAACGGATTTTGGTAACCAATGACGTGTGGCCTTGTAATGTGCTTTTTCATGTTCATTCACCTCGAATTGATGGACCAAAACTGAAAATAATTCATCATTGGTTTTAGAGGAGAGGTCGATGGTGTTGGATGTTAAGGTGAATTTGATAATTCTTCGATCAGAGAGTCGAGAAATTGATTTTGAATATGTGATGGTTTCGGAATTGTTATTATCAGTAGGAGGAGTATTGTTGTTGCTTGTTAGTGGAACAGTTTTGGCCTCAAAGCTTGTTGCTTTCGGAATGTGGTATTCCTTTTCAATCAAAAAGTATTGTGAAAGTAAATAGAGTGAAATGAAGAGTGCTGGTCTGGCTGTGGATGGTGAAGATGGAATAATGATGGAAGGAATGAACGATCTTACCGCTTTGAATGGAGCGAGTAGTAATGCACTAGTGGAGGATGATGAAGTTGCCGATGGGCTCTTGGATGAAAAGGTGGAGCGATCGGTAATGTCTTCGAAGGTTGACATTTTGTTGATTCTAAAAACTCAACTCTTTCGAAAATTGATTGAATTTTGGAGCTCATCGATTTGTTTAGGATATTAATTTAATGCATTCATTTGGTTGGTTAGTAGTCATCTCCTCTGCTAATTACTTCTTTACGTGTTGGTTTGAGAACAATGGTATGTTCGTATTGAGATGTGTAAGAGCCCTTGACGTCACACAACGGTGGATATTCATTAACCACACCAGCATTCACTAAACTCTTAAGAGCTACCATGTACTTTTCTTCTCCGAGTCTATCAAGATATCTACGACAGAAAGCAAGCGTGCTAAAGTTGTCATCAATTACTTTGAGCAATTCGCGAGCCTTTTGTGTCTTTAAATCTGTTGGATTGACCTTTTTGTGGAAATCTTTCATGTAATGAGAACAAACTCCCTCATGGTCCACAAATCCTCTACCGGTGGAACCGAAAGTTTCGATAGCAAAGAATTCGTTTTCTTCCATCTTGGTTTGGTCATTATTCTTCACAATTGGTACAGTTTTACCGGCATGAATTCTGTATCTGTCAATTGAGTGACCGTTCAAATTACGAACACACTTAACAGGATATGTCTTTCCATTCAATTCCACTTCATAGCTTTCCATTACTTCTTGAATTGCAGCTCCAATGTCTGACATTCTCACATCAATACCAGCTGTTTTAATACCAGTATTTGTAGCCTCCTTGGCAGCCATTGCTAATGGCTTGAATTTGTCATCCCAATACATTGTGAAAGCACAGTCAATAATACGGCCATTAATGTGCAATCCCAAATCAAATTTGATAATATCATCGGCTGTTATAACTGTTTCATCTCCTGCATTTGGTGTGTAGTGCGCAGCACAATTATTCATGGAACAACCAAGAGGGAAAGCCAAACCAGCATTCAATTTGTTATCTTCAATCAACTCTCTTGCCTTGTTTTCTAATGCTTCGGCAGCATCAATGACTTTCATACCAGGCTTAACATAACCTTGGAACCATTTTCTTGCTGTTCTGTGTACTTCGGCGGCTTGTCTTGCTTCTTGATAGATTTTATCAAATAATTCTTCTTTTTGTTGTTCCTCCTTTGATGACGCTCTAAATCTATTAAAATCTTGAGTATATTCCATATTTTCTCCTTCTGGGTATTTGTTGTCTTTGAATAAATATCGAATTGGAACGGTTGGTTCGGGTTGAGTTTGTTGGTTAGGATAAGTCTTTGGTTGTTGTGGTGCGGATGATGATGTTGTTGATGGATTTTGTTGTACCTTCTTCTTTTCTTCCGTCTTCTTCTTTTCAACAGCCTTCTCATTTTGCTTTTGCATTTCCATCAGGAAGGCCATATCATCGTCTTGTTTTGCGGACTTTTTTGAAGATGGTTGTGAGGATTTCTTGGTCATTTTTTTTTCTTTCGAAAACACTGAGAATCCTTTTTGTGGATCCATGCAAAGTTCGTTTATTCTTCATCATCACCAGTGCCATCATAAGTGATGCTTGTCACAAATGGATTGAAAATACGGATAAACTCATCAGTATTGAATAAGATTTTCCAATCTTCTGTACCTCCACCAATCCAAAATTGTTTGTGGTCATCGACAATTTTCTTATCTAAAACAATCGGAATGTTCACATGCTCTTTGGATGGGAGAGGGACTGGAGAAACACCATTGTAATCGTAACCAGTTAATTCAAAAGCCTTATTAGCATCAGTTAAGCTGAAAACAAATTGCTTTTTTCCTAACTTTCCTTGATTTAATTCTCTAACAAATTTTGTCAGCTTTTTCGAATTGAATTTTGCCGAATATTGAACAATAACACAATAATATTTAGAATTGTTCCTATCGGAGCAATCAGTCTTCACACATTTTGAATTTTCCAAAATTAAACTCTTACAAAGTTGATGAATCGAGTCTGTCTGAAGAATGTCTCTTCTCTCCTCTAAACTTCGGGAATAATAATCTGTCGGTACTTGAGAAAATTTGGCAAATTTAAATCCAAGCTTTTTCACTTGACTCTTCAACACTTTGATGAGCTCCGTATCATTAGGTTCTTCCTTTTCAAAATTGCTCTCATGGACAATAGCACAGCTAGCCGGAGTTTGCTCTTGCTTTTGTTGTTGCTCTTCATCAACAATTTCATGACTGGAGGGAGCAACAACATCTTTTGTACTGCTCTCGGAATCTGAGCTTTCTGTTCTCCCAACAGATTTAATTTCTCTTTTTACATCATCCAAGCTTTTTTCAATGTTTTGGAAACGAAGAATGAGTTGCTCCAGCCTTTGATTATCTTGCATTTTTTTGCTCCCAAGATCTGATTCTGCTGGAACTCTCTTGATGGATAATGCTGGGAAGATATCTTCAAATGGAGTTGGTGAGCAAAAATCACATCCTATCTAAGGCTCTTTCTTCATCCCCTCTTTATGGATTTCTCCAATAATGTAATAAAGAATGTCGAGAAATTATTAAACGTACATTATCCATGAGGAGTTAAGGAATCCCATCACTGGAATTAATGCAAGTGGCTTCCCAACTTACGCTTCCTTAGAAACAAGTTTACCGTGAGACATCTCACTGTTGTGAGGTGAGCCGAGTTGTGATGATGGGTTTTATTTCAGAGTTGGGTGGTAGAGGGGAAATCTTCTTCAGCTCGTCCATTGTTGTAAATATATTAATTGGTTGAGCAAATTATTTAATTTTGCCAACTTGCACCGATCAACAATGAACAAGCTGAAGAAGATCTCCTCTTCTTTTAAGACATATATGTCTTTTCACCTCAACAGAAGAAGAAATTGGAGGTGGACCTAGGTTCGTTGTTGTATTGTTTATTGTAACTGCCATAATTTAAAGCTTTTAGTACAGAGTTTTTGTATCAAGAGAGTTGAGCCATTGGAGCTTGTCGTCCAATCATTTAGACTCCTCCTCAACTATTGGATAATTCATGTATTTACAAGGAATGAAATGGTGAGATTGTTTGCATCTTAAATTTAACTCCATTCGAACTATTGTTTGAGGCTCCCTTTGAAGAAGAGGATGAGATTAAAGAATTTGTTTTGCTTTTAGAAGAAGGAGAAGCCTTTGATTCATCTGGACGGGCCGTAGAAGAAGTAGTATTGAGAAGATGGAAGGTCCAAGAAGGAAAGGTAAATTGCATCGATTCAGGTTTTGGAGGATTCATGGAACTTTTGTGGCCTTTAGGAGCTTGTTTACTCGAGTAGTTTGTGTTAATGAATGTAGTTTTGGAGGTTCGGTTGTTGTTGTTGTTGTTTTGATGAACAAGAACTCTTCCTCTTGAGGAGGAGGAGGAGGAGGAGGAACGTTTTGTAATTTTCTTGGAAGCCTCCAGGATGGATTGTTTCTTCTTCTTCTTCATCATCATCGTTACAGAAGAACTTGTTCTTTTAGAATGATCCGTCTTGGACTCATCGATAAATAATGGAGGAGATTGTATGGCACAGAATTGGGAGTTGGATTGTGGTGTTGTTGTTGTTGGGGAGCAGGAGGAGTTCATCGTCGTGTGAGGTGGCGTTGTCAAGGTCACCGTGGCGTTGGTTGTAGCAGTGGTGACATGGTCCATGTTCATGGTGGCTGTCACAACACCCAATGGAGAGGAGTGCAGATTGATCGTTTCGTTCTGTGGTTGCAATTGGTGCACACAGAACATGGATTCTTCATCATCACAAGTGGTGGTCCTCATCATCATCATGACATTGTCCAATACAATGGTATTGTTTCTCAGGGATGTTGTTGTGGTGGTGGTGGTGAATGAATTTTGAACGTTTTGGATGTAATCTGCAACGTTCATGGTTGAGGAAGAAGAAGAAGGACAACTCTTCAAGAGTAAATAACAAGTTATGAAATCGTTCACATCCAGATTCAACATGAGTGATCCTCCTTCACGAGAACAAGCACTGGAATGATGGCAAGTCGAGTTGTCACTTGCCACCGAGAAGCTACTTGTCTCTTGTTTCATGTTATTGCTTGGAGCGTTCTCATTCATCCATAAGGAACATGTATTGGAGGGATCATGATCTTGGAGAGGAGGAGCGGTGGTTGTCATGAGAAGGGAATGATCATCACATGAAGAGAAGAAGCAGGAATCAAGTGGATGATGACACCCAAGAAGAGAGTGGTCATTCTCATGGAAAGTGACGAGTTGTTGTATCAAAGAGGATGGAGAGGAGGTCATTATGTCAGGCAGCAATTTAAGAAGATGAAACTCCAATATTAGAAAGTGTACAAGCACAAGATTTTGTTTTTTATGTTGTTTCAAAATGACGGATTTCAATCTCACTCGTTAGATACGTTGTTTGTGTGCAAAAATAGGAACGGTTCCTTCTTTTCGAGAAGTAGATTCTCTCGGTTTGTGGACTTATTTCGAAAAAGACCAAACAATCATGAGCGAAAAAGAACCTTTCATTTACAAATTAGTCAAATTCTGACATGATGAGATGTTGTTGTTCAACATAGAGATATATAAATGATGGAGACAAAAGCTGTCGAAAAAATCTCTTGTTAATTTCAGTGGTGCCCGTCATAGTTTGTATGACAAGAGAGTAGCATGAAATTGATAGAAAGAGAAAACATGTCGTTAGGATGCTGTCACGAATCAAAGCGTCACCAGAACTTTCACATCGCTCACACTTTTCAGCGGACAACCGTAATACGAGAGATGAAGAGATTATTAGTCATCCATAATTGTCGTTCTTGAAGACATACCAGATGTGGAATCTCTTTCACGTAAAAGTGCATTTGCTTGTTTATTGATTCGTTGCGTTGGTTCATCATGCACTAACGCTAATTCGTGATGACATTCATAATAATCTCCACTTCACTTTCTCTTTGGAATGACCTTCTTCCAATACTTTTAGTTCCTTGCAGAGAGTCCACAAGGTAAGATTTCACTCTGACCACCACCACTGCGTGTACCGCTGGACAATGATCTGAATGGAATGATGAAACAGCACTAGTGGAGAGTATGAGTGTTCTCCAACAACGAAGTTCTATAAAATCTGCAAAGTCATCATTGCAATACCATGGTGATTGTGAACGAGATACAGTTCGATCCTGGTCAAGATCATATTTGGGTCGACGATTGGTCATGATTTAAAAGAACAGTAAGCTCTATCGATTTGGATGTTCAAGTACTTCAAAGAAGAAGATTCTGGTGTCGATGAAGTGGATTAGAATGAGAAGTGTCTTCTCTTTCAAAGAAGTATTGGGATGGAACTGGCAATTCTGGTGGTTGTTGTGAGAAAACGGAGAAGACTCATCTGCCTATTGTTGTTGGTTGTCTGTAAATATCTATCTGCGACTCACAACAAATTAACAGGCTGGACCGGGCGTCAAATTTTTGACACACAGGAGAAAAAACCATTGTTTCATCCTATAATTTATTGTGGTCACCTATAGTGGTCTTGTTCTGAATGTCTTGGTCTCTGTTTGGCAAAATCTGATCTCATGTGTGGATGCCGAGTGGAGAATATATCTGCTGGGACATTCATCATCCACTTCAAAAGAGGTGGTCGTTTCTGAAATCTTCGAACCTCATAGACTCTTCATACAAAGAACAACAAGTATTGGAAGAAGGTCAAAGAGAAATAAAAGTGTAGAGGAAATAATTTTGAATTTCATAATGTATGGTTATGAACATTCCAATAATTAAGCATGAACTCGGTGATAAAGAGATTTTACATCTCTGCTTTCCATTTATGAATAACAATTGATTATGGATGATTAATCTCCTAATCTCTCATACATTTCGGTTGTCTGCTGATTAGTGTTTTTTGTTCTGACAGGGATAAAATCACCAGTCACACATTGATTCCGACAGTCAGACTTTATTGACAGCTTCTCATTTTCATCCAAGTATGGCTTTCGATTGAAAATGGTAAGTACAACTTCTTCTAGAAGTTATGTTATCTCCATTCGAGTGATATAATCCCTTTATATCAAATTCATGTCCTCATGTCATACAAAACCAATTTAAACGCCACTGAAATTAACAAGAGATGATCAAAGACAGCTTCCTTTCTCTCGATCGTTAGTATCTCTGTGCACTGAACAACAACAACTCGTCATCTCCAAATTTCTTTAATTTGTAAGTGAAAAGTTTGTTTTCGCTCATGATTTATTAGTGATTTGTCAGAGTTTTCAAACAAAGAATCAAGTTCTGTAAAAGAAGGGACTGTTCCTATTTTTGCATGCAACGAAACGTGTCCAATCGCAATCGAGATTAATATCCGGTCATTGTCAGGATTCAAACAAAAAACAAAAATCTCACCACTTGTGTGTGTTTGGTAACCTTCCTATTGGATATTACAATCATTACAATCGCGAGGAGTTTCATCATCTCTTAATTGCTGCTAAACATGTTTCCTGCCTCCTCTCAATCGTTGTCATCTTCCTGTGACCATTCTCTGACAACCACCACCACCACCACCACTGCTAATCTCAATCACCAAGATCGCTTCTCCACATCTCCATTATGGTATGGGAACACTCCAAGCCATCACATGTTTGGGTATTTGTCACTGAGTGATCATGCTACTAGCACCAGCATGTGTCGTCATCATTCTTCCAATGCTTGTACTTCTTCTTCTCATGAGGGAAGAACACTCATGTTGAATTTGGATGTGAATGATTTCATGACATGCTATTTATTCATGAAGAGTCATACATCAGCCACTACTACTACAACTCATTTCACGTGTTCCTCAACCTCAAGGAACGTTCCAGAATTCATCCAAAATGTTCAAAATTCAACAACCACCAACACCATGGAATGGGGAGATGTCATGATGATGAGTAATTCCGCATGTGATGAAGAAGAATCCTTCTTCTTCTTTCACCATTCGCAACCACCACAAAAGGAAACGATCATCAGTCCTCTTCAGTCCTCCTCTTCTCCATTAATGGGTGTTACAGTTAGCACCAACACCACAATGAAGAATGTGGAGGATTTCATCAACACCGCCACCACTACCACCAACTGGACAACACCTCATGAGGTGGCCGAGACAATGACACACTCCTCCTCCTGCTCCCCAACAACAACAACAACAACAACCCTATCAATCACACCACCACCAACATCCTCTCAATTCAGTAACAAATCTTCTTCTCTCTCATTGATTTTCGAAGAGTCCAAGACGGATAGTCCATCCTTAAAGATGAAAAAGAAGAAGAAAAAACGATCCATTAATCCCATCGATGCTTCGTTGAAGAAAATTTCAAAACCCTCAAAAGTCACTTTTCAAACAAACAAGAAAAACTCAAAGACTCCGTTGATATTCATTAATGTCAACAACTCGAAACAACATCAACAACCCCCATTATTGACAAGCACGACCACCACTCAAGGACTCACAGAATTACCAACAACAAATCCTCCAAAACCTGAATCGATGCAATTTACATTTCCCTCATGGACCTTCCATCTTCTCAATACAAGTCCAGAAGAGGAATCTAATTCTTCTAAAAGCAAAACCAATTCTTTAATCTCATCCTCTCCCTCTAAGGAAACCTCTAAACAAACTTCAAATGGAGTGAAATTTAAGGTGGAAACAATATCTCCATTTCATTCCTTGTAACGATTGGGACACGTTCAATAGTTGAGGAGTCTAATTGGAAATGTCTGCAATCCCAATTGCTCAACTCTTGTAGCAACGACAATAAAATGTCTTCATCAATAACCTTTGTTGACATGTTGACCAATTCCATATTTGTTCATAGAAGAGAGTGAAACCAGGTTAATAGAAGCCTAATGAATAAACTCGTTCATGCTATTTTTTAAAAGTTAATCTGCTGTCAGGACATCATGTTCTCTCCAGTTAAAGGTGTAATGGCAGGATTGAGGTATTTGATTGGTTGAGGATTGGAAGTTGTGAAAACCAAGTTGTTCAAAGACCTCTTCAGATGATTCATTTATCAGATCAGCAAAGGATGGAAGACCCTCTTGACCCTAATGATGAAAAAAATCAAATTAATTAATCCATAATCTCGAGTTTGAAGAAGAATCCAATGACGAGGATGACGACTTCTCCAAAGAAGATTGAACTCATTTATTGAGCGATTTGGACATCATTGGTGTTGCATGACTGATCGACAATTTCAGACATGACTGATTGCAAATCATTCCAAGAGACAGTCATGGCACGAGATGGATCATAGTTCATTCCTTGAATTTGTCTAGCACCAATATAGTTAGACATGGCATTACCAACAGCCATCGCAACAACCTTCCAAGAAACTCTATTATTTCCATTGAATGGGTTATCTGGATCATTAGGAACAACTCCTTGAGCATTACGCTTCCAAGAATTAATCTTTTGAGCAATTGGAACTGCGTCAGCACATGGCAAGCAATAGGAAAAGTATGTCCAATCACAGAATGAGCATGTCTTACCAGAGAAAAAATAACTGCTGTCTGAATATTGATACTTGCACATGTTTTGATAAGCTTCTTGTTTTTGGGAGGTAGTGAGAGCTGGATTGTCGATAATTTGTTGCTGAACGCTGTACTTGTAAACGCTTGGTTTTGTTTTCCTGAATTATTTAAAAATTATTAAAGGATGAAAGAAAGGATTAATTACCAAATAAAGTAATATTCATTAAAACACAGCAAGAAATCATTAACAAAAACACTTACCATTCGCTCATGCATTCACTACAGCTGCAAGGTACATTTGCCATACCGTCTGTCAAAATATAAATAACCTTATCTGCATCAGGACGACCAGCAGCTGCAATATTGAGGGCAACTCTCAAACCAGGAATGGTTGCAGTAGCACCAGCGTCATAAGTCATAGTTGTCAAAGTATTATTAATCAAAGTACCATCTGTAGAGAGACCCAAAGTCCAAACTCCATCACTGTGGAATCTTGCAATACCAACTTGCACGGCATTTGCTCCAAGCTTAAATCTACCAGTGATTCTCTTACTGAAATCTCTCATTGACTCAAAGTTGGTAGGACCAATCGAGCCAGAAGAGTCCAACAAGAAGACGAAATCAATTTTGGCTTGACAGTAACAATTCTTAAATTCAACAAAAACGTTGGCAGACATTTGAGTTCCGAATGATGTGACAGCAGTGTATCTGAATTTGTCAGCTTGGCATGTGTTTGGATCACTGTCGAGTTCAATGGCAACTTGTCCATTAACATTAACAACTCGAGGAGTCTTGTGACAGTAAGAAGCGTCTGGACAAGATGTACTCACAAAGGAGAGACCGCTCGTTTGTCCAAATTCGTCATTGTCGTTGGCAAACATTTGAGAAACAAAGATTCTAATAGTTTGGCCTTGATTGATGGAGAATCTATCGTCCTTGGCTGCTGGAGGAGTAGCTTGCAATACAATTTGAACATTGGCAGTGGCAGAGAGTGGGCTTGATGCATCGTTATCAGTTGCTCTAATGACAAGATTGCAAGAACCAACAATGACTGAACTCTTTCTTGTGAAAGTAATAAGTCCAGCAGAAGAAACAGTCACTGATGTAGCAACAGATCCACAATTATTCGAGCCCATCGAATAAGACAAGGAATCTCCATCTGGATCGGAAGCCAAATTGTAGGTGGCAGTATGAACATAATTGTTGCTGACGGAGGTGAAGGAGAAGCTAGTGTCTTGAGCGGTAGGTGCTCTATTAGATACAGTAATGGTCATTCCACAGGTGGTAGTACTTTGTGTATCTGAGACACTATAGCTCACAGCAGATGAAGAACCACTGTTAGACTTGGAGCTTGTGAAAACAGTACCACTGAATAAACCCAATGAAGATGGGAATGTTCCAGTCAAAGAAACACTGAGGGCATCGTTGTTGGCATCAGCAATGAGAGTTCTCAAAGTTGGTAATACATCTGTGGAAGTTCCCTTGTTGACATTAAAGGTAGCAGCAGAGCAAGTTGGGGCAGCATTGGTGAAAGTGACAGTAAATGTCAATGTGTTGACACTTTCGTGGAGACCATCGAATAATTTGAAGGTAATAACCTTAGCTCCCAAAACAGTTGGAGAAGTAGTCAAACGAATACCAGTTGCAGTTGTGGTAACTGTGACATCAGAGGTAGTGGCAACCTTAATCACTGAAATGGTATCACCATCAGCATCAGAGAAAGTACCCATTTGAGCCCATGTGAAATCATAAGTGGTGGTTTGATAATTTCTTGCAACAGTAACAGAAGCACCAGTACCAGTTGGAACATTGTTGGTGACAGTCACAGTCACAGTTCCTTGTGAAGTACCCAAACCATCAGTACAAGTATACTTGTAGCTACCAGTTGCAGAGTAAACATTTCCAGACAATGAATAGGAAGAAGCAGCAAGATTTGATGTGAATGACACAACATTACCTGCAACAGAAGTAGTTCCTCCGACTGCATTTGAAACAACACCATTGAATGTAACAAAGCTACTATCCAAGGAATCATTGTCAGTACAAGCACCAGTGACATCTTTGGTGATTGGTGCAGACCATTTACCAGAAGTTGTCAAAGAAGCAGCATTTGGATTCGTATTCACAACATTGACATTGACAACAGTTTGAGCGTTGGATACAGTTTGAGCTCCATCGCTGAGTGTGTAAGAGACAACATCCAATCCAAGAGAAGCTGGAGCACTATAAGTAATTGTGTTGGTATTTGCAGAGGCAGTACCCTTTTGTGCAGAAGCAGCTGTAATGGTTAAACTATCACCATCCACATCTTGACGAGTTGGAGCATAACTAATGACAGGATCAAGAGCAACATTATTGGATCTCCAATGCAAGTCAATACTATATGGAGTTGGTGATGGCAAAGTATTGGTCACAGTGACAGAAACACTTCCTGGAGTTGAAGCAATGCTATCAGATGCAGAGTAAGAGAAGGAGAAAGTTCCTAAATAGACACTAGCACCAGCTTTAACTGTTGCAGTTGGAGAGGTAGTGAGTTGAACAGTACCAGCACTTGATGGAGAAACTCCTCCAGTTACAGTGGCAGTTAATGGATTGTTTTCAGCATCACTATCAGTGGCTCCATTCACGTTCAAAACGTTGATTGCATAACCGGCCTTATGTTGAGACCATTTGATGGTGACAGACTTTGGAACAGTGGTTGGTGGTGTATTGGTGACCAAAACAGTTGCAATAACGGTGACAGATGCAAGACCATCAGTAATAACTGCCTTGAATTGATCATAGCCAGTGAATGTACCTTGTGGAAGGTATTTAGCATATCTAGAACTTTGTAACGTGACACTTCCCGAAGTACCAGTGGTGATAAGTGATGTGACAGTACCCAATGATTCTCTAGAGGCAGTGTAATCAGGATCAACATAGTTTGCTAACAAGTCAATGGTGACTCCAATGGTGGAGCTCCATGTTGTGGTTGCTTGTGGAACAGTTGCTGAAGGAGCATTGTTGAAAACAGTGACCTCAACAGTGACTTGATAAGTGGAGACACCATCCGAAATAGAAACAGTGAACGTGTCAAATCCAACAGCTCTCTTTGGAGTGTACAAGATAGTTCTTCCAGAAATGGAAGCAGTTCCAGTCATGGTTCCAGGATTGATCGAAACAATGTTTGATGATGGGAAAGTATCCAAAATGTTGAGAACAGCATTAGTTGCATTCCAGTGAATATCATATCTCTTGGTGTAGTCAGATGGTGAAATTGAGTTCACAGAAACCTTAAACATGCATGATGCAGAAGTACCAACACCATCAGTGACCTGATAACTGAGTGTTCTCACACCAACAGTCTTTGCTGGCTTGAAAACAATATTCTTAGAGACACTATCAACATAGAATTGATCACCACCAGTGGCTCCAGAAAGACCAGTTGGAGCAAGGAATGCAACATCGTTAGCATCCGCATCAGAGACATAGCTGGCAATGCTGTATTGTTGACCAATGTCAAAGTTAGCTGGATTGAATGAAGTGATAATGTCAGAACAAGTTGGAGCATTGTTAGTGGTGGTGACTGACACAGTGGCAGTTGATTGATCCAAGCCGTCACTCACTGTATAAGAACAACTGGTTTTACCAATGGATCCAGTAGCGACAGACACTTGAACATTATCCTTTCCAGCATTATTGACCTTAGCACATGATGAAGAGGTTGTGACAGACAATGAAAAGGCATCTCCATCTGCATCAACAGTCTTGGTGAGAACATCAAATAATTGTTTACCTCCTTGATTGGCCAAACTTCTCCAATGAATCGTGAGAGAAGCATCGTCAGCAGTTGGTTTTTCATTGTTAGTGAAAGTGATAGTTACAACAGCAGGAGTGACAGAATTTTCAGCTCCATCATTTGGATAGTAAGCAAACTTATCAGTGACACCATTCTTGATTGGTGTGTAAAGAATAGATGAACCAGAGTTTGCAACAGTACCCTTTGTGACATAAGTAGTGGTGTCAACAGATCCAATAGAAAGTGAATCACCATCTGCATCCATGTCATTCTTCAAGACTGTCAATGCGGTAGCACCTGCAGCCCAGTGCATGGAATAAGTGTCATCTTGACCAACTGGTTTGGTGTTTGTGAACTCTACGTTAACAGTGCCAGAACTTTGTAAATTGTAATCACTGGCGGTGTAAGTGAATTGCTTGGCGCTGAGAGTAATTGGAGCAGCAGTGCTTGGAACGAATTTGACAGTTTGTGAGTCAACGAGAGTAGCAGTACCGACACTAGCAGAAACAGTCACACCAGAGACAACCATGGCATCTCCTTCTGGATCATTGTCATTCGTCAATGGTGAAACCAAAACACCAATAGGATTTCTCCAGTGAGTAGAAACAGTATCTGGTTGAGTCACTGGAGCAGTATTGGTGACTTGAACAGTGACAGTGGCAACATTGGATTCAGCATTGAGAGAGCTCAAATCGTTCAACCTGTAAGTGAATGAATCAGGACCAACATATCCATTGGTTGGAGTGTATCGGACTTTATAACCCATAACAACAGCAGAACCATGAGTAGGTTGAGAAACAATACTCACAGTAGCTCTTGGTAAATCTCCGTTTTGATCGTAATCGTTGGCCTTAACATCGCAATCCACAGATCGATTCCACTTGGTGCTAAAGTTGTCGTTATTAGCAACTGGAGCAGTATTGACAACATTCAAAGTGACCTTGGCCTTATAGGTAGAGTCCATTCCATCCTTATCAGTCACATCATACAAGAAGCTATCAGTGTATTCTTCATTGACAGCAGTATAGGAAACACCATCAGTATCACTATTGAAATAGTTCACCATAATAGTTGAAGAAATGTTCTTTTGCTCAGAAGAACTGACAGACTTGATCTTCTTCACAGAGCTTGGGCCATCGTTTGGATCGACATCATTGGCCAAAACATTCAAAACAGAGACAATACCCTTTGGAATAGTAATCACATCATCCATTGGAGTTGGAGGATTGTTGATGAGAGAAATGGTAATCTTACCAGTAGCAAAACCAGTTGGATCTGGTTTACCAGTTCCATCCAAACTTTGATCAGTGACACGATAATAGGCAACATCAGTAGTACCAACCAAATCTTTTGGAGCAACATATTGGACGTGAGTGTTATTGAAGATGGAAATAGAACCTCCCTTTTCAGTTGCTGCAATCCATCCATTGTTTGTTAACTTGAGAAGAGCAGTGTCACCCTTATCAACATCGAAATCATTCTCAATGACGTTGATCAAAGTTTCAAGATTCTTTCCACAGGAGGCAATATCATCCACAGGAGTTGGAGGATTGTTCACAACATTGATTGTGAGCTTACCAGTTCCTTCTGCTTCACCATCAGTCATGGTAATATCCAAAGTGGTTGTGTAAACAGTATTAGGAGTAGGTGTGAAAACAATGGTATAGTTATTGATCTCAACATCGATGAAATCACAACATTCAAAGTACAAAGTTTCGTGAGACTTGGCCAATTGGACAGAAGCAGCTGGGCTCAATGTATTGAGAGAAGGAGCAATCTTCTTCAAAGTAATCAAATCCTTTCTGTCAGGATCGAAGTATTGAATTGGAATCAAATTGTCAGTAGTGGATTTACCAACAGTAACAGTTCTTGTGAAAACATCTGGAGGACTGTTGTACACTTGAATAAAGACCACACAAGAGCTTTCTAACATTGAGTCACTAATACTGTACTCGAAAGAATCACCATACTTGGTTGTGAGTTCACCACTGGTATAGTAATACACAAGTTTGCTGTTATTTCTCAAACTAACAGATCCATATCCAGTACCAAGAGCTCTACTGATAAAGATCTCATCACCATTGATATCTCTATCATTCTTCAAAACGTCCAAGACAGCACCACGATACTTTGGAACTTGGAAGGTATCGTCTGCACAAGTTGGAGCATTGTTTTGAATGGAAATGGTAATTGTACTTGTAGCAGTATCATTACCATCTGAAATAACATAGTAGAATTGTTCAACACCATTGAAATCCTTCTTTGGTGTGTAATAAAAACCAGTCCAAGTTTCTTTCTCTACCACACCCAAGTTAGTGTCATTACCACCAACAATGTGATTACCGTTAAAGCTTTCCACATAGATGGCATCTTTGTCGACATCAGAAATATGCTCTCCATTGTCTCCAATGTATGAGAAGATGTCAATGAGGTAACGGTTGGCATTCTTTGGAACAGTCTTCACAATTGGAATGGCTTCAGGAGGACGATTCAATACTTGAATAGTAACAGTGGCATTGGCAGTCATGAACGAGTTGGAGACTTCATAAGAGAAGGAATCATTTCCAGTGAAAGCTCCAATCGACTGATACATAATCTTGGATTTGGAAATAATCTTGGCAACACCATAACGAGGATTCACAACAATATTGGTCAATGTTAAATTACCACCACGAGGATCAACATCATTCAACAAGACATCTAAGGTTACAGGAACACGTTTGAAAGTGGTGGCCATATCATTCTTTGGCTCTGGTGGTGAATAACCAACACCAACAGAAACCAAAATAATGGTGGCTACGGTAGAGGCAATCACAAGAGAAGTGATAATACCACCAACTGTTTGAGTTTCATTCATCGATAGCGTACATGTATGCGGTCATACATTTGGGTCAAGTTCACGTGTATGTGCAGAGGTATTGTCATCATAGGATACGCACAGATGAAAGAACAACAAGGACAAATATGGTCATTCTAGACAATAAAAATCCTTCAAAAGAAGAAACGTACCAATGGTTTGTGTGATGGTGCCTCCTTTCAACAAACTAAGGTTGAATCCCACTACCTGTCTGGCGGCTGGTTGATGTCAGAGTATGTTGGTTGGTCAGAGGAACGAGTCGCGTCAGATGTCAGATGCGGTGTTTTCAAAACAACAACATGAGAGACATGTATTCCAACATCATGAATATAAACACTCACAAAAACCTTCAAAACCCAATGCTATGTACTTACCAGTGGTGCTTCCAAGAGTAATTGTTTCTGGCATCTCTTCTTGGAAATACAATAGGAGAGGTGTGTGTTTGTTTTTTTGAGTATGATATTCTTTAGAGAAGATACCCACTCTCCGTAATTGAAGACAATTGAGCTCCAGCTTTTGTTTTAACCGCAAAGACACAGCCAGTAACAGAAAAACAATTCCGAGTGATTTTTCCTCACCCATCAATGTCCTGTCAAGTTATTTGACAGTGATTGACTTTCTTAGAACCCACAATCCTGTTATAATTGCGTTCAAGTCAAAAGGGAGACATCAAGCATCCGACACACGAGTTTGGCTTGAAGGATGTATCTCCAGATCCGCCGATGGATAAGGTTTCTCTATTTAAAAACCTGTTGTATTTCATGACCTTGCGAGTTGTTCCGATGAGTGACCAGCATTCAATCACCAAATTTGTCATATTTCAAACCACATAAAACGTAGAGAGATGGGAGTGACTGATTTCGTGATATCTGTCAAGGAACACTCAGATCTTCCAAGAAGCATTCGTATTGTGGCAATGTGTGAAATGAATTCAAAAGTGTGGCAATTAAATAGTCGGCCTCAATAGCCATCCAAAAAGCAGCCCATGAATTATTAGTAAGATGCATGATATCCAATTGAGATCGTTTTCCAAGCCCAATCATCAATCACCCGTTTCACAGCAACTGATGGATAGAACAAGTCAAAGAAGCATAATAGTGTTGGAGAATATTTTCTCGTGATGAGGTTCGGTTGCAATAAATTCATTAAATAACATTCATGATTCCGAAAAGGTAAAAAATCATTTAATTTGAAAAGTGGTGTATTTTGTCGTTTTTTTTTTGAGATGCAAAGTTCAACAATGGAGGTTCTTGACCATTCTCTTGGAGAGTAATCGATATTCGATAATATTTTGAAGGAAAGAAGTGACCTCTGTCTTGAGAAGAGCTTCATCTTGTTCCACGGTTGTAATGAATTGTTGTTCGAAATTTGTTCTCATCATGTCCATAATTTGGCAAACTTGTGCTTGGACTTTTTGAGAAAATCCTTTGCATGATAAATCAGGATTATTAACCAATTCTTCATCTGACGAAAGTAAAATGCATAATTGTTGAACGATCCTGTCAGAATTGGTCTCGTTTCTCAAATAATGTCGAAATGACAAGTTGTTGATTCTATTCAGAGCCTCTAATTTTTCTTGAGTTACAAGAGATTCCATCGACTCGAGGTCAATTTCTGCTACATACGCCCAGTATGATCGTGCTCGTTTATCTATTGGGATAATGTTGTAAAGAAAAATTTCCTCGATTGGCTTGATAAGTGACAGGACGGAATTGGGAATTAATGTGTTCTTTTCAATGTCAACTAGACTTTTGACAATTAAATTGCCCTCATCAAATTCACGCAAGAAATGTGGAAGACAAGCGATAGGAGTGGGCAATGGAACAACAGTCTCCATTCCAACACAGAACAAATCATATATTGAATATGCAACAAGAAAGTTCTCAAAAGTTAGAATTCCCTCGTCCTTCAACTGATGTCAGTGTTAATAAAAGTCGCACAATTCAATGAACATTTGTACTTACCCCAGAATTCACCAAGCAAGTTTTGACTTCTTCAAAAGTTTGAAGTAGTCCTTCTCGAGTTTTTTGAATAAATAGCCAGGCCGTAGTGCCTTCCAATTCGTGCTCATATTGTTCTGCAACTAAAGGAAACTGGTACGTGGGCAGTTTTTTCACAATCTCATTAAAAAATATGGAGTGGTTATTGGTCTTCATGGAGGAAGAAAATAATTCAAAAAGAATGTAAAAAATTACGGCCATTTCGTCGTCCAAAGAGTTGCAATCTTCATTGTCGTCACGAGCAGTGGCAAAGTATTCACCTATTGGAGAATCTAAGGCGCAATCTGCGTCAATCATTTCTTCTGACTTGATAATGAGTAGAGTATCTCCTTTTGAAATGTTTTGGGTAGAAATTGTGCAAAATCCTTCGTTTTCAATGAACTCTATTGCAATTTTTCCAGAGTTCTCTAACAACAAATGGTTAAAACTGTCCAACAAGTTGTTACTGCATTTAGACCTTGGAAGGAAATGAGAGTGAGCCATTACTAAATTCGCCATTGATTGATCGATGAATTTCAAAACGTTTTCTATTATATATTTTTGGCCAATACGATACACAAGAATATTTCTCATGTTATATCGCTTTTCTTGTTGCAGTTGTTGTAAGTCTTCTTCAAGAGAAGTCGAGAATACAGCTCGTTTTGACACGAAGAGAGATCTAAGTGTCCGTAGAGTATTAAACTCATTTTTCACATTAAATCTAAACATTCCAGCAGTTTTTCGATGATGATCGATATCGAATTGTTTCGCGAAATAAAAGTCTTCTTCATCCATTACACAAATTCGAATAGCATCCAGCATGTCATCTGGTAAATCTTTCTTTTTCAGATAATATCCAAGTCTAGTTGAATTAGCTCGTTAAATACACTAGCCACTAGGTGCTACTTACTTCAAAGAATTCTCTTCAAGATATTTCTTTTTACATAAAATTAACTCTTCATCGTTGGTATCTGAAATTCCAAATTGTACATAAAGAGTATCTTCAGAATTTTCGGGAATTACAAACCCATAACTTAGTAAAAAAGAGTCATTGCTTTTAGCTCCATAGTTGTTGTAAACAGAGTCGCCTTTTTTAAGAGATTCTCTAGTTTTTAAATAGAACTTGCCATCAGATCCTGTGAAATATGTAATTTTGGCATTAAATTTGTGATTCAAAATGTCCACCATCGGTAACAGTGTTGGAACGATCACCTTCTCATTATTTTCGACATATTCAATAGGAAAAACTCTAGACCAAACGGCAGAAAACGCCCACATAAACCTTTCAAAGGTATAATTATCGTCAATAAGATTTTTTCTTCTTTCTTTTAAAAAGGTCACTTTCGAATTGAATACATGATTCAAATTGTCCTTAATACTGGTGACAGATTTATAGAGATTGGTACCTCGCAGCTCATTCAAATCATCCTCATCAAAATAAATAGCCGTAGTAAAATTTTGTGGTAACATGTTCAAGTATGGAAAATAAATACTCGACTCCTTCATCACAAACAGTTCATGAATCAGAAATAAATAAAACACAACCAATCGATTCTCAAACATATTTGTTCCTTTCCACTGTGTGGACAATTCTTGTCCGTCATCAAGCTGCTCATCTTTAAATTGTTCCAATTCCAAAATTAATTCTTTGAATTCAGTGCTCATGTTTTTAAAATTCAAACAATTATTCAAAGGAATAGACAACAATGTTTCCTCATGCTCTTCCGATGCCTCTATATCCGAGTTAAGAGTCCCACTCATTCCTTGTTCATCATCAATAAATTGTAAGTCAATCGCCTCGTGCTTGAATCCGCCTACTTTGTTGGTCCACTCCACGAAAGCACGAATCCTTTCGAGCTGGCTCATTTTTTGTTGTGAGAAAAGCCTTTTCTTGCGTTTGGATCAGCATTTGAGAAATTCACAGAGTGAATGAATTCGTTTACTTTGTAATATTTCTCATAATACTAATAATAATTCCAAATCTTGATACAGTGTTGTTGTGGATTTCTCCAGCTCTGAGTGCGCATTAATTATTCCGCACGAATGCTACAACATGAAACTCAAGCCAGACCAACAACAACCAAAAAAAATGTCTGCAGAAATTATTGCCGTTCCTTCGGCTATGATTCCAAGAGAATTGCGCTCCGATGATGAAACATCATTCATGTTCCACGTCGATAAGAATAGCTCATGTGGATGCTCATGCTCTTCTTGCCAGTGTACTTCTATCATCAAGGAATATTTTGATGGTGATGGGGTGGACTCTTCCAATACTGAGAAAAGAGGATTAGCTTGCGGTTGTTCCTCCTCTTGTTGCGAATCTGGAAAGAGAGAATCAACAGCTTCTTCCGAAAGCAAAATGAATGATCCCTCTTCTGGATGTATTGAGAATTGTTTCATGAAGAGAATTAGACAGATTTATCACTTTGAAATCGTTTTGGTTCGTAAAAAGAGTGAGAATAATGCGATGGATATCATTGAAAAGTTGAAAGACCAAGCATTCATCTCTATTGCTGAAAGCGAAGGAGAATTGAGAGTTTATGTTTCTGGTTATGTTTCACTTTTTCAGTTGCTGAATAATTTGTTTGAATCTCACCGCAAATCTTTCCATATTAAGAATGCAAGAACTATGAAGGTTCATCAGGTTAAATTTCATGATTCTTGCAAAATGAGATGCAATGGATGTAGCTCTAAGGTTGAGAAAGCTTTTGTTGATTTAAAAGATGTATCACACATGTTTTGTGACTTGGAAGATCAAACGGTCATCTTTTTCTTTAGCCAAGAATCCACAAGACATGCCATCAACGATATTCTTACAAATGATTTGAAAAAGACATATGATGTTCTCAACTCCAATATCGAAATTGTTCATGAAGAACATAATCAGGAAAATGTCCTCACCTTGAAGGTGGAAGGTATGAGATGTGGTGGATGTACCTCCAAAGTCAAGAAATTGCTTGAAGATCAATTCAAAGCTCACGATGTGAATATTGATCTTTCAGCAAAGAAGGTTGTTTTCAAAGTTGCTGATCCAAACGTAGAAGAGAAGATTATTGAAGAAATTGAGAGTCTTGGATACTCATGCTCTAGATTTGCCGATTACAAAGAACACAGTATTAAGGTTAATGGAATGAGATGTGGAGGATGTAAAAACAAGATTACTCAAGCTCTTCAAAGTGATGAAAGGGTCTATTTTGTGGATGTAGATTTGGAAAACAAACTTGTCAGTGTTCAATGTGAATACGACGAGCCAAGTGTGTTGATTGAAAAAATCGAGAGTCTTGGATTTAAATGCGAAAAGGAGGTTGAGATGTTTACCATCAGAACAGCTAAAACTTCTCCAACTACTGCATATAAGAAGGAGGTTGATGAAGATGCTTTGAAAGAGACACCATCTACCGGTAACTTATACTTATATGCACCTGTTGATGAAATGGAAGAGATTGAAATTGAAATGCATGATGTCAGATTGCTGCATCACAAAGACGATGGAGTTGAATATGCTGCGGCGTCTCCCAACAAGAAATGTGTCGTCTCCATTGATGGAATGAGTTGTGCATCCTGTGTTGCAAAAATTGAGAAAGCACTTAAGAAATTGCCTGGTGTTAGTAATGCCGTGGTAAACTTGATCATGCAAAAAGGTGACATTACTTATGACGACTCGCTTATTACTGAAAAAGAAATTGTGAAGAAAATTGAATCACTCGGATACAAGTGTGAAAGCTTGACAGAACAAATGTCTAACGAAAAGAACAAGCTTTTATTAAGCGTCCATTCAGGCCACAAAGACGAGTTAGTTGACCTTATTACCCATATTCCAGGTGTTATTGACATTTCAGTTGGGATTGATGAGGACAAGTCCAATTCCATGCTTACAATTTTATTTGACAGCAATGTAGTTAAGGCTAGAAAGATTTATGATGAGGCAATTGCAAGAGCCAGCCAGTCCAACTTCGACGTCAAGATAGTTAAATCTTCCATGATGAAGAACAAGTTGGACACTCTGGCCAGAAAACAGGAGATTAAGAAATGGATGTTCTACTTTATCTTTTCTGCATCCTTTACTTTACCTGCCATGATCATTGCCATGATCTTTGGTAATATTCATGAAACCAAAATGGGGTTGATGACACAAATAGCTCCAGGATTGACTGTGATGAGTCTTATCATGTTTTTGTTGATCACCCCTGTCCAATTTATTGGAGGCTACCCTTTCTATCTTCTATCCTTGAAGGCATTGAAAGCTCGTTCACTTGATATGAACGTCCTTATTGCAATTGCCACTACTGAAGCTTATGGATATTCTCTATTTACCAACATTTACAACATGGTTGAAGGAAAGATCTCTATTGAGCATGATTATTTTGAAACTGCTGCTGCCTTGATCATGTTTTTATCTCTTGGAAGACTATTGGAAAGTATTGCAAAAGGGAAAACTTCATCAGCTCTTGTGACCTTGTTGAATCTCCAACCAGCTGTTGCAATTCTTGTCGATGAAACAGATAACTCTGAGAAGGAGATTGATGTCGATCTAGTCCAAGAAGGGGATATCTTGAAAGTTATTCGTGCAAATAAGGTTCCAGTTGACGGTGTGATTACTTCATTGGATGGAGAGGCTTTGGTGGATGAACAAATGATTACTGGTGAATCTTTACCTGTCACAAAGAAAGTTGGATCTGAAGTGATTGGTGGAACCGTCAATGTTGGAGACACTTATTTTTACATGAGAGCCACCAGAGTAGGATCAGACAGTACCTTGTCAGGAATCGCAAAACTTGTTGAACAAGCTCAAACAGATAAGCCACAAATCCAAGGTTTAGCAGATAAGATTTCTTCATGGTTTGTTCCTGCTGTCATCTTGCTCAGTATCATTGTCTTTGTTGTTTGGGCGATTCTTGGTGCTTTCGACATGTATCCAAAAGAATGGAGAGCTGACCATATGAGTCCCTATGTCTTTGCATTGCTGCTAAGCACTTCCACTGTCATTATCGCATGTCCATGTGCATTGGGTCTTGCGGTACCTACGGCTACTATGGTCGGCACTGGACTCGGAGCCAAGCATGGCATTTTGATTAAGGGTGGTAGTCCTATTGAAATTGTTAAAAAAGCAACTGCTGTCACGTTTGACAAAACAGGAACCCTCACAAAGGGAGAATTAGTGGTTGATGATATTGAAATGTTTGATGATAATGCTGTACTTGCTGACATTATTAGATATACTGCAGTGGCAGAATCAAGCAGCGAGCATCCAATTGGAAAAGCCCTCGTGAAATTCTGTAAACAGCATGTGTCCTATAACGAGGCATTATTCAATGCCTCCTCTTCATCAATGACCGAATTTAATGCCGTTTCAGGAAGAGGTATTAGCTGTAATATTGAAAATGTTCACATTGATATCGGAAATCAACAATTTATGTATGACCAAGAATGTGTCATGCCTGAGTTTAATGATTCTAATCGTTATCAAACATTGGTTTTTGTTGCTATTAACAAAAAGTTACAAGCTTTATTTAGTTTGTCTGATGAGATTAGAGAAGAATCATTCCAAGTAGTTAAAGATTTACATAATAAGGGACTAAATGTATTCATGTTAACAGGTGACAACAACAGCGTCGCAAATTATGTTGGTGACAAACTTGGCATTCCATCGGATAGAATTTTCTCGCAGCTTACACCTGCGGGTAAAACCAACAAAGTGAAAGAATTGCAAGACAATAAGGAAATTGTTATTATGATTGGAGATGGTATTAATGATGCACCTGTTATTGTTCAAGCAGACGTTGGAATTAGTGTCGGACAAGGAACAGACGTGGCAATTGAATGTGCTCAAATTATTCTCATGAAGAACGATCTGCGAAGTTTAGTTTCCACAATTTCACTTTGTAGAAGCATTTACAACAGAATTGTATTGAATTTTGTTTGGGCTTTTGGATATAACCTTGTAGCTGTGCCTTTTGCTGCTGGTGTGTTCTTCCCCCTTATCAAAGTGATGATTCCACCTTGGGTGGCTGGTATTGCGATGGTTTCCTCATCCATTTGCGTGTTGTTATCTTCTCTTTCCCTTAGACTGCACAGAATGTAACAATGAATTAAAAGCAGTTGAACGTGTCGATTTATTTTTTTAATTTCTGAACAAGTAGTCTCTGATCTTGGTTTGATCACTTGAGAAAGTGAAACAACCCACAATGATCTCTGCATTTTGTCTTCGATCCCAAATGAATGGGCACAATTCGTGAACAACCTTCACCTTGTCACTATCATGAGCAAAGCATCTCAAAATTGATGCAGCAGTGTTACAATCCAAGCCAGCAATATTGTTTGTTGTTCTCAATTGTTGGATGACCTTATACTTGTCAGAGTCAAAGTTGAACAAGGCGATAATCTTAATGATATCTGCTCCGATAACTGGTGACACTTGCGATTGAGTATAAGTAATAACAGTCTTAAACTTGTCAGTGTCGAAAGTGTGGTTTTGACAAGCTTGAACAATTGAGTTCACTAATGGATTCATGCTAACTCCATAAGCACTACTGGTAGTGGTACTAACAGTAACATTTGGATAGATCGATGTTGTCATTACTTGTGGAGTAAAAGTTGTTGATGTTCCAACTCCACAGAATGGTTGTGGTGGTGGTACGTATGTGTGTTGTTGTGGAGGAACATAACTTTGTTGGGGTGGAACATACGAAGTGGTTGGTGGTGGAATATATGTTGTTGTTGGTGGAATGTAAGTGGTTGTTGTTGGTGGTGGTACAAAGGTAGTTGTGGTTTGAGTTGGAACACCAACACTAATTCCAGTGGAACCAATGCTCACATTGAAGAGTGGAGTTGTGGTTGTGGTGGTTGTGACAACAGTGGATGATGCAGGTTGAACAATGGATGTGATTGCTCTGAAGCAATCTCCATTTTGAAGAGGCCAAGTATTGATATCAAATGTATCAACACGGAATGAAGTTTCTGCTCCATCAAAATCAATGAAAATGATATACTTGTTTTGTGAAACATCACGAACAATGTAGGCATAGGCTCTTCTTCCATCTTGTTGATTTTTCATGACAATATAACCAGTGTGAGGTTGTGAATCAACATGCCAGGTTTTTCCTGAATTTTCTCTAAATGTCACTCCCATTAAATTGACATGCATAGCTTTCAAAGTATGAGAAGGAGATGAATTCAAAGTTTGAGAAGGAATTCCAGATAAATTATGAATGGTGGCAGGTGCCAAAGCAACACCAGTATTCACTCGATAAAAAGTATCACTTTTTCCAGTCAATGCTGTTCCATCTAAACTTGGAGTCAATTTCCAATGAACATTTCCATCAAAAGTAATATGAATGGAGAAGGAAGCAGGAGCCATTGAAACAGCAACAATTGTTCCATGAGCTTGTCTGCCAGTTCCTTCTTGAGTCCAACTGAATTGATTGCCATTTTGAGTGCAGTGCCAAATTTTACCGGACTTTTCTCTCCATGATCCTGCTACAATTGGTGATGTGTTGCCCATTTGTTGTGTAAGTGAATGATAATCTTTGATGATAGAGTGATGATGATAAAATAAGAGGAAGAGAGCTCGGAGACAAGTTCAACAACCGATGATGATGATGAATGAAAACGTTCAAGCCTTGACGGTTTGGAGATTTTTTTTTGTGATGCTGGGATTGTAATCTTGCTTCGAATTGGAAGAAAATTTATTGGTCGTCGTGTGATATTATTATCGTTTGAGGATTCGACTCGGGGTTACATGTGAAAAGTTTTTGAAGTGATGTGTGGAAAGAGGGCGAAAGGAATTGAGGGCAAACAAAAAAAGCGCATTCATCCGTTCAAGCTGGGTACTGTCAGCAAATTCTTCATTGCATTTCATGCTGTCATACCTTGTGTGAAAAATAATGATGAAAGATATGAACAAGAGTGAGAGCCAACTTGGCAGGATCGTAGAGACTCAGGTTGGGAAAGCCTGTGAAAGCTCCACCTGAATGATCCATTTCAGGAACCACAATATATTTACATCCAGGAATATAACCATCCATGGTAATGACCATTCCATCGTTTTTCACATGATATCTCATGTTCAAATAAGAAATGGCAGGATATAACAAGGAAGAAGGTGCTTGGTAGTGACTGCTCACAGAAATACAAGGGAATGTCTCATTATTGTATGGATATTCTTCAATGACTCGCTTTCTGTTTTCATAACTCAAATCTTCGATAGCTTGTAATTCGCCTCCCAAAATTTCTAAAGACGATGTTTTCAAAGGTTTCAGAGTATCAAGTTCATTAGTGGATGCGAGGTCATGTAAAACAACGCGAATCTCTAAAACTTACCCTCAACAAGAATGGAAAGTAATGCAATTTTGCTTGCTCCATATTCAGAAATGTCATTGGCAAGTGCAGAACCTGCATAAGGAGCTTGAAGAGCAATCATTCCTTTGGCATGATCTTTTAACTCATTTTCGTATTTTGAAAGAGCATAAGCAACGTCACAAGCACCCTTGGAGTGACCTATGATCAAGACACCTTTTGTGACATTCAATTCTTTCGAATATTCGATAATTTCATTTTTAAGAAATAGAGCGTTCTTTTCTAATGATCCACCCGAATTAACCTTAGAGATTTTGAATTTCATTCCACATTCATTGAGATGCTTCTTTAACCCATGAAAATAGAAAGGGTACCAATCTGTATACAAGCCACCAACGAATAATACTCCATTATATTTAGAGCATTCGTCATCTTTGGGGTATAATTTTTTGAAAAGCTCAGTTTCCTCTTCATATAATGGCTTTTCAAGGAATGCTTCTAGATCTTCTAACATTTGACTTTCAATCGATGAATTTTCTGTTACTATATTACCCTCCACATCAAACTCTTGCTGAGAAATATTGTCACGCTTCTTTAATTTCTTTAGGATCCACCCAATTTTATCTTTTGACACTCCTTGCTTTACATTTCGTTCAATTTCTTCAAAGAATAATTTCACTTTGAGCCGAATTAAATCTTGTTCATAGTTATCCAACTGGCGAGTGCTATCAGAATTGTCAATATCAAATTTAGATAAATGTTCATGTTGTTGGTGTCCTAACACAACTTTCTTGTAAGTTTCAGCTGCAGCTCCTACAATAAAGAAAAGCAAATTTTGTTGTTGATTTGTGAGTAATTTAAAAGGTGAATTTTCGTCTGTACTTCTTGAGAATTGATATGAATTTTCTACAAGACCATAAGAAGAATCCTCTCCAACACTATTTGAAAAAGTTGGAGCAGAACTTTCTTTCAAATAATTTGGAATGATCGATTGGATCATTTGCTCAATAACTTTTCTTCCATTATCTTGCTGAATAAAACTCATCAAAGATTTATAGAGTCCATCGACCGTTGCTTGTGATATCGGAGGTATGCTTTCCAGTTGTGGAGGTGGAGAAGCCTGTTCGGGAGGTATTCCAGCTTGGGTGAGTTCCGATGGTGTCTCAGTATACTGTGTGGTCGTATCATCTGCGCGTACGGACTGTATCATGATGGCTGTGGATAACAAACTGTAGTAGCACACTGACATCACTAACACTGTCAAACACAGTCGAGAAATGATGAATGGATCACCGCGCCGTCGTTTTCTTTGATTCATTTTTTTTGTAAAAGATTACAGAATCTTCCTTAAACTTCCTTTGAAGATTGTTGTTGTTACAACCTCAAACACAGTGGTGATGAATGATGTTGAGTCTCCAAAAAGAAATCGGAATAGCAACAAAAACATCTCGCAACACCATCGTGATTCGAGCAAGCCTGGTTGCTTCTTCTGGTGAACTCTGAGCTTGTTGAACAATGAACTTGCCACGAAAGAACCTTTTTTCAATTCAAAAAAAATTCTTCAAGAATCAATCTCTAGCCGCGCTCTCTGATCAAACTTTGTGTCATCATTAGATCAAAATGAGTAGCAGCACTGATCAACATTTATCCAAAGCCTCTTCCACCGAGGACGTTCCTCTTCTTCACGGAAGTCTCTTGATCGGGGATGCTAATAATAATAATAATAATAATAATGAAAAGATGATCAGCCTCTCTCCTCAACCTCCCAAATTTGATGAGAAAGATCAAGTCGAGGTTCCTCTCAATCAATTCCTCACCTTGCTCACAGCCTACGACAAGTATTCCAATGTATTGGATGATATCAGTAGTGGTAACAAGGACAAAGAGCCTCCAAGAAAAACCATGATTCAAGAGATGGACATTGAAGGAAAAACAGAAAAGGATAAGGTGATTCTTCAATGTAAAATTTGTATTTTGGTATTGGTTGATCGATACACCAAGTTTAAACTCTTTGATGTCAATGACAAGTTAACAGTTTTGGGATATACAGTCAGTAAGGAAAAGAATATCAACAAGAATGCTGCCTCAGAAGATGTCATCACCAATTACTTTGAAACTGAAGAGGAAGAGGAAGTTCCATTAGAGAATAACGTTGGATTTATTGGTGTCTTTGATGGTGCTTACTGCTTGCACACCAATGATCGTGGTCGTTATCATGTCACACTCAATCTTTGTGTTCCTTATCAATCAGATCAGAAAAAGTCATTAGAGATTATATTTCCTTTCTGTGCACCACGTAATCATTTACGTCGATTTGAGATTGTTGGTGATTTCTATGATCTCAATGTAGAGCCATCGACACATTTCACCACCAAGTTTGAAGAAAATTCTTCGAAACAACGATCAACAATTTTGACCGATTGTTCATTCCCTCCAACCTATCGTCTCTCTCTCTATTGGAAACGATCTGAAAAGGTCATTCAAGAAATCTTGAAAAACACACTCAAGAATGAGAAGAAGGAAAAAAAGGAAGAAAAGAAGGAAGAGAAACAATTGAACATTACTGTGGAACAGCATGTGTTGCATAGTGTGGGAGGTGGTCTTATTTCCACCTCTGCTGATTTGGACTATACCATTGTCAATGGATCTGTAAATACTTTCTACGTCTTGCTTCAAATGAAAGACTCTCCACATGATAAATTTGGCAAGGACACATGTCCATTGAGAGTCATTCGTGTGGATGGTCGCAATATCAAGAATTGGGAGATTAAGAAATTGAAATCTGCTTCCACTGCAACAACTGCCTCTACTCCAACCCAAAGTATAGCGCCTTTCAATACCGACAGTCAAAGTGAAAGTAATTATTCCATTCAGTTATTGAATTCGGCTCACTCAGAAGGTATTAACTCGTTCATTCAAACAGCTTCAGCTTATGCAGAATACTTTTTGAAAGTGACCTTGCATTGTGGTGTTGAAGGTAGCTACCAACTCAAACTTTTAACAGAGAAGGATATGAAATCAGAAAGTTGTAAGGTTCATCTTCCAACATTTTCATGTATGAATGTCAACAGAGATAAGGGGTTCATTGGTGTTGAAGGAATCACCAATGTTGAGATCAAAGATCTAAAAAATGTTGGCTTAACCAAGTTAGCAACCACTGAACTTCCATCGAAAATCACCTCCAAAACATCTGATTCATTATTATTTGGCTACAAGTTCTTGCAATCGCTGGGCACTGATATTTTCCTTGATATCAAGAAACACGATGATGTACAAGTCTTGGTTGCAGTGATTGAAGAAGCCGTTTATCAAATTACCTATTCTGAAAGTGGTTACTTGTTTTACAGAGTAGCCATGAAAGTGAAAAACTCGTCTCAAAATTACGCCAAGGTCGACCTTGTTCCAAAAGATATTCAATATTCTCTCTACTCGACAAGTGTCAAGGGAGAAATTGTAAGACCTGCGATTGATAAGGAAGGTAAAATTCTCATTCCTTTGAAGAGAGGAACCACTGAGATGACCTTCACAGTAGAGATTTACTATACAGTTCCAGTGAAAGAAGTGATGAAAGAGAATGGAAAGGTTGAATTCTTACTTCCAAAATTTAACATTCCAACCAATAGATCGTATTATTATGTCTATCTTCCTGAAAATTACAATTATGGAGAGTTTGAAGGATCCATGAAGGAAGTATCCAACTTTGACAAACAACCCACTGTGGAAGATTTTATTTCGCAAGAAACTTCACAATCTGGTATCGCTTACCCAAGAAGAGCTGAAAGAAGGTTGCAATCACAAAACAATTACATTCCCATGCCACAAATGCAAACGTTGTTGAATTCTTTACCGCAAAGCAATTACAATGCCATGCCACAAATGCAATATCAGCAACAGCAAGCCATGCCAGTACCACAAATGCAATACCAAGCCATGCCACAACCCTCCATTCCAAAAGGAAGAATAAGAAGAGCTGCCAGTGAAGAAGATATACGTAACCTAAGCGATGATGAAGATGAATTCGAAGAAGAAGAAAATGCTTACAGCGACAGCGAAAGTGATAGTGATAGCGATGAAGAAGGTGTCAATGACGAACCAACACAACCCTCCACTGGAGTCGGATTAGTGAGTGGTGTCATGCCTGTGAAATTAACTCCTGTCACAAAGGGAAAGATTTTCCTCTTCCAAAAATTACTCATCTCTGAGAATGAGGATCATTTGAAACTCGCAGTCGAGTACAAGAAACAACAAGAATCCATCCTCACCAAGAGAACTCTCCTTCCAATTAATGAGATCTTTTATGGAAGTGTAGTAGTTGTCATTTGTATTGTGTTCTACTTGTTATTCCGTCTTGTCGCATACTTTTTGAATTAGTAAAGGAGATTTCAGAAGCATCAACAAATAGTGATAATATTGTACAGTAGCACATTCATCATCTCCAAAATGTCGCTCTTCGAACCATGCTGTTTCAAAACTTTTTGCACCTCTTTGCTGCTGCATCTAAAAAGAATGAAAAGAACAATCGAACAAGTCATCAGCAGCAGTTCGAGTGATGCTGCTGTGCATCCTTCTTCGTCGTCCTCCTCATCATCGACTTTACGGTCTTCTTCTTCTATCAATCCTGGTGGAGCAGAAAAGAGAAAAAAGACTCAGCCGATTGCTGCTTCTGCTGCTCCTCTTTCATTGCCTTCCTTTTGTCCCAATGATTCCATTCAGGATTTAGGAAAACTTCGTTTTGCTTGTCGGCTTTTAAAAACACTCTCGGAACAAACACCCATGCGTCGGCTTGAAACGGTCTATTCAATTTTAAATTACATTCCGAATGATCAATTTACAAATATCATACAAGAGATGGATTTAAAATCAGTCGTATTGAGTGATTATTTAAAAACATTGCAAAGGCTTGATGATGCATGGGAGGATGAAACGAAACATCAAGTACCAACGTTGAAAGTCGTCTCAAAAACAGAATTCTTTAGAAAAGTGTTGCAAAACTTGATGAAGAATCCAGATGATTTTGCACATTTGGCTCTTCATAACATTCGAATGTTTATGAAAAAAGAGAATTCTACGCCCTTGTATGATACATTGTATAAATTGACAAGAAGTGATTTGGATGAGACAACTAGACAAGCATTGATTCAATTTTATACACAATATCCAAGATTGTTATTCTTGTTGCCATGTACCAAGATATTGAATGGAGGTTATAATGTAGTGTCAAAGATTATTGAGGAAAATGATGCAATGAGAATTACATTCAGAGAATTGCGAGCTACTATTCCAAGAGTGAAGGATTATTTGGAACATCTCAACAAGCAACCATCTCAGCAATAGCGAAACACACTGTGAGAAATTTGATGGCGATTTACATCTCGTTAGACATCGAATTGGAGTTCCTAAATCAAAACTGGCTGCGACGATCAGCAAGAAACAAGTAATTATTGGAAGTTGCAAAATGAAATCCACAGAGAGAAAATACTTCTTCCAAACAAATCAGGAGCAAGAGGAGGAAATGTTTGCGAATTATCTTGATGACTGAGAAATACTCAGTAGTTCCATGTGAAATGGAAGTTTATCTCCAAAATTTTGCATGATTAAAAATCACATTTTCACTTTGTCTTTTTCTTTGTTTTGAAAAGGAATGTTAACATTTGTACAACTTGTTCATATGTCAAGTGTTCCGAATTCTGAATTGCATTCGCTATTAAAACTGTATCATTTGTACTTTCTGAATTAATCCATATTCTTCCATTCAATCCAACTGCTACTTCAAAGCTCACGTATTCACTAATTAATTTTAAAAGGTAACAATTTGGGTCTAATAATTTTCTAGCCATTCCTAGGGAGCACTCCACCACATATCCTCCTTTTAATTCACCAAATACAGATTTTCCAGTGCTCCAATCTTTCTTTTTCATTCCGGGTGCGCTTTCACACGTTATTTCAATATCTAAATCTTTGTTTGCCAAAGTAACACGTGCATAAACAAGTGAGCCAGGGCCCAAATCAGGTCTATTCCTTCGGGTGGCACCATCAAAGCCAACAAATGGCAATAACGCCAATCCCTGATGAGCCAAAATATCCACACTATATTGTTCGACAGGCACTTTATCTTTAACAACTCCGATCACCATATCCCCAACCATCGGAACATAACGATGTTGATTATTATCTACAAAATATCTATTCGGTGGAACTAGCCTCAAGACTCCAGCCTTTGTTGCAATAATATTATTTTCTGTTTGAAATAGTCCTGGTCCAATTTTAATAATTCCCGATTGTTGAATTGTGGCCATGGTTGTTGTGGAAGGTTCCGAAGAATTTGATGATGACAATTTATTACGACGAGTATCGGCCGTTGTCAAACAAGCAATTTCATCTCCAGGCATCACGGGATGATTTATCTTCTCGCAATGTACTTGCATTTTTTTTCGTGTTCAGTTTTTTATGGTGCAACTCTATAAATACTTGTGAAAAGGGTCAATAAGAACTTTGAAGTCGATGAGAAGTCATATCACAACTACTTTTCGACGAGAGATCTCGATGGGGAAAATAACTCTTTGATGCGTGAAGTTATTGATGTTGTTTTTATTTTGAATGGTCAAATGAAATAACTGTTGTTAATACCAGTTGTTATCTGATTGCATGAAATGTTCATTAATGACAGTTCTCTTGATTTATTTGGACGGGAGGCCTGTCAGGAATATGGCAACACTCCCGCTACAGTCTTTGACTGTATGAACTGTGAGTGACAAGAAATCTTTCGATCCTTGTGTGCTTGTTGTGAATAGAGGTGAGAATAAAGTGATTCATTCTATCCATATATTTATTGATATTAAAACGTTCTCAATAATAAATGACGACATTTGGTTTGATGAAATATGGGTCAAGAAATGTAAACTTCAAACATGAAAGCTGGCATTTAGAATTCCCAAACCGAAAAAAATATTTTTGAATTTTCGCGATTCTTAATGTCAGCTTCATGAAAGCTTAACGTGAACGAGGCGTGAAAAACCAGAAGTGCCTTTCGATTAAATAGTTTGGCAAAAGAGTCCCTTTCTCAAACAAGTGTCTCTTGTAACTAAAAAAAAGAAAGAAACGAACAGCAATAATAACAGTCCTATGCTTCTTCGTTTCCTATTGTCGTCACGCTCTTTGTGATTTCGAAATCATCACAAAGGGCGTGTAAGTCTTTAAAAGGTGACCCTCAAAGCTTCCTGATGAGATATTGATGGAATTAAAGGATCACGAGAAGGAAGCTCACAGCAACGAAACTCCACCACCATTGATTGAAAAGCCCACCTTCAAGAAGGGTTAAATTCTTGAGAGAGTTTTCAAAGAGAGAACTTGTAAATATTGTGCTTTTAAATTCTAAATAAAGTCTCTTTTTCATTTGATTTTTCATTAAAAGAGATGTTCTTCCCAACAAGAATCATCCGTTTTGATCTTCTTTAAAGTTTGATCCATGCAAGTTGGAACGAATAAAGGAAAGAGATTTGATATAATCCTTGTCTTTGAAAAATCCCAAATACACTCTTGGTTAGGAGAACAATTCTGTGGAATCTACCGTAAAAACAAGTGGTTGATGACCAAAACGTTGGGCTGAGAGGACCAAAAAACCCTTGCTCACGAGGAGTTCAATCATGATGGTGTTCGACTTTGCATAAGAACACCAAAACTAACAAGAACATAATGAAGAAAACGAGAGATTAGAAACACACTATTAGGGAAGATGATGCACTGGATGGAAAACTTCCTCAAGAAAACAATTTGGAGGAAGAAGAAGCACCTAAATAGGTGAAGAGGGATAAACTTACCTCCTCTTCGAAATCCTCTTCTTCTTCAGTTTATGGGTCGGTAAAGGCAGTAGGAACTAGAGACTATTATCGTTCAAAACAGAAATCGGAGTTTATTAGAAACTCAAGAGCCGCAAAAGAAGTGTCCACCTCTTCTTCTTCTTCTTCAGAAAGAATGATTTCAGACATGCTCCATCTGCAGAGAGAGCAACTTGAGAACCATTTGAATGCCCAAAAGGAAATGAATGAGGAGACGAAGAAAATGAAGATGGAATTCATGGGATTAAAGCAACAGCTCCAAAGTCTTGTGTCCTTAATTTCAGCCTATTTGAATCAGGAACCTGATCCCTGTAGCAATGACACAGGATCTCATCTCTAGCATTTCTCAATAAGCTCCTGAGTGAAGGAGGTTAATCCGCTCCAGTTAAACCTATCTATCTTCCAAGTGGAATCGCATGGTATTGCAGATACAAACGCTTTTGCTGAAATTAATCAATACCATATGACTATTGTTAATTCTTTCTGGACTGTCATGGCATCATTATTTCGTTTGTTGAGGTTTGGCATTACTTCAACTATATAGGGCACAATAAATACGATCTGCACGAATTTAATGTACATTATATTTTATCTGTGAATTTGGATTCAGTTCGTCTTTGGTGACATTTTACCTATTGAAGTTAATGAATTCCAAGGAATGAATGGCTACGGCCATATCACGATGAATGCACCTCATCCCGTCCGATTTGAGAAGTTAAGCATCCTCGAGCTGCATCAGTACTGAGGTTGGAGACAACTTGGGAACCTGCAGTGCTGTAGCCTTTTTTCGTTTTGGGGGGCAATTTTACATGGTTTGCCTGTTCTTTGAGGATTTCAAATCGAGTAAATTATATGAACAACTTGAACACCACCGAAATCATTTTTCAAGAAGTAAAGTTAATTATTTGTTTCCTGAGAAGCAAGAGGTGAATTATTCCAAAGGTTGATTCTTTTGAAAAGTTCATGATTTCTCAATATTGAATCGATCAGAGACAGATTTATCATCAATCACAAAAGGAACGATTTGTCATCTGCAAATATTCAACTTTTGTGTTACCAAATCCGTGATGTCAACGTGAATTTCGATAATCATTCCAACTTTGAAAGATGAAACATCTCTCTCGAATTCAATGAAAGTGTTGACTTTCACGGTGGGAAGTAAAGAGTTTCAACTGCAGCAAAAAAATGTCCACTGAGTCCATTCGTCAATTCATACAATCCCAAATCGATGAAATGAATCAATCCTCAAACAAATGCACACTTCGATTAGCTGGGACTATTTGTATAGTGGTTGTACCAGCCTTCCTTTGTTTACTTTTTGGATTGCTTTCAATTGTTATGACATATTCTGATAGTGAGTGGGGCTACTGGAAAAAGTGGCCTTTTATTGGTATCTCGATAGGAATGTTTGTTTGTACATGTACCATGTTGGTGGTTGCTCTTCTAGACAGAAGAAGATTTTTGCGTCAGCCCAAGGAAAAAGAATTAAAGGAAAAAGAGAATTATAATAATCATCATTATGCTGTGTCAGTCACTACTAATTTACCACCACAACCACTTCTAAATCAGCCTCATCCAATGGTTTGTGAGCCTATTCAACCAAATGCACCACCATACATGCAATCTCACTGGCAAGACAAGTAATAGTGAACTACATCAGTTTATGAAAGAGGTATGTGAAAGCTCTCAGAATTCTTAAAGCAGCAACTAGCAATAAAGACAACGTTTGAACATGATGACGTTGTCGTTTAACAAAAGTCAAAAGAAATTTAGGTTCACCAAACCAAGCATTACGCCATTGGTTTGCTTATCTCCATGCACATTTGATGATAGAATGAAGCAACATGATCCGTCATGCTATTCTCTTGCAAGGTCGTGACAACAATTCAAACAGATTAACTTAGTGGTAATTTTGCACCGAAATAGAAGATGAGGATTGTAACCACGACCAAAGAATCGAAATTTTACTGTGTTACCTAAAAGTTCGTCCCAGACAACAATAAATAGGATCAAATTTCAAACGCCATCTAGATTGTTTCAATTCAAAAAAACACTCAGTGACAACACCACCATTTTCACACACATTCAAACAAATGGGCAACACATCACCAATTGTAGCAGGATCATGGAGAGAAAAGTCCGGTAAAATTTGGCACTGCACTCAAAATGGCAATCAATTCAGTTGGACTCAAGAAGGAACTGGCAGACAAGCTCATGGAACAATTGTTGCTGTTTCAATGGCTCCTGCTTCCTTCTCCATTCATATTACTTTTGATGGAAATGTTCATTGGAAATTGACTCCAAGTTTAGATGGAACAGCATTGACTGGAAAAAGTGATACTTTTTATCGAGTGAATACTGGTGTTGCTTTGGCACCACGGAAGCTCTCTTGCAGCAAGCATTATTTTGGCATGTCAACAGTCCTCGTTTGCAAGTGACAAACTGAAAGCTGTGGCCTCCTATTCGCAGTCTCAAATCTCTCCATTGTCATCAAGTGAAATTGTTCAAATATTGGGATACTTTACATTCGATTCAGACAGAGGAAAAGTTATTTCTCAATTGAAATCCACAAATAATATTGCGAGTATGGACACTAGCTCAGCTGCTTCAATTATTAGACTTTTCGGCAGTGATAGTACCAAGGTTAAGGCTGTTCAGGACTTGTGCCCATACATTTGGGACAGAAAACAAAATGCTGAAATCATTGTAGCCAATTTTACATTTGCTTCTGACAAAGGTAGGGCCAGAGATTACTTGTTGAAGAATTAAATCTTTTATGTCTCCTCAATATTGTTATTGTTTCGAAGTTGAAACTATTCCATATGAGTTCATCCAAAAAGAGAAAAGTCCTTGAGCATATGAGATGTTATCATGGCTCCAACATGGAGTGTCAATATTTTCTAAACCTTAACAGTATTGGTTAAATCCTTGAAAACTTTTTAACATTTCCATACTGCTATTTCTATAACTCTCCACATTCTGTAATCACACAGGATACTTTTGGCTTATTTGATTTACCATAGACAGCAACAGCCTCCACTTTTCTGACAACTTCAAAACCTTTCAAAACAGCTCCAATAACAACATGTTTACCATCAAGCCATGGAGTTTTTGTGGTTGTAATAAAGAATTGACATCCGTTTGTATTGGGTCCACTATTGGCCATGGACACTATTCCAGGGCGATCATGTTTCAAAGTAAAATTTTCATCATCGAATTGATTTGATCCGAAAATTGAGTATGATCCTGTTCCATCTCCATTCACAAAATCTCCTCCTTGAATCATGAAATCTTTAATGACTCTATGAAATGAACATCCTTTATATCCTGTCGGAATTGAATTCTTTAAATGCTCTCCAGTGCAAAACTGTCGGAAATTCTCAGCAGTCTTGGGTACCACATCTGCATATAATTCAATTTTAATTCTTCCTGCTGCATGACCTCCAATACTAACATCGAAAAATACAACTGGATTATTTGGATTCCTCATGAGAGGAGCCAAATCATGAATGGGAGGAAGCGTTCCAGTAGACGATGAAGACATTTTTTAATATTGGAAATCATTGAACCTGTAGCCATTTCTTCAAGAAACACAACATTGCGGTAACATCATTACAAATGAATTAATAATTTTCGGAAAGAATTTATTGAGTTTGCATCATCTTGACTGCTCTAATAATATCAGAGTCACCTGCTTCCAAAACGCTCATGACACCAACAGAGTGATATCTACCACAAGCAGTACCGAGTTCAACGTTGTTTCCAGGATAGAAATAAATATCAGCATGTGACAACATAGAGTAGTATTCAATTTCAGATTTTCTGATTGGTGGAATGTTGTTTGAAACGATGACTAATTTAGCCTTAGCTTGTCTCAAGTTCTTCATGGTTTCAGAATAACCCAATGAGAATTTACCACTCTTCATGACCAATTGCAAACGAGCATTGATGTTCTCAGAGGTTTTTTTCTGTACATTTCAAAAGTATACATCGGATGATGATGAGCACGTTATTAGCGTGCATATTATACATAACGAGTACATACCTTTCCTTGTTGTTGTTGAGGAGCAGTGGTTGCTGTTGTGGTTTCAGCAGTCTTCTTGGTTTGTGAACTCATTTCTGGTGAGATTGAGAATGGTTTTGGCGAGTATTTTTTTTTCGAAAGCATTTTTCAAAAATCCCTGGTCAACCATATTTTGGGAGTTTACAATGACAGCGAAAATTCAAAATCATTTTTTGGGGCTTCCTCCAGATTTTCGATAGTTCCAAAAGATTAAAACTTGACGATGTATTGCTAATGACATGCTTACTTTTGATAAATAAATGTTTTAATTGAATCAACATTTACCAAAGCCACCAATAGTATCTTAAAACCTCAATTAAAGGTTTATTGATCATCAACGTGCTCTCTCATAAAAGAGTAAATAAGCCTCCGAATTCAAAACGTCTGACTCTTTGGCGTAATATACACTCGAGTCATTACATAAAAACCAACGTGAGTTATGTTTGACATAGCACGTGTAGTGTCCTCCACTCAAATCTCCATGGTGACAAACCACGGAGAAGAGTGAGTACTTGTTATCAGGAACACCACCATCCTCGCCAACCACGAAATCTTTCATTTCAATTTGCAAAGGAAATGAAACAAACCAATCAATCTTAGAGCTTACTCCTGCAGTCCTTCGATTTCTGTTAACTTCTGAATGTTCAAACCTTTTAAGATGAAAACAAAGAACATATGGCAGCCGTTTAAAGCGAATCTGTTTTGAAAAGTTCCCTTGTGATCCACAATTTTTACACGAGTAACTACTGATATCTAAATTTTCATCTCTTGTATATCTTTCAAGACATTCTGTTAAGGATTCTAATTCTATCCACGTGTCACCGCTCTTGGCTTTGAGAGGAAGAGAAATGTCCATAAATGCTTCCACCGTCGAAGAGATGCTTGAACAAATTTTGCAATTTAAATCTGACTGAGAGGTTCCAGTGAATAAATCTTCAATAAGGTTTCTACGGTTGTTAGGAAGTTTGGCAGGAGTAAGGGCCGAGAGGATGGCCATGTAAAACTCGTGTGCATCTTGCTGTTGATAGCCTGCCAAGTGTCCAGCAATATTCCACATAATGTATAGAAACTGATGAGGAACGTATGGTAAAACTATTGGTTGTTCGTCTACTGTATCGGATTTTCTTTTTCCGTTACTGGATCTCTTTTTGATATTCGAATTTTCTAATTCGTTGCATGATTTATCGTACATTTCTTTGAATAAGTTATTCATGGCTCTACTCATTTTCAAGTATGTTTGAATATCTTCAAAATTTTTACATTTGGAGTCATTTTCAATTTCTTTTTCAATTAACTGAGAATAAACTCCTGATAAATAATAGTTGCGTAGTGACACATTATGGGCTAGTGTCTGTAATATACAATTCATAAAGCAAGTATTTCCCAAGTTTACAATTCCTCGTAGTCCAATAAGAGGATTCGTTTGTGTTTGCACGTTGTTCTTCAGCATGGACTTGATGGACTCTCCAACAGAAATGTGAGGTACAGTTTCAGTTCCACTTTTAGGATGTGAAAATTTTCGTTTTTTCTTTGTGCTTGTCGCTTGTTTTTCATTTGGCAATTCTTGATTTGCAGATTTGAAAAGGCAAGGTAATAGGATATACTTGATTGCTTCAAAATCGAGAGTAATAAAATCAAAACACTCAAGGCAAAAGAATTCCTTATAGGTTAAGTGAAACACAATCGCATTATCTTTGCAATTAGGACAATATTTGAGTTGTTTCGGTTCGGCTTTCTCAAAAGAGGACTTTTTCTCATAAAATGTATGAACTGTGAAAATGTGGTAACAATTGGAACAAATTACTGCCTCATCTATCAAAGAGAAGGGGTTTTCACAACATGTACAATGCTGTGTCTGTTCGAATTTCAATTTTCCATTCCCAAGGTCTATTAAATTTTCATTCAATCCAACCAGTTCCTCATAATCATCAATGCCAATATGACCATTTGCAATACAATTGCCATTATGCTTTCGTTTTGCCTTACATTTGACAAAGTCCCTAAAATGAGAGCATTGTAGACTTTTTGGGAAAGTCGTCATTTGAATGGCAGATACAGCATCTGCTTCTATGATGGCAGCATCACTACTCGCAACAGAAAGGCTTTGCTCTACTTTATCTCCATTCCCATTACTGCTTGCTTTACTAGTATTACTAGTCCTCTTCCTTGTCGATTTTTTCATTAATTCTCTATGGCTCGGAATTTGCTATTAAAATGTAAAATTTCCTTCTTTACAAGAAGAAGAACCTCTTATGAAGAACAAGCACAATGAGAGAGGTGGCCGATGAATGAAACGAGGTACAAATTTACACGATGAGGTTGCTTTCCTTTCTCGGGATGGAGCGATTCTTTAAATTTTCTCTCTCTATCAGCAAGACAAGAAGAAGAAAACACAATCGACAAGTAAAGAGAATTTTTTTGACTCTTTTCAAGGTGATCCCACCATCCTTTTCTGGATGTTGATGGGTGGCCGTATAGATAACATTCGAGTGATTAGAAAGGGTCATCCTGTGTACATGTCATCAACCATCCATGCTTAAAAATTGTTCTGAGAGGTATCTGTAGTCGTGATGATGGCCGTTATGTTCAACTGTTGCTAACAAGCTTCAACGATGACGACGACGAAAATTTATATATATATCTTCAAAAACCTTTTGATGGTCGAGCATTCTTTCGAAATTCAATCTGAAATCCAAACTTGAAAAAATGCTCAAATACCACTTGCAACCTCATTCCTCGGTTCAAAAGGCTCTTTTCGGAAGAGGGATTTTGTCTTGGAAGAGTACGACTAATAACTGTTGTTGCGGGGTTGGTACTCATGTGTGGTGTTTGGGAAACTCAACTTTGAAGAATAATAGACTCATCCTTCATGAGTATGATCATCAGGTGAGGAATTACACTTCCTCGGATTTATCTTGTTTGGATTCAATCATGAAAAAGAATTGTTTTGGATATCATCTATGCTCCGAACATTGGATGATACCAAATTCTTTTACTTGTAAATTAATATCATTATTCGGAAATGTGTATAGCCAACGAAACGTATATGGAACTCTCAACTACCGTACATCCTCACATAGACTGTATTCTATTTTGAATGACAATAGTAAGCAAGAATCAATTCTTGAATTGCTCGACGAAGTGGCAAGCAAAGATATGCAAGAGTTTATTAAACAACATTCACTTGACTTGTCTAGCTTGGAAAAGAGAGTAGATTATGACTACTTGCTCAATACCATTGAGGAAATGACCAAAGATCAAGAAAAGAGAGAACTAGCTCGATCCATGGGTGTTGAGGATGATGAGGATTGGAAGTCTTCCGTGTCGTCTTTTCAATTTAATTTTCTCCATCATTTCGAGACGGACTCTAAGTATCGTCATAAGGTTAAGAAGGCTTTTAAAGCTGCTCAAAAAGAAAATAAGGTTCAAGAATTAATCTGGAATTTGTATTTGAAAGACCTTGAACAGCAAATTGAAGAAGAAAAGAATTTACAAATGGCGGATCTCACTGAACCTCATCACTTGTATCCATTAGCCCGACTTAACAAGAGAAAAGTTATTTTCCACATAGGTCCAACGAATAGTGGTAAAACATATAATGCCTTTCAGGCATTGAGAAACGCAAAAACAGGTATCTATTGTGCCCCTTTAAGGCTATTAGCAACGGAAGCTTTTGTAAAATTAACATCCGGTGAAAACCCAATTTCTGCGTGCCAACTTGTTACTGGAGATTTCAAAATTGAGGCAGAAAATGCAACTCACACTTGTTCTACAACTGAAATGGTCGATACACAGAGAGAGGTAGATGTGGCAGTTATTGATGAAGTTCAATTAATTACTGACCCAGATAGAGGGTGGTCTTGGACGCGCGCATTGTTAGGTGTGAGAGCCAAAGAAGTTCACTTATGTGGAGAAGGAAGAGTGTTAAACCTTGTTAAAAAGCTTTGTGAAGATACAGGAGACGAATTGGAAGTGAAGGAATATACTAGACTTACACCTCTCCAAGTGACAAAGAAACCCACTGTTAAAGACTATAGAGATTTGCAAAAGGGAGATTGCGTCGTTTGTTTTTCACGAAAGGAGGTTTTTAGAATTAAGAACGAAATTGAAAAAGCAACTGACCTGAGAGTTTGTGTCGTGTATGGTGGTTTGCCTCCTCAAACTCGAATTACACAAGCTGCGCTCTTCAACCACGAAAATTCTCCCTATGATGTGCTTGTGGCCACTGATGCTATAGGCATGGGACTAAACCTAAATATTAGAAGAATTGTTTTCAGCCAAACAGAAAAGTTTGATGGAAAAGAAATCAGAACGTTAACTCCACATGAAATTAAGCAAATAGGAGGAAGAGCTGGTAGATTTAACAGCGCCTTCGAAGTTGGAGAAGTGACATCGTTTCGTGCAAGTGATTGCCGAGTGATACAGCAAGCATTTGCATACGACCCTTCTGTCGAAGAAGAAGAGCTTAGAGCTGGATTGTTTCCAACAGACGAACAAATTGACCATTTCTCTCGACTCTCACTCGAAACAGGCATTCGAGTGAGATTGAGTACTATTCTTTCCAAGATTTATGAAATGACCAAGTTAAACGAAGGGAAATATTTCATGTGTGACTTGAAGGAAAAGAAAGACATTGCCAACATTATACACCCTATTGAAAATTTAACGACTGCAGAGAGAATGATCTTCGTTAAATCTCCCATAGATCCTGATGAGCAATTATGTAAAACTATGACTTTCAAGTGGGCAAAATTGTACTCTGAAGGAAAATATGTTCCTCTTCTCCTTCCAAACCCAAATTCATTGAAGCCCATCAACACTCTACACAAGTTGAAAGAGCTCGAAGTGATGTACAAATGTTTAAATATTTACTGCTGGCTCAGCTACAGATTAGTACCCTTCAATGAACGAGAAAAGGCATTCCAATATCAAGAAATTATTAGAAGATTGATCGAGGACTCTTTGAAAAAGACTGTTTCACTGGAGAGAGCTGAACAACAAACACGCCAAAGAGCAAAAGAACATCACCAGCGAAATCATCATGGCTATAAGAAGACAAATGTTAAGCGTATCTCAAATAAGCATAAATCAGAAGTACGCAAAATGCTTGCCAAATATGACTTGTAAAAAAACAATGAACTACTAATTTATTAACAATATTTATTTTCACGAATAAAAAGGATATTAATAAACGACTATCATCATCAATTATACTTTGAGTTGGGCAGTTGAAGATGCCACAAGATGTGCGTATTGTGTCAAAATTGGATCTACCTCACCGGTAATAAATTCTTCTGTTTGCACGTTGGCTCTTCCAATGTAGAGCTTTGGATTCGTCATTTCCTTAATCTTTTCTTCAGATAATATTCCCTTAAAAGCCTCATCATTAACTAATCTGTGTAACAGATCATTGGATGCTCCCTCCTCTTTCACTCTTCTTGCAGCTTCTAGAGAGTGAACACGAATAACTTCGTGCAAGACCTGTCTGTCTCCTCCAGCCTTGACTGCTGCCATCAAAATATTTTCGGTTGCCATGAATGGAAGTTCATCCATCACATGCTTTTCAATAACAAGAGGCCACACAACCAATCCATCACACACATTGGCTACAATGTTCAAAATACCATCCACAGCAAGGAATGCCTGTGAAATGCTCAGTCTTCTGTTGGCACTATCGTCCAAAGTTCTTTCAAACCATTGATTAGCGTGAGTATGAGCAGCATTTGACAGAAGTGACATGACGAATCTGGCAATCGAGCAAATCCGTTCGCATCTCATTGGATTTCTTTTGTAGGCCATAGCACTTGACCCAATTTGATTTTTTTCAAAAGGTTCATCCACTTCTTTCAAGCTCATCAATAGGCGAATATCAGTGGCAAATTTGTGAGCAGATTGGGCAATTTGTGACAAGACACTCAAGATTTGAAAGTCGATTTTTCTGGTATACGTTTGTCCACTGACAGGGATAGATTTGGAAAATCCCATTCTTGCTGTTACTTTTCTGTCTAGTTCCTTAACCAATTCATGATCACCATTGAACAAATGAAGGAAGCTAGCTTGAGTTCCAGTGGTTCCTTTAACACCTCTAAATGGAAGATTTTCCAATTGATGAATAAGCTGTTGATAATCAAGCAAGAAATCTTGAAGCCATAAAGTACCTCTTTTTCCAACAGTTGTCAACTGAGCAGCTTGAAAATGAGTAAATCCAAGACATGGCAAGTCTTTGTGTTTGAGGCAGAAATTCTTCAACAATTGCATGACACGCAAAATTTTGCTTTGGATAATTTTTAACCCATCTCTCATTTGAATGAGATCTGTGTTGTCTCCAACATAACAGCTAGTAGCTCCAAGATGAATTATTGGTCTTGCAGTTGGACATGCATCTCCAAAACAATGTATGTGAGACATGACATCATGTCTAAACTTCTTCTCATATTGTGCAGCTTCTTCAATTTCCTTATCCGTAATAATCAAATGATCTTTCATTTCATTCAATTGTTCGTCAGTAATTTGAGTTAATCCTAAAGCCTTTTCCTCCACAGCCAAAGCAAACCACAATTCACGCCAAGTAGAAAATTTCTTCTTTGGAGAGAAATTAAAACTCATCTCTTTGCTTGCATATCGGGTTGAAAGAGGATTATCGCAAACATCTAACTCACTATCGGTAGGTACATAACTATTTTGTACAGTAAATACCACACGTGTATCACATCCCGGTGTATTCTCTAGCACATCATCAGAGGATGATGGATTTTGTTGTTCATTCTCATCGGTATTTTGTGAGATGGAAGAAAAGGCTTCTTGTTCGTTGCTGTTATTCATTTTTTTAAGATCTTTAATCTTAAAGTAAAACACCTCCAAGTTTCGTTCTGGGGAGAACCTATAATCTCCTCCAAATCATTATTCAATCAACTACGTTTGATGCATCCATTGATATCTTTCTCTATATTTTCATGGTCATCAAACTACTTCTGAAAAAGCTCCGAAATTTATTTGAAGTGAGTTGCGCAAAAACAAGAAAAAAATGCCAAAACATTCAAAGAAAGGATCACAGAGACAATCCCGTGCCTCCAAGAAAGACAATCGGGGAGTGAAGAAATTACAAAACAAACTCTCGACCAATACCAATTTTTCAATTACGGCGGAGGTTGCAGCAAAATTAATTTCTGAAAAACAGCAAGTAGTATCGGATCAAGTGCCCGAATCAACAACATCTACGACTTGTAATACGACACAATCAACAACGGAAACAACAACGGCACCAATGGGAATTACTAAAATTGAACCAACGAATAAGAACAAGAAGAAATCAAAAAAGAAATAAATACATTGTTTGAAAGAATGTTGAAATTCTCTCAACAAGTTATTTATTTCAACAATTACAGAAAGATGTCACAGTTCTGTATCTTGTTTCCACAACACAAAATACAAGAAACGGAAATAGACCTCGCCATGTTACCAATCAAGTGAATTCTAACTCTGGATTTCAAAATTGGTGTTGTTCGAACATGTGCACGTATTTAGCCGTTATTCGCTTTACATAAGGCAACTATTCCTCCAATAATGCCAACAAGAATGAGTCCACCGACAGAACTACCAGCTGCAATCCCAGCTATACCTCCAGTACCCAAACCACCAGAACTTCCTCCATTATTGTTGCCATTTCCATCACCACCACTATTTCCACCACCACCACCACCTGTATTGAGTTGACATTGGTAAGTGGAAGTACATGTGTAACCAGAGTTACAATAACCAGAGCCACAACAAGTAGCTCCATAAGGAAGACATCCTGTGGAACTTCCACACGTAGCACAATTGGAGTTACCAGAACAATAACCTGTGCCACAACAAGTACTGCCATATGGAGCACAGATGAAACTACCCGTACATCCAGTTGGAACTGAACGACAACAAATACTAATGCCTGGACAGTATTGATATAAGCCATTAGGTTCGTAACAACAAATGGTGTCTTTGGTGTTAGAAATATCTTTGGAAGATCTAGATGGTGATTGAGATTGCTCAGATGATTGGGGAGAGGAGGAATGAGACATGTTTATGACTAATGGAATGGGATCATGGAGAGTAGGACTGGAAACGGTTTCTTGAGTTTGGGGAGTTGGTATGTAAAGTCCTCCTTTGATGGAGTGAACCAGCAAAGAAACAACAATGAAAAGAAGGATTACTTGAGGTACTTGTTTCATATGTTTTTTGGAATGTGATGAAGAGCTTCTCTCTTTCTTGTTCACCTTTTTATTGTCAACAAAAATCTGAGACCTGTCAACAGTCATGCAAGGAATACGGTCAATTTTGGCAGCTGAAAATAGGATCGTGAAAGAACGATTATAAAACATGGCAACTCTAAAATTTTGGAGCTCGTTAATAGGTTGGTGAACAAGTTATTCAGTTGAATTAGGAAATAGTGTCATCCTTAATGTTTGAAAAACTGTCCAAGCAAATTTTTGTTCCCATTGTAAAGTCTAAAAAATTTGGTTGACTAATATTTTTTAAAAAAATTTGTTGAAAAAAAATTCGTCACAGGTACGTTCACATCCCTTGTCTCATTGGTTTATATTGTGATTTGGTTATGAATGAAACAAAATTCAATGATGTACAACGCAAATATAACTAGATATCGCAATGCCAGCTCACAAGACATTGACCAAGAAGATTAAGCTCGCCAAGAAGCAAAAGCAAAACAGACCAATTCCATATTGGATCCGTTTCAGAACTGGTAATACCATCAGATACAACGCCAAGAGAAGACACTGGAGAAGAACCAAGTTGAATTTGTAAATTCAATGCTCGTCATTTTTTCTTGCTCTTTTAAACCCAATAAATTAAATATTCCATAAATTCACTCCTCATTCTTTTCGGAAGTTGGATATTAAATGTGGTTATTGTTGGTAATTATATGAAATCTTTTGACGAACAACTTGGTTTGATTAGCGCCATATTCATTGGGAACCTCAATATGGGCTTGTCGATCCAATCGCTTTCTAAAAACTAAGTTGTCAACCCATCATCACACTCTCAAAAAATGGGACTATTGCAAGCAGTCCTGTTCTTCTTTGTCAAACAATTCACCTATTCGCTGACAGGAGGCCTCTACTATGAACATGCTGCATACTTTTTCATTAACGTGATACATTTTCTCTTTTATACGTTCTTTATATTATTTCCTTTATTTTTCATATTGGTAGGTGTTTCCTTGTTGTGGTGTAGAGCTCCATTCACTCGAACGAATGACGTCAATTAATACTAATGATGAATATGATGATGCCATTGATGATGAAATTGACACAACAATTGCTACCGTACTACTACTACTTGCATCATGAATTCGACTCCAACATTGAAAAACACATGATCTTGATTCTCGATCATTCCAATAATAACAATGATGATGAACCATTCCCTTCCTTCTGAATTGCCATCATCTCGATGATATTTACACTTTTGAACTTCGGAACACTATGATCGCGCTCTCTAAAAAACAATCACTACTACTGCACACACACCATTACCCACGATTATTTCATTACACACCCTCTCACTCATCATTTCAGGTGTTCGGATTTGGAAATATATTTGCAGAGATCATTTACTCATGTTGCATCTTACTGTTTTTTGGAGTTATCAAGGTCTTCAATTTGTATTTTCATTCTTACTTTGATTCCCATTCGAAACAAGAGAAAATACAGAACACAAAAACAAGTCCTCTTGCAGAAGCCACCAATCTTCTCAACAACAACAATAATAATAATAATAGCAACAACAATAATAATAATAACCACAATAGTAATAGCAACAACAACTCAACAGCCGAGTCTCGGAATGAGGATTCTCACAATCACACCAATATTCTGACAATTGAAGAAGAGGCAGGAGGGAGAAAGCCTACGACTACGACTACTACGAGTGGTGGCACTGGTGGCACTGCTCATGATGAGACAATGACAAGTGAACAGACTCCACATTTAACAACAACAACAACAACAGCTCATGGAGAGGACCTTCATAGCATTGCCATCACCATTGTGGGTAATAGTAACAGTCATAATAATAATAATGAGGAAGTCATTACTACTTCCAATACTCAAGAGAATTCTCTTTCCTCAACAACAACAAGATTGGAAGGAGAGCAAAATTCATCCACTCAGAAAGTGACGCCGTCGACTGCAGTTCCACAATTCGATGGTTCTTCCGATCGTGAAGAGGAGGGAGATCATAACGAATCGAACAAGTCTTCTTCCTCGTCCAGCGACCCGAGTAGCGGAGAAGACTCCTCTGGAACGACCATTCCAGTTCACATTCATCGAACAACAGGAGAAACGACTGTTCTTGGACAAAATGAGACGACAAGCCCATCCAATGCAACATTAACCACGCAGAATGGAAGTAGTCATCCTCCACAAGATCAAATTCCTTCTTCCTCTTCTTCGGATCATGTCAATTCTTCACCTAAAATTCCAGAGATGAGAACTTTTGTGTTTGAATTTGTGGATGAATTTGGAGATATTCAATCGTATGAAATGTCTGTCACATTGGAAGAATATGAACGATTAATGAGAGAAAAGAATAAGAATCAAACGAGTGCTGCCTCTTCAACTTCGACTCCTGTTGCAAATGCTTCAGCTGAAAATGGAGAGAATTCGACTTCAGTTGCTGTTGCACAACCTGCTGCTACTGCTTCTTCTTTACAACAAAAAGACACTAGCTCAGATTACAAAATTTCCATCCTTGGAAAATCTTATCACGTATTTTTTGATCGAAGAACTTTGGAATACTTTTTAGATCGAGATTACAATCCACGAGTGGAAGTTTTTGCAGTTCCTTTAATTGCTTTTGGTGTGGCTTGGATGGGGCTTCGATTGACAGCATTATTGGATCGAAATTGGGCGAGTGTTGTTTTCATGATTTTAGCAATTGCTCAATCTCACTTTTCTTTGATTAAGAGCCCAAAACCTGAAGCCAATTCTCCGTTCCATTTTTCACGAGGAAGTAATTACAGTCGATCGTTTTATGTCTTATTTTTTGGAACTATTGCCTTAATTTGCCATGCCATTTCAAGAGTTTCATACCCATTGTAAGTATTTGAGGAGGATTTTCTCGTTCAATCATTTGTGACTAATATAATGAACTAAAAATTTTCAAAATCCATGAACCTGTGAAAAAACCTATGCTGACATTTTTCATGACACAAAACAATTTCACACGAACATTTACACACAACAACAGTGTGGTGATCTATGGCCTTAATATTAATTTCGGATTAATTTTTCTCTCAGCCAAAGACATTGCAACATTTATCATCATGTGTTTTCCAATTATCTTCCTATTTGGTGTTTTACCGCAACCCATGTCTTTTATATTTGTTTTTTGCGAACAAATTCACATGCACATGTTTGGAGGAAGTGGATCCATCTCGCTGTATGGCCTTTTATTTCAATTATTTTCCTCTCTTGTGACTGTTGGCATTCTTATTGGTGTTGGATACACAAGTTCTCTCAATTTAACATGGACATTCGACTATTACTCTGCATTTTACAGTGGAATTATCGTGTCAGGTTGTTACATTTTAAGTAGAATGCCATCGAATCATCGATTTTACACCTCAATTTTTGAAGACATGGTTGCCAGATATTGGGATAATTATATTCCTCCAAAGATTCGTCATCAAAAATCAAAAGATGAAATTAGAGAACGAAAGAATAAGGAATTGGATTTGAATATTTCAAATGTAAATCCAGTTTGGAGAATTATCAAAGATTTGTCAATTGCAGCCATATGGTTTATTGCGGCTTTTATTCCACAATTATGGGACGCATTCCAAAGAGGAAATCCCTATCTCTTATATGTATTGACAGCTTTGAACGTATTTATTGGAATTTTGTGTTATTACATTTATCCTCATCTCTCAAAACATCATCCATTCACAATATTTAGATATCCTCTCCTTTCAAAGAACCAACCATCTGTCAAGTTTTTAGGAAAACAGAAATGGGTTTGGTACGAACTTGTATTTTATCTTCTACAATGGGTAGAACTTGTATTCTATGTGGTGATTATTCTTTCAAGCATTTCTTCGACTGTTTTCCATTTACAAACCAAATGTCACGCTGGAGTGGCATTAACGATTGCTTCCATTTGTGCTGTGAAATTAATGAGATGTGCCTTCTCAGATCCAACACGATTGACTTCTGCTCTATTTTTCAGTGTGATCATTTCACATGTGGACGCATTTGATATTTCTGAAGGTTTATTAGTTGACTTTTTTGTTTTCACATACATTATGCCTAAAATGGCTGAAATTGGACGCAAATTACAATTCATTTGCATTTACAGTACTCCACTTTCATGGTCTTCTGGTCTTTATATTATCATGCAACCATTAGGACTTCCATTTTCACAATTTTTCTTTGTACAACTCATCTATTCAGTCATTTCCAATGCACCCATGTATCCTCTCATTGGAGGTGCTTTATGGTTTTTGGGATACAGTAGAACTGAAAAATTCTTTGAAAAAGATTATCGAACAAGTCGAAAGGATGTCACTAATCAAACATTGGGGCAAACATTGGAAGGTGGAGGACTTGATCAACACACTGTTGACAATTTGAACTCTATTTTCTATGAACATTTAGTGAATGCATTAAGGGAGAAATTTCCTGAAATTATTAGAAAGGGTCAAGTTGGACCAATTCAACAAGGAGACATTTTTATATTTATTAATGACAACTTGACAGCAATTGTTCACATTATTGAGGTTGGAAGTGGTGTCTTCTCTTTCCAAATTCGTGGTCTTGAATTTAAAGGAACAATTTGCCAAGAAGAAGAACAACGTAATTTATTAAGCCGAATTAACAGGGATGGAGAAGCCATGTTTGACACTTGGTGTGAAGATGATTGTTTATCTCCGTATGGACCAAAATTAGAACTTCTTTCCATTAAGGATATGATCTCGTTTAGATGGCACACTTGGGAAGTTGTTCAAACTGGAATCAAACTCAAAACATATAACATGTTAGAAAACAAGGTGGATAATTTAATGAGTTCCAATGATGAACGAAGAGCTGTCATTACACTCTATGTAAGATCGGTTCTGTATTATGTCATTCAATCGGATCAATTGAATCGTTGGATTGCATTGGATCATCCATTTATTTCACATCTTGACAAAATCGGAAAACAGAAAAGGGAAGATTTGGATCCAGTGTTTACTACAAAATTTGATATTGATTATGAAGCCAATGGAATGGGTGGTATTACTTTTATGAAATTTATGGAAAAATACTCTGATTTTATCGATTATTTCATTGAGGATCGAAAGAAATCTCGAAATGTGAATTACAGTGATGAAGAAATAGATCGAATTCGTAAACTCTGTTTCTTGTCAAGTTTGACAGCACGAAGAGCTCTTGCTTCACACGATGGAACCACTTCAGCACACAGTCTTCGAACATTTATTCAAAAAGTTCACACACTCTTTGTGGGTGATTATAGAATCACCAGTACGAACGATGAATGGGTATTTGGAGATATTAGTATTTTGGATCATTGTATCAAACCTGCCATTTGTATGGCTCTTCGTCTCTATCAAGCAAGATTTGCAGCAGAAGATGTTGAATCACCTGAGGTGGTGTGTAATCTCATTAAGGATGATTTTAAGGATTTAGTAATTACTCATGAAGCAGATCCAAAGTGGAGAGAGAGTATTATGGCAGATCAACCTGAATTGTTCTCTTTGAGAAAGAAGGTGTTAGATAAGGGAGCAATTGATTACTTTATTCTCATGTTGGAAATGAGAGATATTGAGTTTAGTATTGTCAAGTTGAATAAGGAAGGTGTGAGAAGTTTGTGGGCCTCTCAACAACATGAATTGGTATATTTGGGTGTGGAACAACCTGAGAGAGCGTCCATTCAGAACATGTCACACACTTTGAGAAATATCTGTAACTCGAGTATGGACATTCCAATTGGTTACCCTGTGATGGTGAGTTCAGTAACCACAGCTTATTGGTAGGAAGTAAAGTTATTGAAAGTTCAGTTTGCTTGCTTTTTAAGCATTTAGTTCAGTTTTTTTGAATGTTCTTATGGCCAATGATATGACGTGGATATTTGACCATCTTCATATTGAAAGAAATCGATAAAATCACCTTTTATTAACTTGTAACCTTAAATAACATTGAATTAGATGACCACAGACAACATGTCAGACAATCAACAACTATATGAAAACAGCAAATACTTTGATATCCAACTCTTACTCACTCAAACTTGTGCAATTCTTCTTATTCTTCATCTCGGTCTAACAAATAAATTAGAGCGACAATCGATTCAAGGTACGGTAAACCCAATACTCGACCAATGTTGTTGCCACTTGAGGCACAGTCAACAAGGCAGATTTGGCCAACACAGAAACATACGAATCCTTCTTTGGCTTACTTCTCAAAAGGAATTGTTTAGCACAAATCTCAATTGGTAAACACAACAAACGTCCAACCAAGATGCCAACACTTTCCACAAAGACACCTCTTGCCCTTGCGTCGGAGCAGTCTGTATTCACCACTGCTTCATCGCTCACATTACTGAGAGTGTTGTTTGTGGAAAGCATGGAAGTCACTTTGACTCCAATGGCATGAACCAAGAAGGACTGTAACACATGCAGTGCAAATCCTTGCCAATACAAGGTATTCTCAGCATCCTTATTTTCAGGTTGAATGGTATTGAGAGTACGTCCTCGACGAACGGCCAATCTCGACTCCTGATCAAGCAAAATGTAATAGAGAGGGAATGTAGAGGCTGAAACAACGGCATGCTCCAAGGGCTTGTATTGGGAGAAGGGTACCCACTTTTGCTTGTTTAATAAGGCTGTAACAGCAATATGACCCAATTGATACAAAGCAAGCTTAATCAGGAGTGGTTTCTCAAAGTATTGCATCAGACGGGCCTGGCAAGTTGGAGCATTGGAGGCTTCTTCATCCTCACGTTCTGGAGTATCACTGATAGCAATCAAAGTCTTTTGAACACTGAAAGGAGCATACAAGGCAATACGAGAGAGTGCCAAAGCAACAGTTCCAATGGAAGCATGTTTGAGGAATTTGGGAAGGCTGTCTGTCTTTCCGTAGGTACACTTGGTTTTAGTTGTGGAACCGGTTGTGGTTGTAGCTGTTGTGGGATGATCAGTACCAGCATCAATGGTGCGGGTGGTGATGGTTGTGGTTTTGGTTTGGATCATGTCGTCGTTGATGATGGTCGTTTTTAGAGGATTTCAAATTGATTGGTATGGTCGTTCACGATGATGATTCTGTTGTTGAACCGTTGGTTGAAATAGATGGAACGAATGTGATATATTGATGTAGTCAAAGATGATTTGAAACAAGATGAAATTCAAACAAAGTGATCGCTTTCGGATCAATTTTTGAGATAAAACAAGTGTGCACGCGAAGGATCCAGTAAGCTTAATTATTATTTTTTCTGACTGACTTAAAAAAGTTCATCTTCGCAATATGTTGTGTCTTGTTGCTGGATGATGGCATGGCATTGTTGAACAACAAACAGAGAAAGAAACCAAATCTGTACATTGTGTTTTTATATTATCATCTAAAGGATTTGGTGAATTTAACATTTGGGGAGAACACATTTTCTTGCTTGCAAGGCATGACATTTTGTCACAATTCCACTTCATCTGATCTGAGGAAGAGACACTAGATAATTAATAATTTTTTGGTTTATTTATTTAATAATGTAAGCATAATATTCGGAAATGATGGACTTATTGTTCATTTCCCCATTCTCCAGCAACTGCACCTGCTTCATATTCCTCAGCTTCCTCAGCACCTTCAGTAGCAACAACAGCTTGTGGCTTGGCTTCTTGGGTCTCCTTTTGTTCCTTTTCTTCCTTCTTTTCATCCAAATCTCTGTGCAAGAACAAGTCTGGCTTGACATCCCAGACCTTCTTTCTGGAAACAACACCCTTTAATCTCAAAATTTCTCTAGCCAACAACCAGAACATCAAAGCAATGCTGTTCTTACCCTTGTTGTTAACAGGGATAGCAACATCCACAAACTTGAGTGGGGAATCAGTGTCAGCGAAAGCAATGACTGGGATGTTAGCCATTGAAGCTTCCTTGATAGCTTGATGATCAGCTCTTGGATCAGAGACAATCAAAACTCTTGGTTCCATGAAGTTAGATTGGACTTGATTGGTGAATGTACCTGGGGTGAATTTACCAGCAATGTAATTGGCACCAGTGTAGTGAGCAAACTTGAGGACAGCTCTGTGACCGAATTGTTTGGTAGAGATGGCACAGATATCCTTTGGATTTTCAACAGTAACGAGGATACGAGCAGCAACGAGCAACTTTTCCCAAGTCTTGGCAAGGTTAATAATGTGGACACCATCCTTTTGGCTTCTGGTGTGGACATACTTTTGCATGTCGGTTTCCATATTCTTGGTACCCTTGTGGCATTCGCAAGCCAAGAGCATTTGAATATCGTTTGGAGTTGGGTCCAACACTGTGGATTTTGCGTTACTGGTCAAGCTCATTCTGTGAGGATCTATGATTATAAGAAGTAGAGCAAAATTGATGAATAATTTTGGAGCAAAGTAAAACACACAAGGTCAATCTAAGAACTGCGAGCGAATCGATAACGTACTTTTGGCGTATTTTTTTCAAACGATTTTTTCAAAAATTTTTACTCAACCAAATACTGAGGTTTACAATGAAAGTTTGATCAACTTATCAACACTCGGAATCGAAATCTTTGACATGAGAAAACTCTATCATCAACTTGAATTTGAATGAAATTAATTGTGTGTTTATAACACGCGTGGAAAGAGAAAGTTTGAAGAATAATCAGTATTTCCCCAACACGTGAAGAACCATTATACAGCCACAATTTGCTAAAACTAACAACACACTCGGTTCATAACACAAGTGCATAATTACATCAATCCCAGAGAAAACCATGAAAAGCATAATTTCCAAATGATATCTTTTATATCAAATTGCCTTATTTTTCCCTATAAACAAAAGGGAAAATATTAATTCCAATTTCTATTCAAGTCAACATGATTATGAATTCATTCAACCGCAATCGTTTGGCAAGTTGTACAAGTTTTCTAAATTCTCTATTCCTTTTAGAAAACTTGTACAAACTTGCACCACACAAAGGATCGATCGGACTCATATTAATTCATTGAGTAATGAGAAGAATTATTCAAGCGTCAGCCTTAGTATTTTAATGGCAAATACACAAATTAGATTTCCATCAGAAAAGGAAATTATTTAAAATTCCTTCCATTTATCACTTTATGGGTAATCCTCATGGAGAGACATTGTTTCATCGCATTGCCAAACCAATCTCAAGTACTTCTTTATCATTGAAACAATATCATTCATTGTATTGGAAAGGGCCTCATAACCGAAGTTCAATCCAAACATCGAAATACCACAAATTAGACTTTTCATGTGTGGGCGAACAGCAACAACAGCAAGATTCATTCATCCGCATGCGCCACACATCTATTCTAATGGATATCATTCATACTCGCTCATTCACGTGTTTCTGTGGTGTTGATCAACCGTGTCGACACTCGTACACACACACGCATTCAACAAAAACTACCTTTTCCAAACAAAACAAAAACATCCAAGATCATTCAGCCTGATTCAACCCATGTCTTCACAGGTACCTCAAACTCAACAAGGTGCCTCCTCGAGTGGAAGTACCAGTAGCAGTGGTGGTGGCGGTTGTTCAATGATTGGACAACCTTCTCCCCTCACATCGTCCTTCTCAGCATCATCATCCTTGCCTGTCCATGAACGGTCATCGACCTCTCCAACGACGAACGCAATGATCTCCGCCTCCTCAACTCCATCTTGGTTGCCTTCCATGGGTACTAATACTAATGGCGGTGGCGACAAGGTTGCATTGAATGCACCAACCACTGGCGATCTGAACAGAACATCGAATGCTCCATTATACTCCTCATCGTCGACCTCCTCCTCACTCTCAAACATTGGACCATCCGCACCATCGAATGATCCAATCAAAACGAACAACTCGAACATGAGCCCCTCGCCTAACACGAATAGTTTAACAACAGTATCCTCAACATCGCCTCCATCAGTCACTGATTCTACCTTAAGACCTGCTCTTACATTTGTGAATGGATCGAACGACTATCAAGCTGAATTCACATGTCATCCTGATTTCAGATTGAATACCAAGACAAAGAATCCACCAAATACCAAGTTCAATGTTTCGATTAAGGATGTTCTTTTTGTCACCGGTGTAGATTTGGGAGATTGTGAAATGTTTCTAAGATTGGACAATGGAACCACTCATGGTCAACCAGTGTGTAGTTGCTTCTTCAAACCTCTCACTCCTTATATCGATTCATCCACCAATAATAGGGAAAAGAAAAAGAGATTGTATCAAGCTAAGATTGACATTCCTCCCTCTCTCAACACAAAGAAGGGAAATAGTTCTTCTCGAGTTGGTTTCATTGAAATTTATGACTCGAACAACAAATTGGTTGCAGTGAGCGACAAGTTTTGGATTCGATCTCGATCGAGGGACCAAATGCTTAAAGATGAGACCACGAAAAAGAGAGCACGTTCCAATCAACAAGCATTCAGAAAGAGCACTACTGCCATTCATAACCAGAGCCCTAGCAATACCACTCCAACCTTTACATCGTCCAGCAATACCTCTTCCACAGAACCATCCCTTAAAAAGATGAAACAAACACCAACCATATCTCGAAACTCTTTAATGTCACCTCACCTCTCATCGCCACAACCTCCTCAGAATGTCGTCTCTCCAAACAGTGCCTCTCATTCGAGAACATCGAATTTTGCCTTTGGAAGTCCTCAACGATTTTCAACTTCTCTTCACAGTCAAAACGTTGCTTCGAGTTTTGACAACACCATGGGAAGTCCATGTGGTCGAACACAGGCCTCTTCCTCACTTGAGAGTCCACAGCTAGTTCTTCCAAGTAGTAGTAACCTGAAACCAGAATCTAGTCATACACTTCCTCCGCTAAGAGACATCTTTTCTCCACAAATGGTGGCCAATGCTTCTTCATCGAATATGGTCGAGTATTCCAACATATCAGCAACAACAATGAAACAAGGAGGAGGAGAAGACCAACCACGTGCTGCTCAGCAACCCATTCGCAGTGTGCATCACATGCAACAATCACCAAGCGGATTTGCTGCAAAGCCACAACAATATTCACAAAACGCAACCTTACTGTATTCCAACAACAACCAAATGCAGGATTCAAGCTCAGAGAATCTTTTGAGGACTTTGGAGGATTCTCTCCACCAGCAACAAGATCAGATCCAAGAATTGATGCGTTTAATTTCCAACAACGCACAAGCAATCAATAGAATGCAAGAGAAACTGCATGAAATTATGTTGAGCTTGTCATCCGTGCCCAATAACAATCCGTAGGATATCAAGCAAGTCCGTGAACAATTCTCCAAGGACGGGCTCCGGAGTTAAACTCCGTAAGGAAAAAATTGAAAAAGTTTTTAGTGTTCACGGCGGAAATAGCATTTCTGTGAAATTCCAAACAAAAAAACACAGACACACTCAAAGTTCTCACACTCTCTCGCAGTTCTCTCGCTCACTCAACTAGTTGTTGTCCCACCTCTGTACATACTCTAGCCATTAAAGAACTTTTTTATCAAATGCTGAGGCTCTCTTTGAAACGCTTCCAAATGTCATCCATCATTCTAATGGTGGTGGTGATAATGATGGCAGTAGCAGCAGCTCTTTCCACACTCATCACCAATGTACATGCAGACATGTCCTCTCCCATCATTTCACCCAACGAATATCCTAGCTCAGTTCGCACTCCCCAATTCAAACTCTATTGGAAATTCCACACTCAAACACCCAATCTCTTACAATCGACAGACATGATTGAATTTGCCATTCAAGCTCACACTCGAGGATGGCTCGCTTTAGGTCTCGACTTTCAAGATGGTATTGGTATGAAACAAGCTGATTGCTTTATTGGATTCTTTGATGAAGAAACTTCTCAACCCATGATTTATGATTTTTGGCTTCCAGGAAAATCCATTCCCAAGAATGATACCTTATTTGGAGGAGTGGATAATATTCTACAACGCACAGGAAGTCTCTCTTCACAAGGAGTAACGACCTTAAAATTCACACGACACATCGATACAGGAGATGTTCATTCGGATCATGTCGTGAAAAACAAAACCATTGCCATTAGTTGGGCTTTCAATGTTCACACTCGAGACATTACACAGAAACATACCTATCATGGAGATTTTGAAGTGAATTTAGTGACACATGTGGGAGAGTTGAATTTGTATCCAGAACCTATTTTGCAATTTCATTTGATTGCTACTGGAGGTGTTGCGTTGGTGATGATTTGCTTTGGTTTGTCGTATTCAATTTTTTCCATGAAGGAGAAGAATTTTTTTATCGATTTTGTTTTCCATAAGAGGTTATTTAAATTAATTAGGAATCGATTTTTGGGGTCCTTGTTCAACTCGATTCTTGATTTAACTTTGGGAGAGGTGTTTTTGGTGATGTGTCATTTATGTTTGGTCGCCACATGGTTTTTGTTTGGATTTTTTAATTCCACTTCTTCACAGGTGGCAAAAGGTTTGGCCTATGCGTTGATTTTCAGTTTGTCAACCACTCTCTTGCCTATGACACGTTACTCGATCTTTATTCATGTGTTTGGAATTTCATTTGAGAGAGCTGTGAAATTCCATAAATGGGTAGCTCGAATGAGTTTTTTATTGGCCACAAGTCATGGCATCATGATGGTCATTGCAAGAGCCAATGACAACAACTTGTTGGATTTGGTGAGTGTGGAATCACCTGATTTTGTATTATTTGGACCTATTGCTTGGTTTTCCTTGTTATTCTTGATGATTTTCTCGTTGCAAACAGTTCGAAGAAAATTATGGGAATTATTTAAGGCAGTGCATTACTTGTTTGTTCCAACTCTATTGGTCATGATTTCATTGCATGGAAAAGGATGGTCTCGAACACTACCAGTTTTGTCCATTTCATTGTTTTTGTTGTTGGTGGATCATACATTGAGATTGGTGTTGGGATATTTCGTTCCCACTCGAGTCTCTCGTTTGGACTACAATGAAGAAACACAAATCACGACGTGTGTATTTGAAAAACCACAATTTGCATTTTGGTCTTTGGATCGAGAAAGTTTGGGAATGGGCAAATTTGTGTATGTGTACTTGCCAAGAGTGAGTCCATTCCAATCACATCCATTCACTATTAGTAGTTACACCAAATTAGATTCGAGTGTGGAATTCACCTGTCATGTGAAAAATTTAGGTCATGGATGGACACAATCACTCGCCAAGGTGGCCCAAGAAAAGGATCACTCCTCAACAGAATTAATGGTTCGTGTCGAAGGACCGTATGGTAAACTTTCGGTCCATTTACCTTCCTACTCGACCGTGATATTGGTGGCAGGAGGAATTGGCATCACACCGATTCATGCCATTTATTCGGAATTGATGGCTCATAAGGGATCAAATCAAAACATTTATTTGGTGTGGACCATGCAAAATAATGCATTGTTGCAACTTTTTCCAGCTCTGTTGAATCAGAAAGAGAATGTGAAACAGAGTTTCTATTTCACACGACAGGAACAGTTTAATGCAGCTGCTGTTAATGGTCATTCAGATGCGAGAATGCACTTTGGAGAACGACCCAATTTTACCAAGATCTTGGAGAACAGTGTCATGTCAAGTGTGGATTCATTAAGTGACAAATATGCTGCTGTGGTTGTGTGTGGACCTCATGAAATGATTGTCGATGTGAATAATGGAGCAAGAAATGCCTCGAAATCGACTGGTGTGAAGTTTCACATCCACAAAGAAGTTTTCGAGCTTTAAAATTGCCATGAAATTGTATTCCACTTTAAATAAATTCTTGAAAATCTCATTAAAATTGCCAAGTTATCGAACACATGTGACGAAAGTGTCAATCAACGGATTTATCTTCTAAAATGGCTGTAATAATATCCAAGCAATAAAAATCAGCAATTCGATAAATATAATTCCATTTGTTTTTCTTGTTCATCCAAGGATCAATTCTGGATGGAGGTGTTAAATATAAAAGGTCTACCAGATTAATCAAATCATTTTCATTCAAGGTGACTGGGTTTAAAAGTTCAATGCAATTTCTTCCTCTTTCTTCAAAACCTGCTGAAAGCATTCTCTCAAAGAATTTGGATGTCATAACAGCAACAGCAGAATCAAGAGTGATACTTTTAACTCTGTCTTTCTCTTGGTCGTGTATGAAGAGTGTTAAATCTCCAGTTCTTTGAGAAGCATCTAAATCTTTCCGTAGTGAGCGAAGAAAAACTAATAATGTTGGCATTGGTTCAGCCAAATACAGTCGATTGCATTGAGTTGTTGAGAATTTAAGGTTTACATTCTTCACGTCTCCGCTGATATTTGAAGGTCCATTTGATGAACAACAAGTCCCCTGAGGAGGTACACAATGTCTAGTTTGTTTGAATTGCTCAAGTTTTGTCAAGATGATTTTTGGGAGCTCTGAACAATCATTGATTGGAACTTTCATCCCATTTCGCTTCAGAAATGAAAGACAGAGCATTTCAACTCGAGGTACATGTTGATACGATTTGAGAATACAGGTTACATTCTTTTCAGTAATGAGGCCTGTTTCTAATCTTCGTAAAAGATATGAATCGAGTGTAGGTCCTAAAGCAGGGAATTTGATGGTCTTTTCTAGCAACTCTAAAATGTCATTCACCTCACGAAAGTCAATATCTGATCCATGTAAATAATCAATGACATCCGAGAGTTGTGATGGGTCAAATGGAGTTTCAACAATTATGGGTTTATCGCAGCGGATGTTCCCAAACTCTTCTCCAAATAACCTCATGGCTATTACTTGGCTTAATTGAAAGCTTTGTCTTCGATCATGAGAGGTCACAGTGACGAATGGTATTGGAAAAGTAGGATTAGAAATTTTAGAAACATATTGTTTCAAGTAGTCGCAATTGGTAATTTTGTACTCTAGTTTTGTGACATTTGGAAGATGAGGTTTTTCAGCACAAGGGTTGTATCCACCAATGGAATACACTCTATTGTAATTGTCACAATAAACCAAGCAAGAGTCAAATGGTATCGATAGTGCCAATCCATCAGATACCTTATACCATGTGTTGCTGTAGATGTCGATGATTATCATTTCGTCAATGTAATGCCTTCGATCGAAATGATCGTTAATAAGACCGTTGCATATTACAAAATATCGATCCTCAACTATAGTGCTTGATTTGTTATAGGACATGATAAATTGACGATGATCATCATAGGTCAAGTATGTCGTCAGAGTGTTATCGTGACGATCTCTCTCAAAGTGTTTTCTTCGCAATAAAGAAGGAGCTTTGTATAAGGTCCATTCCTTTCTTTTAAATGAATACACATAGAGATTGTTGGATAGTGGGCCAAAAGGTTTCTCTCTTGTTTTGCCCCCATAGATTAAGAGTTCATCTCTTGATTCACAATACTCCGAACAATGATAGGCAACTTTTGTGAACATTGTAGATGTGTCATGCTCATCATTATATTCTTCGTCACTATCGGTCGTGTGACCACTGGTAGCAATTTTAGGCGTATTTCGATGTCCACCTCTTTTAGCCTTTTTCGAATAATCCTCAGAGAGATAGCGCCACGTATTAGTCTCCAAATTGATCTCAATAATTTCATTTGAATATTGGTCTGTGTTATATTCATATCCAGCAACAATGTACAAAAAATCGTCTCTCACAAATGCCGAGTGGCCCTCTCGCTTTGGAAGCTTCTCTTGTTTTGAATTGTTTCGTATTGGTGTCAACACGTTCCATTGTTGCTTATCAACATCAAATTCATATAAATTATTCGATGTGACCACAGAGTTTGTTCTTCCACCAAACACATAGATTTTTCTCCTCTTTTTACAAACACAAAGTGAATGGTAAAAACATGGATTTAAATACATGGGAACTGCTCTTTGTGGAGTCATGTTATTGTGTCCATTTGATGACGAACAAGATGGCTGTGAGGCATTTAAGGTTGAATGATCTAGACTTGGGTTGGGTGGATTAGCATTACTGCCAGTCATTGATGTCTGTGCTGAGGAATAAGATACATTTTCGTCAATAAATGGTGACGATATAAGTGTCGACAGTCGTTTCCATTTTTCATTTTCAACATCATATTCTAGAAAACAGTTAGAGTTCAACTCTTTTCTTGTACTGCCTCCAAACACATAAATTCGTGAATTTAAATATACAGCTTTGTGCAAATGAATACCCAGAGGTAGTGACTGAGGAGGTATGATAGTATGATTTCTGCAACAAGATGAAGATAATTTTTCACTCAAAGAAGATGGTCCTCCAGTTCGTGGATTTGCAGGTGTATATCTGTAGTCTGCCTTAATTTGTTGCTGTTGTGATGTGTTTGTCATGAGAGTGTGAATGACTTTGATTTCACACAAGTGATGGCGAGGATTGGAGCATTTCGAGTGCTGTCGATCGTCTCCTCTGATCATACTTTCACCACAACAGTTCACACCACTATGATGGTTTGCTAAGGTGCCTTCACATTCCAAGTCTAAATTAAAAGTTTTGTACTTGTTTTGCGTCAGCGATGATGAATTGTTTTCATGTTGTTCTTCTTCTGAAACTTCTATCCATTTCCCGATACATTCGGAGTGTTGCAGCAGCTTCCTTTCGACACTTGGCAAAATGCCCATTTTTTCATTTGTTGTGCTGTGTGTAGAGGATCATCCGCTAAGACTATGTATTGCAGCAAAAGATTTGGATTTGTATTATTTCCAGGATGGAGTTGATCTTGTCTGCTGTTTAAATGGCATCAGAACATTAAAATGTTAAATTACTATAAATCAAAATTTCCATTACAGGTAAATTTCAAAGCATCCCCAACAAGTAAAGGCTGAAATATATTTGAAAATTCATGGAGGATATTCTTAAGCAGCTTGTTTCCATATCATTAAATTATGGCGAAATAAAGTTCGTTAAATTTGTATATTGAAATCAAGACCACACACAATGAATGATGGAGAGAGGCTCTGCTTCATCGTGGACGATACAGAAAGAGCTCCGATCGGTTTTGGCGCATTTTTTGAAGGTATGAAATCATTCATGCAACATGTAGATCATTAGCAAGATTTATCAAAGACCTGTTCATTTGTTCATGATCTCACTCCAAATGAGAGTGAGAAATGAATGATGTCTTGTCTTTCAAAAATCTCACCAAAGCATTCATGATGGAAATTAGAAGATGGCCCCAAAAAGACTTCCTTCCAATTTAAACAAATTTTCATCAAAAAAAATTATTGGATATTTTCTGTGTGGTTATTATTATTGGACCAAAGGTTGCTGTTGGACGATAAAAAGGATTTCGGAAATTGTGTTTTTTAAATTTAATTTTCTTGTACAAGAAATATGGGAAACAGCCCAGTTCCATCATCTGTATCACCAATACCAACATCGGGGAGTGGATATAACAATGTTAATTATTCAAGTTCAAATACGTCGTCGATTGGAGGAAGAGTCTCTCCAATCATGACCACATCATCAACTTCATCACAGCAACAACCTCAAGCTCAACTCTATTGTGATTTCATTCCGGGTGATGAAGTCAAGGTGAAACGACTGCAATATAGCAATATGGCATTTCCGTTAGGCACATCACCAAACTTTCTCGTGAATTCAACAACAAATCCTTCCTATCCTCAAACGAGTTCCTCTTCTGTGCCAAACACTCAATACCATTTGAATTATCAACAACAAGCCTATTCCAACATTGGAGGCCCAAATACTGTTGGAAATTATAGCTACGGAAATAATGGTTATTACGACAATAATAACAACAATAGCTATGGCAACAACAACAACAGTATTGGAACAGCAACAACAACCACATATAATAATACTAATGTAAATAACGCAATTACAACAACAACCACAAATAATAATCAGAAGAAACCTCTTTCTCCCCTGCAAGAGGAGCACATGTATCCGTCATTTACCGAGAATGAACTGCACTCTCCCCCTCCAATTCTTCCATCCAATTCCTATAATCCACCCTTGCATTCACATTATTCATCGACACCATCTTACACTACTATCCATCATTACAACAACCCATCATCAACCACAACAACAACCAATAATTCTTCTCGGAATACATCCAATCCATCATCACATCCTCATGGTGCTGCAGCCAAAAATCCTTCGTTAAAGATTGCAACCGCAAGCAAGACCAAAATGGTGGATGATTTTGTGTTGATTGATCCTGCGAGTCCTCTTGTAACACCTCCAACGACCGTTTCTGTAATTCCAACAAGTAGTAATAGTCCTTACTGTGTACAGCAACCTCAACCACAGCAACAACCACAGCTGTCCAACAGCAATAGCTCCTCATATCTCAACAATCAACCTCAATATAATTCCCTTTATAATTCCAATAATAATTCGTTATTGAACCCATCCTCAATAAGGTATGACATAACGGTTAATCCTGTACAGGCATCAAATTTGAGAGGTACACATTGGAATTCTTCGTATCATCAGCATCAACAACCATTGTCATCACACAATACAAATAATGGTAGTAGTAGTGCTGGAGTATTGCTTACAAATACCTCAACAACAGGTCAAGTAAAAGGTAGTTATTTGGGTCAACCAGGAAGAACGCCTGTCACAGGTCAAGAACATCCTCAATTTGTGATGCCTCCCCCACCATTCCCCATCAACGACCTAAATAGTTATCAAAAACACTCATTTCCAACCACACAATATTCATATAGTCAAATGGCTTTCTTTTATCCATATTTATATGACGACAATTTCTATAATTCAGTTCATATTGTAAAATCAGTGAAAGTGAGACTTGTACCTGCAAATGATCAGCAACAATTATTACAGCCTCCCTCAACAAATTATTATGGTGTTGGACAACAATCCAGTAACATGTACACGTCACAAAATTCAACAAAATTAACGGTACCACCAAACCCTAATGTAGTTCCATCAACTCCTCAATTGATATCTGTTGTAGAAATTACACTCGAGGATGACCCATATCAGTTAATTTTCTCGGCGAACGATTTGGAACAAATACCAAACGAAAAGCATCACCAGAGAAGAATTGAATATAGAATTATTGAGAGATATGTATCGTTGTGTAGACAAACACAATCCTATGTTCCAACATCATCCTCTACAACTCCATTCCCCGTTATTGATCCAGTGCCATATATATTAGATCTCTACACGGAGCATATTAAAAAAGGAATTGCATTGGTACGACTGGACTTGGTTTCTCTCGGCCTTGGTGATGAAGATGTTAAATGTATTGCATGGACATTATTGCCACCATGGTCAGTTGGGTCATCAGTGCGAAGATTGAATCTAAGCGGAAATAAGATCACTTCAAAAGGAGCTCAATACATTTCGAACGCATTTATGAACTCGGCACCTCAATTACAATCAAAGAAAATGTCGAATAGTGCCTTCGCTGTCAAAGAACTGGATTTAAGTTTCAACAAGGACATTGGATTTATCGGTGCTCAATTTTTAGCTGGCATGTTAATACGTAACACATCACTTACATATATTAATCTTGCACAGACAGGTATCACACCTCAAGGATGTGATTTGATTCTTAATGCCCTCATTCAAAACAACGAAAGTTCCATTATCAAATTGGATCTCAGACATGACATGGTGGGAGAAGAGCAAATTAAGAAAATGTGCAAGCTTGCAGAAATTCGCAAGTCCGTATGCTTTTTGGAATTTTATCCTTATAAAGAAATTACAAACGGAAATGCCAACGAAGGAACAAATGAAGAAGGTTGGCTGTCGTACGACGGATGGGTCAAGCATGCAATGCTAAGAGAGTTACTTGAAAAGAATATCGAATATATGAAAGATCATCCTAGCAAATTACAAAAGAAGGCTGCTATGAGCATTAATAAGACGCCGTCTGCATCACCAGCCTCTGTCGATAGTAATTTGGACACCCTTAATTCAATGATAAACTCTATTTTCACAACAATATCAGGCACAAGTAGCAGTTCAACATCCAGCAAAGAAAAGGAACTTACCAACGATACGGAGTTATCATTTGATAATGATATTTTCAGTTTGAGCATGAGCTCATCTTTGAAAACTGAGAATGTGGTCAATTATCTCAAGTTAAGCGGAGAGGATGATATTGATTCAACACCCCCAACATCATACTTTGACGATTCCTCAATTATAACTTGCGCCATTTGTTATGAAGACAAAAAGCCAACAGATGGAACTGTATTTTTCATGGAGGAGTGTGAACATAAGTTTTGTAGCGCATGTATTTTTGAGTATGTCAAAGACAAAATCGAGAAGGGCGAAGTGGACAGTATTCAATGTCCAGAATGCAATAGAAGTTTATCGGTTATGGAAGTCAAACAAATTTTGAATCAAGGAAAGTTGAACAAAATTTCACAAGATGGTACCTCTCATATTGAAGACGATGATTTGTTTGCCAAGTATGAAGAGTTTTCTCTCAAGAGAGCACTTGGAGGAATGAAGGATTTGTTGTGGTGCCCTAATCCTAAATGTGGAAATGCAATTATCGTTGAATTTAATCAACCAACGCCCTTGCTCGGAATTTCATCACCCATGTCTCCGAAGATTTTAGCTCACAAGCACTTACCTTTGCAAGAGATTCCAACTGGAGGTGAGCCATCATCTGTGTCAACAACTGCCAGCACTCAACCACAGTCTTCTCAAACGACAGGAGGTGAGCAGTCATTATTAAGCCCAATTCCAAGCTTTAGAAAAAGAATGCCATCTGTTAAAGTGCATTGTTCTCATTGTGGTTGGGACTTTTGCTCCAAATGTGTACAAAAGTTTCATCCAGGTCTGACTTGTGAGGAAAATGACGCAAGAAACAAATCTAAACAAGACGAACAATTTAAAGAATGGATGAAAGATCAAGGAGCTAAAGTATGTCCAACCTGCGGTGCTGTCATCCAAAAAACACGAGGTTGCAATTCAATGCAATGCAGCCAATGCAATACCAAGTTTTGTTACTATTGCGGAAAAGCTTTTGAGAGTTCTGAACGAGAGCATTACAAAAATTGTTACAAATGGAGTCTATTTGGATTCAATTTATAAATTAAGGTGTTTTGAAATGGTCTCCAAAAGAGACAACAAATCTGGCGTTCCCAACTCCCAGAAATAGTGTTACATTAGCATTTGGAAAGCACTTAACATTATGAAAATTTTCTATTTAAACCACCACTTCGCCAAAAATATTGGTTGGCCATCGATTGTTGGGTTTCTCAGAGTTTTATCAAATGTTTTTGTTACATTAGCATTTTGGCTTCAGCCCAGCAAAAACACTAGAACGCAGATCGAATGAACCAAATAAAGGAATGTTACACTGGCGGAGTGGTAGTTGGGAACGCCAGCAACAAATACCTTATGCAAGTTAAAATTTGACCAGTAATAATTTTAATTAACCTGTTAGAGTTGTTATAATTATTTTGGAATTAGTCTTTTTTTGGTATTAAGTTATCTTTTTCAAAAGTGTTGTTCATTTTACTACATGCATGCAACAGAACTAAACATTACAAGTGCAAAATGACTCGAAAGTTTATTACAAAACAACATCCATCTCGACCACCAAGAAAACCATACAATGTTACTCCTGACAACATTAGAGAGATCATCATTAAAGCTTTTTTGGACGACGAAAATTGGGCACGTGTGGCTGTCGAATGTGGTGTGAAAGTTTCGACAGCTCGATCCATCATCAAAAAGTACAAACGAACTGGAAAAGTTGCAAAAGACAAGAGAGCCGTAGAGAACCAATCCTCAAGGGACCTAAAGTTGAATATATTCTTCAAGTGTTTGTGCAGAAAATCCAGAAACCGCTCTTCAAGAAAAATTGAAAGCCAAATTTCCCGAGAGTAAACCTCCAGCATTGGGCACTATTAACGATTTTCTTCAAGAACATTGACATGACAACATCATTTTGTTCTTACGCCTCTTCCAAGAGTGACGAGAGAAAGCAGTTTGTTGAATGGTTGGAAAATGTTAATTGAAGAAAACCAAACCATTATATGTTCAAACACATCACATGGACAACCCAAGCAATTCACCACCACAATTACATCCTTCGAATGATTGAAATAAAGAATAACATATCATAGATCTGAAGAACTGGCAATTTCAAAAAGTGCGAATTCACATGTGAAATTGAAGTACACCTCTTGGTGAACTTGGAAATTAGTTTGAAATTACAAGACATTCATCTCTGAATCTCCAAAAAAAACAGCATGACAGGATTCTCTAAAAAACAAAAGAAGCGAAAAGAAAAACCACTTGCTTCTGCAGAATCCATCGTAGACAAGAACAACATTCTAGATTTAAATTCTGTGAAACGTTATGTTCCAAAAGTGTCACTTCCTACTTGTCTCTCCGAAAGTAAAATGAAAACTCCAAAATCTGTGTTGTGTATTGTTCCTCCTGAAGAAGTGTGGGAACCTATTCAAGCCATTCGAAATAGGTATGCAAATGGTAGGTATTAGATTTCGAATGTTCATTCCGAATCATTATTGACATTATGATAAAAAATTCATTGATGACTTTGATTATTGACATGATTGTAATTCAACAGTTGCACGATGGCCACAACCTCACATTTGCATCCTCTATCCATTTATTCCAAAAGAATTCTATGAAGAAGGACTTGGTCTTTTGACTCCCATTCTCTCACAAATCAAACCTTTCCAAATCACCCTGTCAACCTTCAATTATTTTGACACCATTCAACATTTAACAGACGACGGTTTGGGAACCATTCATTTGGAACCTGATCAACAGTCGATTGAAATATTGAGAGAATTACAAAAATCTGTCATGAAACCATTTCCCTATTGCAATGCATTAGTGAAAAGAAGATCATTTAATCCTCATTTAAGTGTTGGAGTGTTTGAAAGTGGAAAATTGAAAGATTTTATGAAAGAATTTCAAGAGGGGTGGAAGAGTGTGAGTTTTATGGTGAAAGAAATTTGTATGAATCGAGAAAAAGATAATGTTTCACCCTTTGAGATTATTCATCGTATTCCATTGTCTTTACAATCATCAAATTAAAAATTGAGAGTTGTGTTTTTAAAAGGCATGAATTTGATGATTATTCAATGAATTTAAAAATGTCTTTCAAAATGACCAATGTGACACATGTGGTTCAATAAGCAAGCGAATGACCATTGACAATCGTGAGACTATTTAAAATTATTTGGAAAGGACAGTCGTCTCTTCCGGAGTATATATGAGTTCGATGAATCTTCAATAAAATCTGAGATTATGTTGTTGAGACAGTTCACAAGCCCTTTCGCACTTTATCCATTTAAGGAAGTATTCGATAATTCCTACACTAAAAAAATGAAACCATCAGTCCTTCATCATGGACGTTGTGATCATCCAGCGGCGGGGAGCAGTAGTTCCACTGATGAGATGAGTGTGGACGAGCGTGAGGACAAGAATATTCAAACAACACTGCCATCATCACCACAACAACAACAATTCAACAACAATATTCGTATCGGAATGGAAAGGGGACGTGATGAGGAAGTGTCAGATCGGAACAGCCAGAGTTATCAACCGACAAGTATGAATAATTATCAGCTTACGGATCAGCAGCAAATAATTATGTCATCATCATCAACGACATCAACCAATAACGTTTTATTCACAAATAATCCGAGTGGATCCTTTTACAATAATATTATTAGACGAGAGAATCGATTGAAAATGCATAAAAGAAAAGCCACGAGTGGTGTCCCGTTTCAGGACTGGGATCCTGATGTGAGAGAGAAGAAAGTAAAGAAGTTTGTTCAAGCTTGTTCTGATGGTAATTTTGTGCAAATGTACAAGCTATTTAGAGAAGGAGTTGATATTAATACAAAAGACCGATACGACGAATCAGGACTGTATAACGCTGCCAATGAAGGACACTATACTATTTTAAAGTTTTTAGTGAAACATGGTGCAAATATTGATGCTGCCAACAGTGGAGTAAGTGTTACTAGTTCAGTAATATCATAAATTTTGTAAAATATTTAAATATTTATAGAGTGTAAGTAATTAACATTTAGGAACAAATTTTACTGACATTTAATCAAAACAGTTAAAAGTATGTTAATTCATGCACATTTATTAATCAATTCAATTATTAATAATTTTTTCGGCGACCAATCTTACACAGCAAGTAAGTATGACTTTCATAAGAACGTGAAATTAAAAGCATGACTTGAATAATATCACCACAAACAGACTGCTCTTTGGATCGCTTCATATAATGGAAAATTTAAAGTAGTTCAACGATTGCTGAAATTAGGAGCAGCCAAACAATTGCGATGTTCTCCACTCATCGACAACACCACTCCAGAGGAAATTGCACGAGAACAGGGTTTTGAGGAAATTGCTAATTATATAAGAAATTTTGATGCTGAAAATTATCGTATTTTCAAAAATTGTAAAAAGGTAAGGCGTCACAAGATCTTTTCTTTGTCAACCTCTGATACTTGGTTAGAGATTCAAAACACGACTGGTCAACCAGCAACAACTATTGTACAGTAACACCTTTGTAGATATCATCATTCAATGCTCAAATGAATACGATGGCACTCATCAAGACGAAGAATCAGTTTGTACTGAAATTAGTCTTAATTTGAGACCATCCAAGAACAAGAGACCAAAATTTTCAAATGCAAACTTGGCTTTAGAACCATATTCCAGTGTCTTGTATGTTGCAGATCAACCTTACTATTTTTATACATGTGAGTGTTGTAAAGCACCATTTTTCAGTACTCTCTCAGAATATGACCATTATCTGCTCCACAAAATTGAGCACCATAATAACACCCTTCTTACTCATAGCACTTCGATATATACACTTAACAGCAACAATACATTGTCACATCCAGCTCAGGCTTTAACACAACATGATTCGGATGCCTTAATGGAAGATGACAGCCATGACATTGAACTACCTCCTATTGAATGTCCTAACGACTTTGAGGTTGGAAATGGACGATTGTTTTTCAGAAGCACCATGGCATCTGATGTCGACATTGAAAATATTCATGAAGTAGCTTCAATATTTTTTGAACCATGCATCATGCTTCCTCTGCCTGTTGACCAACTATCTGGAGACATGTTCCACATGCTCAAACGATTTCATTCGCAGGATAGCTCTGTAATAGTTGACAATGAGGAGTTTTATCCAAAGAAAAAGAAGAAATTCGACTCGTAGATTTGTTTCTGAAATAAACGAGTTCAATATATTTATGCAAATTTATCGAGATGAACAAATTCAACCTTTGGAAACATGTCAGCGATTGGCTTCTCTAAAGAACTGTCACACTTCTCCCCGTACATGCACAAATGCTTCAAAGAACGGCTATAAACTGGAGAAGAGGTTTGTTCAGGAAGAACATTCGATAAATTCCAATTCTTGGATTCTACAATGAGTGTTTCCAATCGTTTTGCCTTGGGGAGTTCCTTAAAGAATTTTCCATCCACGTGGTTGCAGTTACGGATATCAATAGTTTCCAACTTTTTACACTTGTCAATACATGCAGCAATATCCTCATCTCTAAAGCACAAATCAATATTATTTCCTTTTTCTGTTCCTACAGTACAGGCATAAACAATAATGTTGACAAGGTTAGTACACTTCTCAAAAATTCGACTCCACATGTTCATACTTGGGATTACATTTGTGTCAAGGGTGCAATAAAGGATTTCCAAATGTTGAATATTACTGGCAGCATTGCTAGATGTCAAAAACTCCGTTAGCGCTTCAATGTTCAAATAACATTGATCAAATACAATAGACTTTAACTTGGTGCTATCATTGAAACATCTTCTAAAGAGAGACTTGTCACATCGGATACTTCCCAGATATAAGTGTTCTAATTCTTTGTACATGATCTCTTCTTCTCCATTAACGTTCAAATTCAAAGTATTGTTCTCTTCTTTTTCTTCAATATAGAGTGCTTTAATGGTTGGAGCAATAATTTGTGAAATTTGCACAAAATCGTTCTTTGGAAAACCTCCTTGTATTGTTAATTCTTGGAGAGTGAGAGAGCACTTGTTAATAACTTTTACAAGAGTGGAAGTCATAGCGTCTCTTGCAGAGGTCATGGCATCAACTTTTAAAGATCTAATACTTGAACTATGATTGCCGATCAATTCAAAAACTGAAGGAGTGCAAGGAAAGGTATCAATTGAGAAGAAAAGGCTAACATCACGGAATTTATCTCCGAACTTGGAGACAATCATTTCAAACAACATAATCCAAGCCTTTGATGAAATTGAACGCGGCTTCTTCTTTGGATCAGTGAAGTCATAAAGTTTAAAGTTATCATCATCTACAAAACCTTCATTCCATGGGAACAACTCGACCGAGTTCCAGTACGCCTTTCCATCACTAACGATTTCGTTGAATTTCTTACAGGAAGGATAAACACTTCTCATTAACGGAACAATACCCAGATAAGAGAAGATAAACTCAATAACTTCTTCTGGGAGAGACAGGATAGGAACGTGTTGATTTCTCTCGACAGCTGCTTGTGATGATGATACAGCAGCGGATGTTTCGTTTTCAGCCATTTTTTGTTGTCGTGCGTGGGCGAAGGAATTTCAAATTTTTATTACAATTTCTGGATTGTGCTGAACAAAAAGATTTCACAGCGAACAACAAATAGTGACAGACTCCGTTGACTGACTCTGCCATCCACGAATGTGTGTGTGTCGATGAATATCATCATCCTGCTTCCCAACAACATCACATTTAATAACGGGGAAGAATAGAAACACTTTGCATCTTATTCAAACTGCATGCAGGAACATAGGGAGCAAAACGAGGGTCACCAAATTCCAGCCAATCGGTTAAGGGATGAAGCTCTTGTTGCATCATCTCGTGATGCAATGACGATGACTCGAGTTCTTCATTTCTCAACAATAAGTAAAATCTAATCTTTCCAAATTGAACCTTGTTTTTAGAAGTGATTCTGGAGAAGAAATATTTTGATCTTTTTGTTTCTCGATATGCTTCGACCTCTTGATCTTTTACATCTTTCACACGAAAATCAAATTCCACAATAATGGAATCACCTGTTTTGAATGTTTTAGGGCATGATGGAAGGTGCAAGATGGAATCTTTTGTGGATGCACATGCACTTCGTATGACTTCTTTGGCTCCAATAATTAAAGCACATCCTTTTGAATTCGATTGCCACCCAACGACATCTCCACTCGTTTGAGAATTGAATGGAAAGAAATCGAGAGACTCCACACCAAGCATGATTTTGAAACTATTCGAAACTTCTGTTGGATTGTATAATTCAAGATCATATCTCCATGAATAGAAATGACCAGGGTTCAATAATTTTCGAGCTTTTACCGTGATAAACTCTCCATGTAATGGCTTTTCCAGAACACACAAAGTTCGTTCATTGCACGTATAAATATTTGAATACTTTTCTGCCTTGTAATAGCTGTATTCCGTGTCCCACGAGTAACCATGGTTTCGAATTAAACATTTAAAGACTTGTAAATATTTTCGTGAAAGATGATCTCTGTTGTGGGGATGAGAAGTGTCAGAGGAGCATTGAAGGATGGATGCGGAACGATCATCACCTTCATTCAATAGTAATTTCATTTGATGATCAATCACTTGCAACGGAATATCATTGACCTTACAAAATACAAGACAAAGTTTGTGGAACAGCACCTCACTATTCATAAACAATTCGTAATAGTGTTTGGAAAGAAGAAACATGTGGACCAACTCTCGGAATGGAATAATGATACAATTTCACACAACATTTCTTCGGGAGCTGATCGGAAGAACTGGGCTAATTCTTCATGAAGGTGTGTATGCTTGGTGATGATCATCTCGAGATAAGGGTGACTCTCGTATTCAATTTCGTCCTTTTTGTAATTTTTTGGGTCCTTTTCCGACAAGTTCATTGTTTGATTTGAATATCAGTAGTCCCTCACACATGACGGAGTGAGGGTGGTTTAAAACCACCACCATGACTATCGGGAATGATACCACTACTACTACTGCTACTACTACTAGTATTGGACTGAATCATGTGATGAGTTGGTTCATAGTATTGTGCACCATGGTTGTTGTTGTTGATGGTAGAGGTAGGAGTCATGGAGTAGGTGTTCATCGTTTCTAATGGAATGTCTGGAACAGTGTACTCTTTGGGAGTATGTCTTCGATTTCGTCGAATCACCACTGCAACAATAAGGCCAGATAAAGCACAAAAGAGAATGGACATGATACTGAAAAACAGAATTGGGCTCAGTTTCTTTCCCACCATATCCTGAAAGTCTGTGGACCGTACAGAGATGTGATACTCCACAGACGTTGCGTAATCATTACTGATGGCAATATAATGGGTCGTGAGAGATGCATCTCCCTTAATCTCTACAGAGGATGGCATGAATAAAAACTTTTCCAAATCATAGTTGGTTGAGGTTGGAATGGATCCCTTCTTGATCTTCATGTATGCATTTCCAACGTATATTTTGACATCAATATATAGTGTTTGAAAGGGATCAAGAGAAACCTTGTAATAGCTGGTCAAACCTTTACGAAGAGTGGTAAAGAATGGTATTCCTTCAGTTTCCAAGTTTTTTACAACTGGTTCTGGAGCAATAATGGCCAAATATCGACAAAATTTGGATCCTCTTCCAGTGCATGTAATTTTGTCATTGAGTGCACTCACAATGCTGCCATAGGAAGGTGAAAAGGAGTGTGAAGTTGACGATTTACAAGCACATTCCAGTTTTGAAACATCCACAACAATCTCCTTTCCTGAATAATCTTTAAAGTTTCTGCTTGTTCCAAAGTAATATTCCCATGTTTGTTGAAAGATGGAAGGTTCAGGAGTTGAGGTTTCATACGTAAAAGCTTTTAACATGTAATAATTTAGTGGTATTTCACTACTGTTGTTGGGAGTGTACATGGTGAGATTAAAGGTAGGTGACACTGAATATGGAATCTGACCTTTGAAAGTTAATGTTAGCGTTTGTAAATTATAATAGGGACCTCCTAGGATGTATCTGAAAGAGCTAGGTCCATGCACTGTTTGTACGGTTCCAAATGATGCTGATGTATAATCCTTTTTCACTCCAAATACTCCAAAAACAATATTGCATGGAGTGAATCGATTGCTCTTGCAAAAACTCAATACTGTTGTTTGGAAATTGGCATAATTGTAAAAGGTTCTAGAATTTGTCGGTGAGAAATAATAGCTATTGAATTTGTAAAATCCAACCGTACTCGAATTGACATTAAAAATTCCAAATGGATATCTCAAGGCAATCTCTAAGGTAATGTCGTTTTGTACATCACTAACATTAACATGATGGATTGTAAATCGATAGACTCCAAGTAACGTGAATGAAGGATCTGGATTTCCTGAAACGACATAATAATAATTGTACACAGAGACAGATAAGGATTCTGTCATTACTTGAATAGGAGTCACGTTTGCATTAAATTTCACTGAAATTGAAAGTGTCGTGTCTTCAAAAGCGCTGTATCTGAATGCTTTGTTGGAGGTAACATTTTCAGTTTTTCCAAATGTTGATGATATCTCTATTCGCTTCAAAGAAGGATACTCGGTCTGCATGCAGAAGAGATTCGAAATGGAAAATAACACAAGAAAAGATATCATTGAGAAGAGATGTTTTTTTTGAAAGGATTCCACTAAATGCGTTGTGTAGTTGTTGTTGTGCTTCATGTTGTTGTTGTTGGTGATTTTGTTTCCGAATGATGTTGTACGGTTTGTTCTGGTGGTGGTGGTGGTGGTGATGAATATTCAATAGTTGTTGTATATATTATTGTTGTATCGTCGTCAGTAGTTTTGAATTGGACTATAATCCTCAAATCAACAAGGACACTTTCTCCGATAAGCTCTGAGTGATAATGAAATTTCTGAAATGATGGAATGAGGTGTTGCAATACGACCACAGAGCAAGGATCATTAATTTTTTTCGAGTTGGAAAGTCATTCTAAATGAAGTCCAGTTCGATGAGTGATACGAAAAGCGAGCATTCATTATTGGTACATCATAAAAGTTATGAGTCAGTCGATACTGAAAGAAACAAACTTATCATGACAAGTTAAGAAACGAAAGCGTACTCTGAGTAGTGGTGTCTACTAATCGATTCTGGTTCAACTAAATTCAAAAAAAGCAAAAAATATTGAAAGCAACTACTATATTTTCATCAGCACACAAATCGTTGACGCGAATTCTACATCATGGTCAAGCTTTCACCCGAACTCATTGCATCATCACCACAATTCTTTAATCCCATCAAGGAAAGAGAATTGGATTTACGAGGAAATAAAATAGCTGCTGTTGAAAATCTTGGTACGACCAAGGACAGTTTTGATGTATTGGATTTGAGTGATAATGAAATTTCTAGGATGGAGAATTTTCCAGTGCTAAAGAGATTACACACCATATTATTTAATAACAATAGATTAAATTTTATTGATGAAAGGCTTGGAGAGAAGAATCTTCCGAGCCTCGAAACTCTCATATTAACAAATAATAATTTCCGAGAACTTTACGAATTGAATGGCTTAAAATCATTTAAGAAACTCAAAACAATTTCATTACTTGATAATCTAGTGATCAAAAAAGAGAATTATAGAGTCTATATTATTTTTCTTGTTCCATCGATCAAGGTGATTGATTTTGTAAAAGTTAAAAAAATTGAAAGAGAAAGAGCCAAACATGTTTTCGGAACGCTAGATAATCCAACACCAGAGGCTCAACAGATTCTAGGAATTGCACCCGCAGGTCAACAAGCAGCTAATGTTGGAACCAAAGCAGAAGCAACAATTGAAAAGAAACCTGCTGTCAGTGGTCTCTCATCGGAAGATATTTCGAAAATCAAAAACGCAATACTCAAGGCTACTTCCCTCCAAGAAATCGAATACTATAAGGAGGCTCTTCGTCAAGGTAGATTACCAAAAGAACTCAAATAATTTCTTCCTTCTTCTCACTATTTTTTTCTCCAACCCTCCACTTGTATTCTGTATATCTATCCATTGTGAAACACATCAAACAACACATCTTACAGTTTTTTACCATGTTTTTACCTGCCATTGGATTTAAAAAGTAAACAATCACATTAAAGAATCCAATAAGTGGAGACATTATTGTATGAATGAGAGTCATTACATCATTATAGTCATTATTTGTCACAAATATGCTAGTCACTCTGTTGATTGTTGGAATTATATAGATTAAGATCATCATGAGAGGATATGCCAATAATTTTGAGTAGGCCTTAATTCTTTGTGATTTTCTTCTTTCATCCTCCTTTTCCTCAAACTTGTTGACTGTTGTGTTATGTCATCATTCAGAAAATGGAAGTGTCTTAAAGATATTCCCTGGTGAGGGCATTAACATACCTTTTCGATAATTCATACAGACCTTTGTAAGTACTGCCAAATAGAGAATGAGAATGATAAAAATTCCACACCACCATGGAATGTAAAACGCAGCATAGGTTAAAATCAATCCTGTACCTTTCGATTTTATCCAACACCATTTTCCAGAATTACCGTACGAATCTCCAATGAAGGGCAGCGCAGAAAGCAACCCAGTGATGCAGAAGGTCGAGACATGAGAGCAAATCTCAAATATCAAAATAGACCTCTTTGAGGTTAATCGCCTTAGGACAATGGTGGAGAACATGAAAATGGCAATCCATAGGCTCCAGCAACAAAAACCAACGGAAAAGTATCTATGAGTGTAGCATCAACCACACAGAAAATTGGAGTTCATAGTGTATCATCACAATATTAAGGGAAGTGTTCAACATTAGACTTTCGTACATACTGATTGATAAATGCTTGAGTAATGCACACCCAGTCTTGATCCGAATAATATGCCGTGTAAACGGTCAGGATATGATTCAAGGATGCTCCGAGAATGTACAACTGGAGATAGGTCAAGAATCTTACATTCGGAAGATTGAAAAATCTTGTCCGAAACACGACCATCATATACATGATAAAACCAATGCTCGCCACTGCACTTAATGAGCCTGCCACTGTCCTTGTGATTCCACAAGCAGCTTTCCACATTTCGGGAGTCATTGAGGCGATCATTTTTTGAGAGTCGTTTTTTGTTTCCTTTTTGAATCTCATTGGGAGCTTACCACCGCGAGCTATGAGATCTGGTCTAGTGATAGGAATTTAAGAAAACTGGGTAGAAATGATGTGAATATCGACGAGGTGATGTTCATCATTTTGGCATGTAAGGACCAGAAGAATTTCATGAAAATAATGACTCATGACTAGGGAAAGAGAATGTTGAACATCGAGGTGGTTGTATCATGTATCAAAGATTACATCATTTGTTACATTAACCAATTATTACCAATGACACATTTCATCCTTCACGGAGAATGAAAGATGAGAAGAAATGTATTCGTAGACTAGTCTGGTTCACACTACTCGAAATGACTGTTGAGCCATGTGATGAGTGACATATTCCCAAATTTCGAAAATCCACTCTCGAGTTCCCAACATTTGGAATTCTTTATTTATTTACATTCTCGTTGCATCACATCTTGCTGAATTTCTTTGACGTTCCTTCCGCAGGGAGGTTTTTTCGAAATAGAGCTCAAAATTCTCTTTATGGTTGTTATTATAGAATCCACCTCTTAGAAAAGATTTTCAACCTCTGAAATAGTTCTTTGATTTAAGGGAACAAGAACGACCAATGCCATTTGATTCCAAAAGCGAAAATACTCTTCATTTCACAAGGGATCATTCAAAGACCTTTGTTGTCAAATAATCGAGTATTTATGGACAAGAGGACTTTCATGTAGAATAGGCCAAATCTTTCTTGTATCTCGACGGATGTGGCTCTTGTAGTCTCAATCGCATCGTGCGGTGTTGAACTAGTTGTCATCAAATGATAAAAGAAACAGAGATCTCCATTGAAGGACTCAAAAAAAAAGAAAAGACTCTCTTTTTTGACCTTGTAGTACAAGTACTAGCAATAGTAGCTCTAGTAACATACTAATTGAACCAACAAAATTACAACCCTTTTTGATCCTCTTCTTGTGTCAGCTGATATCCCAATCTCCAAAAAGTTGTTGTGATTCAGTTCCTTCTTCTCATTATTCATTGACAACGTTCAATATGAAACACCAACATCATCCTCCTTTCGGAAAGGAAAACCATCACCATGGGATTCAAAAGACGAGAAAGATGTCCTCCCTACTCCGATTGAATGATGTTGTGGATCCTTGTGGAAGGAGATCCATCCCGAGCATAGATTATCACTTCTCTTCTCATTCTGTCTCGAACAGTTGCAATAGTAGTGGAACGACCAATCCTCACACATCATTGAAGAGTAACACTCACGACCATCAAAGTAATAGGAACTTGTCTTCAACAATTGGACCAGTTCCAGCACTATCCTCCACGGTTTTGGATTCCATCCGATCCCATTCCAACACTGTCAGGAACAACAACAACAACCATTCATGTAGTGCTGTTGGCATGACGAATGCAGTTCCTCAACAACAACAACCACTCTCATCACTCCCTCCTCCAGATGCATTCAATGTCTCTGCTCGTTCAGGTCAAACGAAGCAAGACTCTTCCCAAATTCAATCTTCCAATCACATGAGGAACCTCTACCAACATCCATTTAGAGATGAATCATCGCCTACAACACAAGTCGTCACCGTCTGCCACCACATACCTCAAATAATACAAGTGAATGGTGGTGAGTCACAACAATTCTCAAAGAGCTTACAAAAGGCTCCACAGAGAACAACTATCGCCTCCAATTCCTTAAATCAAAACTCAAATCAAACCTTAATGACTTCAATGGCTTCAACTACTTGCTCCCCCACTACAAATACCACTACAGTTCATGAAGTCCATTCAAATCCATCCTCCTCATCATTGTCCTCATTGAATTCAACAAGAACAACTACCATTCAGCACCCGAATACCAGAAACAACAAGTCCATGGTCCACTCTCGATCTGTTGTCATCCAAACACCTCATCCACCTCTTACTTCCAAAAAGAAGGCCACAAACAGCAACTTTGGACCCCCATACCCCTTACGAAGAAGATCCTCTCATTCACAACAAGTGTTTGTGAGATCCAAGCACTCGATTCAATCGAGTCGACATTCCGATTCACCCACTATTCGACAAGTACAGCAAGAGCGAAACAGCGCATCTTTCTCATCATCTATTTCCTCTTCAACCACCTCTTCTTCATGTTCCATTTCTCCTCCTTTCAACGTCAATGGAACCACCACTTCTTGTTGTTGCAACAGCAGCAGTAGCAACAGCGACAGGTTGATTCAAGGGCTAACGAAAGATGCATGCGCTTCTCACACTTCTTCTTCTTCTTCTTTAACGGATGAAAGCTCCTCCCATTCAGTGAGTTATCTTTGTCATGAGGAGGATGATCACGTGAGGAGGAATGTTTCTTCATCTACTAGTACGTCGACTGATCATCATCACTCGGGTCATTCCGATTCGTCATCCTCTCAGAGCAACAACAACAACAACACCTCTTCTTGTCCCAATCATGGTTCTCCCAATCACCACCACAACACACGTCATTACACCTTCATAACCTTTGAAGAATTGATCAAAAGCACAAAACAACCTCGTATGAAACCTTCATCCATCTCCAAAGCTGAAATGCTTCGTGTCTTGAGATTTCCTCAAACATTGGCTTGTAAATTCATTGGATGCAGTTTGTCCACTCTCAAAAGAAGATTCTACGAGTTGAAACATGAATTTGGATTAATGAGATGGCCTCAATCACTCTATGAAATGAAACATTTGGATATTTATCCTCAGGTACATCCCATGAGTTTGGCGTTTATTTTGAATGAAGAAGAAACTTTGAATAGCGCCTCTGAATTTGTTCGTATGAATCCAACACAATGATTGTGTTATGGCCACATGTGGTCCATTAAATTTGTTTACTCATCACACAAACAGTTCACTTTGACAAGATGCAACGACCAGTGAATCTTATTTCAGAAATTTCTCTCCATAACAGTTCAACGAGTGGTCAAATTTAACATTTCTGTAAACGTTCATAACAACGACAAGAATCAAGATCAATATAATAGCATTATTGAAGCAATTGTTTATATTCACGCATTACAGATGCATAAAACGTACCGACTTCACCTAATTGGCTCAAGAATGAAGCAAACTGTCACAACTCATATGTATGTTGTATGAAAGCTAACTATGGCCACACTAAACTTCTCTCTTCCAGAACGAGTTGTTTCATGTAAAGATTTGTTGTGGTTCATTTCGCTTTTTGATCGTTCATTCCCTCTACCGTTTGCAAAATATTCACAAAGTAACACCATAGATAGCCGTCACATCTCTTCTTCTTACGAATTAATCCAACAGACGCATGGATGGAGGTAAAGCGATCGCACAGACCAGACAGAGCGAAAGGATGAGATGGGTAACGATTTCTCGCCGTTTCCTTTCTTTGCAATTGAGAATCCCGGTTGAGTGAGAAACACAATTAGAGAGATGTCAAAAGACTTGTATGGACTTCCTTGTTTGCGTGCAAACGGTTAATTGTATACAAAAATGCTGTCCCAAAAGGTACCTTTTTCTCTCTTGATGTATTTATGTCAGCTGTTGCAGAAGATGATCATGGGTCGGCATCTTCGAGATGTATAATTTGAGAGAGACAACCTGTGTTTGGATGCCACTTGCATCTGAATGAAAGGCATTGGAACGAACCAAGGTTTGAACACACAAAACAACACAAAAAAACAACCAAATCGACTCCAAAAAAGTCCTTTGAAATGACAAAAGCAACGTATCAAACAGCGACAATGGTTGCCTCTACGTCACCATTGAGATTGAATATGAACAACAGCAACACTGCTAACCATAACAGTACGTCGTCCTTCTCAACGCCCATACATGCTGTCAGATGCCAAGACACCCATGCTCCAGACAATTCATCCATGAATTCGAGGAGAAATTCAACTACCTCTTCCTCAACAAACGGCACGAATACATGTAAATCAACTGTATCGTCAAAATCTTCCAATTCTCTTTCCTCCACAAGTACAGGCATTGAAAAACAATCAAAGAGAAAAACCAATTCCAAACTGAAAGAATTCACCACTGTCTTTGATATTAAAAAGACTTCTGTCAGCTTTGTTTCACGAAATGGCGATGAACCTAAAAAGACGAGACGAGCACAAGCATCCATCACTAAAGAAGAAATTTTGAGGGTTCTCCATCTCTCTCAAACACAAGCTTGTAATCAAATTGGATGTTCTCTTTCGACTCTGAAACGAAGGTTTTATGAATTGAAGGATGACATGGGTTTACAAAGGTAAGTGAGTGTTTTGTGAAGTGTTTTATGTGTGGTTTGAATTCAAATATTTCATATATTCGCGAATCATCATCCATGATGATTGGTGTACGTATTCATCGTCGTTGTCTTCGTGTGTTGTATTGCCCACTCTCACTCAGGTGGCCTCAATTCTACGAAGAAATCAAAGATTTGCCCATTTTCCCTCAAGTCTATCCCATGTGCTTGGAATTCATTTTGAATCGAGAAGATGAAGATCCAATCACAACCTCTTCCATGCAACAACAACAGTTTTCATCAAGCAGTTCATCTTGTTCAGCGAGTTTGAACAAGATGAATCGAAAAGTGGCTACCAGTCCTTCCACAAACACGTCCAGTAGTTCCTCTTCTTCTCCGGTACAGTAAGAGAGAGTTGATGATGCATGTGTGTCTCACTTTTCAAAAAGAACAGTAACTGCATCAAGAGTTGCATGTTGGTCTGTACCAATGACTGTGTTGAATCGGTGGTGGGTGTGTTGTTGAAGTGTTTTCAGCCAAACGTTCATCATCGGTTCACTAGTTTTGACGTATATGTAAATATATACTCTGTGTACAGAATACACGAGAAGAAATGCAATAAAATTGTATCAAAAGAACGAGGACAAAGTCTTTCTAAATTTGTATAAAATACAAAGTACTTGTTTGGAATGAACCGGTTTTGATGGCGGGTGGTTGGTGAGCTGCGGCAATTCATTAATTGCTCTCAATTTCTAATATCATAATGATAATGTGTTAGAGGGAATACGCTCTATGGTTGAGCATTTCAAAATGGGTCGAGCAACCAAAATGTTGCCTTTTTATAAAGTTAGCCAACATCTCAAAGAGACCGAAAAATGTAAATTCTCAATCAGAATAACTGGGACTAAGGTTTTTTCGACAATCGAGAACCTTAAATGATATATTTTAAGAGAAGGATTAATCAACATTTTTCTTCATGTTTTGTTTGTTACTCTCTACTCTTGAAGAAAGAATTGATGGAGCTTTTTGGCTGAAATTATTTGTTGGATAATCAAGGGCACATCTCTGTTTTTTTCTTCATCAGTCAGACTCTTTGAGTAGCCCTTTGGTTACGGAAGTCGGAAGGTTAAAAGATAACAGGCATCATCATGTATTCTTTCGTGGTTTCTGTTTGATGTAGTCTTAGATTGTTAGAAGCGACAATTAAATAACCGTTTTTTTTTTCACTGTGGCAGCAAACTTTGTTGAAGACAATCGTATTTTAGAACCTGAAATAAGGCAACGCGCATCATGCCTGGAGAAAAAAGGGGAAATAGTGAAAGGGCAACGTTAACGTTCGCGCTAATCATGAACGGCTTTTATAGCAAGTTCGAGAAGAACGTTTCGCAGAGATCGTCGTCAAGCGTGTGATCGTGTCAAGTTTCGTTGGACGGAAAAGGATGGAGTCTCGCCCAAATCATCCAGTGCTCCTTTCCCTTCGTGTTGGTCCCTTGTTATTGTTGGACTCTTTCTAGAAAAGCTGGTTCTCTGTTGTTGATTGAAAAAACAAAACACTGACGTTCATTCTTTCTTGTTGTCTCAGCAAATTTACTTACTACTTGGAACTATTCCAACCGTCGGTGAGTCAAAATCAGGAAAGGCTCAACAAATTCAACCAACAACAACAACGACTCACATCAACCCAATTGGAGTGGGCCTCTTAGAAAGTGTGTGTGTGTTGTTCTCTGAGAAGAAGCCATCAGCAGAGGACCTTGGTACCAACCGACCCTCTTGTCTCCACGGCAACAATAACACCATTTGAAAAAAACTCTTTCCGTATCGGGACATCCTCGTTGTTCGTCCTTCTCTCTCAATTCCTTCAGCCGCGCTCTCTGTTGTGTTTCTCCTTTTCTCTCTTCTACCCGTGTGGATACAACAAGAGAGAGTGAGTGTGCGCGTTTGTGTTGTCTTGAATTGATTCACAAGCACCACACCCAACACCATTTGTATATTCAAAAAACAACTGTCCATTGATACTGTAACACTGTTCCTAACGACAGTCATTGTCTTGGGTGGGAATTATTGGACTTTTGGAATTTTAATCATTATTCATATCATCGCTGCCGCCTGTGGTGAGCATCGCATATCATCATCACCTCCAGCATTATCATCACTCTTTCATCATGGGAAACTTGTATAGTAAGAATCATCATCAAGAAGAAGGAGAGAACCGATGGCATGGCATGGGCTATTCAGTATTTAGTAGTTTTAGAAGAAGAAACCGAGCGTCCATACCGCCTTCTTCCTCCTCCTCCGCTTCTACAAGAAGATCAAGTATTTCTGCTAAACAACAAAAACGACCTAGTTCTACAAAATCATCGGCCAAGCCCCTTCAAAACTCATCATCATGGTTATCCACCACAACCACTCCTCCTCTTTCACTCACCACCAACTCTTTTCCTTCCTCCAATCCCAGTCATACCTCTCATTCCCTTCAATCTTTGAGTCATAGCAATACCTTGATGATGCCTAATCATCAAAATACTTCTCATAGTGCTGATTCGTCAATGATGGCTTCAACAAGCATGCTTTTACCTTCTCCTTTCATCTCTTCCTCGATCATTGTTCCTTCTTCGATGCCAACGACATTCAAACAATCTTCGCTCACAACAACATCACAACATTATTCTAGGTTTACCATCTCCTCTACAAATACGGTTACTACTGAAATTATTGAGTCACCTCCATTGGCCGTCAACAACGTTCATCATCCTCTTGGGAATAGCGGTTTAACAACAAGTAACAACAACAACAATAATAACCAAAAACGATGTCCTTTATCAAGACAATCCTTTTCGCTGCCCAAGTGTAGGTCTTGGATTAAAGACAAGACGACAAGTTTTCGAAATTTCCACCTTCGAAGAAGGTCCACCACAGAAGACAGGAGATCAACCATAACGGGCGTTCCACTCATTCCCATTAGTGACAATACTCCAAAGGAACAACCAAAAAATGGAGTTGAACTCTCTGAAACACATGTTATCAATAGTAATACTAATACGGACGTGTCAACTGGCGTTTGTCATGCCACTACAGGTACAGACACACGAGAGGTGAATAGAAGTAATGAAAGTATTGAACGATCAAAAAGAGTATACTCCATATCGAACTTGAGTGCCGCTAGCGCCGATTCGTGGTCAAGCAGTGGAAATGTGCTCCAAAGAGCAGAAGAATCAGAAACAACCATGTCTTTTGATCAGAAGGATGATAGAAGAAAATTGGCCTCAATTTTGCAAAATCGAATCACGAGATCGAAATCAGAGTTCAGTAAGCCAAGCATTTCTCAAGAGGTGACCACTTTTGGTGATGACTCGTCTCCCCAACGTATTCCTGTGGCAAGATCTTCCTCTGCTCCCAGTATTATCAATAATGAACTCGACGCCTTGCTCAGAGATGCTATTGGTTATCAATTATTCAAAGATTTTTGTGAAAGTGAATATTCCGTTGAGAATTTGAAATTTTGGAACGAGCTGCAAGATATGGAGAAGAATTTTATTGACATGTCAGGAAAGAGAAGAAGCAGGGTCATTAATATGGTCTATGACAAGTTTTTGGATGAAAATTCAACGGAAGAGGTTAATGTACGAGGTAAAACAAAAAAGCTTATTGATCAAGAGAGGAAGAGTGGCAACATTGACCTAGAAAGAGGATGTCAACTAATTCACGAGCTTAAGCGAGATTTGTACATTAACATGATTGATTCATTCTCGAGGTTTCATCGTACTGAAGAGTATAGGCTCTGGAAAGAGCTTAAAGAAAATCCAGAAAACACCTTTGAGTTTTGATATTCAAGCAGATTAGTGACACAAACCTCGTAATGTTTCTTCTTTATTCTCGCTTATTTAAAACATACCTAGGCCACCTAACACAGTGTTTCATCGAAATTGGAACACAATTTTGAATTTATTGTGCAAAATAAATTATTAGAGTCTATTTAGAGTTTTTAAGCCCAACAAATCAAAACCTTGTTTCATCGTTTGTGCAGTTGCTTCACACAACAGCAGTCGAGATCTTTGCAGCTTTTTATCTTCCTGGATGACTCTGCAATCTCTAAAGAAGGCACTAAAGTCGTTGGACAAGTCAAACAAATATTCACACAAATAGTGGGGCTCAAGTTTGTCCATGACCAAGTTCAGCACATCTTGGAATTCAATGAGCTTTAAGGACAATTTCCATTCTGATTTCGAGTTTTTGAAATCTGAAAAAAGTGACAAATCTCCCTCAGCTGCTCGTTGCTGCAATTCTTGAAGCAAATCTTTTTCTCCAGACTTGTCGATTATTGAGCAAATTCTTGCATAGGCATAGAGCAAATAAACAGCAGTATTTCCTCTAAAATCTAACATTTTTTCGTAGGAGAAAATGTAGTTTGTTGAACGGTGTGTTCGCAAATCTGCATATTTGACAGCTCCATAACCAACAACTTTTGCTGCTTCCATAATTTGCTCATCACTGAGTGGTTTCACACTTTCGTCTTCTTCGCATCTCTTAATGTCTTTGCGTGAAAAAATGAATATAAACATGTTAAAGAAATGGATTTTAGTAAAAAGCTTCATGTAATAGTTGCACTTACTCTTTTCTTTGATAATATCAAATGCTCTTTTCACAGCCTCATCAAGCAAATCGTGTAATTTGACAGTTTCTCCAGACCTCGTTCTAAATTTCTTCTTCTCTTCATCCAAAACTACTCCAAACCCTACGTGGTCAATTCTCACCTTTTTAGGAGAGTTTATAATATCTAAAATGTTTTCCTGCCAAATAATATCTTTGCTTGACTCCACAGGATCAATCCAATTCATCATTTCTCCAACTTTAAAGACATGCTTAAAATGTAAAGCTTGTCCAGAATCAGTAACATAAATTAACCATTTTGCTTTAGAAACATTCAATCTGTACCAAAGTGTTGCCAGATCTGTTGTGTCATACGTGAAACCTCCATCTGCTTTTTGTACCATGAGCGGTGGTTCTTCGGTGTTTGTTGACGAAGAGGGATCAATCTTGTCATCTTCTGTAAAGATACATCTTGCTCCTTTACTCTCCTTAATGATTGGTTTCAACATTTCCAACACAGATGGAATGTAGGTTTTGTAAAAAGATTCTCCTTTTTCTTCAAGTTTCACATCCAATCGCTCATAAATTGAATCAAATTCATATCTACTGCACTCTAATAAATATTTCCACAATGACTGTATGTTTTCATCATTTCCTTGCTGTAATTGAATGACTTTTTGATGAGCTAGACTTTTAAACTGTTCATCCGAGTCGAATAATTTTTTCGATTCCTTATAATAATTTTCAACAGTTTCTAATTGTTGAGCTGGTTCTAAAGTTTTCAAAAAAGAAATATCCACTTGTTTTGTTTCAATATAGGCGAGAAGCATTCCAAATTGAGTTCCAAAGTCGCCTACATGATTCACACGTTCCACCTCAAATCTTCCATCTCTCTCCAAAACTCTACAAATACAATCTCCAATAATGGTAGACCTCAAATGACCCACGTGCATTCTCTTGGCCATGTTAGGGCTTGAAAAATCCACCACTACTTTGATTTTATCAATTCCGTTCGGAGTGGTGGTGGACTTGATTTCTTCTCGTTTCTTCTTTTCCTTAAATATTTCAATAATTTTTCGTTTCACGTATTCTTCTCGGAGTGAGAGAGCAATGACTCCATTTCCAACAACTTCCAACTGATCCAACACTTGATGTACTTCTTCTTGTTGATTATGCATCATCATGACCTGATCACTCAATATTTTGGCAAAATCCAACGAAGGAATGGTTTTCATTTGATTGGCCAATTGAACAGCAATCGGAGTTTGATAATCTCCAGAGAAGGCTGTCTTTTTTGTTTTATTGACGGATGGAACGGACATGAAGGGAAGGCTAGCGATGGTAGTCGAGGCTGTACTCTTTCCGATGGACCATGGAAATGTTGTTGTGGTTGATATTGAGGAAGAGGAGGTCATGGTGGTGTTGAGTAAAGCCTTTCTGAAGAGAGTGGAAAGATCTCCCTTCACACTTGAGCGAAACATTTTTTTTAAAATTCATTTCAGCAATTTATTTATATTATAAAATTAAATACTATTTAATATTCAAGTATTATAAAACTTTAAATATAAATAATAATATTTAATATTCAAGTGCTTTAAATATTCATGAAATTTGAGTGTGTTGTTTGGTGTTGTGGAAATGAATGGGGCAATTTCCGACAACATGCACACAAGAACCACCATTCTCAGATTATCGAGTGTAGGTTTAAGTTTTCATCATATGACCATTCAAAAGAACAAAATGATTAAAGCAAAAAGCCTTAACATTTTGTTCTATTGAATTGGGATTCAAATTCTCATTGTCATCATGGAATGTGTGTGAACTTGTGCATTCATACGAAACGCACACCATTCACAAACAACAAACATCATCACTCATTTTTTAAATTTAAATACGGTATTTAAATATGGTAACATGTAATATTTAATTGACCTGGTAAATTAAACAAGGAACATGCTGATGATTACTCATCATTTATATTTCCTGGAGGAACTCATGTTTAAGGAAGTTCTCTAACAAGTTAATTTTCAATAGAGTTAATATGTGACATGTCAACATCGACAGCCATAGCAGTTCCAATGAGGGCATTCTTTAAATTCAATGGATTAGAATTGATGACATCCATACCAATTTTTCTTGCAAGACCAGCAATTCCAAGTCCCTTCAAAATATCGTTTTGGCTTTCAACTTCAAATATTCCCTTAATAGCATCAAGACCATCTAGATAGAGCTCATTTCTTCGATATTGAATTTGTTCATATTCTGTCTTGAGAATTGAATAATCTCCAATCACCGAGCCTGATTTAACACTCTTTTGAATTGCCTTAACAAGTTGAATGACATCCACAAATCCCATATTCACTCCCTGACCAGCCATTGGATGACAACAATGAGCAGCATCTCCAACGAGCGCAATTCCAGGTTGCACATACTCTTTGCAATTTAGTCTTTGAAGAGGGAAGCTACCAGCAGGGAAATATTGAACTATTTCTGATTTTTCTGTCAAGATTCGAGGAACAATTCTCAATTTGCTGAAAATTGAATTCATCTCTTCGAGTACCTTTTGTTGATTTCCTGACTTGTAAGCAGCCTCTAATGCAATTGCCCGAGAAGGGTCAGTGGACCAAATAATATTCTTTACATTGTTTTGCTTGGTTGGAAGCATACCGATGGGTCCATCCGCAAGGAATTGTTGATAGCAATATGTATTCTTGCCTGTACATGGAACGCTATCTGTATCTACGTAAACGTTCGTGACAAACGCGCGTTGCTTGTACTTGACAGAGTAAAAGGGAAAGTTACAGAATTGTCTCACAAATGAGGTAGCACCATCTGCAGCAATCAACAAATCACATGTAATTTCTTCGTTCAATTTCTCATTTCCTTCGGTAGTGGTTTGAATGATCAATTTTTTGGTGTTTGGGTTTTGACCATCTGAAATTGCTTTCAATTCGGATCGATCAAAGAGTGAAATTGAGTCGAGCTTTTTGGAGGCTTCCATCAAGCTGAAAACAACATCATTGTTATCGACAATAGATCCAATAACATCATCCTTTCGCTCCGAAACAACATTTGAAAATCCAACTCCTCTCTTAACAAGTCCATCATTAATGGATTGTCCAACTTTAAATACTTGATTTCCAATGGATGATAAAGATTTCAAAATTACATTATCACTTGTATTGGCAGTCTTTGAAAATGGAGAGTTCACTCCGAATTCATTTTCCTTTGGATCTAAATTCAAGAAATTTCCATCTTGATCCCAAACCTTCATACCATAATATTTGGTCATGGGAATTTCCTTGTTTTTATCCTGAATTTTCTCCAATAATTTCATTGAAGTACCAGTAAGAGCACTAGTTCTAATACCAACTGAATTTCCCGTTCCGAAAATATTATTATTTGTAGAAACAGCAGGATTGATCATGGCAATCTTTAATTGATTAGTGTATCTGGCTTTTGCTAGTGTATTGGCAAGGGCATTTCCAATCATGCCTCCACCAACAATGCAAATGTTGAAATGTGTTTGTTTGGACATTTTTTTGTGTATTATTAAATATAAAGTATTATGGACCGTCAAAATCAAGATCCTCTTGTTTCTGTTGAAAAGTAATCGCCAATGTCTCTTCATGCTCATGAGCAATGTTTCTTTTCCTTCATTAAAAGATTGAAAGTCGAATGTCTTTTTAACAATATTTCATAAAGCAAAAAAAATCAGTGGATGCCAAAGATCTCTTCCTTCCGTAGATCCACACGATCCACAAACGTATGATTGCTTCTTCATACATTGTGAGATACCATACGCCTAGGTTGGAATTATTCTTTCAATCATTTTTGGAATGCTGAGCTAGCTAGGGTGGTACTCCATATTAAGCAAAAAAATGGAACCACAATCTCTATTCCAACAACAACAACAAGTACACCACTGGATTGGAACAGTGATGAGGGATTATAATGATATGTTTTATCATCACAGGTATTCGGCCCAAGAACATTCAGTTGCAAGTCAAATGATGAATGGGTTCTATCATCCCAAATGGAACCATCATGTAATATTCTCAACACAACAAAATTCTTCAAATAATGATCCAGGAAATACCAATTCTACTCTTTCTGTTTCAACAGTGATGGATCACTTCCCACCATGGCTTTCTTTGGTTACTCTCTTGATTATTTTCATCTTTTTTGTTATTTGTTGCATTCAAACATGTGTGTTGCATCGAAGGAGAAAGAGCACTTCGGGATATTCTCAACTCTCTTCAGTGTTTAAATGGAAATATGTGACGAGATATGTTTTTTGTTGTTGCTATGATTCACAATCACAGGTAGCGTATTAAGCAATTTTGAAAATGAATTGTTGATACAATTTCTCAATGGGGGGCCATTCGAAATTCGTCTTAAATATGAAATGTGAAAATGACGATGAAAATGGAAATGCTGTCAAATCAAATGAATTCTTACTAATTATTCACATATGAATTTTCACAACACTCATAGGTTATTCCTTGGAATATTCCTCTTCAATTTTCATTTCAGTACTTGATTGCCTTTTTTGTGGGAACTCTTCATAGATTTTTCCTTCAATACTTTTTTGAATCAACCTACGAGTATACATGTTTTCATTTCTTGGATACTCTTGTAAACAAAATGAGAAGAACTTGCCCCTTAATTAATGTGGTTGATGTTTCAACATCTGTGGTGGTGAAATCCACATATTTACTCTTACTTGTTTTTTGGCTTGAGCTCACATTTAATGCTTCGTACTATTACAATCCCAAAATGTGTAAACGATTTGAAAGGGTCACTCGAAGAATTTATTGGGCATTTGTTGGATTATATTTCTTTGGAGCAAGCATTGGATTTTTGGCCTTCACGATTACACGTTCAAACATTTCCTATTTCTTGACATCGATTACTTTAATATTTGACATTTCCATTCCCATACTTTTCATTGTTTTTGGAGGTGTTTTAAGACGACTTGTGACACGTTCGACTGTTTCATTTCCTGTACTCATTCAAAAACATTTGAAACGAGTTTCCATTATTAGTATCATTTTAGGATGTTATTTATTACTACTTCCATTGGTGAGAATTGCTGTACTCGTTTTGAAGAATTTTGTTTATGCTTCCAATGGATACAATGCTGTCTCTTCCATTGTTGAAGTGACTGTTTCCATCTTATTCTTCTTCATTCCGAGTGTGGTGACATTTGCAATTGTGATTGCACCAACAAGCATTAGTTTTCTTCACAATGCCATTACAGATCGAAATGCAAGGGTTGTTGCTTACAAATCCAATTGGAAAGAATTTGAGAAGAAAGATGTCGACAACTCTCCATCCATGTTTCATCATCATGATGTTGAAGGCTATATTCAACCTTTGCAATCTGGAACCTCAAGTGTGTATCAAGAGATATCACTTGAGGATACTCAACCACCTCAACAACAGCAGTTGAAACATGGATATTGAACTCTTGTATCAAGCACTGCTATGTTTTCCTTTCAAAATTTAGAGGACAATCATTCATGAATGGCTGGAAAATGCACATTTTTCATCAACGAATGGAATGGAACAGTTTGTGTCACGTTTCGAGTCGAATGCAATTAGTGTATGAACATGTACAGCTTGTGTAGTTCCCACTTGATCTTTTTTCTGAACTCAATAGCCAAATATTGCTCGTTCTTCCTCAACTTTAAAAATTCAGGGATGGGTTTATTCGATGATAAACGTTGTTCGATGGTTTTATGTACATTATTTACAAGCCGAACGTAAGATACGTAGTGACTTCCTAGCAGGCACCCCGGAAGTAAAGGTGTTTAAACTGCTCACGATAACAGCAGCAACCCCTGGGATTCGAACGCTGGACCAGTTGGCTGCCATAGTTCCAGAAAAACCACTCGGCCATATGCGGGCAGCTTCCTCAACTTTAAAAATGTTCAAGCAGCGAGCACGAATCGTCACTCAAGAATAAAAAAATCAGTACGACTTGCAACCCCCGAAATTTTCCCAATAAGGACTCGCTCAAATTTAAAAAAATAATATTGTGCACTTATTTGTGTGTGTGTTGATTGGTTGGTGTTTTGGTCGCAACACTCACCCCGCAGTCACGACCTATTTAATTATCAACTTGTATAAAAAGAAGCCACATCCTTTTGAATTTTTGCATCTTGGACAGCACATTCTCTTCGAAGAATTCAATTCGGAACAAGGTTCTTCAATTAAATTTGTTGTTGTCTCTTAAAAACACCACACGAGAAATGAATAAGGAAAAGAGTTATGCTCACATCGTAGCCGGAGGAGTATCGGGAGTATTTGTCAGCATTGCTACACAACCTTTTGATGTCCTGAAAACAAATTTAATTGGAGCCCGAGAGAGGAATCCATTATTCACCAATGGAAAAATGCAAAACCAATTACAAGGAACCATTTCATTCATTTCGACCATTTACAAAACAGAAGTAAGTGTATATTTTCGTGAGAAGAGGAAAATGAACATTCCATGGAATAACATGTGAATGTGTAATGACACTTATTCAGGGTCTCCGTGGTCTTTGGAGAGGCCTAGTTCCAACTTCTTGGAGATATTTACCTGGTGGAGCCATGTATTTTGGTTCAATTCACTTTTTGAAACTAGGACCTTTAAACACTAAGAATAATGGGCTTCCACATCCTGTCAATGATTTTCTCATTGGAGCCATTTCTAAGAGCTGTGCAACAATTTCAACGATGCCTATTTTGGTTGTGAAAACTAGGTTTGAGAGTATTCAGGCTTGTGAAAGTATGAAATCGAGGAGTGTATCGAGTACCATAAAAGAAATTTACAACACTGGAGGAATACGAGGTTTATTTGCTGGTGTCACTCCAACATTACTACGAGATATCCCTTATTCAGGTATGTGATGCTTGTAACAAATTATTGTAACGGCAAAATTTGTGACTCTTAACATTCGAATGCAACGACATTTAATTTCCAAATATTTATAGGCCTCTTCTATTTATTCTATCGACAGAGTAATGATTTACTGAGTGTTGTGGTTGGACAAGATGCTACATCATCCTCGAATCAAATTGTTAGTGTCGCAGCAATTAGTTCGATATTTGCAGGAGCCAGTGCAACGTTAATCACTCACCCTTTTGACCTGATTCGAACTCGACTTCAATTACCCAACCAAGGAGGCTACTCTGGTTTCATGGATGCCTTGGTGACAATTCCAAAGGAAGAAGGCCTTAGAAGTTTGTTTTTGAGAGGAATTGTGCCAAAAATCATGAAAAGAGGATTGGGGCATGCAATTTCATGGTCATTATACGAATCCACTGTACTATTGACAACAAAATAACCAAATGCAATTGTCTCTTTACATTTGAATAATAACCATATTGTTGTCATCATTTACATTCAATTATTATCTGTCTTTCATTGCTAGAATTAAATTAATGATTATTATTATGTGAACACTTGATCCTCTCCTACTTTCTATGATGTAACAAATTAATATGAAGTCTCATATTCATAATAGGAATGTCTTTCATATGTGCTCGTTCCAAATCAATTTCGTTTCTCTGGTCCCTGTCTCTGTCATTCTCGTCGTCTGAAGAGGAGGACTCTCTCAACGAGGTTGACAACGGTAATTCTTCTGAAACAAGTTCGCTCTCATGAGGAGTATTGGGCAAATAAGAAGACTGGGGTGGATTTGAAGTCATTTTGTTTTGTTGCGCCTCCTGTCGTGTAGTCGACCAAAAAAGTTCTATTTCCTAATCGATCTATTAAGGAATCGCTTGTCTTTCCGGATACCTGTTCCTTAATCTGTCCTTGGTTCAAGGGGAGCTTTCCGACACCCAATACCACCACTACAAATAATTCCAATTAATTGTAGAAATGTTAGTGGTGGTGGTGTTTGAGAGAAACCTATTTTTGGTCTCGATTCCTTCAGCAAAAAAAATTTCATCATTTCTCTCTTGAAAAAGAGCCATTGACGTTCATTGAGAGATCATCATCATCCCCAACAACAACAATCGAATTCGGATCTAGTCTTGAATTGACTTTTTATTAAATTATTCATCAGTTTGCAAAAGGAAACATCCTCGTATTTTCTGCTCTTCCCAACAACACCACCACCACCACAACATGGAATTTAGATTACTCTCTCCGGAATTAAGCCTTTCATCACGTGCAGAAGATTATGAAGTGGATGAAGAGGAAAATTTGGAACTACCACCAAGTCCAATATTTCAACCAACAGAACAAGCCAAACAAATCTTTGGAGATTTCTCTACAATGGTATTTGATATGGTAGTGATCGGAGTGTATGGAGCTGGCAGCCAATTCGTTAAAGGTGCCTTTCTTGATCGAATGGATGAATTGAAATTGGTTCATGTAGCTTCAATCCGAACAGCACCACAAGAGGCTGAAACTGTAACATTTAAACGATCAAAGCAAGCTGCCACTGACAATATATATTATTATTCATCATCTTCGGAATTTGATGCTTTGAAAATTTTAATTGTAGACAGTGGAAACGTGATTGAACAAAAACACAACGCTCAATATTGTACTGTGAAAGAGACTCACCAAAATGCATATACCACTTATTTATACTCTAAATTAATTGTTGATCATATCAAAGCGAATAGATATGTTATTCTCGACAGTATTTTGGCAAGCTCATTTACTGCTGGGGACAAACGACAAGTGAGACCTCCACTTTTGAGATGCCTACGAACACAAGCGGACAAGAATTCACACAAACACACATTACTTTTACCTCCATATTTAGAGTCTCCTAACCTAATGACTGGATTGGCTACATCAATTTTGACCATGTTAGAGCATAGAAATTTGAACGGAATTTTGCTTTGCTCGTTAGAAGAAAATCATGCTTTGGAACAAGTAACCATGAAAGCATTCGAAAAGAGTGTTTTCTCCGGAATTTTAGTCAAACAAACGAGTGGTGACAAAGGGAACACAACCACACCTCTCTCTCCCCTCTCACCAAACTCTACCCTTAAATACAAGACATTGAGCTCGAGCACTGAGCATCATGCTTTTTATTTGTAATGGAGAATACCAATTCCACAAAACAGACAATTTCTACATTGTCGAATTCGAAATAAATCAAAGCTTTTTGATCCAAGACAAACAACAGCACTTTCATTGTTATAAATTGAGCAAAGTTTTGGAATTTGAATCTTATAAAGAGCAGATGATGATACCTTAAGTTTATTCATATATTGGGGTGTATTCGTTAATTCTGTGTTTTTGTCCTTGGTGGATACATTCAGAAATCCACAATAAGTTATTAATTTCTTGTTCTCTCAATTTAACAAATGAGTAGAATGCACCATAGTGGAATTGTTGTTCAAATGCTGTCTTGTTCAATTCAACAGCCTTCTTCTTCAAAAGAGACTCCAAACTAGTTTGTTTGGAAACAGATTGCAATGTTTCATAAAAGAATGGATATGGTTTAAGAATTTCCAACATGGAATTATCATCATCACACTCGGCCAATTTGTCTTGAACATCTAAAAGTTGACCAAAGTTTGGATACAATTTCTTTCTTTCGTCCTTTGGCAATTTGTTTGCCGAATCTTCCTTGACTGCATAGGATTGTCTGGTAATGGTCAACACGGCACGATCTGCCTCAAACTCCAAAATTTCGCTCATGACTTCAGCAGTAGTTCCACCGAGTGATTGAACAAAGTCATAGAATGATTCCAAATAATTCTTTTGAAGCAATCCACGCAAATAATCAGTAGAATATTCATCAAAATCACGGGTCTCGGTCTTTGTGAAGAACTTGCCAATTGGGCTATCGATCAATACCAACTCGTACATATCCTCAACAGATGTTGCTGCAGTAATGGCGCTAAGAGATTCGAACAATCCCAATGGATGACACTTGTACAAGATATCAAGAGCACCCTTTCCGTTTCTCACAGCAAATACCAACTTCAAAACATTGAGAATCATATAATCATAAGTGATATAATCAAGGAATGTGGAGAGAGGTTCAACAGCTTGAAAACGGAGCTCGTTAAACTCTTTGACAAGTCTCTCAGTGGCTTTCTCAACAATAATGGTGGAAGAAAGAGTGGCCTCGTTTTGAAGGAAATTGCCATAGTCAGTACCCGTCAAGTGAAGTTTAATATCTAAAGAGCGAGAGAGTTGCAATTACAATCGTGTTTCGCCAAACAAACCACACAATAGGAGCAAGTATATTGATATCAAAAAGAGTGTTGTTGAATTGATGTTGTGTTGGTAAATAAAAGAGGGTATAAATATCGGGTTGTTGTTGTTGTTGGAAAAAGGAGCCAAATAAAAATCCAAATTTCGCATCAATGGATCATCATCATCATCAAAACAAGTTTTTGTTGTAGTAGCAACAAGAACATCATACATCCACACATAGTCCATTCCGTGAAAGGTAGGGCAACAATAATTTCAACAAGAGAGTTTAACCCACAACACGTAACGAACAACAAGCGATACTTACCCTCCAAAGTATCACATTGAATCAAGTTATTGTAATCATAGGAACGGAGCAAACCGTCTCTGAAGCCTTGAACCACAGCCTCTAAAAAGCCATCATCAATGTTGAAAGAAATCATTTTTTTGTTGTTGGAGTTTAAATTTTTTTTCAAAATCAACAAATTTAAAATGTTTTATGCAATTCGTCCATATTTGGTCGTTGGATTTTTTGTTTCATAAAAACATTCAGAGAAGAATGATGAACACTAGAATATGTAACTCTTTGATGTTTTTGAACTAAAACCTAGTGGTAATTTATTGAGAAATTTATGTACATTTGGGAAAGGAGTATATGTGGTGGTTAAATGACATTGATTCATCTTACTTTCGGAAAGTCTTGTTTCTCATTTCCAAAGTATTATGAGAGGGTCGTGAAGAGAAGTACTGGTTGTTCATGACTTCCAATGCATTACGATGATCACCACCATATTGATTCATCACGCGATAATTGAATTGTTTTCGTTGTCTTGTTCCTCCGACAATATTATCCGTTGAAATTTCGGAAGAGTAATTGTTGTATCCCTTATTGCTTCTTGTGCAGACCATTTTGATTATGTTTTGTTGAATTGAACGATTAGCTCTTTTCTTTGTTGATTTCGTTCTTCATTCATTTTCATTGTGATGAATTTATTTTTGAATGTCCTTCCAGTTTTGTTGAGAATTTCCAGCATTTTCTGTATTCCACAAAAAAATGGATGACAGCAAGCCCAGTAAATACCTTCATGAATTGTTCCGAAAATCATCAACAAAACAAAACAACTAAAGTAACAGCAATATACGTTTAAACTAACAACGACATCATGGTCTCTAGAACATCATCAAACGACAATTCTTCTTCCAACAACATCACTGATGAGAAAATTCCAACAAAAACCGAATGGGTCCGATCTCAGCCCATTGATATTACCAAACGATTACCTAATTTTGATATTGATACATGCAATGTGATGAGTGGAACCCGACGAAGAAAGAATTTGGATTATCATGTCTCAAATTTAACTGGAATGCAAGTTACTGTGAAACGATCCTCAAACAATACTTTTGAAAAGAGATCATCCACGCCCTCTTCGAAAATCACAAAATCAAGAAAGATGAACAAATGAACGTATCACTACAAACTAACAGGAGTGTCGTATCGCTTCCATCACAATCTCTCTGTCTTTCTTTAGTTCTTCATTCGCATTTTGTAATGCACAGCCTTTCTTTTTAACTAAAGACATTACAAATTCACGATTGTCTTTCCATTCATTTGGTAAAAAATACAGGAATGGGTTTATTGAAAAATAAACAAATTATAGGTACTCAACTGTCCGACGATAGTGTGTCTAATGGGTGTGTAGGTGTGAGGTGTAGATGTTGTTGGAGTTGAGTAGAGGGGCGAGTAATACCAAGGCCCCCAATTTGTTTGCAATTAAAAATGACTGATTTTGATAATGTGTAATCTAATCCAATAGCCTTTCTGACAAAATTAGCAACCATAATATCTGCTTTGTCTAGAGAATTCTTATTGATTCCATTGAAACTACAGGCATATCTAGGCAAAGATATGATTTTGGACATTAATGTAGTGGTGATGCTGTTGAGATATAGATTAGAAGTTTTAGCTGATGCCAGTTGATTCGAGATTTTGTTGATTGGATTATCAGAGGACCAAGAAAAATCATTCTTAAAGGTACATATACCCCCAAGATATTCAATAGAAGAAGATGTGGCAATTATATCCTGTCCAATAGTGACTAGGGCCTTAGATAGTTTGGCTTTGGCTGTAATAGCTAAGAGTTTGCATTTCTTGGGAGCTAAAGCGAGTCCTATTTTCTTTAATTCACGGCCGAGGCTTTTTAGAAAGGAATTCATTTCGATCTTAGTATTAGCTATCAATAAAATATCATCGGCATATAATAATAAAAGGATGGTAATATTAAATATTTGAACTCCTTTAAGCTTTTCTTGTATGTTAGTTGAGGAGTTAATATAAAGATTAAACCATGCCGGGCTTGAAGGATCGCCTTGCGGAACTCCAACATTCGCATCGAAAGGGGAGGATAGAAATCCGTTGAGAATGCTGATAAATCTTTTATGGATTACTGATCCATAAGCATTTTTGATATCCAGAGCCATAGAAGAAAATAGACGATAGATCACGGATAATACAACTATAGGTCTAAAGTCTGATAATTTTGTAGGCATGTTGATTTTGGGTAATGGGAGTAGAATACCGATACCCAATTCTTCAGGAACCATTTCACTGTCAATTGTGTGATTGATATATTTTGCAAGTATTTGGAGCGAATTGTTGTCTAGAATTTTCAACAATGGCACCGAAATGTTATCATAGCCAGCCATAGAATTTTTTGTCTTAGAAATAACTTTATCCAACTCTTTGGCAGTGATATGATGGAATTTCCATTGGGCTACAGTATTGTTTTTCTTGATTTCCGGGAGAGTTTTAGTCACTTCTTGTTCTGTATTAAACATGGCTGAAAAATGATCTACAATTGTCGAGTTATGGTTACTTTGGACTACATTGAGTATAGAAGAACTGACTAGTTCTTTTCTGAAGGCATAGGAATACGGTTGTTTAGAATTAAGATTGTTAATTCTATTCACAAAGACCCGTTTACGGTCAGCCAATAAAGATCCAATAAGCTTGTTGAGTGAGGTTTTAGCTTCCTCTAATTTACCCTTGACATTGTTGAGGCTAAAATTATTGTTCAAAAATTGGCTGGTGATAGTAGAAACATGTTTACGCTTATAGAGATATTGTTTCAAATCGAAAATAAAAGTCTGAAATTGTCTGACATTACGATTATCAGTGATCAATGAGGGCTTGTTTGTGCTAAGAGAACCATATTTCTTCACAATTTTAGCAAGGGTATTTTGGGCTTCTAAAAGAGTGTCAGGGGTTTCCTTAGCAAAATCGTTATTAATTTCCTTCATCTTGGATTGTAAAATTTTAGGATGGATAATATATTTGTTGAACTGTTCTGGGAAGTCTAAAATGGGATTACTGGGGAAGGAGATAGTTAAAAGTTTGTGAGAATAAGCAGTAGGAACATCTTCTACACCAGAATAGTCATTGTGGGAAGTAATAATATGGTCCGGGCGAGAAAATCCATGAGAGTATTTGTTGCGTTGAGAAAACGAAGGTGTGTTTGGAATGGGAACAACATCAAAGAGTTTCAATTTGTCACATTGGTCAATTAATAGTCGTTCATGGGCGGCATAAGATACCTTACTGAATGTTTTAGTATTGGCATTCAAATCTCCCAATATGACAATACGTTCACCATGAAAGACCGCTGTTTGAGCAGAAATGTTGATAATATTGAGAGCCTTATTCATGAATTCTAGTTTGTTTTTGTTAGCCGGGCCATACCAATTGAAAATGCGAGCCACACCTAGGTATTTATGTTCCAAAATGACTTCTGATAATCTGCCTTGAATATGTTCGACGAATTGGAGCACCTTAATAAAAGGTGACGGTCTGATAATAGTAGCAATTCCTGCTCCATTATCACCTTCAGTGGCGTTGGAATTGTAAACTAAGTAGCCACGAAAGAAGGACCTTAAGTACCATATATTCCAATAGTCTTTCGTACTGGATTTTAAATGAGTTTCCTGGATATTAAGGACATCCAGTTCATATTTGCGGGCTAAGGTAAGTAATTGAGATTGTTTTACCCAGCCAACTCCTCCAAAATTAGCAGTACCTAAATTGAAGGAGTTTCTTTTAGAATGAGGGGCCATTAAAGGGAATGTCGGCCCTTCTTATGCCCACTTTAACCCTTGTTGCGAGTAGTAGTACCTAAGAGAGCGTTGACTTTTTGATTAATTTCTTCAACAGCTTTGTTGATCTTATTAAAGCCTTCCGTGACCTTTTTACCAGACCAGAAAGCCATTTCCTTTGTCAATTTTTGGAGAGTTGATGACATTTCAGATTCATTTGGTAAAAAATGTAAAATAGATCCATCATGTGTTGTTGCAACTTCAATTCATACCATCTGAGGTTGAGTATAATAGAGAACTTGTTATAGAAGCCGTGAAAATAAACTGGACTGTATTATATCTCCTTGACAGAGATCGATTTAGAGAAGGTAGAGAAGTCATATTGGAGGCGTTTAAACGAGACTATGAAGTACTTAATTTTTGAAGTGACTTGCTTGAAGATCGAGAATTTTTATTGGAAGCTGTCAAAATACATCCTATCGCCTTAGAGTTTGTAGATGAAGATTTGAAGGAAAGTTTCGAATTCTTGTCCGAGAGTGTATTGAGCGCAATGGTTTCGCCTTATATTTTTGCCCTGAAGAAATGAGAGAAGATACAGAATATATGGAAGAAGCAGTGAAACAAAATGGTTATGCTCTACGGTATTGTGAAGAGTTGTACAAATTACGAATGGAATCGTGTTATTTTGGATGTTATATTCCAAGAAATCTAAACTTTTTGTAAAACTTTTTTGCAATCCTTTTTTTGAGAAGAGAGAAGAATAATGAAGATGTTGTTGAGTTGTGGAATGGAGTGGAATAGAATATTATTATTGTTCGCAATCCAATTTACTTTTTGTATTTCAAATTAATCAAATTAATCAGACAAATATCGTGGATCCATAAAAAAGGCTACAGCACTGCAGGTTCCCAAGTTGTCTCCAACCTCAGTACTGATACAGCTCGACGATGCTTATCTTCTCAAATCGGACGGGATGAGGTGCATTCATCGTGATATGGCCGTAGCCATTCTTTTGTTAATTTTAAAGTACAAAACTCAGAGTTGTTTGGAAGCATCTTTCCATTTTGCCTTTAGCCAGATTATCATGAGTGTTATCAAATTCTGTTCATTAAACTAATCATTTCAACCACTAGTAGAAAACAATATGATTACTACCGAACATTAAATAAAAAGGTCGATTGGAGTGACGATAAATTCAACAAAGCTAATTGCATCACCTTAATCTTCAGAACTTTACCTAACAGTATGATGAACATCAATTTTTTTATGTGCCAAATTTCATATTCTCGAGTATTTTCAACGGAGGGAAACGATCAATGAACAGAATTCTAAATTTTTCGTTCGAAATCTATTAACAATACCATCGTTTTTACCAATCTTTTGGTAAAGACGTCACAACAACCAAACAGTCATTCATACAATCAAAGGTTGTTGTGGAAGGCTAACAATTCAAACAGAGATTTTTACAATGAGATGTCGATGCTTGAGTTGGTAATTAGTTACTCTTGTTTGATACTTCTTGTGGTGAGGAGGGTGACCATATGACATTTGTTGTTGTCACTTTCGATTTTCATTTCAAACCAAGAAAGTAGAACTTGATAAACCCCTTTAATGAACAATCGTTCCCAGACACCTCAATCCTCATCGGTAATGTCATATAAAGAGTGTTGGTTACTCAAGAGAATGAAGATGTTTCGAAGACGTAAACAACAAGAATCGTTTGGTTAATTTAGAGGAACAAATGGGTTTGTAGTCTCTCCAAACACCCGACTTTAATAAAGGTCCGGTGTTTGTGGGATTTTCTGCATATTTTGTCAATTGACTTTATTCAGCAGAGTCCCGAGTATTAATTAAGATTTGAGAAGGTAAAAAACTCCAAAAACCGCTCAGCGGAAAAAAGGAGAAAACCAAAGAAACGCAAGGAAGTAGGAAGGAGGAAGGCAGAGACAAAGATGTGAAGCGCAAGAAGTCACATTAAGCAATTGCTTGATAAATCCATGAAAATAAGATAACATGATGAATTAAATACATGAAATTAAAATAATAAAATATATGGTTAGCTCAGTAAAATCCTTGTCGAAAAGATTCGATCAAGATGGACCTGCACTGTCTCAATGTTCTTCCTTACCACAAGAACATTCCGATCAGCGAAAAAGGTACCTTAGAAGCTTAAGAAAGCAAGTGGGTGGGAGTGTGAATGGGTGGGAAGTCACTAAGCAAATCAAAACGCACGAATATGCAGAAAATTTTTTGAGCATGAAAATATTTTTCGTTGCTCAACCAAACTCTTTTAATGTTTACAATCGAAACATTCATGCCCTTCACTTCGTTCAGAACATATCAAAAAAGATATCATAAAAAAACATTGTTTTATTCAAAATTGTCATTCAACATGATCATCAGTTCGTGTCTATGTTCCTGATGTGTCCTGTGAAAAATCCTAAACATGGCCATCCATATGCCAAACTTTTACACTCTTACGAACATTCTAGTGCATCATCGTGATTGACATCACGCACAGTCAATGGAATGTAATCATTCATACTCTATTCTACTCATTATTTCCCATATGAGACAGTGAAAATTCTAAACTTTCTACAAATCCTCCATTGATGGGTCTATCTTTTTTAAGAGTTTGTCTTGCATTGACAGTTCGATTCAGAAGAAGATGGAATTGATTTCCTCGTTCCTTGTACATGTTCACTAAAAAATCAGTTCCAAGAAATCCTCCAAAATCACTCACGATTTGATACGTGTATTTGGAACGAGTATCACTAATTCTTTCAACAATGAAAAATGATTTCATTTTGGCTCTGACCTGTTTGGATGTTTCAGGACATTTCTTACTCGTCACAGATTTTTGTAGGAAAATGTAAGTACTCGTGTTCTCTCGATAGGTACAGCATTGAGAAGTCAGGAAATCTCGGTTAGAATTTGGCCATGCCATGGAATAGACGTCACTAAAAGACATGAAAGATCATTTGTGTGAATTTCACAATTTGCATTAATTTCACATGTCAATCATTTTTGAAAACACTTACTGGATAATAGCAGATGCAAATTGTCTCCCTGTCACATAATCAATTTGTTTCGAGCTCAAAATACTAGGTTCTCTCATGTAGAGATACTCTGGGTCCATCCATGTATTGAACACATTGTGATTTGAGTGATCAATTTGTCCACAAAATCGTAAAGCAGTCATCTTTTTCTTCGATTCTATGTGAATATGAGCTCCCTTTGGACTAACAAACATCTTTCCCTGCGTTGTTGGATCCGATTCAATTTGAGACCATCCTGTGAAATCCATGGATTGATCCAATGCTTTATCAAAATCTGATTTCATAAATAATGGATCCTTGAAATCAACAAGCACTTCTCCACACTTGCTACATGTTTTCCTTTCCTTTGTATTATCTTGCTCTGCATTCTCTTCCAAATTGTCTTCAAATAGATTAAGTTGTGAAGAGTCTTCTTTTTCTTGCTCGGATTGAAGGGTCTCCTTTTTCATAAATCTCACATAAAAGGTTGGATCTATTTTTCTCTTATTTTCAACCCATGTTTTAAAAAGTTTGGATGAACAGAATTTAGGGAACAAATTTTGTCTCAACTCGTCCAACACTAAATCCAAATAATTTTCAAAGAGATAGGCAGGACAAAAGATCTTTGAATGCTCCTTCCATTGTTGAGTGAATTCCTCTCGTTTCGATTTGATGAATTTGAGTTTGTGTGTTGCATTCTCAGCGATGAAATTTGAAACAATTTTTTCAGCCAATTCATATCTTTCAGAAATGGTAGGAGTTAATTGATATTCCATAATGTGTTCAAAGAAGGAAAGAGTGTCTTGTTGACCGATCGTTGTTAAATAATCTTTCATCTTTCCAATGAAAGAAAAGTCTTGCAGCAATTGCTCAAAGTTATACGAAGTTGGTTTGTAAAATTCTCCTTCCACCAAGTTTTTGAGAGTGTCATCTTGTTGACGAAGTTCTTGTCCAAATAATTGAACAAGATATTGAATGGACTGTCCTTCTCCATTTTCCAAATTGAGATATTTGGCCAATGGATACAAAATTCGAGCACAACGGAAATGTCCCTGTTTGAGAGCAATGTGGAGAGGAGAGTCCAACTCATTGTTCTGAATAAAAATACAATCTGGATTAATGAAGAGTAAAACAAAGGTAATTTCTGGTTGGTTGTGATTCACAGCCACATGAAGTGGAGTATTTCCATCCTTATTTTGTGTGGAACTGAGTCGTCTCACTACTTCATCGGGAAGTACACTTAGCAACTCTCCAAGAGAGTCAATAAATCCAAACTCTGCACAAATATGAAAACAATTGTCATTATTCTCATTCGTAAACTCTAGAGGTCTCAAATTGTAGTGAGCTGTGACATCGTATTTCTCACAAGACGACAAACATGTTCGATTTTTCTCCATCAAGTCCATTAAAATTTGATTCAAAATGGCCGGATGATGCAACGCAATGAACATGGGTGTTTCTCCAAAAATATTTGGAATGGTCAAATCACACTTGCAACGACTCACAAGAAAATGAACACTCGTAATGAGATCCTTCTTGATGGCCATGTGAATGATGGTATTTCGATCGACTCCCACTTGAACATTGACATTGGCCTTTCCATGCTCAAACAACACACTCGCTGCCTGGAAATTTTGTGAGTCCATACACAAATAGAATGGAGTGTAGCCCTCATGATCTGTAATATTCACGCAAGCTCCTTCAGAAATTAAATAGTGCAGAATGGTTGCTGTTCGATGTGGACTCACGTTGCATGCATAGAAAATTGCACTTCGTCCTCTCTTATCTCGATATTCTAAGTTGGCATTAAATTCCTTGTGGAGTAGACGAATCATTTTGAGGTTTTCGTGAGCCACTGCAGTCATGAGTAAGGTTCGTCCAGTTTGTTCGGAAACATAATTTGCATCGACATTGAAAGGAACTATTTGTTCGGAATTTTGGTCATTTTTTGTCTTGTTGTTGGAAGTGTTGTTGATGTTACTTGTGGAAATGGCACTCTCCACATGACATGAAGATGTGGGTGACGTAAAAGTTGATGGAATTTCATTGTTGCTCGGAGGGGTATTTGTTTCTCCATTGTTATTACTGCCGTTGATACAACTGCTACTACCAGTAGTAGTCTCATTACTGTGATTGGATGGATTAGATGTGGAATCCATTTGGTTGTTGAGATTACCACTAGTGACAGCTTTTTGCTGTTCCTCTCTCAATAACTTTTCCAACTTGTCAATCTGATGTTCAGAAATTAAACGATGCAACAATGTAATCAGCTCTTGTTGTTTGGATTGAGAGGCAGAAATGGTTGGTGTCACATTTTCCACCACTTGAGTGGATGTCACAATTGAAACTTGTTGATTCTTATCAGTTTTTCCTCTCCTAGCTGTATTTCCTCCACTTGGTACACTCGTACTTCCAGTGCTTGAAATGCTGTCTCGAACTCGACTCGATTGAATACTAATTGCTGGAGAAGTGGAATGTGGAGGATGATCATGAATAATGGCAAGACTTAGGGTTGAAAACGGAAGGACAGTACTCGTGGTAGTCGGTGCATTGCAAATAATTAGAGAGTCTCTAATTCTTCGACCTGTTGAAGTGATACTATAATCTGGATAATTGTCGTCGTTGAGGTTGTTGTTGTCATGTTGTTGTTGTGATGCTTTTATCGGAGTGGAAACACGTTGGTCATCCATTTCACTAGAAGTGTTGTGATTCGTGTTGTGGTTGTTGTGGTCATCCTGATGGGTCCTATGGCCATTGCCATCACTATCTCCCACATGAGAGGAAGAAGAAGTGGTACCATCTTCCAACGTCGATGAAGATGATGACTTTGCAAGTAGAAAAACTTTTGCAGAATTTTCAGAATTAATTTTCATCCCATTCAAACTTTGTTCCAACATTAATAATTCCTGAGTATTGACGTTTCTGTCATTATCGCGATTGGGTGTTGAAGGAGACAAGTTTTGTGTGATTGGATTCTCGGATGGTAATAGTGATGATGATGACGATGTGGTGGTGATTGTTGTTGTATGATTTTCAAGAACATGATTGACAGGTGTGTCATCATCATGATTGGATGATGATTGGTTCGGAATTTGGTGGTTGGAGTGTGTGTTGCCGAATTCTGCTTGTTCATTGACGGAGGAAGAAGTGGTGATATGTTGGTGGTCTTTAGGATGTTGGTCTTTCAGTGATGACTCATTAGACGATGATTCGTGCTGTTGGATGTGCTGGCTCATTTGGGGAAGAACTGAGGAAGCGTTAGAGGGTGCAGCATGCTCTGCTTTTGTCATTTTTTTTTCTTCTTGTGAATGACAAGTGGCATTGGTTTCCAAACGACAGAAAAGGACAAGGAAGGGATTCAACACAGCCAATGGCAGGAGGTCCTTCATTCACTGAACATCATTTCGAGTAGGAGTAAACAATTTGGAATTATTGAGTGAAAAAAATCGGCTGCCTCTGCTCACTCACAGAAGGTTTTGGAGCTCTCCCATGTGAGAGAGTGGTTGACGAGTCATTGCTAAATTTCGTGAAGAGTCACAACATTGGAAACCTCATTAAGCGGTCGTCAATGAAAGGCGCCGTTACGGACCGTTACACATTTTAAAAAATTTTAAATGTGTCACCTGCCACTCCGAAAATTTTTCAACAACAAAACAAAATGTCCAACAAACTCTTTGGCTCCAAGCAACATCAATCCTCTCCACCAGCTGCCTTCTGCTACAAGGGCCCACAAAACGCTGAGAATATTCCTCCAACAAACATTCTCAGCCCAACTAAAAGCACCACCTACAGCAACACTCCTCAAAAAGTATCAACTCCAAGAAAGATGCTTGCCAACATGAAGGCCAAAGTTCTCCGTAAATCCAATGCTGTCCACTTTGAGAATGATGCTGCAAGCACCTCCTCAGGATCATCCAATGGTGATGAACAAGCGAATCAACACGTGATGTCGTCCACACCAAAGAAATCGAGTGGTGTCAGTGAATCCTTCGATGATGACTACGATGCAAGAGAAGACAAACCACAAGAGTCTCCAGAAGCCATTCGTGTTTCCATGAATGACTCTCAACACAAAACTGTACAAATTGAAAAGAAGATTCTGAAGAAGGCCCTCCCAAAGCCATCATCCACCAGTACTGAACAAGATCTTCCAACCTCTCCATCCGATACCAACCACGAAGAGGTGCATAAGGATCTCTCCTCCCTCTCAGATCAATTGAATTCCTGTGTTTTTGATAAGCAATTCAGTGACTTTGTCATTCAATGTGGACCTTCTCTCTCCACCAAGTATTATGCACACCGAGTCATTCTGGCCTCTCGTTCGAGTTATTTCAGAGCCTTACTGAGCAATACGTCAAGCTCTCTCTACACTTCACAACAACGTTATTCATGGGAACGTGAAGACATTCATCCAGAAGTATTCGGTAAGGTATTGGAATACTTGTATACTGGTCAAGTGAGATTGCGATTGGACAATGTTCTCGACATCTTTGTTCAATCCGAAGAATTTGGTATTCCATGCCTCAAGAGATTGTGTGAGTTGTATCTCATTGAACATGGCGACTATGAGAATATGGCCCTATTGTTGGAGATGGCCATTGAGAATAAGGCTCTCGATCTCGTCAAGCACTGCTACCAATACATTGATAAGAACATCAAGATGGTTCTCAAATCGGATTCGATCAAACACGTCAAGATGAACACGATCATTCAGATCATCTCTCGAGACTCTCTTCAATTGGAACCTTTGGAGGAAGTTTTAGTGTTTGAGTCTGTTCAAAAGTGGTGTGAGTTGAGAAAGCATTTGCCATTCGAGGCATCGAGCATTGCAAAGGTCATTGAGCATGTGAGATATCCATTGATGAGTTCGGATCAATTGGCAACTGTGGTTGAGCCATCCAATTTGGTCCCTCAACATCCATTGTTGTTTGAGGCTTACAAGTATCACTTGGTTCCAGAGAAGAATAATCAGGCTCCACGATTCAGAACAAGAGCTGCCAAGCAACAATAACTTTCCATGTGATGAAAGGGTGAAAGTTATTCATCACTACTGATGCTTCTTTTCGTGAATTGGACTTTCCCCATTCATATTCACAATTATTCATATTCACTTTATACACAACCCAACGGAAATGCATCCAATAATTCCAATTCTAGGTCAATATCAATCGTTAAATGATCATGACGACAAGAGAGCCCTTTTCGGAAGATTCATTTCCTTGGAGGAAAATCGTCTTTTGAATTCAGGCATCTCTCTCGATACATGCATGTAATTGCATCATCATTTGTCATCTTTCGAGACAATAAACAACAACTCTCACCAACCCAAGACTCTACATTTTCAAATTAAAAAAACGAACACACATTTTTGAAATTTCAAAAATCGTTGGACAGCCAAGAGCAAATTCGCTTTGTAAACCCCAAATTTATTGCCTTTCAAGGACACCCTTTGTCATCACCTTTAAAAAAAATATTCAACAAACCTATTTCTCATCATCACACAACAACCCTCTATCAAAATGTACTCCTTTGGAACCTTGTACAAGCCAGTGAAGAGCGTCTTGAGCACTGGTGCTTCTGATAAGATTTCTCTCTCTGTTAATACCAAGGCTAATCAAGATTTCAGTGTTGGTGTTAGCGGAAGCAGAACTGAAAGCGGAAAGGTTGAATCTGCTCTCTCTTGGTCTCAAAAGTTGAAGTGCCACGGTGTAGCTTGCACTGTTAATGGATCATTGGATCAAGATGCCACCGTTAAAGTCTCCGTTGCTGCTAATGGTCTTGCTAAAGGTTTGAATGCTGATCTCAACACCAAGATGAAGACTGAGAACGCTGAAAACAACATCACTGGTACTTTGGATTACACTGCTGAAAAGTTCCATTTGACTGGACACTTTGATTACACTACTGGAAAGGATTTGCTCCTCGCTTCAAGCGTTACTGGTAGAGTTGTTGATGGTTTGGTTGTTGGTGCTGAAGCACAAATCAAGGGTTATCCACCAGTTGATAAAAAGGATTTGTTGAAGAAGTACACCCTCGGTGCTAGATATTCCATGAAGAATATTCACATTGCTGCTCAATTAGAGGAATCATTGAAGAAGATTAGAGTTGGTTATGCTCAACAAATTGATGATAGTGTTACCGTTGCTGGTGAATTCTTACATGATTTGAAGTCTACCGACAAGCCAACATTCACTCTTGGAACATCTTACACAATTGACAAGGAATCATCCGTCAAGGCTAACATCAATACCAAGGGTGTTGTTAATGCTACCTACACTCTTGTTGTTAATCCACGTTTGACTACTGCTGTCTCCGTTGAGTCTAGCGTCTTCAACAAGACTGTCTCCAAGGTCGGTCTCTCCATCTCCTATGATGCTTAAATCTAGAGTTTTGTTGCGAAAATAATAGTAGAATAATCATTTCCGATTGATACAATAAAAGCTAAAAGGGAGCTTATTTACTAGGAGGAAATGTGTGCACATGATGAATTATTTTGTGGGATTATTAATGGATGTTTTTTTGCTAATGAAATTTTTCGTTAGTTCCCAAACAGTAAGGAGAGTATTTCAAATTTGGATCGACTCAAGTATCCAATCGTATGGAATGTATGCATGAAAATTGGAGGCTTTTGTATAGAGAGTGGTCAGTATGTTGTCATGAATGTTAGCCTTTTTCACAAGGAATTTATGCAAATCATGTACTAGATACAACACAAGCTGGTCGACAAAGAAATGTCATAAAATTATTGGGATTATATATAATCTTACTATATATACAATTGGGTATTATGAGGTTTTTTTAAGGTTTTCAAAGGTCACTTTTTTTTTGTTATTCGAAATGAATGCAATTTTTGCAAGTTGCATGAAAACACAAATGAATTTCGATACATGAAACTTGTTTGAAAATATTATGGAGTTTCTAAGGGGGTTCAATGATTTTTTCCAAGGTTTTACATACTGCAGAGACAATATGATGTCTGCCAACTGTCCATTTAAAATCATCACGAAAAAAAAAACATTTTAAACATCACAAACAAAACAATGAACACACCTCTTCCCACAGTGGATGAGTATCTCTTTTTTATCAGATATCTTCCTTGCTCAATCCCAGATCATATAAAGGAGTATTTAATTTTCGAAGATGAGAACGAAGAAGAGACGGTGATGTCATCATTCGAGACAATTTTTGACAATCAATACATATCCAGCCTATTCGAATCTCAAATTTAACATGAATAAATCCTATTACAACATTTCTTGATGTTCATTTGTATTTGAGCTTTGTTCTATCTTGTATGATCATCAGACATGAACCCTTAAAGTTACCTTAACGAAATTCGTACCTTTTTTCCTCGAATTCGATTGGTTTTCATAACCACGTCAAAGAAATCGTATTGGGCATTTTATCGATATCTTCAAAAAATTTTCCGTGTATCTGTGCTTGAAACAACGAATTATCACAAAAACCTCCAGTCTGTATCAGCCATTCCGAGCTTGAAAGAAGATTTATTCATGTTAAATTTAAGATTTGAAGAGAATGTAGGTTTTTTGTGGTATTCGTGATGATATGGAGCTTTTAAAGCCGCAGCTGAAAAAGAAGTGTGATTGCCATCATGAATATTCAGTTAAATTGTTTAAACAATTATAAGTAATTTGTACAAATCTGCATTTCACAGCGCAAATAATTGAATGAGAGGAAAGTCAACTGGAACAATATATGCCCTTTTGGTCCGACACTATCGGTCTAAAGACAATGGTGTGGCAATCCATCGACCATTCAAGAAACAACGTTTTTGGACAACAAAGTATCCACAATGGTACATCATGAGCTTTGATATCCGGCGAAACTCAAGAACCAATGTGGGTGGTCGACTCACGAAAGCCACAAAACAAACACCAACAACTACAAAACCATCAGCACCACCACCTTTGGGGTTAATTGCTCGTTCATCCTTTCAACCTCACTCACTTTCTCGTTCTTTTTTTCCCTCAAACACTGACTTGTATACACGAGCCATATGCATAACATCATGGAGTCCAACGCCTCTCGTCCGACCTTAATTGTCGAGCATCGACCTTCAACTACGACCTCTGAGGCGGCCGGACATCATCATTCTTCCACACATTCTCTCCGTACGGAAACCATCTCCACTTCATCCTCTCACAATTCCTTGTGGAAGTCTGCGAATGAAAAGCTTTTTCATGTGTATTTGACGCTGAAAACTACAGGAGCACGAAGAAGCGGATTCGATCGTTTCCTATTTGGTCTTGTATTCATCTATTACTTGTATTTGAATGTCTTGATGCCAACTCTTTCCTCTCATCCTCCCTATCGTTACGAAGTACAAGATCATACGAGTATGAACACCTCTCCGTATGGAGTGTACGGAGGTTGGGTGTTTCGAGTATTGAATTATCCCATCACCTTCTCCTTGGATTCCATATCGAGTGAGGCTGTCGTTGCATTGAGTTGTTGCTCTGTAGGTTTGGTCTCTGTGTTTTTCATCACTCTCATGATGGAATTCAAAGTGTTGAAAGGAAAAACTCTGGATCGTTTGCGCCAATTCAATACTTACTTTGGTCTGCTCATTGCCTTAATAACACCCATCTCGATTTTCGTAATGAGTACTTTTGTGGATTCTAATCCCAATCATTTAGTCTATTCAGAAAAGGATGGAGTTCTGCGACCCACACTTTCTCGAATACCTTCTTTGTTTTATTTGGAGGAAGATTCCATGGTGTTTTTCATCCTTTCCTTCTTTTCCATGATTTTCATGATGATGGGCTGTTTTGTTGCATTCATATTAATGCCATTGAGTAATACGAGTAGTAAGATTCCCTTTATTGTCATGGATAACATTCCGATTGCGTTGAATTGTGTTTCCATTGCTTTTGAAATGATGATCAAATTTCTCATTCCTCCCACACATCTGTATGTGAGAGGAGTTATTCATTCGATTGGAGCCCTCGCACAGCTTGTTCTCTTTTTTTACTCACTTCCTTTCTTTAAACGATTGGAAAATTCAATCTTTATTGGAGCTCTTGCGGGAAGACTTGGCTCTTCGATTGGAATGATCATTAGTGGATGTGTTTTTAACTTGGATTCTTCATCATTGATATTTAATAACGATTTGGGACTTGCCATGATGGGTCTCACTTTGGGACTCTTGATTCTTTTCTTTATACTTGGTATTGCTGCATGTGAAATTTATACATTGATTTTTGTGTGTCGACCAGTGAGGAGAATCTTGGAGACAACAGGTGTGAATTTCGATGATCTCTCTCGTTCTCATGATTCAGACATAATGTCTCAAATAGTAGGAGATGAAAACGACTCCATTCGCGCATTGAGTCTTTTCCTTCAATTTTCTGTGAGGCATGAGAGTGATTACAGGATTACTTGCTCCTTTGTGAAAAGTGCTTGTCATCAACGATTATTTGCATCTCCATTACTACTATTGATGGCAAGTCATGTCATTTCGCACGAATGGAATACAGATTTGAACAGTTATGCATTGGCCTCCTCTTTACTGAAACGAGCCCAAAAGAATTGTGGAAATATTTGGAAACGAACAATCATCCAAGAAATGCTCAGAGAAATTGAAACACAGAGTGCAAGTTACAAGACGCATGGACTCAATAGTGTTGAAGTGAAAAACATGATTCTTGACTTGGAACAAAAACAAGAGGAGCTAGTGACAGTTCATCGAATGTTTTTTAAGGAATTCATGAGTGACTTTCCAAACATTCCAAAAATTGAACAAATCAACAGTCGAGGAAGTGAATTGGCAAGATATTGTGACAAGATGTTTTATCATTTGGTGACAAATTTTAGACAAAACAAGACAATTCTAAGACTTTATGCAGGGTGAGTAGAAGTAATTTTATTTTTCGAGGTAAATCATTATTGTATAATGATGATGCCAATCTTCGAATCTAATTGAATCACCAAATTTTTGAAATGACTTTTATGTGTGACTCTATAGATACCTTGAAAATTTTAAATTTGATAAGGAACAAGCAGCAGCTCTCTATGAAGAGGCGAGTCAATTGGAAGAGGAAGAATCAAAGAATAGGTATTTTAAAAAAGTTAGAAGTTTTTCTAACAACAAAGTAATGCCCATTTCAGTCAGCACAGTTTCTCATGCAAATCATAACAACATTCCTAGCAGTGCCAATACAGGCGTGGAGTTTCAAAACAATCTGGAAAAAACCTCCTTCATGGATAACGAAAATGTCGAAAAGGAAAATTTTGATGGAGTTGAGAATGAACAAGTGGATAAGAAACAAGTCTTCTTTAGAAATACCATCAACACTCCCTATCAATCATCATTAAGGAATTATAGTTTTTTGGTCGTTGCGGCTTTTTCTCTCGCCTTGTTGATTGTCGCTCTTGTGCTTTGCTTGATTTTTGGTGCCAAAGTTACTGAAATTCCACTTGCATTGGACTCTTGTTTACCAGGAGCGACTCCATCCTCTCTGATTCGTGAAGTCAGAATGAGACATATAATGACAGAGCTATTTGAAAATCAGAAATGGCCAATACCAAAGAACACCACAAGGGAAGGTTTTGCCTATGAAAAGTTTTGGGCCTACTCTCAACATCGATTCCAACAATTTAAAACATTCTTACTGAATCTGGTTGCCAATTCAGTCTCTAACAAGTATAGTGATAATATGTATCATGACTATACCAATACAGACAATAATATTAACGTACCAATGGCCTCTGACAAACAACTGATGGAATATACGACTAGTTTCAAAAAGAATGCCTCCCTGAGCGAAATTACACAAGAATTCATTTATCATACGAATCTGTTTTTGGAGTGGACGAGTGCTGACTTTAACAAGACTACAACCTCTTTTTCATTCATGTATCTGTATCTCAATAGAAGGACAGCGTCGGATGCATATGGAGTTTTTTGCTCGAGATTTCAAACGAGCAAGAGATTGAGCAATCAAGAAGTGGATGATGTTTTACGTCTTTATTTATTTATTTCTAATGGATTTTTCATATTCATTTATGGTGGATTGCTTCTATTGGCTCGGATCGACATGTATACAACTACCAAAATCATCAAGCTATATCACAAAATTCCCAAAGATCTCATCGGAGTCATTTATCAAGATTTATCTTTAAAGACTTCACAAGATGTCAAGCATATGAAAAAGGGCGTCCGACCAAAGAATTTGTTAATCATTTTTGCAGTAATTGTGGTTTTACTTGTAAGCTTAAGCTTTGGAATGATGTATTATGAAATGTCCATCAATAATTTAACAAGCTCAAACACCATGATTAACATTGATACAACCACATCCATCATGAGAGGTATGTAAATTAATTTTGTGAAAAGTGTTGGTAGTTGACACCTAAATGCTATCCATTTGTTTGGAAAAGCGGTTGCAAGAACCTCTGTAAGAACGAGTGAATTTTATGCATTCAATGGAATACCATCTGGAAAATTCATCAATAATCCAGCGGTTGGATCAGCAAGTCAGCTTGCAACTTTTAGAGCTGATGTTAAGCAATACACAACAGATATTCAAAACCTATATAACTCGCTGGTATATGGAGGTGATGGAACAGAGTCTATCATTGGAAAGTATCCAAGAGTGGATGATATTGTGAATGGAGTGTATAATTGTCAAAACAAAAGCTCATGTATGACTTTGCAAGGGCTCTTGTCTTCATTTACTGTCCAGTCAGTGAAATGGGGAGACGATTTATGGAATCCTTATTTTGCTCGTGACCCTACAACCTTCTTCAAATATTTAGAATTGTTTAATTTGGCGGATGATGTATTCAACAGAATGACTGAATTTTTACAAACTCTTGTGGATTATACTCAAGTGAATTCGAGAGCATTTACCGTATGCTTTTTCATTGTTGGAGCTTTATCGATTATCGTATTCAGTTACCTTATTTTTGAAGCTTTTAGAACTTATGATCATCACATTACCACCTTACGAACCTATTTAAACTATCTGCCCATCGAATATATAGAAAGCAATGAAAGCTTGAAGAATTTTGTACTCTATCAATCCCTCTCCCAAGAAGGGACAACGAGAAAGAAAAAATACTGAAGATTCTATCAAGAATCTTTTGAATTCAATGGTAGAGGGTGCCGTGATGGCCAATGAAAAAGGAGAAATAATTTTGTTTAATGAAGCAGCTCAGAAAATGTTTGGCAAGAACATTACAGATGTTCTTGGATTGAAATTCTTTTCACTGTTCGATCAGTCCTCGGAGAACTACTTGAAAAAGGTCACAGAACATTGCATATCAAAGGTGGACACTGACGAAAAGCATGGAGAAATTATTGAACTCGACTGTGTACGAAAGAACCAAACAAAATTCCCTGGACTTGTGAATCTTTCTGTCACACGAAATGGAGAGGGCTCTATTGTGATTACATGTTTTGTAAAAGATATTTCTATGGAAAAGAAACAAAATAGTTTACTCGCTGAGGAGAAACAGAACAGTGACAAACTTTTGAAAAATATTCTCCCAGAGGCAGTGGCAGCTAAATTGAAAAGTGGTGAAACCTTTATTGCAGAAAAATTCAGTGACATTACATGCTTTTTCAGTGACATGGTAAATTTCACAAAAATGAGCTCTGGACTGAATCCATCTGAGATTGTATTAATGCTTAATACTATTGTGAATGGATTTGATGATCTTACTGACAAGTATCAGCTTGAAAAGATCAAGACCATTGGAGATGCCTATTTTTGTGTGGGAGGACTTCATAACAATTCACAATCGGACCATCCAGGTATGTATAACATGTTGATCACACATGTTTGTGTGTGTGAATCACTTCAAACACTTTCAATTTGAATCAGAGAGAGTATTGCGATTTGCCATTGATACATTTCTTGTGATTCGTTCATACAATTTGGAGAATATGGAGAGACAAGTGAACATTCGTGTAGGTATTAACACTGGAGGAGTGGTTGCTGGTGTTATTGGTCGAAAGGTATGTGTTTGTCAATGTTCTTATATTTCATTATTCTAACAATTATGCATTCAAAAAAGAAATTTGCCTATGATTTGTGGGGAGTAAGTTTTTTTGAAATGAAATCATTATATTAATAATCATAATATTAATAATATTTAACAAAATAATTTATTGTTTTTTGTAATTTCAATTGCTTGCATTCGAATCTGAATTAACATTTTCACAAATAAGGATACCATTAATACTGCCTCGCGCATGGAGTCGAATTCTCTACCTGGAAGAATTCAAATTTCTCGATCTACCTATGAAAGAGTGTATGATCTAGAATTGGAGTTCGAAGAGAGAAAAATCGAAGTGAAAGGAAAAGGTCTCATCAACACTTATTTGTTGAAAGAGAAATATCATGTCCAAACCCTTGTTCAACCTGTTGAGACTGTCATCACTCAAAATGCTCCATCTGAACAATAAAACATGAATCAATTCTGGAGAGAATTTCTGAATCAAAACATGTAACACTCTTTAATTTACCGGAATCGGTAAAATTGGGCTGTTAAATTCCAGAACATTGAGGAAAATCCAAGAAACCAAAATAGAAAAAAAAATTGTCGTTTTCCGAACATTTCAGATGAGTGGAAAAGGATTAATGCAGAAAAGTGATGTTCTCGCTACGGACCTTAGTGAAGACAAGTCTTCATCGTGCAGCAGCAAATCATCTTCGATCATTACACAAAACAACAAGAACATGACTACTCAAACGAATAAGGGTATGAGTGCCATAATGCCCAATCCTACCATTATGGATATTCTCTCCTTGGGTTTGAAAGAATCACCTCATCTCTACACGCATCAATTACTTTTACTTTTGGAGGCTCTCGCGAACCATCTTCAGATCCATTCTGGAGATGATGTGGAAGGTAAAGATGATCAAAGAGAATATCATGCTCTTTCAATTCGTCATACAATGAATGGTTGTTTATTGAGTGCAAATGCTGTTTTGAGAAACTTTATGATTAAGCATCCAGTCATGTTCATTAATGGAAGAGATCCTTTCAAGTCACATTTCAGAGACACTTTCGATCCCAACTTGGAGGAATTATTGAAAAATCAAGAGTATGTGGAACTCTTCAAAAAGGATATTGTCGCATACAGACAGTGGATTGCATATGGTAACAAATATTCACAATCTTCAAAATGTGAAATCAAAATTAAGAGAAAGAGCACTCATAAGGATGCACATTCAGATCCTTACATTTATCTTATTCAACAACATGGTTTGGGAGTTAATTGCAGAGAGGAAACTTATGATCAATATTATCAATTGCTCCTCAAGAAAGACAGTCAAACTATTCCCATTCTGGAAAGTTTGTTTTATAGAGATCCTATGGGTGAAGGTATGTGAAAATTCTTTTTTTAATGCCAAGTTTTTCAATGTTCAAAACGAAAAGCGAAATTTCACAAAAAGAAATTGCAACAAATATTGAAGGAATGTGAATTACCTAGTGAGTGGGACTCAAACAAGTTCCTATCCTTTCTAATGCTTTGTTCGAGCTCATTGCTAAATGAGGTTGAGAATTGCGACTTTGACAATACACTGGACCGAATTGAACAGGTGATGGACATGCAGGAGGATGACGATGATGAAGTGAGTAATGAAGATGAGGAGAACAGTGACGATGAAACAACTGACCACTACTCACAACATAATGGACGACTTCTTTACACCGATGAAGAAAATGGGAAACAAACAAATTATGAATTAGAAGGTATTGAGTTTATGGACAAATTACTGTCAGAATTCCAAGATCCGAAACGGAACAAAAGCATAGGTCAAATACTTGAAGGAGTAACATGTTTAATGATTCAACCAATTATGTGCTTATGTCAATTTGACATCTGTAGAGTTACCACAAGGATGCCTAGACTTGATTCAAGCTCTTCAAGATCATATCGTCACAAGACATGAAAGTTATTGCTTTGCGACAAGTATTGGAGAATACGTGTCACAACAAGACACATTCAGTAAGGTAACTTTTAGACGAGTGGAGAAACCAGAGGAATTATTGACAGTCGTTGTGAAAGGAACGTTTGTTTCAGGCTATGGAGATTCATCCATTGATTTCTCCATATCTACCACAAATGAACACGATGAAACCAATCACATCACCACTCTGGAAATGCGCTATTCGAATGAGAATGCCCTCTTTGAAGAGGATTGCAGCAAGTCCAAATTTATGGAACGTCTGATTGGTCATCGAATGGCCTCTCAATTCTCATCCATTGCATTTGTTTTTTGTTTACTTTTAGTCATGGATCAGTCGCATCATTTCATGCTGTGTGACTGCAGTGAAAGAACCACCGCTGACGATGGCCACTCTGAGATTGATTTGTGGTATAATTTTAAAGAGAGATTTCCAGAGCTTGATGAACTCTTTTCTAATGATTAATAAATCTCAATAAACATGAAAGGCCTTGACCTGGGTGAGTTAATTGGATGAGTTTATTAAAATTGAGAGGAGATTAAAAAAGGTATGAAATCCCAACACGCCGCCGTTGTAAACACGTTCGTGTTTGTTCCTCTCTCGCAGCAAAGCCAACCACGTGTCAAATTATTTAATACAAAAAAAATGCCTAAAAAGCCACAAGACTCATCGTCGACTCCACCTTCGACCACTTCTTCCGTGATGGCCTCTGAGAAGAAGTTGGCCAAAGATCAACTATCAACAACAAGACCAAAGAATTGGTTCAAAATTTTATTTAGTGCCTATGTTACTTTTACATTCTTGACTATTGCTTTCTTGTTGATTCATATGGCACACAATTATTTGCTTTATCAAAGTCCCGTGATCACTCAATTCGATTCCAGATTGAAGGATTTGTGGAGAGAGGGAAGAAAGGCTTCACCACTCTTTACTTACAAATTTAATGCTCTTCCTCCTGCCATTGTTGATCCTATTAATAATGTTGTGAGAATTGTGAATCAGTATCCATTCATGAGAGATAATGGAATTAAAGTTCCAGTCTTTCCTGTCAATGAATATGTCACTCTTGCGATCACTGTTGCTAACATTCCATATATTGCCTTGTTGATTGCCTTTGCTTACACCATGACTTCTAAATTGCCTGTCATTTTGGGACAAATTATTGAAGGTAATGGAAAGTTGGACAATGCAACACCAAGAGAACAACAAAGTCGAATGACTGGATTTGGTTCTAGAGCACTTGGAGCTCATCAAAATGCATTCGAAGCTTTGATTGGATTTGGAATTATTGTTGCTGTCACTTTGTTAAGAATTGGATCAAACACTGATTCTCGCTCATTGGAGTTGGCTGCTTCTTTGGTAAAGGAAAGCATTTTCTTTGTCATTGCAAGAACCATTTTCCAAGTCTGGTATCCATTGGGATTGCCAGCCCTTGTGAGAACCATTATTTGGGCATTTGGCTGGATGAGCGTTTTACAACTCTACATCAACAATGTTACCTATTAAATGATGCCACCATTAAACAAATAATTTATTGATGTTGATACTTTACAGAAATCATGCCTGATGTTATTTAGACCGGTTTTGATTATTGAATGTACCAAAATTTTTTTGGTATTGTCGTCGAGATAAGGTTGCTTTTGGTTGTAGACAAAATAAAAACAATAATCCAAATTAATGCGCCAACCCATTCAATGTTTATTCGTTGTCGACGATGACTGATTTGCCAACTGTTGATGCAGATACTCAATTTGTTGGTGTTGATAAAAAACATGTTGCTTCAACTGTTGGATTTCAGCAAAAAGAGATTCCAATGTCACTGAAGAGTAAAAATTCGAAATGGAGGGCAGTTTCGACGTCGAGTTGTCATTCGAGCAGTTGTTTGTTTGATGTGGTTCAGAGACCACAACGACATTTTGGTTGACATCATGTGCAACATCCGTCATCATCATACTGTTTGTGCTGTTCGATTCCATCTTCACAGACTTGATCTTTGGTTCGAGACTTGTCATGTCACTGTGAGCTGAATCATCTTCATCATGATCTCTCTTTCTCTTCAGATCAGATGAAGAGGCAGCGGTTGTGGAAGGGACCTGAACTGGTTCTTGCTTTCTCTTCGAATCCTTGTCTAGTTGAAGTCTACTTCTCGATCGAATCCAAAATGAGCTTGAAACAGCAACACACTCATCGTTTTGATTCAAAATTTCAATGTTACCAATTCGAGATGAGGAGCTTCCCTTCATGCTTGTAATTCTTTGAGGAATGATGATGGTACACTCAAAAGTGGTGGAATTATTCGAATTATTTGGTTTGAATACTTCCTTAGAAACAGTCACACCACTCGATGACCCATCCTTTAACTTCAACACACAAACGCATTTAGCAAATTGGGGAGACTCAATAAATAGTGAATCCCTAATGGTCAAATTGTAATCGGTATCTGGTGGTGCTTTCTTAGAATCGTTGAGAATGAAACCTTGAACACATTTGAATGTGAAATTCGAGGTCACAAAATGTTGATTATTAAAAGAGAGAGTTGGTTCTGGAGGCTTTGTGCTGTGACGCGTATGAGTACTCACTTCATAAATGGAATTAGAAAGCAAGTTGGAAGAGTTACCAGAGGAGGAGGATTTCGAAACTGAAGACGCCTTCGATTGCTTTCTTCTTCTCACCATTGATTTTTGAGTTGATGGTGATGCTGTCACTACAGCAGTTGGAATTGGCATGGACCGAGCTTGGTCATGCTCCTGAATAAGGGAAGTCTTTGAAGTCGATTCCATAATTGCATTGGATGCAGAAGAAGGCAATTCAGATTCATCGCTACTATGAGGTCCTAATGAAGATGAAGAAGAGTGTGAGGAATAGGAATCTCCGTCCTGATGATGATGATGGTCATGGTGATGATGGTGCGAATGATGATGAGTTTGCAACATGACTGTTGAGTTCTGTAATGGTGAAGTTTTCATGGCAGCTTGAAAACGTTTCTTTTGAGGAAGCAGCATGCTGCTGTTGGTACTCGACGTTGTTGAGGAGATTGAGGATGGATGAATTGGTTGTTGAATACTACTAGTACTAGTTAAGGAAGGAAAGTCCGCTGGTGCACTTGGGATCAAGTTCATTGTTGAAGAAGAAGTATTAAAGCTATTCATAGATCCATGCATGTTATTGTGGAGACTAATGAGATGAGGAGGACTTTGAAGGTGCATCATGCTGTTGGTGGTGGTGTCCTTTCCGACCTCAACAAACAATGAAGAGGGTTGGTTATGAGTATTTACATTCCTAGTGGTGTTATTGTTGTTCATGATGATGGTATTTGAAGAGCAGTTGTTATTGTTGAATCGGCCCGAGTAGGTCGTGGTGGTGGTCATAATAATTGATTGATTGGAAGTTGTAGTTCTTTTTCAAAATTGCTTGCGTATAAAAAAGCCTTGCGTTTTTCTTTGGTTGGTTGAACAAGATGTGGGAGTTGTTTTTTTTTTTCGAATTGAAAGTGGATTTTCTAAAAAGCTCTTGTTCTTGTTGATTCACTCTCTTCTATTTTTAGAGTTCAGATTTCATTCTTTTGGGTGTTTCTTTCGTTCTTCGAGAAGAGCATCAAGTAAAAATCAACTTAGAATTAATTACAACACATTGCAACAATAATCATAATAGTGTGGTGAACGACACACGCAGGTGTGTGGAAGCGGGCAAGAATGGAGGTTCCATTCCCAAAAGGACGCACTTTCAGAAATTCTTCTGAGAAAAATGCGTGCGAGCTCAACGGAATCAACTTCCTTGCCCTTCAAGGAAAATCTTTGAACTTGGGATTTGATGAAGTGTTCATTCATTTTCCACGTGGAGTGATGGTCACCACAGTGGGAGCGAATCAGTGCCAATTCTCAGGTTATTGTAAAGAGTTCATTCTCAGTGGCGTTCCTCCTCTTTGATGCAAACATGGCCATGAGACACGTCAACCCAAGGAACTGCTTCTATCTCTCATTACAGTTCGAAGCTTCCTGTTGGTGGGAGATATTTATCGTATGCTTTTAACGGCTGGTTCGTTTGGATTTACAAATCAAAACGAGAGAATTATTTCCCGATCAACATGCAAAAAGACCGAGTCAGTGAGTGACGGAGGCAATGCAATAACAGCAGGTACAACTTTGTACAATCAACTCCATGGATAAAAGTTGCTGAACAGTACACAACCAATAAGGGCATAGCTTAGAAAATAGCAAAGAATAAGCTTGGGTACAGTTGTTGATCGGTTCTCAACAAGGACAAGGTGTGCTGAGAACCAATAGAAAATGGGCAGTGCAGAGCTTATAAAACGTGTCAATACCTGAATGTGCATGATGGCTAAACCTTGTAGAACGAGGGTGAACCAGTAGTAAACAAACACCAACATTGATTTGTTGTTGAGAAAGTAGGCTGCAGTGTGATCGTGTGATTGTTGTGTTTGAGGTTGGGAAGTGGATGCCCTAAAACCAAGACTCAAAAAGTATTGCTTATTGTGTCGAGCGTATTGGAATATGCCGCACAATGAAATTGTAATCTATTATTCGTTTGGAAATGTTCATGTCAAACACGAAAATGAGGCAAGTGAAAATTCGTGAAATTTGGTCATTTTGGAAAATGAATGATCACATCGATGAAGTGTCAGCATGAACACAGAGTGTACTCCATTTCAATAATGCACTTACCACTGGAAATGCCAGAATAAAGTTAGGCACTTGCTTCAGTTCATAATATTTGAGGAAGCCTACATTCCAATATTTACTCTGGACATAGCTGTAGAGATGAGGAATCCTTGTCAGACACCAGGGATGAACTTGAGCAAGGTAATCTTGGAAGTGAGTGTTCACTCCGCTATCATTCAGAGATTGAATGATTGTTAAGGCAAGTTGATTGGATTGTTCTGTACAGAATTGATAGTATCCATATGCCTGAAATGTTATGTAGGGAAGCCACACAATGAAGCATCCAAACACAATATATTTGAGGAAAGCCATAATCGTTTTGGAAATATTTCTTGTCAAATCATCTCGTTTGCTGTTCTTCCACCTCAAATACTCTTCCAGCATAAATTGATAAATGTAAAATCCAGCAAGAGCAATTCCATTTCCTCGTGTACATGTGGCAAGAGCGAAAAATAAGCATGAGAATATGTGTCTCTTTCTCACATGATAATACATTCCACACAGTGAAAAGAGAGAAAACATGCTCTCCGTATACACAACTGACATGAATACTGTGGCTGGATTGAATATGTAAAGAAGAGCACTCGTACGAACAAAATGAGTGTAGTACGAATTCCTTCCAACCAATTCCCATGTCAGCTTGATAAAAATTCCAACAGAAATCACAAAACAAATATTCGAAATTAACACACCACTAATCATAAACGGCGTTAAATCTCCATAGTTGTTTGAATCTCGAATATTAGTGAAATAGGTCAGGGCTGTCATGAATGGTCGAATCACATAGAGAGTGACTGTTCTTATGGTCATTGGATAGAACGGAAAGAAGGCAAAAAAACTCTCATATTCATATTGGCCTTTGCTAGCAATTCTCAAAAAGAAAACACCATCCCAATGAGCAAATCCTCTTCCGTAATATAAAGGATTCCCGAAAGTGTAATTAATAGTTTTGGCTTGATCCTCGCTGAATTGATCAATGTTACGACCAATACTGATTGTAGAGTTGTTTGAATTGATCAATGCAATATCTGCATAGGAAGATGAATCATAATCTTTCACCAAATAATCCACAACGAGTATCCACAAAATGATCATCAACCGAAATAGAATTGCCACACCCGTTAATTTGAAAATTAATTTTGTGAGTGTGTCCGTTTGGTGATGATGCTGCTGCTGGTGCGACACCTCGGAGTGAATATTTCCTTTGCTTGTGTGCTCATTGCCTTGCTGTTGATGATGATCCGATAATGATTGCATTTTTATTCGAAAGATTGATGATAGGCTAAACTTTGTATCAGTTCACATCATTGTTTGCTCGTAACACTTGTTTTCAATTGAAATTGCAAAAAGTTCAGCGTCGTGAGAGGAAGGTGATCATTAATAAGTCTGGAGAAAGATTTTTGAGAGGCGCCAAAATTTACAACTGCAGCGAAAAAAATGAGTGGTAATCCAACGGGTATCCTTTCGTCAAGTTTTCTGACATCCTCGACATCAATCCGATTACCGAACACGATCAATAGCAACAACAATAATAATAATAGAAGAGTCAAATACAACTTCTTTCATCGGTTAGATAATGTGTCAACAGGATCTAATCAGGAGGAGCCCGAAAGTTTAATTGAAATTATGGAAAGAGAAGAGGAGCGAGCAAAAGAAGAAGAGGAGAAGAGAAAGCATTTCGAAGAGATCCAAAAATTGAAGGAGGAAATGGAAAGGCGAAAAATATTGAAAGAGGAATTACGGAATATGAGAGAAAAGCGAAAACAAAAAAGAGAGAAGAGAATTGCCATGAAAGTATTACTGCTCATGAATGATGAAAGAGCACGAGAGTTAAAGCCTCAATTTTTAGAGTTTAAGCATGGAAAATTGTCTCGTTATGATGTATGTTTCAAATTAACTCGAGTTAATTTAAAATCGAGCCAGCAATTGTATCACAATGGTTATTGACGATGAATTTTACAGTTCATGGCCGTCATGAAAGACTTTGTTTTAAAGTATTCAGAAGAGGATTTTGGTTCTCTGGCTGAACCTCCAGTAAACACTATGGACGACGACACTGGTGCAGGATTAACATATACGGAATATTTTCAAAACTCGTCGGAGGATGAACGAAATTTAGTGCTTAATTTATGTGAGCTATTTAATGAGATCGATTTTGCAGGAGAAAAATACATTACATGGGATGATTTCATGTCCTATTTACTTGATGCTGTATCAGATCAAACGACGAAGGAAGATCAAATCAAAGAGGTAAGGATTTTCAGAAGAATATGCACTGAAAAAAAATTCCATTCCACTACAGTACGGCCTTTCATTCGCTTCTCCTGGAACAGAAATTGATGATGCCATCAAGAAAGTTTGCTACTTTGAAAATTGGGACAAAATTGTGACTTGTGGTAAAACGAAACGATGCAGAATATATGAGGCAAGTGATCTCTCAGTGGTGGCGTCACTTCCAGATCATGATGGAGCCATTCTACATGCCGAATATTTACCAAACCCTTTCGATATTCTTGTGACCAGTTCTGCAGATTTATCAATGCGCTTTTGGAATGCATCACGTCTAGAGTTTGATCTTGAATACATGGAGCAGCTCGATGCCACACAGACAGCTCTAAAGTTTTATCCCAGAAACAATATTTTATTTAGTGCCTCTAGAACAGGAGATCTGACCTATTGGATTCATGGAACTCCCCCAAATGATTACAGGAAGAAGACGCACTTGGAAAAGATGGTTGGAATTGGAAATACTCCAAAGTACCAAAAGCAACAAAATCAAAATAACTCAAAAGAAATATTCTATCAGAGTAGAAGGGTCAACGTTCATAGTGATGTTATAACTGACATGATTACACTTCCAAATGATAATAGATTGGTCACATCTTCTCTCGATTCTACCATTAAAATTTTCGACATTGAAAAGGAGGTCAAGGTAAAGGAATTTCTTGGACATACCAAGGGCGTGGTTTCCATTGCTTGGAAGAATGAGTACCATTTTCTGATAAGTGCAGGTGCCGAACGTGAGCCTCTGGTTTGGATTGCCAACGTCGAAAATCGATCTCCATTTCGATTGAGAGATCAAAGAAGTCCACATCAGCACTCATTGATTGGAGTTTGGGCCGTACCAAACACTCCACAAATTATTAGCGCAGACCATAGAGGTTTAATTAAGATTTGGGACATTAGAACGCATAGATGCTCTCAAACCATTTATACGGAGCAAAATGTTCCCAAGACTGATTTCCAACACTTTTACCTTAATTCATTCACTTATGTGCCACCTCGCAAACAGATTGTCACAGCTGGAAGAACTTTAAAAGTATATGAGTATGAACGAACCGAAAAACCAAAAGGCTCTGATGATTATCCTATCTTTTGCGCTCTTTACAATCCAACAAACTTTCACTTCATGACATGTTCAAGAAAAGGAGTGAAAATATGGGATGCACTCAGTGGAGCATGTTCAAAAACCTTCAGAGACTTGGCGAGCTGTGACATTACGACAGCATGCATCGATGATAGAGGAAGAAAATTCATTGTAGGGACTCACGTTGGAGAAATTATGGCGTTCAATTTTACCAATGCAAGTCTAGTGAAAACAATACCACTATTCGACTCTGAAATTACAAGTATTACATACTGTGACGATGGCTCCAAATGCATCGTGGCTACCTCTGCCGAAGGAGAAGTCGCAGCTGTTTTGGATAGACCAAATTACGAAACCAGAGTTTTTAAGCATACACACAAGCATGAAGCCAAGTGTTGTTCTTTCTCGAGAACTTACGCACTCACTGTGACAGGAGATTCAGCATCAAATTGCTACATTTGGGACATGAAAAATTATTCAAAAATTGCAGAAATTAAGGTCCAAGGTGGAGAGATTACTGCTCTTTGTTTTATGGGAGTGTTACCTGCTTTTATAGCTGCAGAAAACACAGGACGCCTCATCATGTACACAACACGACCTTTCTATTCACCTAATATCGCAATCCTTCAGTGGTACAATGAATCCAAGTGCTCAGATAGCAGTCCGAAAAAAGAGGAGGAAGATACTATCATCCATTCTGAAACCACCCCATTCATTACTGAAAATCCTTCCTTGACTATAACTCCTTGTTCTTCTCGAGGCCTGAGATCTGAATATATCATGCAACTTGACAAACCCCAAAAAGAGGAAAACGGTTTTGTAAATAATTACCCTGTAACTGCACTCGAGTATGATTTTAACACGAACCGGTTGATCACTGGTGACGAAAAAGGCTACATTTGCATTTACAACATGGAACCCATCATTGAGACAGCTCAAATAAGACTCTCTTCCAGAATACTCTCGAACCACAAAGTTCCATTAAGCGAGGTTGCCAAAATGAAACCTGAGAAAGTGGCACAATGGAAAGCACACAACGAGGCTGTCACAAAAATTCAAGCCATACGAGAACCAAATTGTATCATCACTTCCTCTCTTGACTGCTGTTCCATGATTTGGACTATGGAGGGAGAATTGATGGACTCTCTCAGGCAGGAAACCAAGGAGTGGAATGACACTGAGTTTGACAAGATCATGGATGATACCTCGATCAATAACCCAAAACCATTCAATTTCCCTATCAACCTCGAAGAACGTCGTAAAGAAGATGCTCTCACCGTTTCAGGTGTCATTGAGAAAATTACGAAACAGCTTCGATTAATTGGCATTTGGAAATCCACCTCCAAGGAAAGAAAACATACCAAAAAAGACGTCAATTCATTGCTTCATCAATTGGAGAGGACAGTGTCACAGGGTTCATTTTCTTTCAGTTTTAGGAGGAGTCCCCTCGCTAGTCCCTCCGTCTCTTCCACTCTTGTACAGAGCGGCACTTTATTCACTGCTGCCCTGGACAAGAGTCGCCAACAACCATCCTCTCAAGTGAAAACCAAAAGTGAACCACCTGAATTACAATTCAGAGTGCCACCTATCAATCCACGCTCCACATCTCCAATAGCTACATTGTCTCCCATTCCTTCCTGCACACCCAATAACCAAATGTTCCTTAAACGAAAACCTCAAAACCAACGTTACGAATCCTCACGAGAGTCGGCTGCAGACTCTCCCAACATTTTCATTGAGAGACGTCCGAACACAACAAGTTCCGTCAGTAAGGCAAGAAAAAAACCTGTCATGTCCATCTCTGGAATGAATCGATAGATACTACTGCATATGTCACTAATGATCGAAAATGATTGAGAATGTTGTTCATCATTGATGCATGCCGAGGTTTTTTTGAAAAGCATTCAATTTGGTCAAACAGAGTCAAAGAGTGGATTTCTTTTCAATCCAAACGTGTTGGTTCTTTTCAGTGCCATCTCTCAGAAAAATACTTCATTGGGAAATTATCATAACACAACATTCACATGTCCATTTTAGGAAAACTTAGAAATAGCTATTACACAGACCATAAAAGGTCTTTTGGGAAAGCCATCAAAAAACAACACAAAAAAATGGCCACACGATCAATCCCTCAAACCTGTGCTGAACTTAAATCCACTACTTCCCACTCCGTGCTCATCACTGTTACACCAGATACTCATCTAGATAAATGTTTGATGGCTATGGTTGAAAATGATGTAAGTGTTTAAATTTTTCAAATCTGGATTTTACTCAACTTACATTTCTGTAATTGTTTGTATTAAATCCATGTCCCCATACAAAAAATTGTAAAAACTGCACGGATCAATTCCAAATGATGGAATGATATTTCAACAACAGGTAAGACACTTGATTGTTGTTGAGAGCGAGCAAAGCAAGAAAATTGTGGGACTTATTTCCGAACGGTAAGTCATCGGAACTGTTTATTCCGAACGTGAGTCGCAAATCTGACTGGTTTAAAATTCATTCAACACTTTATGTGTTGGAAATATATTCATTAAATTCTGTTCGCATAGAGATATCCGTCTTGCCATCGGAAGTCCCCTCATTCACAAAGATATGGACATTAAGCAAGAAATTGATGAATTTGCCAAGCAACTTGCATCCACCATCATGACCAGATCTGTAATCTCTGTTAGAGAGAATGATACTGTTTTAGAGGCTGCAAAGGTATGTCTTGATCTATTTGATGACAATGAAGTGGTTGATGAATCCTTCTATTGTTCGTACCATTCAAATACATGACCAACTAGATGATGAGAGTATCGAGAATTGGAGCTTTGCCTATTGTTGACAATAATGATAACGTTGTTGGTATTATTACACGTACTGACATGTTGGATCAATTGATTCGAGTATTGGATCAAGAACAACAGTAATTTTAATGAGTGGTTTTAGTATAATGCATGAAAATACTAAATAAATTGCAATTTCCTGCTAATAGTTTAGCACTGGTCAAGTAGCGAATTCTTCTTTCACAATTAGGAAATGCATTTCAAAACATTACAAGTTTACTTTTGTGGGTTTTTACCTTTTTCATTTCGCAGCAAGCATCGCCCAAATTTTAATCGCTAAAAAAAACCGAACAACAACTGTGCCCTCATCATGGTCAACACTCGCAAAAACGAAGATATCCCAGATTTTCTTATCAACGATCCAAAACCCTCAAAACAGAAATCCAAACTTACGGTTTTAGTCAAGGACCCTTACAGCGCCACTGTGTCGAACGAAGGTACACTCCAGGAAAAGGAGTTGTCTCAGCTGCAGAAAGGTGTAAAAGAAGTGAAGGACATCTTTGTGGGACCAACGAAGGAGAAAGAAATTAAGCAAGATGAGTCACAGTCGTCATCAGGGTTGTTGGGAACTGTGCTGGGCTTTATCACTGGTTCCAACGTTAAAGAAGAGGAAAAATAATACCATCCAAAATTAAATTAGAATGTGAAAGTATCTGATTTAACTAATTTACAATGTTGAAATTAAAGAAATAAATAGTTTCACGTTAAATTTGTACATCAGAAAGAGAATATGACGTCCATATTGAAATACTTCTCGAGCAACCATTACAGCAATTATTTCACAGTCTCACGACGGTCCATATTGTAAGAGTAGATTTTTGCAAATGATTTGGCAGTCTTAAAATTAATGTGCTCATTGCAATGATCTTTTCCCCAATAAATTTTCGAGCATCCTGAGCATTTGAAAAAGCTCGAATAAAGATTATAAACACTAGAATAGACACTGTCCTTAATGGATTCCTTTTCAACTTGGTAGATTGGATGATTGCATTGAATACATATTGTAAATATCCTCTGCTCGTCAAATTCAATTTTGAAAAAGTTGACCACCTCATTAATCATGTCACGAAAATTGCGGCCTTTCACAAAATAATAGACATATCCATCAGTTGGGTAAGAATTGTCGTCACTCAGATTATTGTTACCGTTCTCTTCCTCATCAATTTCTTCAAATTCTTCGAAATCTTCTCTATTAAATTCGAGGCCTTGTTCTCTATAAATCTTTTCCAACTCCTCCATTTCTCTTTCATGATCACGAGAAACGTCACCCTTCAAAGCATCTGATCTCCCTTGTTGTTGATTTAATAATTTCCTTTCTTGGTACTTTTTCTTTTTCAATTCATTTTCTTTCCTTTGATATCCGAGTTGATTAATCAATGTTCTATTTTTGGTTAATATTATTCTGTTCTCTGTTCGAGCAATGTACAACATGTAGTTAGTATTCATGTTAGCGTCATAAAAAGCATCTCCTCCCATCATTCTAATGTGCTTTGCAACTCTTCCTAAGGTTGCATCACAAATGAACTTCAATTCAATTCCCTTTTTTCGGAGAATACTCTCTGGTACGTAGTATTCATCAAACTTTTTCGGTTTTTTCACTCTCTTTTTTGATTCAAGATCTGATGATGCATCATTAGAATCAGTGGATGATGAGGCTTTAGTTTGTTCTTCCATTTCATCCACAGATTGATTATCCTTGTTCATTGTATTCCGAGTATCTTCCTCATCGGAATGGACACTACTCGTTGAAGATGACGATGATTCATACGACTCGTCATCTTTGAACGTTGAACAAACGTTCTTGTTATTCCGTTCTTCTTTCGTCATTTTTTTTAATTTTGGAATCTTTTTTTCTTCAATCATGAAATTGCATCAATGCAGTTTTTCTGTTCATTCAATAAATGCTCACGAAAGAAAGCGTAGCGAATACTAATGTAGCCAAATGCAACAGCATTTCAATGCAGGTAGAAGGTTGGTGAACATGTGATTTTTGAAAAGTTGTTGAAAAGTTGCAAAATAATTAAAAAACCAAAATAATTTAAAAACAAAAAAAATGCCTTTTCATGACGATGAGGATGACGATGTGATGGATATTTCATCATCTTCCCGAAGTCAATCATCCTCCTCACAGCAGAAAAAGACGGTCGTATATGATGCCTCTCGATTATTAGCAAAACCTTCCGTAACTGCCTCCTCATCGGGAGGAGCATCATCCGCCAGCGGCAGTAATACTCTCTCCTCACAACCACCAAGGCTTCAATCCATACTTCCCCCGAGAAATATTGATAAACCAACACAACATTATAAAACGAGTTCAACGAGTATGAATTTTACACCTAATTTTAAACCCAAACCGATCAAAACGGAAGACTCCTCGAAAGATGATATTAATTTGGATGTTTTTATGGGACAAGCCGCTAATCAAACTGGAAAACGAAAACCAACCTATAACAAACCAAGTACTAAAGCTATCATGAACAAGGCTACTACTTTCAATTTGGTCACGGGAATCACACCGAGTGCAAGTTTTTCATCGGGATTTGGTGGTATGGATATTGGTGGTTTTGATGCTGTACATACATCAACAAGTGGAATGAATTTAACAGCAAGCGGTTTTGAGACTCCAAAAGAGGGCGAGGATGATGATGCCATGATGGAACGAGAATTGAATAGGAGGAAAAATTTATTTAAAGGAATTAAACAACCTCCAACTGTTTTACCATTCAATGAGGAGGCCTTTCTGAGGGCAGAGGCACAACGAGCCCAATCAGTTGAGAGATATGCTATTGAGGATTCGATCGATGAACTTCAACAAAGTCTATTTAGGAGTAATGGAGAGGCACTAATGTCTGAAGATCAATTATTCTTCATTCAACTTCCTTCTAAAATCCCATACATGGATGCAGCTGAAAGAAAACGTCAACAAGCTCAGGAAAAGAAGGCTGTATCGACAAGTGTCGACGATGCCGAAAATATTTGGACACAACCCTTTGAAAATACTCTTGCTAAAGTGCCAAGTGGCCTCGTTGGAGAAATGGTAATTTACAAGAGTGGAAAAGTGAAATTGAAACTAGGAGATGTTCTGTTAGATGTATTTCCAGGCAGTGAATTTAGTTTTCCTGAACATGTTGCCTGTATAGATATTGCAGATAAAGATAAGCAAGGTAATTGCCACATTCTTGGAAATATTGCAAAAAGATTTTCATGTGTACCTGACGTGGATTATTTATTGAGCCGAGAAGAAACAACCAAACCTTAAATAACCTCTATAAAACTTTTATTTATAACACAACGTCTATGAAAGGAACTGATCAGTTCTGATATGAACATTTCACAAATCAAGTTTGAGTCAATAACAAAGAGTCTCACTACAACAACACGCAATAAGAGTGTGAAAACCATGGAAGGACCTCAACCACAAAGCTCTGATACCGCCAACCTGGCTGTTCTTTTGGGGAAAAACTTCATTTGAAATTCAATCACTTTCATTTCGATCGACTTTCTTTGACCGTTTCTTTCGAATATAAAATGGAATTCGAAAAAAAATTCTCAATTCACAAACACATGAAGCGCTTGCTTTTCCACACGAACCACCACGGTCGACCACATTTTTCAACAACAGTTCTCGCTCGAGCATCAACGGCATTATTAAAACAACAATACAACAACAACAACAGGTTGGAATCCATACAAGAAATTATTGTCGTGATATTTGTTGTTCTCCAACTCCATTCAACAAATCAACAACCATCCAATTCAATGATGATGATTCAACGAAAATGATGAAAAAAGTAATGCCAAACAACAACCAACCATTATTCAATACAACAACAACAACAACAACTACAACAACCTTTGGCCAAAAACGTTCCTACACCACCACTACCAATGGGTTAAAGGAAAAAGAAACATCCTCCACCAAACAACAACAACAACAGACGACTGTTCCTCTCAATTTGATTGATTACGAGAGTTGGAATGTCGAACAAATGACATCCATGTTGACTTCCCCTGATTATATGGGTGGTGCTGGGTTATCAGTGGATCTAAACCTTTCTATGATATTCATTTTGATGGCTCATCTCTCCGAACCATTGTTGAAGATATTAAGAAGAAAGATGAATATTTTGCCTTAAATCAACTCGAGAAGATGTTTCAAGACAGAGGTTTTCGAATGACTTGTCCACTTTCCAATGCTTGTCAAACTGTTGTATTTTGGGTGTCAAAGAAGATGAAAATATTCACTGTTCCTTATCAGTTTATTTTGAAAACTTTATGCAAACTCATTCAAGAAACGAAAAAGAATCTGTATTCAAGTTCAATGAGATAATGAAACAGTTTCAACTCGACAAGTCTTATTCTCCAATTTATTTGTACCAGAAAGAGGAAACAAATGACACGACTCCATCCTTATCTTGTGATTTAGGTCCTACATTTCCAGCAAACAAGTATGATGAATATTATGAATTTATCACCTTAAGGGGTATTGTACATCCATTGTTGGCATTAATAGAAGCACCTGGAACTGGAAAAACTCACTTTGCGTATCATTTAATTTCGAAAGGATATACTGTGTTAATGATACCTCCATCTCACAAATCTATCTTATTGAACTCAATGCAAACAGTATTTAACGATCCAAAAACCAGTTCTAGTTTGGGAGGGTCATTAGATTGGGAAATATCTCATTTCATCCGTTCATACATGATTGTGGCAGATATTATTATTCGTAATATGGCTAAATTGGAAACTAAGGATAGCATTGAAAAGACTAATCTGTATTTGTTTAAATACATCTTGAATGGAGGTTTCAAAATGGTAGAAGAGGCTTTTAGAAATAGATATCTCCAATTAAGGTATTCTCCACAATTAGAAAAACTTGTATTTTTTTTTTGACGACGCTCACAAGTTTAATGACTTTGAGGGCAAAATTCCTCTAAAATTAAGAAATGTCGACAAATGCAACTTATTAACTCTCCTCACTTCAAAATTGAGAGATTATGGCAGAGTAGTATTAACAACAAACTTTGCAAGGGTTCTTAAAAGGAAAATTGAAATGAAAATATCTTGGGATTATTCTAAACAAAGGTATGAAATGTTTTCATACCACTTTACAACACCACTGTCAATACTTGATGCCAAACAAGTGACAAATTTTTTAGACATGTTTATTGATACGAGTAGAAAAGGTCACAAGAATCCAGATCTTTGGAAGCTTGTTGCAACATTTTTACAAGGTCCAATTGGACGATGTGAGGAATTTCTTCAACAATTATATCTAGAGTTGCAGAAACCTTCAACACCTAGATCTTTTACAGAGTTGATATATTCAAATCTTTGCACTCTCGTTTTTAACAGAAGTCAGAAAAGTTATAGACAAGAAAAAATTGACACACCTTTATACAAGAGTTTGTTTTACAGATTGGCCTTGCTTGGAGAGGCAAATTTTGCTTTGGTTGAATCAATTGTATCATGTTTTGACGAGGAAAACGCTTCCAAGCTCTTGTTAAAACATGGATTGAGTTTCACTTATGATGATACTAACAAGATATATAAGATTGTCAGTCCAATAGAAAGGATGAGATTATTGAAGACTCTTCAACAAGAGGGATCGAACAGTGATTTGTTTTTAAATGCTCACAAGCAATTGAATCAAATTCATGATGTTTCACCTCTCTCTGAAGTTGCTGCTGTATATTTTGTTTTGAACCATTTTGAATTCTTTAAACAACAATTCCCAGGGACTTATTTGCAAAACTATGATTTGCCAGCAAAGTATTATGTTGAAGATTCAGAAATTTCCCAAATTTCATCACTCCTCATTAACACAATACACTGCAATATGAAAGAATTTCAAACAGACCATTATCCTTTAACTGGAAATAATGACCTTTTACCACAATTTCTAGTCCGTTCATACCTTAATGCAGGACCTGATGTGTTGGGAATGTTAATACGTTCTTCAAATATTGACTATGGTACATTTCCTTTATGCATTCCAATTGTTGCAGCAGTAACAAGGAAAACAGGAGACGATACACAATTCAAGAAGAACTATGCGACAACTGATCTTTCTAATTTGAATGATAAAAATTTGGCAACGAGTAGCTCCCCATCAACGAATGACCTTGCCCTGAATGAAAGAAATTCCTTGAACTCAGCTATTACTGATATTATGAAAGCAGGAAACATGTTGAGAATATTATTTCATCCAAATGAAACTTTTGACACTCCTCTCAGTGAAAGGATTCCACAATACGATCATGAGGATGCACCGCAAATAGTTTTCTCTGATCATGCAGTCCTCACCAAGAAGGGACATTGCATTTATGAAATTTCGAAAAACAATTCAGAATGGAAAAATTATCTCCACAACAATAACTTGTCTGTTGTTGGTGATATGTTTAATGATCAATAACCATGCATGATTTAAGAAGAACACCTGCAGCAAAAATTGAATCAATAATTGTTTTAAATTTGCGATGGCCCAATTTTCATTATCAGATTATTTTGCCACCAAACGCCCATCTACAATCTCCTCCACAACAAGTCTTCATGAAAAACGTTCAACATGGACCATGTGGAATGGTGCATGTAGAGAAAGAAGAAAGGCAAAATATAAAAGTTTGGACATGTTTGACAATCAATGAATACAGAAATGAAAGGTAGCAAAACATTCAAGGAAACAAGTCACGAACGTCCATTCGAGATAAATGAGAGGCATGGCATGATCTACCAAAACACAAATTTTCAAAATGCACAACAATTTAAGAGGACTGCACTTGCAGAAATTGCCAATCGCTGGGATTTTTTTGTCCGACTCAAAAACAAGGCATTTTTGGCAGTTTTTGCAGGTTGGCATTTTATGTGTCCTAAATTGCTGTGGATCTGTAGCTTCAAATTAAAGTCATGAAATTTATCAATCCATCACAACTCGTCACATTTTGAATTCGTCATTCACCATAACAATGCCAACATAGTCAAGCCAATTATCTGTGGCTAGCTTATCAATTTCAATAAGGTCAGCTCAGTAAAAATAATATTATAAATATTTTAATTGACAACTTGTGTCGAAACTGCTCTCACAAAAAAAATGTCATCACTTCTCACATTCCTTCTCATTTCCATTCTCTCTTCCTGTTATCTCTATTACCTCATCGTGGTGAGATTGGAGAGCTTTTCACCTCATTCCCGAATTGTCCCCTACAAGGAAGAAGGTTTCTGTGGAATGGATGGCCATTATTATGACAACAACATGTCCAACAACACATCCTCTCCTCATCATAACATGATGAAAAAGATGATGATGCATCGCGGACCCTGTGGTATTTGTTCCAATCCACACGATTACGAAATTTACAAGAATACACGTTTGACCTTGACACGAACGGCCACTTTTTGTGCCACTTTGTATTTAGTGTTGGGAGAAACGACGAGTCGACTCTGCATGAAACATCTCACCCACATGACGGATGCTTGTGTCGAGTGTTGGATTTCGAATATTCAATGCACAACGGCACAGTGTGCTCCGGTGTGTGTCAAGTATTTTGTGAAGAAGGTGTGGTCCGAGATGATCAAGATGATGATGAATGGTTTTCATTCTTCTCAACAAGAAGAAGAATTTCCGAATGATCAGGATGATCGAGAAGAAGAACAATCAATGAATCATGTGGATGATGTTCCTAATACTGATGGCAAACAAGTGAGAAGAGGGAGGATGAAAAAAGTAAAATTGAATTCTTGTTATGAATGTGATGAAATTCAATGTGGACCTGCGTTTAAAACGTGTTCGGGATTGAATCGACGAAATGCTGGTTTTGTGACGGATATTGAAAGACCAGAGGAGGAAATTTGGAAAGGACACTAATCATCATCACTGTGAACTCCACAAGAATGATTTGGAGAGAAAGATTCTTTTGATTTTATTAAAGATTTTGTGATGAGGGGAAGGATGGAATAGAATTTTTTGGCGCCAAAAATTTACAACGAAATTTCGTTAGAAAAAATTGACTCGTCCTCACAGTGCAGCGGAAAGACAAATTTCAAAATGATCGGAAAGAAGGAAGAAAAGGAGGAACACTTGGATCCATCATCATCAATGAAGAATCTAGTACCTCTCACGGTCGATCGAGTAAATGAAAAGAAAGAACCAGCAAGTATGGAAGATAAATTGGATTTATTGATATTTGAAAAAGTACAAAATCATGGAGATGATAATATCGGAAGATTTGCCTATTCCTTACTTAAGGAAAATGATTTCAAAGCTGCAGAAATGGCTCGTAAGATTAGAATGGTTTCTTTAGACCTTACTGCTCGTAGCGAAACCAATACGGAGAAATCTCGAGGAAAATGGCAATTGGATGTTTACAAACTACCATGGGTTGAGAAACGAACGCCCCAACGAAAATTATATGATCCCGACTATCAAATATCATTTCCTCTCGCTCCTGTAAATATTTCATCGAGCATTTCCGAAATTCTTTCTCCTCAAAATATCCTCAAAATTGAATCAAGTCACAATCATTGTTTAATACTAACCAGTAAGTTATGATATCATTCATGTGGTTCCATATTAAACATGATTTGTCTACAGAGGATGGAATTGTGTACAGTATGGGAGATTCAGAATTTGGTAAACTTGGCAATGGCTATGAGCCACAAGTTATCCCTCAATCAAATTACTATCCATTCATTAGAAAACCTTTCATGTTGATGGATAAAGCCGTGGACATTGCAGTTGGAAAAAATCATTCGGTCATTGTCACTGACGAAGGAAACGTTCATACATTTGGTTGTGGCAAGTACGGTCAACTTGGACATGGATCAGTAAGGAATGAAAATCGACCGCGAGTCATTGACGACTTTATTACAAGAGATATCAAAGTGATTGCTGCTTCTTGTGGTGACCACCATACTCTTTGTTTGACAAGTACAGGCCTAGTTTACGGTTTTGGGTGTGGCAGTTCCGGACAACTTGGAATATTAGGTTTTTTGGAAACAAGTCATAATTTGCAAAGTCATGAAAAAGCTCAACTCATGTATGTTTGTTCGCCAAGATTGGTGCAAATCATGAGACCAGTGCAACAAGAAACCGAGGAATATCGCAGATTGAGAACAAAGAAAACATTTGTTGAGATTGACAAGATATGTTGTGGCGCTGATTATTCTGCATTCTTAACGAAACAAGGACAATTATGGCTTTGTGGAAATGGATTGACGGGAGTCATTTGTAACGGAACTTTTGTCGCCAACAATTATGAACCAACTGAAAGTCAATTTCTTGCTCCTTCTCCAAAAAAAGAGACATCCATAGTCACAGAAATTCATCTTGGACCTGGTTCAGATCCAAATACCTTGGATGTGAATGTTGACATTTCTCTTGACGTAAAGATGGTTCAACCTCCCATTCCAAAATTTTTGCCTTATTGCCATGAAAAACCACAATCAACAGCACGTAAAACTCCTGTAAGACGAGCTTCGAGCTCACCACATTGGCAAAAATACTTTCCCTCAAACCAACAAAAAGCTGAAGGACAAACGATCAAAATAATTGACCTTTCTTGCGGCAAGAGTCACATCTTTTGTTTAGCAAGAGATCAAAGAGTTTTTGCAGCAGGACTTAACTTTAATGGTCAACTGGGTGTAGGTTCCAGGACCTCACAGTGCAGACTGATTGAAGTCACTCCCCATTTGCCTCACCAATTAAAAGTAGAAGGCATACAACAAATTGCGTGTGGTCCTGATTTTACCATAATTATTAGTGCATTGGGCACTGCATTTTGTGTTGGAAGATTCCCTGGGAACAGCGAAGACTCGCTCAAGTTTGTTCCAGTCACAAGTTTGAGCGATTCGAATTGGTTTGTCGAGAAGGTATTTTCGAAAAGCTATTCGCAAGTGTTTGCCTTGTGCAAGAGGAGAAGCGAGTAGAAGACTGTCGTCGAATTGACGAGTTTAATTAGAGAAAGAAAAGGTGTTGTAGTGCTGTAAATTGGGTCACACAAATTTGGAAGCATCATCGAACCTTCACAAATCAAGAATGAAAAAAAGCAACTCGCCTCTCCACTTTAGCTTTCAGCTCATCACAGGAGTAATTCCATCGGGATGGAAAGGAAACAAATCAATAATTCTTCTTGGGACTGGAGGAGGAGGCAAAACGACACTACATCGGCAAATATATCACTTGAAAAATCAAGAATTAAATACAAAGGAAAGACATAAATATGCAGAGACAATACAATTCTCTGTATTCAACAATTTAAAAACAATAACAGAACATCCATCAGTTTCAACCAAATTGAGCTCGGAATTGTCCGAAATCGCCTCGGAATTAGCATCCTTGGTCGATCAATACGTAGATAGTAGATTTGAGCATTCGTATCGAGTAAAGCTCATCAACCAGGGTCATACCTTTCAAAAACTCGTAGAGAACATCCATGTGAGAGAGATGATTGAGTCTTTAGAGTTATATCCACAACTTCATTTAAATGGAGACTACAAGTATTTCTTTAAGAATTATACGAGAATTGTTTCAAGGGAATATCAGCCAACCTTTGAAGATGTTAAAAGAATGCAACTCAAAACAGTTGGTGTCATTAGAGGAGAAGAAGTGGAATTTGAAAATTACAAAATTACCATGTAAGTATGAATGGTGTGACACTCTTTGTTGACATGTTTTTTTTGTGATTGCGCACACAGAACTGACACAGGAGGTATGTGTTGACCTTAATTTTAAAATGATTAATATTGATTGTTAAATTCCATTAATTGTCAACAATGAATCACTTACAAAAGGCCAACGAAACGAAAGAAAAAAGTGGGCAAAAGCTCTCTCGCAACGAACCGATGCAATTTTGTTTATTGTTTCATTGAGAGAACCATTTCAAATGTGCTATGAAGACAATGAGTTGAATAGGTATGTTGAAATATGGTATTGTTTGGTTATTTATGGTATTATTTATATATTTATGATACTTGAAAACATATTTAATGCCTGTTGTCAGATCTAAGGAAACTATACAGTGTTTTCAAGAGTTGTTGAGGTCTGAGTATGTCAATAATTGTCCAATTTTTGTGTTGTTTACAAAGGCAGATCAATTGGAAGAAGTGTTGAAGAAACAAAAGGTTTCATTTAATTCAATTTTTCCAGAATATAAAGGAGACAATCATTCTTTAGAACAAATTAAGGAATTCATGCAAGAAAAATATCAATCTCTTGATTCAAACAAAAAGGTCAAGGGCTATTTTTTCATAAACACATTAAACAACAAGGATGTGACTGACACCTTACGAAAAGTACTGGAATTCAAACAGTAAACAACTAAGAAATACATCATCATTTCCACATTCTACGACTGATAAAAGAAACGATTTATTTCTTTAATTTTCGGTGTCGTCTTGGAACTTGGGTGACTGAAGCCTCGGGTGAAGTATTTGTAGAGTCTGTTGGAGGTTTCGTTGTTGGTTCCTGAAGATCTTCTGCACTGGAAGGCTCTCCTTGCTTTGCTCTTCTTCGTCTGGTTGGTTTTTTCTTCAACACCACATTAACAACTTCCACATCTGAGGTATTTGTCTGGCCAGGCCCTTCGTCTTGTGCTTTCTCAAAGTGATTCCTCTCTTGTGAAGCAAGTGCTTCTTCCATTTGGTTCGTTGTTTGTAAAGATTCACTAGACTCAGATGTCTCGTACGTACTGGGCAACTCGAATTCAAGAACTCTATTGACAGAGCTAGCAAGAGCCATGTCAGATTCTGAGGTATCTGATTCTTTGGTCTTCTTGGTGTCCTTCTCAGCAGAGCATGATGGTGTTCTCATGGATGGTGACGAGTTCGATGAGTCATCATCTCTACCTCTCTTTGCTGTTTGTGGTCTTGGTGGAGTTGCCAGTGCTGCTTCTTGTTCAGTGGAATTTGTTGCCACATTTTCGTCACATTCTGTCATTCCATTTGACTCCAAGTGATCATCGAGAGTTAACTCAATGTGTTCGTGTTCTATTATCTCTTCTTTTCTTCTTTCAAAGGTTGCATTCATTGGAGGAGCATAAAAATTCATATTAAGAAAAGATTCATCGTCGTCTCCTAAAAAGAAAGAAGAGCTTCTTGATGTGGAGGATGATGTTGACGCATCAGACTCGGACTCTTCTGTGGCTGGAGTTGAGCGCTTTCGTTGAGAAGATCCTCTCGAAGAAACACTGCGAGGTGTGGGAACAGCATCCTGTGAATCCTCGTCCTCGATCACAGAAAGTGTTTGTTCTGTTGATGTTTCAAGAGAATTATCCTTTTGCTCCATCTTTTCAAAATGTAAGACATTGTCTTCATTTTGAGCAGTATTGTGTTCATAGGTTGCATGTTCTGGTTGGCAATTGGGTAGATCTGTTTCAATCATGTCATCCTCGCCATGTCTGCCTACAGATTGAGAGGGTTCCATTGCATTGCTATTCTCATTGTTCTCAATGGAATTGTTCTCGTTCTTCGTGGAAGCAGCATGTGGCTTTGGGATGACAAATTCTTCCAAAAGCGAATCAACATCTGCGTCAAGAACAGTAAACGTAGCAGGTGGTTTTCCAGCTTCAAGAACCGGTTGTACAGTGCACTGTTGGTCTCCTTGAATATGAATAATTTGACAAATATTACTGAGGCTAGTAATATTATTTTGGGTGAGAGTCAGATCGTCGGTATGAGAGGTTGTATCATTGTCACATCCAAACGAAATGGTAGAATCGTCTGTAGTTTGGGAGGATAAGGCGATTAGATCATCGTCAATGACAAGTCTATTGGCCGCAGATACTCTCTTTGGCTCATGACTTGGCTTGTAATATTGAATGTCTGTCTCACCGAATGACACTGACTTTCTAGCACTACTTGTATTGTATGAAGTGTTACCACGTTGGTTGTTGGAAAGATGATTCAATGAAGAGTTGCTGGAGCTGTTATTATTCTCCACTGGACAGCAATCAAAAAGCAGAGAAGAATTGGCAGCTACTGTGAGTGTACCAACATTGATAGCATCCACATGGAAAGAGTAAGGAGTCGTGGATTTTCTCTGTGTTGAGATGGATTTTCTCTGAATGGAATCTTTCCTCTTGGGCGTGTCAACATACTTTGCAAAACTCTTCGAAGGAGGGCTCATCATGGTTTCATTATCGTCAACAGCAAGTGAAGGTGGAAGAAGGGATGATGTTTGTTGTTTTATGCCTGGTGACACGACAGACTTGGATGGAGTGCTTGGAGCCACAACATCCTCTTTGGTCATTATTGGAATATTTTCCTTGTTATCATTGAAGATTGGTAAAGTGGCAACAACTTCATTCAACAGCAAGAGACGTTCTCTTTCGTATTGCTCATAATTTTCATAGTACAACAACTTGTCAACAATTCGAATTTCATCGTCATGCTTGAGTAAAATTCCATCCATGTCTTCATCATCCCACAATCCTTCCAAAACTTCTCCATTCAACTTGATCAGATTAGCACCCTCATAGACACACAAAAACATGCACGGATTTCCGTGTTCATCATAATCGGGATCCAACTTGAGGAGACATCGATGATTCACTCGAATGTTACACTCCTTATAGCATCCGATGGTCAAATACTCTTCCTTATCGAGGAATATTCCCTTCGTAAGCTTGGAAAGAGAGGTCTGTAGAATGAGAGTACCGAATTTACCTTGTTTCTTATAAAAGGGTTGTTGTTGTTGGACTTGCCGAACAGAGAATGTGTTGTTTGATAAGCTTTGGGTCGCTGCATGATTCAGGGAATAAGGTGGTGAGAAGAATCGACTTGCAGAGGGACTACACACTCCCAATGTATGAAGATTGGTACAGGCATCTCTATACACTTCTGGAATGAGCTGAATGGGAGGTGGAGGTGGAGATTTGAGGATTCCTTTACTACAAGTTCGTGTGGTTGGTGAGTGGAGTCGTGCTCGGTGGTTGGAAGAGTTATGATCATCATCATGATTGATCATTGGAGCCTCAACAACACACGAGTCCTTATGAAGTACTAATGGAATGGATTCATACGATGTATGAGGATTTTTCTTTCGGTTGGAAGATGAAGAACATGTTTTAGTAGAGGCCGATGTGGAAGGAGCAGTGATGGATGGATCATACAGAAGAGTGCCTCGTTTGGAAGGAACGGAATGAGTGGAAGAAGAGCAGGGTGGAGAGGAGAAGGAAGGTACCAATTTGTTGTGAGTACTACCACCCCGTGGTGGAGTTACAAGTGGATTTTGATGATGATGCGAATGTTGTTGTGGTTGAGCTCGGGCTGAAAGTATTTCCTTTCTTCTGGCTGCGGAGGCTGCTGTGGGAGAGAGAAATCTCGGTTGTGGACTTTTCACTCCATGGTTATTGGTGGTGGTGCTGATAGAGGTTTCGGTTTTGGATGATGATGATGTTGGATGTTTGTTGAGTGTTGTTGGTGAAGAAAGAATCGTGGCCTTGCTTGGTGTTTTCATCATTTTCTTAATTTTTTTAAAAAATTTTGGTGTAACGGTTTTTGGCGCGATCATGGCAATCTCCAAAGCTTTCGAAAGAGAGCAACCTAGGTGATTTTTTTATATTTACAAATACAAGGATAATGTGTTGATCAAATAGAAAAGAATCCATCCTCATTTACACAAACAGTGAGTACTTGTTGGCAGTTGAAAGAAGGGCCGGGTTGTGGTTCGAGCTTCCTTTGCGAGACATTACAGCACTTGCTGATTTGGGTCTTGTGCAAGGTGACAAAGTTGAAGTATTGTGGAAAAAGTCTTTTCGGAAAGGATTGAATAAACTTGCATGTACAGGTGTTGGAGTGGTCGGTGTGACGTGAATGGCCGAGGTAGTTGATCCTGTCGTGATGGAGTGCCTCCAAAATTCTTTCCTTTTATCTAAAAATTCTAATGTGTCCTCAACAATGTTGGTAATGTCTGAAAGTGGTTTTTTAGAAGGATCTCCAGACATGGATTTTCTTAAAGCTTTTAAACATATCACACATGTTAAATATTTGTTTCAGAATGATGTTCTAGAAATACTTACTCTTATCCGTGAGTAAAGAATTGAGATACTCTTCGTCTTTGGTAAATTCTCCTAACAAATATTTTTCTTTTCTGGTTGTTGTTGCGCTTTTTGGTCGTGACGAGGAGGGAGGCCTTGAGAAGGAATAGGTAGATCGCGAAGTAAGGCTTCCGCTTGTGTTTAAATTGTTTGTTTGTTTGGGCTCTTTGTTGCTTGTTTGTGTGGAGTTGGAGGAAGAGGGCTGCCGTTTTGAGGAGACATTAGTTTGGGAATTGGTGGGAGTCGTTAAGGGTGGAGAGGATACGTTTCGTGTGGGACCAGCTGACTTTGGTCTACAGAAGGATCCAGTTCTACAGGTATTTGGCTGAGAAGAAATGTGTCTTGCAGAGGACGGCCGAGAGACTATAGAGCTTGACAGAGGAGAAACAATCGAGTCACTTCCTTGAAAGACCTGTCTTGGTGATACAACTCGTCTTGTGGAAGGAATGATGATAGACTGAGTGTTCGATTTGTTGGCGGTTCGATTTGTTGTGTCTGTGACGGGCTTTGTTGTAGATTTTGCAGACGAAGGTCGACTTGAGAGAAATGTTCTCGCAGTGCTTACTCTGCAAGAAAGTGGTTGCTTCATGTTTCTGATGTTTCTATCAATTTCGTCTTGTTCAATGGATTCATTGATGGCAATTTTTGCTTTTCGAATTCCTTTCTTAAAATCCTCTATATCTTTCCTCAAATCATATCCTTTGTAATAGTAAACAAGTGCATATTCAAATTTTCCTGATGCGTATAAACACTCAGCTTTGGCTAAATACGCTCGATGGTATGTTGGATCAATTTCTAATGCTTGTTCTGCATCTTCAATACCTTTGTCAAAAGCTCCCAAATTCATATGACATTTTGAACGACAAATTAAAGAATACTTATTGGAAGGGTCGTACTCCAGAGCTTTCGTGAACGAGACAATTCCTCTCTCCCAGTTTCGATTTTTCATACACTTTTCTCCCTCAGAAATAAAACTTGTCAACAAGGTAATTGTCATTGATTTTTCTCCATTCAAGCCTTTTTCATCTATTTCATGATCATCTCTGGAGAGAGATTCTTGATTACTCGGTCGTTTGTTTTGTGGTGTCGAAGATCGTGAATATAATTCATTTTGATTTTTCGTTTTTTGTGATGAAAATGTTGGAGATGAATGACCTCTATTGAACTTTCTTGAATGACTTAATTGTTTTTGTTGATTGCTGTCATAAGGAGATATTTTCCCATCCCTGCTTTTCCGAGAATTCGTCGAAGATGATGTCGGCTTCTGTGCCATAGTGGTTGATGATTTTTTTCCCATCATTGAAGTGGCCGACACCGATTTTATTCTGGACGAATTTTGCATTTTTTTTAAAACATAACTGTACGTTGGGATTTTGGCGCCATGTCGTTGGTCATTAATTTCCTCCATCCATGTTTTGAATGCCTAGCATCCTATCACTACTATAGTATCTTAATTGATCTTGCGAAACATGTTTCGTCTTCACTCCATGAATCTTAACGAAAAAAACCCTTTGGATAACCCTCTGCAATAGAAGAAAAGAATATTTAAAAAATTGATTCAAAAAAAAATGAGCAACAGACCGCAACCCTCTTCCTCTACGGGCGGCAACAAGGCTCCATCATCATCGGGTGGTAGTCAAAAGCAACAACCACAGAATCCTCAAACAAGAGGAGGAGGAGGAAATCAGCAGCAAGCTGGCAAGAATGATCCGTCTTCTTCCGGACAACAACAGCAAAAGAAGAATACCAATCCTTCTACTCCTTCTGCAAACAAGGGTGCTACTACCACCACTACTACGAGTGGCAACAAGAGTAGCAACGAAACAACGAACGTGAAAGGTGGCATCACCACTTCTTGGTCCTCTCCAAACCAGATATCAGAACAAAAGAAGACCAACCAAGCACCTACAACCACGACAACCAATTCACCCAATACACAACAATCCATCGATGAAGATGCCGAAGGTTACAGGCAAATGGAGAGTGGTGTAGTGATGGATGAACCTTCCATTCAATTAGTCGGTATGTATATATACAATTGAATTGTTACTTGTCTTATCATGTGATTTGCGATTCTTAAACGACGATACATCATACATGCATCCCATGACAACCCAACAACATGAATACATCATCAATGCATTGCCTAACAATGAATCATCATCCACAATAATTATTAATACTGTCAACAAAATTCGTGCACATTAGTAAATTCCAAGTCGGGAGGTATTCGTAATTATTCTATTCATTATCAGGAACAATCCACTACTTCATCTACTGATAAGATTGAACTAATTCCCTCCGAAGAGGTTCCACAGTTGAGCACTCAACCTTCAGATCTCTTGATGTACTCTGAAGACGGAACCTATTTGGCTTACCTTGATAAGATTGATCCATTCTCACCTAACAAAGTTTCCAGACTCTTTGTCATGGATTCATTCTCTGGTGTCAAGAGATACATTCTTGTTCAACAAAAAGAAATTGCCATCACAAAAGTTCATTTTTCACCTCGAAATAGTTATTTAATAACTTTGGGAAAGTGGAATGGAGATGCCACAGGGCAAGATGACAATATTTTGAATTACAATTTGAGAGTTTGGAATTTAAAACCATCCACTAGCAGCACACAAGGTGGACTTTCCTTGAATTTGTCTACAACCCCCATTGAATTGAATGAGAGTGAACACTTGCTAATGAAATTTTCACACAAGCCAACCGAAAGTGGATTATGGCCAGTGATTCAATGGAACGAAGATGAAACTCTAATGGCCTATTTCAATCCTTCTCAAGAGACTGTCAGTTTTTACAATGTTGAAGAAGCATTGAATGAACAAACAGGACAAAAACAAATATCGTTCCAACCTCGAAGCGATATTGTCATTCAAAGGAAAGTGCATGCTTTTGCACTTTCTCCAAAGAGTACATTTGCAATTTACACACACAACACTAACAAGTCAACTGAGCAAAATAGTGTACGGCTGTACAAATTGTCCAATGTCAAACGTCCAGCAGCAACCAAACACTTTTCACATGATGTTGACTCTGTAGAAATGCGTTGGAATAAGATTGGTACCGCTCTACTCGTTTATACAGCAACAAACACTGATCAAAGTGATAAGAGTTATTATGGTGAAAACAAGCTGTACTATGTGAGATCAAATGGTAATCTTTCTAAGGATATTCAGCTAGAGGAGGAAGGCCCAGTTCATGATTTACAATGGTCTCCAAGAGGAAATGAATTCGTTGCCATCTATGGTTATTCTGGTCCAAACATTAGAGCTACATTGTTCGATGCCCAATCTCAACCAATTTTTGAATTCTTGCAACAACCTGAAAACACCACCAACTGGAAAGTGAACAAAATTTTCTATGCTCCACATGGAAGATTCCTTGTGTTAGCTGGATTTGGAGGTTTCACTGGTACACTGCTCTTCTTTGACAGAGAGAGAAAACGTTTGATGGGAATCAATCAGGCTGCAGAGCCCACTTTTGCTCATTGGTCCCCAGACTCTCGACTCTTCATTGTTGGCACCCATTACCCCAAATTACGTGTTGCCAATAAGTTCCAAATTTACAAGTACAATGGTCAATTAATGTACCAGCTCACGTTACCTCAAGATGATTTCCTTTATCATGCCATATTCCGTCCTTTATTAGCAAGCAGATATAAGAATCGTCCTCCCTCACCTCGTGTCCTTAATCAAGGTGTGGTCAATGGAACCTCTACTGCGTCAGCCAACAAGTCCTCTCAACAATTCCACTCTCAATCTTCCAACGCTAGTACTGCTAAAGTTTCTGCCTATGTTCCTCCACACCTGAGAGGAAAAACTGCTGATGTTCCTCATGGACCTCCTCCAGGAAGTAATTTCAACCCATCATCATCAAAACCCTCTGCCTCAGGAGGAGCCCCAGTGAAAACCGTTGTGGCTAACATATTTGCAGGAAAATCAGAGGCCAATCAACCACAAGGTAAAAACACTCCACCTCCACCAAATTACGAAATGGCCGAAAAGAAGAAGAAGAAGAGAATTAGAAAGCGAAAGAAGAAGAAGGGTGCCAACGAAGGAGAAGCAGGTTCATCCAATGCACAAGGAGGTGATGATCATGAGGAAGAAGATGGAGACGAAGAGGAAGCAGACGAATAAGGACACCTTTTCTTGAAAATGTGTGTCTAGTACACAAATTATTATTTAAATAACAAATCCAACCCGCCTAATTTTTTTAAAACCGTTGAAAATTTTTTAAAAAGAAAAAAATACATGATGGCAACCGAAGAAGACGAACGTTCCATCGATTTCGGTGGTGAAAATCAAGAAGATGACTTTCTACCATCCGTGCCCCTCGCCGACGAACCGCATCATCAACAACAACGACAACGTGGTATATACAATGAATCGTCGACTGCAATTGTTACTTCTTCAGAGGTTATTCATCCAGCCAACCGACTAATATCCGATGATGATTACGTACAACAGTCGGTTCCCATGCTTGATGATGAAGAGGATGATTCATCCATGATGATCCAATCCTCTCATCGTGTTGTGAATTCCGGACCAAGGACAATCCTCCATAGTCCTGAACAACAACAACAGTCGCAACAACGGATGGAAGGAGTGGAAGAAACCTCTTCTCCGAATGAAGTTGCAATGCATCAAGATGCTTCTGAACAATTCATGGCGACGATGGAAGAAAAAGCGTTTAAATCAGCAACAACAACAACAAGCCATACGACCTCAACCTCCCTTCCTCAACCAATCTCCACCACAACAACAAACGCCACCACCACCCTCACAACAACCAACACAACAACTAGCGAACATTCTCCCTCCTCCACCACAGCAGCCACTTCCACTGCAGGCCAATCTCTTGCAACAGCCACCACCAATGCACATTCCATTCAAAACACTTCATTTGAACAAAATTTTGCTGAAACAGCAATAGGAACATCCTCTAAATATTTGGAAGATGTCGATGAATTGGAACGATTTCATTTTCTAAATGCATTTACCATGAAAATGTTTGAAAATGTCATGAGGCTGGGAATTAGTCAAAACAGTAACACAACCCCATTCGAATCAGCTCTTTCGGCTTTCCCAAAGTCCTTCCTTAAACAATATGAACCAATTCTTTTAGATTGCTTCAGTAAGATGCAACACACCGAACCCAATCGTTTTATTGAGGACTTGAATGATCTTATGGCCAATTATGGGCTTAAACAAAAATTGAATGCTCTCGACCGAACTGTAAAAATTAATGACCATTGGGTGTATTTTAAGAGGAATCCTAGTGAAAATGAGTCGAAGTATGTGATTGTGACACCCGATATGAAGCAAGAAGAGAATACATTACGAAAAAAGAATTGTCTTGCCCGCTTAAAAAGCCTTCTTGAGACCAAACGACAACTGCTTCAACAAATGAATCATTACAAACAATTAATCCATCAAATGAATGATCAGATACAGCGAGAAAACTCCCAATACATCCGAACCATTCAGGAGGATTACATTCCACACCTAGAACAATATATTTCGCCCTTACACAACATTGAGAAGAGCTTGGATAATTATTACAGATCTGACACGAAAAGCCAACCATCTCAACAATCGAGCAGTACTGAAAATTCTGAGAAAAGGTAGAATTCACTGTGGTTGAGTATGTCGAAGAGAAATTGCCACAACAACCACAGGTTCGAAGAAGAGCAAATTGGTATGCTGATGTGATCTGCAAAAATATGCACACAAGAAGATCAAGACTGAATTCCAACTAGCTGAAAATCCCAAAAAGCTCACCAAATTTCAAAACCTCTAAGCAAACACACTAAGTAAATTATTTCACCGAAATGAAAATTTTCTTAAAGGAGCAGAAAACTCTACTGGCATGTAAACTCAAGTTATATTGATTCTTTTTGCGTTTTTTGCAGCATTTCATGAATCTCTGAGGCAATCGATGAAACTTCATTGTCATCATGTGAAAGTAATTCCGAAATTAGTTGCATTCCTTCTTCTGCAATCAAGCTCTTGACTAGATCCATGTTGTCATCGACCATTCCATAATAACCTGCGAGCCCCTTTAAACCCTCAAGAGCGACCAAGACATGTTTGACATTACTAGAAGGCAACGCCTCGCAAAATTTTGAAATAATGCCACACTGAATTAGATAATCAAGTTGATCCAAACTGGCACCACCACAACAATTAGAAAGCGCCCACAATCCTTCTTGTTGGACATCAAAGTCATCCGTGCTTATTCGTTCTATGATTTTTGGAATTAAGTGGGCATCAATGACCGCTTGAATTTGATGTATGGACCCAGCACAAATGTTGGATATTGTCCACAACGTTTCTTTTCGAATTGCTTTTTTGGAGTGGCCAAGGAGAGTGTGGAAAATTGATAAAATACCCAAAGAAAGTATGTATTGCGTTTGTTCATCATTACCAGTGACAATGTTACCAATGGTTCTTTTGTAAAACAGCATGTATTGTTTTCGTAGTTGTCATATAATTTCCAAAATACGAAATATTCAGAATTGCGTACATTTGTAATTAACATGGTAGTAATAATGACTTACCGTAATGACGGTACAACGAAAGCTGAACTTTCATGAGACAAGAATGCTACGACTTGTGGTATGCAACCAGACTCCACAAAAGCCTGAATTCTATCGTTTGGGCCGTCACTCGCGTAAGCCAGAGCCCATCTTGTACAAATGTAGATTCAATTCCAGATCACAAATAACGTGACAAAAGTTCAATTAGTGAATAAAATGAACAAATAGTATGTGAACAATTTCAAACAAATATTACAAGACAATGAATTCATTGTCCATACTTACAATGAATCTTGAACAATCTCAATGTCATCCAAAAAAACCAATCGACTCAGAAAGGGGAGAGCTTCCATCACATATTCCATGTCCACGGTTGGTTTTCCTCTCAATAAATTCGAAATGGCCCATGTGGCTGTCCCAAGGTGTGTAAATGGTGTTTTTTAAACATGAGAACAATAAATCATGATAGAACACGTGCTCACACACAATTTCCTCAATTAAACTATTAAAAACTCACCACATCTTCCAACAGCTCTACTTTGTGTTGTTGTCAGCAAATGAGCAATATTTGTCATGGCGCCATGAAACAAGACAAAATCTCTCGAGGTGGTTGAATCACCTGCAATATTTCCCAATGCCCAACAAGTCTGTTCTAATACATTGTCGTCTGTGCAGGTTTTCAATAATCGAATCATTGGAGGTACGCTGCCAATTTCGACGACATGTTTTGTGTGTTCAGAAGTACCAGATGCCACATTTGTGATTGCCCAAATCTGAGTATATTTTCATGCAATTCAACAGTATACTGTTAGAATGGGTCAATATGATAAACACTACGTACCGCTTCAAATTGTAATGAATTCACTTGTTGTAAAGTCACCTTTTGAAGTTTTTTATCTTTTTGCTTTGAAGTGTCATGATGATGATATTCTTCAAAATCGATATCAAAATAATTTTCAAGTTCAGACATTGTCAAATATTTCACAAAATGTAAGGTCGCTCCTGATCATTGTTGATATTGAAATAATTTTGTTTTTGTACGTATCATCATCACCATTATTCGTCATAAAATTGTGGTTGTCAACAACATTTGACAGTTGTTATTTGAACATTCTTTTTCAATGTCATTCATAATGAATCAACAAACCTGATGCTACCACTTCAGTAATGGGAGGATTTCTCTCCGACAAGATCTTTCGAAACAATCGGGTCGTTCTCAAAATGGTTCCAAAACTATTCTTCGCTCCCAAATCCAAACCATTCGCTAATCGAGGCATATTCAACACACATTCTGAAAGAGGAGGACTCTTTCTTCTCAAATCATACGAAAGTTGAGCGTATCGATCAACGTTCAACTTGACGTTAAAAGACAATTCCGAAACAAGGCTTACTTCTTCCTGAACAATCCGAGTCGGGTTGTTGTTGTTGTTATAATTGTTATTCATATTGTTATAATTGTTATTATGGTTCATCATCGTGATGGTCTTTTTTGATTCCATCATCATCATGGATGGTTTTCTGTTCATCTTGCAATGAAATTGTCTTTTTCGGGCTAAATGTGCCTCTCGGATTTGGATTTGTTGGAGGCTCTTGGTTGTAATCATCAAGGCGGTGGTGTGGATCGGATCATCATGAAAAGAAACACTCTCGGTGCTTGTTGTTGTCGATGAATAATCATTTGCGCTCATTTTTCTTCTTGCAAATGAAGGAATTTGTAAATTGTATTGAGAATTGTCAAGAAAAATACGAAACAGTGGCAAGTAAAATCATCATCCTTTCTCTTCTCGAATTCATCATGATGATCATGATCATGGACTTGCATGATGAAATTGTTGGATCATCTTCATCATCTTCATCATCAACAACAACAACAACATTGGTACCATCATCATGCTCATCAGGAATGCGACATGGAAGCAAACCATTCAAGAATTCATCTTCAAGATTCTCATCAAGTGCATGGTCATCATTCTGTCTCCATTCAATAGTACCACTTATTTGTAACCACATGAACCACATTCTCATGGTGAATGATACCAATAGAATTCTCATTACTTGGAATCTGAGGTGATGATGATGAATGTCCAAGTGAGAGGAATGCACACCAATCAGATGTCTTCTTCCCCCAGTCAGGCCATCATTAGGAATGTTGAAAAAGGTTGGAAACTGTTAGATTCCACTGAGAAGACATGAGTGTTGATCGTGCAATTGACATTGTTGACATTTTGGGATTTCGCTTTTATGTCTAAAACAATGATATCCAATGACGTTTTTTAGGATTAGGAGCAATTGTGAACCCAACCCTTATCGAATCTTCAGTCATTGCTGTATGACCATCTAAATTGTATTACATTGCTGTTCTGGATTTGATATCGTCTTCAATTATCCAAAGTTTACTCTTTGATGAAGAAGGTGAAAGATGGTCGTAGGAAAGCAATAATCGATTTGAGGGTTTTATTTACATTGTAAAGGAATCAGAGAGTCGATTCTTGGTGGATTTGTCGAAACTGTTACTGAGCATGAAGAGCTATTCCATGGTTGGATGAGGTCCTCCAGTTTTGTTTGTCCTATTCGTCATTGAAACACGTCGCCGTGGGAAAAGAATTGATATTTTTTACAATTAGACGTTTTGGTTAATCTGTCAAAAGTGTCAAGATGTTTTTAATTTCGGTTTAACATTCAGAAATTCTCTCCAGAATTGATTCATGTTTTATTGTTCAGATGGAGCATTTTGAGTGATGACAGTCTCAACAGGTTGAACAAGGGTTTGGACATGATATTTCTCTTTCAACAAATAAGTGTTGATGAGACCTTTTCCTTTCACTTCGATTTTTCTCTCTTCGAACTCCAATTCTAGATCATACACTCTTTCATAGGTAGATCGAGAAATTTGAATTCTTCCAGGTAGAGAATTCGACTCCATGCGCGAGGCAGTATTAATGGTATCCTTATTTGTGAAAATGTTAATTCAGATTCGAATGCAAGCAATTGAAATTACAAAAAACAATAAATTATTTTGTTAAATATTATTAATATTATGATTATTAATATAATGATTTCATTTCAAAAAAACTTACTCCCCACAAATCATAGGCAAATTTCTTTTTTGAATGCATAATTGTTAGAATAATGAAATATAAGAACATTGACAAACACATACCTTTCGACCAATAACACCAGCAACCACTCCTCCAGTGTTAATACCTACACGAATGTTCACTTGTCTCTCCATATTCTCCAAATTGTATGAACGAATCACAAGAAATGTATCAATGGCAAATCGCAATACTCTCTCTGATTCAAATTGAAAGTGTTTGAAGTGATTCACACACACAAACATGTGTGATCAACATGTTATACATACCTGGATGGTCCGATTGTGAATTGTTATGAAGTCCTCCCACACAAAAATAGGCATCTCCAATGGTCTTGATCTTTTCAAGCTGATACTTGTCAGTAAGATCATCAAATCCATTCACAATAGTATTAAGCATTAATACAATCTCAGATGGATTCAGTCCAGAGCTCATTTTTGTGAAATTTACCATGTCACTGAAAAAGCATGTAATGTCACTGAATTTTTCTGCAATAAAGGTTTCACCACTTTTCAATTTAGCTGCCACTGCCTCTGGGAGAATATTTTTCAAAAGTTTGTCACTGTTCTGTTTCTCCTCAGCGAGTAAACTATTTTGTTTCTTTTCCATAGAAATATCTTTTACAAAACATGTAATCACAATAGAGCCCTCTCCATTTCGTGTGACAGAAAGATTCACAAGTCCAGGGAATTTTGTTTGGTTCTTTCGTACACAGTCGAGTTCAATAATTTCTCCATGCTTTTCGTCAGTGTCCACCTTTGATATGCAATGTTCTGTGACCTTTTTCAAGTAGTTCTCCGAGGACTGATCGAACAGTGAAAAGAATTTCAATCCAAGAACATCTGTAATGTTCTTGCCAAACATTTTCTGAGCTGCTTCATTAAACAAAATTATTTCTCCTTTTTCATTGGCCATCACGGCACCCTCTACCATTGAATTCAAAAGATTCTTGATAGAATCTTCAGTATTTTTCTTTCTCGTTGTCCCTTCTTGGGAGAGGGATTGATAGAGTACAAAATTCTTCAAGCTTTCATTGCTTTCTATATATTCGATGGGCAGATAGTTTAAATAGGTTCGTAAGGTGGTAATGTGATGATCATAAGTTCTAAAAGCTTCAAAAATAAGGTAACTGAATACGATAATCGATAAAGCTCCAACAATGAAAAAGCATACGGTAAATGCTCTCGAATTCACTTGAGTATAATCCACAAGAGTTTGTAAAAATTCAGTCATTCTGTTGAATACATCATCCGCCAAATTAAACAATTCTAAATATTTGAAGAAGGTTGTAGGGTCACGAGCAAAATAAGGATTCCATAAATCGTCTCCCCATTTCACTGACTGGACAGTAAATGAAGACAAGAGCCCTTGCAAAGTCATACATGAGCTTTTGTTTTGACAATTATACACTCCATTCACAATATCATCCACTCTTGGATACTTTCCAATGATAGACTCTGTTCCATCACCTCCATATACCAGCGAGTTATATAGGTTTTGAATATCTGTTGTGTATTGCTTAACATCAGCTCTAAAAGTTGCAAGCTGACTTGCTGATCCAACCGCTGGATTATTGATGAATTTTCCAGATGGTATTCCATTGAATGCATAAAATTCACTCGTTCTTACAGAGGTTCTTGCAACCGCTTTTCCAAACAAATGGATAGCATTTAGGTGTCAACTACCAACACTTTTCACAAAATTAATTTACATACCTCTCATGATGGATGTGGTTGTATCAATGTTAATCATGGTGTTTGAGCTTGTTAAATTATTGATGGACATTTCATAATACATCATTCCAAAGCTTAAGCTTACAAGTAAAACCACAATTACTGCAAAAATGATTAACAAATTCTTTGGTCGGACGCCCTTTTTCATATGCTTGACATCTTGTGAAGTCTTTAAAGATAAATCTTGATAAATGACTCCGATGAGATCTTTGGGAATTTTGTGATATAGCTTGATGATTTTGGTAGTTGTATACATGTCGATCCGAGCCAATAGAAGCAATCCACCATAAATGAATATGAAAAATCCATTAGAAATAAATAAATAAAGACGTAAAACATCATCCACTTCTTGATTGCTCAATCTCTTGCTCGTTTGAAATCTCGAGCAAAAAACTCCATATGCATCCGACGCTGTCCTTCTATTGAGATACAGATACATGAATGAAAAAGAGGTTGTAGTCTTGTTAAAGTCAGCACTCGTCCACTCCAAAAACAGATTCGTATGATAAATGAATTCTTGTGTAATTTCGCTCAGGGAGGCATTCTTTTTGAAACTAGTCGTATATTCCATCAGTTGTTTGTCAGAGGCCATTGGTACGTTAATATTATTGTCTGTATTGGTATAGTCATGATACATATTATCACTATACTTGTTAGAGACTGAATTGGCAACCAGATTCAGTAAGAATGTTTTAAATTGTTGGAATCGATGTTGAGAGTAGGCCCAAAAACTTTTCATAGGCAAAACCTTCCCTTGTGGTGTTCTTTGGTATTGGCCATTTCTGATTTTCAAATAGCTCTGTCATTATATGTCTCATTCTGACTTCACGAATCAGAGAGGATGGAGTCGCTCCTGGTAAACAAGAGTCCAATGCAAGTGGAATTTCAGTAACTTTGGCACCAAAAATCAAGCAAAGCACAAGAGCGACAATCAACAAGGCGAGAGAAAAAGCCGCAACGACCAAAAAACTATAATTCCTTAATGATGATTGATAGGGAGTGTTGATGGTATTTCTAAAGAAGACTTGTTTCTTATCCACTTGTTCATTCTCAACTCCATCAAAATTTTCCTTTTCGACATTTTCGTTATCCATGAAGGAGGTTTTTTCCAGATTGTTTTGAAACTCCACGCCTGTATTGGCACTGCTAGGAATGTTGTTATGATTTGCATGAGAAACTGTGCTGACTGAAATGGGCATTACTTTGTTGTTAGAAAAACTTCTAACTTTTTTAAAATACCTATTCTTTGATTCTTCCTCTTCCAATTGACTCGCCTCTTCATAGAGAGCTGCTGCTTGTTCCTTATCAAATTTAAAATTTTCAAGGTATCTATAGAGTCACACATAAAAGTCATTTCAAAAATTTGGTGATTCAATTAGATTCGAAGATTGGCATCATCATTATACAATAATGATTTACCTCGAAAAATAAAATTACTTCTACTCACCCTGCATAAAGTCTTAGAATTGTCTTGTTTTGTCTAAAATTTGTCACCAAATGATAAAACATCTTGTCACAATATCTTGCCAATTCACTTCCTCGACTGTTGATTTGTTCAATTTTTGGAATGTTTGGAAAGTCACTCATGAATTCCTTAAAAAACATTCGATGAACTGTCACTAGCTCCTCTTGTTTTTGTTCCAAGTCAAGAATCATGTTTTTCACTTCAACACTATTGAGTCCATGCGTCTTGTAACTTGCACTCTGTGTTTCAATTTCTCTGAGCATTTCTTGGATGATTGTTCGTTTCCAAATATTTCCACAATTCTTTTGGGCTCGTTTCAGTAAAGAGGAGGCCAATGCATAACTGTTCAAATCTGTATTCCATTCGTGCGAAATGACATGACTTGCCATCAATAGTAGTAATGGAGATGCAAATAATCGTTGATGACAAGCACTTTTCACAAAGGAGCAAGTAATCCTGTAATCACTCTCATGCCTCACAGAAAATTGAAGGAAAAGACTCAATGCGCGAATGGAGTCGTTTTCATCTCCTACTATTTGAGACATTATGTCTGAATCATGAGAACGAGAGAGATCATCGAAATTCACACCTGTTGTCTCCAAGATTCTCCTCACTGGTCGACACACAAAAATCAATGTATAAATTTCACATGCAGCAATACCAAGTATAAAGAAAAGAATCAAGAGTCCCAAAGTGAGACCCATCATGGCAAGTCCCAAATCGTTATTAAATATCAATGATGAAGAATCCAAGTTAAAAACACATCCACTAATGATCATTCCAATCGAAGAGCCAAGTCTTCCCGCAAGAGCTCCAATAAAGATTGAATTTTCCAATCGTTTAAAGAAAGGAAGTGAGTAAAAAAAGAGAACAAGCTGTGCGAGGGCTCCAATCGAATGAATAACTCCTCTCACATACAGATGTGTGGGAGGAATGAGAAATTTGATCATCATTTCAAAAGCAATGGAAACACAATTCAACGCAATCGGAATGTTATCCATGACAATAAAGGGAATCTTACTACTCGTATTACTCAATGGCATTAATATGAATGCAACAAAACAGCCCATCATCATGAAAATCATGGAAAAGAAGGAAAGGATGAAAAACACCATGGAATCTTCCTCCAAATAAAACAAAGAAGGTATTCGAGAAAGTGTGGGTCGCAGAACTCCATCCTTTTCTGAATAGACTAAATGATTGGGATTAGAATCCACAAAAGTACTCATTACGAAAATCGAGATGGGTGTTATTAAGGCAATGAGCAGACCAAAGTAAGTATTGAATTGGCGCAAACGATCCAGAGTTTTTCCTTTCAACACTTTGAATTCCATCATGAGAGTGATGAAAAACACAGAGACCAAACCTACAGAGCAACAACTCAATGCAACGACAGCCTCACTCGATATGGAATCCAAGGAGAAGGTGATGGGATAATTCAATACTCGAAACACCCAACCTCCGTACACTCCATACGGAGAGGTGTTCATACTCGTATGATCTTGTACTTCGTAACGATAGGGAGGATGAGAGGAAAGAGTTGGCATCAAGACATTCAAATACAAGTAATAGATGAATACAAGACCAAATAGGAAACGATCGAATCCGCTTCTTCGTGCTCCTGTAGTTTTCAGCGTCAAATACACATGAAAAAGCTTTTCATTCGCAGACTTCCACAAGGAATTGTGAGAGGATGAAGTGGAGATGGTTTCCGTACGGAGAGAATGTGTGGAAGAATGATGATGTCCGGCCGCCTCAGAGGTCGTAGTTGAAGGTCGATGCTCGACAATTAAGGTCGGACGAGAGGCGTTGGACTCCATGGAGTTGATATTCTTGAGTCGTTGTGCCTGTTTCTTTGAGGAGCTTTTTTGGAGACAAGAGAGCTTTTTTTTTTCAAATGTAAATCGGGAGACGGATCACAACTGACCAAATATCGAGTGTGCGATTTACAGTGATTCTCTTCTTTTTTGAGCGATAGTATCACTTCCATAAACGTACAGAGTTATTTGGATGTTTGGAATAAATTTTGGCGGGAAGGAAAATTGCGACATCCTTTTCCTGTCACTCAAAGTATATTGTTCCTACAACCAAAATTGCAGTTCATTGTTTATCCCAAGCAAGTTGTTCCCAAACATCTATTAGAAAAAATGTCAACAGTGTCAATAGTGTCAAATTTCTTTCTGTCGAAAGTGCCGTATTCCAATAACCAAAACTGGAGGACCTCTCAAACCAGCAAAAAAAGTAAAATTTTCTGAATACTGAGTGAATGTGTGCAGAAACGACCACTCGTCGATTCCTTTACAATGAAAAAAATTCTCACATCAATTATTTCTCTCTTCATACAATCTTACACTGAAACATCACCTTCGTTTATTGGTTGAAAGTGTCAAACGGCAGTCTTTTTCGGCTGAATGACTGTTCGTTGAGGCTGCTGGGTTTATGGCCTCCAAAACTGTCAAAAGTGTCAACTTTGTCAAAAATGTCAATGCAAGCATGTGTTCTCCGTGGAATCAGGAACACAAATACTAAAAAAATTTTTCATTTTTATTAAATATTATTGAAAGTGTTGAATAATAGCAATTGAGATAAACTGGATTCAAATCAATACCATAGTTGATCGTTAACGTTGAACTAAATCTCCACATTTCATGTTTTGGTAGTATTGTATGAAAAAAAATATGAAAACTATCAAAATACTAGATAAAAGTAATGTATTGACATGTTTTTGAATTTTTTAAAAAAGTTTTTCAAAAGTAAAGTGGACTTTAAATACTGACATTTTATTGTTCAATCAAAAGAAATTTTTTCACAACATTACGAATTGTATAAAAATTTTCAGTAAAATTCATGAATGTATGTCGATCAATAGCAAAAGAGATGAACTGGATTCAAACCAATACAATTGTCAAGAACTCTTGAACATTTAAGGCACTCTTATCCTCACAAAAAACTATTAACAACAAATGATCATGAATGGATTTATTATGGGTGAAAGCATATCTTGTTCTTCTTATTTGGCATGTGTGACAATACATGTCAAACTCAGTTGTCTCCACCCACTCGGCATCTCTCTTGCACTGACAACACTTGTACTTGGGAGGGTTATTCCTTGCCAATACTCTAGCTTGATTGTGTTCCTTGTTTCATTTGACAAGGACATGAGTTCGAGCTCCAAATAAGTAGAGCTTCCGAAGTCATAGGTGTAGCAGAATTGCTTTCCAACATCTGAAGGTTTGAATACTCTGTACATTGGAACATCCATATGCTTGTTATCAACCTCGTTATCCATAAAATCCTCATCACTCTCGTAACTATTGTAGGTCAATGCATCAATTTCAAAGTTAGACAAGTGACTGCAACACTCGACCCAATATTTACGAATAATATCATCCAATTCTCTCAAATCTAAAGTGAACGGAACCTCCACAAATAATCACATCTTGTTCCAGTTATCAGCATATTTTTGATAAATCTTAAATCTCATCACAACATCTTGACAAATGTCGTTGTCCTTAAAATCATTCAATTTTGGGCATGATAAAATGTGTTCCTTCATGGCTTGCAGTCCACCATTCACCTTCTCGTTACACTCTCGACAGTATCCAAATACTGTTTTTTGAAATTTTTCTCGTTTCTTCTTTGAGGGTTTTGCAGAACACGAAATTAATGTTCCCAACTCGGGATCGAAATGAATAGGAGGGCGATGATACTTTAATTTATCATCAAAGAATAATCCGATCAAATCAGTTTTGGGCATTTGAGCAAACCGCTCTCTCTGATCCTCATCATCTTTTTTATCTTTTTGATATTCTTGTTCCCGAAGACCACAAAAAGTTGTGTAGTTAAGTCCACCACCAACATCATCATCATCACTTGAAGAAGAATCCTCTTCGGGCACAACCTTTCTCTTCTTTGGGTTTGGATTGTTCTCGTGAGTCAGGTGCTCGATGCACTTCTTCATTTCTTTTTGTTGGCGGATTGAATAATTTCCTTATTTATGTTCGAAGGGTTCTGAACGCCTTCACTTTTGAAGAAGCCATCCTTGACTTTCTGCTCCCATTGAGTGAAAGACGATGATGAACATCTCGAGAGTTGACATAGAAGAAGCCATGGTGAGAAGGTCATGAAAGGTCTCATTCACATGACAATGCCATCTCACCTCTTGTGACGACAAAACAATGGCATTAAAAATTGAAGTTCTTACGAAAATCATGATTGAAGGAATGTCAAATACAACCAAACAATGAACATCTAAAGAAACTCCTAAATTCAATTATTCGTGAATATATGGCTACTGATTGAAACCTTGTTTAGCAACTAAGGTAGAGTCAGAATTGGTTCTTAATTGGTGATGACGAATTTGACTTTGAGCATGTCACACTCGGAAACAGATTAAATGATTCATAGCAGAAGGAGTATAACTCCAAATCTGATGACCTTCCTCATTCTTAACTCGGTGAATAAATTCAAGATGGCATTGTCAACAAACAATATTTTTGATAAATTCTTAATTTGAACATCATTGTATACCACTAAATGTCATGCCTGAAGTCTTATTTTGGTGGAGTTGCCGGCTGCATGAAAAAGAGATACACATTTTGTAATTGAAGAGCCTGTTCAACAAGATGAGAAACATAATTGTCCAATGATTTCAATCTCAAAAAGTGTAAAGAAATCTAATTATCCTCATATTATCCTGCAAAGGGGAACATGATTCTTTTGTTTGATTAATTCTTCGAACAAGTACGGAATTTTACTTTAAATGGGAGAGACATTCTTCGATTGAATTCTAATCATAATATATTGCTTCATTTCGTACAAACCTGCTCTTATCAACACAATTATCGTAATTGAACTACAATGTCGTATTGTATGAATTAGAGTCCCATCTTCGTAACTTCGCACATGACATTTAAAAAGAAAAAGCTGTGACTCTCCAACAAGAGATAAACACTCCACGGATTGGTCTTACAAATTCTCGTTTTGAAAGCGCCGTAATCACCACGCCATTTTTGTTTCAAAGCCATGTTGAAAGCTGTCAAATGCCATCGGACACGACAAGTGATGGTTGCATACATACTTCAAAAGGACAACTACTGCGCTTCCTCCCCACACTATGACATCTCTTCTATGAAAACTAAAACCTCCACAAATTGCATCTCAACAACAAAAACAAAACACCTCTTCTTCCCACTTGAAGCCAAGGTTCACAGAAGAATTTTTCACCCTTTTTCATACAAATAACCATCATACATTCGCTCCTCGAATAGAAACTCTCGATATGATGAAAACGACAACATCTCATGCCTCTGTACATGACCTTGCTAAACACCTCAAATTCCACCATTACTCCTCACCACCATCAATAGCTGAATCTTCCTCTCGATTCGGTGCATCTTCCCAGAATGTCAATCTATCTGGAATAACAGAGGTTCTCTCGAGAGAACAAGAAGAACAACTGGATACTCCTAGCTCTCATAGAATGATGAATACAACATCCATAAGAGAGAGATCTCATCGTCATCATGAGTATCCATCCTCTGAACATCATACCTACTATTCGACAAGTTCTGCTCTTGAAAGTACCAGGTTGAGTGGACGAACATTGAATTATGCTATTCCTTCTTTGGTGAATCATCATCATCATCAACACCAACAAGAACCAGTGGTATATCATCCCAGTCATCAGGAAAATTACGGTTTCACGCCTCATTCTTCTTCTTCCTCTCTTCTCTTCATGGTGAAAGATAGAACCAAGAGAGCCGTTATTACCCAGAAGAGTGCAACAAACACGACCTCATCTGCTGTCGCCATCAAACGCTCAACCTCCATCATTACTTCTTCTTCTTCAAATTCTTCATCCTCCCTCACCCCTCATACAAACCATCCACCCTCTAAAATTGTAAAGAAGTCTTCCTCCAAAAAGAAGGTCATTAAGAGAAAGTATCAATACAAACATTTACTGGCAGCCGATGCCAATAAGAACAATCATAAAAGTGGTCATAAGTCAAGCAATATCACTCCCACCACGCAGTACGTCTATGATTTTGGATTGTGGGATCAGAGCAGTGAGGCTTTTCCTTCAACTAACACCACCACCAACAGCAGCATTGCAACGAATACAACCACTCCTTCATCCGCAACCTCTCCCATCCACCATGAATCTGCAGATTCCTCTTTCCAACTCCACTTGAACAATTCCAAACAACACCGAGTTCAACGAAGAGCTGTTTCATCCATCTCCAAACACGAAATGCTCCAAGTTCTTCATCTGACCCAACAAAAGGCTTCTCAAATTCTCGGATGTTCCCTCTCCACCGTAAAGAGAAGATTCTACGAATTGAAAGATGAGATTGGACTCAACAAATGGCCCCAAGATTTTCTTGAATTGATGCAATTGAGTAAGGAAGTCTTTCAAAAGATTTATCCCATGTCTCTACATTTTATTTTGAATCATGATGATGATGAGAAAAGTGGTGCTGTTGCTTCTGTGCGTTTGTTGGCTTCAGAAGAAGAAGAAGGTAGTAGTAGTAGTAGTACTCATGAACAACAACAACGATCACAATTGTCATCATCATCACTCTCACCACCATCGCTGTTCAACCATTCAACAATGAATCCACTTATTGAAACAGGTGCTAACACCGAAGAACACCATACCTCTTCGTTCTCGAATAGCACTCTTGTGTGATACAAATTTAACACAGTCCTTGACAATAAACAAATTGATCGAATGAAAACTCAATTTGGTCTTGATTGTGTCGTCATCATCATTATCAGTGAGCGAGAGAGATGAACTCCTTTCGAACGAGTTCATCACTGCTGTGATGGTCTATAAAGGTATACAAAAATCTTCATGCGTGAATCAATTGTTATTCTTGTTGTTTGTTGTTGTAGGTAGTAATATTGATGATGGTGAAAATGTCTGTTGTTAATAGAGGTTGCATGACCAATCTTCTTTTTCCTCTTTCTGACATGTCGATGACATCCCTAGCTCTGTAACATCAATTTGAACAACTCTCTTGCTGTCAGGTCTTTGACCCTGTCGATTCGAATCACTTCAGCCTAACACTCTCTTTTCGCAGTCAAAGACGACCAAAGACAGCCGACCCGTCACACATCAAAGTCAGTGACACGACCTCACACAAGAGCTTTCACATAAAACACCAGCTTTCACTGTCACGTCATCCGCAAAAAAATTCAACAACAAATTTATTAAAAAACATTCTCACAACAACAACGATGATTTCCACCACTTCATCATCCTCCAAGTGGTTGGTTGCCATGTTGTTGGTTGCCTTGTTCGCCATGTGCTCCTTCGCCATGGCCCAAGCAACCACTCAAACCGCTGCAACCGAAGCAGTAAAAGCCACTCCAATCGTAAAACCCACTACGGTCGTGATCAAGAAAAAGCCTACGCTCGTTGCTAAACCAAAGAAGAAGAGAGTGGTAAGAAGAAGACGCGTTGCTAGAAAACTCAAGAGATGCCGCAAGTTGGCTCGTAGAGCTAAGAAGTTGGCTGCCCGTGCTTCTAAATTGGCTAAACTCGCTGCATTGAAGGCTAAAATTGCTGCTGCAAGAAAGACCAAGAAGGTTAGAAAGAGTGCCAAGAGAGTTGCAAGAAAGGCCAGAAAGGCTGCCAAGAGAGCAAGACGTGTTGCAAAGAGAGCTCGTCGTTGTGCCAAGAAGGCTTCCCGAAAGTATGGAAAGAAGGCAACCAGAAAGTTGAGAAGAAGAGCTAGAAAGGCTGCCAAGAAGGCAAAGAAAGCAGCAAAGAAGGCCAAGAAGAGCACAAAGAAGTCAAGAAAGACTGTGAAGAAGGCTGTGAAGAGGGCTGTGAAGAGGGCAGTCAGAAAGGCAGTCGCTGCTGTCAAGAGAGCAAGAAAACAACTTCCAAAGAAAAAAGAGAGTTGTTGTTGTCAAGAAGAGAAGATCTTGCAGAAAACTCAGAATTGCTTTGAAGAATTTGAGAAAGGCTTTGAAGAAGAGAAGAGCTGTTAGAAGAGCAAGAAAGACTGCTAGAAAGATCAGAAGACAAAAGAGAAGAGTTGCTAGAAGACTCAGAAGAGCTTTAAAGAGAGCTAGAAAGGCTTCCTCCAAGAAGGCCAAGAAAGCTGCTAAGAAACTCGCAAGAAAACTCAGAAGAACAGTCAGAAAGCTCGTCAAGAAGGCAAAGAAGGCAACCAGAAAGGTCAAGAAGCAAGCAAAGAAGGCAAGAAAGGTTGCTAAGAAGGCCAAGAAGATTGCTCGAAGAGTTAAGAGACACAGAAGAACCTGCAGAAGAGGAAGAAAGCCAAGAAAGGTCGTCAGAAGAAGAAAGATCAGACGTGCCTTGAAGAAGAGAGCTAAGAAGTGTAAGAAATCAAGAAGAGCTACCAAGAAGTCTGCTAAAAGAGTTAGAAAGCTCGCCAAGAAGGTCAAAAAACTCCTCAGAAAAGCTAGAAGAGTCGCTGCCAAAAAGGGAAAGCGCTCTGCTAGAAGAGCATTGAAGAGAGCAAGACGTGCATTGAAGAGAGCCAGAAGAGCTGCCAAGAAGGCTGCCAAGAGAGCAAGAAAGGCCTGCAGAAGATATAAGAGAAAGGTCAGAAAGGCCAGAAAGATCTGCAGAAAGCTCACTAAGGCTAAGCGTGCCAAGATAGCAAGAAAGATCAGACGTGCTTTGAAGAAGATGAAAAGCAACAACAAGAAGAAGTCCGTCAGAAGAAAGCTCGTCTTCAAGTTGAGAAAGTTGTACAAGTGTTAAACAACATTCCCTTATCAATATTCGATAAACTTCTAACTGTGTAATTTAAACACACTGTGGTTTATTTGTGAAATTTGGGTTGTTTGTTTTGTTTGCAAAATCTGTCCAACAACAGCGATTTTGTCAACACACACAACACTCACAAAGTTGTTTCCGCGTTCTCCAAAACATCTTCCTCTGATTGCTTCCATAAATCTTCGTCTGCGAAGGGAATCTGAGAAGAAGCAGAACTGCCTTTCGCGCTCTTGCTCTTCTTTTTCTTTGGACCCTCACACTCAACTTCATGAGAGCTGTCTCCACCATCAGTTTCTCCAAAACTGCTCTCTCTAACTTTTACATGACACACTTCAACATTGGCTCCAGCTTTTGAGAGTAAATCTATCCAAATTATTTGTTTCTCGCTGAGCTTATCATTGGGTCCCTTAATTTCACTTAATAAATGTTCATGAGAAGAGACGATGTTAGATTCTTGTGTGCTCTCTGAAGAAGAAACTCTTTTCCAACAAACAAGATCTGGAAAGCCACTTCTGTTCTCTTTCATGTCCTCAGCAAGAGATTGAAGAATGGTGCATATCACCTCAATTGGAAAACATTCACAAATACTAATGAGACACGCCAATTTTGGTGAAGATTTTTGGGCCATGCCCAGTGTTTCACAAGATGCAATGTTCTTTCGAGAAATATCATTAATCTCCTGATCGTATCTGTCATTATTATTCTCATTGAACATTTCCACACCTTGAGGGATGACAAGATCTTTTTCGCGACTCAAAGTCACTGCATTGTCTTCATCCAATGGTGTCGGATCCATATCCTTCCAATTACAAGCAATTGCATTTGTTCCATAATTTTCATGCCAACAATTAGTCACTTTCTCGACCAGATACTTTGAACCATATTGTTCAATTTCTTCAAGTCTTTTCTTAAACTTGTCTCTTCTCCTCAAATAAAAAGCATCTGTCATGAAATCAAGAGGACACGATTGATACTTATTTTGAAAGACATACGGTATGGATGAATCGAAAATAATATCCCACATCACTAACATGCATAACATGGCCCAAATGGAGCCTTCACTGTGAAATCCTTCCATGGCGTGTTGCATTTGATAATGTTCGAGTGCAAACTGCTCCACACTCACCACTATGAATGGTAACACACGTGAATATTAGTTGTTGTTTTGAAAACATGTTGTTCATGATGAGAAAATTGTTAGAATTAAATGTCAAACAGTATATTATATATATATATTAAAAAATCAAAAAATTAAAACTTGCCTGTTTTTTGATCCAAGTGTGACACAAAATGATTCCTCTTTTCTCCTTTTTTCCTACTTTCTAATTTCTTGACCTTTCCTTGAATGTATATTAATTTAGGAGGTTTAACATTTGTTGAGATGAAGGTTGAGATGAGAGCAGAATCGTCACTACTAATATTCGAAAACTTCTTGGGATTGGCTTTTTGGAGTTTCTTACAAAGTCTCAAATATCGTTTCTCGAGTGTATATCTCTTATTGGGTGGTAATCGAACAGATCCAAAAAATTCACAACTATTAGTATCGGATAGTGCAATTTTGCATGTTTCATATGCTCTTTCATAGGAATCCACAGTTTTTTGATGTTCATAATCGAGAGCAATACGATTGTAGAATTCTCCTCGCTTACCTACCATAAAAGGAGATTTCAAAATTGTCGTCAAGTGTGAAATTGCAAGTTCGTATTGTTTGTGTTTTTCTAATAACTTGATGCAGTAATGTAAAATTCTGGCATAGACATAACCACATCGAAATCTCATGAGATAATAATCCATGTGTAGGTCGTTGGAATTTTTTGAGTATTTGTTTCGAATTAATTCAGTATCTTGTTCTAGTCTTCGGCTTACATCTTTGGAAAATTCAATAAGTTTTTCTAAAAGACCTTCCTCATTAGCTTTCTGAATGGTTTCTAAACGAGTTTCAATTTCAATAATGAGAAGATCTTGAGTATTTTGGACGTCACCACTCGATGGATTGGGATAAGAGGTTTTTGTACTCTCTACTGATGGTGATTCAAGTGAGTCAGCCCATGTGTTAGCTATTTCAAATGCCTCTTCATATCGTAAGAGATCTTCCCTTGTTTCGAATAGGCTCTTTTGCTCTTGAACTTCATATTTGGGAAAGACGGTAATCTTTTTCTGTTCCAATATCATGATGGAAGCATTGTCAGAGTTTTGTGAGATAAAATAGAGGTGGTGAATTCGCTTGAAAATTTTGGCGACACTCTTTTTGATTCTATAGTACATGGGTGCAATATCCTTATTGGTTATTGATGCCTTGTGAATGAGTTTTAACACTTCTTGCGTACGTAAGATGGTGGCAGTGTTTGATAGGGCCTTTGAAGGAGATGTTGCACAAGTGTCTTCGTTTTCGACTTTACCCTTGTCATTTGCTTTGATTGGTTGCTTTTTGAAAAACCCACTCAATTTTGATTGCTTTCCGCCAGAGTCATTCAATTCAATAAGAGATTCAGGTCGTGTGATGATTTGTTTGATCAAGTCAGATTTTGGAGACTCTTTGGATGATCGTTTTGAGAGTTGTTTCTTAACAACATTACTAATATTTTTCTTGTCTAATATTGTTTTGAGTTGCTTGTTTGTGAACTCTCTTAATAATTCTTGAATTTCATCCATGGTCCAATTGTTGTTGCTGTGCGTGATATTGTAGTTTTCATGATTTACATGAAGGACTTCAAAAAGATCAGATCGTATGAGATGTTCGAGAGCATCTTTGATATTTTCACAGCATACAATTTGCATATTGACTTCGTCACAACTTGTCCATGAAGACATGATATCTTCCTTCTCTTTTTCGATTTCTCTTCGGTATTTTTCTAGCTCTGTAATTGTAAAATATTTTTGTTTTCTATTGAATAGTCGAATAAATAATCTTTGTGACGCTTTACATTGATTTTTAAATGTGTCAATAATTTTCTTTTCTTCCTCAATAAATAAATGGCCATCTCTTTTCGTGACTGTTTCTAAAATCTCCAAGAAATGGTACAAGTAATAGCTTCTTATTCGATCCTCTTCAGGTTGTTCCTGTTGTGAAAATTGTTGTGAATTTGATTTTTGAGATTCAAAGCCCGTACTATGATCAGAACACAAAGATTGAGAATTTTCATCTGTCATGAGACTGTTCAATGATGACTGCCTTGGTTCCATCACAGAAAATGTCAAATCACTATTGACAGAGAGGCTTGAAGTCATTTCTTCTTCAATATTTATAGTTTCAATGATACTCTGAGTTGATACAACACTAGTGCTGAGTGTTGACAAGCTTTGTGAGCATCGTTCCGAATCACTGGGAGCACTCTGCAATTCATCGTCGCTATCAATAACGAATGCCTCTTCCAAAGAGTTTCCTTTCAGCTGTGTCATTGTTTCTTCCAAACTATTGATACAGCTCGGAGGCTTCATCTCCCCCGATAGACTTCTCTTCTTACCTTGATGATGAAAATAGGACATGATAGAAGTTGCACTAAATTTCGGAGAAGGAGAGGCTTCTCTCGGAGATGATGATGATTTTGAGTTTTTACCAGTATTCGGTGTTTTCCTCCGAGTATTTTGCTTCTCCAAAGAGGATGATGATGAGGATGGTTGTTTCTTCTTGTGATTGCTGGAAGTGTTTTTCGCAAGAGTTGTTTTGGGCATTTTTTATTGTAATCACAGCGCATGATCATCATGTTCATTTCTCTTTCTCTCATCGTTCACTCATTCTCTCATCATCATTAAAGAATCTTTTGGAAAACGCGTGATTCGAATCTTCTCTCGTTCTCTCAAAAAATTGTTCCTCTTGCTCATCATCCCATTGGCAGCAGCAATAGCGAACCAGCAAGGTACTAACGCAACTGAGACAACAGGGTGAGCCTTTCATCATTGATTGGTGAGAAAAAGGATTGTGGATTCTTCTTCTTCTTTGAAAGCGTTGAAACACGATCATCATCATCATTGATTGTGTGTGTACCATATAGATCCGTAATCTCTCTTCATCGGGAAGTCTTTTGTTGTTGTTATTATTGAGAGAGAGATCATCATCATTTGTGTTGTTTAAAAACCAACAAATTTTGAATAGATCCTATCATCATTAACTCTGCAATAATTGTGGACTATCATTTATTGAATTGGAATAGTTTCCTTCAATATCTAATTGGTAACTCTCCATTCAAATTGATACTAATTATTATATATATATCATTATTTTCATTCATGGAGAAGCGTTTCATCATGGTCCGATTTACAAATTTCAAATCCTCTCCACAACCTAAAGATTCTCACAAATATGAGATGAGTGGAGTTTTGTGCAAAATGGGAGAGGTCAACAAGTCATGGAAGGAACGATTTTTCATTTTGGAAGACGATAAATTATTTTACTACAAGAATAATGAAGCCACAAAAGCAATTGCATATATTCCATTGAATGATGCCTATGTACGAGTGTCGCCAGAATTTTATCCCAGATTGGCTTGCTTTGAGATTGTGACTGCACAGAGAATTTATAAACTGCAAGCAGCAAATTTCGAATTGATGAAGACGTGGATTCATCATTGCCAAACTTTTAGTAAGATTAGTATGGAAAATGAATTGATACGGCAAGCTGACATTCAGATTTGTACGACAGAAGCTGCCTATTCGAAAAAGTTATTGGACGAGTTGCATTTTGAACCGATGCCTTTGGAAAATTATTATTTCATGTGCAAATACGACGATAGTGACAATGATTTCAGTGACATGACTTCAGAGTCTGGAAATACTCCACAAAATAACATTACCAATGCTACACGAACAAGACATAGATCTGCAGCCATGAATTTATCCTTTAGCAGTCAATTGTCACATTTGATAAATTCAGAGTCACCAATGAATGCAAGTAGCGTCATTATTTCCAAAGACGAACAAGAATTCGTAGAAGACGAAGATATTCTGCCCTCAACTCCACAAAACAACAACCAAAACAAAGCCACTGTCTCCATGAATTCAATTTCACCCTCCTCCGATTACTGTGTCACTCCAACCTCATCCTCTCTCCTTAGCTCATCCTCATTCATTGAGGGCCAAAATCAAGAATTAATACAACGTATTGATTGGCAATAGTCATGTGTGTCGTTCAGTTGAATTGTTGTTTGTTATCATGGTGAGTTCACAGTTCACCAATGAAAGGTTGTTGATCGTCGCAACACAAAAAATGTCTCCGCCACAACCACCTAACAGTTTCACTTGTCGTTCTCATGTTGAAACTTCTTCACCACTCTCATATGAATCATCACAAGATTGTCATCCGAACGACGAGTCACCATCATCATTTAATATTCAAATTCTCGGAAAATCCTTTCAAAACATTGAACATCTCTCTCTTCTCCAACAACCCCTTCGACAAGTATCGATCGGATTCGGCCACGTCATCATTCTCTGTGAAAATGGAAAGCTTTTATGTTTTGGTAGGAATGATTGTGGACAATGCAATCGACGCGTGGAAAGTCTACCTCCTCTATCATTGAACAATAGTTCCATCTATGGCGACACATTGGACATTTTGCAAGTCACACCTCTCTTTGATTCATTGTCGTCGACAGAACACCAAAGTGAAGCGATGGAGAACACGAAACAAATGCTTCATCACACGATGTCCGTTCGATCGGTTCATTGTGGAGCTCTGCATACCATGATTTTGTGTGAAAATAATTTAATTTTTGCATGTGGAAGTAATTCAAATGGACAACTTTCAATTCCGTCACAAGTGGCACAAGCATGCGGAACAGAAATTGAAAAATTTACTCGAGTGGATTTGAGCTCGTGTCCATTATTGTTGAGCTCTCCTCTCGACTCGGTCACGAGTTCAACCATGAATCGAATCAAGACGTTGCATTGTCGTTTTTCACATAGTGGAATATTGAGTGAAAATGGGGAATTGTATTGCTGTGGGAGGTATGTATCAGCTGTGAGAGGTTTTGTTGAGAGTTTAATATTGAAGTATTGTGGAACGTTGATCATGTTGAAATTTCTCAATGACAAATTTTTTTGAATTTTGCAAATGTTACAAATATGATTATTATTTATGAAATGTTACACAATATATATGAATGAAACAAACATTTCAACAATTTATAATGCCATGAATTAGAAATTACGACTTGGAATTGGGTATTCCCAAAGAAGAAAAAATCATGAAATTTACTCAAGTATTGAACATTCCAAAAATGAAATTGTTTGATTTTGCTTGGAAATACATGGTTGCCATCAGTGTGGACAATGTCATTTATGCCTCCAAATATGGAATTTTAAAAACAGTACAGGATCCAAATGGAAATGAGTTTTTCTGTCGATACGAAAAAAGTGAACCCAATTCATTTGGAGATATTATCAAACTAGAATGTGGAAATGAGCACACCATGTTTCTCAATTCAAGACATGAATTGTACGGATTTGGTTATTCAGTCGATGGCCAAATTGGTGTCAATAGTGTCGTCAAACAAGTTGTTCGAATTGCTCTAGATCGAATCAAATACGATGTTATTCATGATTTTACATGTGCCTACAATCAATCTTGTATTATCACCAAAAAGGGCTACATGTACGTATCTGGTTTGTGGGATTTCACAGGTCTCTCAGCAAACGATGAGGAAGATCCTGAGGCAAAACAAGTCTTTCTGAACTATCAAAATCAGAAACAACCAGTGAATGTATTTCAATTCACAAAATTACCAGTTCCAAAGAAACGATTCAATTCCATTGCTATGGGAAATGAAATTTCATTTCTCTTTCATAGGTAGGTTGTATTGCATTTCGTGTGTTGTTGAAACTTTCTTGTGCATGTATGTGTCGCTGTAATGTAAAGATATGACAATGAATACGAGTATGAAAAATCACTGAAGGCTAAACTATTTCGACAATGCCAGCACTGTAGCAATCATCAATCATTGTTTGATGTTGTCACGATCAAGTGCGTTAACTCGTTACCTTCCAAAAATTTGAACACCTTACTGTGAACAACAGGTTGTGCTCTTTTGTGTTGGTGATACATGAAGTGTTAAGAACACAGTTGCAAATTAGATCAATGTTAATCCAATACCACTCATCTCCAGTAATTCCATGATAGAAGAGTGGGGTTATGTATGCATTACAAGAGACAGTATAGATGTTTTCGCCAATAATTCACACATCAAGGACAGTGCATTTCTGGCGCTTGAAAGGATTTGTCGAATTTTCTCGGTGCATCTTGTGTTAGCCAAAAACAACGTCGTGGAAGCAGTATTCAATGTTATGAATGCTTGTTGATGACGATCCCAAACGTGTTGAAGTGTACGCCGATCTGCGACAAAGAGATGCCAACCCATGAATAAACGTTTCGCTCAAGCATCCTTCTATTATCATCTCGCCCAATTTGGAATTCTCAATTTAATTTACGGAAAATTATTTCGTGACCTGATACCCATCAGTCACTTGTCTTTTGTGATCAAGAAGGACGTTCCAGGTTGCACCTCACTTCTTCAGGTTTCCAAGTACTCGATCTCCATTTGTCCTCACATCAAACGAGTGTGGTGTCGGTTTACCCTGCGATTGCTGCTTGCTTATTTGGTGATACTCAACCCCTCTTTCAAATTAACATTTCTTTCTTGACCCACCAAACAAGAAAAAACCTTCATTAAGAACTACACCCAGCCACCCAACAATCAAACATAGCTCTCACCAATACCAACTAGTGCTGGAGCAGTGATGTGCTGTCTGAGGTTGTTTCGTACTATCTAAATTCTTCAACTGTGCATTTAAATGGAGCACAACAACAAGATTTGAATATTCATTTTCCACTCAAAGAGAATGCCAAAAAACCAGAGAGAGAACAGCAGCAATGATGAATCTTCCTTGTCTTCATCGAGCATCAACTCCATGACGTCATTACCCTTTCCAACTACATCCAATCACACTAGTGGTTGTACTACAACATCAACAGAACATCAACACCCACTCGAAAATCAACCGTCCCATATGGCCGATCTGTCGAACATCTCATCTTCACTCCTTCTTCCCAAAGCAGCAAAATCTGTACCAAATCGTGCTGTCAGACCCATCATCTCAAAGTCACAGAATGTTACCGCAACGAATAAGCCAATGCGATTCATTCAAGTGAGCGGCAACATGACTGCAAAGAAAAAAGCCATCCAGAAAGACATCAACATCTCTAGTTTCAACTCTTGCCCAAGCAGCTCCATCAATTTTGAAGTCCCATTTGACAACAACAACAACAAGCTCAACATCACAGCTGGTCTCTCTCGAAAGCAACTACAACAACTCTCACAACAATGATATCTCCCAACACCGAATAGACTCTCAACTCTGTCACAATGATTCCAGGACAAGTACAAGAATTGCTGTACCATTCAGTAATCCATCCACTCATCATCACGAGCACATCTCATATTCACAACATGATTTGCTCAAGAACAAGGTCATGAGTACACATCCTCCATTGACGAAGACACATGTAAGTGGAGATGTTGTTACTCATCACATGCATGACATGGATGGCGAATGTAACGAACAGCATGCTTCTTCATCACATGCGAAATTACCCTACCCAACAACAAGTCGACGAGGGTCCTATTCATCATCGACGTCAACCCCTTCAAATGCATGTATGGAAAGTACGAGCGCCAACAACTTCTCTTCGCATGCATCCTCGAATGATTCATTCAATGGTATGAAGACTGCTCGTGTGTGCACATCCCCAAACTCATCAACACTACAACATCATGCACATCAAGGCAGTAACCATGCATGCAATTATCAAATTCGCTTTGTCATGGAAGAAAACTTTACCAATTCAACACCTCCTAAAAAGCGTAATATTCTCACAAAGGATCAAATTATTCGAGTATTGCATTTATCACAAACACAAGCATGCAAGATTTTGGGATGCAGCATTTCTACCTTGAAAAGAAGATTTGGAGAGCTGAAACATGAATTGGGCATGGAAAAGTGGCCAAGTTATTTTGATGATGTTCGACATTTACCAATTTTCCCTCAACTGTATCCCATGTCTTTAAGTTTCATTTTGAATGAGGATAATATGAGTCCTTAAGTTTAAATGACTCATCTCAATTGAGCTCTATTTCAACATCACACGGAGTTATACACACATTGTATGATTCGTCTAGCTTAACAGTTATAATTAGTGTCATGTCCGTCAGTCATATCTATCACCAGAATATCAAAAATCAATTAATGGTTAATTATTGGAATGGAAATGATCATTACCACTAGAGATTACCAGTCCCTCTGGGAATTGGCTTGATCAAGCGAAGGTGCAAGGAAAATGATGTTTTGTAAACTGCTGTGCTATTGCTGGATTTTTTTCTCCGAGAATGCTTTTGATTGGTCGGAGAGACAAACATCATTTTCTAGAGGTAATTTGTAGTGAAAAACAACAAGCTATCGGAATGGATTCAAAAGGAACCTCATCGATTCAGGCACATGCGAATACAAAGTTCGTCCAAACAAGCCGTTATGCATTTTTTTAAAACATTTTTTTTTGAGAGAAATTTGAAAATTCTTCAAAAAATTGGCATCAATAATGGAAGCATCAATATCAACAAATTGTAATTGTAACAAGCCGGCTCAAGTAACCACAGTAAAGAAAGAGGGACCGAATCATGGCCGATTATTTGCTACTTGTGCAAGCCGAGAATGTAAATATTTTGAGTGGCTAGATGGAAAGAACAAGAATTTTGCTGCTCCCTCTTCTTCCTCATCATCAGCCGATAATTTGAATTTTGGATTGAATTCATCATCGGGAAAAACTTCAACATCATCTTTTAATTCTCGAAAGGATCGTTCTGAAATGATGATCGTTCCAAAATGCCAGCATCAGCAAGATGCCATGCTGTTAAGAGTGAAGAAGGTACGTAGCTTACACCCATCTTTCGCGCTGTATCTTCATTGTGGTGGTATTATGATCATCATTGTCTTATTTCGAATTCGAAATGGTGAAATTTCTTTCGGATTTGCTGATCGATTTCATGAACAGGAAGGTCCAAACCAAGGACGATTATTTTGGACATGTGCCAATCCACAGTCGGACAAGTGCTCCTTCTTTTCATGGTTTTCTGGAAAGGAGGAAGACTATGAGCACTTGATTGGCATGAAACCAAATAGTAGTAATGATCAAGCAAAAGTCACGAAGAATGAGGACGAGTCAGAAAAAAAGAGAAAGTTAGACACGAATGATCTGCATGCAGAAGAACAAGACAACAATGAACCAACATCGGAGGTTAATGATGTTGAACCACAACGCAAGAAGTTGAAAGAATCATCAGACCATAATAATGGAGGTACTGTCACTACTACTTCATCCTCAGATACAAACAACCCCTTAATTGAATATTTATTGGATTCGTCTTGGAAATCAAAGCTGGAAGACGAATTTTCAAAGTCCTATTTTAAAAAATTGGAAAAAACTGTCAACAAACACTACAAGGAAAAACCTAAACAAATATTTCCAAAGAAGGATGAGATTTTCTCTGCACTGAATGCTTGTTCTTATGACAATGTCAAGGTTGTCATACTGGGTCAAGATCCATATCCTCAATGGTATGCTCATGGTATGTCCTTCTCTGTGAAAAAGGGTATCTCAACACCCAAATCTCTCCAGAACATCTATTCCGAGTTGGAACATGACGAGAATTTAAAACCCAAGTTCACAAGACCTAACCATGGCTACTTGATGGGGTGGGCAAAACAGGGAGTGTTATTATTGAATGCGGTCTTGACCGTCGAGAGTGGAAAGTCCAACGAACACAAAGGCATTGGATGGGAACAATTCACTGACGCCATTATCAACAAGCTCAAAGAAAAGAAAAATATTGTTTACTTGTTGTGGGGGAAGGATGCACAAGAAAAGGGATCCAAGATTGATCGTAAGAATAATTTGGTCATTCAAACTTCCCATCCTTCTCCATTTTCTGCTGATAAGGGATTCCTTGGGTCGAAATGCTTCTCGAAATGCAATGAATATTTGGAAAATCATAGCGTCACACCAATCAATTGGAGTGATTTGTAAGACGATCACTGATAACAGTGAGGATTTCGAGTGAAATTGCACAAGAGTGCCCAAACAACGTGTTTGTATGTGGGTAATATCAAACTCTTCAATTTATTATTATTATTTATATATGTGGCGATTAAAATGCCATAAATGGTTTGGATAATGGGATTGTGACTATATATATATTTGATTTCATTAAAAAGACGCATTTACAATGATCGGCCTAACTGAAATCAAATATTATCCGTGGAATGAGAGATACTGTGCAATGCCAAAACCTCTCAACACTTCACTATTTAGCCGATAACAGATGTTGTATAATTTGCATGATTCAATTCAGTAACTTTTAGATTGAATTGGGAATTTTAGTTGAAAAGAGAAGGTAGTGACAAAGATATGTGGACACCATGAACTATTCAGAGATATCAAGTTTTCGAAATGTAAATTTTTATGCCAAATCTTGACGACCTGACATTCGCCAATGTGTCATTGATCGAAATTGTGCTTACCTATGTTTGATCAATAATCTCGTTTGTCCTCATCTCTCTTGTGAAATTCAACAAACGTCTCATTGATTTGGTTACTGAAATAATTGGTGATCCATGCGTTGAGAGATGGTGAAGCAAGTTTTTGATGGACATGGAATGTCTCTCACTGATGTCACATGTAAACTCTTACTTTTGCCGTATCAGTGTTAATCCAAAGGATAGCATCCATGAACTAATTTTTTAAATAAAACAACATGATCTCCCCACCTTCTGTTTTGTATAGTTCTTTTAGCTCGCACACAACTACACGCCCGATGACTCATCCTCCAAAATCATCCAATGTGCCAAATGTCAACCAGCCATATCAGTCCAAACAGTTTGTAATTCATCGAGTCTCCAAGCAACAACGCATGACCTTCAAACGACCCATTCCGCAAAAAAATTCTTTCACCTTTGTCCAAAATACCTATCAAGAAGGCATTGGTGTCACTTGCATCAATTTTCAACACAAAAATTCAGCCAAACACATCTCCAAATATGACTTGATCAAAGTGTTGCATCTCTCTCAACCCCAAGCTTGTAAAGTTCTCAATTGTTCCATGTCCACGTTGAAACGAAAGTTCTATCAAATGAAAAACGAATTGGGAATGGACAAGTGGCCTCAATATTTTCAAGAAGTGAGACATTTACCCATCTTTGAATACATGTATCCCATGTCGTTGAATTTCATCTTAAATCACGATGGTCATGAGGAAGGAGAGGAGGAGAACAATAATAAGATGGATCTTTCAAGCATCTCCTCGTCCTCCTTATCGAGAAGGAAAGTTCACTTTTCTGAACCTCAGAAAGAAAATGCATCATCCTTTTCAAATCTTCCAAATGCTCGCACATTCCAGACAGATAATCACTCTTCCTCATTCTCCAACCAGAATATCCATTAATTACATTAATAATAAATAAATATAAATTATTTAAATATATTTAATATTATTGTAAATTTCCACCGAGTTCCAAAAGAGTTCTTAAAAAAATGCCTCAACACATTTTGCCTCGTCGAGACTTGAAAGACAACTCTTTGGAAAGTGTCGTTTCTTATTATGAAGCCTCTCATCCTGTGGATCCACAGAAACCAAAACCACTCATGTGGAGATATCGTGAAGAGAAAGATGCAGTGGTGTGTTGCATTCCGATTGCACTTATTTTGGAATGTATGGATGATGATCATTGTGGTGATGAGTCTCGATATGTGTTGTGTGGAGATTTTTCTCAAATTCCAAGACATGAATATAGACCTTCTCACTTGTTGATTGGTATTCAAAGTCGCACTTATTTCATGGAAATGTCATTTGCATTATTGAAATTGGGAAAAAATGGTGCTTCTTTGGAAATGGAGGAGAACTCCAATTCTCGACTTTGTTTTCTCTATGACGACTCGAATAGGAGGAGTTTCCAATTGTCGGATGAATTTGATGGAATTTATATTGCTCATTACGACGAAAAACAAGTGACATTTCTAGCTAATTATGAATTTACATTGATGTTGAATGAGCAGGATGTGAGAAAAAGCAAACTTCATATGATAAGGGGTTTAAATTCTTTACCAATAGCATATTATCGTAGATGGGGTGAACGGTCATTGTTTCGTGACAATGAGGGGTCTTTTTATCGTGTTATGATCAGGCATCACTGGATTCAAGTTGATGGAATTAAGAGGTCAACTGAGCTCATACGAATTTCTACTCCAACACCCACTGGACCAGTGACCTTTCAACCAGTGACATGTTTTAATAACGAAGAGATTAAATTCGCTCTTCTTTTGCAAAAAAACATTTCTAGTCAACAGGAAGGTTGCAAAGAATTTTACGCAATCTTATCCTCCCAGAACTCAAAAAGAGAATTCAGCTCCATCCACAGGATTTATGTTCCACATAATGCACCTGCTTCACAACAAGTTGTCCACTTTACAAACTTTAAGAAATATTTTGTGAATGGAAAGAAGAATTTTAATTTGAAAATTATTTCTCATTGCAAATTAACTTCAAACAAGTATTTAATAATGGCTCATTGTAAGCCAAGACGAAACAACATCACAAACGTAATGAGCTCATTTCAACAATTCTTTATGGACCGAGTCATGTGGATTTTAATCGATCTTCACACAAAGCACATCAAAGAAGTGTATCCAAGAGTGGATAAGTTGAAACAAAAACAACAACAACCAATCACTGATGATTTCACAACTGTGCCAAAACGAAAGAGAGGAGGAAAGTTTTGCATCTCTGTACAGTCCGAATTTGAAGATGGAGATTTAAATGGAGGCTATTCAAATGTCACTTTGTTAAAACACTTGAAAGAAGTGAACAATACTAATGCTTTCGTAAATGACAACACAATCAAGCAAGAGGAAGAAACAGAGGAATCAAATCAATATTTAATACCACCAAATGTTAAATTGAAAGATGAAGTCATTTTGAAAGCGTTCAGACCATTCTCAACAAATCCAGACATCTTTCAAGTCATGGTCTTTTTTGCTGTGGACAAAACATTCGCCAATCAGTGTGGAAAAATGTTTCGATTTTTCTTTAAATTTAAGGATGAATGCAAAAGTACTCTCGATCAATTTTGTACACATCGATTTGCTGATATTTCGTTTAAATTCTTATAATTCACCTACTCTTGAGTGAACCATCTCACTCCAGCTAAGGTATGGATCCGTGTTGTGGAAATGATGGACGAATGTGGTTCATAAAAAATTGAATCTTGCCAGATCGAGATTGAATCTTCTAAAGTTTATATAAAAATACAATCATTCATGTCGATCGACCATTTCAATCACATGTGACATCATGAAATATTAGATCTTGGAATCTCTGTGTATCACCACTCCTCACTGCTCTTGTGGAATGCTTGGTAACATTCTGAACGAGTTCAAATAATTCTTTCCAAACGATTGAATCAGATGTGAATACGACTTTTCCATCTCCTTTTGAAATGCCTTACTTTCTTCAAAGGGATTATCAATGATGGAGAGTCGAGGTTTGTTGTCAATGTCAATATTTTGTAAAGTCTCTTGTTGTTGCTGTGAAGATTGTTTCAAAGATGATTGCTGACTAGAAGTGTTCACACCTTCACGCACCTCATTCTGATATTCATTAAATAATTCATATTCTTGAATGAGTCTGTCACGAAGTTTGTCTTCTCGTGTCAAAGTCGAAGCCAATGTAAATTCATCCTCTGTGAAAACATTAAGAGAAGAATAGATGGAATAAATTTCAAATAAATCAGTCCAATCATCTCGTTCTTCTTTTGTTTTCACCAATCCTACAAGAATTAAAGGTTCCATCACATACAAGTAATCTCCTTGTTCGACTCGAATTTCAAATAAATAATATTGATTTTTGTAGTATCGAACTTTTCTTTTTTGTTGTTTCAAAATCACTGTATCAAAGCTTCTTTCGGTTGGAATGATACTATATGTGACATTTTGATTCCATGAAAAGGTATGTTTCACAGGAGAGTCTTTGGTGGATTTTTCAAAAATGGTCACCACTTCATTTTTACACGACATGAAACGTTCGACAAAAATGTCATTCGATTGAAATTCCTCAACTCCTAAATCTCCACTTGAACTCAACGCATGATAGGAACTGCCACTTTCACCACTCACATTATTTCCCTGTCCAGAATTGAACGGAGATGACAAATACGACAAGGAGGAACTCTTTTTAGAACCTATTTGTGGCTTAATTTCCTTTTTAAAAAAATACACACATCCTTCCTTTTCGAATAAATGTTGAGCGGCAACCGTTTGTGACTTGTCTTGAAACCATTGATTGAAATTAGATTTTTGACGAGATTCTAAATCCATTTGATAAGTTCGTTGTTGTTGAGTATTACTGTTTCCGGAAGTTGCAGAGGAGGAATTTTGTGACGATTTGTGAAGTGGAGATGACGACGAAGATGGTATGGAAGAATTATTTTCGAGAGCTTCGATGGCAGAATCTTTAAAAAATTCATCGGTTTCAGCTCCCGAATTGAATAATCGAATTGTTTTTGATCGATTCGAAGAGGATGTTCCAGTCGGAGAATGGTTGGTTTTCGCATCTGTCGAAAGATTAATTCCAAAAATTTTTGAAATAAAAGTTGTGAGTTTTCGTGATTTTCCTAAATTTGATCTTTTTGAGGAATGATGGTCTTGATCACTATTGTTGTTGAAAGAATCGTCAAATAATGGAGAAGAGGTTGAAGTGACAGGAGAGGAAGAACTTGAATTTGTGCCTTCACCACCACTACTGCTGCCACTTGTCATCATGACATGTTGATGAAGAAATACTTCTTCCCATGCGGAAAATTCAGACATGACACTATGATCTGAAGAATGACTTTCTTGCAAAGAAGACGACGACGATCCCACTCCAGTTGGATAATTCCCAAATACTGAAGAACCATGATGATGTGAAACGGTCGTTGTGTTGGAATTTTCCGAGTGTGAAGTTGTTGTTGAAGATTGACATGTCAATAAATGATTGGACAAGGCATGTGAATGTTGTGGTAAAAGTAATGGAGAAATTAATAGAGAGGCCTTGAGAAGTGTTTTTTTACGTTTTCCACCACTCGAGTTGTTTGAATTTTCAACGCTGTTGTTGTTGTTCGTTGTTTGACACGATGATTTTTCTTGGAGGATGGAATTGACACGTGACAGACTTGGGGTGGCAGGAGGTGAATTTCTTGTAAAACTACTCGAAGGAGATCGATTCAATGGGATAGGAGAAGAGACTCTGAGAGTGATTGAAATTGAATCCGAAGAGGAGGATGAATCATGATTCTCCGATGAGGGAGTCGGAGGTGTGAACATTTTTTTTGTGGTTGGCATTTGACAAGGTCACTCCAAATGACAATTGACGAATACACAAGTCAGTCAGTCAAACTGAAAATACAAGACTGACTCATCATTGATAGTGGTTCAATGAGGAGCCACACAAACTTTCTTTTTAAATATTATTATTAATAAATAATATTTAAATCTTTAAATTTCATTGAAATTTTGTAAATTCTTGCACGTGGCACAGTTCCACCAAAAATAACCAACCGAAAAAAACGAAAAAAAATGATCACTCATTTCTTTATTCTTTCATCGAGAGGAGACAAAATTATTGCGAGAAATTGTAGGTGGTTCATTCTTGTTGTTGAGATTTGTGTTTTAATATATTTAATGTTATGAATTGGTTGGTTTTGATTGGTTGGATGGGATCCGATGATTGATGAAAATTTAAAATTGATGATGATTTGGAATTTCGAATGATGAACACGTTGTCGTATGATATGTTTATTATGGAATGTTTGGAATGTGATGGTATAAAATTTAATGGATGATGATGGTGAACGATCCATCAATCAAATGCCAACTTGCTTCATCATGATTGTGGCATGGGATGGTTCTATTTTTTTATTATATACTGTATATCTATAATATTGTTTGAAACATCACAATCACATCAATCTTTATTCATTCACAAACAGATCGTTACGACATTTTCGATGAAGTCGAAGATTTATTCTTTCGCAATGTGAGAAATGAAAACACACCCAATTTTGGAAAACCAATTTTCAACCAACAAGGAATTAATTTTTTCCATGTCCGTAAATCTGGTCTCTATATTGTTTGTACGAGTAGAGAAAACGTTTCACCAATTACAATTTTTGAATTATTGGAACGAGCGTGCATTTTAATTCGAGATTTTACAGGTCAATTGAGTGAAGATTCAATTAGAAAGAATTTTGTTTTGGTCTATGAATTGTTAGATGAATTATTTGATTGGGGAAAGGTTCAAACCACTCAAACAAATATTTTGACTTATTGTGTGTATAATGAACCTATTGAGACAGTGGATGTACCAAATACGAATGGATTGTTGAATATTGCATTTACGGATCCAAAGACTGTGAAATCTACTGCGAGTAAGTAGTTGTTGTTGTGAGATGTGTCTTGGCTGGTTGACAATATGTTCTTGACCAATCGAATTCATGTTGTGTTAATTTATCCGAATGTATTGTTGATGATGGTATTATTATTGTTGATAATGATGATTGAAATGATCATATTGTTGATCACATGATGACATCATCTTTAGCCTGCCTTCCCATCACAAAGAAGAATGATCAAATTTTTGTTGACGTTTTAGAACGTGTGAATTGTGAAATGAACAGCAATGGTGAATTACTTCGATCTGAAATTATTGGATCTCTCGTAGTGAAAAGTTACTTGATGGGAACTCCTCTCATTAGAATTGCTCTCAATCAAGATTTGGCCATTGGTGTTGAGAATAGTACTTATTCTGCCATTCGAGTGGATGCGATCAACTTTAATGAAATTATTAATAGAGATGAATTTGAACATGGACGTCAATTGTCATTTTATCCACAAGATGGTGAATTGACGCTCTTGTCTTATCGTGTGACCAATAATTTTAATGTTGTCATGCCATTCCGTATCACGCCAAGTGTCACAAAAACTGGAGATTACAAAATTGAAGCAGCCATTCGAGTTCGATCTGATTTTCCAAATTCCACATCTGCTACTGGTGTTTTCATTCGTATTCCAGTTCCAAAGAATACTGTCAGTTGTGGCATTAGTGTTGGTAATGACAAGGACTCTCAACAAACTTACGAATACAAGGAGAAAGATAAGGTCGTTGTTTGGGGCCTCAAGAAATTCCCAGGTGCCACTGAACAATTAATTAGATTGAAGATTAACATTTCTGAACCATGTAAAATTGATGAAAGGAAACTTGTTGGACCTGTCACTATGAAATTTGAAATTCCCATGCACAACATGAGTGGTCTTCAATTGAGATATTTGAAAATTGGATCTGACTCTTTGAACGATGATAAAAAACCAAAACAAAAGAGATGGGTTCGTTATGTGACTCAAGCTGGATCTTACAGTGGAAGAGTGGCCATGTAATTTTTCAACTTATTAAATTATTGAAGTGTCAAATAATGTCACCAAATATTTTCAAACGTGTGGACGATATCGTTTTGATTGCAATCTTTATCCATTAATTCTATTGCGATTTTTGGAATGAAGTTAATTTACTTGGCAAGCATTAGAGAAGGTTTTCAATGATGTAATGGTATTAAGCCTTCAAGTTTGGTCATGATCATCCGTTGAAAAGAAAAATGTAGTTACAAGTTGATTAGTTATGCATTTCAGGAAAGGATTCAAAGCCACCTTATTGATAGCAAGGTGAAATAAAATTCACTAAATTCATAATCTTTACATAATGAATATATACAATTGGAAATATGTGAAAGGACTTTAATCATCATATCCATTCATTCCTTTTTGTTTCGAAATACTGAACGATGATTTGTTCGTGACGACATCGGAGGCTTTGTCTGTCCATCCTCTCGTTTTGAATGATTATTATTCTGATTATTTCTTCCATTATTATTATTATTATTATTATTATTACGTCTCTTCATAAACGCTTTTACTAAATTTCTCTGAATTGTCAATTGTTCGGTTTGCTCATTGAGATCATCCTTGTCGCCGTTTGTTCCGGAAGCATCTCCCATGGCTCCTCTTCGTTTTCTTCGATTATTCAGAGATAATTCTAAAAGATCAATTCGTCTGTTTTTTGCTTCAATGTCGGATTCGAGTTGATGTATGTAGAGAAGCATGTGATGAAATCGTTGTTGGAGAATGGAATTTTCAGAGTTGACGGAATCATCCCATCGCTCGAATTTGAGATTGGACATGGGATTACATTCGAGAGCAGCAAGTTTTTGTTTGAGAGTTTCGCATTCGATTTCTTTTAACATGAGTCGGATTTGGAGAGGAGAGGAGAGATCGAGTGATGACATTTTTTTTGTGACAAGTGAAAGCTGAGGCTTGACGACGCACCGCTATTTACAATTTATTAATCTGAGAATCATATCTCTACAATTCAATTTTGTGTTGTCGTTGGTATATATGTAGTTGGTTGTTGTGGTTGTTCCTGAAGTTCAACATCTCCATTATTGTTGTTGAGAGCGTTCTCTGATGGAATGCGTTGTTGAATAAGGTTCACAACAAAGGTAGGATCAACAGTATGCTCAAAGATAATACCAGTGCTTTCATTGTCAAGAGTGAGACGAATCTTGTTACCTTCTGGTACCCAAACACTTTTAATCTTCTCAAAAGTGACCGATTTCAAAGTCAAACATAATCCAAGTGGCAACTCATCCACTCTAATCACACGCTTATCTGTAATGTAGTAGTGAACCTTTCTCATTCTGAACAAAATCTTTGATATTATGTATCCAATAGCAACAAGGCTCAATTGCAATAACATGAGTCCCTTACTGACAGAGTTGTGAGCAAAGTGAATGGCTGAGAGTGCTATGCTGCCACCAATGGCAAGAACGAACAAGACACCAAGCAAAATCTTGATTACCTTTCTAATTCTCTTTCCATTGCTAGAAGACTGTCCATGGAAATGAGAGCACAAATTCTTGTTGGAAACCTTCTCATAGAAGAGTAACGTTTCTTGTGGGGATGTGGCAGTATGTCTAAGGGCACCATACAACATCTTCATTCTCTTAGCCAAGCAGCTCTCCTTACGACGTGGAAGTTCCATTTGCAAAGTCGAACATGAGAGAAGGGTGTGGTCCTTTGGTTCTTTTGGATCTTGAATAATGACACAGGATTGAGAGACCTCATCCAACTTGTAGACTTCACCAGATTCCTTGAATGGGTTCTTAAGGTATTGCTTGAAGAATCTGTCAACGGAGCATCTTGTTCTTCCTTCCAAACGTTTGTATCCAACGTAAATAAAGACTGCAATGGCAATCAATGAAATGATCAGCCATATAACCACCATGTATCGGAGTCTCTTTTTGAATGATCTCTTCACTTCTTGTACAGTCTTAACCATTTCAAATCTCTCATTGCCATAACAGTCATCATTGTGGTTACCATCGGGACGTTTCTCTTGTTCCTTAGGATGATCGTGTTCTTGCTTGGAGAGAATTTGAGCGAGTGGAATTTCACGTGTCATTCGGTGAGGACCGTGATGGTGACCAGAAGGAGCACGCAATTCTCGAGTCATCATGCCATGGTGACGATGGTTGTGGTGACGGTGATGCATCATTTGTGGTCTGGCACCTTTATGATTGCCAGGAGCCTTATTCTCACTGCCATGACGATTTCCATGATAATAGGTACCCATACGACCAGAACGATGTGCCAATCTTCTATTTACCATGCAAGTTAAGCTTCCCTTAGCGATCAAACGATCTCTACAGTCGCTTGTCTTTTGTGAGAGTGAGCTTGCACATACCTCTCTCAAGGTGTACATCTTTCGAACAGGTGCTGTTGCCCCATTGGTTGGTTTTGGTGAAGAGGATTGTTGTTGATTGACATTGTTTGGATGTTTATCACCAGCACCGCATGAGTTACATGATCCCATGTAATACTTTCCGTTTCTGGCAAGGTCAACATTCAAGTTTATATAATACATGTCACGATCGTAATCGAAATGAACCACCAAATTGTCTGGGTCTTTGATAATGACACATTGATCCTTCTTGTAAGCCCTTTTCTTGTCAATACTATTTCCAACAGTGCTTAAGAAGATAAATGTCAATATGAATAACAATACTCCTAACACAGCCACAGCTCTTGGAATGCATGAAACCGATTTGGTTTGGAGAGAACGATTGAAGTCATTACGTTTCCAAAAGAAGCACCCACAACCACCTCTTGTAGGTTGGTTTCTGGTGCCAGTTGTTGTTGTTGAGGTTGCTGTTGTTGGAACTTGTTCTTCTTGTGATGGTTGTTGCACTTGATGAAGAAGAGGAATCGTACCAGTCATTGGAACGACGTTATTTGCAGGTTGATGATCATCGACTTGAGGGATGGTTGTCATGGGAACGCTGCGGGATTGCTGTTCCACCACCTGCACTGCTGCTGCTGATATTGGACCACTCGTATAATAATAGGGATGAGGATAGCCCAAGGATGGGTACATGCCATTATTGTTGTTGTTGTTGTTGTTGTATGGTGATGATGATTGTTGGGAAAAGAACACGGGGTGCGGATATAGAGATCCCATATGGGAGGATGATGAGCCTCCTTGGGGAGGTGTTGATGATTCCATATTGTGTTCTTCTTTTCAAACACTACGATCGCTCACTTGTACAGGAATGAAAGAGTGGTTGGAGTTGTGGTGGTGGTGATTGCTTTTTCTTCAAGAAGGATTTCAAGACTTTCTTCTAAGAATCGAAAGGACAAAACGGCGCTTTAAAGAGATTGAAAAAATAGTGAAACAAAATGCGCAGCGGACGTTTTTTCTTTCTTTCTGTTTTCGAATTGGAACTGACGACAGTTTGTGAGGTGTTGAATTCCGCTTCTCTCCTTTGAAATTCAAAGTTGAAAGGTTTGTGGTTCCTTATTGTGTGTGTATTCTTTTGTTGATAGATTTTAAGGATAGAGAGGACAGGTGTTCATTTGAAATGTTTTAAAGTGGAATCTGTGACATTCATTTCTTGTTTGTTCAGTGAAAGAAATGTTCTTTAGGATGAACTCATTGGTGAATTGAACTCGAGTTTAATTCGTCGTATTGATCACGATTACATTGTTCTTCGTGTCCACATGCTCATTCACCTCCATGGAATTCTACAATAGTTTCTGAATTGACAATCGTTGTGACATCTGCTACTACAATAAGAGTCTCTCCTCATTTATTATTAAGGTTGGATTTTACGAATGCACTTCTATTCACCGAGGACTGTACAGAAAGAGGTGACGTTCGTTGTTGGGGAGTTCCTCCCGAGTTAGACATTGCTGAATTTCCTCCTGCGCTGAGCAAGCTAAGATTCAATGAAGTCACTTGTGGCGGTGTGGATGATGACATCTTACTCAAATTATTCCCTGAACCACTTTTGTTTGTTGTTGTCACTGCTTTTGATGTTGCGGTCATTGAGTTGTTCTTATTGGGTTGTGTTTGTTGCTGCATTTGAAGGTTGGCAGGCTTACTCGATTGAATATTCAATGCAGAGGATCCCATTCGAGAGGCATGCATGGATGATGATGACGACGACACAGGCAGTGACGATGATAATCTTTGACCTTGTTGAAGTGGTGGTTGTGCCATTCGCATGGGTGACGAAGTTGTTGAGGGAGATCCAGAGAGTGTGAGCGATTTGGTAGGAGTGCTCTTCATGGAAATGGATGAAGTTCCAGAGGTGGTTGTTGTTTTGATTTCATTGTCTTTCAAGATGGTTTTGGCAGTTTCAGAAATTAATATTTGAGGATCCTTCTTGTTGCCACTCAACTGATTCTTTCTACATTTTCCTTTGGCGAGAGCTGCAATTTCAATACCTCTCTGTTCACTGGAGAGAATCTTATTCAAGACAATGAGAGGATCAGCTCCTGTACCAATGTAAACATTCGACCCCATATTGCTATAAATGTTGTTATTTACAATATTTCCCAATCCACCCTCTATAATTCGAATGCCTTCTTGATGACCGTCATGAATTTGATTATTTTCAATGACTGGATTTCCTCCTCTCTCGATCAAGATATTTGCCTCCAAATTTCCAAAAATGTCATTCTCAGAGATGGTTCCATGAGAATCCGAATGAATGTGAATTCCTGATTGAAGTGAGTCACGAATTGTGTTGCCAGTAATGGTTGGATCTGCCTTATCACAAATCTCCAATGTCACTCCCTTAAATGTGCATTGTTCAATGGTGCAGTCACACTTGGATCCTCGCAACACGACCACTCCAAGCGGATGTTTTGAAGAAACTCTTGTATGTGCCCCAGGCTGTTGAGGTTTGTATTCCGAGTTGTAAACAATGATATTTCTAATTTTCGAATATCTCACATTATCGAAAATGATCACTTCAGTCACTTCCTTTGGTTTGTACAGAATGACATGTGACTTTCCTTCAGACATTCCTTTTAACACAACACTTCTGTCAATAATGACTTGTTCTCGATAAATTCCTGGCTTAATCTTAATGATTGGTGTTGTCAGCGGTCTTGTAGGTTTAATAATTTTCCTGCCATCTGAAGGTCGAATGGTGAATGGTAAGTTAAATTTTTGCATCAAGAGACGTTGCTCTGAAAAGTCATCCGAATGCACAGGATTATTCGTTCCCAAAATGACACCGCCACCACTTGTGTTTCGTCCATCGTCATCGCTTGAAGGAGGCGATGAATTATTATTATCTTCTCCCTCTAAATTCTTATTCGCGGTGCTATTATGCCAGAAACTTGTTGTCTTTTTGAGAGAGGAAGTGTTACCCCCTAATGAGAAACTTGTCATGTTTGCAGCAGAATACGTTTTTGTAAGAGAGTTTTGAGAGGATGGAATTGGGCGCTTTGGTTTGAGAGTTGTAATATCAGGAGGAATAGCATTAATGGCTTTTTGAATGGAGTCATAATCTCCGCTTCCGTTCACATCGACCGTCAATTTTAAAGAATTATTAAGTGGAATGCTTCGTAAATCGTTGAGAATGTCAGCAAAAGTGGGTCGTTCGTCAGGATCCTGAAGGCAACAAATGGAAACAAGTTTGATGAAACATTCGAGAATGGGGGAAGATTTTGCCAACTCGTCTTGCTTGTCAATCTTGGGTCTCATTCCACTAATGACTTGGGAGGCCACAGCAAAGGGGTTAGAAACATCGTGAAATGGAATTAAATGGGTGACCAATTCGTAAATGACCATTCCAAAACTGTAGACATCGGCTTTTTCACCTGACGAGGCAGCCGATGAAAACATTTCAGGGGCCATCCATCCAGAAGTTCCTATGTCACAGTGAAATTGAAATGGAGTCATCAGATTATATTATTATATTATTGGATACAAAGGTGGTGACAATATGTAATCATATTAGTTCATTCAATTTTGTCGTTTCGAATGCTTTCAACAATTAAAAGAAATGACATACCTTTCATTCCAGAAACGCCTGAATTTCGATTTCTCATGGTTGAAAATCCAAAATCTGAAATTTTTGATGTTAAATTTTTGTCGAGTAAAACATTGTGCGATTTTAAATCTCGGTGAATGATGGGTTTTGGCCTCGAATGAAGATGATGCATGCCTTCAGCAATGTCAATAGCAATTTGAAGTTTCATCTCATTACTCAGTATAGGTTGTCTCTGCAAAAACTTTTGATATCGATCTGCCTCTTCATGATCGTCCTTTAGTCCAGCTCCGTGTAGCAGTGGTTTCTTTTGAGAGGTAGTTGTTGTTTTTTGTTTTGACTCAAATTTTGATTGTTTGCTGAGAAAGCTTTCACTGCTCGCTGACTCATCCTCCATGGGTGCTAATTGTGATAAATTTTGTTTTTGAGCTTTCATTAAAGGTTCATAATCATATTCTGGAAGAGTCGTCTCCAAGATTTTGTGAAGTGAAAAAGGCATAAATTCCATCACTAAATAAACACAATTTGGATCTGTGCTCCATCCATATAAATTCAAAATATTGGAATGTTGAACTCGAAGCATGACTGCAATTTCATTGAGAGTCTCTCGCCATAATTCATCATCTTCGGAAGCAATGCTTGCAAGACCGATTCGACTTCGTGGTGTACGAGCATTCTCGGGAATGAAGAGTTGTTTGATGGCACATACTTCTCCTTCGTAGGTTCCTTTGCTATTTGTGTTTTTTTTTTGTTTTTGAAGAATAAAAAGGATGTGAAACATTGTTGTTAAAAACAAATGTTGGGAATATTTGAAAGAAAAGGTTGAAGCAATCCGAGGTGTATGACAATGTTAATAATAATTGTGTAAATAAATTATTTTGTTTTTCAATACAGCGAAAATGTCAGATGCCAAATGTCAGCCATCATCAAAAATAATAGTGTGCTTACCTGACAAAGCCTAAGATAGCCCGAGCAACAACACAACAACACCATGATGCGTCATCATGAGAAGATTGTTAATGGTATGTTTCAAAATAATCCTCTTCTTCAAACGGAACACTTACCAAATCCGCCCTTTCCTATCGTCTCTCCAAACTCCAAAGCCTCTTTATCAATTTTAAATTCTTGAATTTCATCCTCCAACTCTCCGATAGATAAGGACATGATTGTTGAATCTGTGCTTTGTTATTACGATGATTATTTCAAGAATTTAGTGTTTCAAAGAGATTCAATTGATGACAACAACAATTCAGAGAGTATGAAGTGTTGTCAAAATGAGAATTCAAAATTGTGAACGGTTGATGTTGTTGGAAAATTGTTGTTGTTTGATGTGATGATAGATCGGTCCTAGACTATAACAATGGTCGGATGAACAGTGTGTCTGTGGTTGATTGTTGTGAGTGACGATACGCCGAGAGTTGGTGTTGTTATTTTTTTGGTGACACGAGCAAGAGATGTTCTCTCCTGATTGGGAAGGTAGGTTATGTGTTTCCTTATCTTCTGCTCCTCGAGAATAGGGAACTGCAAATCATCTTGCAAAAAAGCATTTTCGATTTTGCAAAATGACAGACACTAGAGTGTTGAACTTAACGATCATAAAAATAATTTAGTGGTGAAGTTGTCGTTGATGAACAAGCTGAGTTTCCTAGTAGTAGTAGCATTTAGTAGTCAACATGGTGGTTCAATCTTATCGTTGTTGTCTTTTTCTAGTGGAGTTTCCATCGGATTTACTTCCATGCTTGCTTAATCCAGTCATGAGAGTTGGTTTGTAGTTGAAAATGATCATGTACTTGCTCTTTCCAAATATTTTCACGTAAATTCTCCAAAGTTTGTTATGTGTTGAGAGTTGTTTTTCCGAGTAATTGCAAGGCACCTTAAGAACAACACAGCATACTCCAAAATAGAGCATGTGTTCAATCATTTCATTGGCATTTCTTGAGATGGTTTCGGTTTCAATTCTCAAATCTTTAAGAACCACAGATGGATCGAACTCTTTGCATGAAGGTGTCAAATCTAGCATCACAACAGAGGACCGAACGTCGTTTTTAGGGTCGAATAACCAAGCAAAAAAGTTCACATTTTCTACTGTTGATTTAAAGGCACTTGTTGTTGTGAAGATATTACGTTTCAGTAAGTGCTTGGTGAATGTGTTGACATTGTGTTTGGTCCATTCGAAATGTTCTGGGTTGGGTTCAAATAATAAAACTTCAAAGTTGGTCCTATTGATTGATTGAGCGTAGTAATGTATAATTCCAACAAGATATGTACCCAAAGACCTCGTATTATCCAGAAATCGATTTGGAAAAACGCCACTATGCATCCTAATTACTCCACCAATGAATGAGACAATTTCAATGGATTCATCAAAGGTCAAAATTTGAGATCTATTCAAGGACACATTACCAAGTTGTAACTCTTGAAGTATTGAATCTGGAAAGAGAGAAACATTTCTACTTTCTCTTGAAACTCCCTCTTGTGCTAAGTGAGAATAGTCGATGGATAAAGATTTGTCGAAAAACTCATTTCTGTGCGACGATTCATCTCGTAATTTTTTGATTGAGGTATCCAAAACTCTTCTCATATTATTCCTGATAATAGTTAATTCGTTGATTTTTTGTAAATAGAGTGTAGATGTGTTGTGGCCTTTTTCTGCAGCTCTCAATAGTTCTGCCTCAATGTCTTCGAGTCGAAAACCTTCTTGTGACTCATCAAACAATGGTTGTGGCATGTACAGTGCACTAGTATCGACACTACCACCACTATTGATGGAAGTATTACTGAATAAATTGAATAAGGATGCTACTCCTGGCGCTTGTTCGTCCATGTGTGACGACAAAGCACCAGCTTGTTGCTGGGAGGACTCCATGTTTTCCGATGTTGTTGCAGAATTTTCCTCCTCTAGGGATGGAATTGGCATGAATATTATTTCTTTGCACAACTCCATCGCTTGCATGCAATCACTAAACACATTTGATGAATTTAAGCTGGTATTCAATTTTTCATTCATCCTTCGAACAATTTCCTCAACTTCGTCCTCATCATCTTCAGCATTTCCGTCCTCATCAAATTCACTCTGGTGATGATGGTAATCCTGATGAGAATTGTTTTCATTAGGTTGCGTAAGTGAATGCATCTGAATTCGTTCTCGAGGAATGGGCATCTTTGTCATAATTGAAGAGGACGTTGTTGTCATTTCGGAATTTCCTTGATCCGACGGAGAAGTAAGAGGATGATCGTCTTCAGCAGTTTCATCTTCGTTGTCTTCCTCTTCTTCAACCCAAACCTCATTGCTACCAATGAAAAAGGTCTCTTCTTCATCATCCTTCTCTCGGAAACCTCCAAAACCATTCTCCCTCGTTGTTTTTGGTGATTTTTCAATATTTTCATTGGTGATGATTCCTTCTCTATCTACCTGATAATGATGGTCATCTAGGCTTGATATCAACGGCCGTTTAGGACCATTTGTTGTGGTGGTGGAAGACGATGATGATGGTAACATTTTTTGTATTTTACCAACAGCTAAAAAAAATGTATTCCCAAAGCACCTCCTCTCAATTACCACTTTCATCTTCATCATCCTCAGCCACACCATCAAATCTTCTCCAATCATTATTATGTATGAATAGTAATAGTGTTCACCACAGTAATTATTCCAGCAGCAGTAATGCGAGCAATAACCATTCCCAAAATGATTTAGATCAAAATAATAATTTTCAATCATCCCTTTCGGGATTTGGTTTGATGGGATTTTCTCATGCTCAACAACCACAACAACAACAATTTATGATGTGGCCAAATTTTCACGGATACACTAATAATGCGTACCTTCCATCTACATTTTCACAATCTTCCAATACCGAATTTCCATCTTCTTCATGGAATCAAGATTCATCACATTATTTCCATCATGCGGGATATGATTCCACCTCCTCACAACAACAAATTGCACCATCAAGTGGATCAAACATTCCTCCTCCATGGATGATGATGAATGATTGGGGAGGTGGATCTGTCTATAACGATCAAGCATTTGCAATGTTTTCCGAGGATACTATTCTAAGCTCTTTGTCAATCCCATCCTCTTCTACCATCTCTGAAGATAGCCATTCCACCAAACATCATGACGACAAATCATCAATATTAAATTCTCTCCTCACAAGTACATCCACAGTAAGCAGTGCCAATACACTAACATCGTCGTCTCCGAGTATTAGTAGCAACAGTAATGGAAATTACAATACTGTCATCACTTCTAGTAATCAAGCTCCGTGTCCTGAAAAATCAACCCGAAATGACATTAGAAAACTTCACATTCAACTGAGAGCCTCATTGCGGTTGTTAGAAATGGAGAAGCAGAAAATTTCCAAACTTAATTCAAAAGACACACACTATATTGTGGCTGATCAAACATTGGAGGAAACAATTGCTCATGTTAAAAAACTTCTCAACATTGTAAATAAGAAGCAAACTAAAGAAGAAAAAGAATGTACAAAATTGATGAACAAACAACTCAATCACACCGACTCTTCAGAACAATCCAATACTTTGGAAAATTATTACAATATGAGAAAATTCTCTGAAAATATTTATGGCTTCTTTCCCAAGCATTTAGTTAGTAAGGTGAGATATGACTCTGAGTTGGCTCTCTCGTACTTGACACCATTCAATGACGCCTTTGAAATTGCTTCAATCATGAATGAGATGATCAAGCAACAGTCAGGATTTTATCCCAACCACATCATAGATGGCACTGGTGGTTTAGGAGGAAATGTAAGTTTTTATTTCGGTTGGTGTATACAAATGTATATCTTGGGTGTTGGCTATTTTCTCTATGCTTTAAATATCATCACCTGAAATTTACAATAATCATTTATTTTTGAAACTCACACATGTACAACTAAACATTTGCCACAGGTTATTGGTTTTTTGCGGTATTTTTGGTCGAAGAGGTTGCACCGAAAAACTGTGAGCATGATTGAGCTCGACGAGAGACGATGTAAAGATGCTCAGTACAATATTAATTTATTTGAAAACGAAGAAAAGAAGTACGATAAAGATTGTGTGACATGTCATGTGGAGTGTGGCAACTTTATTGATTGGTGGAACAAAGAAAAACCTAAAATGTCCGAAAACAAGCGCAGTGAAACACTCATTTTCTTTGACCCTCCATGGGGCAATGCTGATTACTCACTACATGAATTTATCGATGACTTGTACATGATTCAGGAAAATTTATCGCCTGTTAGCGTCAAGGCCTTTTCACAACAATTACTATTGGAGGACGGAGTTCAATGTGTAGTGTTGAAGGTACCTTACAACTTTTCAGAATATAGTCTATCAGAGACTCTAAATGTGGAGTATATTTTAATGAAAAAGGTGAAATATGTGCTATTATTCCCATATCATCAAAGTTCACTTACCAGACTGTAAAGAGAAAGAGCCCTTTATATTAGAGGGTCATTCCCACAATTTGCCTTGCCTTCATTTATATTCCAAAGATAGATTATTAAATATGTGCTATTATTTAGAAAAGAGAAAGTAACGATGCTAAGGTCATTACCTTTTGTGAAATGAATCTCTTTCACACCCCTCGATATCTTTGACATTAACAGAAAGTGAAAATTGCAATGTTGTTTGTTAACTTAATTTATTTAAATTCTAGGTCAAATCAACAAAATACTAATCCTGAACTGTCAAACTTTGAATTCAAGTCAAAACAGTTCTTCCCACCGAAGTTTCCTCCAATTTCGTTCCAATTTGGGGAGAGATCGAAACAAACAACAAAAAATTTCAAGAACAACTTTGGAGACATTAATGTTCGGATAAATTCAAATTTTAAATCAATTAATTGAGAAGGACAATTTAAAATTCAATCGTGAGAACAATTTTCAAATTGATGCCTAACGAATTTGGTCAAAATGATCACCTTATCATCCACAACATCATCCCGATATAAAGGAGGAATTTATTCTCCATCATTCTCCATGCGACGACACAATGATCATGGAACGGTTCCACTCTCTTTCTCTTCCCAGTTATTATTATTATTATCAGTTAGTTTGATAATAATACTGCTGTTATTACTCAACCCACACACAACAACAATATGCCTGGCCGAGTACTCTCTACTCTCTGTAGATTCCTTGCTCAGTTTGTCCTCTTCCGACTGTTCCGTACAAGTCTTGGAGAAATTTACCTTCTCCTTTTCAACACCTTATTCTGTACTCTCTCGTGCATTGCCATCTTCTGAAAGTTTACCCTATGCACTTCAGTTGGATCAATCAGCGGACATTTTCATTGAGAGTCCTGATGTAACATTGTATTCTCAAACACTACTCATCTCTAGCGATGGAAAAACAATTGTATTCCGAGTGAGGTAAGTTTAGGATTGCCAATATTGAAATTGGGAATAATGTAATAATGGATTGGTGTGTGTGATGTATTGGACTTCCCTTCACAACGATCATCGATGGTATGACCATGGGATTCTTCTGGAACGCCTGTTTGGAATTTTGTGTCTCCTAACAACAACTAGTTTTGCGGACCCAAAAGAACTTGTTCAAAAACCTCAAGTATCCATTGTGTATGGCTATCGATTGAAGCGAGGACCTGTCGATGTTCAAAATTATATGGCACAAGTGAAGTGGCATACTCTCTTTGTGTCGCCTGTTTCGAGAGTTTCCTTCGTGTTTGCCTTTGAGGAAGGTCTCTATGAATCTATTCAACCCACCGAAAATGTAGATACTTTTCACAAATATTCGAATTGGATGGAAGGAGTCAAATATACCATTCTGAATTTCAATTCGACGCAACTTGCTCCAAACACAGATTTTAAGGCTGGATTTAATGCCACAAACACCAAATTTGCAAAATGTGTGTTTCCTCCCACGACAGCACCTTACATGATCGATGCCATGTTCGTATTCTTGTTTATACTATTACCAGTGAGTGTGTTTATTTTGCTTTCAGCTATCATGTGTGTATTGGGGCATATTTACAAGCGATGGTCACGACATCGAATGGCCGTGCATAATGCCGTTGCTCAGGCAAACAACGACGCGAGTGACGACCTTGTACGAAGACATCCAATTTCACCTTCTCTCCCTCCTGCCACCAGTCACACACCATTGCCTCCTTCCAATGAGAAAACAGAAGAGCCACGAACCCAACAAACCTCTGTGATCATGGCACCCTCTGGTTTGAATTATGTTGTTAATACTGTAAATGATCACGAGACGAATGATGGTTTTACTGGAGTTGTGTTGCCTCCCTACGTACCAGCATCCTACTTGACAGAGAACAATGGTGGAAACAATAGAAATGCTGAAAACGAGGTTGACATTGAACCCATTCAATACACTTCCAACCTTAATGTCGAAGACCACCACCAGCATCGACCACCAAACGTATGAAGAGTTCAAACTTTCACAGACTAAAGGATGGCATTTGATTTCTGAATTTGATACACCCGCAACCATTCTTCATATTCTCTCGTTTCAACAAGTCTAGAGAGTGTATCTGCCAAATTCATCAAGACATCTTCGATAATGACATTTTTCAAATATGAAATGGTTACTGTCGTTCTTGTTGAAGAAATAGAGCAACTTCTTGCTGTGGTTTCCATGTCAACATCGTTGTGGCTTAAAGGTTGTTGTCCATTTTCCTGTAATTGAATATTCCTGTCGAAATTGAAGCGGTGGTTGTGGTAGCAATGGTAGTTTCCTTGATTGAATGTCATAGCCCGATTGAGGAGGAGGTTGTGGCGTCATGACTTGTTCTATCAATTGATGAAATGCTTTTTGTGTTTCCGACTAAAGATTCAACGCATAAATGCCGGTGCTTTTCGTATCAATCTTCCAAACGAAAATAAAGGATGATATAACATGCCTGGAAATGCAATTTTGAAAGGAACCATTTGGATTGGGACAAAATCGGTCGTGTCAATTTGAGTGTCACTTTTTGACAGATATGTTTGTGCAGGTTTCCTTCTTCCGATAGGAGTCTTGTAGTAATTCACGAAAAGATAGAATAACGTGGATGACATGATAATAATGTCACTATCGCGGAATAATTGTGAAGCTTGCAGATGGAATCTGACAACATGTGTTGCCGCACATGAAGAGAAGAAAGATCAACATTGAAAAACTCGAGAGATTTCTCAAAGTGAGAAAACACTCTTTCGTCCACTCCAATGATGAGAGGGTTCGATTCGTCGTAACTACTGCTCAGATAAGAGACATATAGTTTTCCATATATGGAAAAGAATGGTCCTCTTGATGATTAAGAATTGAATTTTGAACATTTAGCTCGCAACCCAAGACTATTTGTGAGAAAAGGAAAAAAGAGTGAATCCACAAGATGGAGAAAACAATGAGCTTCTTTGCTCTGAGAGAAGTGCGTCCATTTTTTCGTGTCACGTTGGCCAAAACTCTGTGGATGCGTATCAAAAGTCTTGTTAAATGAGAATTACACAGTTCCCAGTTCCCAGTTCCAATTTTCTGTGAGATTTGTATTTCTTTTCATTCCATATTTTGATGCTCAATGCAATTCCACTAGTCTTGTTCATTCATTTTGATTCCTTTCTTATTGTGTGATTTTTTCTGAACTTCAAAAAAAAATCTTCAAAAATGTCATCCTCGCTCGACGTCAACAACAACGAGCCAATGGTCGGTGCTGCACTGCCGAATATTGTTGGTGATGATGATGAAAATGACAGGGCTGAAAAATTGAATAACGATTCGGACTCGGAAAAGCATCTCTCAAGCAATGCATCGGCTCTTGTTAATATTATAAAGGCGAATATCGGATCGGGAATTTTAGGAATGCCCTATGCCTTTAAATGTGCTGGATATTGGCTGGGTCTTTTTAGTATTGTGATTATTATGTTGATTGTAGTGCATTGCACTATTTTATTGGTCGACAGTAAAAGGTATCTCAACAACATGTTGAAAAAGAAACGAAAGAAGAAAAAGGATGAAAATGGAATTGTGGTTGGGGATGAAATCTCTGAGGCACAATCATCACCAACTCCGACCATACCTTTGACAACAAAAACAGAAGCAACATCGTCGACGACAATGGATGAGAAGGAAATTATTACATTTAACGATATTGGTCATGCAGCGTTTGGTCGAATTGCTACAGTGATTATTACGTTCTTTTTGTTTGTTACGCAGTTGGGATTTTGTTGTGCTGTAAGTGTCATTTTCATACATGTGATCATTATTCATAAATATTTAAAATATTAATATAAATTTAATGCACATGACTCGAATTGGGAATACCATCTTAATTTTGAAATGATTTTTGCAAACTTCACCTCTCCTTTTTTCATGTTTTTTCACATTTGTACAACGTGTATAGTATCTAACGTTCATTTCTTCGAATTTAATGAACATTTTTGGGACCCCAACGACATTGGGATGGAAGGCTCTCTTTATTTTTCTTACAGGAGTTACCGTCTTTCCATTCTGTTGCATCCGCAATTTGAAATACCTTTCTCCAGTTAGTATAATCTCAGAAATTATGATTATTCTAGGAGTTGGAATCGTATTGTATTTTGCGTGTGACAAACTTGCGTCTGAGCCGTTCCCAGGTCTATATCGAAATTTGAGACCTTACAATTTCGAACAATTTGCCACCTTCTTTGGCATTTGTTTATTTGCATTTGAAGGAGTGTAAGTATTATTATGGAAATTGATCGAAATTTTAGAACTCATTGAAATTATTGATTTGAATGATTATGGATGGTCTCTCTTGGCTCGCTCAGTGGACTAGTTCTTCCCATCGAATCGAATATGAAAGATAAGAAGGCCTATCCCATGTTACTCTTTGTTGGAATGATTATAATTTGCGCTTCAATGATCTTATTAGGAATTGTGGGATATTTGGCCTATGGTATGGGAGTGAATAGTTTGATCACGTTCAATCTTCCCGCAAGTGGAGCCTTACCCCTTATTATCAAGATCTTCCTCATAATTGCTCTTCTTTTCACATATCCAATTCAACTCTTTCCAATTTCTCAAATGATGGATTCTGCAACGGGATACCTTGCCTCATGGATACGGAACAAAATTCACAAGAAAACAACAAAGGAATTAGAAACAGAAGAGGAACAAGAGGAGGAACAGCATGCTCTTCTTACCCAACCCACAAAATCTGGCCAAAATTCCATCAATTCTAAGAGTGACAGCTCGGATGAGAAGCGGATGAATTCTTTACTACCTGATGAAACAATAGCCACACGATCCAATTTTAAGGCCAAAGGCTCAGCATTGTACCTTCTCATGCAAGCATGTCTCTCTCCGAAATTCCATCTCGAAAACTTTATTCGCTTCCTAATGATCATGTCCACAGTTTTATTCTCTGCATTTATTCCTTCGTTTGGTGACTTTTTAGGATTAATTGGAGGATTTGGAGGAACAACGTTAGCATTAGTCATGCCCTGTGCAATTCACTTGAAAGTCATGTGGAAACATATTGATTGGAGTGTCAAAACCAAAGATATTGTATTGATTATTTTCGGTTTGTTTGCAACCATCTTCTCTACGTATATTTCCTTCCGAGATTTGGTCACACATTTAGAAGAGGGGCAATAAGAGACTTAAAATCTCGTGAAAACTCTTAATGAACAATCGAATCTTTGATATCATTTTTCATCATCAAAATTCATGAACCTTATATTCAAACGAACCTCATCTAAGAGTTGGTGTTTGTGAAATTCATCACCTTGGCGTAAACAAAAATTCACCCAATGTGAAACCTTATATCGAAAAAAGGTTCTCGCGACAATTCAAGAGCATCGCAACTGACCATCCTTAAAAAAATTGCGAAATTAGTGAACTTTCATTTACAGTCGCGTGTAGAAAACGCTGCTCAAACAAAATAGCGTAATGAGGAAAAGTTCATCCTTCTTATGGAGAGGAGAAGGAGGTGTTTCTACACCCCCTCTTCGACCTTATCTCTTTATGGTTCTACTGATCTTAATGTGCTGCTTGTTGGTTGCCTTAATCATGCCGACCAGTGCTGTTGCCATCATCACGAAGAAGAAACGTGATTCATCCTCAAACTCTCCGTACGAAGAGATTCGTTTCAGAGCCATGGAAATGATGGATGAGCCACGACGGCGTACTCTTGGAAGCTCCTCCTTCGTGCTCTCCGACGATAATAATTTACTTTCACTAAAGAATCGAGAGAGATGGAACGCCTTAATGAATCGACCCACCCATCACATTGGAGAGACCAACAACAACCATGAATCGACAGTAGAACCCAAATATCAATTTATAATCAAATTGGCAATTCCAAAGTCTGTCCAGCCTCGTAACGGTGATGATGCTTTCATCCATGTATTGTCGTTGACCTCCAGTGATGATGATGTTGTTATGGAGAGGAAACAAATTCATCATCCACTCATGACCAAACTCATGCGTTCCAACAATATTCTCGCGAATCATGTTGTTTCAGTGGTCGCAAAAGCCAGTGAATTAGACAAATTGAATCGAGAGAATCCCAATCTTTTCGAATGGGTTGGTACTTTTGAAAACCACTTGAAGAGTACTTTGAATTTTCAATTCTTGGAGGATAAATCTCGTGAACAATGGAATAAGGTGAGAATAGATGCTCAAGCTGCTGATGTTGGTGCTGATAACGACAACAATCAAGATCCTCTAGATAGGATCAAATCAGCCAGAATGATGAAGAAGAATCATGAGAGATTGACCGAAACGATCGGGTCAACACCTTTGCTCCTTGATGTGGTAATCTCACTCATTCCTTCATTGGAGGCCATACAATTAGGAAAGGAACGTCAAGAATTGCAGCAAATCGTGTCCTCTCTGAATGCCTTACTTGAATCCAAATTCACAAAAGGGCAAGACTTTACAATGCTCCACACCACTGGAGACGATTCTCAAACGTGTGAAATGAGTTTCTCACCTCTCAAAGCTGCCCAAATTGGTCAAGTATTATTGTCTTATCCACATGTGCATTTCATTGAGAGAAAATTGGAGATGACTCTCCACAATCGATTTGCGAGTACACTCATGCAGCAAGCAACTTCCACATCCCCCACTACTTCTTCAACACCATTTTATGATATGGGAATTTACGGAAGCAATCAGGTCGTGGCTGTCTCTGATTCTGGACTCGATCACGACAATTGCTTTTTCTATGATTCCAAGACCACTCCAACCGTCAATGTGTTAGACACCAATCGAAGAAAGGTTGTTTACTATTCGAGCACCAATGGAGATAATTCAGATGGTGTCGATGGTCATGGTAAGTTGGTTCCTAGGTAGACCTACACTTTAACAATGATTATTGTGAATCTTTTATTGCTGCCATGTTGAACGAAATAATTTCTCATTCTTTTAAAACTGGTGTCCCAACACAACAGGTACTCATGTTTGTGGTGCCATTGTTGGATCTATTGAGAATCAGGCTTTGAACACATCTTTGAATAGATATCACGGCATGGCTCCAGGTAGTAAGATCTGGTTCAACGATATTCAAGCTGGAAATGGTGGTCTCTCCATTCCAAATCCTGTGACTCCACTCTTCCAACAACCCTATGACAATGGAGTGAGAATTTTCTCCAATTCTTGGGGTTGCGGACCTGACAGTTTCGTGTCATGCAATTACGACTGCTCAAACTGTCAATTAACACGAGCGGTGGGAACCTATGCCGCAGGAAGTTATGTCACCAATGCTGACTGTAAGGCACTTTTTGGAACGACCACATGTTGTAACATTTGCAATGTCTACAGTAGCCAATGTCAGACCATTGACAAGTTCTTGTGGGATCGTAAGGATGCTGTCATTTTGTTTTCGCAAGGAAACTCTGGATACTTGTCTGAATTCGGCAATACAGGTTATCCAGCTGTTTCAAAAAATACTATTTCTGTAGGTGCACATCATACCAGCAATGCAGGTTTTGTCGATGGTGTGAATTATGACGATTTTTTGAAAAAGATGCAAGAAGCCAATTTACCATTCACCTCCACTGCACAATGTTGTGCCTATTCAGGAACGAGCTATCAGGCAGTCAGAGCATATTGTTGCCCAACAACCATTTCACAAATGTACTCATCTCAGTCGTCGATTTACAATGAGAATAATTTGGCTTCTTTCAGTAGTAGAGGTCCTGCATGTGGTAAGTTGAACAAGTTTAGTACCAAATACTTTACAATAATGCATCGTGTTTTATGACGACATGAACGATTTTTTTCTCACAACAAGGAGGAAGAATCAAACCCGATGTTGTGGCTGTCGGACACACGGTCATTTCCACTCACTCGGATGGCTCTCTAACCACAAAACAATGTGGATCACAAAGTCCTCAACTTGGAAACAGTGCCGCACTGTTATTAATGAGGTAAGTGTGTTGAGGTGTGTCTTACAAATCATGCTAACTCATTCCCAATGATTCTAAATAATACCATTTTTAATAATGCCATACCATTTTCCAATGTTGGAATACTACACACAGTGGTACTTCTATGGCTACTCCATTGACTGCTGGAGTGGTGAGTTTGCTGCGAGAATACTTCCAAAAGTATGCACAAATCGCGAATCCATCAGGCACGTTGTTGAAAGCTGCCCTCATTCATAGCGCGACGCCACTCACAGGAAGTGTTGCCATTTCTTTCGATGAAAGCAATCGAAAGAATATTCAACAAGCGTATGGATCTCCCAACTTTTATGACGGTTTTGGAAAGGTTCAAATTGGAAACCTTTTGAAAGATACCAACGGTAATGCATTAGACATGAAAATTTGGGAGGCCAGTTTTACATCCTCCTCTGAAGTCTTGCGTGTGTGTTTACGAATGAAAAAGACTGCAAAGAGTCCTTCTTCGTTTAAAGCAACATTGGCGTGGTATGATATGCCTTCGAGCATTGCTGTGGAGCCAGCCCTTATTCATGACTTGGATCTCATCGTGAACCAATACACGTTGGACAGCACAACAAATACAGTCTCAAAATTACAACTCTTATTTGGAAATGGAGCCATTCAGTATGGAGATGACAAGAACAATGTGGAACGCGTGAGTGTGAGTGGAATTTCGAATTCTGCGGTCAACTCAGAATATCAAATGGTGAGCTTGCAAATTGTCAACTATGGCATTACGGCGAACACCAAACAACCCTTCACTGTGTTGTCTACCTATCCAAAAGGTGACTGGGATTTACTTGCATCCAGTGAATGTGTGTATCAAACATCTGTAGACCCTTCACAACCTCAAAAAGGTAATGTGGCCATTGAGACCAACATTTCACTTCCTCTTGCGACTACTTTGGGTATTCTCGGAGGCATTGCAGCGTATGTGAGTGTGTTGGTGGCTGGAATTATTTTGGCCTTGATGTATCGTGCATGGAGAGCAACTAAAAAAGGAAAATCTGCTACCGTTAGTACAAATACATTTGCAGGAAGTTCTCAAGAGGTCGTCATGATGGAGGACATGGCTGTTTCTGAATATTACTATAAAAGAGATAGTCAATTGAATTAAGGGTAGTAAGAATAAGTAAATTTGGAGGAGAGCAACGTCTTCATAAAATCATCTTGTTGTTGGTGAATGTCCTCTTGAATGTCTCTCTCTTGAAAAATCTGCAGCCTCTCAGCAGAGTCGACATGAAAAATGATCTTTTGATTTTTGATCTTGGAGACCATGAGAAGTCATTCAGACCATGTTTTTCATTACTTAAGTTCATTATCTCCAAAAGTGTATCAAGTTCATCTCAATCGAGTCTCAAAAGAAAAAATTGTTTGACCAACATCGTCACCAATAGTGCACGGCATGACCGATCCTCTTGCTTGTGTGGTGGATCTCGGAAGTTACAACCTTCAATGTGGTCTCGACAATCGGGAATTCATTCCTCGGAGTGTCTTTCGGAATGTCCTTCTCGAGATTGAAAAATCCTCCTTCCTCATTGGTGATGATCAAGTGGGAGAATATGTAAAGAAGAAGCACCATCACACTCCTCCAATGCTCAATCGTAGTGATGATTACAATGATGATGATGAACTTCTCTTGCATTATCCCGTCCAACATGGTCAAATCCAAAATTGGTTTTATTTCGAACAAGTCCTGCATTTCATGTACGATTCGGAATTGAGAATCTCATCGGAAGATCATCCCTGTTTCATGACCCATTGTCCTCTCTTTTCCATGCACTCTAAAAAACAACTCTTGCATTTACTGTTTGAGAATTTCCAAGTTCCAAAATTTTATGGCGCCACTCAATCCAAATGTTCTTTGTTGAGACATGTCACTAGTGGTCTCGAGGTGAGTAGTGGTCATGACATGACCTATGTGGTGCCCATTGTGGAAGGAATGGTGTTGCCACATGCAGTGGTGAAGAGTGGTGGTGCTGGTGGTGCTGGTGGTGAGAACGGTGATGGGTTGGGAGGTCGATATGTGAATGAACAATTGGAATGGCTATTGAAAAACGATGAACAAGACCACGATGAGATGGAGATTCGAAGGAGGATTCAACAACAGTCTTCTTCTTTAAAGAATAATGCATCTTTATTTATGAAACATCAAGCATTGGATGAAATTAAGAGAAGGGGTGGATTTTTCATTTCACAAGATTATGAAGCGGATTTCATGAAAATGGTTGAATCCAAATTCACATCCACGAATGTGACACATTATCAATTACCGGATGGAAAGGAGATTGTGTTGGATGACAAGGTGAGAATTCAATCGACGGAAATACTTTTTCAACCTCATCTTCGTTTCCTTAGCAATGTCTTAACAACAACTGCAACTACAACAAATACAACAACAAGTACCACTCTAGGACTTCATGAAATGATCTATCAATGTGTTCAACAATGTCCTGTGGACCTTCGATCAACCTTATGGTCGAACATTGTACTGTCAGGAGGAAATACTCTTTTCCGTGGAATTGAAACTCGATTGAGAAACGAGTTGAACCATTTAGTGCCAACCAATGTGAATATTGGAATTATTGCACCACCAGAGAGACAATATTCAGTTTGGATGGGTGCTTTGGCCTTGGCTAAGAGTTCACAATTGGATGACTTGTGGGTGACCTGTGAAGAGTTTCATGAGTTTGGAGAGAATATTGCACATCGAAAATTGATCATGACTTGATGAACGAAAAACAGTGGAAAGATGACCTTCACACGTATGAATATAATATGGAAACAACAAGTTGAGTGAGGAAGGACTACTAAACAAATAAATCCAAAACGGTCGGAGTTGAGTCCTCATCTCCGTACTTGTGAACTTTAAATTTGAATTTCTTCACTCTCTCGTTCAATCAAACACCAAACAAACATAAAAAATGCAGAATCCTCGTGGTAGTTGTCACCTGCCTCTTCTGTGTACATTTGTCGCTGTGTTTCTCATGACACTCTCTCTACTGAGCTGCACTGCCCTTTCTCAACCCATCTTTCCATCCGAATGGTCAGCACTCGCCTATCAAAACGACGGTGGTTCTGTCGACTCCAATTCAGCAAAATTAGCCTTTATGCGGATCAGCAATTCGTGGAAAGTCAAATCCGAAAGAATTGAAGTTCAATTTTTCAATGAACCTCTCCAAATTCAACTCCACAACGAGAATACGCAATTCGTCTTTTATCCACACAATAAGACTTGCATTGTGAATGAATTGGGATTTCCTCCACTTCCTCCCAATTGGTTGGCAAATTCAATCTTTGAGGGATTTGATGTGGTGAATGGTGTGCATTGCAGAAAATGGAAACGTTTGACATCGACATATTGGGAAAGTGCAGAGAGTGGAGAACCCATTCGAGTGAATGAATCAAATTTCTTTGTGTGGAATTATGTATTTGGAACGTTCAAGGCTGGTCCACAAGATTCCTCAAATTTCATTGTTCCATCGTATTGCATCAAGAAGAAATAGTTGTCACTTCATTTTAAGGTTTTAAGGTGGATTTTAATAAAAAGTATTTGAAAACAATACTTTCCAATGAAATATGCTCAAATTTCTACTTGTTTTTGGTTAATGTTAGTTTGAGACACTAATGTTAGAGACTCTAATTTATCCACTCTTTTGTTGAGTCTCAATGACCTTAAACGAATTGGCAACAAATAGTTTCATATACAACTCCTGACATTCTACTCCGCATTCATCTCCTCTCTCCTCTCGCACTGCAGTGATTTGTTTTTGAATCGAAGAAATTTTTCCGTCAATATAATTCCACACGTCTTGTTTTTGAATGACAGCATTCTGCTCATTGGAAAAATGTTGAATCATTTCATTTAAATATTCCAACATGACGTGACATGTTTCCAACATTTTGTCTCCATACTCAATATCATCATCTGGGAATTGTGAAGGAGGAAGAGAGGAAGTGCTCAATTTTTCCTCTCTCAATGCTGTAGAATTTTGAAGCACTTGCTTCACAAGGTCAACATAGGGAATGATATTCTTTTCTAGACTCAACTCATCTCGAGCATTTTCTGGAGATTTCACTAACCAATTTCGTACCATCTTTAAAATTACTTCACTCAATGAAGTCATTCCTCTGAACATGAAGAATGCAGTATCTCTCCAATCTGCATAACCATTGAGGCCCTTTCCTTGTCGAAGCATGACATTGATATGTTTCAGGACATTATTGGAATCTGGAAGAAGAAATTGTGCATCATAGGGTTCGCCCTTATGAAGAGTCAAGTCACGGGTTGAGTTCTTATTTTTCACATATGGATTGTAAAAAAGTAAGAGGCCTCGATCCATCACTTCAGCTTGTCTCTTGCCGTATAAAAAGTTGTGGGTGACAATGGTACCAAAATTACCCTTTCCATTAATGTCTCTGGATGCTTCGAATGCTTTAATCAACTCTCCTGAACACATGTATACCATTCCAATCGATAGTTCCTCACTCATGGCAATAGAGGTCTGTAAAAATGCATTAATCATGGTTCTTGGGAAATCATGGTGAGCTTTTCCCTTGTAGAGTAGGAAGAGATTGATAGGTCGAACTCTCTTGGATGGATTTCCCATGGCATATAATTGAGTGAAATCACATTCTTCATAGAAGAGATAGGGTCTTGGGAAACTTTTCTTCAATAGCATTTCTTCAACCTTACGATTGCTCTCATCAAAGTAATATTTAGAGTGTAAAAATTTCAAAATATGATCTTTGGCATCCATTGAGTGGTCACTACTGGTGCTTGTCAATTCTTCTCCCTTTCGAATATATTCAATGGAATCATTTAGAATTTCCTCTTGTGATGCATCATGTTGAATGGCAATCTTGACATTGGGCACAGATTGTCCCAAGAGATGCATCTTGTTCACACGAATGAGCACACTCTCTTTGGAAGTGTCTGAAAATCCGACTCTCTTTTTCGAATTGAAAAATCTTAACCTCTTCATTAAGAAGGTCTTCATGAGCTGCCGTCTGTGAGATGAAAGAGCAGTTTTCATTCCTAGTGACATTTCAAAAAAGCTTGGCATATCATAAGAGTTGTTCGTGTCACACGACTCTTCTCTCCACCAAGTTCCACCCAATAATTTATCACACAACATTCCATTATATTCCGAAGATAGGCAATTAAATTGAGCCACTCGCAAATTCACATCATGTGAAAAAGTCAATTGTTGTCCACTCGTCTCGACTGTTTTGTTTCCTTTAATGATCAATAAGGTCTCTTCGGGAGTATCAAAATTCTTTCCAAAACTTGCTCTCACTCTTTCCACAGTATGAACAATCGAATCAAGTGTTGCCAATGCTTGAAAAGAATATTCTCTGGCACACTCATTCTCTGTGGTATGAAAATAAATTAATAAATCCATATCCGATAATACGGAATGATAATACGAAAGAGCATGATGATTCACATCATGAAAAACCATTCTCGTTTCATTACTTTGCAAACTTGCCAAAAAATCATCCAGAGCTGATATCATGAGCACCAAACTTCCATTCTCACTTCGGGAATCGATTTGAAGCACGTCCCGCAGAGGTTTATATAACGTAGTAGTTGTTGGACCTCTAGAGGTATCTGATTCTTTCATGATCGGAAGAGGAGAAGAGTTCGGAGTCTCAACAGAGGAGGATGCCAGCACTATGGATACATTCATGAAAAGAAGTAAGATGGAGAGAGTTGCTATCATTCCCACAGCAACTTTTGGATGAGTGGAAAGCCTTGAAGATGATATTGGATACATTTTTTTCGGAATTTGTTTTTCGAGTTGACTGTCGGAAGGAGTTTTTGATTTTTTCAACTCCTATAACGCTCGGAGTTGAGTTATGAGTTATGAGAGGTTTCTTCTTACTCTGGCCTTGAATATCTCTTTACTGGTGACAGACACTGGACTACACAACAACCATATGGTTTTCAGTACTACGTACAAAGAAATGATATTGACTAGTGAGGATGATGTGTTCAAACTTCGGTCCGAACTGTTGACAAAATCCGACGTTGAAATACGTTGAGAAAGGGTATTGGAAAGAACTCGTCCTCCACTTTCAATCGTTTGAAGATGCAAATAAACTCAAAAAGAATTTTAAAAAAATGTTGCGATTTGGAAGAATGCATGGATCCTCTCTCGCCATGGATGGAAGTTATTTGAAATCCTTGTGCCAGCAGCATCATCATCAATGGCCGGGGTTGGCACGACCACTAATTATTCCTAAATTTTTAATTGCACCAAAATATACGTTCCGAAATTATGCAATTATTGTGTAGGTTTTTGTTTTTGAAATATCGGAATAATTGTAAATGATGATGGAATAATTTTGAATGACAATATTCTTTGATCATGGAAAATTGTAACAATGATTTATTGATTAATTTTAAACATGAATTGAACATCATCTTAGAAACAAATCGGTTCAAAACGTCTCCAAACAACAGACACAGCCAGCCAAAAAGTCTAACTTTGCAAAATCTCAAGAAAAATTAAAAAAGGAAAAAATTCAACAATTTGTTTTGAGCAAATCAGAGATGGACAGTATCCATGATAAGAAACAATTAGAAGAAACCTTACAAATGCAAAAATTAATAACACAAAAAATTCAATGGAATGAACGAATACAAAATGCCAATGCTTCAGGAAAATCTCTCTCTGAAAAGGAACAACAAGAAGCTGAAGAATTTCATACTCTCTTTTACAGAAAAATTGTTCAATATGCACACTTTAGAGCAATGAATATGCTCGAAGGCGGCAACACGAAAGAAGATGATGACGGAAGTATCGGTACTTTTTATCTATTTACCAGCAAACTGCAGCATCAGAAATATTTGGAAAGATTTGAATCGAAAATATTGAAGAAGGAATATTCGAGTGTGAAGGTATCTACAGCACCAACAATTGCTCAACATTTAATGGGCGTTCTAACGTCGACGAGTATTGAGAATATTTCTGCAGTTATTGATGACACACTCGTGCTACCTCCTCAAGAATTGAAACATGTGTTGGATTGGTCACAAACAGTGCTTACAGATTTGACATTGGCCACATTTGTGAAAGCGATCAAAGATCTCAATGAAATGCAGAAGGAGCTGGCCGATATTGAAATTAAGCTCAACACCGCAGAGAGTAACTCATCGACAACAAAAGGAACACAATTAGCCCTGAAGGCCAAATACCACACACTCATCGAAGAAAAGAAGAAGGTCATGCTAGAACAGCTCTCAAAGGTCAATCGTCTGAGAGGTAAATTATTTGTGGCATCTAAATTATACGTGGCATGCAATGAAGAGAATGTATCAGAAATTGCATCAACAACAAGTGCTACAACACATGACGCAAAAACGAACAGCAATGACATACCAAAAGATGACGAGAGCAAGGATCTTGAAAGGTTCACACTTACAACCGACTCCAAGCGCGTATTATTTGCATACTCTGCTCCAGATGTAGCTGCAAAAGATTTAGGAACCTTATTGAAACTATCCAACAGGTACGATGTTGCATTGGCAGTTGTTACTGGAAGTGAACTGTTTGGAAATTTCCTCAAAAAGTATCTTGACAAGGTTGATCACATGAGGATGTCATTTCTAGGAATCCATCATGAAGTTTTAACTCATACTTTCACACGAGACGATATTCAATCCATTATTGACCAAGGTCAAGAAGCAGAGCAAATTAAGGAACAATCTGCTCTTTCCATTAAAGAACAGATTGAAAAACAAGAGCAGGACAATCAGAAGGCTGCTGAAGAACATCCGACACCACCAAGTATTTCAATTAAAACAGTCGAAGAGTGATGAAATTGCTCAACAGCCCCAGAATATATTACTCGGACACTTTTTCTAAGACTTATCATTTGAAACGTTATTTCAAAAGACCATTAATGGAACAGCCACACTGATTTCTTTTCTACCACCTGCTTGATTCATGACTCAACCCTCTTCATGCAACAGTTAGCTCAACACAAGCATGTACTTTGTTGATATTTGAAATGCCCTTACAAAAGCATTTGACATTACTATTAATGAAAACGATCTCCTCACTTAATGTGTTCCGATTCTCATTTTTACCATTTGGTAACGCTCGGGAGAGTTGCGCTTGCTTTGAAGAGTTCTTGAGACTGCTCTGGAGTCGTCTCTGAAAAACAACGATCCATGATCACTCTGGAGCAGCTCGGAGATCTCTGGAGGTGTTCAGGCTGATGCAGAGCACTCTCGAGTTGTTCGGAGTGTTAGATAAACAAAATTATTTAGCTCATTCATCAGTTTCTGTTTCCCACTCATCATCATCACAATCCATAGTGTCATCATCACCAATATCATCTTCATCATCATCAGATTCATAGGCTCTAATTCCAGAAGTATATTTGTATTTGTATATTAAATAGAGAACTATTTTGCAAAGAAAATGATGACTTTCCAAAATTTCGTCGGCTGATCCTTTTGCTCTGAATTTTTCTGACATACATTTAAATTTCTTTAAATGACAGATAGCATTTTCAATCATTATTCTTATTTTTGCAATGAATCGATTTTGTTCTCTCTGTCTAACTTCTAAATATCCTCTCGATTTCTTGTGTGGAATTAAATTGCCCTTATTAACTAAACTCATGAATCCCTTATCCGCTACTATTTTTTCATTTGATAACAGTTCCAGTTTTTCAGTATAAAATTTAGTAATTGCATCATCAACAGTTGATCCACCATAGCTCTTTGATACATAAATCCACCACGAGTAGGATCAACTTCAAGCAATTTAGTTATGGATATGTCGTTTTGCATATACCCAAATACTGATGACGTTCTTGTTAATTACTTTGGGTTGTTTGTTAATACCTTGATTACATAAAGTGCCGCCTGAGCATAATACTTGTTCAACATCTTCACTTTCACCAACACTTGTATCATTTACGTCCATTGGAAATCGTTTCTCAATTATTTTGAGAAAATTCTGATCTTTGTAGTGCTCTGGTTTGCACACTGGTATTTTAACCACACCATTAGCGTGACTAATTTGAATAATGTGAGAACAAGCGTTATGTTGATATGCACAGGAAGTGATATGTTTGTTGACAGCTAAACAACATTGAGCTGCTTCCTCATCACCAGAATCTACATCAATAACGTCTTGCTTTCTTTTTTTCGGTGTGGTATTAGTGATGGGCTCAGTAGAGGGGGTTGTTGATTGTGATGCTACAACATTATTTGTTGATTCATAACCATACATCTGTTTTCAATAGTCAACACCTTTAGCAACATGAAGCAACATTTCACTATAACCCATCTCTGTTTTACAAACAGGACAAACCGGTTTTTATTTCCATTCTAAATACGAATCTTCTACAAAGTTGTAAAAGGACATCGCTTCTGCTTGCGGTAAATCGAAAACGCTAAAACGCTTTGTTGATGGTGGAAGATAAGATACTTTTAGATTCCCAAACTGTGACCAATCAAAATTGTTTTGTGATGAATTTCCCTGACGTGTATTGTAAAAAATTTAATTTGTAACACAGCTAATTCGGAACACTTTTGAATTACAACTTTATTAATTTGTTAAACTGATATTGATGTTCAATGCTCTTTCTCCCCACAATCAATACACAGTCACTGACATTGTTTTGTTTCCAATATTTCTTTGTTGTGGCATACAGCAAGTCTGTTGGTGACACCATTTATGGCAATCATAACACTGGATCATATTTTGCTGATTCGTGGATTTATCACACTTCGTCACACAACATACGTGATTGGAATTAGATGGTGCTGATACGCCTGGTGTATCTGATGTGTTAATGTTTCCGCACTTGGCTTTACAAGAACAATATTCAGTGCATGCTTTTCCTGCGCTTTTGCAAGGACATGATTTGTTTGTCAAACACGCATGATGACAACGACAAAATACTGCATTAGCTTTCTGTTCCTTCAATAATTTTCGTTTTGCATCCTCTTCTTCCTTTTCCTTTTTGTGTTCCATACGCTTACGTTTTTTCTCCTCTTTTTCTTGTTTATCTTTTTCCTTCCTTGTCCACAGTTTTCTGAGCAATTTCAATAACTCATTGGAGGACAATATAAAGTTAATGCTTTCACCACTTGCTGAAGTATTAATCTTTTGTAGTGGTGGTTGAGATGGGACTTGCAAAATTTCCTTAAAAATTGGGCTGGGTTGTGACGAGGGCTCTTGTATCTGAGGTTTTTGTAATTTGGCAATTCCTTGCTTTGCATCACAAGGGTAGATACGTGAAGCAGCGAAACCATGAATAATATTTGTCTTGTTCACAGCTTGTTCATGAGCGTCGTATAACATTTCCACAAATTTGTGGGTGGGTTCACCATTGGGATTTGTAGTTAAGAATTCACTGGTTAATCTTGCAAATGCTGATTTAAGAGGATGAAATATTGCAACATCTAGAGGTTGGTAAAGGTGGCTGGTGTGTGGTGGAAGAGCAAATAATATGACATTATTATCTTTTGCTATTTTCAAAACTTCCAAATCGACATGACTGGCATGGCTATCCAATAACAATAACACAGGTCTGTGACTACCACAATGTTTCAAAAAGTGTCGGTGGAACCGTTGTTTGAATAAACTGGCTGTCATATAACCTTTAGATGAAACTCCAACACAAGCATCGGGGATCTTATTATTAAAGTAGTCAAACTTGATCGACTTTCCAGGGTGAATATAGAAAGGAGGAAGAGCATTTCTTGCAGCATTGCAGCATACAAGGATTGAAGACAAAGCTCTGTTTGAAGGAACATTGATCCTCACATTTCGACTTCCTAATTTGGCAAGTGTAAACTTCGTACTGTTAGTCCGAACAATACCTGTCTCGTCACAATTAAATATTTGATTAGGTAATAGATGATTATGTTCAATACATTCTTCCAATACTCTAAAAAATTGCTTAACCAAGGAAGGATTTTCACTCTTTTTTCTCATTAAGGAAATGTGGTCTTGTGAACGCATAACAACGTCTGCATGTCTTTCTCTAAATGTTTGATACCATCCATAAGAGATCCGTTTTTTAGTGTTATATTTTACTTGATACATCTCTTGCGCCTTGAATATCAATAAATCAGAAGACACTGCAAATCCATGATCGACCATCTCGAAAACCCATCTCTTCAATTCTTCTTCTTCTTCTTGCATTGTAAAGTAGGTCTGTCTTCCAACAACTGAATCCACTTGTGTTTTGTTGTTGATAAGTTTACTCATTGTTGCAATTGGTACGTTAAATAATTGTCTGAGACGACGAAGTGAAATCGATGGATGTTGCTTCTTGTACTCTAATGCTTCCATTCTTGCTTCTACTTGTCCCTTTCTTTTGATTGCTGCAACTCGATACTTATTATTGTTTGAACGTTTCTTAGACCATCATGTTCCGAATCAATTTTTTTTTTTTGATAATAACTATAGGCATGACTTTATTTGCGGGAGCAAACGGATCCACAAGGATCGTAATCATGTTCGTTTCCAAAAAGATGGTGAAGATTAAAAACAGCTTTTGAGTTTGTTGTCGTGACGGGTTAGAATTAAAGGGTGCATATCCATGCAATTCATTATCCCATTTGATTCCGAGTATTTCAAAATAGTAGTCATTGCGTTTCATCCATATTAAGTTCACCTGTTTGTAAGCTGCTTTTGAAAAGATCCTATCCCACTTCGGTCCTAATCCGATTTTAGCCCCAAGTAATACCCATACATCTGCATTCGCTCTGATTTTATCTATGATCTTTCTTACTTTTCTTCTCCTTAGTGCAAGATTGGTTGGCAATACTACATAGATTAGTCCACATTGCTTGTCTCTCGGTCTTGTAATTAGGGCATTTCATTAGTATGTGGGTGAAGGTCTCTTTTTCATTATATTGAAATTTTTTTAAAAAAAATATTTTGACGTGATGAAAAACGCTGCTCGCCATTTATTTAGTTGTAAACAAGCCTCGTCAACACTCTCTTTCTCTCTGTTTTTCAGAGGTGTAGTTTTTGGTGTTGATACACTTGGTTCAGCCTCTAACCTCTCGCTCTGGAAATCTTTGTCCAATCATCATCATACAAGGAACACTTCGGTACGCTCTTTCCATTTATCTTTCCTTGTTGGCAAAAGATGAAGTAACAACAAAAAGTCTTTCTTCTTCTAACGGACCGGGAGGAAATGGAAGTGGTGCTGAGCACAACCATGTAGAACAACCAACTGTTTCTGATGATCCCAACCAAAAATCAATCAGTGCAGCACCACAACCAACAGCTAATAATAACTCTCCCATTCAAGTAGTGTCCACAATAGTTCTCTCCTTCACTAATTACGATGAGTGGACAAAGGAAGAAGTTGCTTCTATCCTTTGTATGAAGAAAGGTGAAGGTGGAGCCTCATTGACCGTTGATGATGTCAAACCTCTCGTTGACGCTGGTTTCAAAGGAAACTCTCTTGATAACATTGTAAAGGATATCAAGAGAAAAAATGTATATTTTGCTTTTAAATCTATGACTCGCAGCAAAGACTTTTCTAAGGTTTCTGAAAGTACTTGCAAGACAGTGATACATTGGGTTAATGATGCCTTGATGCCCAAACTTTTTGGACTATGGAATGCAGAACAAACAAAGGCTGCATTATGCGAATCCGAATCAAAAGGAGGAGCCGGATTAACCACAGAACAAGCACAGCCTTTGTACGATGCGAAATTTGATGGGAGATCTCTTTCAAAGATTGTCGAGGATATTATTAAGAAGAGAAATGAACATTTTTCTATTGAAAGAGAAATTCAATATGCCACAAATGTCATAACAAGCAACAAGGACTTTGCTTTAGTACCAGAATCCACTTGTAAAGCTGTTGCTGAATGGATTGTCGAGTTGATAAGAGGTAATTTCATTACGATATCATCCAATTTGCTTGATCGTTGGAAGCATCGGTTGAAAGGCAAAATATCTGAACAATTAAGAAAGGAAAGAACAAATCCCAAATATGATTACCTCCGTAATTTACATGATCCAACCAACATGGAAAAACTGGAAAAACTAATTGGTACAAATATTCAACTCCCTATCTTTCAAGAATATGGCGATTTAGTTCCAAAAAACTTTGATCCAACAGCTAAATATCTTTTGACTCGTCAGCGGTTTGATATACTGAAAAAGGTTGTTGCTGGTGCAGAAGGATTTGTTTTCTCAGGTCCTCATGGGGTTTCAAAATCATATACATTATATCTCATTGCTGCCTATGCCTTTGTGAATTCAATTCCAGTACTCTATGTTCCAACTTGTGGTGCTTGGATAGATTTTTATTCGATTAAGGAGAAATATAGTGCCAACAAGTATTTGCTTGGATTGTTTTTATCATTGAATAGTGACATTCTTTCTGGGGACGTTATTTCAAAATTGGAGAAATCAGGCGATATTGTTTCATATTTGAGCAAATATGTTGCAAAAGATCAACGAGTGTTCTATTTGTTTGACGAACATAATGAATTGTTCAGACTTGACAACGATGGCAAGATTTTTGCTCTAGAACCTTATTTCCGTAAATTTACAAGATGGACAGGCTCTACGAGAGGCACACATACAATGACCATATATTGTGGAAGTGCTCATAGTTCTTTTGAAGACCATTTACCTGGAGGAGAGAGTTTAAAAATAGTTAGAATTGTTCCTCCAACTGAAAAAGAATTTAATACACTTGTTGAAGACTTTGGTTTAGATCCAAATGAGAAAAGAATAGACTATGTGACAGGAAGAATTCCTAGAGATTTGAGAAAATTGGCCTCCTTTCTGCAAGGTAAAAGGGTACGGATGAAGATTTTAATCAATTTATCACTTTAACGAAGGACGAGTATAGACGTAGATTGCGTGTATTGGATTCAAAGCTGGATGAGGAGGAAAAGAAACTCTTTCTCCAAACACTAGAAGGTCTTTTTACTCTAGGTCTCTATAAGGGAAGACCCACTGATGTTGGAGGTATTGTTTACGATCAGGGTTTAATGTACAAAGATCATGATGGAAAACTTTTTATTGTGAATGAGCCTGCCAAGCGATGTTTGTTCCAATATTATTGCAACAATATTCCAAGACATATCATACCTAAAAATATCTCAGGATCAGAAAAGGGTGCTTTGTTTGAACGGTATTTGATCGCCCAAGAATACCATATTGGAAATCATTTTGCCAAATTCTTTATAACACACATGAGCAATTTGGAATCACTTTCTGCATCTCTATCATATGAAATTAATACACACCAGAGCTTTAGTTTGAAAGGTATAGATATTTTTAATAAGAGAAATTATCCAAAAGGAACAGGAGTACTATTCATTCCAGAGTCTGAAATTTTTCCCTGTTTTGATTATGCTATTATTAAGTATGGTGATGAAGTAGTAGAAATATTTTTAAAACAGACCACATTTTCTACTGTTGACTTTATTTATTGCAAAGATTCCAAATGTTCAAAGACTGACCTTGATAATCTATTAACCCAACAATATATAATTGATGAAACAAATATAGCCAAAACCACGACATTAGAGCTACCAAAGAAATATCTATTTTTCTTGCTTGAATTGATTTTTCATGCAATTGTTGATGATGGAAAAGTTGAAAAGGTAATGACAAAAAGAAATGATAAGGATGTACAACTATATTTGAAACCTAAAAAACATGAGTTACAGATTGTCGAAGATGGAAATATTTTAAAATCAGTTACATATGGCGGTGTTCAATTTACTTGGCACTATATTTACGAATCAGGTACAACCTCCTCTGAACAATCTGTGAAGAAAGTTAAAGAGCATGGCATTCTTTACAGAAATAGAGAAGAAATTGAAAATCAAATGAAGGTGTTTTTTGATTGAGTACACAAGAAGAACAAAATATGTTTCGAAAGAGTAAACAATAAAATTCGTTTGTTAATTAAAGGAAGGACTAATGGGTTTGTAGTCTCTTCAAACACCCGACCTTGATAAAGGTCCGGTGTTTAGGATTTTCTGCATATTTTGTCAATTGACTTTATTTAGCAAAAATAAAGGTCGCCTCTCCTCATGGATTCTTGTTTTCCCATGAGTAGAGTTTATACTCACTTCGTTTCCTTTATTTCACATTCAACTCTCAACCCTTATTCACCTCTACACCATTCTGTACCTTTATAAATAAAGGGATTTGTGCTGTCAGAAGGTAATTTCGGTGGGTACTCACACCATCTAGCGAGCACAAACCAATTCGTCTAAAAATTACCTTGTGTTGTATATTGTTACAATAGTATTCATCATCGAGTGTATATGAGGAAATAACATCAAGATTTAAATGTAATGGTAAAAAAACTACTACTCTCCTGATTTAATTCAACAATATTTGTTGAGTTTTTCAACTTTCTGTTTGAGTGGCTGTGTTCTGATTGTTGAATTTCATCATGATCAGTTATTCTTATCCGATTAATTTTACTCTTCTGTTGTTTTTGAAATGTATTTAATGTGATGATCATGTTGAGGAGCTGTGATTAGAGGAGGGAGCTGGTGTTGTTGTTGTGGTGTTTGTTTTTGATGTCCTTTCACATTTCTCACTTTAAAAATATGAAGAGTGATGATTTTGTTGGCAGCCGGAAGACAATCCACTGAACTCTTCCTCAGCCACCATCCAACCAAAACCATTACCAATCAAGCCTTGCTCGATAAGTATTACATTGGTGAGGTTGAACAGGAACAAGTAGTAACAGAGGAAATGATTAAAAAGCAACAAACCAATGTTTGGATGAGATTTTTGAGTGTCATGTGTCGAGTAGTATTGCAAATAAGGTAATGAGATAAGACTAGCTCTATTTCGAGACGAGTCAAGTGATGGTTATTAGATATCAAAATGTTCATCACGAAGAGAGTGACTCATTTATGTGAATTGTTGCATTTGGGATTGTTTCTCTCTCATGTGGCACTCCACTGATTAATTTAAAAATTTTTTTTCACATCATTTTTCAATGGAGAATTATCACTAATATTCATCGATGATATATTTGATAGATATTGATATGTACTATCTATATTGAAATTTGTAGAGTTTATTGATAAGAGTTAATTCAATAGTATGCATCATGAGGAGTGAAAAATTTATTTTCAATTTAATTTTTGATTATTGAATTGGAGAGTTAATTATTGAGTATATGTTGATGGAAGAAGTTGTGGAGAGTTTATAAATATGAATTTTATTGATTGATTATGGAGGATGTGATTACTGTTCATCACATGAGTGTGCACTCCTGAATGGATTGGATCTCCATAGATTGATATTGATGTAGGAGATTTTCTCAATAAATATCTTTCAATTGATGTTTAAATGAATGATTCTTGTGTTTGTTTCAAGTTGTGTGGTGCTTTGTTGAAGAAGAAGCTATTACAGTTTTTTTTCAATTGACTTTTCGTTGGATTTTTTCATTTCATTATGACCTGTGATATGTCTTGATGAGAAGCATCCTATTCAATTGTTTTTGAATGTTTTACATAACGTATTATCGAGTCTAGTTATGTTTAAATGTGAAAGTCAAATGGAACTATTTCAACCATTTGTGGAAAGCACAATGAAATATGTAATGCTCTTGTCTATGTGCACGGAACGTTGAATATCATTCACAGAGACATCAAACCATCGAATATTTTCATTAAGAGCTTTGATGAACAACAACAGCAAAAGATTCATGTCGTGTTGGCAGATTTTGGTCTCGCAAAGGGAAATCAAGGATAATATTGAAAAACAAAATGTTGGAGAGTGATTGTTCAGAAGCGCTTGCAGATATTGTCCTTCAAATTTTGGAGAAGGAAAGTGTAACAAGACCAAATGCACAAGATATTTTGTCTTTACCTTATTTTAAGAGGTGAAATTGAGTACAGAAATTAATCAACGTCATGACGAGAGAGAGCATTTCTGATTTTAATGTAATGACTCTATACAGTCAATTAATTAATTGGCGAAAGAATTAAAGAAACCATGTCATTAGGATCATGTTTTGTTTTCGAAAATTGTTTTGTTTTCGGAAAGGAACAATTCAACTTACAAAAAAATGCTTCAATTCAGTTCTGGAGTTGAACCTTTGCCTTCCCGAATGATTTTCTGGAGTGATACCTTTCTGGAACATGAAAAGGCCAATCATTCCGATATCATTCGGAATCATCCGTTTAATTATCGAATGGAAATTGTATTGAATTATTATAATAATAATCAAAATAGCCGTTCCAAAGGAGAAGATGGTCTAGTTTCGTACGAGGAAGAAGAAAAAGCCTCTCGCTCTCAAGAGAATAATTCCAAACGTGAATCATCATTGTTGGTAAATTCAAAGGAATTGATTCAAAACATTCTCCGTACTTGCACAGATTTAAAGGACAACTCGGTCGTTTATATTTGTTCAAATATTCAACCCGTGGATATTATTTCCTATGTTCAAGAACGAGTCTTAACGAGAGATGATAAATCCTCTTCGGATTATTTAGTCTATTGTCATACTCTTGGAGCTCATACAGACTGTTTGAGTGCCAACCAAATGGCCATCTATCCCATCTTTAAAGCAAAATCATCATCAAATTTGAATGATATCATGCCTACTTCCTCATCTTCAACATTTTCTGAAAGAGAACATCATTTACGTTTCAGATTTGATCGAGATACACTTCTTGAAATTGGATTGCAACGAAATGAGACGAAGAAAATTCACTCGAAAAAGACAAGCGCTCACTCTGCTAATTTTGAGAGTGATTATTATTCAACAGTGGGATACAAGATGCCTTTCAAACCAAAATCTAAAGAATATGAACGATTGCTGTGGTCTCTGAACAAAGAAGAAACATGCCCAATGCATTGCTTCTTTGGAGTTTATAGTGTTGAAAAGAATTGTTGGATTGAAATGTCAGACTTTGAGTCTTTTATCATGTCAAGAAATACCTCTATCAATAATTTAGAGGGAACAACCACAACAACATCTGGTGCGAGTTCAAGAACAGTTTTGATTAAAAAGACGTCAGGAAAGGACACTTTCAATGTAAGAATTTTGAAGGAAGAATCTCTCGTTCTCCCTCGAGTTGAATTGAGTATTGAAACAGTTGCAAAAGGAGGTGAAAAGAGTGAACAGAAGAAGAACAACAAGCATCATCCAAGCACTACCTCCACACTGGAAGGATTTTCTCGGTTGCAACAACTAGGCCATTCTCGTCAAGTTCAATCCAGTCTCATGGATGAAACAAGTGACAATGAAGATGACAACCATGAAGAAGGCAACCTTCACCATACTTCAGGAAATACTGAACAAAGCAATAATGATGTTAATAACGATGACAATGAGGATGACGAAGTGAACACACACTTGTTGTCCATATTCAAAAAGTCTCTTTCATTGTCTGAAGAGAGAGAAATTTGTCAACAAGAAACAGCTAAGGCAATTTTGACATGTGTTGGATTATTGAGCGGAGGTATGGGCTCTGAATGTCTCAGTGCCTTAAATGATGAGAGCTCTACTCAATCTGTGTTGCCACATGCAACAACTACTTCTCATCAGACACAGACGCAGCAGGATGCAACTAATACCATTGTGGCACAACGTAATAATCTACTCTTCTCTAATGCGCTCTTGCATGATGTGAAATTTTCCAAGGTCGATCAAACCTTCGTCATTAAGCTTGATGGAATTTTACCACCCTTATTTATTGAGAAAATTTTCCAACTAGTCTGGCAAGGAACCAGAGTAGCACAATGTTGGAATGCCTTTTTAGTGACAGGAATGGACGATGCTGTTGTGAGTTGGAAAAAATTTAACCATACCTATTCAGTGAGTGGAGAAAATGATTATTTGTATGTGATATTTCCAACAGTCTTTTCTGAGACAAAACAACAAGAAATTACACCCAATTGGTTGATTCAAATTTTGAATCAGCAAGACGAGTTTTCGTAGATTCAAGTTTATTTACTTGGAGTTGCAACACACCTTATTATTGGCAATGGTATTTTTTTTTGCTGCAGCAAAAAGAAAATGCATTTCTTTTGATTTCTTTGTTCCATAGTAACTTTGCTTTTATAGAAAATGCATTGCCTATTATTTTGTCAGCAATTAAATGAGATTCCAAGTAGCTTTATCTTCAATGTTGTTCAGTTGTCCCTACACTACGATTTGTACATCATCCATAAATGTTGGAGTTTGAAGGGTTCTGAAGCGGCATTTATCGGAAAAGCCTTTGAAAATTATGGTTCCGATAAATATAGTTACTAAAGTTTGTGAATGGATGACAGCTTCGTAATTTACATGCAATACTGATGATGGAGAGTTCAGTTAAATAGTTGGGTGTTTATTAGGATTAAAAACTGCAGTGTGAAGGAAAAAAGCTCTATTGATGGAGAAGGGGGAAAAAGGGCATGAATAAAGGAGAAGCACACACTCGAGCATGAACATTTGGGTAAGGGCTTGTTGATGTGCATACTTTCATAACATGGAACAAATTCCTCTAATCATGGTGACTCTTTGTCATTTCGAGGGCGTACAACATTTGGTCTCCGCTGTAATCAATCAAAGTGACAGCCCACACAGCCAAAATGACACAAACAATACCAATGACCCAAACCCACAATTGCATTTGATAGTCAGCACGCTCAGCATCACTGATGGTGTTGTTAGAAGTGTTGGTGTTTGTGTTGTTGTTGTTCAAGTAGACAGACATGAGCTTTCTTTGAGTTGGTGTCATGACTTCGAGATTCTTTTCCAAATTCAACAAGACCACATCGGATCTTTCTGGAATCATTCTCAATTCGCTTTCGACATTCTGTTGTTGTTGGGATGGTAGGAAGAAACATCAGAAAGTCATCCGAACCCGCAATTGTGTTGTTTGAATGAATGAATAGATGTCATTACCCAAATACATCGCGTTGGTGTTCCATGAATATTATCGTCGCAGCACCATGATGATGACGAAGTTTGTATTAAAATTCAAACAAAACAATATAAAACACTATCATCATTACAAACAAGAAACATACCTCAACATTGGTAACAACAACAATGCCCGAAGTCTTGGAAGCGAAATCAACAGCCTTCAATGATGAAACTGTGGTAACAGCCTCCTTTCCAAATAATGATTCAACCTTCTTCACAATAACATCATTCACTTCGGAAGATTTGGTTGGAATCAATACGATACCGACGAGTGGTCTTTCAAAAAGGTCCAAAGAAGAAACGGAAACAACTTTGTCAGCTGGCAATCCTTTAAAGACCAAACCTAAATGTTGTACGAGGCCATCAATGGCGAGTGATGGTGATGAAAATTCAATCTTATTGTTTTGTTGTTTCAAATTTTGAATGTAGTTTCTGTCCTCTCCAAAGGCATGAACCATCACCGAGGCGATGAGGAGAGCAACGAGGAATAGGCCAATTCGCTTCATTTTTTAAATTTTGAAAAATCTAAATTCCATAAAAATTTTATTAAACAACATTACCAAATTTATTTTTACTAGGAGCAAAAAACAACTCAATTCGAAACAAAGGTTGAAATGAACAAATCCCGCAATCAAATAACAAATAACATTAAATATACATTTTTTGGTTGACAAAACAATTAAAACTAAAATTTACTCGAGTGCCGGGAATTGAACCCGGGTCGCCAGAGTGACAGTCTGGAATGCTACCACTATACCACACCCGATTCGCGGATACATTTTTCATGTTTATTTTACCATGTTTTTGATAGAACTGCGATTCATCATTCCCAAAAGGTATGGAGACAATTTCAAAACTCTACATGTACATTTATCATGTTATCATCTCAAGAGCAATGTTTATTTCATTGCTGAGTCCGAACCTTACATTACTTCAGAGAATAGAAAAACGTGTCTTGAGGACACTTTTAGCCACACTTGTGGAACCAACTGTGACACAATCTCTCAATGTGTCTGATAGTCAATTTTTCATTTAATTCAGAATGTTCACAAGAACACTGAAAGAGAATTTGGAAAAATTCGTTGTCAAGTCAAGAAACCACAACAACCTGTCGAATATTTTAAATACGTTATTAATAAGAATATCTGTCATCATAGAGACTTTAATTCAAATGTGAATCGGGTGTGGTATAGTGGTAGCATTCCAGACTGTCACTCTGGCGACCCGGGTTCAATTCCCGGCACTCGAGTAAATTTTTATTGATGGAATGTGTCGAGGTTTTTATTTATTGATGGAATGTGTCGAGGTGTCTTGAGTTTTGAATTTGAATTTTATTGAGTTTTCGAAATTTCGAACGAAAAAATGTCGAATATACCTATCAGCACGACAATTTCTTCCGCTCAGTATTCCTCAGTCGATAATTCTAAAACAATAGCCAATCACATTACGATATTTGAAAAGAACGTGTATTTGGGTCCAGTCTATTGCATTAATTTCTCTAAAATTGTGCCATCCATTCTTTATGCAGGAATTGGTCCAAAACTTCATATCTTTGAGACTCAATCCGGGAAAGAAATTGGAAGCATTGCTATCTTTGAAAAGGGAGGAAGTATTAAAGGAATTAAATTTATTTCATGTGGCAAACCTGAGGGACAGAGTTTGGACCTTCAACACATTGATTCGTTATCATCATCATCGTTGCCACATAATACTAATTTTATCATCGAAGAGTTTATAATTTATGGACAGAAACGATTAAAAATTGTTCAATTATTGATATCTTTGACCATGGATGAGCATGATTCCTCTGTGAGCATGGCTCGGGTAGAACAATGTCAAATATGGAATTTTGGAGAAATGTGTGATTGGATTCTTGATGTGCTGAATGTTCCAATCAATAGTAATTATTATGACCAAACTCATACCCAATTCACCATGAAAAGTTTATGTGTTGGCTATGCTCACAACTTTATTCAAATACTTTCATATGATGATACAATTTTGAAAACAACCAAAGAGGAATTTCGAAAATTCATGCATGAGAACATTTTCATTACACAACACTCAGGGAAAATACAAGAATTCACCCAAAATATGACTCTTCTCAAAACCATCAAATCCTATCCAAATTGTTTACTCTATTCCATGGCTCTCTTCTTCAACAGGAATTACACTAGCTTACAGGACATTGACTCCACTACAAATCTTAATTCCATTTTAGAAAATATTCATGTTGCTTCTGGCACAGTTTTCAATACAGTAATTATTTGGAATTGCAAAAATAATACCAAAGATACGGTCATTCAAATGAAAGGACATAATGGTGTCATTTTTCATGTGGAATGGTCAGAGGATGGAAAACAATTATGTTCCACCTCCGATGACAGAACACTCATTCTTTGGAAATTCAACAAACAACCTCTCCAAGATTCTACACATAATAGTTCAATAGACTCTAACCAAACCTTAGAAACAACACAAGAATCATATACCAGCGTTGTCTTTTATGGACACAATGCTAGAGTTTGGCATTGCAAATTCACAAAACATTTCATCATATCGGCAAGTGAAGATGCAACAATTCGAGTGTGGGATTATGATGGAAATTGTGTCTCCACTTTGCAGGGTCATATTGGAAGAAATGTTTGGAGGATTGACATTGACTCAAAACAACAAGTCATAGCTAGTGGAGGAGGAGATAGCTCTGTAAAATTGTGGTCCCTAAAGAAAATTCAAGATTATGCCATCATTCATCACAACTTTGAATTACCTCAAATGACAGTTTTACCAAATCAATCCAAAAAACAAGTAGACATGGTCCGATGTATGCACGCCATGAATCAACACATTTATGTTGGAACGAAAAAGGGCTTTGTGTACAAGGTCAATGTACTCAGTGGAAAATATTCACAAATTTTCAACACGAGTATGGTGTCAGGAATGGGATCGATCTCATCCAAAGATGCTGCTCCTCTGTTATGTGTTGTGAGATGCTCTCCGTGTGAGCAATATATTTGCATTGGAAACTCTGTTGGCTATTGCTGTATTTTAGACATTTCCACTGGGACTGTCATTGCCAAATTTCAAGCAATGAGCTCGAGGATACTTGCTGTTTTTTGGGTGAGCAATTTGGATGATGATACTTTCACATTATACTTTTCATCTCCAACAGGAACAATGAAAGCTTTTGGAATTTCATCTTCAAAGAGGGAAGAAGTTTCTTCATCGAGTGAGCCATCATCTTCCATGAAAGTGAATTCACTATCTTCTGCGTCATGTGCTTCTGTGACAGAAGGAGCTCATTATTTGGTAAAGGGAAAAATCCAAACACTATGTGCAATAAGAGACGAAGGCATTCTCATTACGGGAGATGATGAGGGATTTATTCACATTTTGAGGGCTTCACAAAACATTAACGGGTCTGATGAAAAGGCACCAGAATTTGTGATGCGAATGGCCCACACTGATCAAGTGTGTGACATTAAGTACATTAACAGAGAGACTATTTATTCAGTTGGAAGAGATGGATCCATCTGTTTCTACAACCTTATTCAAGATGAAAATACTGGACTGTTTACATTAGTGAAACATCAACAGGAAAGGCTGAAAAGTATCATGACCAATCTCGATAGAATTTTCATTTCCTATCGCATGCAAGATAGTGCTGAGAAAACAGCGTTCCAAGTTGTGTCGGATGGATGTGACTTTGCGGACACAATTCCAGCCTCAACATTCAACAAGATGGAGACTGAAATTATATTAATTGGATTTTATGGGTCGCACATGATTGTCTACAATTATACCAAGAGATATCGAGTAAGTGGTTAATTAGCAATGTTTGGCACTGAACTCATTTAATTCTGAATTTTTTGGCTTAATATATTAGATTGCCTCCTGTAAATGTGGAGCTTCGAGAGGAATTTATGATTTTGTTTACACAAATTTATATGACACACCCCAACTTGTTTGTTCTGCTTCATTCTTTAGAGATTCTCTTATCATGAACTTTACAGAGAAAAAACAAGAGAAAGACTTGTCTTTATTTAAAAATCAGACTCCGTTTATCCTATTTCATGGAAGAGAGGTATTAAATGCAACTCATTGGAAATCGAACAATGGCCTTCGAATAGTCACATGTAGTGAAGACACTAAAATCAGAATATTGTCATATGGCGAGGTGAATACCTCACACGAGACATCACCTATTGAGGAAAACTGCAATAATATTTCAACACTTGCAATATTGAACGCCCACGAAAGTAGTGTAAAAGAATTATCTTTACTCGATTATGGAGGTAAGTCCCAATAATGTAGAGTATATCGTTTCAAGGGAAATATTCCATGAATATTGTTGTGTGTTATGTTCTGAATAATTATTGAACGTAGAAAATTCTAAAATTTTAATTTCAGGAGGTGGAAAAGAACAATTTGCAATTTGGAAAATTGAAGAACGTGACACGACATCTTCTATCACTACGGACCTGTTGCTTAACATTAATTTAACGAGTCAATATCTTTCTCTCTTTCATCCTCAAATTTATCAAGATTTTATGAATCGCGAGTCGACTCATCATCCACAACACTCTTTCAAAACCTACCACATGAAAAACAAATCGCGAATGGATATCATTAATTTTAGAATTCTGAGTCTTGATGCATTCTTTTGTACTACAAATTTGGAAGAATTGATCATTCTTGTGGGTAGCAGCGATGGTCTTGTGAAAGTTTTTTCAACTCAAAAGCAAATGAGAAAATTGAAACCCATCGCACATTCATTCCTTCATAATGGTCCAGTACTGTCACTTGCTACTATTCCACTTGAACATGATAGACGGTTGATTTTTTCAGGATCGACCAATGGAAAACTCTATTGTTGCATGTTGGATCAGAAACATATAGAGCATTGTGAGTCAGAATTGAATTTCAAATTGACTTTAATTGAGCCATTCTTTAAGTGTGACGTTCATCAATCAGGAGTGAATTGCATGCATGTTCATCATTTGGAAAATGATCCCTCCATCATTCACGTGTGTACAGGAGGCGACGATCAATCTGTGAATTTGGCAATTTTGAAATTTGAAATGCTGAGCCAACAATTAAGACTAGTATCGAACGTGCATTTGGAGGGAGTTCATAGTTCAGCCGTGAGTGGAGTTTTTTCCACTCCAACAATTCTCTCAGAGAATATTCAAGATCAATTGAATCTTGTCGTATCTATTGGAATTGATCAACGCCTTAATGTCTATTCAGTTTCACCTCAAAGAGAGACTTTTGAGATAATTGCATGCTGTATGAGTGAAGTGAATAACATTTCCCACATGCACGTCATTGAGGAGAAGGATCATTTCAAAGTAGTCATTGTTGGTATTGGAATGCAAATCATCTCAATCCGAAAGGAGCTCATTCAACACCGCTTGAAAAACATCAATTAGTTGAGGTACTTGGCCATTGAACAAATACAAAGAAATGCTGCATTCATGTTAACCAAAGATCTTTGTCGATATATGTGAATGTATTGCCATTTGAAAATAATCGAGTCTATTATTATAATAATTTATTTTCTGCTACATCTAGCAACACGGATCAAGTTCTTGACCAATTTCTTACCGAGTGTGGTGACCTTAGGTCCCTTCTTTCTTCTCACTGCACACTTCAATGAGAGCTTCAACTTCTTAATCAACAACAAGAGTTTCTTTGGCAAGTGTTTTCTTGGATTGAACTTATTTCCAAATCTTTTACGAATGGCAGCAGCCTTTCTCAACAATTGCTTAATCTTTCTCACAGTTCTTCGTTGAACCACAGTGGAGGCAGCACGAGCGACTTGCTTGTTCATCTTTCTTCTGAAAGCAATTCTTCTCAAATATCTCTTCTTGGCAGTCTTTGCAACCTTCTTGACTGCCTTCTTCATAGCCTTCTTAGCAGCTTTCTTAATCTTCTTGATTTGCTTCTTGACCTTTCGTTGTCTCTTTGCAAGCTTTTTGGAGAGTTTTCTTGCTAAGCGACGGGCCTTTCTGGCGACTCTTCTTGAACACTTGGCTTTAGCAATGGCTCTACGAGTTCCCTTCTTCAAGGCACGTTTGAACAACTTTCTGGCCTTACGAGCAAGTTTACGAGCACGACGAGCAGCCTTACGAGCAGCTTTCTTCAACTTTCTGCTAGCAAGTTTTCGACGAAGCTTCTTAATCAAAGCTCTCTTTCTTCTTTGAATGTTACGACGAGCACGACGAGCAGCACGACGAGCGACCTTTCGAGCCATCTTCTTGGCCTTCTTAGCTAACTTGCGATTACGACGAGCAATTCTCTTTGCCTTCTTAGCTAACTTCTTCAACAAACGCTTTTGTTTACGAGCAGCCTTTCGGGCTTGTCGTTTTTGTTTACGAGCTTGACGTTGCTTTCGGGAAACTCTTCTCTTTTGATTTCTTTGTTTACGAGTAGCAGTTCTTCTCTTTTGACTTCTTTGTTTACGAGCAGTACGTCTTTGCTTGCGTAATTGACGTTGTTTACGAGCAGCACGACGAGCTTGACGTCTGGCAGCACGACGGGCACGTCTAGCTCTTCTCTTGGCAGCACGACGAGCTTTACGGGCAGCTTCACGAGCAGCTCTTCGTTGGATACGACGGGCTCTTCGTTGAGCTCTCTTCTTGGCTCTGCTGTTTCTTGAACGACTTGGTCTTTGTCTTCTTTGAGATCTTCTCTTGGAGGAGGAAGAACGACGTTGCTTACGAGCTTGGCGTTTTTGCTTACGAGCAGCCTTACGAGCTTGACGTCTGGCAGCACGACGTTGTTGACGTTTTTGTTTACGAGCAGCCTTACGAGCTTGACGTTTCTCCTTTCTTCGTTGTTGAGCCTTCTTGGCCTTACGAGCCCACTTCTTCACCTTTCGATCGAAAGCTCTCTCCACTTGTTTAATGACCTTTGCAATGGATTTACCAACTTTGGATCCAGTTTGAACTTGATCAGAGACACAAGCTCTCAGAGCCAATGGATGTTTCTTACCCTTCAATCCAGCCTTGTAGCAAACCTTGAGTGCCTTTCGAACTTGTTTCTTGGTTGGCTTCTTTGGCTTTTGTGAACGTTCAATCTTTCTTTCGATATGATCATGCAACAAACCAGTAGCACTTTCTTTCATGTAACTCTTATCGACACACAAACCAGCATTGAAAAGAACATCACGAGGAGCTTCAACAACCAATGAAATGTGACCGAAAGATCCTAACGAAGACTTCCATGATGGATTTCTGTACCAAGTGGCAATCAAATGAGCACCATTCTTAGCAGAGACTCTCATGGAGTTTTCAGAAGTTCTCTTAGCAACAGCATTGTCACCCAAAGTGACATCTTCTCCGATTGGAACTTCACTCTTCTTGCCATTCACATAGAAACTGTTGGTCTCGATATTGTATTCAATGGTGTTGAGATTATTGACCTTGACAGCGAAAGCAGTGTTGACACTGACACTTCCCCATCTTCCAGTTCGAGAGTGAACCACAAAATCTCCATCCATGGAAGAAGCCAAAATGTAGTCACCCACTCCATAGAAATCATAATATTGTCCTTTGAAATCAGTGTAATGAGGATCACCAATGGATTGACACTTTTGAAGAGCGAATGATCTCTTTGGCTTCACCACTGGAATACCCTTTTGTTCATTTTTCTTATCGACTTGACGAGCCCATTTCTTCTTCTTCTTGTCAGCAACCTTCTCGACTTGTTTAATGACCTTTGCAATGGATTTACCAACTTTGGATCCAGTTTGAACTTGATCAGAGACACAAGCTCTCAGAGCCAATGGATGTTTCTTACCCTTCAATCCAGCCTTATGACAGACTTTCATGGCAGCTTTAACTTCTTCTCTGGTTGGTTTCTTTGGTTTATGAGAACGTTCAATCTTTCTTTCGATGTGATTGTGTAAAATTCCAGTAGCAGTTTGCTTCATGTAACTCTTATCGACACACAAACCTGCATCGAATTCCAAATTCGAAGGAGCTTCAACAACCAATGAAATGTGACCGAAAGATCCTAACGAAGACTTCCATGATGGATTTCTGTACCAAGTGGCAATCAAATGAGCACCATTCTTAGCAGAGACAGTCATTGAGTTGTCAGAAGTTCTCTTAGCGACAGCTCCTGAACCAAATGTGAATTCTTCACCTTGTTTAACTTCAGCTGGTTGACCATTCACATAAAAAGTATTACTCTCAATATCGTACTCGATGGTATTTCTATTATTGACTTTGACAGCGAAAGCAGTGTTGACACTGACACTTCCCCATCTTCCAGTTCGAGAGTGAACCACAAAATCTCCATCCATGGAAGAAGCCAAAATGTAGTCACCCACTCCATAGAAATCATAATATTGTCCTTTGAAATCAGTGTAATGAGGATCACCAATGGATTGACATTTCTTCATGGTTGTCGCTGGAACAGGAACTTGTTCTTTAGGTGGAAGTTCATCAACAACTCTTCTTCTTCCATGTTTACGACGTCCCAATTTAACAATTCCATCCACAATGGCTCGAATATGGCGATGATGTTTAGGAACATGATGAACGTGTGGATGATGTACAGGTTGAGCATGATGTCTTACGGCTGCGATTGCTCGTTTAATGAAACCACCTCGAAAACGACGAGCTTCAGTGGAGGTGGAGAGCAAGACGACAGCAACGGACAAGACACTCAACACGAGGAAGAGGATGAGACCTCTGTGGATGTGAGTGTTCATTGCGGTTGTATTGTTCGTGTGTGCGTGTTGATATTTTTTTTTTCGGATGCTGACAACTCGGGAGATAGAGAGCGCTGAATTAATTAGACATTTGCGTGAGGTGACTTGACAGTTGACGTTTCAAGTTTATTTGGGTAGTATTGTGGCAAATGAGGGGGTTGCAAAGTGGAATGACAAACAATCCCTTTGTAGTATTATAACTCTGATGCAGAACGAATCACTTGACTCTCTGATGACTTTGGAAATGTTTTTCAATTACGATCAAATGTTTTTTGTTCATGAACTTGTATCTTCTTAATGATGTATTTCACATCCTTAGATCTACTTTTTTTAAGAAAGGAAAGTGAAACTTGAAGTCTGTTGATATTCGGATTGGTGTCAGAACTGGTGATGAAATGAATTACAAAAAGTGACTCTAATTGTTTTTCTCCTAAAAAAACAGCTGTCATTATTTTCGTTGAGGCACGATCATCAACCATCATCACTCCCGTCTAGATTCCTAAATCCTTTAAATTCTGTCATTCCTAATAAATTATTAATAATTAATAGATGTGGATAGACCAAAGAGCTCTTTCCTCAGAGTTGTCTTAATTTGTGGAATAAGCATCGTTCCGTAATATCAAACACTCACACGATGACGACTCATTCTACTGACAAAAGCAATTTATTTTGAATCTCCAATTGCTTACAGAGTAATTTGTTTTGCATGTCCACAATTTTATGGAATCATTGATGTAAAAGAAGATTTCGCTGTACTTGGATGTTGCTATTTCCTCACTCCAACCCTCCTCGTTTATGAATGGACGATGACTCGTCTTTCTTGAAGTCTTTGATTTTAAAGAAAACATCTGTACAAATGAAGTTGTAAATCGTTAACAATTATTGTTGATTGTTTGTTCATCCTGTTAAAATTCGAAAATTTTTACAAAAGGATTCCTACAATTTAAGTTGCATTGTAAATTTCCAATCAATATCCATCACAGGTCCATAATTTTCATGATGACAACCTGACAGTAGCACCATGTTTGGAAGTGTGGTTTCAGAATTTGGTTCTTTTCCATCCCTCGTTGTTATTCCGTTCGCTCGAGCTTGCTGATGATCATTCAACTGGGTGCCCAGGCTTGCACCCTCCAACGTACATGGTTCGATTGGTAATGTGTTTTATACTTTATCCATTCATCGCCATCCAAAGTAAGAATTAGGACTCTATTCAACAAATTTTCGCAAAGCTTTCCAAGGCTATCAATCTACGGAAGTAATAGAAATCAGCCAGTCTGGAATTCACATCAAAAATTGTTGACGAGTTCAGAATTCTGATCTCCAATCAAAAAAATTGGTTGCATTGTAAACCTTTCTCGGAAATTTTCTGACAATAGCCTCTCTTTAAAATCCATACTCTTTCGTTTGTGTCGGTGTTGTCATTCAAAAAAAACCTACCACTTTTGACAACAACAATTCTCTCTTCATCCCTTATTGCTTGTCAACCATGTCAAAAATTTTTTATTTTGCCTTCCTTATTTTCATTTTCTGTTTTTGTGTTCAACAACAACAACAACAAGTCCACATGGTCCATGCTGAAGAACAACAAGCTGCAGTGGGTTCAATCAAAATTGTCCTTACGAGTACAACAGTCGACAGTGGTTCTTCCTTGTCTGGAAAAGTTGTTGTTTATGACAATTCTGGACAAGTTTCTCAAGTGTCTGGAAAGGTGGCTTTGGGACTCCAAAATACTGGAGTTACTTATACAGGACCTTCTAGTCTCGATCTCCAAAATGGAGTTGCCTCTTTTTCCGTCATCCTTTCTTCTCCAATTACTTCAGATGTCATTTTGTTTGCAGGCTTAACGTTTCAAGGCAGTCTTTACACCGATTCAAAAACTGTAAGAGTGAATAACAGTGTTGGAGGAAATAAGGACTACACAGATTATTGGGTCGGTCAATGGACAATTCAATCAGGTTGTGATCTAACCACTTGTTGTTGTTTGGATGGGCAAGTGACAGTCACTCGTGAAGGTTTGAATTTAGTGAAAATACAATCGAATTTGAAAGGTAGAGGATGTGGAGCTACCTTCATTTCCCTCTACATTGGAGGTATGAATTCCGATAATTCTCTTTCTGCAATTCTTGGCTTCGAATCTTACTCAATTACAAGGAGTGGAAGCACTATTCAAGTGAAAAACCTATCGGCTGACCGCTGCAGTGGAAGTGCCGTCTGTACAACAGCCTGTCCTCGTTCCAGTGCTTCTTCATTGAAAGTTTCTTTTTTAGGTTTTGTTGTCATGTTGGTGTCTTTCTTGTTGTTCGTTCTTTAAAAAGTTGAAATAAAACATATCATTTGCTTTACACAGTGTGATTTCTTGTAAGATATATATTTCATGACTATAACCTGAGGAATCCTGATTCTTTTTAATGCATTCTTATAGATCCAATATGACTATCATTCACGCGTTGATGATTGTGGATTTCCTCAAAGAAGAGAAACAGTTTTGAAAAGAGTCAATACTGTCAATAAAAGAAATGTTGTCAAAGGTTCACATTCAAGACCTGTTTTGGTGAACTGGATGCACCTCGTAAATAGTTGACGAGTTCAGAATTCTGATCTCCAATCATTTGTATCATTGTAAACTCAACCCGAGTGTAAGTTTAGACATGCCTAAAAAATTCTAGACAACAATTAGTAGCGAACCGTCTCAACTAAAACTAAACAGTGACATTTCCAGTGAATTCAGAACCACTATACACCAATACAACGACAAGCCAGGACAGTGTTCTGTAACTACAGTTTTCTGATTTCTCCATGTCTTTCCACTACATGGATCAAGGTCTATTGGTTTCCTAATGACATTCTTGTTCGGTTGAAGCGAGAGTGATTCCAAAAATGGAATGAAAGACAAGCTCCAATTACCGAGTTGGGAATTCACATCAAATATTATTGACGAGTTCAGAATTCTGATCTCCAATCAAAAGAATGTTCTCAATTCTAATGGATTGGCAAACATTTAAAGGCCAAACTCTGTCGTCTTCATTTCTGGCATTCAAAAAAAACAACAACCAGAGTCGACAGCAAGAATTCTCTTCTGACATTTCCGAAATGGCCAAAATTTTATATTCTGCATACCTGGGGCTTCTGTTAGTCATTCTATGTGTGTGTGGTTCACAACAACAATTATTCCACATGATCCATGCTGAAGAACAACAATCAGTGAGTATGATCCAACTTGACACTTCAAGTTCAGCCGTCGATAGTGGTTCTCAATTCATTGGAACGGTCACTGCGTATGACTTTTCTGGAAAAGTTTCCACATTGTCTGGCTATGTTGTGACTTTGAGTGTCGAAGGCTCTGGTGTCACTGTTCGAGGACCTTCTTTTGTGACTCTCCAGAATGGAGTTGCAAGTTTTTCCATGTCCATTTCTACTTCGAGCACTTTATATGTCACCATGAAGGCAGAACTGAAGATTGGACTCAGTTCGTATTCTTATTCAAAAAATTTACTTGTGAATAATTATCCTCGTTCCAATGCTTCCTCGTTGAAAGTTTCTTTATTGGGATTTGTTGTCATTCTTGCATCCTTCTTGTTGTTCATTCTTTAAAAGTTGGAGAAGATGTCAGAAGATTTGAATTGTTGAGAATGAAAACAAAGTCACCATGAGAGATTTGTGTTGAGAGTAAGATGGAATTTTAATGTTGTGATCCATGCTTCGCAGAATAAATAATCCGTTTTCTCAATCAATTGATTTTTTTACAAACGACATGTCATTGGTCTTTCCGCGCATATGCTCCAAAGTCATGATTTCCAAAGATCATCAACTAATTGATGATGGTTCTTACGCTGAGAAGAACACTTGTCATGCTCCTGTCATCCATGTAAAATATTGTCAAGTAAGGCTAACATAATATTAGTGTATCTAATCCTCCTATTCTTCTAAACACTTATGAGTAGTAGCAACAGCATCATCATCATGACTCATTCTTTTTCGTTCATAATACACTACAGCAGCATGTTCATCATGAGGTGACGTTTTTTGATCCGTTTCATCTGACCTTTCACCATTGCCACCATTGCCACTCATACTTTCAACATTTCCTTCTTGTTGTATTGTCATTCCTTCTTCATGATGAGAAGAAGAAGGAGGAGGACGAGAAGACAACAACAAATTCATCTTTCGATCCAACACATCCAACATTTTGAAATAACAACAACAACCGTCTTGAGAATGGACAACTGTGAAATGAGCCAAATAAGCCAAAATGGGAATGACAAAAGATGAATAAAAGACCACACGGAACCAAGACGAGAGGAATGATACAACTGGGAGTGGTGCAGAATGACATTGGAGAGGAGTTGGAATTGTTTGAAGTGTTCTGGTTGTTCATGAAGTGGAGTGGTTGTTGTTGCGAATGACGATTGCTCTTCATGGAAGTGGGTGACACTTTGAATGAGTTTGGTTGGTGATTCTTGTTGTGGTCGTGGTTCTCCGATCTGTGCCACAAGAACAATTCGAATGCATGGATCAAGTGGTGTTCGACATACGAATCGGAATTGTTCATCATCATGAACACCACAAAAGCAATGCTAATTATCATCAAAAGTCTTTTCGATTGGATCATCCTTTTCATACAAAGAGAGGATGACCTAGCATTACTCATCGAGGACCAGTCATACCAGTGTTGATGTTCTTGTTGTTGTTTTTGGAGGATTCTTCTCATTTCGATTAATTAATTTGCAAGAGCAACACAAATATTGGTTGGCTGAGAGAAGAGCTCTTTTTTTGAGAGTTGGAACTCGGCTTTTTGTTGCAAGAATGGATCAATGTCTTCTTGTACAACTCGTTCTCTTGAAGCGGACTCATTGTGACAGGAGGGTCATATGAATAATCAATGGTCCTCCTTGATTACTCGAGTAAGGGAGTTAAAAAGTTCTGAAAGTGCGAGCACAAAAAAAATAAGTAAAAAGGCTACAGCACTACAGGTTCCCAAGTTGTCTCCAACCTCAGTACTGATGCAGCTCGACGATGCTTAACTTCTCAAATCGGACGGGATGAGGTGCATTCATCGTGATATGGCCGTAGCCATCGGTTATCTTGAATTCATTCCTTTAACAGAGTTCCGTTCAAAAACGCCCCAAATTTCGTGTTGTCTATACTCGTTCACAATTTTGAGCTGAATTGTAATTTGTTCAAATTCCAGAAAAAATGTCTGACCCAGTGACTACTGTCCCATTATTGGAAATTCATGCAGACATCATCAAGATGATTTGTAGTGAATATTTGCCTCCTCTTCCAACCTTGTTTTTATACCAGAGAGTTTGTAAATCATGGCAACAGAGTCTGATCACGGTATTGGAAGAACAAGGTCCATCATTATTCAAGCATTTACATTTCGGAATCAACATGTTGACTCCCTTGCTGGCAGTTGTGAGAGAAGATGTTGCCGTTCAAGAAGAAGAAGAGAAAGAAAGAAAGAAATTTCAAAAGAAATCCAGATATGATGAGGAAAATACAAGTGAGAGTAAACCAGAGCAGGATGATGAAGCCACACCAACAGAGATCATCATGGAATCCAATGATGATTTCATTGTTATTGATCGCAACATCATAATCAAACGAAACTCACATACTTACTTTCACTCTTTTTTGGACAGCTTTAACAAATTTGGTATTGGTCAACATGTCCTTCAAATCACTCTTCCTTCGATTCGAATTAGCAATGAATTAATTTATTTGCTGTGCAAATATTTTGTGAATTTACAGCATGTCGTCTTTGCTTTGTGTGAACCAGCTAGCTATCGAAACAAAAATCGATGGGAGAACATTGAATGGAGAAAAATTGGGCTCGAGCTGTCAAAAGAAAGAACAACAACAGATGGCAGTGATGCAATAGTTGCTCCTTATTCTATTACAAAGATTACCTTTATAACGCATCAAAGTATGGAAGAGGAACAAGACATTGACTCGATCATGTATTACCTGTTGGAAACATTCATTCAGAACAAAGATGATTTTGATTTTTATTACGCAAAGGAATCTTGTCCAGATTGGTTGCAATTCATAGATCTGATTGAATATGACGATCCAAATTACATTTTCTTGTTGAAAAGACACTCCATTGAGAATGAAATTCCAAGAGAGGTGCATGCGCAAAGGTTTTTAATTGACATGTCCATGTGGGATGATTTTGACAATGATGAGTTTGATGAGACTTATATACATCCAGTGATTAATATCTTAACAGAAAATTGGAAAGGTGACATTGAACATTTTTACAGAGCTAATGTACTACCGGTTCATTATATTCTCTCATCTCGTTTAGGATACAATATTGGTCACGCTCTAGCTGCATCTTTATGGACGAATCTGCATGAAAACATAAATCATAAAAGATTAACAGAAGAGAATATCACAAAATGGAGAAATGGACAAAAAGTCAAAGATGTAATGGCAGGATTGAAGTATTTAATCAATAGAGGATTGGATGTTGTGAAAAACAAAGACAAGTTCAAAGGACTTTCCATTCTTCAGATGATACACTTATCCGATCAGCTTGTGAAAAGCCAAGATTGGAAAACCTCTTATCCAACACTGCTTGATGAGGTGAAAGAAATGATAAAATTATATTCCGTGATGTCGAATAATGACATTCCAGAGATCATTATGGTTGAAGAGAAGAAACATTCAAAGAAAAGAAAAAAGGAGGAGGAAGAATATGTTTTTGAAGAAGAATCAAACGACGAAGATGATGATGGCGACTATGATGAAGAAGAGGAAGAAGATTACGCACCAAAGAAAAAGAAAAAGTCTTCCAACTCGTCAAGAAAAACATCCAATCGAAAAAAAAAGAAATAACAATATGGAGCTAATTGGGGTTATCACGACTTGTCTATTCGACGATATCTTTTATGTGATTTTTGATTGTTCCAAAACTTGCTTCACATAAGGCATCAACAGAGATGGTCGTGTCAACGCCATGTCATAATCGGCCTCTACAAATTCCCATTTGGTTTTCGAAGATGAATAATAATGAAACAAATCCCGATGCATTTCATGATAGAGTTTAGCATACAGTGGTTGATGTTCTTTCCAATGTGTGCACAATTTTTCCAAGTTCGATGACTCAGAATTGGAACGGACGTTTTGTTGGGACGAGTTGGAATGGACGATGTTTTGTTGAGGAAAAATTCCATTCTCTTCACAAGTACCATTCATGAGAAAACGAGAGGTCAAAATAATCAGTGGAATTGGATAATGTCGAATGGATCTTGTTCCATTATACATCATTCTGTTCATAGATTCATATTTTTCGAAGAACCTGCCATCTTTCATTTCTCTTCTCAAAATTTTCATGTGCTCAAATACGGAAGGCATTTCAAACGTTTCACTCCAACATGCATCCACATAATTGGTGAGATGTAAGATTGAAGCATATTGAATAGAAATATTCGAATTAGGTTCTTGAGAAAACATTGGAAACGACAAGACATAGGATTTCACACCTCCTAAATAATATCGTGCATAGAGTCCTTCCTGATGCGAATTCAATTGCCCTATTAGAGAAGGGAAAAGCTGTGTCAATCCCAAGGCCGTCACATATCTCAGAGAATTCAATTGATTCACAAAATATTGTCTCCTATTCGATTCAATAATTTTCATTTTCACGGCCATTTCCTCTTGTTGCTCATGAGCAGGATGTAACAGAATTACACCTCGCAATAATTTAGGATAATAATGCAATAGAGTTCGAGTGGTAAAAGTGGCGCTCGAATGTGAAATCATGACCACCGGTTGACCCAAAAAATTGTCCTTCATTAAGGAACCCACTTCTGAGGCTGTGACATTTCCCAAATTTCGTGGAAATGGACCCGAATTGGAAAAACCATATCCACCTCTTTCCAAGACACACACACGAATATTATTCTGAGCCAACAGTGACATGAAATCGTGATAGTAACATTTTGGACATGCAATTCCCACATCGGCATCCAACAAGACAATATCATCACTTTCTTGCCGCCCTTCGCAATACAAATGAAGTTGAAAACGAGAACTTTTTGGAGGTTTGATCGTGACCATGGTGGCTGCTCCTCCACTCTGCAATGAATAGGAGAGAGTTTTCGCAGTGAAAACAGACTGCATGGCCAAAAGAAGAAGCAAACCAAACAAAACCAACCACATCAAAATCATGCACAAAAATTTCACTGAAAATTTCACAAGGGTCCAAAAATCCCATTTTGCCACCAATTGATGATGATGAGCTAATTTTTGGAGAACGTACTTGTTGTTGTGTCGAGCTATTATGTATTCATGCATTGAAATGAAAAAGAAAGCTAAAATGGAAATGAAAAAGCAACAAGCAAACCAACCGGACACTCGATCATTTCCCAAAAAAGCATCACAGACAAAAATGATGAAAATTAAAATGAAACAAGCGATTAAGGTGATGCATATGACAATGAATCCTACCAATTTCCATTCGTAATACATGAAGGGAGAATAATAGTGAATGGTATGTGGTCGTGAATCGGAGGATGGAACTTGTTGAATCTGAACTCGTGGTTGTGCAGATGAATTTTGAAATTGTGAAGAAGAGTTTTGAGTTTGATTTTTCAATATTGGTTGCGGAGAAGTTATTGAATATTTTCTTGAATACGTAAGGGATTCTCTTCTTTCCATTCGATTCAAATACATTTTTCGACAACACACATAAAAACAATAGGTCATGAACACATCTCCAAAACCGTCCCAAATAAATAAGGTATTTAAAATCAAAAAAGCAATACTGAGCCACAGAACATTTAAAGCATTTCCACCAGCAAAAAATCCTTCATTTTGGGTGCTGTGAATAAGTGACACTAAAAAGATAACGATATAAACAATTTCCATATATAGTAATGCCAGTGTTGAGAATTTAAAGATTCCGTGAATGCAGTTCCACCATGATCCTGAAATTTTTTGTTTTCGATGAGATATATGTCGACTCGATGAAGAACCCGGTAAGAAGGGACTTATAATTTTTGATAATTTTGGAAAAGTTGTGTCTTGTGAAGTTTCCCTATTTCATCCACATTTAAAGAAATTGAACTTGTCACAAAATTTGCATAATATTCAACGTACCATCCAATGGTCTTGTTTTTTTCACCATCCTCAGTCGTCGTATGGGCCAGAAATGGCGTTTTTTCCTTAATATATTTGATCAATCGCTGTTTCACGGAAGTTGCTTGTGGTTGTGACGGACCTTCAGAAACTATTTTTTTTGGAATTTGTTGAGAGTGCTGTTGTTGTTGTGATTTATCTTGTTCCTTTGGTGGTCGAATCGTCACAGGAGATGATTTTGTGTTCCTTCCTTCTACCTCATCCTGAAGATCCTCATTCGAAGGACTTTTTGGTTGCCGATTCAAAGATGGAAACGACCACTCGGAACTTGGAACTGCTGCATCCTGTAGATGACCAGAGGAAAACTCCAAGTTCACTGGCGGAGGAGGTGACGAGCTCGAAATTGTTTTCAAATCATTCGTGTCATCTGCCTCATTCGAAATTTGTGATGTTTGTCTGTAAGGACTCTCTTGTGCATGTTGAGAAGGTTCCACCTCCACTCGATCAATTCGGAATGGATTTTCATTCTCACTCGAGAAGACTTCATCTTGTTGATGCTGATGAAATCGAGGAAGATGATCCTCAATAAATGCATCGCGAGTGGCTGTTGCATTTGTTGTTGTTGTTGTTGATAATGATGATGAGGATGGTGGTGGTGAGAAGGAGGGACATTCCTTTGGAGAGAAATTTCTCTTGCTGTTGTGGAGTGGTTGAATCGACATGGACAAAAGTTGATGTTTCGAGGCTTCTTTCAAGCGACTTTTAAGCGTGTGGTTGAGAATCATGATCCAGAAGACGTCGAGCGAGAAGAACCCTTTTGAAAAGGAGAATAGCAAAATGTTAGAAATTGTGTTTTTGGACAATCTCCTAAAAAGTGAATTTCTCTTCGAACGGTGATAAGGTCGAATGGATGTTGGGACTTTTGAAGGTTTTGAGAAGAATTATAACAATAACTAGGGTAACGTTTGAAAATAATGGATTGTCTCATCTGTGAGGAGCTTAAACAATGGAATGAACTACATTCAATGAATGGACTGTCACTTGCCATTGACCTCGGTCACCCTCGGAATAAATATTGCGCGTTAATGACATGAAGCAAGAGATTCAGTCACGGACTTGGCATGTCAGTTCCATTTTTCGAACACCAAAAGCTAATGCTACTTTCAAAGCATCCTGTTTCCTTCTGCCACTTGTCACTTCCTTCATTTCCGCGTTCAACCACTTTTCTAAAATCAAGTTCGTTGCGATTGTTCACTTCCAAACCACTGTTCAATTCTTCATTCTCAAATCCATAAGGATGATTACTACATTAAAATCGCAGAATCGGTCTTATTTTCATTCATTTAACAAAAAAAACAAAAGCATCACGTGCGTCCAAAACACGATTCTGAACCACACAACAACTCCCTCCAACATTTGACAGTCAAACAAACACTTCATGGTTCATTCAAAATTGTTCTATCTATTCACGTCGTCGTCAAAACTCGAAATTCTTGACTTTGAAATTTCACAAACTTTGAAAGCATGCTTTGTGTGGTTCACTATTGTCCCTCCAACAAGACAATGATGAATCACTTATTATTGAAGAAGCCATCCCATTGTCCTTCCTCCTCTTTAGAGTCTTTAAATAGTAACAGTTGTGGAAGGAGTATTAACAATAATTCTTGTTCTTATTGTTGTCAGAGTGATTCGAATTTGATGACGTCGCGTTCACAGTTGAACTTGTCGGTGGATTCATCTTCACGAAATGTTCAACAGAACAACAACAACATGTGGTGCTCCAAGACGAAGAAATCGAATGACACATGTCCTTCACAAGATGAAGCAACATGCTGTGACCCAATGAAAGGAGAAGGAAACATGTTTGCTCACTCGGTGTCATACCTGTCACATGCCAACGTACCTTATGTGCATCCCTTATCCAACTGCATCTCCTCTCATAAAAACATGCTTCCATCATCCACACCACATGCAAGTCCCGTTCAAGCCTCCATGCATGCTTGTTCTTCACCTCCATCCACGTCAGCTCAAACCACTCACATGCCCGAAAAGAAAAACTCTCCATCGAAATCTTCAAAATCTTCTCGTCGATCACCTTCTCCAAAAACAAACCATCAATCTCCTTCCAATTTATATCATGGAATCAAAAAGCAACACAAAACTTCAAAAGTTTCTTCTTCGTATTCTTCAAAAAGTAAAATCAGTTTGAAAGCTTCAGATTTGATTCGAGTGATGGCTCTTCCTCAATCGATGGCTGCGAAAGAGTTGGGAGTGAGTTTATCGACACTAAAAAGAAGATTCTATGATTTAAAGATGGGAAGATGGCCTGGATTAGCAAATCCAACTGGATATTCACATTATTGTTCGAGCTTGACAAGTGACAGCACTTCGGTGAATTCCAACGATAGCTCAAGTTCCAATCTCTCTAGAAAAGCAGAATTGTCGTACATTATGAATCCAACAAATTTGGATGAAAGTTATTTGGATCAGATTGCTCTTGCAGTACTGAACATTAGCTTTAAACAACATGTCTTTAAATAAAAAAGAGAAATGAAAGAAAAGAATGTTCTGTCGAATGTCAACCTTGCAGGTATGAATACATGAAGGTGTTGAACAAGATTTTGCAAAGGCATTGGAGTGGTATCAACAAGCTGCTCTTCAAGGAAGTGTGGAATCACAATCTGAACACGTTCGATTGTAGGTCCAACTCGTTAATGAAAGGATGATTTGATACTCGCAAACATGATCAATCATTTACTCTTGTTTCAACAATTCACAAATTCTGTCCAGATCAGGATGATTTTCAATATATGCTTTTGTTTCCTTTTCGAATATGGCCACTAATTCATCAGAGATTTCATCTAATCCGTAATCGCCCAACTTGGGTACATTTAAACGAAAATATTCACACAAAGATTTTCCTTCCTTGAAGAATTCAAGTTGAGCACTAGCCATTTTGTGAATTCTTTCGCTACTTAGCTGTAAATTGACTACCGATAATAAAGTATTAATGGTTTGTGAAATTCCCTTAAATACTTTTGAAATTCCCTTCTTCTTCGTCTTGGTGGTAGGGCTAATATTTAAATTCACTTCCTCGTCGCCATCATTACTTTGCTGACTCGATTTACCTGAAAGAGCTCCAGTTCCTAAGCTAATGAATACAAATTTGTCGTGATTTGGGAAAATTTGTTTCGTTTCGTAGAGAGCAATTGAGGTTGGGTTATTGGCAACAACAGCTCCATCGATACATTCCGTGTCTCCAATTTTTCTAGGTTTGAAATACATGGGAGCAGCAGAGGTTGCTCTCAGAGCATCGGTACAAGTGATTCCCGCTCCGGTTGTGGTACCTCTGTAAAAGGTGGGCTGTTTTTTGCTCGATGAATCTCCATTTTTTACTCCAAACTCATACGGATCACTGTAGGTTCTGAGAACACAGGCCGTTGGTTCATCGAGATTCATCTTGGGATTTGTGGACTTGTTCATTGTGGTCACAATAAAGGTCAATGGCTTTTTGACATGCATGTGATTCAATTCAACATCTTGACTTAATTTGAGAGAGGAGAGCTCGAGAGGATATCCATCGTACCAGGATCTTCCTCGTAGCACCTTCATGGTTTTAACAAAGGACTTGTTTCGTGTGGTTTTCAAATCAAACACTGTTCTTCCAATCTCAATATAGATTTCCTTTGCAGCCTTCATTGAAATTCCTCTATTGATTAGAAGAGCACAAATTCCGCCTGTGGATGTACCCGCGACAATGTCGAAAATATCACAAATTTTCTTTCCTACTCGCTCTTCAATGACTGTAAGAATTTCAATGAGAATTAGCCCTTTCATACCACCTCCGTCCATTGTGAGGACCTTCACAGTTTTACCCTTCTTCTCTTGTCTTAGATACTCAAAATTGGTTACCAAATGTCCATCCACGTTTTTCCACAAAACAGCCGATGGATCATTGTAGTCAACATCCAATTCAGGATCTTCCACTTTCACATTGAATATTTTTCTTCTTCTATTCTTTTTTTCCAAAACTATTTCTTTGAGGAAGGTTGGTTCTGGGAAATGAATTTTTGTTCCCTCTTTGTGGAAGAATTTGGACTTTTGCTTGATAGGGTCGTAATTTTCCTGTAAATACTTCTCTGCCCAGAACCATCGATCCAGAGTTTTCAAAATATAATAGTCCATTTTGTATTCTTCTTTGAAATTGGGACACTGCTCGAGAAGTGAGTTGATCAAATTAAGGAGATAGGTGTGGTTCTTAATTTCTTGTTTCTGATGGAATTTTCTATACTTTTTCAATAACAAACGTTTGGGAACATAATACAAGAAATTAACATCTCTCATTCGTTCCTCTTCAATCATAAGATCAAGATAGTCCAACGGATCCAAAGTTGGATTTTTTGGTTTTTCTGCAGATTGAGGTTTTGGTGAATTTAGGTCCTCTTTTGAGCCACTTGAAGAGCTATTGCTGGTCACTTGATCTTTTTGAGAGTGAGTCACTTCCGATGATGTCTCGGCAGTTGTTGCTGTACCATTATTGGTAACAGGACTCTTATCAGTGGAGGAGGATTTTGCTTGCTCCTTTTCTTCTTTTTCCTCTTTTTCTTTTCTCTTCTTTTCAGCCTCTCTCCATTCTCTAAAGTGATGAACCAAAGTTTTAGGAAGCACATTCTTGCTCTTGATCTTTTTGCCTGACAGTTTTTCTGCAACCTTTCTGGCAAATGAAAATGAATGGCAATTATAGTATGAGTAGGTATATTTTGTGTTAAACTCGTTAATAATTGCGCATGTCGCATCGATAATCTTCGCCACTGGCTGCTCCGGTAATGTAAATTCAATCGATGGGCAATCCACTAAATCACTTTTCTCAACAGTAAACTGATGAACGAGTGAATCCTCGAGCCACACATACATCCTGTTAAATATTTTCACTCCAAACTTGAAATAATCCAAATCTTTTGTCCACATATCAGAAATAATTCTTAGTGGCTCAAATTTTGTGAAACATGCATCAATGTCTAAAAAGACCAATTCGATAGTGATCGAGCGAACCTCTGACTCTGAGGTAAATCCTAGAGAGGGAGTTATTGGAGCCACATTGAAGCTTTTCACTCTTCGATGAGCTTTCTTTTTATCGATGGGAGAGAAAACGTTCTTGTTTAAGCCTCGAACACTTCCACTTCGTTTCATGTGAGATCGTGACACGTCAAAGGTGGAGGAACCATTGACTGGAAGTGACATTCCCAGTTGTGAAGTGTCTGAGTTGGACGTTGAAGGAGAGGTTATGGCAGAGGAACCGGGTGTCAATTCTTCATTTCCGAGCATGAATCGAATATCACCTTCAGATTGATCAAGAAGAGTAGCGTTATTGGTAAAGTCGAAGGAGTTTTGTTCTTCGTTGTTGATGCTTGCTGCGTCACGGAGTATTTGTTGTTGTCGTCTTTGAGGTGGAGTATTTATGGGCAGGTTGTCTTGAGAGTCATTACTACCATTCGAATCGGTTGTTGTGCTGGTGGCAGTTGTTGAGCCAATTTGTAGGCGTTGAAAGGCAGAAGTATCACTTTGTACTCTCCGATGAGGATTTGTGGATGAATATTGATAAGTTATGCCGGTCGTTTCGTTGCTATGGTTTTGTTCACTAGCCAATGAATTGTTTGGTATATTATTGAGGTTTGAATTGTTTTCCAATAAGAGCACAGCTTCTTGATGTGCACGGTCATGTTGAGGAGTAGGAGGTTCTACCTTAATATGATGGGGTGGATGATGATGCTCTGAGTTCAGAGTGGTTACGACTGCTGTTGATGATGATGGTGCAGACGATGATGAAACTACTGTATTTACAGGAGAGGGTTCATTGGTGTCGGTTCCGTTATTATTATTATTAACATTATTACTGGTTAATGAGCCATTATTCGTAGTAGTAGAATTGCTCAGAGAATTGGAAGAAGGCAGCATGGTCTTAAGAGCGTCCTTTCTATTATTTTGGAGTTGTTGGTGATGGTGATGATGATTAGCCTGTTGTTGAATATGATCTCCAATTTCAATTAAGGCTCCAGTTACACTACCACTTCTACTACTTCCAATCACGGGAGTTGCTGCTGAGGTGGCGGTTGAACTCGATGGTGCGGTTGTTTTTTCTGGTGATGATTCTGTTGTTGATGATGAAGATGATGAGGATCCAGCACCATTGCTGAGTGCACTCACATTCATTTTGAGTGGATCCGACCCAATATTATATTGATGGTGGTCATTACTGGAAGGCTTGGAAAATGAAGGATCCGTTGAAGATGAAACATTTGGTGATGATGATGATGTTGTTGTGGAACTCATAAAAGCCTTCTCATAGGGCGTGTAAAAGTAGTAAATTTTGCAATTATTCAAATTCTCAACAACAGCAGCAAAATTAATGTTCTGGTGCTGCTGATTATTTGCACTACTACTTGGCTCGGAGGTGTTGTTGTTGTTGGTGGTGGTGGTAGTAGGTGTCTGCATCAGAGAGCCTGTAGTTGTTGTTGCTGTAGTTGAAGAGGGTGGTGTTGACTGTATGAGAAAATGGATAGCATCATCCTCCGCTGAAGAAGCAGAAGTAAATAAGGAAGAGGCTGAAATGATGGCAGCACTCGATGAATGTTTCTTATTGTAGGCATGAGAAAGGAAGAGTTTGAGAGCTGATTCCTCTTGAAAAAGCGTTCCGTTCATATCATTCAAAAAGATTCCCGAATTGGGTGTTCTCGGGTGCCAGGGTTGTTGTTGTTGTTGCTGAAGAGCAGACTGAGAGGAAGAAATGGACAAGGAACCAGCAGCCGCACTCGACATTGAGGATGCCAATGATGACGAAGCAAATGAATCCAGAGAAAGGCTTTGAGAGAGATGAATTCCATGGTTGTTGTTGTTGATGATGTTGCTCAAGCTCGTGGTGTTGTTGTTAGGACTATTATTATTGCCTTCTCTCATTATGGAACGATTATGTCTTCTTTTCATCCTCATGGCTGTACTTTCCAAAGAGGTGTAGTGAGTGAGATAGATGGGTGAATTGGATACTTTGGAACGTAGTGTCGAGAGGAGATGGACATCGTTCTTGTGAGGCAAAAGAATGTTGTACTTTTGCGAGGCAGTCGTGTCTTCGTCTTCTTCGTTATAATCCATATTCGGTTCTGCATCCTCATCATCTTCTCCAAATTCATCATCATCATTCGAGGAAGATGAGGACGATCCTTCTCTCAGTTGTTGTGATGGTTCTTGTTGTGATTCTTTCCCAGAAACTTCTTCCGAAGAAGAATTCAATAATGATTCTTGTTGTGATGGTTGATTGACTTTTGTGGAGGATAATGTCGATGATGATATCATGTCCTTGTTGTTGTGATTGTGATTCTTTTCTTCTTCTTTGTTATTTGTGTTGAATGACTGTTGAGTGGTTGTACCAAGTTCAGAACTTGTTGTTGTTGTTGAAAAGGTGTTGTTGTTGCTATTGAGGGATTCTGTGGTTGTCCTTTCGAGTCCACCATCGGTAGAGGCCGTTATTGTTGTTGTTGTTGAAGGGTTGTTCATGTTCTTGGTTGGTGATGATGTTGTCATCATCATCTCAGTACCGTTGGTGAGGGTTGTCATCACCTCTGAGTGATTGTGAGTGGCAGTGGTGGCAGCTGTATCAATCGTATTGTCCGTGAGTTTCGGCGGAAGATTTGTGTTCTCAGTTGAAGATGATGATGAGGCAGGAAGTGTTTCTGTAGGACGCATCTCTGTTGTCATTTTGTGGAATTATTGAAGAATCCGAAAGGGCTATTCGAGTTTCACAGCCGTTTCTCTTAGATTTTCACTGAGGAGATTTCCACACAACACGACGTCGAGAGAGGGTGAGCAGTTTTTTTTTGTCCAAGTATGCTTGACAAGTGACTGACTTGTGTAAGATTTTTGCAAGTATCAAATTTGTAGGAGCCGTCGTACAAAATATGGTGATGACTCTCGACGAATAACACCTTGTTTTTTGCGTTGCATTTTGAATGAATTTTGGGCGTTCTCTCAAAGAGAGGGTTTTCACATCATTGGTTTATGAATTTCATTCTTGTTTGAAAATGCATGGATTGACAAAGGGTTGAAACTCCATAGTAAACTTTACCACTTGGTACTAATTTAATTGGATCAAAGTTGAGAGTCCATTTATTTCACTCCTATGATGATCACACTTCTATAGCAGTTTCATAATAAACATGACAGCTTGGAGCCACTGTTGCATTTTCCGTCCACTAAGGGATAAATGTTGTCACAGCATCTATCGACACAACGAGAAGCCAAAATATATCCTTTTATGTTATTATGATCACACACTTATCTTTTTAATGGGCGAGTAGTATAAAGAGAATGGACCATTTCTTGCTCAAAGGAAATTATGTTGAATCAATAGTTGCTGATATTGTTTGCTTTGATTGAAAAAGAAGAATTAACAACATAATGATTTCTTTTCAGATATTGTGGAGGCGTATTTGATGCTATTCGATATGTGGCAGTGGTACGAAATTAATGCTTTCACAATGCTATTGGGGGAGTCTGTGCGTTTCATGGATGAGAGCCGAAGAATGATGAAAGATAAATTTTTTGGGGGCAGAAAAAGAGTCAAAGAAATCAGTTCAATTAATGAAAAGAGCAGATTGTTCCTTAGTTTGCTCTGCTTCTTGACCTTGTTCAATAATGAATTGGATATCGTCTCTTGCGAACCTCCTTCGATCTTGTTAGATTAAAAAAATGAACGAACGCATGCTCTTGTTTTTTCTCTGTAGTCTTATTCTCTTTTTTTCCATGTTTTGTTTCTATCCGAATCTGGTGAATCGATTGAGAGAGTTATCTTCTCTTGATAGTTTATCGGAAGTCATCGAGCACATTGTATGGAAATCAAAACACCAAAATATTCACTTTTTGATGGAGATGTGTATATTTATTGGCTGTGTGATTGTGATACCGTATTTTCATATCGGAAAAACATATAGAGACGCTGTGGAGGGAAAATTGGTGGGATATGGCTTATTTCCATTGTTAAGTTATTGCATCGGAATGTATTTTGATTTGGGAGCAGGATTCACGGATGGTACAGTTGTGGTCCGGTCCATTGCTCAGCAACAAAAACAAATTCAAGCTTTATACACTGATTCCAGACAAGATATTTTGACTTTTTCAAAGCCTTTTTCTGTATTTCATGCGTGTTTACTCACTAACATTCTAGCTTTATATTTTGAGGATAATTTGCAAATTATCAAAGTTTTAATTTTCGGAACATATTCAGCAGCTTTGAGTATTTATTGGCCGATTTCTTCAAAGTTTACTGCCCAAATTTTGAAAATATCTGATTTGAAAATGGCCATCACTCATTTTGATATTGGAGTGTTGACGAGGTGGCTGAGCCCTCACGAGTTTTTCTCTTTATTTATTGTAGTCATCATTGGATTTTTGGTGTTTGAATCTACATTTTCGGTGTGCAGAAAGTTTTCCCCTCACTCTTTCACATTTGGAGAGAGTATTATTATGAGCAATGTGATGAGTATTTGTTTTTTGAGATTGGTAGATTTGTCTCTTAATGCTCATCTTCTCATCGCAGATGACGTTTCCATGATTGAAGCTTTCATAGAATTAATGGTCTTATCGACTGTATTTTTCGGTGTGACTTGCTATTTGGTATTTGTCAAATGGACTCGACGGAAATATAACACTACTACAAATTATGTAGCCTATGCAGTCGCATATTATTCGATAGTTTTAACGTTCGTGACACAACGCGTGCTGTTACCAGAGGAGACAGCTCACTTAGTGAAGTTGGACGTGAAACATCCAGTTCTGTGGTTGTTGGAGTTTATCTTTCTCAAAGACATTTATCATGTTTACTATTTGGTGTATTGGCTTGCCTGTATTTTCATAATATTTGTTATCATGAGTTTTTCAAGAGAAATTCAAGTACCTATTGATACGTCATCGCCACCAAGAAATGACTCATCCAATGCCTCAAAGAAACATCACACTACAACATCCACGAATGAAAAATCTGAGATCTCAAAAGACATGGAAACAAAAACTCATCGAGACATGATACTTCTCTTTGGAGACCGTATTAGAGTTCCAAAAATTATTTATCGAAAATTTTTCCACATTATGGCAGTAATTATGTTTGTTCCTTGTACCATTCAAAAACCACTGTTTATGTGCCTCAGTTATGCAGTCGCGGTTTGCTTATTTTTACTCATTGAGAGCTTTCGAGTTCAATTTATCACAGAGCACGATAATAACCATGTAGCAAAGGCTCTTCACTTTTATATCAAGCAATTCACAGATAGTCGAGATTCAGGTACCTTTATTTTAACTCATATTTATCTATTAATTGGGTGCATGATACCGACATGTGTGGAAATTTTCAGTCATGAAACTACAATCAATTATCATAGGACACTCTCTGGCGTGCTAATACTAGGCATTGGAGACACCATGGCTTCTATAATTGGATTCAATTTTGGAAAAACGAAATGGAATTATCCTGCAAATACTCGAAAATCCATTGAGGGAACTATTGCATCATTTATTTCTGTTTGTGCCATTGCTTTTCTAGTAGTTCCAACACCTTCATCGTCCAAGCTCGAAATTCTAAGTTATATTTTCTGTGCATTCTCTGCCAGTGTTCTTGAAGCTTACACCGTTCAAATCGACAATTTGATCTTACCAATATTTTTCTACACGTTACTATGCGCATTCTCAACAGTATATACCATTAAGAGCAAATTATTAGTTCCTATTTGGAGAAGTGGATGGTTTTAAAACATTGGTAACACTGAAAAATGTTGATCTCTCAAAGAGTATGCATTTTATGACCAGTTATAATTTTTAGCTGTCAATTCTGACTCGCAAAATGTATCGACTTGAGCTCAGTCATAGAAATGATAAGGATCGAACAGCAACACTGTCCGAATGGATTTGAGCGGTTATGATCATAATTGTATACAATGTTTACAGAACTGACCAGGTTCAATCTAATCGTGAAAATGTGTGATATTCTCAATTTCAAGATTGAAATTCTCTGAAAATCCATCTTATTTCTCGGCGAGTGATCTTTTTTGCACGACGTATGGCTGCGACCTCAAAGATCTTCAAGTCCTAAAACGAGGTTCAAATTAGAATTGAGGTTTCGCATTCAATCTCACACGTGTGGTTCCGAGACCTAGATTGGTCAATGCACAGAAAACAACGTTTCTGTCTCTTGATGATACATTGTTACAGTACATCTCCAAGTTGAAAATCAAACACAAAGTCATTTTCTCCGTGGTGTGGTTCCAATTCTTCTCCAACCCTTCACCGATAAATTCAAACTTCTGATTTTGATTTATTTGAAAAAAAACAAAAATGAATCCTCAAGCGCACACAAGCACGAACAGAACGACAACGACGATGAACAGTAAAAACAATAACAATAATTCATCGACCACTTCGGAAGAACACGATGTGTATGACCATTTTCACGTGAATTCTTTCGAAAATGGGAAAAAGAAAATAAATAGAGCAGAAGAAGAAACAAACAATAGTCAACTGGCCTTTATTAATGACGGAGGTGAAGATGACACGATAAGCTTGATCAAGACTTCAGGAGCATCACATGAAGAAGAGCCATCACCACCTTCCTCTATGTCGACAGTAGAGCAGGATTCTTCTAATGTGGTCTATTCATGGGTTTCTTACATCATGTTTTCTCTGATATTTCCAGTTGTACGTCATGCGTTTAAACAAAAATCTGTAGATTTTCAAAATCTGATTGAAATACCAACGAGCTGGAAATTTTGTCACACCACAACAGATTTAGAACACATTCTATCAAGGAAAAAGATTACAAACTCTCGACAATTATTTTTCGAATTTGTCAAATTATACTGGAAGAATTTAGCAGCAAGCATGATTTTCAGGTTGATCGGATTGGCGTGTGAAGTTGGTAGAGTATTCGCTTTGGAACGAATTTTTCGATATACAGAAGACGTATTATCGAAACAAGATGAAAATTCTAAGGTGAATGTCTTTTCATGGGAAGTATTGGGATATTTGAGTGGTTTTTGTCTTGCCATGTTTGTATGTAAATGTCTAAAATCTGCAATGGGATGTTATGGAGTTATGGTATTGCAGCAAATTGGTCATTTCTCTAAGAATTCTCTGTTGAATGCCATCTACAAAAAGTCATTAAGGCTGAGTTCGATGGGAAGAAATACTTACACAAGTGGTACAATTATGAATATTTGCACTACGGATACATCGAGACTGATTTGGTTTTACTATCATGTTGGAATGTTATCTTCGGTTGTTTTCACACTCATCACTTGTGTGGGTCTCGTGTATTACTTTATTGGCGTTTCCGCTTTTGTCGGATTTTCAATGATTCTGGTAATTATTCCACTTTCATATGTATGTATGAACTATCAGGAGAAATTAGAAGAAAAGGTCGAGGCTTTCCAAGACAAGAGAAGTGAAATTATTTCACAAATGGTTTCTTGCATGAGATTTGTGAAATTGTATGCTTTGGAAAAGTTGTTTAGAGACAAAATTATGAACATTCGAGATGAAGAAATGAAGACTTATCGAAAGGCCTACATTTCTGTTGGAGGTATTAATGCAATTTGGTACTTTTACATTCCATCTATTACATTTTTGGGCTTCTTGCATTTTTGCTACTTTAGAGAACAAACATTAACCATGACCATTGCTTTTACCGTATTGACTATTTTAGACACTGTTCATTTTGAAATGATTTTCCTACCAGAGAGTTTAATTGACATTTCTAAAACTTGGGCAAGCATGAACAGAATTTTGAATTTTTTAAATGCCGACGAAATCGAGCCTCAAGAAAATAATGAAATGGCTGGTGAGCATGAAACGGCTCCATTCAATGAAGAAGATGAAAACGCTCCCATTATTTCATTCAAGGATGCCACTCTGGCATGGGAACAAGATGAACCTGTTTTGAAGAACATTAATTTGGATATTAAGAGAGGTGAATTTTGCGTGGTTATTGGTCGAGTGGGACAAGGAAAAAGTTCTATTCTATCTTCAATTTTGGGCGAATTGAAACCCATTTCAGGAAGCATTGAAAAACAACCAGGTTGCTCCTATTCGTATGTTTCTCAAGAATCATGGATTAGAAATGAAACCATTCGAGATAATATCATGTTTGGAGAGAAGTATGATGAGGAGAAGTACATGAACGTTGTACATGCGTGCAGCTTGGAGACAGATTTCTCACAACTAATGGCTAGTGATTTGACAGTCATTGGAGAGAAGGGTATTAACTTGAGTGGAGGTCAAAAGATGAGAGTTTCTCTGGCAAGAAGTTTCTACTCTGACACGGATGTTTATATTTTGGATGATCCATTGTCTGCAGTCGGTAAGTGAAATAATATCTTAACAATCTCTCTAATTCTTAATTCTCTCTAATTCTCAAACATATTTTCAAATTTGGAAAGAACAGATGTTCACACAGCCGACCATATTTTGGAGTATGGTATCTTTGGATTGCTGAAAAACAAAACTGTTGTGATGGTTTCCAATCATATTCACTTCATTCAGAAAGCTCATAAAATTGTTGTCGTAGAGAGTGGATCTATCACTCAACAGGGAACTTTTGACCAATTATACAACGACCCAACCAGTGAGTCTTTCAGAAATTTGATTAATGAATTTAGTAAGGTGAATGCTGAGAAGGCCGAAAAGGAAAAAGAAGAAAAAGATTTGTTCGATTATGCAAACACCCCTGAAGATGAAGGTAATGACTCTTCAGATGTTGTCACACTCCCTATGAACAACAACAATCATGTTTCTCGCAATCTTGCAACAACCTTTAAGCCTCTACCTTACGACAAAGAATTGATTGCCAAGTACAGCATTACAGACCAAGAGGAAGAAAAGTCAAGCGGCCTTTCCATCAAAAAGATTTTGATTTTCGCTGTGGGTGTTAGTGTACTTTCATTTGCAAGCTTGTGTCTCTTTGGAATTATTCAAGAATTATTGGATTTAGGCCATCACTATATTCTCACTTTGTGGAGCAGTGACGAAGAATACAAATCTCACTCACTACTCTTCTACTTGTTGGGATATTCCTTAACCTCAGCAGCATTTATAGCAGTTGACAGCTTGGGAGCTTTTGTTGGCTTGGTTCATTATCTCAAAACGGCCAAAATTTACCACGAACGACTCATGACGAGTATCATTAATACCACCATTTCATTCTTTGACACTACCCCACTTGGAAGAATTGTGACTCGATTTACCAAAGATACCAATGCTATTGATGGAGAGGTGAATTGGAGATTGAGAGAGATCATACCAAACCTCATGTTCTTTGTGGGTGGAATAATTTTCGTTGTGGTTGTTTCTCCTTTCTCGCTGTTGGCAGTTGTGGTGTTTGGACCAATCATTTACTTTATTCAAGTATATTATAGAATTTGTTTGAGAGAGTTGGAATCTATTGGAGGAATTGTGAGCAGTCCTGTAAATTCACACATTGCAGAAACAATTCAAGGTCTTCAAACTATTCGAGCTTACAACAAACAGAAATTTGTATATGGTTCGTTTGTGAAATATGCAGAAAATGATTTAAGAGCCAACTTCAACATTGACTGTATTCACAAGTACTTTGAGATTCGAAATGATTTGGTCTCTGCATTGTGTATTGCTGCAATTATTCTCATTAGTGTTATTAGCTTCCCAGGATCCATGGTTGGTATGATCGTCGTGCAGGCTTCGTCTAGCTTTGATTCATTCTATTGGATTCTTTACTTGTACGCGTTGACAGAGAAGGACTTTGTGAGCGTGGAAAGAGTTGAACAATATTCATTTCTGGAGAGTGAAAAATATGAGCCAAGAAATCCGCAAGTTGATACCACTAATTGGCCACAACATGGTGAAATCATTTTTCACAACGTTTCTATGAGATACAAATTACATAATGAAAAGAAAAATGGCAACCCTACAGAGAAGAAGAACAAGTTGGTATTGAAGGGAATCAATGCTCACATTAAACCAAAAGAAAGAGTGAGCATTTGTGGTAGAACTGGTGCAGGAAAGGTTTGTTTGAAATTTTTTAATTGTGACAAGTACTAATTCGTTTATCGTTGTGATGACGTGCATGATTTTATTAATACGAACATTCTTTGAAACTATAGTCAAGTCTTCTCCAAGTATTGTTTAGATTGCAAGAAATTGAGGAAGATGACTGTGCGGATGGATTCATAAAAATTGATGGAATTGACATTCGAGATGTTCCATTAACCAAATTGAGAAGTGAAATTTGCATCATTCCTCAACAACCAACGTTATTTAAGGGAACATTACGTGAAAATCTTGATAGTTATGGACAATTTTCAGATCGTGAAATATGGCAAGCATTAGAACAAGTTAACTTGAAAGACAAAATTCAACACATGGAATCGAGTGAAGAGGAAGAAGACGATGAAGAACATCCAACTGCTTCCAATGTGAAACGAACTGGTTTGGATATTCTTATTTCTGAAAATGGCGAAAATATTTCTGCAGGTACTCGACAATTGATTTGTTTAGCTCGAGCTTTAATGAGAAAATGCAAAATTCTTGTCTTGGATGAAGCCACAAGTTGTTGTGATTTGGAAACTGACAAGCTCATTCAAAAGACATTGCGAGAAGCATTTTCTTCACATTGCACTGTATTGTGCATTGCACACCGATTGGAAACGATTATGGATTACGATCGAGTTCTGGTCATTGACGATGGTCGAGTGATTGAATTTGACAGTCCTCAGACTTTGTTGAATTCACCCAATTCCTTATTTAGTGCCATGGTAGTTCAGCATAACAAGAGAAAGTAAAACCTGAAAGTATTCTATTGTTAGTGGTAATGAGAAACCGAAACCTTAACGATACAATTGGTGTTGTTTTCCCTTTAAGGCGTGTAGTAAAAGCACCTCTCAAGCCTCTCCCCAGGTAAGAATCAATTCGGATAATAATGTCGCAGCCATGTCATCTGTCAAGGTGTTAAAAGTGCCAACAAAAAATAAGTGCCGACGAAGAATCACCACCATCATCACGCAAAGCTCAACAAAGGCCTTCTTCGTTTTGCCTTGCAATAGATTATTGTGTACTCAATTTTGTATTCTTTCAACAGCAAGGACTCAGTTGTTATAGTTTATATTAGAAAGAAGAACAGCGGAACGAAATTGTTAAAATCTCGATTTTTCATCCTCTCTCTTCTCATCACCGAACGATCCCTAACAGTATTCAATTTTCCATACCGAGAGAATATTGTTGAACAATTTCGAAACCACACGTATTATAAACTCATTATTAACACCAAACAACGAGCTCATTACGACACAAGTGTACAATCCTCATCATCGGACTAGTTTCCAATTATTAGAAGTCCGATTCGAAAGTAAGTTGACTTGTCAATTTTCCACAACATCACCTTCATCACTCTGACAACAATATTTTAACAGCTTTTCAAAAACATTTACCACCACTGTTGATACTTTCTTCATCATGAAACGACTCTTTCGATTTAACAGCATCAACGACCAATCTCCACCTTCCTCCAACAACACTCCTCGAAAACGAGCCACGAGCCATGTAAAAACAGCAAATCACCTTCTCGCTTCTTCCACAGCGACATCGACTGGAACCAATATTGGCGATCCGACTGCATTGAGATGTCTTTTCAATATTCATATTCATGCTCTGGAAGATTTTGATTTAATGAGTGTGGTCACAAATTCATCATCAAATTCTTCGAATGGAGGTCGAAATAATAATTCAAATGGAGGAGATTTACAACGAACGAATAGCTTTGGATGTATGAATAATGGAAATCTTACGATTCATGGATTGGGTCACAAAATGTTTCACAATTATTCAAAAGCAACATCGAACGTTGACAATCAAGAAAATGGAACAGACACATCGAGAAGTAACATGTCATCGAACAGTGCGACACTTTCTTCGAATGGAAGTTTCAAGAGTGGATTCATTGGAGATGGCGAGATAGAATCTGAATCAGTGGCCGTTTCAAGTGCATTGATGAAACTATTGCAATCCAGATATTCCATTCATTGGAAAGTGTTAAATCAAAGTGAAGAACGTGAACCTTCATTTTCATCAATTTTAAGAGGTGGAAATAATGTCACAATTGGAGGAACTACAGAACCTGCCAATGTCATTTCGAAATCTCTTTCGAATGATGGGTTTTTCGATGATTATGAATATATCAATAATTATTGGAGTCAAAATACACCAAATAATAGAAAATTCATGCAAAATACTTCCTCTAGTAATCCTAACTCACCAACATTTGGTAAAAAAAAGCATGATCTATATGGCAGATTTTAAAGACTATGAATATGACTTTGTTTGTGACTTTAAGCCAAAAAAAGAAAGAACCATTTCTGAAATTGTATCGCTCCTCAATGGAAACAATTCATCCGGAGGCAGCGGATCCGGATCTCAAGAAGATCCATTCCTTCCTTTCTATGTTAAAAATATTCAATCCTTGCTTGAAGATAAACCAATTGTATTGGAAATTAGAGAGCTCAAGAGCAGTGGAAGTGGTCGAGTGACCAGTGATAAGCGCAGTGGATTAATTCGATTGAATCTTGCAGATTTCACAATTCCTCCACACATGATTTATTATGGCATTGGTTCCATGACAAAAACCATTCTTGTTCCAGTGGTTCTCTCCACGGATTCTCCACCAAATTCAAACCTCGTCTTAACTGCGAAACTAAGAATGCAAATAAGTTCCATGTGGCTCACTGACACATTAATTTCGAAAGAGAGACAAAAACCACAAGCTCCAAAATATGACACGTATTTCTTACTGGATGAAAATGAGTCCTATATTGTTCCAGATTCTCTCGTCAAAAGCAATCCTCTATCTGCGTCTCCACCAGTTCCAATTCTCAAGTCAAGTCGAAGTAGTAATGGCCAACTCAATGGAAGTCTTACAAGTCGATCTGAGAATTCCAATAATGAAATTGGAATTATACCACCTGATTCTCCTCCTCGAAAAACAAGCAATTCCTCGACAGTGACCGTCCCTCCCTTAATGGTTAAAAAGTTTTCTTCCAACACCAACCTTTCGTCGTTACAAAACTCGTCGACAAATGGAATGATGAACAACATCTCCAGTCTTGGAAATAGTAATAATGGAACTTCCTATCATCCTTCAAATTTTCTTTATTCTCCAACGAAACCTTTCACAGAAAATGGGTTTGCCTTGTCCATGCAAGTGGAACGATTGGACTCACACATGAGAGAGGTAGAAGATCTTTTGAAACGACAATATAATACCATGAGAGAACGAGTCAATCATGTACAAAAAGATATTGATGATTTGTTCTCAATTTTGGAAATTATTGAAGCTGAAAAACAAGGATATTGTAAAATGTCCATTCCAGAATTTGGCTTGTCACAACACGTAACTAGCAACAACAATGAAAATCAGTTATTGCCAGGAGGTAATTTTGATATTGAAGAGAAATTGCAGTATTTTGTGTTTTGTGATCTACAGGGATGCAATCAAATGTGGAGCCTACCTCATGATGACATTACAAAAAGTGTCACCATTTATTACGAAGTGTTAAGAAAATGTGTTAAAGACAATATGGGAGTTGACATGACACCAGCTGTGAAACATGACGAATTTCACAATATCGTCAGTGACTCGGTCGTGTGTGCTTTTGAGACAGCCAAACAAGCTCTCAAATTCACACTTCTCGTTCACACAAAATTAATGGAAGCCGATTGGCCAGATTCACTTTTAACACTCGATGGAATTTGCATCTATCAAAAGAATAACATCAAGTTATTGTACAGAGGGCTTCGATGTCGAATGGGAGTGGTAGCACGCTCGAAAAAATTCAAAGACACCACACTACAAGCCATTAAGAGAGCCACCATGATCGCTCAGTATGCACAAGGAGGTCAAACACTTGTCGAGAGTCAAGTCATGGAAAATTTATCTGTGGAACAAAAATCTCCAAATTTGAATGAAAATGGAAATATTAACAATAATAATACCATTGAATCATTGGTTCAAAGATTGGACAATTGTAACATTGAAGGTGTCACAATACCTCGTACGACTACAACGCTTTATTTAGTCATTCCAAGACAACTCAAAGAACGAAGATTTAAAGAATTGGTCAAACGTGTAAATACTAACTCAAATGTATCCCAACAACAAGATGAATCCTCTCCTCTCATTCTTGATGCAAGAGAAATTCCATTGAATGAATCATGCATGATTAACGTTCTTCACTCTCGACTCTCGCAAATGAAAAAAAATTACAAAATTGAAATTGAGGATCGAATTAAGGAAATTGACAACACAATATTTAAATTGAATTCACTTTTAGAGAGTTATAAAATCTTGGCATCCACACAAAACGAAAAAGATTTATTCCAAATTGTCGAGAAACAAATGCATACAAATCTTAAAGACATGTCGGATGAAATTGCAGACTTGAAAAATATTCACACGACGAATTTGAGGACAAATATCAAGAGTTTTGAAACGGAGCTTTTGAAATTGAGTATGCAATTGTTAGATATTCATCATCATTCTAATTCTGTCATGCAACATTCCACTTCGACCAATAATTTCTCGACAACGACCTTTGACAGCAATGACGTTGTTCCTCACAACAATAATCAATTGAAACGTCATGAATCTAACTCACGAATGTATTCATCCTTTAGAGAACGCCCAGTCACAGCCGATGCTTCCACCGAAGATTTTATGCCCTCTGAGGCCGATGTGGAAGACGATGCAATGATTGGATCTGACAAGACCTCTCCGTCTTCACCTTTGAAGACGATCATGTCCATGCATGATTTAAGAACACCTGCAGCAAAATTGAATCAGCACTTGCTTGAAATGTTGAATCATAATCATACGATCAAGCAAAAAATTGAGCAATTGAAACAATCTTCCTTTCGTCATGAACCATCACCAACGTGGAATATTTAACAAACAATTTCAATATTATTGGCAACTTTGGAAGAAATAGAGCCTTTCCATAGTCATCTTTGAAGAGGATTCAATATTCAAATCGATGAATTGAAGTTGCCATCGAATGGTCGAATTGTTTACAATCGAAAAGAATCATCGAGCTGTCATTGCATTCATTTGAAACTCAATCATTTTCGATCGACTTTTTGGAATTTTGAGCTCAAAAGAGTTTCGAAAAAACATTCGAATTACATGAAGCGCTTGATTTTCCACACGAACCACCACGGTCGATTTATTGATCCAAAAAACAGTTCTAGTTTGGGAGGGTCATTAGATTGGGAAATATATCATTTCATCCATTCTCCACAATTAGAAAAACTTGTATTTTTTATTGACTACACTCACAAGTTTAATGACTTTGAGGGCAAAATTCCTCTAAAATTAAGAAATAAATGCAACTTATTAACTCTCCTCACTTCAAAATTGAGAGATTATGGCAGAGTAGTATTAACAACAAACTTTACAAGGGCTCTTGAAAGGAAAATTGAAATGAAAGTATCCTGGGATTCTAAACAAAGGTATGTTTTCATACCACTTCACAACACCACTTCCAATACTTGATGCCAAACAAGTGACAAATTTTTTAGACATGTTTATTGATACGAGTAAATGGTTCAAAACAAAATATGCAGCAGCAACTTCAGAGAGAGGTGAAACATCATGAAATGACTCAATTGCTTGTGAGCATTTAAAAACCAATCACTATTCGATCCCTCTTGTTGAAGAGTTTTCAATAATCTCAACTTTTCTATTGGACTGATATATCTTGTTAGAATCATCATAAGTGTAACTCAATCCATGTTTTAACAAGAACTTGGAAGCGTTTTCCTCGTCAAAACGTGATACAGTTGATACACTTTTGTTCAAAGCTTTTGCAAAATTTGCCTCTCCAAGCAAGGCCAATCTTATTTAGAAAAACAATTCAGAATGGAAAAATTATCTCAACAACAATAACTTGTCTGTTGTGGCTGATATATTAATGATCAATAACCATGCATGATTGAAGAACACCAGCTGAAACAGCATTTACCAGAAGTATTGAATCATAATCATAAGATCAAGCAAAAAATTGAGAAATTAACTTTACAAATCACCAACCTGGAAAACAATAATTAAAAACCAATTCAGTTCTCATATCTCAAACTTAAGTTGTTCGAAAATTTAATTACCATACACCCACTTTGTCTTCATTTACAAGGTTTTCTTTTCGATCAACTCAATCTTGTAACCATCTGGATCCTCCACGAACGCTATCACCGTTTTTCCATGCTTCATTGGTCCTGGTTCTCGAGTGACTTTTCCACCCAAATTTCTAATTTGCTCGACAGTACCATAAATATCTTCAACACCAACAGCAATGTGGCCAAAACCAGTTCCCATTTCATATAACTCGACACCATAGTTATAAGTCTTTCATGAAGTAGCAACAAGGAATATGTCAAATCCATTAACCAATCGACCGCAAAGAAAATTATCATGAGGCAAGAAAAATGTTGAATTTTCCAAAATTGCGGATGCATTAATTTTCATTGCCATCACCAAAAATAATTATTATTAATTGTTTATCAATTAAAATTTGAGAAATTCATCATCATCATTAATATATTCCATTCATCATTATCAATCGGTTATTAATTGTTGGTTATTAATTATTATGTCATCATTATTTTAACATTTAACCATTCTCAATATTCACCAAATTCATCATCACCTACCAATTCAATTTCAAAATCTTCATGTTCATAACCCACAAAAACAAGAGTGAACTTTCCTTCAGGATAATCACTTCTTCTCTTTTCTTTCATTCCCAACACATTACAATAGAAATTGAGAGATTTCTCTAAATCTCCGACACGGATCATGGTGTGCAAGATGGTTGATGGCATTTTTTTTATAAATAAAAAATTAAAAAAAAACTCAAAAAAAATGATGAGAACCTGCTTGTGGATTCCGAAGGCAAAATTCCATCATTATCCTCATGTTGAGAAATATTTTGAGAGATTGAATCATGATGCCTATCATTGGTTAACATCTTCATCATCGTCATTATGTATAAAATTATTGAATGGAAATCATCAATTTTGTGGCTATGCCTCTGATTCCAAAAAAGTGGTTCGGGATTACAAACCATTGACATTGTTAGAACCTCCAATGCAGGCAATGCAACATCATTCATCCATTGAAATGGAGCATGAAACAACAAGAGATAATGATGTGGAATCTCATCGGAATGGCCTAGCTAATTTCTTTTCCTTTCATTTTGATTCATCTGTTATGAAAATTCTCCAAGATTGGAACATTACAATACCTTCCAGAATTCAAGAGCTAGCAATTGCTCAATTATTGAAAAAAGCAAACAAAAAGAAACATTTTTGTATCGGAGCTCAAACAGGTACAGGAAAAACTCTTGCCTACCTGTTACCGATTTTAAGCAAGATGAAACATTTAGAGAAAATGGGCCATGAAACCCAAGCACAAAGACCCAAAGTGCTCATTGTTGCTCCAACTCGAGAATTGGCAAGCCAAATTTACAAAACAGCAAAACATTTGAGCCATTCTTTGAAATTTAGAACCGTCTTACTGAGAAGTGATCTTGCAAAATCGAGAATGAAACGAGATTTGCACACAAATATTGACGTCGTGGTGACAACACCAACCATTTTCAATGAGCTACATTCTGAAGGTCATGTTTATTTCTCAGATCTTCGATTTGTCGTGTTGGATGAAGCCGACACATTATGTGGAAAAGATTTTTTACAAGAATTGGAAAAGATTGTGGTTCCATGTTTGCAACGAGGTAAACATGTGAATGAATTTGTGCAATTTGGATTTGTATTTGCGACCTATAATGCGAATATTGAACGTTTTATTAATCACTATTTCTCTCAAGATGCTTCTGCATTTCATTTAAGTAGTACTGATAGAAGCCAGAAAAATAAGACGTTCCCTTCAAATGATACAAAGCATCTTGAGGAACAAAACAAAAATTTCACAACAATGAGTGTAGGTGCACTTTCATCCTCTCAATCCATCTCCACAAATTCACCTCCACCCAATATGCTCTATATTATCGATAAGGATATACACAAAGCAACATTACATATTCAACACAAGTTTATTCCCATGACCAATAACAAGGATAAGATGGAATACCTTTTGGAAAGAGTGCTTAAATTGAAAAATCATTCTTCAACAATGACAACTGCCGAGAATACACACAACGACAAGAAATCCTCGAGTAAGACCAAACTCAAATCTTCTGTGAACACTATCAAAAACTCGGCCCTTATTCAAAGTCTAGGCCTTCAAGAAGAAGCAAAAACAGCCAACGACAAACAACTTTCCATGAATGACCAACGACAGGAACAAACACTCACGAATGGATTATCCAATGCATTACCTCTTTCCCCTCTTCGTGAAAGAATTTTAATATTTTGCAACACGGTGAAGAGTTGTCGTGCTGTGTATCATGCCCTCACCAAACATGGCCTAGAAGCAAGTTGTTTCCACGGAGATATGCCTCATGAACGACAGGCAGAGGAATTTGATTCATTCAGCTCGGGTCGTCTCAATATTATGGTCACAACTGACATTGCTTCCCGAGGTTTGGATATTGCAAACCCGGTCGATCATGTGGTCATGTTTGATTTTCCACTCAATTCCATTGATTACATGCACCGAGCAGGAAGAACTGGAAGAATGCGACAATTAGGAAAAGTCACAAGTCTTTTGAATCGAAAAAAAGAAGCTGCTCTTGCCAAAGTCATTGAGTATTCCATTATCACCAAACAACCTCTCACAAATGTGAATGTTGAAAATGCAATTGAAATGTATGAAACTCTGAAACTCGAACATCATAAGAAGAAGCAAAAGCAAGGCGAAGAATTCGCAAAAAAGAGAGGAAAATTCGGCACAAGATCCACCATGCTTGGTGGGAAAATTTCCATTTCCAATCCAACGAAATTGACCAAACAAGCATCAAGGATGAACAAGCAATAATATTTTTGTGACATGTGAGTTTTTTAATGAATTAATGGAATGTTGGAAGGTTAAAAACGAACTTCAGTTCCAAAGGTTGTCATACGATTCAATGATTCCCATTGCTGATATTCTGTCGTGTCACATAATCGACTAAATGTATCCATAATGTTCTGTGTGACATCATTAAACAATGGTTCAATTGTTTCAAAATTTAAAAAGATTACATTATTGCCTGTTTGATTGTCCAATGAAGGTGACAACTCCACATCATCCATTCCCACCAAATGATTGAAATTGGGTTCCATTTCTTCGTCCAACATGGATGAAGTGTAACCCAATTTTCTAAAACTATTCTTAAAACCGGCACCTAAAGAGAAGGTTTTAGGTGGAGAGGGAGTATAGGCACTTCCAATTGTTGGTCTTCTTTCAGAAGCATTTGGTGTAGTGGTCATTGTTGATTCAAAGCCGTCGAAAGAGCGATACGGTGTGTTAGATGTGCCTTGGTGGTCCAGTGCATGATCGAATGTGTTGTAACGTTGAGGATCTTCTATGGAAGGATCAAATTTCGATTGTGTTAAATCTTTGGATTGACGAGGGAGAAGGACATGGTGAGCTTCTAGTGTTTCACGAATGGCTTTTTTAGTGTTGAATGAAACATTGACCTCATATGGAGCATAATTCTTGATGTAATTTTCATAAATGAAGAGAAGCTCATTGAGGGAATATTTCTTCCTTTTTTTCATTTGAAGTAATTTCTTTAAAATTGGACGATTTTGTGTGTTTCATATTAACGAACGATAAGAAAAAATCACTCTACGTACTGTATAGAGATACAAATTTTCAGAAGAAAATTCCTTCTTGCAATAATCTAGTTTTGACAAAATTAATTGAAATGAGTGATCAAGTTATATCAACAACAAGTGATGTGTGTGTGAATATGCAATGAGTGGTTTTTTCAAAAAGATATTACTCGCTCACATACCTTCTAATAGTGAATAAAAATCGTCATTTTTCATCAATTTTTCTAAATGATCGTGTTTGGCAGAATTGGTAGAGCTGACAGCAGAAGTGTCAGAAATTGCTGACATGACACTGGAACCTCTGTTACGTCCAACTGCAGTGTTCAGCTTTCTTTTCAGTTTTCTGTATATTAACACAGCGATCGAAAATCCATAGGACCAAGTTAAGGAACCTGTGACTCCCATTAAGGTAAATGCAATTGCCTAAATTTGGAAATTAAAATATGATAAAGCTATTTCAAATTGCACCTACCTGACTTGTAAAAGAAGCCACATTATACACATAATAATCACTCAACGAAGCCCACACAATGGAAATTAATTCCAAAGAGCACAACATTAATTCCATTCGATACAAGAGCGGATCATCAAAAACTAAAAACGAAATAAATCCTCTCTTTCTCAACTTCTTTCTGTTAATAATAGCATCAAAGATGAAACACAAAACCATAAATAAAGTGACCACAAAGTACAAAATGAGTAGAATTCCGTTTCGAATAATATAATTGGAAGGTGAGAAATACTGAGCGACGAAAAAGGAAGGAGGTAAAATGCACACCAAAATGAGCCAAACAGTGACAAAAACTGGACGAGAGGAAACAATTCTGTGAATTCGAATTTTTCTTGTCGAAATGTCAAAAATCGATTGTGAATTGGTCATATTCGAGGTGGTCATGGATCCAAATCCTCGTCCTTGATCTTGTTGTTTCTTACTCTTTTTCATAATCTTAAATAAATTTCGAACATAGAAATATCGAATAATATTCATCGCATGTGTCACAATCACCACGCATATACAAAAACTCGCCATTCCATACGCAACATGTTCTGGAAATGTCACAAATCGACAAAACACAATGGCAGAGAAAATTAAAAATCCAGTAAAACTAATTGGAGTTACATAGGGAGCAATGAATCGATTTCGAAATATGAGTTCTGTACAAACAAATGGAATTCCAAAAATACACAAAACATTAACTGCTGCTCCAATAATAAATGGAATGAAACCACAATAGAGTCTATAATATAAATAACCTCTCAAACAGGAGAGAGGATATGGAAAGACAAAATCTTCACAAAATTGAGGAATTATAGGTTGATATTGAAGAGCAGTGACATTAAGAGAAAAGGTGGTCATGCTTGAAAACTGACACTTGTTGGAAGTCGTGGTGAAATTTTCAACGACATAACATCCATCTTGATAGATTTGATTGATATAGGTACTATTCACAAATTTTTCAATAAATGTTCTTCTAAAAGTGGAGTTCCTATTTGCTAATTCTGGAAAATCATATGAAAAAATGTTCATCGAAGTATCGAGTTGAGAGGCATTAATGACACCAAATCCATTGATTGATGGCCAAATCATGGCATTGACATTGTCAATCATGTAATCATAAATAAGCCATTTTTCAAAACATTCACTTGGATTCTCCCTACAGAAGGCATACATTTCAATTTGTGAAATTAAAAATCGTTTCACAATCGATTCAAATTTGGAAGACTCCATCTTTGGATTGTTTCGAACAAGAATTCCATATCGAAATATTTCTTGTTTTGGTAAGAGAGGAGCAATCTCTGATGAATAATTATAATTTGAAATTGAGAAAGATGTTGGAATGATATTAAACTCTCTTGGATAATAGAGAGAAGTGGGAGTTTTTCGAACACTTGTAAAAATGTACATGTCATTCACAAAATATGCATCAATCGAATCATCGAGAACTTTCAAAGACATGTCATTGTTGGAGACAATTTTCAATATCACGTCACTTTTCGACAAGGAAAGTCCATTTCTCAATAATTCAAAATTCAAATGTGCCACATGTTCTTCACACACAGCAATGGTTCTATCTTTCAATTGCAAATAATTGGTAATATTCTTTTCCTTTCGACTCATCAAGAAGAGATCACTCTTACGTGTCACTTGTGCAATTAATTGAAAATCCATGAGACTCGAATTTTGAGAGGAATGTTTCGAAAAGGTTTCATTGAATATTTTAAACATGGTAAACTCATCCACTATGTGAAAATTCACCACTCCTCCTCCTTCTTGTTGTTGCTTTTCAGATTCATCATCATGATTCAAATAATCATTCAAGGTCCAACTTGTAGTTGACGATGATGCGACTAATGAGGAGAAGGAAGAAGACCAACTCGATGTCAATCTTGTCTCTCTTTCAATGAGACAAGACTTTTCGAAAAATTTACTCGATGATCGAGTGTTGAAATCTGATCTCGACCAATAAAGAAAGGGAATTGGAAGAGTGAAAGAAATGTGATGGAAGGAAGAACAATTGGTGGTTGGATTGGAGAATGATGATGGTGTTGAAAAACTCCTGAATTTCATCATGATTGGATGGATTCGAATCGATGATGACAACGACGACGACATGGAAGACAATAAAGGTTTGGCATGGGAAGGATGAATCATGGAAGAAATCATCCATACGATGATGGGTACGATGAGAAAGGATAATAATAATCGGGAAATATCAAAGTGAAAGCATGGCATTCGGGAATGATTCACAAATAAACCTTTGATCTCAGAGGATGGTGATGGTGGTGAAAGGAGTGTGAGGAGTGGTCGAAAGGGTGGTGCTGACGGGAACATTTTGTTTTTTGAGAATAAAAATCCAAATTTTGATTCCGTTTTAGGAATGAGAAGATCGCCATTGAAAGAATGGATTATAATGTTGTGAGTGGACATTTTGAAGACCATGAAAGTCAAACAACACCCTGCGGAGGTCACAATTCTCATGGTCACAACCACTGGTGGTGGAATGATTCAAGCGATGGCCAAGTCATCCTTTAACACATGACATTGTTCATGATAATCAGTAACCACCCATTCCATGTGAACGCAAGGAATGAGTGCTCTAAACACGAACTTTATTTCAGGCACATTAAAGAGAAACCATCACACGAGAATATCCATCATTGGTTAATAAAGGAAGATCATTTTCCGAGTTCAATGAATGACACACGTGGTGTTTCCAGTCCTTTGAAGTAAAGTAGTGATCTTCAATGGATCCAGAAATTGTCGAATTGGAATTAATAGCTCCAATGTAGAGACTTTTAGGGTCGCAAAGATACATATGAATCAATAAATAATAGAATTACAAAATCATGTCATTTTGAATTCTTCGAGCTCCTGCAATTAAGGCAACATCTAGATATTTCTTTCGATAGTGATGCAATATCTTTTGAATAAATTCTTCTGGAGCCAGTGTGGATGAATTCATATTCGTACCAACCATTAAACATCCATTCAAATCAGAAAAATCTTGTTCAAACGAGGAGGGAGTGATTGTCTTTTCTCTAAAACCCTCCAATAGATATTCATACATTTCAATGATCATTGGATAGGTGTAGTGATATAAATCATAATCTTGTTGAAAATTAATGTTGCCTCGAGAATGATTCTGTGTCCTAGGACTTTCGAATATAATATGTAAAACGAGGTGTAGCACTCTCAAATCAAACGTGCTCATGACCGATCTTTCTTTTAATTTATGAAAGACCTTCGCATAGAGCTCTTTGATACTGAATGGTGTCCATTTTGAATTGGCTGTCAAAACAATCACAAGGGCCTTCTTGAGGTTCGACAAATATTCACAAGACTCAATCATGTTAGAGTGATAAGATGCAATTTTTCGAGTTAGCTTTCGCGATATTGCGTAGTGAGTGAGAGCCTTATGTAGCTCTGTAATGATGGTACAAGTTAGCAAATTCGTGAAACGTGCTTGATGATGGTGTTCGGTGGTGGTGGTGGTGGTAGTGGTGTTCAGTGAAGCGCTGGTGGAATAATTTGAAGTATTTTCATCATCGTCCTCATCTTCCTCTTCGTATTGCTCATCATTTTCCGTTTCTTCATTAGGTTCCTCATCGTCCTCTTCGTCTTCATCGTCCTCCTCTGTTTCATACTCTTCATCAGTGTTAATAATTTCATCTTCCTCTTCTCCGTCATGATCATCCTCGGAAGATGGAGAACTTGTGCTTGATTGTTCATCTTCATCTTGCTCATGTTCTTGTGAATCATGCGAGGTCCCCAATAGACGATCCAAAAATCGAACAAATCGAGACGACAAAACATTTCTGTGAGAATAATATCGTTGATTTGATGATTCTCTTTCCTGATCTTCTCCTCCGAGAGAAGCCTCTTCTCGTAGTGTTGCAACATGCTCCGAAATGGCCGTTGGCAGTTGATGATTGTTGGAAGACATTTTTTGATGCTTGTTGATTTTCATCCATAAATAGGCAACTCCTTGAGGATGAAGAGATTCTCAAGGAAAAACACTTCTTTTCGGTGATGATTTTATCGATACTCACAATCAATGCATTTGTAAGGTATTTCCTTAGATACTTTCCATATGTATGGATGAAAAGAATGGAACGGTTTGTTTGACAGGGCGATATGGCTCACTCCTCGCTTAAGTTCTGGATTTGAATGTGCAATTTCAACTTCATCCAGACAGAACTTTCAACCACCACGTTGAGACTTCCCAAAGGTGAAATTATTGTGTTGTTGTTGTTGTTGTTGTTGTATGATGAATCGCTTCTCGATCTGAACTGTGTTTTCTTGCAAGGTTTACATCAAGACTATTGTTTCGTCAAGAAGAAAAAAACGTTCCTAATTGTTGTTCCGTTGTTCTGCTGAAGTTTCTTTTTCCAAACAATCGCGAAAGGCTTTGTCATCATCATTGATCTTCCGAACCATCATAATAGAATCCAACATCTTTTTGAAACACACACCATAATCCTTTGTGTTGAATCATCATCATGATGACCCGAAGAAGAATTCCTGGACAGACAAAATTTACTCTCCATAAAGATGATCAAGAGAGAGACGAAGTGCAACCTGTTGTTCAGAAATACACCACCACTACGAACAATCCTAAAACAACAACAACATCAACAACAGCAACTAGTACCCCTTCTTTGAAGAACAATAAGGTCTCGGCTGAGACTTCCTCAACAACATCTTCAACTTTGGAATCTCTCCTCCAACAACAACACACGGAAATATTATCTCAAATTAATTTTGCAATGAATGCTTATGGCTCTTCATTGAATGTCATGAAAGAGCACTTTATGAGCATGTTGAATTCATGGAATGAATCCCATGAAACCTTTCGAAAAACCATGATTGAATTGGAAAAGGAAAGAATGAAAACTTTGGATCTGATCTTGAAGCACTCAACAGCTGCTCAATCCGTTTGGTCTGGCACAGCCACAACAGCCAACTTTGCTCCAACTTCCTCATCACCATCACAAACAGCTACTCTGCAAGAGAACGAGAAGAAGGCATCTTCGGAGCCAAAGGCTGCCTCTCAACATCATCCTAACAGCAAGGACAAACAAACCAAACAAACTCCGACAAAAACCAAATCATCACAAACTACGACTGCCGTGCAAAATACCAAAGATGCTTCAACTGTAACTACTGCCTCAACAACCTCAACTAGTACCACACAAACCACGGAACCATCTCCTGCCACTACTAATAGTAAGAATGCAAAAGCTAAGAAAGGTGCTGTTGCCAAAAATAATACTACTTCTGCTACCACCGCTGCTTCTACAAATACCACCACAACAGCCCCAACAGCCACCACTAGTCCCACTACTAGTTCCATCACAGAAATTGTCATTCCACCAACAAAACTCTTTTCACAGTCACACACAGAAGACAAGAGCCTTCGTATCTTTCACTTGAGAGGAGATTCCTCCGAATCGATTAAGGAAGCTGAAAAAGTGTTCAAAAAGCTCTCCCTTCAAAACCAAGTATATGCCTTAAATATTTTGTGGAATGTAAAGGAAGAGAAAGCAACCACACGAGAAGATAATGATACAACTCCAATTGTACAAATGAGATATATTGTTTTGTGTGACGCTACCACTATTTACCTGTACAAGATTGCAAGTAGAGCTGAAATGCAACAAAAAAATCTTCAATATCCCTTGCCTTTGAGCTTGAAATTACTATTAACAAACAACAGATGCTTAAAGGTTGGAAGTGACATTCTTGAGAAGGTCGGCTTTTTATATCATAATTTAAATGAGATCTATGTCAAACCGGTGGCAGAGTTGTTTGAACTGCCTGCCAAGAAGCAATGTACAACATTTTTAGAGTTATTGAGCTCTGAATTGGAAGTGTCCACCCAAACTTTAAACAAGGAATTGAAATGGAATGATTTTTCTGTGGACTACTCACAAGTTTTAAGCGATGCTCAGGCTATCACTGAGGCCAAAAAAGTTTGGATCCAATACAAGGTGTTGGAAAATTCCTTCGCAAACAAGAAACAAGACGGAGAAAATTTACATGCCTATGCTTGCCGAGTGTTAAATGTGCAAAAATAATCTATTCAGTAACGAAGCAATTCAGGTGGTGATAGGAAAATAAAATTAAGGATTTCAGATTTAAATTCGAAAATAAAATTAGGGCTTTAAATCTGTCGAGAATTGCTTGTGGTGATGGGCAAAAATCATGGAAAACACAGAGCTTTTGAAAATTTAAGGGTTATTTCTTTCTGCAAACAACTCCCCAATTATCTTTTTCAAAATAATAATTCTTCACAAATTCAAACTCGAATAGTGTGCGTTGCTCTCCAGAGCTATCATCCATCATAACAGATGCATCTTGCACTAGTTGTTCCAATTCTCCTCTCTTAAATAAATGGTAATATCGTTTGTAAACTTTTTCACCTTCGCTACCTTGTGTCACATTTGGTAAAATATTCATGTTGGAAGAGGAGCTTGTCTCCTGTATAGATGATGGTGCAGATTCAGGTGTTTCTTTCGATGATTTAGTCTTCTTGGAATCAAATTGTTTCTGCAAATGCCATGGAACAAAAACATCCTGTTGTGCATATCGATACGAGGGCGTTGATGTGGTGCCATCTTCTCCTGTTACAGACTTCTTCTTAGGTGCTTGCTCAAATGCCCATACATAAATTAACACTTCTCCACCCTTCTTACAAATTCGAAATAATTCTCGGATGGCTTGCATTCTTCGTTCTCGAGTAGCAAAATGATGAATCACAGCCACGCTAATGACCACATCGAAATATTCTCCTCGAAATGGTAATTGTGTGTTATTAGCAACTAGAACTTCTAAATCGCGATCTCTACAAATTTCTGCCAATCCCAAACTAATGTCTGTTCCAATGAAACAATTGCTGGTGGATGTTTTACTGAGAGAAGTGCCATTGTAAAATTGAATGGTTTCTTTCCATGATTGCATGTATTTTCCTGTAAATGTTGGATAGTATTGAATTGAACAAATGGTGAATAGTCATCATAAAATAAATTATCAGATTAAAATTCATCATAAATTTTAGAAAATTAAATTCAATATAATTCAACATTTGAATATTCATCCTCATATTCTCAAAATAGCATACCATTTCCGCATCCGACATCAGCAAATAAACAATTCTTCTTTCCTAAAATAAATTCATTAATAAACGGCCATCTTGAATATCTCGTATTCGAAAAATGTGGAGCAATTTCATTATAAACATTGGTTACAAATTGTGTTTCAAATTGTTGTAATTGATGAGAATCTCCGATGGCTTCGGAAATGAATGGTTTGGCATCTAATTCATTTTCTGTGGTGTTTCCGCAGCCACTACTACCACCGTTGGTTGTTGTTGTTGTTGAGATGGTTGTGGATGTGATGGTCGATTCATCATCATCGTAAGGCTTCTTGGAAGATGATGAAGAAATCATTTTTTTTTGCAAAGTCGTTTTCAACAAGTGTTTCTTTTTGAACATCCTTTGCTTTTCATGTGACAATGAAAGGTTTATAATATAATTATATTGGTTCGAATATTCTGCGAATTCATACTCAGTTTTGTTAGCAAATGCTGATATTCGGGTGACATGGAGTAATTTCCGAAAATCGAGTTCACTTTCAAAAAAATTGACACTTGTCATGACTCATCACAGTGGTCATCCCAACCCTAAAAACAACAACAATAACAACAACAGTAAAACCATACGATTTCTCTCGTCATCGACGAACCATCATCATCCAACTCATTCAACCACTTTGGGTAACGAAGGTGGTGGTTCTTCAGCGTTGTCACAACGGAATTCTCACAACAACATCCAAACAACAACCACAACAACAAATTCTTCTCAATCACAACCAATAACCACATCCCTATCATCTCCATCATCGCCATCATCATTCAATTCGGTCTCCCATTCAACAAGTTGTAAAAACTCAAAAAACACCATGTTGTCTCCAAGTAATAATAATAATAATTTGAATAATAATTTGAATATTAATTTGAATAATAATAATAACAATTCAAATGTGGTAACAAGAACAGCATCATCACCAACATCCTCGTCTACATCGATGGGAGTGAGTACTCGAAAATTCTCTCTAAATCGAGAAGTTTTTATCAACAACAACAATAATTCTTCTTCTTTGACAAATTCAAGTGTTAGTTCTGCCTTGACCACCAATTCACAACCACAGCCATCCATTCCGTCCAATCATTCACAAAACAACAATACATTTTCTTGGAATTTTGCAGATCGAAGACCAAATTCATCCTCAGGAGACTCTCCTTCGACCAACCACACGACCAACACCACGACTTCCAATAACAACTCAATTTTGTATTTAAATTTGGACGAAAACATTTCATCTTCCTCGATGAACGAGCATCAGAGACCTATTAATCATCAACGAAATCGAAACAAGGGGAGTGGAGGAATTTCTGAATATTCTTTTACAGTCGATGATTTGTTACAGACCTCTCCGACTATTCATTGTTGTCATCATCATTCACATAGTAATAGTTTTGGAAGTAGCAGTGGTGGAAACCATGCTGGAGGAGGAGCATCGACGATTACAGTGGTGGGTGTTTCATCATCTTTGGCTCACACTTCCAATTCGTCATCTTCTGGTGATAGTCAAAATATTTTGACAAATGACATGGAAGCACCCTTGACAGAATTTATTAATTTAGACTTGACTTCGATATTACCACATCAGAAATTACTTCGATTCTTCCTTCGAAATAATCAAAGTTATTTTACCAATGCGTCACAAATGGGCAAACATAGTCCTGTCATTGCTCAAGAAATGTCCTTGCAACAACACGATTTATTTGGAAATTTGAATGTTGGAGGTGACTATTATTCTGACATTTCCATTCGATTTGTTCCATCAGGAAGAGAAATTCATGCTCACAAATTCATGTTATCCATGTATAGCCCTGTTCTTGCTGCCATGTTTAATTCACAATGGAAAGATTCACAACAAAATGTTATTGAAATTGTGACAGAATTATCAGGTCTGTCCAACGAACATGGATCTTCCTATGAGGATATTGATGACGAGCAATTATTTGTTGAAATGATTCTATGCATGTATAGTGGACAAGTGTATCAAATTGAGCAACATTTGGTTGTTCCTTTATTAGAAATTTCAGACAAGTATCAATTCACAGAATTGTGTCGAGCATGTGAAGAGTATTTAAGAGTCCATTTGAATGAACATAATTGCATTTCATTGCTCTACTTGTCAGGAGGAAGTGGAATTGGCACCACAACGAGCACTTCACCCAATACGAATGCAAACATGAATACGATTGGAACTCGAGATGATGTGAATAACAACTCGAAGGTACTTGTCAACAATCATTCGTCATCATCATCCACATTGACGAGTGAAAACAATTCACAACAAAACATGAATTCAAACAATTCTACATTTGGCACAATTAATAACAGTGCCAATATTTACCACACAAAGAAAGTGAACTCGATTGGAAAATTTGAGAGACTCAGAGAACGAGCTCTCACCTACATTGACACTCATTTTGAAAAAGTTTCAAAAACAAAATCTTTTTTATTCCTCGACTTGGAAACACTCGTTTTCCTCTTAGGAAGGGGAGAACTACGTGTGGATAGTGAGGATATTATTTTGGATGCCATTTTAAGATGGTGTGAAGGAGATTTAGAGCAGAGAAGAGAATTTTTATTTACCACTTTATTGGAACAAGTTCGATTGTATCACTTGTCACCCAATCGATTGGCTCATCTCGGAGAAGTTTTGGAAAAATTTACAAACCCAAGACCTACCAGTCACAGCAGCAATGTCACTATCACGATTGATCAATCTTCAAGTGACGATACACAACATGAAATTGGTTCATCATCGACTCATCACTCAACCGTTGATCCAACCATCATGAATTGGATGAATCGTATCATTAATGCCATGTCCTTTCAATTGTCACAATCGTTGGGATTTCAATTATCTACAAAAATGCAACAAAAAATTGCCATCGAATCTCCACCAAGAAAGAGAGCTACTCAGGACATTACCCGAATTTCGTCGCTCCTCTCTCAGGAACAATTTTTACAAATTCTCGAATGGATTAATGAACAAGGAAAACTTGGACTCGTCAAAGACCTCTCCGAACGAGAATGGCTTGTTTTATATAGAGGTTCTAAAGACGGTTTCAATGGAAAATCATTTCATCAAAAATGTGATGGAAAAGGTCCAACGTTTACCGTGATTAAAACAGATAAGGGATTCATGTTTGGTGGATTTACAAGCAAAAGTTGGCACAGTGGAAATACTGACGAGAGTGACGAGAGTGCATTCTTGTTCTCGCTTTATAATCCATATTTGAATAACAAGATGACTCGATTTAAGATTAAGAGTGGAATGAGCGCAGCTATTGGATGCTATGCAAATTTTGGAGTCATATTTGGAGGTGGACGAGATTTAATTATTTATGGGGATTGTAATATTAATAATTCGAGTCATTGTGGTAAGTTTGAACTTTACCATTATTTTGTCATCTGAAAATGATATCATTTTAATGAACATAATGTCATGGTGGTACATGTTATGATGAAAATATTAGAATTCTTTGGACATACCTACCAATTACCCAATCTATCTGGAGTGTATTATGGATCTTTGAAGAGTAAGACCTTTTTCAATGGAACTGAACAATTTAGAGTGAGTGACATTGAAGTGTTTGGACTTGTACCAAGTAATAAGGACTCGAGAAAGAAATAAATTTATCGTACACGCTGCACAAATTGTAGGTACATATTTGACATGCGTTATGAATATAAATGAGGATTTTTATGGAATTTACCATCACCTAGATGACCAAACAAATTTCTTTTAAAAATTACAGCATCACACTTAATCTTATGTATTGACAGCAACAGAGGTCTGTTTACTGCTTTCGTGGTTGAGTTTTGAGGGACATGCTATATAACTCATCCTCACTCTTTGGTCTGTAGGTTTCAATGGCCATTTGCAACTCTTCTTTCATGACGAATGAATATTCTCTTCCTTGGAATCTTAAAATATTGAACATGATGGCATATTGATTGATGGCCTTAAAGAAATTCAATTTTCCGTCAATTAACGTTGGATTACCATCGTCTGTGAATACCAAGTCTCGAAGGTAAATTCCCAGATATGGAGTGGTGGGTTCGCCATCAGCATATGCCTTATCCATGGCATCTCTGAGAATTCTCTGATTGTTGTCTGTGGAAACAAATTTACAAATATCTTCGTATTGTTTTGTGGCTTTTTCGTCAAGCATGCCCCATGTGTCAGTGAGACGTGAGACTGATGATGATACAAACGAACTGTAGATGGCCATGACCATGTTGAAGCTGTTCATGTCGCGCAATATTTCACACGTCTTGAAAAGATTTTCAAGAATTTTCTTTCGTGACATTATATTAGGCTCGCTCACAATCTGATGCACACAAAAATTGCTAATCTTGTTGAAGAGTGTGGTGACATTGATAATATTGGGAGCCATGTAACGCTTCTTGTCCTTATTCCACGATTGACCAAGCATTTCTGTGAATTTTATCTTGTTGTAGATGCTATGATCGAGTAAGGTAAGTGTTTCTGCAACTTCCCTTGGTTCCAGTTTCAATAAGGAGACTTGTTTTACGTCTGTTGTGGTAGCAGAAGAGGTGTTTTTTGGCGTTGAGGGTTGTCCTTTTCTTGATTCAGGCGAAGAGTCAAGGTTCGTTGTGGCTGCACCTGGAGAGAACGGAGAAGAGGAGCCTTCTTGTGAGGCAGTCTGTAACTTTTTTTCTTCCAGTTGCTGTTGTTCCCAATGAGGTAGGCGAGAGGAAGTTTTCATGGCATTCAGTATTTTCTTTGCAATGAATGAAGCCACACTCTCCATCATTCGAGAAGTACAAAAATTGGTTAATTGACGAACCATCTTGTCGTCAAAATCGAAATAATACTTTTCGACCCAGTCCAGTAATAATTTTGCAACGGAGAGTTGAATATTACTTCGAACATCGATGTTGTAATGCATTTCATCGGGAGAAACTTGTTCTCCCATGATTTGGGTAAACGGTGATGGAGTATTGGCGGTTGCAGTGGATGGTGACATCGAAGCAAGTGAGGACGAAGATATAGCCAAAGGCAAAAAGGCAGAAGAGGGTGAAGATGGCATGATCGTTTCGGGAGTGGTAGATTGAGAAGAGAGCATGGGAACATCAAATCTCTCAATGAGCTTTTGCAATATAATTTTAGGCTTGACAAATCCACGATAGCACCACCAAAACACCGATGAAAGGAATGGTTCTGATCTCTTCTCATCGGTCATTAATAGGATGAGCCGATTAAGGCTCACATATTTCGGAACGTTATAAGGATAAAGCTTGGGCATGGGCGATTTGACATAATTAATCGATTCAATACAGGCTGGTGGTTCATCATAAATCGGAATCATTTGCTGAATGGGAAGAGTGAATTTTGAATTGAAAGCTGTTGAATATATAAGAAAATGATGATGATGATGATTAAGGAAGAAGATATTGTCATGGCATATGTAAATGGTTAAAGGAATTTCAATTTTCAAACAGGTTGAATCGTGGTGATAGAGAAAGCAGTTTGAAATCATGATCGGTTGCCGTTTCATAGAACATTGCTCAGTACCAAACTACTTACTCTCTTCTCGATTGAACACCAATAATTTATCTCCATTGGCAAATGTAATGATTTTATGTGGCCTTAAAGGAGTCGGTGGTTTGCCATCATACAGTTTACTGTAGTATTCATTCACAATTTCAACACAGTGTTGAGGCCTCAAATCAGACTCCTTTAAATTCAACACGATAGGAGTGAATCCCGATATTCTAATGTACAGCAACATGTGTTTCTGGATTGTTAATTGCTAAAAAATTGAAAAAGTAATTTTTTTTTCATCACAAAAAAATGAGCGAATCCGCAGACGAACAAAAACTTTCTGCCTTTGAAGTGCCGGATGCTTTTGCAATTGTAGAAGAAGGCATTTATCGGAGCTCAATTCCAAAACATGAAAAACAATTTCAATTCATCAAAACCCTCCGATTAAAAACCATACTCTTCCTATCGCAAGAAATAATTTTGAAATCATTTCTTACGTTTTTGGAGGAAGAACAAATTGAAATCATTGAACTTGGATTGCTCATTTCGCATCGTATATTGAGCGGAGGAGTCAAGAATAATCATGTCATTGCGGCGAATGGGCAAGTCAAACGTAAGTGATGGTTGTGAGTGTGGAAGAAATGTATTCGAACAAATTATTGCCTTCGATTTATAATGCCGATTCTTATTCAATTGATTTGCCCGAAATTATTGTCTCTCTTTTTCGAACTTTTGATACTTTAAAACTGGAAAATATTCTAATGTGACATTTACTTTTTGATACATTTATATACATATACTTTAGCAAGAACACTTGTTTCTGCATCAACGCCACCACCTCAGAGCTCATTACCCAATTTCCAACTTGCAACAACTGTTCATTCTTCTGCCACGACTGCTACCACTCAAATTTCTTCCAACTTGAACAATCTTCCATCATCATCTTCAACAGCAGCAACAACAACCACTACACCTTCCTCTACGACTTCCACCAATTCAGCATCGAGCAATGCTCCGATGAATCCTTCAAAATCATCATCTTCCGCAATTCATGTTCCGCCTGTGTTACAAATCAAGAATAACATGTCACTCAATGTCTTGAATACATCCCTCTCCAAATCACTCTATTCCGATGAAATTTACAATACCAAACATTGTACAGATGAGCTTATCAAAGAAGCTCTTGAAATTTTAATGAACAAGAAATATCATCCGATTATGGTGGTGTGTTCTAGTGGTATCCATCTCACAGGAACAGTTATTGGATGCATGAGAAAGTTACAAGATTGGTCTCTCACCTCAATTTTCACAGAATATGAATGTTTTGCTGGAAATAATGCTCGTCACAATGACCAACAATTTATTGAAATGTTTGACACAGATTTAACGACCTTACCAACTGAGGAATCAGGAAATCTTCCTCAATGGTTTATTGAGCATAAACAAATGAAGCAACAAGAGGAGCAAGAATATGAAGAAATGATGAGACAATTACTCATCAAGAAGCAAACGCCTCAACAACAGATACGACAGCAATCTGGTGCAGCCTCAGCAGCAACAACAACCTCTAGGGCACACTCGCCGTCCGGTCAGTCTTTCTCGGCATCACACGTCTTAACGGGAGAGTCAGGTCATGCCTCACATCATCCTCTTCATCACACGCGAACTCCGAGTATACCACTTTCTGGATTGGATTTAGAAAGTTCTGTTCCAATGCTTAATCAGCCAACAAGCAGCACCACAACAGGTCATTCACACACCTCTATTTCTCTCTCTCGATCTTCTACTCTCAGCGGTATCAGTAAAATTGGAAAGACAAACTCCAATGATAACATTCATGGAATTAGTGCAAGCCAATTGTCACAACAGCAACCCTTGACGACGCAAGATGGCACGGATCATCATCATGCACAACAGCAACCACAACATGCTGTGGAAACTCAAAGTAGCAGCAACACTCCCTTTAAATATACCTTTCAGAGGTATTTATTGGATAGGCATTGTCCTCTAATTAGTGAAAAATCGACTTATTCATCTTCGAGTGTAATAGAGGATGAGGATGATTAGGCGGTGTATATTGGTGTCAATATGTTCGAAATAATGAAAATTAACATTGAAAGTTATTTCCACTGTTGTACAAAATTTATTTATTGATACTAGTAAACGGGAGTGCTATTGAGGCTTGTAAGCGATTGGCTGACAATTTTAACATTTGCATTGTCTCAGAATACGAACTTGTAATTGTTCGATTTAAATCATTTCAAAATATTGCAATACTTTTCCTTGATGCATCAAATTTAAATATCTTTCGGTATCTCATCAAAATCAGCAGCATGCATGTCAAGTGATGATGTCTTATCTAACACAAACCAGATATCATGTTCTTTTCGTTTCTTTGTTGGATGAGAGGTAGGTTTAGCCAATCTCTTACAAATTAAAACCGTTTTTTCAATCGGATGACTGGGAAGAAGTAAACTAGGGTGATATCTTTGAAAGGAGGAATGTTTAAATTTGAACACTGCACTTGTAGGAGAGACGACCTTGCTTGAAAATCCATTTAAAGAATCTTCCTTCCTCAAAGAAACAGTGTCGTCTGGATTCAATTCGAGCATATTGTCACAATTTGGAAAATTCGCTCTCTTAGCTTCACATGTGGTAAAATAAAATTGATTTTTCACCAAAATCCAAATCGAATTTCTTCTCGTTAACTCTTTCTGAGAAAGAGCGTCCATGATGGCTTTTAAACTGAATCGAATGTATTCCTTTTTTGGGAAGAACAGCTTTCCCGAAACCAAATAAACAGCACTCATCGCTTTGTTAATTTTCTCTCGATGTTGAGCATTAGGTGCTGAAAATATATCAAATTTCAAACATGTGAATGCTTTTTCCTTGTTGTGAATATAGGTAAGAAGTCTCGACAGATGACTATGTTCCAAATCCCTCACATGTTGCAAAGGATGTTGTCTAATGTGCTCCAAAAGTGATGCATGTTGTAGCCACGTGGGTGTAAATACTCTCAAAGCAGCATGTGGTGACGAGGAATGCACAGATAGAGCTCGAGGAGAGACCTCCTCCTTCTCCTGCTCAGTGAGGATGGATGCTTTCTTTGCGTCGTAATCATTTGGTGCCACAACAACCTGTTGTGATGAGCAAGAAGAAGAAGAAGAATGGTCCTCTTGGGAGAGAACTCCTCCTCCTCTTTCAAGCTCCTTACTGTATTGCCAATCATGAGGAGGAAGAAATGGTGCATGTGCCAAACAATCGACGAGCTCCAGCATGTAATCACTCTCTCTCGCTTCATCCAAACAGCATGTGAATGGATGATCCAAGAAAGGAGATACATTGGGTGAGAATGTGTTCATCTGTAAAAGAGGAGATGGTATGGAAGATGGACATGAGAACAGGCACAACGGTGTTTCGTTGGTCCGTGAATGAACGTCGTCGTTCTTCATTTGTTGCGTGACGTGAGAATTTATATTTTTTTGGTTGTGCTCTGCGTGACTGACGAGTTAGTAGTTAAATGTTAAAGCAAGCCAAATCAAAACAATTTAACTTTCGGTCTCCCTTTTGTGGTCACCGAATAAGACAGGAAGGATCATTGGAGAAAAGAAATTATGGGAACGGACACAGCTGATTCGTCACACCACAACTTGGAAATGGATATGCGTAATCTCTCAACATCAAAAGAAGAAAACTGACAATCAACAAAAGTCAGAGAAAGTATGAATTGTACTGCTTGAGTCTTTGGAAGTCTTTTTAAATCCGTTTTGTTTTTTAATTATGAAGTGTTTTGTGAAGGATTGGAACCAAGCCGCTTTTCTATTTACGTCGATGGATGATTTTGGTTAAGCGTTCGTTTAACTCTGGTTGGCTTGTTTCAAATTATATTCGAAACTGAAATGCGCTTTGTCCAAAATGTCTGAGTTTTGAATTCAAAACTGTGGTCAACAAGTCCTAACTTTTTGAAACGTAACGTGTCTGTCTTCACCACTCATCGGCTGACGAGAGATTAGGATCAAGAATTTTCCTAGCTCCCATGTTGTGAACTGAACAGACCTGTCTTCACATATAATGCAAAGAAAGGACGATGCTTACAGGCAGAATTGGTTATCATAAGACACAAATTTCCTTTTATGAAAACATCCTTCACCTTAGAGAGAATATAAAAGTAGATGGAGATAAAATTGCCAATAATAATATCATATTTATTTCCCCAAACAAACACTATTATAACAATACTTCATTCTTTTTTGATATAATTCACCACTACTATCATGCAAAACAAAACCATTGCATTTGAGAGCTTTCATCACAAGTTCTGAATCTTTCTCTTGTTCTTTGCTTGATTGCTTTTAATACAATTCCTTGATCACGTTGTATCCTTAGCAGGTGAGCAAGACCATCTTGTCTTACAGCTGTCAGTACTACCTCTCTGTCATTCTTCAACTCACCTGATGCAAATCTAAGAGAATATCCATTTTGATTGGCAGCATTTAACATAAATTCTTTGTCTCTTTTCAATTTATCAGACACATATATTTCAATGCATGATAATTCTTTTTAACAGTCAGTAATGTAATATCTCGATCATTCTTTAACTCAACAGAAGCAAAATTTAATGGGAAATTATCAAAACTCAGTGGGCGATTACAATTTCTGACTGCATTCAAAACAATTTATTTAATCAAAAGAATTCAAGTGAGAAAATTTTGGAATATTACTCTCAATAATAATGAAATGACGATCTAAAAGTAAGTACTTTTCTACGAATTGAAGTGCTTTCTTATTTTGTTTGATTGCTTCCAATGCAATTTCCTTGTCCATTGCCAAATTACCACCATCATAATTCTGCTTATAGTTCCACTATTTTGACTGATTAAGTTCAATACAATTCAATTTTAAGTTGCATTGGACGTATATAGTTCAATGCTTCACCATTTTGCTTGACAGCAGCCAAAACTATTTCTTTCGTTTGTAAAATTCAAGGGTAAAGCCAATCCATTCTGTTGAACCATCTCTAAAGCAAAATCCATGCCATTCTAATTTCTGATGATGAAACGTATTTCCATGCTTGTGGAAACTGCTTTACAGCTGCAAGTGTCACTTCTTTATCATTTCGAATGTTTTCTGTGAGGTCTACAAAGGTTATTTCAAATTGAATTTTTTTTAAAATTAAAATCCAAAAAAAATAGCCTTTCATCAGTCCTTCGCCATCATTCAACAACATGTTTAACACAACAACAATTTGCCGAATGGCAGCCCGTTATTCCAAATCTCAAATTCGATACATCCGAGAGACTAGAATTCTTCAAAAATCGAGAGACGAACAGAAGAAAGCCATGCAAAAGAGATATTTCCCTCCACAAGAGCCAACATGGCACAAGAAGCCATCATGGAAGAAATTGGTGGAGCAATTGAAACAGGAAGAACTCCAATCAACGCAAACACAAACTCAATAATTGCTCCTCCACCTATATTGATAGTCTTTCATCATTTTCTTCCAACACATTCCGACCTGAAACTGTTTCATCACAACAAATTCATCATCATGGAAAGAAATTAAATTTTATTTAGAATTTTCTAGGAAAGCTATTCGGTTCAGTAAACAAGTATACTTTCACAGCAATAGTAATTATTTTAAAATGATTTCAAAAATAATAATTATTGATGCTTGAAAACTGCTCTACCACCCTAGTAATCGATATTCTCATATTCGGATTGTTCTTTAAACACTCTTGCAATCTCAATATTCAACTTGTTTTTGAATTTGTGTAAATATTCCTTATCGAGTGAATCCAAGAGACGAACAATATTGCTGCCACTTCCGAATACAGACTTTTCTTTTTCTGTGCTCACAATTTTGAGGGCATCGTGTGGTTCATTGACCAATTCTACGGACTTGATTTTAGACAAGGCCATTTTCCATTTCACCTTCTTATCTGCATGATCCACTTTCATGATATACTTGTCTGTAATGAGGTACACAAACTGTTTCGTTGAATCAGGCATGTAATAGACTGGCTTGTTGGTCTTTGCATATTGGCCGTCATCAATGGTCACTGTCAAATATTTGGAATAGGCATCTGTCAAGGAATATCTCACGACACTACCATTCTCGGCCAACACTCGAGGATATCGTACTCGACTGAAAATCGTGGTACTGCTATTACTAATTCCTTCAACGGTTCGTGTGGCCATATCAATGATACCTCCTACTGGTTTGAGTGGAATTCCAATGATACCTTTACCCACTCCTTTCACAAAACCGATGGCTCCTTCTTCTTGAATACCTCTAATGGGTTGTGTCACAATACCAGTGGCACCTCCATAAATTCCTCTGAAGAGTGATTTTGCTCCCGATGCCAAACCTTCCTTAATATCTTTGGGTTTTTGACTGGCCTGTCGTTCACGTTGTTGATTGTATTCTTTATCGAAGGTTAAAAAGGCAATACCATTACCGACATTTCCTGTCAATTTGGATGTAAAGTTACCAATACCATGTACAGAATTCTTCAAAAGACTCATGGAACCTTTTGCCAAACCACTGGCAAACTCTTCTGGGCTCTTTGTAATGGCAGAAGCTGGCTCATAGAAAAAGTCAACAACACCAGTACCAATGTCACTGAACAAACCAATTGGATTTCCAATAATATCAAGCGAACCAAGAATCTTGTAGAATTGGACAGTCGCTTGACGAATGTAGTGCTTCTTAATCTTATCCATGAGTGCATTTAAAGTCATGAAAGGATGGCTCAAAATGAGAGAATTGAATTTCATTGGGGCATTATCAATTCGAGTGAAAGTGACACCGAGTGACTTGAAAAGAATGAGTAATGGATTGCTGTCATCTCCTTCGTGATTCAATTTGAATGTGAGATAAATCCTGACAGGATGCAATTCTAAATTTTCAAAGTAAAACTTTTCTGCATCAGCTTCAGATTTTGGAATTTCAACCGGTTTGGCCATTCTCTCCGCAGTTTGTCCATCAATTTCATTACTTTGTTCCTCATTTGTTGAAAGAATACCTATTAGTTTCACAAATTTGGAAATAAAGATGTAATCAATTTCACAACGTGCTTCTCGCATGGTAATGGACATGTATGGGAAGGTATTGACATTGGTATTATTTTCAATGGATCGACACATGCTAAAGTGAAGAAATTCTTGTCCAGGCTCATTAATATTACACAAAATGACAGGATACGTAGCATTGTAATCTTGATGATCCAACTGCAATCGATACAGTAGTGCCTCAATAAATTGATGCTTATCGGTGGTGGCATATCGCAAGGTAAGGCCGCCCAGTAACAGGTAGGCCACTTCACTCGGAGAATTGTCAATAAATGAAATTCCAATTTGATTAATTTCTGCGAGCATAAACTGATTGAATTCTTCTTCTTCTTCTTCCTCTGTGAAATCACTAAGTTGACCTTCTGAGGCACTACCAGACGCACCGTGCATGGAGGAACCAACACTCGATACATGCTTAATGAGAGGTTTGATGTTTTCTCCTTTTGTGGATCTTCTCTTTCGTTTCAATTTGAAGCTCTGTGTAATGAGTTTGTTCACACTTTGCAGTTTTTCTTTTGTTAACATTAAAACTCTGGTTGGACCGACTGGTTTCACTCGAAGATAGGCAACTCCTTTTGATCCCAACTTAATTCTCTTGTCTTTTCCAATTCGATCAATGTCAATATCATCCTTAATAATCACATTTCCAATTCGCAGTTGAAGTCCGTGAGCTCCCTTATTGTCATCCCAAACATAGGGAGTCATTTGAAGTGGCTTCACAGTCCACCATTTATCAACTCCCTTTTGTGAAAAGAACACTTCTTCATCGAGTTGATTATCAATCAAATAAGGTGGTTTCTTTGGTTTCTGTATCATGAGGAATACTGTTCCTTGTGTTTCTTGAACATCAACTGCTAAGAGTAATCCGATTGGTCTATTCGGATAATCTTCGTGTTTCAATTTGAGGAAGGTTTCACCTAGAGCATTGGTTTTGAATGGTGCAGACCAGGAAATCTTGTCATTGGATGCCACCTTCACTGAAATTTGTGGTTCATTCACTTCTAATTCCTTCCAATAATAATTCACATTGGTGTTGGGCTCTACTTCCAAGGGAACGACCAGATGATCATTATTGGTGAAACATTGTCGAATGAGAATCTTCTCATCGGTCGAATTCACAATAACATAACGTGGACTCAAAGTCAACACTTTAGTTCTGTAAAATTTGCCTTCTCCCAATGAAATAAAGTAACCAATCGAGTATTTCTTTGTGTCAGAAGAAACTGCAAAGTTGCCACTGGTACCAACGTTGGTGAGAGAGAAATTGGTACTGGCACCTGAATTATCGACCATGACGGCAATCTTTTCACGATCATAGGCTTCTGAATACATGAGATTTTCTCCAGGTGTAACCAAGTAGCGGTCTCTAGAGGTTTTCACTGCCACAATTTCTCCCGTATGATTTACAATCCAATAAGGTGAGAAGAGAACAATTTCACGATAGGCCAAGGCATTTCCTTCTGAGTAGTCAATGTAAATTCTTGAAATGTTGTTGGTAGCATTTTCGAGAGTGATATGAGTCGAATGTTGAGGTGGCATGCCACTGCTACTGTTACTGCTCTCTCGCTTCACAAGGTGAATGAGAGCAAGTTCTTTTGCGATCCATTCTTTTCCCATTTTCACTTTCAATAAAATGTTATTATTCATTTCAGCAGAGTAAATGAAAATACGTTCTCCTTTGGACATGGTTCCCTCTTGAACGACTGTTCGAGTATTATTTTGTGTTTGTGAAATGAGAGTATAGTCAATGGATTTTCCGAGCGTGTTGTCAATGCAGAGTGGAGGCTTAATATCCAAGGTGCAATAAAATCGTTGGAAAAGGAGAGGCACCTCCGCGTACTTCTGTCTAAATTCTTGATAATCAGTCTCGAGGGCAAAGTTGGTTCTCACAATGGCAAACATGTTGGGTCCAGAGGTGTTTGGAATGGTCACATTCTTGGAGCCCTTGTAGAGTTTGAGAAGCTCGGTAAATTTCAATCCTCCAGATGGTACACTCCATTGATAATTGTAATTGGGAGTTGTTGATGTTCCTCCCTGTTGTGACGATTCCTCTTCTTTCTGAGTGCTGCGCAACACTGGTCGAATGCAAAGAATATCTTCTGGTATGCTAGTGATTGGAATACCAATATATTCTTTAGGAGCAATCACTCCGAATCGTGTAATACTCTTGTTTCCAATATTGAGAGATCCAATTTCCCAAGAAATGTTGCACATATTTCGTATCTGTACGCCAGAACTAATGGTAATAATTTTTCTGCCTTCTATTAAATCATTGTCAACCATACAAACTTCATTTCGAGTATTCTTAATGTGTTGTTTTCCAGTTTGTTTTAACTCTAATTGAAGCTTGTTAAATCCTGGTACGTCCACAGTAATGGCATGCAAGGATCCTCGCGCTTTATCTTCTGGAAGTGAAAAGTTCACCTCTTGACCTGTTCCAATTTCGTATACATCTGCTTTTTGAAGTTGTGTATTGTAAGGGAAAATGAGCTTAATGACATGTCCTGTATGATTCCGAATGCAATAGGGATCAAATTTCTTGGATACCTTAGTTTCAGTGTAGAATTCTTCTTTCCAGAGTTTGGCTGTTGATGATACTGTGTTAATCATGGATTGAGTGACGTTCAATAATAGGCCGTCAAATTCCTCCAAATGGTACAACTGTTTGTATTTGGGAATGTCCAAATCTCGAATTTCAAATCGATCAATGGTTGCTGTTGTGGATTTGGAAGTAGGTTTTCTTCTAAAGAAGAATTCAATGCCATAGGGTTCAATAATTGGTTCCCATGAAGCAATCTTTAAGTTGTAATAGTCTGCTTGGATGTAGCCAATAATTTTCGCTTTGATGGAGGTCTTCTCTCCAAGTTGTGTCATTTTTGTATCAATTAGGTGAACTTTCTTAAGTACAAATGTGATAAGTGGGATATCGTAGCCTCTCACATCATCGACCATAAGAATGGACAGTGTTTGATCTGAACTCATATCGAAACTAAATGAAAATGCGTTACTGATAGGGTCATGAGAGATGTTTTCGAGTGGTGCTGGTTTTGAAATGGTATCTCTTGATTCGACATAGTCACTGAGAACAAATTGTCCATCCATATGCTCTATTTCATCTTTGGCTTCTTCGAATTCCTCTTCTTCATCGGAAGTTTCAGAGTTATCAGAGAGATGATTCGTTAAATGATCATCCGACAACAGATAACTACTATCTGTTGACTTGGGTTTTTTCATGGCTTCTGTGAAATGATTCACCACTTCAGTGATCATTTTAACATCTTGGTATGAAACTCTTGCCCTAATATTTCCATCAATTTTTGCCTTAATATCACTCAAAATATCGGTGCGAGATTTGTGCTCTGAAAAATATTCTAAATCCAATGAGAGTGGTTCTAAAATATTATTTTTCGCCATGGATTGACTCGAAGACTGGAAACTGTCAACAAACATGGACAATTCATTAATGCCCACAACAAAAAGCTGCTTTGTAGCACTGGTTTGCATTTTGAATTTCAATTGAGATCTCACTACTAAAAGTCTGCTGTTTGGATCGTTGGGTTTAACTGGGAACATGACATTTGGGTTGTCCACAAACACGCTTACAATGGTGCTTGATTTATCTTCATTGATAGCTCCTTCCTTGTTGCTGATGAATTTGCTTCCATTTCCAAAAACAATGATAGACTTTTCTGACAATTCGCAATAATCCTCCAATTTGTGTTCAGGTTCTTTCTTAATGACTACGTTGGTCAATGTTAAGGTCATTCCTTCCTCAATTTTGAAAACTTGCTGAACGAATGGAAGTTCAATGGTATGTCCATTTCCGTTAATTTCAATATTTCCTCCTTCAATGGTATGGACAATTAATCTCTTTGTAGGAGTCAAGGATAAATCGGCTCCCAAAGTGATGTCTGTGTTGATATGAATGTCACCTACAGGCATATTTTCAAAGGAGAGAATCTTTCCCTTTGGTGGTTTTTGTGGCCTCATGTTCATGAAAAAGTTTTGAATATCAAATACAATTTCAGGAATAAAAATGATACGAGGATTTCCCATTTTGACATCTACTTTCACAAGGGATTTCTCTGGATCATTAATAACATCCACAAGAAGGAAATGCTGAGATTTTGTGAGGGATGTTTGATCCTGTCGAGTATCGACAAACGTTTTAAAGTGACCGTCTGATTTTCGGAGATCATGAGCGTCTGCTGAGCTGATTGAAACACTAGTGTTCGACAAACCACTTCGCTTCATATTAAAATCAACATTGAGATCATACATGTTCATACGTGCTAATGAGTCTTCTGTTGATTTTGAGACTGTTAAATTCAAATTAGAGAAGAGAACCTTAACAGTGACATCTGTAATTTTAGCATCCTGCTCAGTGATTTCTTTCTTAGACGGAGTGGTGATTATTGTTGATGAAGTATCTTTTTTGTCATTCTTATCTTGTATGCTTGGAAAGCCAGCATTATCATTCACATTACCATCAATAACCTTGAAAATCATTTGATATTGTTCTTGTGTGAGAGTCATGGCCACATCTGAAACCTTAATATCAACGGAGACACCAGGGAATTTGTTTTCTGTATTGATGACAGGCCTTTCAACAGCCAAAATCCAATCCATATCTCCTACCACATAGGTCATTGGATCTTGAGCGGTTATGGTGTGTAAATTCATTTTCGTGAAAGAAATATCATAACTTTCTAACCAACAACTGTTTCTCTCAAAAAGCGAATTTGAAACTCTAATTTTACCCAAATTACCAACAATACATTCTGGATTATTGAAAGCCATTGGAGCAATGACAAGAGGGTTCAATAAAGTGATATGCATATTAAACATTTCTAAACTTTCATATTGTTTGACAACAGAGTCTTTAGAAATTTCTGATACTTTTTTACCACCTGCTGCCAATACGTCCCATAATGGCCCATTTTGCATGTAGTGTTGTAATCTGACAATAATTCTGTTCAAATAAACTATTTTGACAGATTCGAGAACAAGTTTCAAAAACTTGTTATAATATGGCTGAGAGGGATCCAAATTAGCAGGACGTTCATTATTCTGATGATAGGAAAAGGTAATGAGTGACTTATCGCTCGAAGAAGAAAGACCAACAATTTCCTTGTAGATTGAACCATCATTAGTGTTGTCCACGGCCAACAAATTACCGACTGTTCCTTTCACATATAAGGCAGCTTCATTCATTGCAAAAGAAACATCTGCATTGGCAATAGTAGCAGTTGCAAAATTGGAAAAGTCTTGTAATACGAGCACCAAGCTTACTTCTGATAGAGAAGCATGCAAATCTAGGGTGTTCCTCTTCTTGTCTCTTTTTTCTACGTATTTCTTGGCTTCTGCTGGAGTAATTGTTGGAACTCTTGATTCAATTTGTTGTGTCAACTCGATGACATCATAAATATACAATAGAAAAGTAGTGAGGGATACTGGGTCAAAATTGAAGAGAATTTTGTGGAAGGTAACATCCAACAATAAATCTGCATTTCTACCATAATATTCAGATTCTCTATTATTGACTTGTATGAGTGTCAAATCTGCCAAACGTTTGTCTGATTGTAAGTCTGATGTAATAATGTACTTATCGGTGAGACGAGTAGTCTTGTCACTGATGGTAAAAGCTCTAAGAGAAAAATTCATGATCATGTCAAAATTACGGACTGCCATGTCCACAGAAAAATCTTGTAACTTGATGTCTGTGAGAGGCAAATCAATAATTGGACTATTTTCAGTGTTGTCCATCTTTTTGTTGTAAACGAGGGAAGCACAAAACTCTCCAAGATTAAACGTCAATTTAAAATTCACCTTCTTTTGTCGTACCTCTTCATTTTCTGCATTCTCTGTATTAGTTATATCAAGGACAAGTTTTCGATTCACATTTTTGGTTATCATAAGGTTGAACCACTTATCATAAACATTTTGATTTTCAACCTCAAAATAGACAGTTGTGGGTCCTGTATCCTGTGGAATGACTGCACACCACTGTAGAGCGTTCAATTCTGAGTTTTTATCACGTTCTTGATACTCTACAGATCGTTCGTTCAAAATGATACAACCAGCTGCTTTTAGATCGTTTTCATTCGTATAGAGCATTAAACGTCCATTTTCTGTGAGTTCTGCCCAATAATTCTTCCATTGATTGTCTGTCAAAAGATCAGATTTAACCTTCATGGCACCCTTGAGTTCCACATCTTCCTTACTATTACCTGTTGGATTGTCCGCCAACACAAGGAAGTTATTTGTGATTTTGATAATAGTATTCATGGCCATTGGAGATAAATTAATCTTGATATTTGGGATAGTTCCCTCTAGCTTTGTTCCAGCATAGTTGGGATCATTGGTGATGAGCAAGCCCAATTTCAAACCAACATTAACTTTTTCCACCAATTGGAAACTATTGGAGCTCTCTGAAACATAGGTGTTATTCTTAAAACTAGAAACATCGGTAATCATCGCTTGAATATTTGATAATTCTATATCAAACCGATCGTAAAAGTCCTTCTCTTCAACGGTTTCGTTCTTAATTCTTCTAGCTCTTTCAATTTTATCAATGTCACTCTTGAATTTTAATTTACCTAAGTCTAGCAAAACAACCTTTGAATTTTCATCTTTGTGATCAAGAGGTACAATAAATGTTGGTGCTAAAATGAGTACATTCAAATCAATAATCATCTTGGATTCGAGAGCAACTTTCAGTTGGGTGAGTGCTTGTTGTTGTAAATTTTCGAATTGTTTCATAGCTAAACTTTGTAGAGTTGAAAAATCAAGATTGGATGGAATAATAAAGAAGGAAAGAATCTTTTGGATGAGAGGAATATTAATAGCAATGTCTACTTGTTGAAGCAACACTTGGAGTTTCAAGTCTGACTCTCCATCCAAAGGTTTTGTTTCAACAAGTACTTCGGCGAGTTGACCCGATTCCTTTCGTTTTGAAACGATTTTCTTGAATTGGGTCACATCTGAAAAGTGATCGGTAATTTCGAAATCTTCCAATGTGACTCGTACAATTACAGAGCCTTGTGCTCGTACGCCAACTTCTGTTCTGAAGTTGTTGAAAGCACCTTTCACTATGGCTGATTCAGAGTCGCTACTTTTCACACGAGCGCTTCTCAATTTAAGTTCGCCTTGCTTTAGGAAAAAATTAATTTGATAGGCTACATAATCAGCAGGTAACTCAAGAGATTGAGACTTTTCTTTTGCGTTGTAGCCAATCGTTTTGTGAAGCTCTTCACGTTGCTCATCGGTGAATTCGAATACCACCGGTGATGCAGGTTCTTCTTCTGTGCTCGTGGTAGATGCCGTTTTTGTGCCACCTCCAAACCATCCTGAAAACCATCCTCCAGATTTTTCTTTTTTAACAAGCATGTGCTTATTCTTCTCCTTTTCCACTTTTAATTCTTCGTGAGCTAATTCTCGGAAAAAGAGTATGTCGTCAAAATCGAGCTTGTCCTCAAGTTCTTGTAATGATTTCTTTTCAGAGTCTGAAAGTTTTTTCTGCCAAGGATATTCCTTAGTTCTCTTGAATAGCTCAATATGTTCTTTACGATCCTTCTTTCTCTCCTCAACTTGTTCCCAAGTAAAATGTTGCTTTTCCACAATATCTTTTGCTGCGTGTACCAAATATTCCCACCATAATTGTTTTTCACTTGACACATAATCGCTTTTTGGTCTTAAATGTCTGAATTTTTCAAATTTTGCATAGTTGGTCATGTATTCCAAAGTTGACAATAAATTTTTGTATTGTCTGTCATCGAGGCAAAGATTTACATTGTCTAAAAACAGGTTTGCAATGAGTTTGGGCTTTGACATGTCAATTTGACCTTCTTTTTGCAGTATGAGTTTTAATTCTCCATTAATTGGACTGACAATAAATCTTCTGTAAAATTTGTTTTCTGTAATAATCTTCCTCATGTGAAGTGAAAATTTTTTGGTGTCCATTCCAGACTTTGAAAATAATTCCACTTCGTTATTATTCATGTAGAATGACAAATTTTGTAAAAGTAATTTCTTATAGAATGCTTGTTGAGCTGTTTTGATGAATACTTCCTCCCAACTGTCATTACAACTCTTGAGTGAGAGTTTTTCCATTGTTAGACCAAAAACAATACGATTTTTTGGATTAGATCCATCTTCATAACGAATATGAACGTTCGAAATTTCAACTTGAAGATTGTTGAGGATTGTTTCGGTCAATCGTGAGACGAAGGTATCTCCTTGTTTTTCCTCTTTCTTTTCCGAACCTGCTGCTTCATTCAATAACTCTTGTTGTTCTCTCCATAGTTCGTGATTTTGAAGAGCACGTTGCTTAGCAAGCAGTGCACGTGCTTTTTCGGCTTTTTCGTCGTACTGTTTCGACAATTCGGAATCCACAATGTTGAGTTGTTGTTGTTATGTGATTGAGAGTTGTAAATGTTGATTGAAAATTAAAGCATATGTATGTCAATATTTAACATTATATAATTAGTAGGGTAGTGAAATCCAATTTTTGTGACCATCATCGAATCACATACGATGATACGAAAGAGAATGTTTGTAAATGATTGGTCGCAAGGCGAATAATCTCCAAATTATTAAAACCAAATAGAAAACCTACGTGATCACACTTTTTAGGTTGAACCACCAGAAAAACATCACTCACTTTGGCAATAACCGGGCTGCTCGAGAGTGATTGCCAAGGAATGGAAGCATCAATGCTTCCAACACACCCCTGTACAACCGATACGGGTAAATCAAATGTATCCAAAGCCGAAGCTTTCAGCGTTAAATTGGTGAGATTAATACTACCACTCCATATTGCAATCTTGAGTGATTTACTATCAAGATTTTCAATGTAATCTCCCAATAATTTTACAATGATTGTGGAGGCAATGCCTTCAAACATGTTGTTCCTCTCTCTGTTTTTTTAAATAATTGAACGGAACAAGGTGAAGAGAAATGTAACGGCTACAATAGCCTTGTGTTTGTTGGTGATTTTTTTTTGAATGTTCGTCTTGGTTTGATTGAAGCAGGAAACCCTCTTCTCTTTTTGGAAACGTGCTTTAAATTGTTCAGTGCATGTGCATAAGAGGATTCATAAATCTCTCTCGAAAAACATTTTTTCAATGCTTTTAAATTTCACAACAACCTGTAAGATTGTTATAATTTATTGAACATCTTTGAAAAAGTCCATGGCCAGCACTTGAGACGCTTTAGGTCTCTTCTCTGGATCATATTCAAGCATGGCCAACACGGTCTTAATAAATCCATCACTGTATTTCTCGCCGCATTGTTTGATCTTGTCACTCACATACTCTTTCACTTCCTCTGTATTGGACATCTTTTGTAAATAGAGTTGAGCCAATGAAACTGTTAAATCAAATGTGGTCAAACCAAAGATGCTACATCCTAAACTGAAAACATCTGCATTGAAACTATACTTGGATCCTATTAACATTTGTGGCGACATGAAGAAGGGTGTACCTGCAAAACTCATCGACTGCAACATGGCACTCTCGCGGGCCAATCCGAAATCACTCAACACGACCTTAATCTTATTCCTCTTGGTATCGAAAGATTCAATGAATATATTTGATGGTTTCACATCACGATGAAGCATGTCTCGTTCTTCCTCTAAATACTTTAAACCTTTGCATACTTGAACAATGATTTGTTTCAGTACCTTTTCAGAGAGATGTTTCTTTTCTTTGATGAATTGATCCAAATCTCCGTAAGCGTAATATTTCATAACAAGGAAGAGGGACATGCTTGCTTCATCGATGAGTGCATCTTCGAGTGAAACTAAATGTTCATGTTTCATCTTGAACATGGCGACAGCTTCCTTAAACTTTTCATTCAATTCTGAAAGGCCAGAAAGTTGAATTTTCTTGACTGCAACAAGAGCACTCTCCGTTGATTTCTGGCTCAAAACAGATGCTTTAAAGACTGCTCCAAAAGCTCCAGCTCCAATTTTCTCAATAATTTCATACTTTTTGCCTAAAACATTTTGTGTCACAATGGTCGAAGTGGTCGGACTCGAAGTTACAGAACTTTGTGAAGTCACTAAATCATTCTGTGCAGCCAATCCACCTCCTTTCATGGACCGATATTCACTAATGAAGAGAGGAGATGAGGAACCTTGAGTGGCTATATTACTTTTAGGTTCGAATTCTCTCAGAACGGCATCACTGGTGACGATATGAGAATTGGTTACCGTTTTAGATTTTTGCTTTCTCTTCACCACATAAAATCCTATCACTGCTAACAGCACCACAACGATTGGTACAAGAACACATACAACCAAAATGGAAACCACAATGGCGGCAATTTCACCTCCTCCCAAACCATTAGGTGCGACCACAGCTCCTGGATCTTTTGGATCAAGATTTGTGGTATTTGTGGAATTGGTTGAGGCATTGATGAATGGTGGAGAGGGATAAATATCGGCAAAGAGGGCAAACGAAGTCAAGTGACGCGTTTCACAGGTGATGACAAGATTGGTTGTGGTGGTGGTATTGGTCATGACAGTTGTGTTAGTGATAGCATTGAAAGTTGAAAAACTTAATTTCTGAATAACGGGTTGAACGGTGGTTGCAATGGTGGAATCATTGACCCATACAGAATCAAAGTACCGACAAACGATTCCTGCCTTATTGTTCAAATACAATTGTAGAAGAGTGGAGTTGAGGCTGCCTGTGGAAATGTTAAATAAAAGTTGAATGGGTTGTTGTAAATTGTTGACAGCGAGGACTGAGTCGTCACTTTCTCTTTTGATATCGATGGAATAAATATTTTGAATCAAAGGAAGGCTCGAGGTTGGAATCAAGTTCGAAGAAATGCTTGAAAAATCAAATACAGAAGTCAACACTCGATAACGTGAAGTGGAAAATGCGTCTGTGAGACCATTCTTTGGAAACGTAATGGTGACATTTCCAACCAGTGATGTTGTCCATCCAGAAAATTCAGCAATGTTTGGCACAATGGAAATTTTGCCTTTCAATGAATTGAGGGAATACTCTGTTACGCTACTACTACTGATGAATTGTAGTTCCCACGATCGTGTGATGGTTTTTACATAATCCAACAGTTGAGAAGATATTGTTGAGAATGGTTGATTCTTGGAGATGGGTTGTTGAGCATACACATCGTTCAGTGTTTGTTGAAGAGCTATTAAATTGTTCTTGGAAATTCTTGAAGGTTTGATGTGTTGTAAAATAAACTTGGCATGAATGGCCCAGGTATTACCAAAAGTTGGTAACAACAAATTATTGTACAGGTTTAAGGTCTTAGTGAAAGAAACTACTTGTACGAGGAGTGGTGTTAAATATTCTGCAGCCAAATCATCCACACTCGAGTGGAATACTTTTGTTCTCATTTCATTGATTGTTGAAAATATTGTAGAGAGTGTGCTGTTGATGAGACCAACATCGAGAGGTGATGCACTTATTGTATATTTGCCAGTAGCACACATGTTCAATAGGATTGCAAAATAATTAGCTGTCAGAATATTTGTTGTTTGGTTTGATGGTGGCAGTACTCGATCGTAGACGTATTGCACACATTGTTGTAATGTATAGGTACCTGGGTCCACACTTGTTGGATAGGAGACAGAGATTGGAATTGTGTTGGTGACAACGCCACCATAATGATCTGTTTGCGAGAAAACAATGTTCATATTTCCAGCTCCAACTCGAGTCATTACTGATGTTTGTTTAGTGCTCGATACAGCATACATCAATTCATTGGTAGATGAGTCCACAATGTCAATCGTAACGGATTTCACATCTTTTTCAGGAATAGTTGAAGAACATGTCAATGCTAATACAGACTCATAGGCATAGATTGGGCTAGCATTATCGGGAAAGGAAAAAACTCTACACGTTCCAAATCTCAATGGCTTTGGCATGATGGTTGTAGAAAAGTTGAAAGAGGTTCCATTCAAATACATGATAATTTGAAGAGATGAATATGGAATAGTGTTAACGGTAGAAAATGCTGCATTCATATAAAAGGAATTAGAATTTTGGTTTGCCGTATAGGTTGGGGTATCACTCAATTTGATATTGTTTTGAAAAACGTCAAAACTTATCGAAGGTGCTTTTTCCACAGAAGTGACAAGGGCTGAAAATTGAATTGTTGATCCTTTTGATGTAAACGCAGGAATTGGTGACAATGTAACCTGCAAGGGAACTGCATTCACAATTTGAACATTTGTGGTTAAAGTTGTGAAACTTCCAATAGCTGCTGTAATGACATAGTTTCCAAGAATGAGGTTTGCATTGCTGATAGAGGCTGACAGACCTTGTGACTGAAGACCACAATTGCTCCCAGAGGGACCTACGCATTGCCAATTAATTGCTAAATTTGAGAGTAAACTTAATGGATAATTGACAGGATCCACAGAAGTCACAACAATTTGCACATTTCCTCCAGAAATGGATTGAGTTTTACCTCCTCCAATTAGCACATAAAAAGTGTTGATCATTGTAGCCATGTCATTAAAACTTGCAGCGACATTCCTTGATGCTATTGGTTGAAGAGTGTTTGTTGTGGATGTCGCACCAATGGTAAGAATGGATCCATTCTTAAATGAGGAGGGTAAAAGAGAGGAAGAAAGCTTGATCAATTGATAGCCTGACAAAGAATTAACGAGAGAGCCGTCAAAAGCAAAAGTAGTGGTATAACCATTACTTGGTCCTGTCAAAAAAGCTTCCAAAAAACAATTCACACCTGTACAAGTAAATTCATTGGTGGTGTAGAAAAAACTTGCTGGAAGGAGTGTCGGATCCAATCCGTTCGAGCCCGTGCCAACATCCCAAGCTAATCCTCTTTGTGTAACATTCACCAAAAATGTTGTTGGCGATGCTTTAACACTATTCGAAGGAATTATAAAATCTGGAGTGTTGATATTCTTAATGTTATTGGAGGTTGGTGAGTCCTTTGTGAAAAATTTAAAGTTGAGCTGTGCATTGGGTGAATATCGATAACTTTTTGAAGTTCGAATCATGGCACCTAGTCCAGAAATTGGTACAACTTCTAACATTGCTTGTGGTGTTTGTCTCGGAAGTGCATTGATTTTAAACGGAATTTGACCAGAGTAATTAAAGTATCTTCCAAAGATTTGATGTTCAGCTCCTAATTGAACGAATAGCGTGTTGTTTCTAGAATAACAATCGCTATCAAGTCCAAAGGCAGGAATGTAACTTTTAAAGAGATTGAGACAATTCGTTGGATTTATGGCCACGACTTCACTTGCGATCGTCGAAAGAAGAGCTTGATCACTATCAAAGTCAAAGATGACCTTGTCACATGAGAGATCCGTATAGCCGTCATGACATTTACAATAATCTCCATTAATGACATCAGTAATGCAATCACCATGAACGCAGGTTACTCCACAAACAACTCTGGTGGCAAAAGTTGTTTCTTTTTGAGAATGGTTTTGGTTGGAGGATTGACTCTTGTTGAAAACATTTAAAGATATGAAATAGGTTGATGAAAAGACTAGTACTAGGACTACCATCATGATCATGAAGAGAGACATCAAAAGCCAATAGTTCACATTCTTATTGAAAGAGAATGACAAGTGGTGATGCGATAAACAAGTCGATTCATCATTGTGCTTTTTGAACAGAAACCTCTGATCATAAGAGAATTCGTTATATGAATGAGAGTAGTCACTCAAAGGTGTGGAGTCGTGAGAAGTTGTGAGAGGACCAAGAATGGAAGAAGGACAAGAACTGTCGCTGAGAACCAATTCCTCTTGGTGTGAGGTTTTCATCAAGGTGTGAAATTTCATTTTTTTTCATGACAACTAAGTCGATTTTCAAATTTAGAAAGCAGAAACTGATCTCGCTAGTGAAATGTGAAGACCGTTTGCTATGACATAAAATAACCTTAATTAATGACGAGTGATAGGTGTGCCTAATTGCTCGACAAAGTCAAAACCGTCAATCCCCTCAACAAACGTCATTTCGAAAAAATATTTCTGGCATCCACAGAGAGATACACTCACACCCTCCTTGCACCGTAATGCAGCAACGAATGTCACTCCGATCACTTCACCGTCCATGACTTTGCAAACCTAACCCAACATCAACCACCCTCATACTCTCAAATCTTCAGTAAACACAAAATGAAAAAACTCGTGAAAACGCTCTCTCGAAATTTTCACTCATCTATCTCTTCCTCTAACAACAACAACAATAACAACAATATCGATCCTTGTCATTCAACAAATAACTCAAATTTACTCTCACTTCCTCAACAACATGCCGTCAGTCATCATCATCGGGAGCACTTGTCTTCATCGACGGGAACCCTTGAATTGCCATCATCGTCTTATCACCATAGCTACGATGATTTAGAACAATGTCGAGAGGATGATTACAATTTGTCGTCTTCCTCTTCCAACTATGGTTTGACAGTCAAACCTAAAAAGAAGAGATCATTCTTTTCCAAGTCTCAGAATGAGTTGCATGAGATGAAGGGAGGAAATACAGGAATGAATACGAATTGGAGTCAACAGATAGCAAATGGTTTGCAAATACTGAGTCGTCGAGAGTCAAGTGCCACTGTCACTTGTCAATCAAGGTCAAAACGACCTGTCTTGACATTCACTCTCGATCTTCTTTCGGCAGATGTCTTGCAGTACATCTTGTCGTTTTTACCATGCCAATCGGTTCATACTTGCTTTGCCGATGAATACAAAACTTATGTGAAACTTTACAAAGCCATTCAACAAGGTATTCAACAATTCCCGAAACGTAAAACAGAAACCCTCAATTCCAAACAAAAGAAACAACTCAAAAAGCTAATCTATTCCAACGACAATTCTCCCAACATGAATTCTTCCTATTACGGAATATTTTCTCTCTGTTTCACTAAAAAATATTTTCTCGAAGAATTGTATGAACAAGTTTCATTTTGGCAATTCCTTTGCGAACACTTTTACAAAGTTGATATTTCTCGATTCAATGAAATGAAAGCCAAACTCATGAGATGCAAAATATTGAAAGAAAATGATTCACCACTTATTTGCTGGAAACAAATTTTTAGATATTACAATGAATATATTGCACGTTGGGAGACAGATATGGTTTACAATATTTTCAAAATTTCAAGACAAGACACAAAAATCTCTCGAATTTACAAAGAGAAGAAAACCTCTTGGACCAGTCAACTTGCTTACAATCTAAAAGAAGAGACTCTTCGTACTGTATTTTCTTCTAACAATTCCAACTCGGATTATTATGCTATCACTTCCACAAGTTTTGAACCCAACAACTTGTATTATTTTGAATTTACATGTAAATACAGCACTCAGTCGAGAATTGCTGTTGGAGTGGTTCCCAATACGAATGCTTTTTATAAGGATCAGTTGGAAAGTGTCAATGATACATCACAAGACAATCATCAAATTGATTTGGATTCTTCCTTTTCTTCTGTCACTTCGAATCATGATGTGGATACCCATAATGCAGCAAAGAATGGATCTAGAAATGAAGCAACACAACCATTTAATCCACTCGAGTATAGACCACCGACTGATGTGCCCTGTATGTCCTTATTGGAGAACACAGAAGAGGGACAATTGTTTTTACCAGGTGATAAGATTGGTGTCATTTGTGATTATTCATTTAGTGAAAAGAATGTACTCAAGTTGTATTTCTGTTTGAATTGGGACTCCACCAAAGAGTATACTTGTTTCAAAAAGACTCTCGAACGAATTAGACATGTTGAAAGAGATTCCTCCTGTCCATTTTCATTGCACGAAGAAAAAGTGTGTGCCTATCTTCTTAAATATGATTTACACAACATGCAAAAAGAAGTTTTTCAATTGAATGGTACTACGGTTGGACATTCCGCAAGCTCTTCGAGAAGTTTCTTCAGTACATCCACTGCATCCATGCCTGCTTCAGCATTGACTGCCTTGCATGACAATCCTGCCAATCACAGCTCACCTAATTTAGTATCATCCTCTAACAAAACTCTTTCTAACTCTCTGACGAATAATAATGGTAATACTAACTCTGTCACAACATCACAATCTCACATGAAAAACAACTTGTCTAACTCTCTCTCACCAAATCCACTCTATGAAGAAAGAATCATGGCTCCCTTTAAGAAACACGACATTCGGCTTGTTTACTTTATTCCCAATTTTAGGAATTCCACAGAGCAACATTTCCAATTTCCAAAATGTTACAAATCCAATCAGAGGCGTGAATTAATCTCTTTCTTGAAAGTGAATGAACGAGTGTTGCATTCCAATGACGTAAATTCCGATCAGCCAAATCTTCCATCTCGTTCATTGAATTCTTCATTCGATCCGAGTAAGGAAAGGCCAACTTCTTCCACTGCCGAGTTGAATTTACCAGACTTGAAACTGTGCATGTCTTCATTGGAAGTTGGAGATGCAGTTTTCATTACCAAGCCATCATTACCCTATCCTCCATTGTACTATCATTTATTGGTCACAAAGCAACACAAAACATCTCATCATTAAAGTGTAACATAGCATTACCGCTTGACAGGTCATGTGAACGTCTGGGTTTCAGAAGAGATATGTCGGTGTGACAAGTCGTCTTTCGTGTGTGATCAAACCTAAGAAGGGTTTTGATTTTTGATGCAGGTGTCCACATCTGTCAACACAAGAACATATTTGCTTTGATTCCGTTTCAGAAAATACAATTTAAGTTCAGATTGAAAAAAAACGCCGACTTCATGAAGTCCATGCTGGGTTTGTATTTCGCTCTCTTAGGCTCACATTAATCATTTACAAACCATTATTGGTCTGTTGTCGACCATTTTAAAAAATTGATTGGTCGATCGATTCTTTTAAACGAAACAGCAACAAGGGGTTCTCACAACCTTGGCGTTATTAATATTTTCCAAGATCGTACTTTCTTCATTCCAATACAAAAAAAAGACCTCACATCAAAAGGCGTGAACATTCTGCATTTCGACAAGGTTTTGCGTCACACATTTTCATTTATTTGTTAATCGATCGACGGCCAATTGCAGTATAATATCTGCGAGTCATAATCCACATACGCGAACGCAACATCGGTACAACCCTCTTCGGTAATCCAAAATGGAAACCCTTTTAACTACTTCGAGCAGAATCGCTCGATCGAATCTGAGCGAAACAGTACAAACTACTCCATTTAGCCAAGACCCAACTTCATCGCACACAAATTCTCATGGACCTGTAACTTTCCAATTATCTTCGAATGGCGATGCATCCATTGAACTTTGCGATTATAGTCATCTTGTGAGCCACTATGAATTTGTGACTATTAATAACGAGTCGTCATCATCATCATTGTTGCGACGAATCACCTCTCCTTCTCTCAACAACAGTGACAACGAAACTCGGCCACTCTCTCATTCAACAACCTCTTCTTTTGCCTTGTCTGAGTTACTGATTCAACTCGGTCATGTTCTCTTTGAAAATTGGGAAGACTATTGTGGTGATAAGGGATTCGAGAGATTATGCGAGCAATCGGTTGCGAATCCACCTCTATCAAACACCAGAAACACTCAATTACGTGCAACAATGACACATCACCGTGTAAACCCTCTCCTTCATGAGGAGTTTAATAATAATATTTACTCTAATCATCTTCACTCGCACATGGATTGCAAATCTGAGAACTGTGCATTGAAACGATTCTTTAAATTGTCTACTTGCCAACAAATTCATCTGGCCACCAACTTTATTTGTAATTTTGTGTGTTTTGGAGTGAATGGTTCCATTCAGGAACGAGTTCCCACAAAATTATTTGAAGGAAACAATAATGCCAACACCACATTCATGATGGGCGAGCAATCGCATGAACAGTTGTTCCGACGATTTAATGGAGCCCAACACAGCGGCATCAATCGACTGTCAGTCGTTTCTGAACATTATTTCAATTATCCTGAAGAGAAAGACACGTGTGATTCGCTCATGGTTTGGTGTTTCCTGAGGGAAGTTTTGAGAGATTTGGTAAGAAGAGAAATTCAGGACGAATTGACATTGAAACGAGAAGAATCATCTTCGATTATTTCTCACTCGACCACTCGCACCACTCAGACAGAAGTTTCAACAACGTCGTCCAATGTGGCTGTTAGTATTCTTCAGAATTCCATTCTTCATCATTCGGCAAGACAGGAGGCAAGGTCAAGACAAAGACGTACTACAAGCGACGAAGATACTCTCTTACATCAGAATGAGCACAACTCAAATGATGATACATCCTATTATTGGAGAGCCTTAATTTATGTGATATTAAGGAAATTGAAATTTGGAAATCTTTCTATTGAATCCGATGATCTGAGTCAAGATGAGTTATTACAAGCTGCCTCATCCACCGATTTCAACATTTGGAATACCTTGATGGATAGTTTGTTTCATTCATTCCTTCAGAAAAGACGAGCATTCGTGACAACTCGTGAACACGAAATATCACATCGAAGAAGAGCTCACTCCAATGGCCAGTTCACAAGTAGTGCTACTCCTTCCTCCAACAATGACCAAAGTGGAAGTAGAAATCTTCGAGTACTCGAAGGCACTCGTTCGCGAGCGGTCTCCTCAGAAACTTCCAACCACTCCCAACAACGAACACTCAACACACACTCTCAAGAGGTTATTCTTGAAAAATCTTCAGTGCAAATCAAAAGACTTCGCTCTCACTTCAATTCCTTCTTTACAGAACAGGTGATTCATCATGACATGTGTAAATTGGCCTTTGTGTGTCAAATCAGTGCACCTCTCTTCATGAGACCTTACAAAAACTTGGGAGAGAAATATTTGAGAACACTCTTCTCAAATTCAAGGGGAACATTAAGGAGAGAATTGTTGGCTCCATTGGAAGCTTCGAATCAACTCTCTTTTGTTACGGTTTGTTATTGGCACTCCTTCATGACATTTGAAGGTTACGATTCACCACTCGAACGTATCAAGGCATTCTTTCTGATGTTGGAAAAGAATAATTTCCCTGTGAGAAGTCCTGGACCAAAAACGCCAAAACAACCTGCAGGGTTAAAATCCATGATTCAAAAATTAAAAACGCTCATTTAAAGCAGTTGTCATGAATTTAGAAGTGTGGCTTTTGAAGTCGGCCACTGCCTGACTTCCACTCTGTTGGACCCCTCTACCAATGATGGTCATCTAGTGAATTATTAACCGCCCACATGTGCACTTAAAAAGGGGTTGAGCTGGATCAGAAAGCAATTCTCCACTCTGTATTTCTCAATACTCTGTGGAGAGCATTGTGAGTGGAGATCACCAATCGAGATAGAGATGGTCACGAATTCATTGGCAGAGAATTTGAATTTCTCAACGTTACTTTCATTACGTAATCAACACGTTTCACGTGCTGGAATTGTACCGAAGAACCGAGAACTCGATTGTCACAACAGTGCAATCTGGAGATGTTGCAGTTTCACAACCAAAAAAAATTGGCACATATGATCATCGGTTGTTATTCAGCAACTTTATTTGTTCAGTTCCCGTTTTTGGTTCTATTTAAAGCTTGAAGTTCAGCTTTTTTCATTTGGGTTCTCTCTCAGGCTTACATCTTCTTGTAAAGCTCTAGCAAAGTTATCGCCAAGATACAATCCCACATTCAGAAACTTTGAGATTGCAAACAACAAAAGCAGCACACTTTCATACGGATTCTCTTCAATTAGGCCTCCCGAATTGTTCGAATGTCCAATCTCTACCCATCATCATCATCAAAAAGAAATTGCACCCACCCATCCAACACCGTCACCACTTGCTCTCCCCAATCCTCGTGCAACAACAACGACGAGAAGGAAGAAGAAGGTTGTACAGACTCTCTCTCAATTCTAACAACAACAACAACAACAACCACAACACCTACCTTGTATGCTCTCAACCCCAATAACTCACTCCCTTTGACCCATCCCTCATGCCATCTCCTCCCCGCTTCTTCTTCTTCTTCCGATCATAGCCTTTCTTCTTCATCCTCCCTTTCAACATCACCATCCATGGCCTCCACCACGACCAGTCTCAAAACATGCAATGATGATGTTTCCTCTCTCTCTCCACTTCCTAACAATCTCATGATGGAAAGGACGAACTATCATCACACAGGTGATGCATCCTCTTCCATCTCGCCCTGCTGCTCCAATGCCGCCATCTCCACGACTCCCAAATCTCTGAAACATCCCAAATATAAGCCTACTAACTTATTCATTCCAAGTGTTCTTCAATTATCTCCTTCAACAGCAACCCGACAAACCTGTTCTTTTTTGAATCATGGCTCAATGACCTCTCTGAACCAAAACAAGATTCCGACAACCTCTCCACGTGGAAGTCGCTCAGCCGAGTGCTATGACACCACAAGCAAGTTGGAAACCCACAATAATAATATTTCCCAATGTTCTTCGTTGACACCCTCACCTGGAGATCATCCCTCTTCGGCAGAATTGTTTCATACCAATAACAACAAAAACAAAGCAACTGATGAGAAATCGAGTTGTGATGATAATAACACCAATGTATCCACCGCTAATGCATTTCAATCTGAGGCTGAATTGTATAAATCTCTTGGATTTGAGTTAGTGAAATTGAATATTGGCAGAGGAGTGACCTCTCAGGTCAACTTGGTCAAAAAGTTAAATTCAACACAACATTCTCGTCAATGTTCTTCTGATGGTGATGAACCTAAAGTCGTACCCAGGTTTGCTGAAGAAGAATTTACTTTGAGAAGAAGAGATGCCACTCCCGACGACGATGAACAGGACTCCATGGAGTCATCACAACACAATATTGCATCCTCTTGTACTAACGTTACTACTCGTTCTTTTGATTCTCTTTCAAATTCTCCAGACGAAGAACATGAAGCTCTTGATGACAGTATTTTCTTTGCAGAGAAAGTTATTAATCTTCATTTTGTAAATGAGAGTACTTTTGATGGCAGCAACAATCATTCATTCAATGACATTGAGAGAGAAGAACAATGTCTCATGCAATGCAAGAATTCTCCTCACATTGTTCAGTTGAACAAATCGATTCGAACGAACAAACACCAACACCGATTCTTCCTCGAGTACATTGATGGTACCACTCTTTCCAACATTATTAAGCAAAAAAAAGAGAGCTTGAATAATGATGAATGTATGAGTTCAATTGTGACCGAGAAGGAACTCTCACTCATAGCTCAACAATTATTGAGAGCACTCATTTACCTTAAACAACAAGGAATTTTGCATAGAGACATTAAATCTGAGAACGTCATGATCACTCGAACAGGTTGTGTCAAGTTGGTTGACCTTGGATTGGCCATGCCACTTGAAACAAACCAACTCCTCGTGACCATGACGGAACATGGAGTCTCCTCTAAGGAGGTGCTGGATCATGTTGGTGATGTATTTGGTTATTACTCTTCGTCGTTATGCGACAATGAAGCGCTCAGTCTCACTTCTGAAGTCATCACTAAGGGAACGTATTGCTATATGTGTCCTCATAAATTACTCACTGGAAACGAAAGTTTCAGCTCTGATTTATACAGTTATGGCATGACCTTGTTAGAATTATTTGTTGGTAAATTGCCATTCGATTTTGTGAACAGCCCATCCGACTTTGTAAGACAAAACAACCACGACGATGCATTTTCTTCGCCATCATCAACAGCACTAAGCCACGATACTTTGTTTCCTTTGGCTGACATTGTCGCATTTGACGTTAAGGAATATTGCACAGATCTTGTCCTTAAGGGTCTCATGGGTGAAGAGTTGTGTGATTTTCTATGTGCATGCATGGACAAGAATATCCACTCGAGAAGTGATTGCCACTCGTTACAGAACCATCCGTTCTTGGCGAACACTTGTTCGATGAGCCATGAAGAAGTTTGCCACTCGTTGAGATCAGTTTTGAACCAACATTGGTCATTTCACTAAATTTAATAATAATGTTAGGCATGGTCATGTCGTTGTGTTTGTGGATTCGTTTGGTCAACACACATTCAAAAAAGCAATCCAAACATTCGACATTTGAATGAAAATGAATTTGGTCAACACACATTCAAAAAAGCAATCCAAACATTCGACATTTGAATGAAAATGAAAAATAAACTTGTTGCATAAAAAAATATTTCTTTTGCTCCCTTTTTCTGAGTCCTCATTTATCATCATCATCACCAAACCGAAGAAAACAAGCAGCCACCTTTAAAGATCCATTGATTGTACCTTGTCGACCAACCAACCCAGCCGCTCACTCCTAAGCAACCCTTCTTCTAAACTTGAAAATCAACGTTGCAGGACAAACAAGTCCATCACACAGGTCAACATCATCACTATGGTTGGAATTAAACTCAAACTTACCTCATCTGAATCTCCCAGTAATAGTCCTTCCACTCCTGTGCTCAACACCCCTTCAAAGAAGAAGAAGAAAAATAACAAGAAGAAGGACAAAGATGGAGTTTTGGATCCATCCGTTCCTCATCTATTCGGTCAGTCTTTAAACTCTCAACTTCATTCCATACGTACTGCACTACTCATCCAAGAGGATGATCCTTCCTGTTCTGGCGGAAAACGCTTTGTTGTGTATCCGAAATTGTTATGGCTCTGTTTGAATTGGCTTGAAAATAATCCAGATTGTACGAATATGGGTAAGTTGCCATGATTTACAACTGAATCAGTGGCTCATTGTTGTTGTTTTACTCTAATGTTATATATGGTTGTTGTGTTGTCGTTTATTTACACTGATTATTATTTTTATTATTTATGATGATTATTATTTTGTCATTCTTGAATGACCTCCTCTAATATTTTCACAACACATATGCACACACAGAGGGTATTTTCCGATTGAGTGGACAAGCATCTCTCATCAATTCTGTTAAAGAGCAATTATCGAAAGGAAAATTTGACAATATACCCAAATTGGAGGGCTATGATTCCGATTCGGATGATGATGAAAGTTTTGGAACACCTACAGCAGAGGATGAAATTTCAAAATCCAATATGCGTGAAAACAAACTCATTCAAAAATTCCTTGTGTACTTTTATCCCAGTTCTGTGGCTCCAGAGTCCATTTCGTTTGGCCTTCTCAACAAACAACCTATTGTTAACAATTTTATTGAAATTCCTGAAATTAATTTTGAAGAATTATTCCCACAAAACACAATCAATAACGTTTCAAGTTTGTTGAAAATGTATATCAGAGAATTACCTGAGCCACTCATGACTTTTGATCATTATGATATGTTTATTGCAAGGTGAGTGTTTGTAGTGTGTGGTGTTCATGAACCTTTTGTCTTTTTAACCAATCACACATATTCCAATTTGATCCTCTCATATTCTGATCCATTTTTTGTGAATGGTTCATTCATTTGATTTCAAAAACTTACCAAATGTTCCCTCCCAACCAATCACTCATTTAAATGATCACTTACTCCAACTCATACCTTCCGTCTTCCTCACACACAGTGACGGCATTCCTGACGACAATGTACGACTCCAAGTCATTCGAAACGTTTTACGATTTTTACCAAGATCCAACTATTTCATTTTGAAAAAGCTTTGTGGATTCTTGCATAGTGTTCATGCCAATTCATCCGTGAACAAGATGGATGCTTCCAATTTGGCCATTGTTTTTGCTCCAAATATTCTTCGGCCTCCTCCCATGTATTGCAATGTTTTACAAATGCAATTGAGCGAGGCCAGATTTGCCACTTCTCTCACTCAGAGCCTTATTTCTGAATATGAATTCTTTTTTGGTGCTGAAGATGTCAAACCAAAACTGGAGGCACAAAAAACGCCAACACCTCCTCCAAACAAACCAAAAAGATCAACCTCTAATGAAACCAATAATAAGACAATTTCCGTGTTGTCCTCATCGGCTTCGCCACAGTCACCATCAAATTCCTCTGTTGTGATCTCGAGCGATGGAAGTAGCACGGAAGATGTGATGCCACCTAATGATACTCCAACAACTGTAAATATTATTCAACAACAATCATCACTTTCAGGCTTAAAGAAACCACCAATACCAAGCAAAACAAAACCCTCTCCTTCAGTTTTTATTCCATCTCAGAATGGTGGCAGCAATGGTAACAACGTGAATGAATCATCACCTAAACAACAAAATACTAGATGGATGAGTCCAAAACCTCCTCCCAATGGGCTCAAAGATTCCTCACGTTCCGTATTTGTGGCATCTGCCAACCACAACGGCAGTAGTCGATCAGATACCAATGTTCGCTCTGTCATTGAGAATATGAATACACTTCACACGAGCAAACAAGCAACTGCTGAAATCAAAAGACTCTCTCGTGTTATGAAGGCAGGAGATATTTGTCTCGATGATCAATCCTTAAAGTCAACAACGTTATCGTCCTTCAATAATGACACTGCACAGAATAAGAGATTACCTGTACCACCACGAAAGATAACAGTTTTCACTGAGGCCACTGCAAAACAACCTTCCACCACTCAAACAACCAAGAATGAAATGTTTGCCATTCCACCCAGAACAGTGTCACCAAGGAAGACAACAGTTACGAATAGTGTTGCCACCACCGCCACCACTACGACCATCAAGTCACAACCAACCAAACCTCCAACCCCCTCTAGATTTGCAGGAGCTTATTCGTCGACAAAGCCGCCAGTGGGGTCATCCTCGTCACAAACATCCACGCCAACAACAACCACTTCTACAGTTACCCCACCCAAACCTCTTCCACCACCCAAATCATCATCCTCTTCGAGTGCTACTGGTAGTAGACATCAAAATGAGTCTCCAGTTCTTCCTCCAAGAAGGTCACTTGACGAGGAAAAGAAATTTCCTGGTAATAGCCTTAAGAACAATCCGTTCATTAAGCAAGATGTTTCATCCTCTGCGACGACCTCTTCATCATCCGGTGCTACCCGCGCCCCACCTCCATTACCAAGGAAAAAACAATAATGTGCATATGAATGTATTCTAGTGATGTTCCTAGGAACATTGTGTCGAGTGTTTAACAATCGATTCGAATGTTTTGATGAGCAAGATTCAAACATAGTAAAAGGCGCCATTTCACACTACAAAAAATGAACAAACAACAACACATAAACTCCGCCCTATTCCCTACAACACGCGACCAACAGGCGAACAACGTTAGTAACTTGACATCATTACCTTCGGAACCAGAAGAAAATGAGGAACAGTCCTCACTAGACTTGTCTGATTATGAGGGGTCACGTTATGAAGATTATGCTTTGGAAAACTCAAGTAATGCCATAATGCACTTTGGAAATACACCAAACCCTAAGGATACCATACAACAAGCAATCACTAACAAAAATAACATCATTTCTCGCAACAACACGGAAAACTCATTAACTGTTAATGTTGATCAAGCATCATCGCTAATTGAGAATTCCTCATCATCCCTGACCAAATCACCATCATCTTCTGAACGGAGGAATAATTCCGATCTAAGAATTCCTTCTCTCGATATCTCAAACCTTAACACAAGTAGTAGTATCGATAGTGAAATAGCCGAGATTCAAGAACAGCATCAAGATGCCTCTGACCCATTAGAAGTGTATATCAAAGAGGAAAATTTCGAAGGTCTCTCAAAGGCCATCGAAAAATTGTTGGCAGTTGGGGAACATACACTAGTCAACAATACTGAAACACTACATGATCAGAAAAAAGAAAATATAAATTCGTTGTTGCACGGTAGGAATAATTGTCATAAGGACGATCCAAAGAAGCTTTTAGAAGAAGAAACAACGAATCCTACTAATGAGTCAAGCCCTACCATGACATACTCCTTGACCATTAAAACCTCTGTCAATGATGAGAACTACGCTGACTCTTCTGCTACTGACACTAGCTCCTCTTTGGATATGAAAATTCCTTCAGTTTCATCTTCAACAAAAATTCCCCTTTCAAAGAATGCAAACAATTCTCTTTCAGAGAGCCAATCAGAAGAAAAGTTGAAGGAATTGTTGCAACACATCGAAATGTCACCATCCACAACACACATGGATGGACCTAACCATTCCCTTTCAAATGAAAAAGATGAAACCCTTTTCCACCATGATCCTAGAACCATTGAGAAGCATTCTGATGATGAGATGAGGAATGACATTGTTAAAATAATGAACACCACTCCTTCAAACTCACTACAGCCTCCAAAAGACATTATTCCTCATCCACAAGTAGATGTTCATGCGCTCATTGAACACTACGAACATTTACAGGAAGAAATTGAGAAAATAGGGATTGAAGAATCCGCACACTCTCACACTGAACCCCTTGATGATCAAATTCCTTCCCATCAATCACAAGCTGATAATCTTTTTCGAGATGACAATTCAGCTCAATACAATGCCATATTATTGGTGGATAAAAGCAAGACAGACATGTTAAAACATCACAAAGAACACGATTTAAGAATGGACAAGAATCAGCCTCTTAGTGAGGATAATTTGAACGAAATTTCAAGAATTTCCACAACTGCCGATGACTATCATGTTTCCACAATTTTTGATGAAAAATTGGTGGGTTCTCTTATTGAGGAAAAGTTACAACCTGTTTCAGACCTTCTTAGATCAACTGGGTATGCTGGTTTTATTGGAGAAACGGATATTGTACAAAGTAGGTAGAATAATTTTGATATTCTCTACGGTCAAGGCTAATGTCTACGAAATTTCATCGCATTTCACTTAATGTATATTTCATCTCACTTCTCTTTAACACCAAAGGAATTCGAGATACTTTCAAAATAATGCTGGACGACTTGGAAAGAAAATCCAAAACCATTGAGCTTCAATCTAAAAATCAACAAGAGTTCACCAAGACCATGATAAAACTAAAACAGCAATTGGAAAAGGCAAATGAAGCGACAAATCAATACAAAATTCAACTCGAAAAAAAAGAAATTGAAATCAAAGTAAGTTAACAAATGGAGAGTGATACTATTAGTGGGATTACATTGTTTCGATGGAAAATTATGAACTGATTAATCAAAATCATACCATAAATCAATTCTAAATGACACACTTTCTATCATAGTCTTTCAAGGAAAACAACAATGTCAGTACCATTAAAAATGAAAAAGAACTTGCACAGATGAAGCGCGCCTTAGAAGGTTTGAATTCTAAAGTTTTGCAATACGAAAGTATTATAAGTACTAAGGATGATGAAATCAATGATCTTAAAAAGAAAATGTATCAATTTGTTTCCAAAGAGGAAACGAAGAGAATTAACTCTATGAATATTTTCTCTCAAATTCACAAGCGTAAACCAACAACAAAATCTGATGCCAAGGAGATTGATCTGATTGGAATGTATGAGGAACAACGGCTGCAGCTAAAGAGAGAGGTTGCTTTTTTAAAGAAAGAGGTACAACGTTTAAATGACCTTGAAATTCAAATGCAGGGCGAATCTGATAATAGAAATGAAGAACAAATCAAAAAGCTCACATCTCAAATTAAAGCAGAAAGGGAAAAGTACACTCAATTGGAAGCGGAATATAACTTGACACAACAAAAATTGAGCACCGTAATCGCACAAAATCAAAGAATTACTGAAAATTTAGAGGAGGAAAATACTAGACTGTTGAAGGAACTACAAAACAGGCCTTCAGCTCAAGATTACACTCAATTACAGAAAATTAATGAAGAGTTGCGAAAGACAATCAAGTTATTGAGAATTAAGGAAAAAGAATTGGAAGAGATTAAGAAGAGGTAAGTTCACGAATTCGTCACGTTTGACATTCGAAATTGTGTTTTGTTTCATTTTGCAGCAACGACCCAAAATCTGTCTTAACAATACCAGCTGGAAAGTGGTCAGAATCCCCTCACGAAAAGCGAAAGAAGCAACCAACATTAGTCGCATCATCCTCCAATACCACAAACAAGCAAACAGAAGAAACGCTTGCAGACCTTAAAAGACTTCAGGACATTATTGCTGAAATTTGTAAAATTTTAAACATTTCTGATATGTCAGAGCTTGTTCCATCGCTTCAAAAAACAATTTCAATTGTCAAAGCAGTTCCCAAGATGGAAAAATTCATTTGTGAAGTTTGTGATATTTGCCAAAAAGGGACCAATGATCTTGGACACCAAATTGAATTGAAACCAAAAATTGTTGCCCCTTTGCTAGGATATTGGATTGAAAAACTAAAAGACTCGCAAGCTATGGAAAAAGAAATTACAGAGCTGCTTAATGGTCGACCAAACGCGACATCTCACATTGACTGTTCAGATCCAGATTTCAAAGTGATTAAGAATCAAATCATTTCATCTATACAAGAGATTATAAATCCATGAACAAACGTTATATTCATAATTCTTTACATAATGTGCTCACTGACTTGTCAGCCAACGATTTTGATAAACGAGAGACCTCTAAGATCCCTTAGGGTTTGGGTTTGGGTTTGGGTTTGGGTTTGGGTTTGGGTTTGGGTTTGGGTTTGGGTTTGGGTTTGGGTTTGGGTTTGGGTTTGGGTTTGGGTTTGGGTTTGGGTTTGGGTTTGGGTTTGGGTTTGGGTTTGGGTTTGGGTTTGGGTTTGGGTTTGGGTTTGGGTTTGGGTTTGGGTTTGGGTTTGGGTTTGGGTTTGGGTTTGGGTTTGGGTTTGGGTTTGGGTTTGGGTTTGGGTTTGGGTTTGGGTTTGGGTTTGGGTTTGGGTTTGGGTTTGGGTTTGGGTTTGGGTTTGGGTTTGGGTTTGGGTTTGGGTTTGGGTTTGGGTTTGGGTTTGGGTTTGGGTTTGGGTTTGGGTTTGGGTTTGGGTTTGGGTTTGGGTTTGGGTTTGGGTTTGGGTTTGGGTTTGGGTTTGGGTTTGGGTTTGGGTTTGGGTTTGGGTTTGGGTTTGGGTTTGGGTTTGGGTTTGGGTTTGGGTTTGGGTTTGGGTTTGGGTTTGGGTTTGGGTTTGGGTTTGGGTTTGGGTTTGGGTTTGGGTTTGGGTTTGGGTTTGGGTTTGGGTTTGGGTTTGGGTTTGGGTTTGGGTTTGGGTTTGGGTTTGGGTTTGGGTTTGGGTTTGGGTTTGGGTTTGGGTTTGGGTTTGGGTTTGGGTTTGGGTTTGGGTTTGGGTTTGGGTTTGGGTTTGGGTTTGGGTTTGGGTTTGGGTTTGGGTTTGGGTTTGGGTTTGGGTTTGGGTTTGGGTTTGGGTTTGGGTTTGGGTTTGGGTTTGGGTTTGGGTTTGGGTTTGGGTTTGGGTTTGGGTTTGGGTTTGGGTTTGGGTTTGGGTTTGGGTTTGGGTTTGGGTTTGGGTTTGGGTTTGGGTTTGGGTTTGGGTTTGGGTTTGGGTTTGGGTTTGGGTTTGGGTTTGGGTTTGGGTTTGGGTTTGGGTTTGGGTTTGGGTTTGGGTTTGGGTTTGGGTTTGGGTTTGGGTTTGGGTTTGGGTTTGGGTTTGGGTTTGGGTTTGGGTTTGGGTTTGGGTTTGGGTTTGGGTTTGGGTTTGGGTTTGGGTTTGGGTTTGGGTTTGGGTTTGGGTTTGGGTTTGGGTTTGGGTTTGGGTTTGGGTTTGGGTTTGGGTTTTGGGTTTTGGGTTTGGGTTTGGGTTTGGGTTTGGGTTTGGGTTTGGGTTTTGGGTTTGGGTTTGGGTTTGGGTTTGGGTTTGGGTTTGGGTTTGGGTTTGGGTTTGGGTTTGGGTTTGGGTTTGGGTTTGGG